GTGTTGAGACCGTGGTCAAGGGTTAACAGATCCGAAGGGCTTGGCCTCAGCTCATATGCTGTGCCCCTTACCCGAGTATGGTGCCCTTGATTTTGGATGAAGTCCAATGATGGTCTGATGAAGTCTGAAGGACTTTGGGAGGCTGGCTACTCTAGTAGAGTGCTAGAGGACTTCCAGAGGAGTGTGGGAAATGTCTGGATAAACACAAGATGAGTTCTGGAGGAGTACAGGAAAGTCCAAAGGAAAAGGTACAAAGGACAGCAGGATAGGATATAGTCCCAGAGGTATGGAATACAGATAGGGGCTACATTGGACACAGTCCAAAGTAGAAACAGACAGAGGTAGACTACACTAAGGTAGAGTCAGATAGATGGGGATTGGACTGAAGTCCAGAAAGACAGTAAGTGCTGGAAAGGCAAAACTCCAGTCTAGGGAATCAATCCCTAGATTCAGAACAGAGACATAGGAGACAAATCTGAAGGTCTGGATTTCCGGCCTAGGAAGTCAATCCCTAGACTCAGAAAGGACAGAACTCAGATGGACCAAAGTCTAGAAGAAGATTGGGTAAGAAGAGCAAAGTCTAAGATGATATTTGAACTGAGGAAACTCTACAGGAGTTGTACAGAGGTTTATATACTGGAGGACATATGAGAGGATCAGTAAGCAGAGGACTAAGGCTATGTACGAGCATATGGAAACACATTAGTAAGTGAGACGGAACATAAATAAATCAACTGAAACACAGATAACCACAGTCCGGAGTCAAGGGGATTACCATAAGGGGATAGACACTGATTTAAGGTTTGAGTCTGGATATGAAGGTACAGATCCAGATATCGGATCAGGCATCTGGATATCGGATGTGCGAAGGTGCATGGATCCAGACCAACAGTGGACTGAAGGTCTGGAGACATGGATAAGGGTATGGAGGTCCAGATGTATGTCTGGAAGGCATGGGAATGTTATCAGACATAGGTCCAGAATACAGGATATGACAGAAGGTGAAGTACTACCTATCTCAAATGATTCATCTGGCTCACAAGTACTCCCCTGCAGCCAATCAAGCATGTGTAGCATGGTCCTCCACAGAAATAGCATGTGGAAGTTATTTGGTGGTTGGATAAGGATAGGATGGTGTGGGGTGAGTTTCTGGATTCTCGAATTGTTCATATTCAGATTGCAATAGCCTCATTGAGTTCTGCATTGAAGGTGTCAATCAAAAACACAAAGCATCCTAGGAGTTTCCAACATTGACATATTGTTAAGAGAAAAAGTAGGAGCAATCCATAGTGTCCCTCAGTTTTTTGCTGCATCAGAAACAGCACTACTCACTATCACTTCTTTTCACAAATCTATTTGCACCCTCTAACTATGCTTTTTCACCACCATCCCACTACCCCATATCTTGACCCTGAGCATTAGTACCCTACTATTTGCACAATGCCTGACTGGTATACCAGTGCACCAAAGCAGCAGTGGACATACCTGCACATGTGCCACAGTTATTGCATCCATATCCCCTTTAGCAACATTGTGTGCTTGGATGACACTTCTGTCTACCACAAATTATTCATTGGATGAATTTCCCAAGTGATAGCACACTATGAGAGCACCCTGATTGTTAAAGTCACCTCAGTCAGCTATCACCACAGCCTGAGAAACCCTGGTCTCCCTCCTTACATCTGCCTTACTTTGCCAGTTGGCATCATTTGCTTGTCCCCTCAAGGCCACTTCATACATTGGTGCTTGGAGACCATTGACCACCTTTACACCTACTACCCTCCAACATCAGCATCAGTTAGACAGGCATTGGAAGACTCCCAGAAGGTGCTTGAAGGAACTGAGAGTTCTGACAGTGGTACTAACAATCCTGGTGGAGAGATATTGGTATGCAGTTCCAAGGACAAACTGCTTGGACAATTTACTGAAGCAAGTGAGAAGCCTAGGTCCCTTACCTCCTTTACCACTAGATTAGTTCAAAGTGTGCATACCATTTAACTTTACCCTTTTTTGATCTGTTTGTCATCTTCCCAGCTATTCTTTAAGGTCTTTAGATAGTCCTTTCCTTAGCCTTCTATGCATCCTATCATGAGGAACTGCCCCCTTTGCTTGAAAATCATGTCATGACTAATCCTATATGATACCAATTCCCAAACACTGAGGATGAACCAGACCCAGCTCACCAACAGTCACTCATGTATAATCATGTTGTTAGTCATTGGTATTTGTCTGAACCACTGACCATGGTGATATTTGTTTTTATAGGTGTTTATTTATAGATCATCTATCTAAGAAGACACCGCCAGAAAAATACTCAGTTTATCATTGAATGCCAGAATCTTCCAGATCACAATGCAAGATACAGATGGCTCAGACTTGATATACTTAGTCCCTGCTCCAGTTGCAATGGAACTCTCCCCCATAGGGTGCAATATATGCAGATTTTCTGCATATGACACCAAGGGAGATGGTTTTGTGTTCCTGAAGGACACATGACATGTCATTTTGCCAGACATCATTTCAGAGGGGGATGTATACAAGCGTCTGAACAAGAAGCATGTTCATCATGTTGCAATACGCTTAGCCTCTGGTGATGTTTTAGGTGGCTCAAACACACATACCACCCAACCTGGTCGCTTTAAGGATGCACCATGGGTCCATCCTACAGGAACTGTACTTGTGTCCCATGTTCACCATTGCCTTGTCCTTAATATTGTTGCCACCCTGATTACATCATTTGTCAGTTCTCATCAAGTCATTGAAGTAATTTGAGATGCTTTAATATGTACATAATTCTCCATATTTTCTGGTGATTGCAATCTTAGCTACTATTATCTCTAGCTCACCAGGATGCATGAAGGATTGCAACATCTCACATTGTGACCTGAGTGTAGGTAATATCATGGTGCATGAGAACAAAGGTGTTCTCACAGACTAGGATCTCACTAAATCAACTCATAACTTGGGGCCAAGACAAATTACCAGAATGGTATGTATATTTCATCTTGGTAATAATCATGACTCATGAATCCTGATAATGGCTGATAGGGACATGGCAGTTCATCTCTGCTCGTCTTGTTGCCAACATGAACACACCTTATGATTTCCAGGATGAATGGAGTCAATGTTCTATGTGATCCTATGGATCATGTTCATATTCACGGTGTTTTGTATCAGTGATGCCCAACAATTGCACTTATTGCACACAACCCTGGACCCTGAGCAAGTCCAGGATTCAGAAGGTTTGAGGAAGGCAAACTTCCTGCAATTGAAGTCTTCCATTACATCTACAACCCCCCTCTTTGAGGGCTACCCAGCTCTTTATGCTCTTGTGCAGCAATTGCAGAGGACATTCTCAGCAAGGTATATCTCCTCGATGACAGAAGCTGAAGAAAATGTCAGACTGGCAAAGCTTCATTAGGATGACCTATAGTTCAGATGGCATTGCAGGACAATTTGGTCACAATAACACTAGAGGGTTTGAGGCTATCAAAACACACAAAGGTGTTCTTAATATCTTCAACACTTACCTTCATTAGAAGGAAGCATGGCTTAATGCTGATTCTCCTGAGCTGTAGCCAACCCTTATGGAGGACCACAAGGAACTTAAGCAATTTTACATGTCACAGACTAATTGGTGGCTTTGGTCTGACTTATGTCCTGTCAGCAAGAGGAAGTGTTTTGAAGATAAATGATATGCTGATCTTTTGCAGGTTACAACTGCCTGAGATTTGTTGTTGCTTGGATTATTTACATTTTTTGCTGTGCCATGTATCCTTTACTCTTGTGTTTCATTACCATCTCATGTATTACTTTCCTAATGTTGCTCCATGAAATCTTATGTGTTATCACACCAATTCACATGTGAAATGTATCCACCTGCTATGCAATACCCAATGATTTAATCTTGCTATATGATATCCAATGACTCAATATGAGTGTCATTCAGAGTCGCTTCCTAAAAATTCAGTAAGCGCTCTAACACAGCCCAATGCACGGCATCCATACGGCAATTTTCATGTGGAGTTTGAAGTACCCATGCCTGCCCTTCACCCTCATGTACGGCGGTCTGAACAACTGCAAAGGCTAACTACCACCCCCATATCACCCATGAGCGACCCACAGAGGACCACACAAGGCAGAACAAGAGGCCAAATGAGAGGAACGAGAGGGACTAGGGGAGGAACAAGAGGAGGAAGTACTGATTCAGCCAATGTCACAAATACTGCCCCTGTCAATATTCCTCCTGCCTCTGCTAGCGCTACTGAGGCTGGCCCAACTACTACTTCTATGTGCAGCAATGCTTTGTGGCAACTGAAGTGATTGTGAAAGTGAAGTAAGGATACATGATGTTGCTATGGTAAAGACTAAAGATTTGGCTCAGCAAACTTTCTAAACGAGTCTTCTGTCCAGGAGATGAGAGTGTTGGTGTTTTGGGTGCAAGCCCGAGGCAAAGGTCAGAACCTAGGTGTCAAGGGAAGCTGTGCTCCCAAATAATAGGAGTGTAGCAACGTGTATAGCAAAGCTTGATGCCCAAAATTTTAGGAGTGAAACTCACTTGTTTTCAGCACATAGGCGGCTGTGTGTAACATGTGAACGGTTCAAGGGCCGGGGATGCCTGGATGTAAGGTGCGAGAATTAATGCGTGTTCTCTGAGGTACAGTGTGAAGGCGTCACTGGACCATCTGCCTATCGACTTTACGACATCAAAGGATCCCACACAGGAGATACTCTAAGGTGCCTCCAATGCATAATCCGTATCCTTTGAGGTCTGGGAGCTTCGCTGCTGCTGCTATTGTGGAGACCCGTTTGACGAGAGCTGTCTTTGACAAGGGTCGTATACCCTTTGAGTGTTTCCACGCGAATAGGTGTGTGTCGTTGCTTGCTGGATTGATGCGGAAATGGTTTGCTAAAGCTGCTTTAGGGTCTGATGGACCAGTTTGAGCAGCCCAGTAGGTGTCTTCATCTGTGACTGGAGAGGTTTTTGTGCTGGGGATGTGGAACTTGGTTACTGGGTGACCATGGCGGTCCGAATAATCTGAGACTCCAGCTCTCGAGATATGCTTTCTTTGGTCGAAATCTTTGATGAACTTAACGGTGAATTCACCTAATCTCACTATGCAGTAGAACATGGTTGTTAAACACGCGAAGACTGCAGCGTCTAATGGTTCATTAAGGTTCAAATGATCGCGGATGGTGGATAGGAATTCTGGGGTGAATGGTAAGCATTTTGGTTGTTTGGACGACTCTGGCACTACTGCTCTCGCTCCGTCTAGCAAGGATTTGAGCTCGCTAGGAGAAATTAACCATAACCTTCCATGTAACAGGTGCCAGGCTCTGATAGCCACTGCATAGTTGGCGAGAGTAGAGCCTGAATATGAGCCTGCACAACTGGACAAAAAGGTAAGGAGGAGCGCAGGGTTGACTGGGCACCACTGGTCCTCTGCAATGTTATTTGTATCACAAAAGACATGAAAAACTAAAAGTCCAGCCCCATAGGTCTCTTTTGTTGATTGCACCCAAGACACTCCCATGACATTGAGTATACAGTCCAGTTGTGCATCTGTGATCTCATTGTTCTGAGATGCTTCTGGTGCTGCTGCGAATTGTTGTTGTCTTGGGCTTGGTCCTGCTGGTACCCACATCCGCAGTCTGTGTCTTGCGAGGCAGTGCGGTCGGAGGAGCGAGGGATGGGGGGGGTGAGGTCTTGCATAGCGCTTCCTCCATTTATAAATCGCTGTGAGGTACTTGTCAACTTTTGCGGAACTTAAGGATACAGATCTCTGGCTGATGCTCCACACGAAACCGATGTAAATAGTGGCAGCTTGGAAAGGTTGATCCTTCAGGGGTTCCCATATTATACCTAGATCATCTGATAGCAGATGTATGTCCTACATGCAGAAGGTGAATAATTGATCATGGGCCAACCTCGAAGAGTTACCTGATAGGTCTACTATCGGTTGCGAACAGTCTTCGCTATATCCTTCTAACTGCCCGGTTACCGGCGATATGCCCCCCGAACCACAAACGGCTGCCTGACTGGCGCATGCCCTCTTTGGTGAAGGTGTTGTACCATTCCTTTCTGAACTCATTGTATTCTTCCAGGTGCTTGCACAGTATCCTAAGGAAGATGTGGTCGTTGACCCATTTATCCAAGGGTCCTATGCCTCGGTGGCGAAAAAAGCTTGGCTCCCGCATCTGCTACGTGGCTGTATACTCCCGCTGATGGTGTTGCACTGAAAGCGGTGCATGTGTCAACATAAAACTGAGATTCGGAAGTACGTACTACCCTGGCAGGCCACTGTGAATGGTGTAGTGGTACGGTTCGGTAAGCTTCTGCAACGTCTTGGGTGGCTGCTTCCAAACCAGGTGGGAGGTTCGCTATTAGTTGGTAGATCGACGAGAACTTTCCCCAAGTTGTGGGAAAGCTGTCTGCTTCAATGTAGGAATTGATTGAGGGGTTTGGACCAAATGAAAAAAAAAAAAAAAAAAAAAAAACATATTTAAGGGCACAGTCAATCTAGAATATGTAGCTTACATTACTGTATTACTGTACACAGTCTTGGAGTGTCTGATATCATACAGATAAAATTGTTAATGAATTTCAGTTCTTTCCATTTATTCATTGCATCCTTTCCTCTTGTCTAAATGTGACATCAATTGCAATTACTATTGACACTGGCTCACATGGAAAGAAGATAGTTTATTTTCAGACTCCAAGTACTGTGAGTCTTCTTCAGGATTATGCTTTTGTGAAGCAGCTATTCTGCTGTGGGAGAGAGTTGAAACAGAGTAGGGAAGATTGTCAATGAGTAATAAGGATAACCGGTATACTGGTGTACAGGAATACTGAAAGGAGATGAACAATAGTTAGAGTTATATGAACAGGACATGAAATAAGAATCAGATCGGATCTGTGGACCAGATGATGGATATGTCCATTGGATCTGGATCGGATCTGAGATCTGGATCTTCGTATCTGTACCCGGGTATATGGTATATGACATTTCATTGCAGACATTATAAATTACAAAGAAGAGGAAACCTGTGATAAAGGTTATAGACAAGTAGTGCCATTTGTGAATGTCAGCTTTTTTCTTCTACTATGAGGTTTCACAATTAAAATTCAATATTCAATATTGAACCTCATGTAACACTGCATTGTGAACCAACTTACTATGAGATTTGGGCATTATTATATTCTAACTATAGTTTTAAAGGTTTGTAGACTAATTCATACTTGACACTTCATCATTGTGTTCCACCCCAGCCTAATGTAGTTTTTCCTCATGCCACTATAGATGATTGTTCATATTGATCACATGTAAATACATACAATAGTGTACTTATTAAATTAAATTAAAATGGTAATTTTCATGCTGAATAATGAGGTGGGACATTCTGTACTATCTTTCACATGATTGTTGTAACCTTTATGTATTTTACTAACATAGTGCATTTGTTTGTGTTTGGTCATAGTTTATTTTCTGTTCATTCTCTGTTTTTCTTTTTGTTCAATTTATCCTAACTATCTAATATGCTCTTTCATACCATAGAAGCTGCCTCTTGTTTCTCCAGAGTTACACCATCTATTCCAACTACCTAGTGCATATATTCCTGTCATAAAAGCCATGTATTATATACTTAAGAGTTATGCTAGTTAGAGCAGCCCTCCTCTTCCCTTACTAGTAAAGAGTTCCCTAAGCTATACAGCCTGAGAGGAGTCACTGTTAGGACCAGATGCACCTTTGTGCCACCTCTTCAAGTTCTAATGTCCCTCATCTGTAGTTTAAACTGTCTACTATATAACTTAAGAGATAAGGTAGCACTTCATATGCCCTTTATAGAGCAGAGTATTAGGCCATAAGACCTAGGTAGAATTGTCATTTGGGCTGCTATCTTATTTTAAGGGATTTCTCCTCTTATCTTCAGTTCCAACAAAAGTAAAGACATGATAGAAATGTAGGCCTCATCTTCTTTATATGGTGGATCTGCGAGGCAGCCATTATGTTCTTACCAATAACCTGATTAAGCCAAAATCAAATTTTAATACTAATGACAGATGTGACAATAGACAAGAAAGCAGCCTATTAGTAGCTCAAGCAATGAGATGACATCATGTCTCTAATCATCTTTATATTTCGCCTTACATGTGGAGTTTCTTCTCATGGTTTCCAGATTCATTCTATGTGATTTGACCACTGCCCAATTACTAATAAATCCTATTCTATATCTAATACTGAGGTTCTGTGTCAAATGACTTCAATTGATTTTCTAGTGTTTCTGTAGGCCAGAAATCCACCTACCACTGACTATGATGAGAACACCATGAATGAGGGCCTATTCCAGGACTATTTCCTCAAGTGTGTGAGTGTTTTAATTGACTATATGCATTTTATTGCACTAACATTTTGAATTACTAGATAATGTGTCATATTTTTACAGGTACTTCTACTGTATTAGGTGATAACTTGTATGCTACACATTCATGCAATGCGATATGACTACTGTTGAAGCGGAGCATATAGCACATGCTTGTATTCAGGTGAGTTTTATTTTTATTGACATACTTAACACAACTGACTTATAGGTTTCATGTACTACTACTGCTACTAGGCACACCTTGGCATTAGCAAGAAGAACAAATGGACTGAAGCAGACAGAAAATTCAACAACCAAGCCTTCTACTACAACATTATCAACTTCATTCATGAGTGTGAGGATAGAGATTGGGCAGAGGGACTTCTCAAATGGTAGAACAGATATGTTTTTCTTCTCTAGCAATTTACCTGACCAACTTAATCCTTGAGGACATTGTTCAAGAACAAGAACAGACACAAAGGCAGAGCATCCATAAATGATAACAATGGATCCAGAAAGTCAACTGGCTTCTCCTCAGCTCCAGTTGCTAAAATGTGAGCCCAGATGGCTGCTGGTGCTAGTGTCACTAAATGACCTGCAGCACCCAAATCCACAGCACCTGAGCCTACTCCTACTATCCAAACACTACCTCAAAGTTCTGTCACACTGGAACTGAAGCTTCAAGGGCCCAAGCCTGCTGAAGTCACCTGTATCCAGTAAACTGACACCAGATGAGGTTTTATCAAATAACGATGAAGATTTACTTGAGTCAGAAGATGTAGAACCATTTACAGAACATACACACTATCCTGAGTGTGGGAAGTGTTGTTATAATGAAGCAAGGTTTATAGAAAGTGGTGGCAAAATTTGGGTTCCATGCAAACAATTCTCAAGCATTTTTCATTAAACCACAGATCCGTGCCCTATATATATTGTTATTCAAACAGTGCAAATGCTATGTGATATTGTGAATATTAAACTCAAGAGAAGGAATAATACTATTCCACTGGCTGAATAGATTTGAATGGTTTGAAAAATGTCTATAAATATATATATATATATATGCAGGGTATTAACATCCTCAACAGTATCACAGATTTTAATGTAAGACCTTTTGTAATAGAAATCAACTATGTAGACAGAATACATTGAGATATACTTATCATTTAATGAGTATAAAATATACTCAAATAACATCATCAACCTTAACTTTCACCAATTAATATTGATCTAAAAGACTTCTAGCTCTAGGAAGAATATTGAATGTTTAACTCATTCAGCAAGTCCCAGAAGCCTTCAAGACTCTTAGAACAGAAGGTACACCAGTGCTAGAAATTTATACAATCTCACAATACTGCAACAGAGGAATAATTATTTAAATCCTTTGAGTATGAGGTATTATGCTCTGATTTTCAACTTCATAACAGTGAAATCTTGTTTCTGTTGCTATTCAGTGATACTAGCACATCAACTTTCTGTAGCCAATTTTCATTTTTTATAACTCAAAGTTTATATTAACTATAATATTACAATGCAATCCCACAGTGTCCTTAATAAATGGTTGTGCCATGTCTATCTGTTAATCAGTATATTGGGCTGGACTATTATGCTTATGAGGTTGCACAGTTGCAGCTGCACACCACCTTAATTCAAGTACATTTGCATTAAGATAGCATACTCAGAACCAATGGTGGCTATGACTTTGCTATGTACTAACAATGTTGTATTGACTGTTAAATGCAACACCCTGCATTTCCAGTCATCTTTTGCTTCATATTTGCTCCTGGCTTTACAGAGCAAGTCCTTATAAAATGTTGTCCCATCCACCATGCCTTTGACAACATACTGGGTCAATCATATAAGTTTGATTGCCACCCTAATGCATTGTTACTGGTGCTACTTGAAGACTTGAAGTTGAGGTTAACCTCCAGATCTCAAAGTTCACATGATTGATATAAAGATACAACCTTGAGGAGACTTTTTGCCAATCCAATGCCTAAGCTGTGGATGGACTAATTCTTGATGTTTAGCCTATGTCAGAGACAGCCCATACAAGGTTTACATTTTTGAGTGTAAGAATCCTACCTGTAACCAGAGTTTCAGCTTCAGTTAGCCTAAAGGTGCCACCATGCTATCATCAGGTAGGAGCTAGGGTGTTCATGGATAGATATACCTTTCAAATCCTTGTTGACTTGATTATAAAACTTTGTTAGATAGACTTAGTGAATTTTGGTGAATTTGTGTACAACTTGTAAACACATGTCACATGACTATGTTTGTCATATAATCTAATGTTGAGTTTTTAGCACAATCAACTCTCACCTAACTATACGTTTTGCAAACTTGCATCAGCCTGTATCTTTGCCATTTTGTGATATAATGGCCAGCTGGACTCTTGTTTTAATGATGTGTTGAATGAACACAAGGATTCCTTTGTGGCAGCTAAATGAGATTCTACCATCAGGGCTTGCATCCTCAATATAATTAAAGATGTAATATATGTAGTAGTGAAGTAGCCAAAGACCCTTATGTTATGCTTCCTAAGAAAAATCTTTGAAAGGTGAGCCTTCATAATTGAATTGTATAGTAATCTAATTAATACAAGCTGTCCATACATATTATTTGGACTTTCTGGAGAATGTCAAGAATCACAAGGCAGAGAAAGAAATTATTGAGGGGGGAGTATAAAAATAGATCTGCTTCAGATGCTGTGACTGTAGAGATGATAAAGGACAAATTTGCAAAATATGACAAGCAGCACTGTGATACCTCCAACCTTAAGTCTATAAGTCAAAGGAAAAAAATTGGCCAGGGCATGGCACCAGGTTATGTCCCATAAGGTGAAACAGGAGCTTTAGCAAGTGGCAGGAAAATGGAACTGAGAAGGACCTCCTGCAGATACCAAGGACAGGTATATTTTTCCTAACATTCTATTAACACATATGTTACATAACTCAATAATATATTAACAAATACTGCACTTGTAACCAAAAAAGTGATGGAGGACTTTACGGACATGGTTTGGAGAACTGTAGGATTGCATGTCATCATCCTTACAACCAATGATCAAGGTGAAAGAAAGGCTCCTGGAACTACTATGTAAGTGTTTCTAATGCTTCATATTGTTAATAATGACAAACTTGTTTCTAAAGCTAGGAGACTTTGCCTCAAAGGTGAAAAAAATCTTTTACTCAGGTGACCAAAGATAATAAGAAATGGGCCAAATATGCTCAACATCATCTTGCCAACTGACTCCTAGATTGTGCTAGTAATGATACAACAATTGTATGTTTTGTTAGGTATAGGCAAGCTGATTTCTATAATACATGATCCAAGAAGAGAGGTGCAAGAGCTAAATCAAGGAAGAAGCCTGACTATGTCAATGTCTCTTCAGATGAGGAAAAATGCCTGAAGAAGGTTGATGATGGTAAATGCTCTTCAGATAAAGATGGAGTCCAGGTGGAGACTCTGCCCATTGCTGATTCTAGCTCCAAATACCATCTTGTAAGAGACATGGTTGCTTATCTCAAGTCTCTCTCTACTGTTTCTTTATATCAATGCCTTCTTACTGCAATTCAAAAGCTTCTAGTATATCAGATTTTATAACCTTCTAATTTGTATTGATTTGGTCATTTTTAAAGTAAAGAACAGATCCAAAGGCAACAAAACAGCAACTCCCTGTCTGGGCTTCTTGGACATAGTCTCAGGCATATCTGCCTCAAGACATCCATGAAAATGTAGAAACCACTTTAGCTGCACTGGAGTATTTGAGAAACTACCAGTTCAATTCATTGCATTTTCATTATATCAATCAAATCAAGAAGTAGTAGCAATATTTGGAGCTTACTTCCAAGTATTTTACTAAGATCAACATTGGGAAAGGTACTATTTCCAAAATCTAGCAGCTTTGTAGAGTCATATCTACTACAGATCTGATATATAAGACTTTCCTGCCAGTATGATTTTTAACCACTTCTCTCAATTTTAGGGAAAGAGAAGAGAATAGGAAAGAGTAAAAATCTTGAACATCATTGAAAGGATAGCACAGCTAGAAATATCTGAGCCATGGCTAAAGGTATCTAAAATAGAATATGTATGAATGTGATATAGCTAAAGATTTAAAGTAGCTCAAATGGATTAAAAGACAAGGTAGAAGAAACTAAATAAGTGAAAATAGGATAGATAACCATCTGTTTGATAAATCTATGAGTTATAGGTGTGTTAAGCATGAAAGGATATAGATTAACAAGTAGCAGGCACTGAAATTGAGAGATGGCCTGGCACATGATATAGTAACCTTAAGAAGATACACTACAGTTTCTAAAGGTATATTTAATATTGCTCTTGGTACTTTGTTCATATGATTTCTCTGTGGAATAATCTGATGAATTTAAAAGCCTATTCAGTCACATTTTCAACATTTTCTCCATGTTAAATGGATACCCAAGGTTAATATTCTTCCATGAGACATGGACCCAGATGAATATATATGCCAATAGGAATAGGTGAACCCATGATGTTTGTGATGTCTGGATATTAATGACATGACCCATGTGTGTTGACTGACAGTTTAATAATTGAATGTTGAGCCCAAGGGGTATATAATGATGAAATAATGCTAATGGTTGGGCCAGAAGGTGCAAGCAAGTCAGATGGTATCCGATGAGCCTATGTGGTGGTGTGGAATATTGATGACTGGGCCCAAATGGTAATATAGGTATTCAATGACCAGGCCCAGGATGATGATGTAGAGTTTGACAGTAGGATACAGGCATAGGGTATAATTTAACAACCAGACCCAGGATGATGATGTAGAGTTTGACAGTAGGGCCCAGGCATGGGTATGATTTAATGGCTGGAACCAGAGTGATAATGTAGGGTTTAACAACTGGACCTATGGTGATGATGTAGGATTTAATAACTGGGTCCAGGCAATGATGTAGATTTTGATGGTAGGGCCTAGGCAGGGGGCATGACTTCACAACTGGACCCAGATTGGGCCAAGAGGCTTGAACAATATCCATTGCCTTCTGGCATTGTGCGAGGATTTCCTCATTTGAGAAATACCTATTGCGTGATTTTTCCACTTTAAATAATACTCATGCTGACTCCTTTCCATCAGGTGATTGCAACTAGCCATGATCTGCGGATATGAAGTCCACCACCATCAAAGAAGCCCCTTCCCCTTTGGCATATGGAGTGGTGCTGGTGTTTTTGTGCACCCATCTTGACTTCCCTTCAATCATTAGCATAGAATGTGCTTTCATCATGGAACCAGACACATAAGGGCTGCTCAGCACCACAGATTTCCTCAAGGTTTGTTCCCCAGGAACACATTTTTCCTTCCTCTGCAGCCCATCCATGAGCTTCATCCAGTGCTTTGCAGTTGAGAGGGAGATTGTTTTCTTCAACTTCAGTCGCATTTTGACTTCCTCCCTGTCCAGATACTTGTCATATACCATATATCCGGTTACAGATCCGATGATCTGGATCTCAGATCTGATCCAGATCCGATGAACATATCCGTCGTCCGGTCCACAGATCCGCTTTGATTCTTATTTCATTTCCTGTTCATATAACTCTAACTATCGTTCATCTCCCTTTCGGTATTCCTGTACACCGGTATACCGGTTATCCTTTACTTCCGCTTTGCTTACTGATCCGCTATGCTTACTGATCCATCCAACTTACCAATACGCTCCACTTAGACTTTGCTTATACTTTCGTACATAGCCTCGCACCTTTGCTTATTGATCATTCCGTTAGCTATCCGTAGTATATAAACCTTTGTATATGCGCTGTAGTAGATCAGTTCGAATATCATCTTAGATTGCACTCATTCCGTCTGGACTCTAAGTCCCTCCGTTATCCTTCCGGACTTGAGTACGCTACTCTTGTCTACTCCGAGACTTAGGATAGATTCCTATAGTCTACATATCCGCCTCTGTCTTCGGACAGTCCTCACCCGTTAGTTTCTAGTCCGGATCCGATCCGGATTGGCCGTTACTCTATACACGCAATACTTTAGCTCTCTGAAATAAGGGGCAAGACTCGGGAAAGGGGCACAGCGCACGAGCTGAGGCCGAAGCCCTTCGGATCCGATACTACTTGAGTACGGTCTTAACAATACTCCACAACATCCTGTGCTTGGACATAGGCACCAATGGATTGAAAATGTTCGTGGATCTCATTGGCAAGGTCATCAGTAAGTCGAGATATTGTCCACATGCCATATGGATTGATAGGCACATTGACACAATTGTTAATATAGGCTTTCATCACCTCACAAAGATCACGGGCCCACCAACTCGACATTCCCTTTCTGTTTGCAGTCAGTAATGATGCTGCCATCCAAGCCTCATATCCAGGAGAGGAGGAGTTTGTGTAATGCATGAGGAATGTCACCATTGATTTAAGCCGTCCTTTAGTCCAGTTGTCCAGGCCAGGGTCCTTGTAGCCTCTCCCAGTGTCCCGGCAGGGTTTCAGTATGTTCCTGAGGTCTTGAAGTGCAGTTGCGCACTTTACGACTCTAGGTGCTTTCCGAAGCTCCCATGCAAGTCCTGCGCTGCTCTGTGGGCCCTCTGGACATGTTCCAGGTGCCACATCCACCCTGATGCCTTGCTCACTCTCGATTCCATCCTCTAGAGCCTCGGCTTCAAAGATATCACTATCCTCATCAAGACTACCCTCACAATCATCCTCACAACAGTCATATTCTAGCCCACAAATGTGTTCGGCATCATTCACTGTGACTTCTGGCTCGTTTGACTCAGAGTTATGGTCACAATTGGCTGTGGTGAAGATTTTGTCAAGAGCCGGGATAGAAGGTGATAGAGGTGATTCTTGCTGTGCTATAATCTTTGCAGTGTCAAGGAATAGGTCTACAGGCTAATGTTAAGACCGTACTCAAGATCAATCAGGAGTACAAAGATAATCACTGGTCTTCAGTAGCTTAGTGGCATTTGCAGTGACACATTTTTGCATCTCCTCATGTGCCATGGCACCCTTTGGGAAGATGTTAAGACCATACTCAAGAGGTATCAGATCTGAAGGGCTTTGGCCTCAGCTCATGCACTGTGCCCCTTTCCCGAGTCCTTGCCCCTTATTTCAGAGTGCTAGAGTATCGCGTCTAGTGAGACAGATAAGTATCGTAACGGATCCGTTAAGGCTTCCGGATATCAAACGTATAGAGTAACGGCTAATCCGGATCCAATCCGAACTAGAAACTAACGGGCGAGGACTGTCCGAAGACAGAGGCAAAGATACAGACTATAGGAATCAATCCTAAGTCTCGGAGTAGATGAGAGTATCGTACTCAAGTCCGGACGGATAACGGAGGGACTTAGAGTCCAGACGGAATGAGTGCAATCTAAGATGATATTCGAACTGATCTACTACAGCGCATGTACAAGGGTTTATATACTATGGATAACTAATGGAATGATCAATAAGCAAAGGCACGAGGCTATATATGAAGTATAAGCAAAGTATGTGCACAGCGTATTGGTAAGTCGGACGGATCACGAATCATGAACCAGGAATGAAGTATAAGTTAAAGCGGATCAGTAAGTGTAGCGGATCAGTAAGCATAGTGGAAGTAAAGGATAACCGGAATACCAGTGTACAGGAATACTGAAAGGAGATGAGCAATAGTTAGAGTTATATGAACAGGACACGAAATAAGAATCAGATCAGATCTGTGGACCAGACGACGGATATGTCCATCGGATCTGGATCGGATCTGAGATCCGGATCTTCGGATCTGTACCCAGATATATGGTATATGACAGAAGATGCCATTGGATGTTTTCACGATGGATGCAATAACTTTCTTCAACTCCATGTGGAATGTAAATAAATCATCACAAAGCTGATGGGGAAATTATAAGCTCATTGTTCATCCATTAACAAATTCTTACCAGTCATGCCATTTGTGCCTGGTACTGTGGAAAATAATCTAAAAATGAGATGAGGTTTGTGAAGGGGTTAGGCCATGTGAGGAATCTATTTACCATTATCCAATTTGATCTTGTTCTCATGGTATATCTACAATTCAGCATTGATGACTTCTTAGGCAAGTTGTAGTGTATCTTGATGCTCTGGAACAGGATGCATTAGAACAGCCTGTAGATGCATCTCTAACTTTGCAGCCTGTACAAATGTTTGCCAAGAAGGTGGGTAGAAGCTGAGCCATGCAGGGTCCTCTTGAGTTGTCAGGTGTAGCACTACAATGACTGATAAGTGAGCTTTGATAAAGAGTGTCCTTGAGAGGAGAACCTGGAAGAGGTGCTTGGCTGAGATGGAGAGTACTAATGAGGAGACTGCATGTGGGGGAGAGGATACTTAGATGTGTATCTGTGAGGTGATGTGGGATGGCAGTGTGACAATCATACTGGCACTAGGCATGTATACCTGCATAAGCCTCGATTAGGTGGACCAAAATCATCCCTCATATTATTCACTATTCCTCTATCAGCAGTCTTCACTCATCTCAGCCATAACCCTTATCTGACACTAGTCTGCACTTTCCCATGCTATGCACACACATCTCCACATTACTATTCATGTTCCCACACCTTATCCTGCACTATTCCCATGCTTCGAGCACTATTAGAACAACCAGCAACATGTTTAGGTGCTGCAGCACATGTCCACTCCATCTAGCGCTTTTCCACGCTTAGTGCATATCTAGTGTTGTCTTAATGTTGTATGTTATTGTATGGTGGTCTATCGTGTTTCTTATCCTTGACTCGACTTGGTTGTTGTGATGTGTGGTGTGGCATTTCTTATCCTTATCCTTGTCTGGGGTGAAGGGTGGGTGAAGGTCAAAACCTCATTTCAACTTTGCTTGACTTTGCTTGATTTTGCTTGATCTGATGCTTGGGCTGAGAGGCGAAAACCTCGTTCAGGGATTGCTTGACCTTGCTTGATTTTTGCTTATTTTTTTGTTATCGTGTCACTTTATTTTGCTTGCACTGCACTTTGAGGTGAAATTTCAAAACGAGCACAACCTACAGGAGGGGGTGTGGCACCGTCATCCCTTCTTGATCTGTTCCTCTTCCACCATAAAAACCCTGCAGTGTTGCGGCTCTACCTAATGTGTCTGGAGCAAAACAAATGTGACCTGTCAGAAGTGGAAGAGGGAATGAGTCTGGGCCTGGAAGATGGGAATCCTGTAACTAAACCTCATGCATGTGAGCCACTGGGAATGACTATCATAGAGTCAGAATCAGAGGCACTCACCAGCCTGAGAATGTTGCAGCAGCCTCCAGAATGGTAGTTCAGCGAAAGAGGAAGAAATAGACGATGATCTAGATGCATACATTCAATTACATTGAGCTAATTAGGAAGACAGTTACCATAGTGGCATGAATCAACAAGGCCTCAGGCTGTTGCACTTGATGAATAAACCTCACTCGCAGTGAAAAGAAGGTACCTACCAGTTTACCGGAGTATTGAAATTGATCAAAAGGTTTGAAACCATGAGCACTCTCGGATCCATAGAACACTGCAGAGCAAGCTCACCAATGTGTCATAGCTCATCATTTGTGTTGAGGCCGCTATGTGGATTGTGTGCAGTATTAGCCACTAGCATCCATTTACGACATTGCAGTGAGAGACAAGGATGGGCTGCACCAAGTAGGGCAGAGGGTTCTAACTTACATAAATTTCAGCCAAGTTCAAAAGTTTATTGTCACATTTGTGAAGTCCAGAAGTTATTGTAAGGGTTTGTTTGATGAATACGAAGGATTCAGCGTAGATCAGGATAATTGTCTGATTACTTTGCATTTCCCAATAATAATAGTTGCCATTATTTGGCCTCAAAGTCCAGTGTGGATCTGATACATGGGCGAAGGCAAAACCTCGTTGGGACTGGGCTTGACTTTGGTTGGTTCTTGCTGTTTTTTTGCTATTGTGTTGCTTGATCTGATGCCTAGGTAAAGGTCGAAACCTCGTTCAGACTCGGGTTCATTTTGCGTGATTTTTGCTATTTGATGGCTCTGGTGTCACTTGATTTATTGCTGTCGTATTTCTTGACTTGCTGTGGTATGGCATCATAGCATATCATATTCCTTATCCTTGTCTATCGCATCGCTCGTCTTCCTAACCTATATTCCTGAGAACCGAGACACTGAGCGGATACATTTTTATCCGAGACAACGAGCAAGCTAACGGGTGGGGGGGCTGGGGGTGATCCGACATGGATTGCCCTGCATATCCTTATCCTTGACTGTCGTATTGTTATCGTATTGTGGGGGACGGTGGTACTGGCGTGATCTATTAATTGATCCTCATATCATGATGAATGTGGTTACCTGCCAGTGGATGCCTTCTGAATTTGTTTTTCCATCAAACTGCAGTCATATGGATGTCACTGATCTGTTTGGTTGTTGTCTCCTTTCCATGCCTCATATGCGTGACTACGTGATATGAATGATTTAATTCATTTGTTACTCGCAGCTCCAAATGTAGCTGGTTGATGCAGTGATGTAATTTGAAACTGTTATCAGTCTCGACAAATCCCTCAATATCTACTACGATGGTGATGAAGAAGACATGACTAGTGAGGCCATCATGGAGCCGCACTGCAATATCGTGCAGAGCATGATAGACCTCATTAAGGCACAGAAAGAGCAGGTGAAGTCCATTCATTGTCCATCTGAGAAACCCAAATCTTCAAGATGTTCAGTACCTCATAGAGCTGGTCCATCACCACCCAGACTGGTTCCTTGACGATGATGTTGTACTCCTACTGGGAACCCGCTGTCTTGTCCACCATACCCCATCCACTGCAAGCTCTGCAGTGTAGGAATCTAAGAACTTAATAAGATTGACAAAGAATGAAACAAAGATCTCTGTGCTGACTGCACATGGTGGATAGCTGAATACATGTGCAATAAATGCTGTACGATTGGGGAGACATTGGTAGATTAACGTGCCTGATTCCGGAGATATGGCGGTGCAAAGGAAAGCCAATCTGTGAGCGCAAGAGGTGTATTGGTGCTAGGACGGCGGCTGACAGCCGTTGCAGCCTTGTCCATTGATGGAATCATTGCAGGTCATGTTATAGAGTGATCCTTGCATCTGAAGGGTTACTCACACGTTCTAGAACATTGAGTCGTGAGATTCTACACTCATACTACAGGATGGTTTTCTCATTCCTTCAATTTAGCATCCTCAGTGCGAGGCATATCCTGGCAAACATGGTGTTCTTGTCATGGATAATTCTCGAATCCGTGGGCTTGCAGAGCGATTTGGGCATTATTCCCATAGGTGAGCAAATCATATTTCTCCCGCCATACTCACCTGAGTTGAATCCCATAGAGGATCCCTTCCCAGGGATTAAATCGTGGATTGGACGCATCACGCTAGGACATCCAGGCTTCTTATGGCAAACCCATTGGTTACAGAGATCTTGTATGGTTTGGTAGAGGGGCTTGTCATGATCATTGATGTGGCTAGCTTTTGGTGCCTAGTAGTAGTGCACCAATGTAAGCTCCATACTTTCTCACAGTTGGGTGAGTGACAATAGTCATATAAATTACTGTAGTGCATGTTATCCCACATTGACAAGGAAATAAGAAAATAGCACTTAAAGAGAGATGTGGGAATGGCACAATGGAGGGAGATGGCCACCATCATTGATGGTGAATGCCCATACAGACGAGAAGCCACCCAACATAGTCCAAGGGCTGCATGGATGCTAAGAGTGGAACAAGGAAGAGGAAGGTGGCCACCATCATTGATGGTAAATGCCCATAGGGTTAGTGGACGAATTGAATTGTAACTCTTGTGGTCTTTAATGCAAATTGGTGAGTAATATGTCGTCTGCATACTTTGTATGGACTTTGTTGTGCAAACATCTCATTTCTGTTTCTCTTTCACAGCATAGATGTCTGTGTCAAATGTCCATGTGTGCTATTGATGGAGGAGGATGCGAGCATCTGCGTTTCATACATTGGCCTCAATTGCGGCACCATCACCATCCTCTTCCACTGCTGCGACACTGGTTGTGGAGGTGGTGAGTCCTCATAAGTTCTGATTTCTTTTTCCTACCATAGCTGTACTAATATCCTATACATAGAGATATAGATGCGGCCTCTAATATAAGCTCCGCTCATCCAATTAGTACAACATCAGATGTCATTTGCAATGAGGGTGAGTGTTGTACTACGTGTCGATTGGTTTTATTTCACCTCTAGATTCCGCACGCCACCCTCTCCTGTCCACATCCTCAACATCTGACCACCATCATAATTACTTATAACACATTGATCACTGTGGCACCATATGATCCCACCTTGCGAGCCCTCTGTCATATGTCTGCCTTTGCAGTGGTGTACTTCGGCATATGACAAGTGTGTATTAAATAACCATACTGAAATGATAACGACGTGTCCCAGGCTTTCAAGACATGTCTCACTCCTTTCTCTCAGTGGCCATTTGCCACATCCACCCCATACATAACCTGCCTTTCTCTGCAGTGTATGGAGCATCACACACAATATAGTCATGAGTCCATATGAGATTTCACAATGCACATACAGGCAAGAAACCACCAGCACGATACCTAGGTATCGCTATAAGTGTTTATGTAAGGCTAGACAGTGTCGGTTGTTACATAATAGACTCACTTTTCCAAAAAAAAGAAACCACCAGTCATCCAAGGCTTGTATGTATTGTAAAAGTGGGACGAGGAAGAGGAAGATGGCCACTATCATCGACAGTGAATGCCCATAGAGGCGAGAAACCACCAGTCAACCAAGTAGAATGAAAGATGCTACCAGCATGGCCCATGGACAGGAAGATGGCCACTATCATCGAAAGTGAACACCCATAGAGGCGAGAAACCATCTCCCACAGTCCAAGGGTTTCATGCATGGTAGGAGTGGAACAAGGAATAGGAAAGTGGCCACCATCATTGGCAGTATATGAACCTCACATCACGTGACATTCTCACGCCACAACAATAACAATTGGAGTTTCATTAGCTGCGGAAGTGAGCAACTGGTTAGGGTATGAAAAGACGATGTAAACAGTATCTGAACATATGTAGCAAATGACATTTATTTCAAAGTGTTAGATATGAAAGGCTGCGCTGGACAAAAATACGAACATTGATTTTCACCAAACCTGTGAGAAAGATGCCAAGTTTCAAGTTCTTCTAACAGAAAAGTGAAATGCGAAGAACCAAAAGCAAACCAAAAAACAACAAAATTAATTGAATTTGCATTAAAACTTTGCTGACTAAGTGCATCATGTTTTTCCTTCTACTAAGTGCTGGGTTCTGCATACAGCTTTCTCCCAGTACTGGTACTAAATGATCAAACGATCACCTCCCAGGCCGCTCAGCACTCTCCAAAGGTAGCTGAATTTGCTCTAGGACTTTAGGTTCATCCATGCTCACTGACAACAGCCCGAGTCGGTGTACACATTCAGCAACTCTGTTTACAGTCATCCATTTCCCAATGCAGCCAAATTCAAACAAGGGACTTTGAAATCAGAAATTTGACAACTGATTTGTTTGTTTTGCAAAATTGTTTCCATGTGTTCGAATTTTTGGTCCAGTGCGGCCCTTCATAGTTAGAATCTGGCTGCCCTAACGTTTTCTCCCACTATTACTCTCCAACTCGAGATTGTGGTGATGGTTTATCAGATGGCAGCATCTAAGACAACACGATCAAGGTGACCTATCATAACGATAGCATGTCTGATTAACATCAATAACGTCGCAATTTGCGAGCTAGATTACCTTCTGGATACAACCTAGGTACACTGATACCATTCAGAGATTGTAGGATGGATCAAGTGCTGTATGTGGTCTGTGCGTTGTTCTTGTCTAATTTATATGCCAAGAAAAATCCCCGATGTAAGTTATCTAAGTGTATAGTGTTTTTTTCTGCTTACTCACTCATCGTAGATAAATAATCAAGCCATCCTTGGTCACAAATGGGGATTTACTGCGATAGAACGAGGTTGGCTTGGATTAGTATCAGATGTCACTGTGCGGTTGGGATATCACTTTTGGCGGTATCAACGTGGTTGTCTTTGAGGCGGATCTTGCCTCCTTCCTGATAAAGGTATGTCAATTATGTTGATATCATCCCTGTGTTTGGGTAAGTTCAGGCATCCGCTGTCAGCACTTGCTGTAGCCTTCAAATACACAGCATTTAATGCGAAAAAGTGATGACTTCACTGCAGATGTTGCTGTGGGAAATCTGGTGCTTCCGATACAGCGCAAGAACTCCATTCTGCGAAATAGGTTTGTTGTTGTTCAGAATCGTAGGTTTGGAAGCCATGACTCTAGGTTTCTTGAGTATCTTTGTTCCATTATCGTCTGACCCAAGTCCATCACCACTACAATCTCCTACTGTACTCTCGACACTATGTATTTGATGGCATCTGAAAGCATCCCAGAACGGAATTCTTCCTCTAGGACAAGCTCTGGGTGTTCACAAAGGCTGTAAATGCTAAGAGTATGATTCTGTTCTCATTTTTGGTGAGGGAACTCACCGCTTATGAGACAGGTCAAACCATCATTCCATATACCACATGTTCAAGATAGCACCTGATAGTGTCCCAATGACATCCATGCATTCTCAATATGATCATTGAGCTCGTCAATATCAGGATCGCCCCCACCACATCCAGTCATCGACTCAAAGTTCAAGATGAGTGAGAAGCCCCTCCACACCTGTTCAGAATGACTGTTGTCCTGCAAATCCCTTTGACGCAATATAAAGACCACTACTGTGAGTCCAATGAGTTATCACGATGTTTGACATTCATTTCCTACCTTCTGATTAACATATTTGACATTTGTCATAGGATTTTCCTACAGCTCACTATTGACTCCAAGGAAGGCTTGTTTCAAAGACTTATATTTCTTCTGTGGCATAACAGGTGGGTCTTTATGGACATCTTTCTGTGGTTCTTCAGTTGGTGTTAAGTTATGTGCAGCCTCAATGGGACCCCCGCCATCGGTATTCATATTATTGTGGCCATGGTCAGTGTCAGGATTACCTGCATTGTGACCATATGTTTCTGTTGGGTGAATTGGTGAAAGCTTGACCAATGACTTCTGAGCAAAGGTTCTTTGGTCTCCGGTGGAATGGCGTGCTGGTTCTCTGCATGACGGACCCATGTCGTCTTTGACTATATCTAGACTCATTCCAGTGAACAGTTTGATTATGCAACAGGAGGCATTGATTTTGCATTACATCAATAATTGTCTTGGTGAATGTGGTATAGTTCCTGGGACTACAGTCGACGAGGTTGCTGTCCAGCTGTGAACTCCTGCGGCAATGGTCTGTTTCCATTTTGCACAGCCATGTAAGTCAAACCAAAATACGCTGCTGGTTGCTGGATGGCGAGTCCATTTTTTGAGATAGATATACTGTAGACATTATGATATCCATTCATGTAGTTCATCCCTTGTCAAATTTGCACAATGTAAGTCACACAAGGACTTGAAGCTTTGATTTGTTCGACTTGCAATTACTATATTACGGCGGAAGTATGCCAGCAACATGTTTAAGGTCCATGTAAGTACTTTACGAGAGAACGGTCGTAAGGTCAAGTCAACATTGACAACAACATTTCAGAATTGACCAGGCCTCTTGGTTGTGCAGGCTTAAAACTTGCCAAAAGACTTTTGTCTATGATCTTAATCCTGTGTCTCATAGAAAATCAACATTTGATTTGTTGAAGTGATATCAAATTGCATGTATAGTAAAATGCTTAGAACAAATGGTGGAATGTACTCTAATGTGAACGTTCGGAAAAGTGAGACAACCAAGAAATGCACAATAGAACCTCTGTACTTTGGCATATTCAAATTGACACAAAAGAGTGAGTGACCGGTGATAAGGATGGTTGACTGGGTTTTTCTATGTCGGACGTTCAATCCACATGTTTGAATGAGTGTGGTGGCATCGAAATCAACCATTGACCACTCATTACTTACTCATCCACATCCATCTCCCACTTGGCACGTTGCCCTATTGTGGACAATATCTGTACATTTTACTATTGTACACAATCTGTATATCACGCTCACTGATATCTATCTGTCGCTGGGTAGTCCTTTAAAGTACATTACTTGTCTGACACTTGTATGTTTAGTCACCGATCAATGAAGTAGAGCCTCTCATCACATCACATTTTCGACAAACTATATCTTCACCACATACACCAAACCTTAGTTTGCACTCGACCTTATCATTAATTATGCCATCCACTGTTGGAAGACCTGCAGGACCATTATAACTGCAAGGTATGTACTGTCTGATGTTCAGCTCACATATTCATGCCTGTACTCACTACTGACTTCAACTAACTACAGCAGTCATTAAAGAACAATCCACTGCCTATCGCGTCGAATTCGACGTCAGAATGCACTTGTATAGTGTGTCATCTGGCATGCATGAAATCTTTCAGATCGTGATTGATCTTGACAAGAATGTTGACGACGACATTCACGAGCAAGACGTGGAGCGTGAGGCCGTCATGAAGTGGAACTATAGTGCCATGCAGAGGATGATCAAGCTAACTAAAGCGCAGAAGCTTGGGGGCCACGAAGGTGATGGATGAATGCACGAAATGGGAGGATACCGACGCTGATGGGGAGTATATCGACACCCTGATGATGAAAGTGTCGGGAATTCTTGACGAAATTATTGCGACAAGTGAAGTAATCCTGGAGAGCATCAATCCAGCGGTACTCCATAGCAATGATACGGAGGTATGTGTGGGGAGAGCTGTAAAGATACAGTTGGATACTTGGTCAATCCTCACCTTGTGTATCGAGTCACAGAAGGAGGTGGATGATGCCTTGGCGCATTCAGAGTTCTGGTAGCTCTGATGTACCTTAGGATACATGGTCAAAAATGCTATGATAATTTACGTTTGACGTATAGGTTTCAAGACGTTGAATGAACATGTTGTTCACAATGAGATCGATCTTACAGTTTGTCAGCCCTCATGTCCTGTAATGGATCATTGAAGCAGGTTGATGATATCGAGATGCATGTGATCACTTGAATGTTCATCATTTCACATTCACTAACTGATGCTAATCTGCACCTCGGTAGGTTGGACGCATTTATACAACAACAGAAGCAGGCCAGCTCACACATCTTACAGTTCCAGAGGACTTCAAAACAATAATTTTGCACCTTTGGTAGGAAGGAGCCTGGCCCCGTGTATGTATTGTCACTTATAATTTCATCGACCTACATCCCCGTTCTTCTATCATTGATATAGCAATAACATTTAACGGCTCTGACGGCACCTGCCCAGCTAAAGTCCCCCTGAAAAAGGCCAACTTCCACTCACGAAGATCATAGTATCGCAGACCTCGAGAGCGATGAAGATCTCTGCCAATAACCAGTGCAGGTACTACACATCTTTCTCCACCGTTCACAGAAACTGAATTCAAGTACAAGGTAAAGGCGAGCCCTTTAAAGTTCAAACATGAAACTGAAAGCTTCCTTCTCCTGGACATTGCAATGATATATTTTGCAGCTTGGTTGACTGGGCCTGAACATCCACATGCCTATTATCTTTCATACAGAGCTTCGATGGCTTGAGCTCTGATGTGTCCATGACATTGTTGGGAGTGATTTGGAATTCAACAAAGTTGTTGACACAGAATGAAAGGTTACCTCAGACTGGTCCATCGCTCATGATACACATGCAGTACTACACAACAGAATCAAACAGTCATAAATGTCCATCTCTGACCCCACTGCAGAATGACTACATGTCCATCACCTGAAGGTCCACCATATCAGTTTCCTGCATGTGACATTCAATGCATTGGCTCATAACACATATTGATTGACAAATACTCACATTGGAAGTGAACAGCAACAGTCGCTCCTCATCTAGCATGATGCATGATATGAAGCCGAGTAAATAGACTTGACTGCTTACAACCTCCACATATGGAAAGAAAGGTAGTTACAGGATCATCAATGAAAGCGCTGGTCATTACAGGATCATAGATAACCCATCCGATTCCACACGCAACAGCAGATGGATTGAAGTCGGTGACATGTAACTGTATTGATGTACCTTGTGTATTTGAGATTGGTACAGACCACGCAAACCTCATTCCCCCAACAGCAAATAGGTGGTGAAGTCCAAGGATCCAACAACATAATTCCTCCAGGATTATAGCAATATGAGTTGGTTCTGTACCATAGGCATCGCTGGGCATAACGATGTGAGTGTTAAAAGGAAAGAAGAAATAAGGCAGATTGTGCTCCCACTCACCTAGAATTATATATGTAAGTACTTGGATGTACACCACATGTGTTAATTTTGCTGATCCAAAATCCAGCATGACGAAATAAACCTACATACACACTTCATATATTTACAAGATCCGCTTAAGTTTCACAATTGTAGGCATATCTGTCACAATATCTCAAATAAAGAGAAGACAGTAGAACTTGTATTTCTTTCTTTGGGGTAGTTACATGATGTGGTGCATCCAACAATCAGTGATGGTCCCTGCATGTCCACTGGGAATTCTACAGGAGATTTTTTTTTGCTCTAACTAACCCCATACGATCAGGATACAAGCCTAATTGAACATACCTATCTCTGGATAAACCACCGAGCTAATACTTGTAAGTACATGTTGCTTAGCCGACATTTATCATTTGCAGTCTATCATATACCTCTTTCTGTCGTGCCATTGTTCGCAGTGGGAGATGCAGAGCAATTCAGTCTCGCTCTTGCTGTGACATACGTGCGCCATTGCTTTTCGGTCCTTACATCTACCCAATGTTGTAACTTGAGCTGTAGAATAACTGGTGCACAGGAAAAGTACATGTCAATGTAAATAGACTACTGGTGTCAGTTATGGTATAGAATGCATCAGTCCTGCACCTATGCTGTTATTACATTCAAATATCAACCTGGAAGAAACATTGCTGTCACATCCAAATCATCGTCTACAATCAACATTTGCAGCATGTAAGATGTATTGAAGAGACTTCTACATTTTCAATCATGAAGTGCATGAAATCTGGAATGTCCAGTATTTGCAATGTTGGCTGTAATGAAACGCAATGGTGAACTACCATAGTCTATCAGCAAATTGTGCATGATGTACACTACAACATTCTACTTATATCACCAGTCCAATGAATCCGTTAAAACCTCCTCTACTGCCTGAAGTGTCTTCTGACACAAATTGATAACTGCCATAACAGATGACTCTCTCTGCACCACTCTATCTTTTGCCCATTTGTCCTCTGCCTTTGGTTGTAACGCAGGATGATGAGCCTTGAGAATGGTGGCAATATGCACCATGATGTTACTTGCCCTGTCTGCAATGTGATTAATCTGTTGGCAGACATACACCTTTCTCTCCCCTTTAGAATCGTTGTCACCCCATGCATCGCACTCCTCGATTACTGTGTGTGCCTCGATCCGGAGTGCATGAGCTAGGCGAATGATACGCCAGACGGTCCTAGAGGTCCACTGTGCTTCATAGAGCGCTTTATTCAAAATGTCACATCTGTTCTTCTGCTGTTGCTGTATGGCTTTCTGGTGTAATTCACCAATGTCATCGTTATTAGTGAGGTTCCCATCACCAGAGCCGTCGGGATTAGAAAACATGTCTAACGCCTCCACAAGAATCTCATGAAGGCCATTCAATGAGATTTGCATGCAATGTCTGATGCGTATGTTGACCGCCTGTGCGATAGGATCACATTCGTCATCGATGTCCAGTACATCCAAAGATGAGCCATACTCATTGCTGATGATGGCCTCAAGGGTAGATGAAAAGGGCATTTCCACATTTACTGCTTCAGATAGCAGATGGCTGTAGTGAGGACCCAAGCGAACATAAACAGAATATGATACAATACTTACCTAGAATACATGTTTGTCTCATGGGACCATTAATCCTTCTTCCTGCACTCGCCATGATACCTGGTTAATATTGAGTGATGATTAATGGCAGTTGATTTTGGATTCAACAGAATTTGTTGATGGCAGTTGTTCCAAGTGGATTGATTAGATATTGCTAAAGTAGGAGTGGCGGGTCAATTAGGCACGTCTCATGTGATACCACTTACTTTGTCATCTACAGTTGGGCAACATGCAGAATGGTAAATTGATGTACATAATGTGAAGTTGGTGTTGTGTGGTAGCGGTCTTAACAATGATTGTAAGTTATTGATAAGCACCAGTGGGTGTTCAATTATGAACGCCCGCAATGGTAACATGAACCTCCGTTGTCCACAATGATGCAACATGCAATATGTTGATTGGATGGATGTTGTACTCGACTCTATGTAGTAACACACTTTGAAGGTTGAAATGATTATCAGTCAGTGTCATGTGACAGTCGCATTTATCTGTCGAACGCACAAATCCAAAGGACACAATATGTATAACACAACTGTGAATGTACCTACCCTATAAGCATATGTAAGTCCGATGTGTCGCAATTTTTTCTCGCTCGAACAGACACTTTTCCACCTTCGCCAACACACCTTTTCGGACCCCCAGATATTCTCTTCACATACCAATCACTATCCAGCCTGAAAATCCAACCGTTCGACATCTGTTTATGGTAGACTTGAAACAAGGTGAGCTTTTTGAAAATTCGCCAAGTCCATTACTAGTACTTAAGCACTATGCCAAAAGTACTATCAGGATTGGGGGTACCCCGCCCACCTGCAAGCTTTTACTTTTTGTTTAAAATCAAGGTGACCGGGACCTCTGGCAAGTACTGTTGTTACTTTTATGTTTGAAACAAAACAAACAAGTGCTAACACCAACGGGTGTTATGTAGACTGTTGAAATATGTCTTCAACACCCTGTCAAACAGTGACGGATAACACCAGCTCTTGAAACCGCCGGTGGACAGCAGTGCAACTGAACCCTAACAACAACGAGTCATCGGCTGGCAAAAGGCTGAGAGCGCTGTAAGGACATTACATCAAACTTTTTTCTAAATGTAGTACTTATGCTTTGTCAAGTGGTGCCCATAATGCCTGTGCATCATCAGGAGTGCAAAGTGTAAGAAAGCTGTACATCTGCTTTGACGTGTCGAAAGCACACAGCAACATGCCTTGACTTATCATGTTGCTTGCAGGCCTCAGTAAGTTCGTTATTGAAGGTGCAATTTCCAGATTCACAGCTCTAACAGGGCACGTATTCAAGTGCGTATAGCCCACGCTCATAACCAAATCAACCTCCATGCACAGTGCTGTTGAATGTGAGCACGCGAAGAGACTATTTGCAGAGACGTTTATATAGTATGTCCTGATGTTGCTACTGGAACCATAATATCTTATTGCTGTAGATACAACCGAAGGGGAGTCCTTGTAAATGTTGTAAAGCAAAGATTACAAGTTAGAATTGTCAAACATTTTGACGATTGAATATCTCATCAAGGCTAGCATCCTTCAGCGTTCCATACCATCTTGAACACTGTGGTATTCAAACTCGGGCTAGCCTCACAGAACCCCTTTTTGCTATAGAGGTCAAGCTTCCTAGAAGTCCACATCATCTCCATGCATCACTCCCTTGCAAAGCCTCGACTCACTCGACTCTCCCTTGTTGCACCAGACTATATCTGGCTTGGCCGATACGGACCTGTTACCTTGGCCGCTCGCAGAAGCCAGGGTTGTCTGTACTTGTCCCTTGCTTGTCGTTTCAGTCATCGTGCACCTCGGCCGACCATTCTGTCCCATTGGTACCGAATCCTCCCATGCCCACCTATCTCCATTGGTGCATTTTAAGCTTAATTTACCATTACTGAATGAACAGCAGGCATTATTACATGTATTCCCATGGCTGCAGCACTCACAAACCTTATTACATATTGACCCGAATACCCTGTGTTTCGCTACTTGCTCTCGCCTGTGCAATTCCCGCGCTCTCTAAGGTTTTCATACCCAGGCCTTGTATAGACTTGGACCGCTACCACAAGTCTAGACTCGGCAACCCATACCTAGTTTTACCTAGACTCTCTTTACCTCGGCCTAGCCTTACCTGCCACTCCCATCGGCATCGGACTCCTCTACTCGTGTTGGTGTTTATCATCAGCATCTTGCATCGGTGATCCTCATTGGTATCTTGCATCAGGTACACTGTCGGTATCCCACGTCACATCGGACATTCTTGGACTTGGACCTTCAGTTGGTCAGAACATCTCAGGTCTTAGATCTTAGCTCCTTCCTTTCTCTTCCCTTGCACTATTAGAAGGAAGTGCTTCAATAGCAGTCCCCTTGGGTCGACATATTGCACTCACACCCATTAGGATTTAGTAAGTTAGTTGGTATATCTAGCTGACTACTATTTCTTTCACCACAACGCCCCTGACTAATGAAACCATCAATATCCATCTTTTGATGATCTGTTTTCCTCCTGGAGCTGCTCGACATTGTTGTTGAGGACATTTAGCATCTCCTGCTGATGTCGCATCTCATCTTCCAATGCGTTAATGCGCTCGTGATACCTTTGAAGCTCCTTGTCATGCTTAATCCCCAACTCTTCAATCTCTTGAAAATGTGTCATGCATGTGTCCTCAAGTTCCTCTGTATCTCGCACCCGATCAGCCTCCAAATAATTGATGTGATACTCGATTTGTTCCAAGGTCTCTAGAAGCTCATAAGCATGCTCCCTCATATTGCATTGATTCTTTGAGGAGGGTTGGCAGTTGCATTTGTTCTCCTTCATGTGCATAGTGCAGTTAGTTAGTATCTTAGATATATATTCAAGACAAATGGGAACATACATTTGATGTTCCTTTATCCGAATTCAAACAAAGGTGCATTCGCTTGCTCACTTTTTGAGGGGTAAACACGGAATCTGTGTCACGCTTTGATGTAGAAAAGCACATAGTGGATTGGAATGTCATTCCAAATGCAGTGCGTTACTGACTATGGATAATTGGTGAATTTGTATGGAGGAACGAACATTCGGCATATGCCTCATACATATATTAGGTAAGCAGAATTGAAAGGTGCCAAGCACTTGCTGTACAGGCGACATTCGAACCAGATCCTAATTCACTGTGGAAACGACAAAATAGCCTGACCAGAATTGAGTGGAGTTAGCAACCTTATGAAGATAATAGGTGGAACCTGCAAAGGAAATATTTCACGTCAGAGTTAGTTGGCAAGAGACGCTTGTTCCAGAGCACAACACTGTTAGTTATATGATTATTCACCTCTACAGTATGCTTTCCTATGTGTTTTATCTCTATATACTTACGGTATCAGTCCTCACATTTCTCTGACTATTTACATGACTTCCTGACCTCCCTAGGTCGTCCCTAGGTCGAGTTATTCCTTACCTTTGGATTGTGGCTTGTCTGTTTACATTTGTTTACCAAACAAGGCATATCTGGTGTGAGGAAGCGACAGCCAGATAGTGCATCAAACACAACTGCAACGAGACGAGCACGTCAAGTGGGGGCCACAGGGTTGCATGTGCCATGGGAATCACCATTTCTTGATCTGTTTCAACCTGCAAAAGCACCACCACGTGCATTTGAGCATGAGATGAGTGTAGCAGAGTCCAAAGGGCTTACCAGGCAAGTGCAACACCATGAGCTTGCAGCTGCAACTGAAGATCAAGAGCGATGGGGAGACTGGGAGGCAATTGTGAGATAGGAGATGCTACAGATGCTGATGAGCCTGAGGAGGAATATGACTTGGATGCATTGATAGACCCAATTCTTCACAATGATTGGCAGCGAAGGCAGCATGAATGACAAGACTCAATACCAGCCTCAGAAGATAATAGAGGACAACCCAGCATCTCCTCTGTAATGTCTCGGATATCTCTATGCGGGGTTCCACACCACTTTCCGATGCTGACAATGTTTTCAATGTGAGTAATACTAGTAGCATGTCAAGTAGTATACGCACTCACTATTCTTCAGGCTGCTGTTAGACATAAATTTCTGCATGCCATGGGTATACCAGATTCAAAACAGGCTGCAACACTCGAGCCACTCGAGCAAGATACCGTCTGGGTAGAATATCCAACATGAGGAGCAGCAGTTCTCCGTCCCAACTTTGTAGGATCATGGATAGAAAATGTTGACTGGAGGGAAGCTGTGATCCAATATGTCCAACTAAAGGCCTGGGAGGTTTATCATCAGCTGCGTGAAGAACATCTAAAGAAAACAAGTGATGATGACATCACGAAACAGTTGAAGGAAGTCTTGGAACACATGAGGGATGACATAAAGAAGGGAGGGAAAGGGTCAGATGCGGTGGAAGTGAGGAATCAGAAATTCAACTTGAATCACTGAAACACTGACCGTGCGGATGAAGAAGTGCGTAAGGAATAGAACACCAACAGTCTGGAGTGTCATATACCATATTCCTGGGTACAGATCCGAAGATCTGGATCTCAGATCCAATCCAGATCCGATGGACATATCCATCGTCCGGTCCACAGATCCGATCTGATCCTTGTTTCATGTCCTGTTCATATAACTCTAACTATTGTTCATCTCCTTTCGGCATTCCTGTGCACCAGTATACCGGTTATTCTTTACTTCCGTTATGCTTACTGATCCGCTACACTTACTGATCCGCTTTAGCTTAGACTTCATTCCCGGTTATGATTCGTTATCCATCCGACTTACCAATATGCTGTACACATACTTTGCTTATACTTCGTACATAGCCTCGCGTCCTTGCTTATTGATCATTCCGTTAGTTATCCGTAGTATATAAACCCTTGTACATGCGCTGTAGTAGATCAGTTCGAATATCATCTTAGATTGCACTCATTCTGTCTGGACTCTGAGTCCCTCCGTTATCCATCTGGACTTGAGTATGATACTCTTGTCTACTCCGAGACTTAGGATTGATCTATAGTCTATATATCTGTCTCTGTCTTCGGACAGTCCTCGCCCGTTAGTTTCTAGTTCGGATTGGATCCGGATTAGCCGTTACTCTATACGTTCGATATCCGGAAGCCATAACAGATCCGTTACGAGACTTATCTGTCTCAATATACGTGATACTCTAGTACTCTGAAATAAGGGGCAAGACTCGGGAAAGGGGCACAGCGCATGAGCTGAGGCCGAAGCCCTTCGGATCCGATACTGCTTGAGTACGGTCTTAACACTGATGATATGTAGAGTCAAGCACAGTGGTGGCTTGTTGGTGACGGTTGGGCTGATGTGCCAAGATGAATGGAGGTGGCATAAGAAGAGGAGGACAAATATCCAGACTATCATTCTTCTCAGTAATTTGCAGTGTCAACAGAGGAGGAGGAGGAGGAGGAGGAGGAGGACAAGTATCCTCATTATTAGTAATGTGTGGTGTCGAATGCCTTGCTGTCACAGCACTGTCTAGAATATATTCTCCAGAAATATCACTTCTTGAAGATGCTGCGAGATTGCGCTGCTGTGATATTGGAGTAGACATGAATTCCAGGTGATAAAAAGTGAGATTATCAGTATCTTCAGTGCTGGAAGATAAGCTCCATGAAGTTGATGCTCCAGTAGTATTGAGTAGCAGAAACAACGAAACTTCACTGCTATCATGAGGTTATGAAACTGATTCAATTTCACTACTGTGGTGAGGTTGAGAGTTAGGGAAATGATATGCTGTGCTAGAAGGATTGGGGAATAACAGCAAGTCAGACAGGACTGGAGTTGAGTGTGCTGCGTGAGCGACACATTACTTGTCAAACTTTGCAATTCCTACATGAACATCAGTATATAGATATTAATAGTCTTACTCTTCATCATTTATCTGGGGAGCTCAACCTTATCCAGACTGAACCATCAATTCCAAATGAGAGGTGCAGCCTCTCCAATGAAAATATCATGGATCTTGAGCAGGCAAGCAAGCTCAGACTCCTCAATTGGGGATGTGTCATATACCACATATCCAGGTACAGATCTGAAGATCCGGATCTCAGATTCAATCTGATTCTTATTTCATTTCCTGTCCATATAACTCTAACTATCGTTTATCTCCTTTCAGTATTCCTAGACACCAGTAATCTAGTTATCCTTACTTCCACTATGCTTACTGATCTGTTTAACTTATGCTTCATTTCCGATTCATGATCGGTGATCCATCCGACTTACCAATACACTTTGCTTATACTTTGCTTATACTTTGTACATAGCCTCGCACCTTTGCTTATTGATCATTCCGTTAGTTATCCATAGTATATAAACCCTTGTACATGCACTGTAGTACTTCAGTTTGAATATCATCTTAGATTGCACTCATTCCATCCGGACTCTAAGTCTCTCTGTTTGTCCTCCGTTATCCATCCGGACTTGAGTCTTCTACTCTTGTCTAATCTGAGACTTAGGATTGATCCTATAGTCTATATATCTGCCTCTGTCTTTGGACAGTCCTTATCTGTTAGTTTCTAGTTCCAATCCAATCCGGATTAGCTGTTACTCTATATGTTTGATATTCGGAAGCCTTAACAGATCCGTTACAAAACTTATCCGTCCTACTAGACACGATACTTCAGTACTCTGAAATAAGGGGCAGTACTCGGGAAAGGGGCACAGTGCATGAGCTGAGGCCGAAGCCCTTCGGATCCAATACCTCTTTAGTACAGTCTTAACAGGATGACACTAACAGTGCAGTTGAGATTGTAGGCAGCAAGCAACTGACACTGTGCAATTTATCAAATATGAACAAAGTAGTGATTTTGAGCTCGAAGACATGTTTCTGAAGTAGATAGCAAGGTATGGCTTTCAATAGTTGATTGAATAATGAATTGATTGGATATATACCACTTGTCCTTGTAAATCAAGATAATCCAGACAATGTGATGGACAAGAAATTACAGTTTCCCTGGGGGTGAATGAAGACATGTTGGATGCAGGGACTTGTGCAGACTCAGGATGAAATAGAAAGAGAACGAACAATGGCAGCATTATTACATTGTGACTGAACAAGCTGCGACTAATGATTATATGACCTTCAGTAGATTAGCTACATCGTATGTGTGGACTTGCTCACTCTACCATACATACAGTGGTTCAAAAAAGTGTCTAAATGTTTATGTATTTTTGTGTAATTGGATAATAGTAAGCCAGACCCTGAATATAATACAATGATATATGGGCATATCTGAAAGCCCTACATCACAGCTTGACTCTGAGATGTGTGTCGTGGGAATCTAACCACATATGGGCAAGATGTGGTAATTATAATCAGATAACTCATTTAGACACTTTTTTGACTTCATATTCAAATCACAAAATCATACTATTCATACATAATATTCTTACTCCCCTTGGCTTTAATCACTGCTGCTACCATCCTAGACATACTCTCTATCAATTTCTAATGCTTCTCCTTAGTAGTCTCTTCCTATACTACTGCAACTCTATCCTATACTTTAAATAATCCCTTTGGAAAATCTTGATAGGCAGAAAGGTGTTTTTGAGTAATTCCTAGAGATGTTCAATGAGATTAAGGTATGGAGACTGTGCTGACCATGATAGAACATTGATATCATAGTCTTCAAACCATTTTTAACCAGCTTTAAGGTATGCTTGAGATCATTATTTTATTGGAAGATAATGTCTTCTTCATCAATTCTTGACTCCTACATGCTTTTGAGTGGACACTCCTCTAGAATAAAGAATTACTGCTCTACATGCATCCCTCCCTCTATTTCACAAAGAATTCCCACACCATTCCACCCCTCCCATCATACTTCCTTCTTCAAACTTTAATATATCCTTGACTTCTCTTTCTTCTAATGGTTCCCCTGCCCTTTTCCACATATATTCCTGGCCATCTCACCCCATTTTATTGATTTTTGTCTTAACTGACCAAATCACCTTCTTCTAATCTTGCACAGTCCAATATTAGCACTTTAAAGCAAAGACCCCTGTAAGCTGCTGAGAAAAGAGATATTTTCTTCTTGATTACAGTCATAAGATTAGCTGCCTGAAGGGTGTTTCTAACTATTTGAGTGAAGATAGGAGTGGGGATAATAGAATTGATGAACTTGTTGGCTTGGACAAGATTTGCAGCCTGCTATAGAGACTTTGATGAACAATAACTCATTTGTTCTGTGGAGTAAGCTTGAGAGGTCATTCCATTTGATAATTTTCCATCTCTGAAATGTTCTGCTTTATAACTGTAGCAATAGTAGACTTTACAAGATCAGTTTTAGAAACAATTTGCCTAGTAAATATACAATAGTGGCAGAGAAAAAGGATATTATCCTTTGATCAGAGGAGAGGGGCTTGATGATAATTATGTTAATTATGATGTTATATGGGTTTATATATTTAAATAATATTAAAATCAGACCAAATTATTATTGTGGCACCACTTCCATCAATAATATTATGTGTGAACAGAAATTGATAGAGAGTATGTCTAGGATGGTAGCAGCAGTGATTAAAGTCAAGGGGAGTAAGAATATTATGTATGAATAGTATGATTTTGTGATTTGAATATGAAGTCAAAAAAGTGTCTAAATGAGTTATCTGATTATAATTACCACATCTTGCCCATATGTGGTTGGATTCCCACAACACATATCTCAGATTCAAGCTGTGATGTAGGGCTTTCAGACATGTCCATATATTATTGTATTATATTCAGGGTCTGGCTTGCTATCATCCAATTACACAAAAATACATAAACATTTAGACACTTTTTTGAGCCACTGTATCATTGACACTTGTGGAATCTTTTCCTTAGTATTTGATTCTAAGATTTCTCATCCCTGCTAAGTACCTTAATACTCATTTCACTGCTGACTAGTGTGCTAGACCTGGATTTACAGCAAATGAGCTCAGTTTCTGAATCATATATGCAATGTCAAGACATGTCACCACTGCTAAGTATATTAAGGGCCTGACTAATGAAGCATAGCTATTGCTTTGATCTCCTTTTCTATCAGTATCCTCTCTTTCCAGTATGACTTTCAGATTCATCAGCATTCTGTCAGAGAAAGGTAAGTGACCTTTAAAATGCTGTCAGCTTATAAATTTGGTCACATGCATCATGAGGTGCCTTATAAGTTGTTCTGATTCATCAACTCAACACCTTCTCTTAGACTCCTCTACACCCCAATGTGTATATATTCTTCTCAATATTGTCCTATAGCCATGGCCACAAACCATTCAAGTTGGAGTAAGTATAATCATATATAACTCAAAGATGCTAACCAGCAACTCTCAGTGCCCATATTGTGGGAACATATATAAATCCCAAGGCATTAAGTGATATGAAGCAATGTGCAAGATGTGTGATGCAGAGAGTCATGAGGCCTTTGCTCGGGAGTTTGAGAGGGATCAGTGATTGGCTTTAGGTGAGTCCTTAAATTCATTTATTGCTCTAATTAGACTTAGTGTTTTTCATACTCATAACATATTATTTTATTCTGATCGATTTTAAATAGCACACCATAAGAAAACTCAATGAACAACAGTCTTAGCAGCACCAGCTGGTTCATCACACATCATCATGGATGATCCATTAGCCACAAACCCAGAACCAAAAGCTGACATGGGGTAAGGTACATCATTTCACTTAATTTTGATGGTAGAACCTTGACTCTGATGCTTTAAACACCTACAGCTGATCTAGACAACCATGTGGAATTTTATGCTGGAAATGAGGGTGTTCAGAGCCTAGGTATGTGTTTCTTTCTTCATTTCTTAAACTCAACCAATTGAAACCTGTCTATGCAATAGTCTTATCCAATGTTAGCATGTAGCAACATGTTGCTCCCTCCTCTCTCCCACTCTCTCCTTTAACTTCCACAACCCCAACCCCAACTGCAGTGGCAGTAACAACAACAACAGCACAGCAGCAGCAGCAATAGTAGTATATTATTACTCTGCTCCTCTCACTCACTCACTCATTTCAACTCAGATATTTGACATCAACATGTATTGAAGAGAGTCTCTAGACTCAAACCTTCAATGTCAACATATATTGAAGAAAGTCTCCATGAGTTACACTTTTTATATAACTCTCCACTTCTCTTCAGCACTAACAGCAATGCTGCTCCTTTCACTACTTATTCAGGTTGTTGATAGACCAATTCATAACTCACCTGACTCATGGACCCAAGGCATGTTTACCACCTGTCACTTGGCAACACTCAGCAGATTTGTGGCATCAATTGCAGATCAGTCATGATTCAGCCTTTTAATGGTTTCATGACTAATAATATCAACACTAGTGCTGCCGAAGTCCGGTTCAGTCCAGTTCTTAGGCCTCTAGACGTGAACCCCGAACCAGACCATCAGTCAGGTTCAGGCAAGGAGGGCAAACATTGGACTGGTGTCGGAAAAAAGGTAAAGTGCCATTATAATGCTGCCGGCTTACGAGTCTGATCACATGTGTTAAAAGGCACATTATAATGTACCTTTCAAGGCTACATGAGACTATTGGAAGGTCTTGTGATGCTGTTACCTTACATCATATTCAATTGTAGTGACATCGTGATGCCAATAATGTCACACTTATCTGACTTCTACTCCCATCATCATTGATAATGTCGACCATCTGTCCTCACAAATACTAAGCTCTACTCAAATCAATGTGACCATCAGAATAGCCTTGGAGTATGGCTCCACCTCATACTGCAGCAGCGGCATTGTCTAGAGGCAGATATAACTACACAGAAGAAATACTTACAGGGCGGCTCTCATGTCCTCACTGTGACGGAAAGTTCAACCCCCAGGGCTTCAAAAAGCACGAAGCGACGTGCAAGAAGCGCGCAGATATCGAGAGGGAACAGGAGACATTTGGTCTTGAGTATAATAAGGACCAGCAACGAGGTGAGTCGAATCTATCTATCGATTTAAATACTAGTAATATTAATTTATTGAGACAACATCTAGCTCGAAAGAAGGCACACAAGTTGATGACACTTCCTGAACCAATAGCTGGCCCATCACAGCCTGAGAGCGCCAACAATAGTCAGTTCGCTGACAATTCTAACATTCCTCCCAGTACTATACTTATTCTTTGCTGTGATCTGCACGTCTCTAGTGATATCAACCACCCACTTGTAGCTGCATCTTCTCTGGCCAATCCTATGGACGTAGATCTGAATAATGACGAGGGTTATGACGGGAATGAGAATGTTGACATCTCAGGTAAGTCCAAGTGTGTTATTAGTGTAGATTGTTTGCGACTTTACTAACTGACAATGTTCGCTCTGTATAGTTTTCAATCAGCCAGGGAATGTTGAACCTGCAGCATCAAGTCAGCGCCCCATTGAATTCAAGACAGAATATCATCCGTCCAGCGGTCGTGAACCGCTGCATCAAGTGTTTGACGAGTTTCGTGCTAATGCACATGATACTGCTGAAGCACTTCCCGTTAATGAAAAACCGTGGCACCCTTTCGCCTCATGAGCCGACTTTGAGTTTGCAGAAATTGCTCTTGATGCTGCGCTCAACAAGTTGCACATTGATGGACTCTTATCTTTGATTGCCTGCATTGCAGGTGGTCAGGTCAAAATAACGCTAAAAAACGATGCTGATTTTCGACAAGCATTGTGTAGTGCGTCTACTCAGGTGATGACGGTATGTTGATATTACTTCTCCTGTATTCTTGTGTTATATAATTTGTGTAGTTTACCAAACATGATATCACTGTGCCATACAAATGACAGCAGTGCGTGTATCAGGTTCATGCTTTGTCCATATGGGAATGGGTCCTTGATTTACTAGAAAACCCCTTGCTCGCGCCACATTTTGCCTGGGATGCACAACATGTATTCAAACATAATGGTACAAGATTCGAGCGCTTCTATGATGAGTTGTGGACAGCTGATCGATGGTGGGATGTCCAGGTACGTCACAATTACTTCATCACCATTACGCTCGCTGATTAATAGTTACTGATAGTCAAATCTTCCGCAAGATATTCATGCTGTTCCCCTTTACTTGATAGTGTATGCAGACAAGACAAGACTATCATCGCATGGTACTGTTAAGGGGTATCCTGTTGTGGTATGTTGCGCAAATTTACTGGTACAAATTCAGAATGGCGAGGGCATTGGCGGTGGTCGTGTTGTCGGTCTGTTGCCTATTGTAAGTTATGAAATATTCAATATACCTTGATTAATGAATGTGATAATCATTTTAGGTTTCCGAAGACGCAAATGAGGAAGGCAAGACAGGTTTCACCAATTTGAAGCATGTTATATGGCACGAGTCATTTGCAGTGTTCTTGGAACTGGTCGCGCAGTACTCGAAGACGGGTTATGCCCACAAGTGTTTTGACCAGATTCTACGCTGGCTATTTCCCATCTTACTTATACTTTCTGCTGACTATGAAGAACAGTGCGTAATTTATTGTATTGCTTCATGAACTTTGATCTAACAGTGTCTGTAGGTGTATGATGTCATTAATTTGTGGCCACCATAGCAAGTGCCCATGTCCAGTGTGTGTTGTACCGATCAATGAACTTCACAATCTCTCGAAGTCGTTTCGGTTGTGATTGATGCAGGACGCAATCACTGCACTCGATGTCTACGAGAAAAGCAAGACTCGTGGTGAAGAACTGTTGAAGGCACTAGGATTGTGCCCTATCAAGGTGAGCCATATAACTTTCTGCTTTATTTACACTCATCATTTGCGCATACTCAGAATGTCTTATGGATTGTCGCGCACTCTGATCCTCATGACGCAATCAGTCTCAACTGCTTACATGCCCTTCATTTGGGAATTTGGAAGCACCTATTCAATGAATTAAAGAAGATTCTCAAATACTTGGGACATGAGGCAGAATCGTTATTTGAAGAGGGGTAAGTCAAACGAATTGTTCTATGGTATTGACACTTATCATTTGCAGGATCGCTAATTTTCCTCAATGGCGCAAGTGCAGTCACTTCAACACTGTTATTCACATGTCGTTCAGTGACGGCAACAAGATGCAAGATTTGTCTAAAGTATGCATCATTTCATCTTGTTTTTTTGACTCTATCTAACTATTATGAAGCAATCTCTCTACTTGGCATTGACCATTTTGAAGCAAAGTGATAGCCCAGAAGGGCACCGGCTGCTTTGTCTCATCAGCAGCTATCTGCAGCTTGATAGTTATATTGGCCTCGACGTACATACAACAAGCACGCTGGATGCAATTGAAGCAGAATTGCTTGTATTCAATGATGCGCTCAAGGTAGGGTCTCTTTCCTTTGCCAAAACAGAAGCTGACTCATCGTTTCTGAATCTCACTCCAGGACTATGTGCAGTGCACTGCAGAATCTTCTATTGAAGATTTAAGACTCGACTGGGACTTTCCAAAGGTTCACCTCTGGAAACACATAACCTGAGACATTCGAATGAAGGGTGCGGTGTGCAACTATAGCGCACGTCCAAACGAAAAACTTCACGGCCCTTTGAAAGAAGTTTACAAGCGCCAATCGAATGGAAAGGATGTGGCCCAACAGGTGAGCTATATACCTTACATTTTGTCGCATCGAGGCAGACAAGCTGAATCAAACAATACGACAGATTCGTCATGTCAACAAAAACAAATTCGCAGTTGGTCTGCTAAGAGGACGCATCAACGCATTCGACAAGCAGCGCAACTCCGAGGACGAAGAGATTGATGATGCGGACACTATGTATGAAGATAATCCGAATCCAGCTGCTGCACAAGGACATATCCAACTCAGTTCGCCACAGCAACTCAAATCTATCCAGGACATCGAAAATACCTGTAGCCCGGCTGATCGTGCTTTCCAAGACTTTCGTAGGAAGTTTTCCACATTTCTCAATGCTTCTTTACCTGGGTATGGATATGCACTGAAGAGATGGATTACGCTACCTGCCAACTTCCAGGTATGTTGAGTATATCTCTCGACGCCATGAATTGACTTTCCTGCAGATTTGCAAATATCGCTACCTCAAGGTACACTATGAGTCTACCGTCGACTGGAAACAAGTCACCGATTACCTGCGGTGCAATCCGATTTTCCATGGGCACCCGCGCTACGACTGTGTGCTCATACAGCTCACTCCGGAACGATCAGTATTTGCTAAGCTGATCCTTATGTTCAAGTGCCATCTCCCAGATATCGGCTCTTTTGATTTTGCACTGGTTCAGCCGTATACTGTGGGAACTGGTTTTTCTCGAAGAATCAACCGTGATTTCAAGCTCACTCGTGTCAAGGCTGCTCCTAGAGCAAACTCTATATTTGTTCCACTCACATCTTTCATCCATGGTGCTGTTTTGTACCCTGACCCTGTACATCAAGGTGAATTCACTGTCGTTGATCACATTGACAGTGATATGTTTCTTCGCATGAAGACATGGGCACGCCAGTGACACACTACACCATTTGTCAATGTAAGTCCCTCAGCTCACCATCCATCAAGGTCTAATGCGCATTATTTATCAGGGTTGGCTGCTGGTCATGCGCGCAATTATTTTTCTTGATCATATTATAGGAAATTTCATTGTTTCAATGCATCTCATTTGCAGGTTCAGATGAACCTTGAAGCACAGGCCCTTCCCGCTACTGAAAGTTGAATCATTGTGGGTTACTGATCGAGACGACATGGGACGTGGAGCAGCAGCGCTCTTAGGTTTGGGTGACTCGTTGTCCCATGTTGAGGGTGAGAATGCAGTCCGAGACACACTGTATCTATTTGGAATACTGAAGGCCATTGCATCAACAGCACGGACGGTCTGAGCATGTTTGATTACGTGCAAGGTGCACCATATCATCATCGCTGCATCAACTGACTAACACGCCTGGCTATTAGACTTGACATGCAGTTGACTGTCAACATCAAATGCAGTGACATTACTTCAAGCTCTCACGTTCATCGATGTCGCATGGCGCTCTTGACCATATACTGCCTTATTGAATGCCATGACATAATCATCCAGCAGTACTCTATACATCAATAATCCGATGGACTTTTCTATAACAACTGAAATCTTGGTGAGTGCTTGATTGTGTTCTTTCCTGCGTTTGTTCTGCCTTCTTGGACACAGATCATCATGCCTTGACAAGCCCTAGCTGAAGACAATGACGCTGAAGACTTCACTGAAGAGCTTCATGCCATTGAAGACTCCGATTCTGAATCTGACGATGATTTGGAATGAGGCAGCACATCCGATAATACAAGGAGTGACTTGAGGACTGCGAGGAGGATAATGACAGTCCTGCAACCAGATGCACCCATGCATGAGGTCCGCAAGGTATCGAGTTCATTTTTCACTCTTGTTTCTCGTTTAACGCATTCACACATTTTCACTCATAGGCACTCGAAATAGCCCAGCAAGCATATAGCACAGCACAACTCAAGCTACGAACTCTCAAGAAAGAATACGCAGTGCTCCATGCTGCTATACCTGCATGCAGCCGTAACAAAGTCTTCAAGAAGACATCGGCTCTTGACAGCCAGATCACACGTGCAGGCAAGAAGTATGCGATGTTCCACTATTTCTGGGTCATGAATGGACTCTTCCTGACAACTCCCAAGCCAAACGTTGACCCGCGCAGTGACACACGTTGGGCCTCACCAGAGGCGAAGCTCAATGGCGCCATGGCTGAGTTGTACCAGTGTGTACCGAAGTCATTACACAAATCGATGGAGACTTACTTGCAGTTTGGACCGCTGGTATGTCTCATCGCTGCGTCAATGTTGTCAATGCTTACACGTGTCCTATTAGTTTCGTGCTGCCATCAGCTCTGAAAGGTCGAACATACTTCACAGCCTCAAGGACTGCGCAGGCTTAATTTTCTCCAGTCTGAAGCTCGATCCGACTGTCTTGACTGCTGGGCCTACTGAAAAGAAGGAGAATGAGCAGCTTCTCGGACTTTTAAAGAAGCATGGTGAGGATGAGTATATGCGTCTGGCCCTCGTCCTGTTCACAAATCCCTCTGTGATTGTTCCGGACGACTTCCTCAAAACACTCATCATGGTCAAAGTAAGTGTTATTATTATGTACTTCGCTTTCAAAGCAATATGTAGACACTGACTTTGTCTGTCAGATTATCTGTGTTGAGATATTTGGGAAGGCTTCGCTCTCTGGGAAAACAAAGGGACACCCAAAGGCTAGGGGTCAACATTGGGACACACAGTGCATAACCGAAGGTCTTATTGCAGGTGCTGCGATTGTGGTGAGTGGCTACTAACATTATGGGTTTGAATTTGCATGTATACTGAACCCTTTGGATTTGTAGGCGCGTTTCTTATTGACACATGACACTGGAGCTCATGGCAACTGGATCAAGCACAATGATTGAATATGGGCAAGACTATGACTTTTACTTGGAACGGCTGTTCAAGCGCAGCCCATGGGCTATTGGCATGATGGACTACTACAATAGAGAAGTCTTTGGTGCAAGTTCAGTTCTAGCAAGCGCTTCAGCCCTTTCATCCACCTCTCAACCTCGTACCTGGGAAGATGATTTTTTGCAGCAATTAGAAGCTCCTGCTTCTGCTCCTGCTCCTGCATTACCTCCTGTTCCTGTATCCGCTGCACCTCCGGTTCATGCTCCCACACTCACAGGTTTCACCAATGTACCTGCCTCCAATCACCCCAATACCATGTCCATTAGCCAACGAGAGATCGTCCCCGCCACCACTCAGCTTGACGCTGATATTGGCCTGCTGTCACTGGGAAATGACACTGATTCAGAGCCATCTGCATCAAGTGGTCGCAGATTACCTGTTGCTCCACAGTGTGCTCAACCATCAATGGACCCGGATGTAGCTCCAGTCACTCCATTGGCCCCTCCACCAGCAGTCAAATGATGTGCTCCTTGTGGAAGACCTAAGAAAAAGTGAATGATGGTATATTATGTCTTCTTTTCATTACCTGTACAGTTTTTGTAAAGAAAAAACTTGTTGTTACTGGCTGCTCCTTTGTCAATCAAGCTGATTCATATTACTATACTATATGATGCAATTAAAGGTTGGTTTGAAGATTCCAATGCCTAACCAATGCCTAGGAAGACATTCAAAGCTTGTGTAAGTCATTCTATTTATGGTCAAATCATAACAAAGACAAACAAGTCAAGTTTGGCATTTTCATTGCAAAGTCAAACCTTTCAATGCATTGACACGACATCACATTTACAACTCGACAGCATAAATTCGACCCAGATGACTGTTCTTCCTCCCCAACTCAACATCATTGTGAGTATTTCATGTCTGAATCAATTTATATCTTTGGTGACTTATTTTTTATCTGACAGTAATACCATTTTTTATCAGATAATGCCGAGTGAGCTAACAACTCTGTCCTTCAAAAATATACCTCAGACTATGCACGATGCTTAACATTAGAAGGTGAGTCTCCACTTTTTGTCATTAATACAGTCTGCTGAATCAATTATGACTCTGGGTGTGTCGTCTTCCCTTGGACTCTCACATGTTCTCCTCTCCCCTGGACTCACCCACTGCCAGTCAGCCAGGTTCTGGCATGCCGTCTATTGCACTTTGCTCCCAGACCCACCACCGCACATCGCACTCCTCTGAGATGGCCTTTCTGAAGGGGAACATGTGCTTATGTCGGGAAAGAGGAAATCGAGGACATCATAGGTGAGTTGCTGTCGCCCTAATAGCGGACTCACCCACTGCTAATCAGTCAGGTTCTGGTGTATTGTGCTTCGCTCTTGGACCCACCACCGCAAATTGTACCCTTCCGAGATGGCCTTTCCAAAGGTGCTTACGGGAAAGAGGAAATTGAGGACATTATAGGTGAGTTGTCGTCACCCTAGCGGACTCACCCTGCTAATCAATCAGGTTCTGGTATGTCGTCTATTGCGCTTCACTCTCGGACCCACCACCGCAAATCGTGCCCTTCCGAGATGGCCTTTCTGAAGGGGAACATGTGCTTATGGGAAAGAGGAAATTGAGGACATCATAGGTGAGTGTCGTCACCCCAGTGAAAATTATAATATTTCTTTTGGCTACCCCTTCTACCGACTCCATTCTTACTTCCATCCCCAGGACCCCCCCCTCTCATATCTCCGACCCTCCCACCGCCCGTCCTTCACTGCTGCCTATCCAAGGACATCCCTTTCATCTTCTTAACATCGTCTCGTCCAACTGTGGCTATTACCCCTTCTACCGACTCCATTCTTACTTCCATCCCCAGTACTTCACTCCACGGGCGTATGCTCAGCTCCCCTCTCCCATATCTCTGACCCTCCCACTGCCAGTCACTTGTGTTCTGATGCGGTATCTGTTCCTCCCTCCCTCCTCCCTTGAACCCCCCTCCGATTTTTGAAATAGTTGTATTTCAATATGATATACTACATATTATGTTAGATACAAATATGAATTTATTTGATTTTTTCTGTTTTTTTTTTTTTTTTTTTTTGAAATTCTGGACATCAGCCTTGCGAAGACATTGAGACGGCACAAAAACTCTTGAAATGACTCAAGCTGCCCTTAAAATGTTAGACTGGTCGCCCAGCACCTGGGACCATTATAATGCCTTTCGATGATTGGTGCAAGCTATTATAAGTGCCTTGAAATATTATCTTACATCATTAGCATGCATTAAAAGGGCACCATGTGAAAAATGTCCTTAAAATGGCTTAAATTGACTTCGGAGGCTCGGTAGAAATTTCCAACAGGACCCTTGCGAAGGTGTTCACAAGGGTTTGGTTCGAGTTCAGAATATGTTTGAACACCCAAACTGAAAAGAGCCGCCAGGATGCAAAGGTATGAGATGAGCTGCACTAGAAGCAAGGCTGTGAATACCTTCAGAAAGATCATAAGTGGTGGATGAAATGCACCTTGTAAGTGGAAATACCCCTGCCGCAGAGTCAGTAGAGGTTAGAGATGTGATCATGGAGAAATCCAGCTGCATGGGGAACATGCAGAACTTCGAAGTTGATAGGACGAATTACAGTAAGTTATATGTATGCATTCGAAGGAGTGACATGGTACATGACATTCCAGAATAATTATGAGTCGATCAAATATCGATTATGCAGCGCAAAGCAAAGTGCCCCTCCATGATAGAATTGGCAATGAGTTTGAAATGCCAGAAGAGAGAACTTTGGCTGCATACAGTGTGCAAGCAGGTCTTGTAAGTCGACGTGATGAAGGGGCGACATTGCAGTAAACTATATGCATGTGTTTGAAGGTGAAATGTGTGATTGATGTCACTTGCAATACTTATGAAAATCACCAGGAAATTTGTCTAGAATTTCAATGTTGAAAATTCATCAGCATGGATGTTGAGAGGGGAAAGGAATATATGATCAAGGCAGCTTTCAGCATTTTTGAGAATTGGTGGAAAGAGGAAGTCACTGGTTGTGTCGTCGAAGTTTGTGGTCTAACAACACTGTGAAATGAAGCAGAGGTTGCCATGGTACTACTGAGCAAAGAGCCATAAAAAGGAGACAAAACGTGAATGCATAAGAATGCAGCGGAAGGAAAGAGCCATGAAGAGAGATGGTACAACACTGTGAAATGAAGCAGAGGTCACCATGATAGTGAGGCCTTGAGGAAAGAGCTGTAAAAAGGAGATAGAACCATGAACACGCAATAACACCTCATGATGCAGCAGACCAAAAGAGCCGTGAAAGACAGCTCTCAGGGTCTTTGAGAATTGGTGGGAAGAGGAAGTTATTGTGTCATTGAAGCTTGTGCTTCATAAATGCCCTGAAATGAAGCAGAGGTCACCATAGTACTGAGCAAAGAGATGGAACCATCATGAACGTGTAATAATATAGCACATATGATATGGTGGATAACATGCCAGCAGTTATTCATGCTTAAATCAATTTTATGCCAGGGTGAAGGTCTAACGGTTATTAGGCAAGCGGAGTCCCCCAGCTCCATGCTTGGGGGACCCAGACAAGTTTTATTGCGATCCGAGAGACGGAAAGTACAAGACAAGGCAGCATAAGGCAATGAAGATGCGAGAGTCAAGGATGGGTGCTTGTGAAATAAGACATGAGTGATGGAGTCATGATAGACAAACTAAAGGGCTAGAAGGGGTTTTTTTGAAATATATAGTGTTGTAGATTGATTTTGTGGTCATGGCGCCAGTGAGAATGTGAAAGATGTTGAGAGAGTTGTCTGAACCATACAGAGGCAAAAAAGAAAGAGTCAAGAAAGATGTGAGCCAGTCAAGACTCAAGGGATGCAGCCTGAAATAAACCCATGTAGTCCTACATGTTGGGTATCTCCTGAGGCTAAAGTCAATGGTGCTATGGCAGAATTGCACAAGTGCACATCCAAGGACTTACACAGCTCCATGGAGAAATACGTGGTGTTTGATTATCTGGTACGTGCTGTTGACTTGTTTTTTAGACTGTCCTACAACTAACCTACATGATATTTCTCAGTTTCATGCTGCAGTTAGCGCTGAGCAATCAAACATTGTGCATGCTATCAAAGCTGTGCAGATATCATCTTCTCATCACTCAAGCTCAACCCTACCCTCTTTTGACTTCCTTCGACTGTTAAGAAAAACAGTGAGAGAGAATATTCAGCTAGTACCCATTCTGTTCACAAGACCAGACACCATGGTGGCTGATTAGTTGCCCAAGAATCTTGTGCTAGTCCAACTAAGTACAAACTCAATTGTAATACAAAAGACTGGTGTGCTGACAAAATTCGTTTCAGATTGTTCGCATTGAGATGTATGGAAAGAAGATACTTTCTAGAAAGACTGAGAGTCAAAAGGCTTGGGGACAGCATTGCAATGCGCAATGCATTACTGAAGGTTTGGTTGCAGGCACTGCTGTCATGGTGAGATCCTGAGTTCATGGTGACTGGTGCAGAAACGAAGATAAACTATTAAGTGGACTATAATTTCTACTTGATGTGCTTATTCAAGCACACTCCATGGGCCTGCAGCATCATAGACTACTTCAACAAGGAGATTTTTGACATCACCAGCTCAGGTCTGGCATCAGCTCCTGACAATTCTTCTTTCATTGTCTCTCAGACTCAAACTTAAAAAGACAATCTCCTGGATGAACTTAATACTCCTGCTCAAGTTACTTATGCACTTACATCCCTTCCTGCTATCTCAACAGTGGTCAATGACATCTCCAACTACTGTGCTTCCATATCTGTCAACCTAGGTCAATCTGCAACTGCAACTGCACAGCTGCAGCTGGGTGTCAATCAATTGACCCTAGACAACATCATTGAGCTAACTGCATTGGCAACTTGCAGTGCATCTTCTTGCCAACCTCAAGCTCACACTGCTGTAAGTGAGTTGACATATAGGCCTGAGCCAACTAACATACCCAAGTCTGAAATTGAGGCCACCAAGTGTGTTACTTATTATGGCAGCAGCAAAGCAGTTACTAAACCTAGAAGAAGAGGGAGGAAATGCTGATGTGATGTTGTTGCTAATAATATTAATACTTTGTATCATTGATATACCTGGCCCTTAGATTTGTTGTCTCTTATTTGCTTGTAGTCCTTAGACTGAGCACTTTCAATCAGTATCCTTATAAGGGACTCAAATACATAATATAACAAAGTAGGTTTCAGTGTAGTCAGAGCCCCAATAACTAAGTGGTAACTATGCCAGTGAAAACTACAGATTACAATACTAAATAATACTAATCATCAGGAAATGTGACATGGCTATATAGCCATCTATAGCACTATAAAGTGCTATAATGTGCTATATAGGGGCCATAGAGCTATAGCTCATATAACTAAGTGCCCAATTGTGTTGGCTAGTTATAGCAATACATAGTGTGCTATAGTGCCATATAGTACTATGGTAACTATATCCTGCTATATATATGACCAACATCAAACCCATTTCAAGCTATCTTGGTAGATATTTGTTGCCATTGTAGCTCTCAAAATCCAAAAAAGCGAAAATTTCAAATTATATTTCAAGTAACTACTACAACATATGTAAACTACTAACTACCAAGGAGGCAAAAATACAAAAATTACAGGAGGAAGAGGCAAGAGAGCTAGAAAGAAGAATCAGAGAGGGAAGGTGGAAACACAAGAAAGACTTGCCAAATAATCAAAAATGTGAAAATTATTGAGTGGAAGGAGGGAAGGAAGAAGAGTTAGAAGCAAAATACTCGAATTGAAGGGTTCAAGAAAGCAACTTGACCGTGGGAACTTTTGCGATGAAAACCAAAGTTGTAGCCCATGTCAAGGAGAGTCTATCTATGGTCTCATATTATTGATAGGATAAGAACTTTTTGTTGAAAGACTTGATGAGATTGTGCATTTTAACACTTTTCCTATGCTAAACTTTATGGTAATCTATAGAATTACATGATTTCTATAGTGGTCTATATACTGTTATAGCTGGTCATAGACTATATGGAGCTATGGCATACTATGGCATACTATGGAGGCTATATAGAAGAAGGTCTTCTATATAGAGATACAGTTTTTCCTGATGATGATAAGTGTTTGAATTCCTCTAGGTACAATTGAAATAAAAGACTTCATTTACAGTAGTAAACATTAGATAATAGCAATAGGTAATAGTAATAGGTAACAGTAATAGATAATAGTAATAGGAATAATAGCAATAGGTAATAGGTAATAGTATATAGGAATGGGTAATAGACAATAATGGTACTCAGAATAAAATCTTGAACATTGGCTAAAGTCTCTTGAAGGTCAGTTAGCCCCAGCTACTCTAATGTCAAAGCACAGCATGCAGTATATCACAATTCAAGGTCAGTCCAGCATCATGCTTCAGAGTTCAAAAACACATGCCTGCTGCTTGTCAACATGCTCACTGGTCTGCATGACTTCAAGTCAACACTCATCTGCTCTCAAGGGGAATGGACCCCCCTTCATCCACCTTGAATATTTATTCCACCCCTTCCAGTGATACCAGACCCAGGGTAATGGTTTGGTGGAGGAAAGAAGATGCTCTCACTGATATCCTCATTGACCATCTCACATTTCACTCTGCTGATTGTCGGATTCTCTTCTATTCTGGTAGCAACACAATGCATATTACTGATGATAAAAAGGCCTCAGGTAAGGCTAAGAGCAATATCTACACTGTCATTGCCAAACTCATATTCACAAATCACACCAGATATGGCCCTGCATACCATCAGAATCTGAAGAAATTTTGTGATTCAGTCACAAACCACATCATGGGGTATGTAGTCTCCTATTCATACTTATATATGCTGATAAAACTCCTAAAAATCTCACAGTCTCAAAACCAAGTATAAGAAGCTCAAGGCCAGATTCAGTGCCATTGGCACTGGTGTACTGCCTGGTAGTAGACATGCAAATTTATTTGGTGAGCCAATCTGTTGCTGATTTTTATTGTTATCTGATTGTACTTTTTAGCTGAAATCTGTTCCGAATGGAAGTGGTTTGTGGACCTTGATGGAATCTGACACTCAAAACCTGCATTTGCAGTAATGTCACATTTGTCAAGGCCAGGTATTGATCACACTGGCCAGATGTACTCACTTGTTCAGCCATCATGTAGTATGACTGCCACTCATATTTGGCCTCAGGCTTCCAGCATTGCAAATGCTCAGTCCACCTATAGCAATCACCCCATCCAAGTTGATCTGCAATTCCAGTCTACTCCTGCCTCCCCCCATCATAACAATCCCCCTGTTATTCTCACTGCTCCTGCCCTTCGTAATGACCCTCCAATTGACCTACATCTTCTCTGACATTCATCCATATTTGCTGATAATACTCCCGGCCCTACTCTTCCTAGTTACCCTCCTTAGGTCCACCTGTGTGAGCTCTCTTGCACCAATAACAAATTTTCAATAGACCAAGCTGATACTTCACTCCCACTGGACTATCTGCAGGAAGACGAGGGAATGCAGGGTGATGATGGAATGCAGAATGATGTAGGGGTCCTCAATAGCCCTCCAAAAGTTGTAGGAAAAAACAGTGAATTTTTGCATCGCCTTTGCCCTCTTCCATTCCTGACCCAAAACTTTTATATGTCCCTGCAAAGGCACCTACTGCTGCCTACCACATTTGTTCAGCATTTGCTCACCAGGCCAGCAGTCACAGGGGGTGACACAAACCTCTGTCAATATTGCATAGTATGTCAATACCTTCATTCACAGCTTGCAACACAGTCTCGTCATCTTCAACCCCACAGACATTGTTATCGGTGCAACTGGATGGTGAGACAAAGAAGAGGAAAGCAAAATTGGACATACAGGATCAAGTATATAATCTGGCAGGGGAAATCAGTAGCATCCAGTCTGACATCATGTCTATCCATAACTCAAAGTATCAATGATTTCTTGCCAAGCTTGAGGTGAAGAGTGAAAACAACCAGGAAACAAAAAATATATAATTGGCTTCGTGATACATGTGCACATGAGGCATCTCAGGCCATTCTGAACCATCAGTGAGAGCAGGAGAATAGGGCTGTTGAAATTTGCCTTTGTGAAGTTGACATTTGAGTGCATGAGGCACATTCAATAGTTCTTGACAAGGAGGCAGAGACTCTGCATCTGTGGATTTAGTATCATCAACTGATGTAGGGTGGTGGTGGTGGAAGTACCTGAGTCCCGTGTCATTGTCATCATCATTATGTTGTTGTTGTTGTTGTTGTTGTTGTTGTTGTTGTTGTTGTTGTTGTTGTTGTCCGTGATTGCACAGGTGAGAGTAGTAGTGAAACGCAGGGTATTCGAGTCAATATGTAATAAGGCTTGCGAGTGCTGCGGCCATGGGAATACATGTAATAACACCTGCTGTTCATTCAGTAATGGTCAAATAAGCTTAAAATGCACCAATGGAGATAGGCAGACATAGGTAGGACATGGGAGGATTCGGTACTGATGGGATGGGACGGTCAGCTGTAGTACATGATGACTGAACTAGCAGGAAGGGAATGGTACAGGATTTCCTGGCTATCTGCAAATGGCTGAGGCAACGGGTCCATATTGGCTGAGTCGGGCTTAGTCCACTGCGACATGGAAGGGTCAGGTGAGTTGAGGCTTTGCAAGGAAGTGATGGATGGATGTGATGTAGACTTCTAGGATGCTTGACCTCTATAGCAAAAAGGGGTTCTGCAAGGCTAGCCCGAGTTTGAACACCACAACGGTTAGAAATCCCACCATTGAAATTGTATCAAGAGACTTACTTTATCTTGAGCAATGGCCATGGGTATTCTTTCTTGTACTTCACCTCATACAGCTGCGAGAACTCTTCTAGCATAGTGCTATTGTTGCTTGCATTGTCACATGTGATGTGCCCAAGCTGGCCAATATATACAGTGGCTCAAAAAAACTGTCCGCATGTTTTGACATTTTTCACTATCTATGATATTGTGTGAGAATGAACAAATTCCTCAAGGACATACTTATACCACATTGTAGTATGGCTTCAGGGCTTTTATTTGAGCCCTACACCGTGGGAATCGGCGGAGATATGGTGGAGATATAAGGCTTATAAAATGATGACTCATGTGGACAGTTTTTTGAGTGTATATTAAAACTATATAAATCATTATTTATGACACCATAAAAATCATGCCACTATTATATAAATTATAAAGTGGTGTCATTATGTTATTTTATGACTATATCTAACTATATAAACCAGAATATCTCATGTATCATAGTCATAATCACCATGAAAGCCATCTCCTCTGCTCAAAGAGATAATATCCTCTCTCTGTCTTATGCTGGCCTCTCTGCTCGCCAAATTTTCCTCTAGAACTGGAATATGCAAGTCCACTGTGGCCAAGTTCATCAAAGAAAGCCACCCAGACAAGGAAAACTCTTGTGGAGGACGTCCATCCAAGCTTACCTCTACTGACAAAAGGGCTATTATCCACATATCACTACAGGAAAGGCTGATAATGCTGTCCAAGCCACCCATTATATCAATTCCACCATCCACTACCCCCTGTCTCTTCACAAACTGTGAGGAATGTTCTCAAGGCAGCTCATCTCAAGGCAGTAACAAAGAAGAAAAAGCCTCTTCTCCTCCATCAAACATAGGCAGAGAAGACTAGCCTTTGCCTTAGCTCATCAACACTGGACTGTAGAGGACTGGAAGCATGTTATATGGTCAGATGAGACCAAAATCAATAGGATTGGGTCAGATGGGAAGGTGTATGTATGGAAAAAGAAGGGAGATGGCCTAACAGACAGAGAGGTTAATGGGACTGTCAAGTTTGGAGGAGGTTCTTTAATGGTATGGGGCTGTATGGGATGGAATGGTGTGGGAATGCTTGCTGAGGTTGAGGGGAAGATGAATGCTGAGCAGTATGTGGACATTTTAAATGACCACTTGCTGCCTAGCTTGGCAGAATCAGGGATTGATGAAGAAGATATCATTTTCCAACAGGATAATGATCCCAAGCACACATCCAGAAGAGCTAGGGAATGGTTTGAAGAACATAACATCAATGTTCTTGACTGGCCAGCACAGTCTCCTGATGTCAATGTCATTGAACATCTCTGGGGAACACTCAAGAAAAAGCTTCAAGCCTATGAAAACCCCCCTAAAGGAGTATGGGAGCTTTGGGAGAGAGTAGCAGTGGAATGGGGGAAGATCACAGCTGAGGATTGCCAGAAATTAATTGAGAGTATGCCTAGAAGGATAGAGGCAGTAATTAAAGCCAAGGGAGGTCATACAAAATACTAGAATACCTGGTTATTACTGTAAAATACTTGAGTCAAAAAAACTGTCCGCATGAGTCACCATTTTGTGAGCCTTGTATCTCCACCATATCTCCACCGATTCCCACGGTGTAGGGCTCAAATGAAAGCCCTGAAGCCATACTACAATGTGGTATAAGCATGTTTTTGAGGCATTTGTTTGTTCTCACACAATATTATAGATAGTGAAAAATGCCAAAACATATGGACGGTTTTTTGAGCCACTGTACTGAGTACAATAGCACTTAGGAAGTCAAAAGCACAGACTTTATGAGCAATGCCAACATGATCCAGTATCTTGAGTAAGGCATCACCTAAGCACTAACCATTGTGTGCATTATTCAGCTGCATAAAACTGAGCAGTGCACTTTGAGACTCCCACTGCATTGGATGGTTTTCTTTGATCCAGTGGCCCGTGATGGCGAAGTACCCATTTACATTTTTGGCCTACCATGCATTGCATGTTATGTTGACAGCTCTGCTAACAGAGTCACTCTGTAGCATATATTAGAAGATGAGAATACTGAAAGGCCTGATGATATATACATTCAGTTTTGCTTTCAGCCGGATTAGATGATTCTTAAACATCTGCATGATTTCAGCACGTGTAGCTTTATGACCTGGGATTTTGACACCTTGTGTGGTGCAGGAGGCCACATCAATCATCTCCTTGAATTTCAGATGTTCAAGGGCCTGTATAGGCTGCCATTATGTCATTAGGATGTAGCTAGATAACACGGTAGTTGCTACAAGACTGACCTGATCTGTTGCAATGAGCCACTCAACAGCTGCTTTCTTAACAAGCTTATCACTGTAGGGAATTCCGCACTCTGAAAGCTTTCGCTCCATCATATGCGCATTGATGGTTTGCTGGACTTGGCACCAGGTCATTTAGACACAAAGGCATTGTCCTTGGCCCATTGCTGAAATTTTCCATACAGATGCACACAATCAGGATTGCTGCAAGCGGCCACAATACTTAAGACTTGCCACAAATTTAGCTTCTGCATGTTGGCGCAGTGTGGTCATCTCATTCATGATAATACAATGACCCCTAGTAGTGTAGTATGTACCATTAAGACTGCACAGAATTAAATGATTGCAAGAAAACTCACAGGCAGACCTTGCATTTGCGGTGTTTTTTGACCGTTCCATTGGTGCCAGCATGCTCAAATGAGTTACTAAAAAATTGATTGATGTCACAAGTCTTGTCTTCACACAAGAGACCAGAATCAGTGACAGGCTGCACATTAATGTCAGCAAGAATTCCATCATCATTGACTTTGGCATCATGATCTATTGCTGGGGCCTTTCATCGATGGACTCATTTGGCTGTTGCCTCCATGTGAGTGAAACATCTTACATCGGTAGCATATAGACTCACATTTTGGATTGGTCCGTGCATTTTTGTGCTCTTCATCACCAGATTTGACATTGTCAAAATCATTGTCATCACCTCATACCCTTTTGTTATTGCCAGGCATGGGTACAGGACCTACAGGTAGAAGTTCAACATCAGGAAGATTTTGAGAGCCATGGGTAGTGCCAGTTTTTGGTGGTCTGTGTGGTTTGATTCACAGCCTCTGCAGCCCGAAAATCATTAATAGCTTTTGTCTGGGATGGGAGAGCTGCCTCTCTGAATGCTGGAGAAGTGCAGCTGTGGGTTTAGTTTTGTGTGCTGGCGCACCATTGCGAGGCTCATCATCACTGTCTGTGTGAATCACACCAGACATTGGCCAGTAGGTAGGAATGATAGGTAGTACTAAGTAGGGAGATATACTAGCATAGTTGCAAACATTTTATCCTGCCATGAACTACTGACATCGCCATCATTGGTCCATCAAGGTAGCAACATATGAGAGCCCACATAGGAAAGTAAATCACTGAAAACAGCAATATCAGACAAATCTAACACTAAAGTGAGTATTATTGAGCCTTGGAAGCATAACATAGGGCAACTTAGGGCAACTCACCAGTCATTCAGACATCTATCATGTTATTATCATCATTAAAGCCTAAAAGGATACCAACAGATACAAAAATAAATCTAGAAGATCAAAGGTCAGTGATAAGTCCACGGATGATAAACTAAGTGGTAAAGCCACAGCCTGGGCCACCGGCTTGGGCTTTCAAACATCTCAAGCTGGGCCCATTTAGGCCTGGTGTGGTGAACAAGTTTTGGCTGGGCTGTAGGTAAAAGTACCAAACCAAAATATATGAGTCTCCTGCTCTGTCTAGCTGCTACTCCTGCTAGCAGGAACATTCAACCCTAAAGGATCTCTGACTAGGCTCAGGCTCAAAGAAAGAGAGTGGAGAAGGTACTCCAAGTCAAGGTAAGAAACTATGTTCCAGGAGCTATCTGGTGAGCTGAGAAGCTACAACTAGGAAAGCTACAACTAGGGGATGCTACTGAATAACCCAAGTGAATGGGGAGCAACCAAAGAACTGGAAACAAGGGAAACTAGGCAATGACTGTAGAGTCCTAGCTAAAGAGTGAAGTAATTATGTAAGCAGAAAAAGTGCGAACCTAATCTAAGGAAAGTGTCAATAAGACCTGCATAGTAAAAAACTGCCTTTGCAAGGCTACAGAAAGTTTGAACACCACAACAGCTATGAATCTATAGGAAGTAAAGACATAGGAATGTAGGTAGAAGTAGACTGGATGCTCAGAAACAGGTCCGAAGGTATCCAGAGCGTGGGAATGGCCAAAGCGGACAGAAATAGTATGAGAACTGGGCCGACACAAAGTAGACAAGTAAGGAAAATGATAGGGAGGGACTAGGTTTCAAGGGATTGAATTGCAATGTCCAGGAAAAACTAGGTAAAATGTCCAGCTATCAGGTCACCAATAGGGGCTAAGAGCGGAACCTAATGGGTGACTACTTCGAAGTAAAACCAAAGGAAAGTAAATACCACTGAAGGGAAGTAATATTAAAGTAGTCACTACAGGCTCTTTATACTAGCTAAATCCTCTCAGACTCGGAAGGGATAGGAATAGTAGAAATATGTAAGAACATGTAATAAGGCTGAAACCCTTGTTACAACATGAGGCAAGTAAAAAAACATGTACCAATGGAGTTTAGATGGACATGGAATTAACACAGGGCTTTTCTAAAATGGGTTCTGAGCGGTCCAAAGGCACGGGGAACTCAGCCGGAGGTTAAGCAGAATGCACGGGAATGGTCCAGACATGCAGGAATAGGTTTGAGTATGCGGGAACGGTTGATGCAGCTGTGCAAAATGTTTAGACATGAATGGATATGAGGTAGATGCAAGTGAAATGTGGTAGGGAGTGTTATTGCATATCACTGACCATCCTAAAGCATGCAGGGTGCAGGAATGCGGATGGACTGCAGTTGGGTCAGCTGATGATGGCACAGAAAATATGACCAATGACTTGGCTGAAGGTTCTGGCCTAATTTGGCAAGGATAGAGAAGTGGTGAAATATATATGGAAGGTAGTTCCTGGATAGTTTTGACTTCTATATGAAAAAGGGCTTCTGCGAGGCTAGCCTGAGCTTGAACACCACACTGGCTTGGCCCGGCCCACTGCTTGAAGCCAGGCCATGCCTATCACTACTAGTGGAGCACTAGCTAGTGGAGCACTAATGTGGAGATGCAGGTAGAGAGTCTAAGGAGTGTAGTAGATAGCGAGTGAGATCAAAGGTTTGATTGCAAAGGTAAGGGAACGTCAAGGTAAAGTGTTCAGGTATAAGGAAACCAATAGGGGCTATAGAGTGCACTAAAGGGCGACTTACTTCTAGTAAAACCTAAGGGGAAGGAAATACAGCAGAAGGGAAATGATGTTGAAGTTTGTCACCATAGGCTTCTTATACTAGTAAACTATACCCTGTTGGACTCGGAAGGGATAGTGTGGACATGTAATAAGACTGCAATACTTGTTACAAAACATGAGGCAAGGCAAATTATATATCAATGAGGTAGGATGGACAATGGATGGATTCCAACATTTTGGGTGAATCCTAGAGCGCAAGAAAAGTGCTGAGTATGGGAACAAGCGCTAGATAGAGTGGACTTGCACTAATGCATCTAAAACACATTGCTGGTAGTTTTGATAGCACTATAAGTGCAGGAATAGCACAGGATAAGGCACAGGAACATGAATAGTGCTGCGGGGAATGTGCACGCATAGTGTGGGAAAGTGCAGACTAGCGTTGGACAAGGGTTATAGCTGAAACAAGTGAGGACCGTATATAGGGGAATAGTGAATGATCTGAGATCTAGCTTTGGTCCACCTATTCAAGGCTTATGCAGGTATACATGCCTAGCGCCAATATAATTGTCACAACAGGATAGTATTGAAAAAGTAGAACATGTCACAAAAAAGTAAAATAGCACTGAAACAGTAGTCTAAGTTGTATTACTGTGCTTGTAATAAGTGCAGAAACATATATTACTGTTAGATGAGTCAAGTGATGAGGATGTGTTAAAGGAGTTCACTTGACTATAAAGCGGTAGGCATCCAAAATCATTACTGTAGAGTGGAAGATCAAATGGGCTCACAGGCTTTGAGCGGGTGTGGGCAGCTGCTTTGTATCTGATGCAGTGTGATCCTGTGATGGTGTGGGGTACCTCTGATGGTGAAGTTGTAGGCAGAATGGATATTGGACTATCTGAATCATGTTCACACTTCAGTCTCCCAGGAGGACTAGGCTGGGGCAGTGGAAGGTCACTGACATATGCCCATTTATACAAGATATCCTTCCATTATAGTGAGCCCCCACTGAAGAAAATTAAAATAAAAATAAACATACCATAGATATCACTTTTCTGATCCACTAGGCGTCATGATCAAGTTCTCAGTTAGCACTAGCTGATTCTTCTATGAGTTTGGTGATGTCTGATATTCAGTGTGAAGGAAGCATAGTCGAACAAAAGAGTCAGTATAATTAGCTACTTAGAGGATGTGGTGGGGGAACTCAAGAGGGCAAGCATTCAACACAGAGCTATAGCAATAGTTTTAACTTAGCAGATTTTTGGCATGAACAGCAGTTGTCAGCAAATGCCAATGGCAATTCAAACTCAGAGTGCTTAAGCATATCGTTCACTTTGTTGTTCAATGAACTTCAAGCTTCAATGCCAATGTTCAACATTTGATGTCCATTTTCACTTCAACTCTTGCATTTTCATAATTTCAGCTACTTGTGTCTATTTTTTCAGCTAGCTCTGTCAATCACCATCTCTGGCCCTCTATATCAAAGCTATCCAGTGTGTTACAATCTACTGTTCAATATATCCAACAGTCTTGATTCTGGACACTCAAGCTCATTAAGTGTGGGCCACCAGTACCTGTGGTATTGATGTATCACTTGCTGGCAGTGTAACAAAAATGTGATACAATAGTTGCTCACAGCCATAGCTCCCAGTGATACATTAATCTGTTATACATGCAGCCCCCTCTACTTCCCTGCACCAAGCACTATTAGCTGAGCATTTGAGATCTATCATATGTGACATGTCTGAGGTCTTGTTTTCTGAATCTGCAATCTTGACCCTTGATTCTCCAGTGTTGCTTCTTTCTCCTCATTAATATTAAAAGTAATAATCAATTATACATTTCTATCTATAACTGCAGGGAAGCATCAATAGTAGGAGCATTCATCTCTCTCGCTCTCTGAAATAATGACACCACCAGAGACAAGGGCAGGTAACATCACTCCACAACTGTTGAAACTTGGTTATCAGCAATGTTTGCAATGCAGACTGACGACATGCATATGCTGTCAGTCCTTCTTGTGTAGGTGCCAAGTTGAGTATTCAGAGAGTCGTGTGCTCCTTTCACCAGGACCCTTGCCACTTCAAAAATACCAGCACTCATCTCATCTCTTCTAGCAATAGTTCCACCCCCTCTGACCACTGGTGTGCATGGGCACAAGCCTTGCACCATTCCAAGCAGACACCTATCAAAATATCAGATAAATATAAATAAAACATAACATACACTTACAATCTTGCATGCATTCATTTTCTGTGCAGCTGTATTCAGCATGGGAGTCTAACCAAATCCAGGAGATGGTTTCTCTCCCTTGCTGCTCCATGTCACCCATAAGTTTAATGTCAGAGTCGAGAAGTGGGAGTATGGTAGCCTCCCAACTGCACTTCTCAAGTTGGTGGCCGATGTTACAGTCTAAGTATGCCCCTATTCATTTTCTTCCCTAACTTATATGATGTCATGTGCTGCATGATGCCACTGCTAGACTTATCTCTTTCTCATTTTATCCTTAACTCATTGTATTACATCACGATCGCTATCAAGCCGTCGCTAGGTGACCTATTCTTGCTATCTCTGACTCATCTCTTATCTTTGACTCATTATGACTTGTCTTTTATCTCTGACTCATTCAGATACCTGCCCTAAAGCAGTTACCATTCACTATATAAACCTGCTCTGTACATTGTAGTTCTTTATTTTAATCTTACTGGGTTTTACCTGGAACTTCCTTCGCTTAAGACTCCAATCTTAAGTCGTCTGAACCTGATTCAAGTCGAGGACACTCTCCTTGATTTGTCTCATAAACTTCTACATATGTAGGAGTATTTGAACCAACCTTAGCCGACATTACTTATCACGTTGCTATACGTCAGAACTATCCCAGTTCGTAACAGCCAAGGGACAACAGGGTGTTGCGTGCACATTTATACTTTAGTACACTAGCTTGCTTCCTTGACTCCACAGCATCAATAATTCTTTTTGTATGAGTGGAACTTGCCTGACCACAGACATTTTTGTCCTTGTACATGTACATGTGTGATCAAAGGTAAAGGTGTGAATGAACTTGGTTGAGGGCATCGAGTGCTTGTGCATAGCATAGCTCCCACTCGTGGCCAGCAAGCTTCTTGTCTACAGGGGTGTCTGCTGGAAGGTGCGAAGGGAGCCATAGGTTGAAATCTTCAGGTTTCAATTCCTGCAACTTCCCACTAGCTTCAGATGATCAATGCTAGAGTTGACAGACAACTGGCATGTACAGTTCCTGGATGCGAGCCCAGGCATAGAGCCATTGCTGGAGGGAGGTGATCTGAGTCTGCATTGTAGCCTTCTGCTTATTGGTGTCATTTAGGGAGACATTGGCAAGACTGGATCTTAAGTGTGCCCTGTAAAACTGTCAGTACAACATAGTGTAACAATCAATAAAAATGTACTCTTGATCTTCAAAATTGATGCCCAAAATAATCAGCCTGCTTGGAGAGATATTGGTATAAAGTGAGTCATCAATTCCAGCTTGAAGTTTTTGAGTTTCAAGTTCAATGAGTTGTAGTTGTATGGCTGCCTGTGTGACCATTACCGTTTATTAGAACAACTACTGTGAAAACACCAAGACCATTTATGATTAAACTGGCTTTCAAAGGAATTGGGAGAAAAGTTATCTTCCTCCCAGGATTCTATCTCTGCTTTCTATTCAGTGATGAGAGCCAGTTGGATAGTAGTTTCCAGCTCCGCAATGGCTTTAGAGTGCTCCTTCATCCACTTTATGGCCTCAACCATCTTCTTATGTAATGTCCACCCTAGGTCTACATCAGAATTTGAGATTGAAAGAAAGAAAATGCACACCTAACACTATTATTTTTTCCCAGCTTCAATCACTGAAGTGATCATCAAGAGTGTCCTGACATGTTCCCAGTCTCATCTCTTTGGTACTTGATGCCACTCAATTGATGTTGGACCAGCCCCGTTCAGGAAGCTTCACTGTCTGTTCAGCCCATGTATCTTGACCAGTTAAAAGAGAAGTTCGTGCGACACTTATTGACATGGGCTTGAATGTGGAATTATGACATAAAAATTGTATAAGGAAGGATTCATGGGGAGGGCAAAGCCATTCTGGCATTGTTTCCATCCAAGTCCAGAGTCTCTTGTGCCACTGGCATATGATGTCGTAGGAGATGTTGATCATGGACATTGCAAAGATGAGGAGTGCAGAACACATAATATAGTCCATGTTGATGTACCTAAGTAATATTAGCTGTGAAAAATTCCAAATACAATATACTACATACTGTTCCTCCTTCTGAAGGTCTCCAACACCATTAGGAAGCTTCATGTCATGTCTGGCGCAGTCGATCATTCCGACACCTGTGGCAGCGAGGCCCATGGGAGGACTTGATATCCGCCATATTGACCACATTGTGGCTTATACATGTGCTTCGCTATAGAAAAAAAATTAACTTGATAACTATCACAAGAATAACATTACTTACCTCTTGATTTTCAGTAGCACGATCTGCAATGTAAGACTTGTACCTGCCCTCCTGCATGAAATACATCCAGCCGGCATTGAGACTAGGGCCAGCAGTATCAGAAGACACCACTTTTCGCTTGAGCCTGAAGTTTGCATCAATTGTGACAAACAATGCATTTTTCCATCTGCTCAGATAACATGAGCTTAGAAAATAGACAATGAGAGAAAGACTAATATCTTACTTGATAAACAGCAGCTCCTTCTTTCAGTCTGGCAGAAGATTCTTACTAGGCCATGAACATGTAGAGCATAGAACAGCTAACTCTCCTTCAGCTGTAGCATCAACTCCAGCTGAGTCGTGTCCCCTTCCTCCATGGCCAAGTTGTTTGAGGTTGTGCCATTGGCATACCATCCACATGAAAGCAGAATAACGATCCTAGAATATACAGTAGCTCAAAAAAGTATCTCAATGTTTGTGGGTTTTCATGTAATTGCTTCATTGTGAGTCAGGGCGTGAGGATCTGACTAATCTATAGGGAGGTGTCAGAATGCTCTGCCTTGTGGCTTCATATCTGTTCCCTGTAGCATGGGAATCCAATGTTATCATGTAAAGATATGGTCATTTTAATTTGATGCCTCATTGAGACACTTTTGACTTTGAATTTGACCAATATAATCTCTATAGTTCTAGTACTTAGTGTTGCCTCCTCTTGCTCTAATCACTTCTATCACTATTATAAACACACTATCTATCAATTCCTAGCATTACCCATTAGTAATATTTCCTCACTGTGTTAGTAACTCTCTCCTGTAGCTGAGATAGCTCCTATTCTCATCTTCAGCTCCTCTTATCTGTCTAACAGGCAGATTTCTACTAAAACTGGCCTGAGCAGGGATATCATTGCTAGATTCATCAAAAGACCATTCCAGATAAGACAAATATCAAATTAAATCACTCTTTTAAGCTCATACCATATCGCAAAAGATCTTTTGGATATTATATTTTGACTGGGCAGGCTGCTGATACTCCTCAAGTCATCAAATTCATTTATTCTGTTATCCATACCACTGTCTCCACTCAAATAGTCAGGAATATTCTCAAAGCAGCTAACCTTGAAGCTATAACTAAAAAGAAAAGCTTCTCCTATCTTCAGCCTATAGAGGGAGGAGACTAGCCTTTGCTCTGAAGCACCAGTATTGGACTTTAAGAACTGGAATAGGGCTATCTGGTCAGATGAGACAAAAATCAATAGAATGGGGTCAGATGACCAGGAATATGTATGGAAAAAGGCAGAAGAATTACTAGGACAAAGATAAGTCAAGAAAACACTCAAGTTTGGAGGAGAAATTTTAATGGTATGGGGTTGTATGAGGTGAACAAGGGGAGGAATTCTCTGTGAGGTGGAGGGGAGGATAGATGCAGAGCAGTGCATCTCAATTTTGGCAGAGTGTCTGCTTAAAAGCATGCAGGAATCAAACATTGATGAAGAAGACACTATCTTATGACAAGATAATAATCTCAAGTATGCTTCAAGTTGGCTACCAAATGGTTTGAAAACTATGATATTACTGTTCTATCATGGCTAGTACAGTCTTCAGACCTCAACCCTATTGAACAACTCTGGAAATTACTCAGGAGGTGTATCAGGATCCTCAATAGGGGCTATTTCAGCTGTGGAAGAGAGTTACAACACAGTGAGGAAATATTACTAATGGGTAATGCTAGGAATTGATAGATAGTGTGTTTATAAGAGTGGTAGAAGTGATTAGAGCAAGAGGAGGCAACACTAAGTACTAGAACTATAGAAATTATATTGGTCAAATTCAAAGTCAAAAAGTGTCTCAATGAGGCATCAAATTAAAATAACCATATCTTCACATGATAACATCGGATTCCCATGCTACAGGGAACAGATATGAAGCCACAAGGCAGAGCATTCTGACACCTCCCTATAGCTTAGTCAGTTTCCCACTCCATGACACACAATAAAGCAATTACATGAAAACCCACAAATATTGGAACACTTTTTTGAGTCACTGTATCATCATTAGACAGTTCTAGGAAGAGATTGAAATACTCACCTTGATCCCTATCAACCTGGAATTATTGGTGTATCTTGCGAGCGAATGGTAGAACTCATAAGCAGACACCTTGTTCTCAAATGATAGAATATGAAAATGCTGCAGAACCATAAAAGTCGCTGCAGTTCAAGGCTCTGAGACAGTTGCCAGATACCACCACATATATAGCAGTTGTTTGTACTGGACCTGAGCTGAAGTGCAGCCACAGAAGTCCAGCACAACTTCATGAACGCCATTGAGCCCAATGACCACAAAATCGTCACCAGCAGATGGATGAGGATTATAGTACCTTTCTCCTAGGTTATGGCCAAGTTGTATTTGAACCCTGAGCTTTTTCAGTGTGATACATTGAAAAAAATACCTATTCCACATCTGACCATGATTAGTAACACATTAATGCCAAGATGAAAGTAAAACATACCTTAATTCTATATAAAGGATGATACATGTGGTTTTGAAGTGTGCATTCATGGCAGAATATTTGAGTGCCATGACAGTTACAGCACCAGAATTCAGGCAATACTCCATCACATGAACAAGTGACACCCTCAGACCTATATCCATTGAGATGCATCATTTCATCCAAGAAGCTTTGATGTTCTGGAATCCAGGCTAGCAAAGGTGCATCCTAGAGTCCAGTGAGTCAGTCTAGCCCCCAAAAAAACAAATGAGAATGCCCACCACTGTAGTCCATTTGCATTTCCCCACAGGAACAATATTGATAACATCTTCCATGAATGTTTCATCGTCAACTTGAGTTACCTGCATGCTCAACCCGATCATCTATAAAAGGTATATTGTTGTTTGGCAATTTTTCAGGAGAGATCCCAGTGACAGTGTGTTTGCAGCTGTGTGCTCCCTTCAGTGGTAATTTCTGCCACCCAAAGTTGCCATAAAGGAGATACCAGGTTGATAGAGGCAGGCACAAAGGCCTCACATTCAATTGCAGGCCTCTTGGGGGGTGGCCACAATGCATGTGCACTGTAGTCAATCTAGTCAGTTGTGTAAACAATATGTGCTTGTAACTGACCTCCATACAGAACATCAAAGGCCATATGTAATGGACAACACAATATAATCTGCATCGCAAGAAGAATCAAATGGGAAATGAATCCTGGAAACGGTTCAGGTACTGGGGTATTGGGCAAGCTTAGAAACTTGGTAGACAGTGCTAGAGTAACAGAACGATAAGTTAGAACAACTTGTTTTAGAATCCACTTACCTGCTATGGCCATAGTCAAGATCTTGAGAGCTTGAGAACTAACTGACTTAGTGAGTGCATTTGCTAGATTAGTCAGCTGCACACACTAACAATACTCAACACCATGACTTTGCAGTAATCCTCCACTGTCTCTCAAATGCCTGGAGCGATCCTCCATTTCTCGAATGTCCAACTCCATTGGTCTACTGAATATATATTAGATCACTGTGAGTGATACATCATCCACCAACTCAAAGTATCTCACTGAACTCACTATCATGACTCAGAACTCACCTTCCTCCAGTCAGACAGATACCACCATGGTGTCTATCCAACTGGACAGTCTCATTAATTTTCTGCAGTGTCTTTCCCTCAACGATCAGAAGGCATTGTCTCAGGCCTTAGGCACCAGCACTGGTGAAGACACATCTGATGGTAGATCCATTGGTTCTTTTATATTTCCATTACTCACTTAGTTTCAGTGATGTTACAGATAATCTTACCATTAGGACAGGCCCCACCAGCATGGAAATGCCTGCTCTAGTTGCTTCACCTGATACAGTGGCTGCCCCTGATGCTGGCACTACTGCTACTTCTGCCTCCATGGCTGTCCCTACAGCTGCTCCTCTCACTGCCCCCACCATGATTCCTACAGGACCTATTACTGTCTATGTCGACTACGACAAATACAATTCCTTTGATGACGAAAATGCAAGCAATGCAGCTGCTGCATTTGAAAATGATTCCATGCTGACTTGTTACCACAGAACCTACTTCAATGTGCCAGTTGATGTCAGCCCACCCCTCTATTATGTAACTAGAGGTCACTATATCAGCATCTTTTCAGACTGGTAAGATTTTTTTGAGTGTCTCATGTTTAGCAGCTCATTTCTTCATGGTAGGGATGCAACTGGTCCCAAAGTGCTTGGAGTCTCCCACACCATCTATCACAAGGTAGATTCCATTGAGCAAGGCATAAGCATCATGAAGGGTGCAATTGATTGTGGTGATGCTTCACAGGTATTGTGGCACATTTGGAACATTGTATGTTGTAGTATGTTTTCAACAGCATATTTCACATGTGTATGTATTGAGATGTAAATACATATCACTCAGCCAGGAGTCTGTCCTGCTGATACTTCAGTGTTTGATGTACATGCATAATTGCAAGAGTAAAGGTACCCTGCTCAACATGCCACAAAACATCCTCCAAATATGTTATTACCTGACAAATTTCTTGACAGACAGACTTCATCTGCAGCCCTCCACTCATCACATACTCTGCACATGTTCAAAATTGTGTCTTGACCACAATATGCCTTCCTGCAAATGTTTCTGGCTGTACTAATAGCATCCTTGATCATGAAAGTATTACTAAAATCTTTGCCATGAACTAATTCAACAGATTCAATATCGAAGGTTTCTCAAGGTATTGTTTTGACGTGTTTCCCAAGAATATGCTCAACAAACACATAAGGACCAGATAATACAGTCAGACTGACAAGCTCATCCTTGGTATCTTTAACTAGTTTTATACAATCTTACAGTATCACGCTATTATTCACATTCAGCTGTCATGTTTCTCAACAGAAAATAAAAACACATGGTGGTGGAGACTCTGGAGTGGGAGAAGCATCCATCCCTGTCTGAGAGGCAGAGTCAGAAGAGCTTTGGTGTGTTGGCAGTGTGCAAGTAAGGTGTTGTTTGGTGTTGATCCTTTCTTTATGTCTACAGTGGCAAACTGAACTCAAGTTAGTCAATTATTTAATGGTTAGATGACAGGAAAAACTCACCTATGATAGTACTTTTTCGTTTGTCATGCACAACCTGCAGCTTCGCCTCTGGAGTTGTGTGTATGGCTGGACGACCTGCCATAAGTAAGCAACATTGGCAGCAAACTTTGTAACCTGTGCAAATCAGCAGAGAATTTCTATAGCCCATAAAAGCAATACCATGTCCTTTATTTTAATTACGGTCCTACAGTAATTTGACACCAACAGAATACAATGTTGGACCTAAATGTATGTGCATGAAATCAGTCATAGTTCTTAGTCATACAAAGGGAGTTTGACTCATCAGGGACTACCACTGGGAGGTCCAAGATGTCAAGTACTTAACTAGATATCAAGTGAGGTGTCTGTTGTTGGGAATATAGTAGTGGTATGTATGATTATGGTCATACAAAGTTCAGGACTGCAATTGTAATCATTAATTATGGTCTAATAACTTGGGCTCAAATCAGTCAGAGTATGCCATGACCACAACCATTAGGCCTACACACCTAATTTTTGAACACTTGTTTAGCTGTGGGCTGTGTGGAAGTGGGTACCATTTATTTAAACCAGATAAAGGCTGAACTTTTGTATTTTGCAAAAGATACACTTTGAAGGTGTGGTATACTGTATACTGATTGTACATCAGTCCCAGTGAACTTTGGACATAGCTAGAATGGTTGGAATCATGCAAAATATGACAAATTTGAAAGCAACATGTTTCACAACAGGAGACTCGCCCTTGGGACCAATACAATATATTATATTTAGTTGAATTCCTATGGTATAATCTAATGATGCAGCATCATTGACCTGCAATCAGAAAATACTATGGAGCAATAATAACAACAATATGGGCTTGCAAGACAAGAGTAATAAGGACAGCAAAGACCATAGTGCAAGAGAGATTGACAGGATAGGAAAAGACTGCCAGTGAGATGAAGCTCCAAGCTAGTACATAGTACTGTCAACAATGTCACTGTAGTACTTCGTCCACAGCCAGTCTTTTTCCTAAGGGATCTTCATTAGACTAGATAATATAATGGATGGTCTCACTTACCAGGTGTGCAGCCTCTCTATTGTATAGCTACATAGAAGATATTATGTTTGGAGATATGCATGCAAGAGAGGGGCAACATCATTTAGCTTCTCATGATTGCTTTCACAGTACTTGATCAATCAGTTCAGAAAAGTCTGGGAAAATATGTTACACATTAACCTTAGCATCAGCTGACACGACAGAACTATAAAACAAAGATATGTTGGTTTTAAATTAATGAAAGTCACATGTGCGGCACCAATATGACATGCTGATGGTAACATGAATAGATGGCACCACGTACATGGCTTACGGAGGAACAATTGGCCTTTAATGCAACTTTTGAGAACAAAGTGCCTTGAATGCCAAAAAAAAAGGGGAACTACAGCACTTTTTGGCAACCTTTCTTCAAAAAATGGGAAGAGCGATGGCCTGTGAGAGCTTCCGTGTTTCCAGATATTCCTATGAATCAAGTTCTAACTGCAACTCAATTAGAGGAAGAAGACCAGTTCAAAACTGGACTTCAGAAGGTCTGTTTCTTATTTTGCACATGCATTATTGGAGACTTACTATCACATCCAGCGCTTGACTGTCAAATTCTGTAATGATCATGGTACTTCAAAGCCTGGCCACAAGGCAGCTGCCACAGGCAATTCAGCTGTCCACAAACTTCTCTCTAATATTGTTACAGGACCCATGACCAGTCGGAAATGTCCTCTTAAGGAAAGTGAGGTCTATACTAAAAAGTATTACACATCTCAAGTCCAGGCCAGCATCAAAGATGAGCTAAATACCATCAAAGAAAAACAATCCTATGCCACCAATCACAGAAAGATAAATATTCGAGTGGTTTGGAAGTACATTGACTGATGCTGGGAGAATGAGTCTGTTGAGGTGAAGCAAGAAATATCTCAACTTACAAGAGAGATGAGGGAAGCAGGATGTGAGGCAGTGAAGGAGTAAGAATCATCTGAGGTGATCAATGACCTGTAAGTGTTCTTCTCTTTGCCTCTTGCTACTTCACTGATTGAGGACAGAATTATCCCAAGACTCACCAAAATTCTCTCAACCTTCTTTAGAGAGCTTCATGAGGCCATAGGATGAACTTTCACTGTCCTGGTTGGTGGTCCTGACCTATCAAATGGAGGTGCGATTGATGTCAGCAGCTTGCATGTAGTGTTGACAAAGCTTGGTAATTGCTTTAATCACGCATTCACAAAGTTTAACGATAATGTTATGGTGCTGTACTAGGAGTTTGTTTCTCATGTTTTCCATATGTATTTATTATATTTTATCAAACATTGCGCTGATAATGTTTAGCTGAAGCTGGGACTTTAAATCAAACAGTTGCCCAGAGTCTCAAGGGCGAAAGTCTCTGCATTTCTGCCACTCCAGATGATATTCCCACCAATGATTCTCCAAGACCTACAACCACAGCAGCTGATACATTACATGGTTTACACACCACATCCCTACAGCCAGACTTGGCATCTATCATGAATTAGGACAAGAAAAGGTAGTTACTGCGTTATCTGAAGAGTATTTCTTCTGAAACCTGCCCCCTGCTCCTCAAGACAATGAGATTGACCAAGAGTTGGATATGCCCATCCTCCCCATGCCAGAGGGCTATGTACCCTTCTGTCCAGCACACCCACTCTCTCCAGACCTTACATCTATCTCCACTGGATTTTTCAATCTGGATTTGAATTATAAGAGTTTTACCGATGCTATCAAATCCATTCAGCTGTGGTCGCTGATTTTACCATGCCTGCCATACACATTCCCCTGCTTTCATGCCTTCCACCACCCCTGTTGTTATACCTCGCACCATACCGATTGCATATGTATATAGCATATATCATGTCTTGAAATTTAATTGTCTTGAGTAAAAAAGTTCAATGTTAGCCCAGGTGACCTCAATGAAATATTTGTTGGCACTTGCTGAAATCGGACAATCCCATTGTGTGATGTGGCTAGTAGGTTTAGACATAGACAAGTCACAAATGTATATAAAGACCAATGTTGGCCCAGGTGACCTCAATGAAATTTTCATTAGTACAAACAAATGCAGCTAAAGCACATGTAGTCACTGTGCCTTGGCAAGACAGAGTATCTAAATTAAAAGACCTGAGCAACCTCATAAATTCTGGACTTAGCAGCTCGGAGATGATGAAGAGAGAAAGAACGAGAGAATGAAGTATACTCGAGGCGCTGTAGAGACTCGATCCTGGGTAGCCTCACAATGGCACATATTGCAACATAGGTCAAGTCTACAGTATCATGCATGTAACACGACACTTGCACGATAAACGCGACGTTCGCGCGACGCGCGCGACTTAGGCGACACTTCCGCGACATAGGCGACACTTGCGCGACTTGCGCGCGCTTTAGGCGAATTTTCCCGCGCCTAAGCGCTATAGGGTGCCTGACTTCCCACTGTGTTTTCCCATGTCCAACCAAGTTCCCAGGTATGCATTTCTCCATTTATCATTTATTTCAACATCGTACCATGTTTATTTTCACTTGGTACACATTTTTCATTACACATTTTTTTACTTTACAGAACACACATTACCACAGACCACCATCATCATAGACAGTCACCATCTCCGAGTTTTTATTATGTTTTGAATAAATCATCGCAAGCCCTAGTAGCAGTTAGCTCTAGTGGCCATATCCGCATCAGTTGTCTTATCAGCATCTCAGTACACGTCTTACCATCTCACTATCGCTCGCATACCGCTTTCACCCAGTTCCGCTTTTCGACGCGCGACTTTCCCGCGCTTCGCGCGCCTATAGCGCCTTTGTTCCCGCGCTTTCGCCTTATCATGCGCTTTGCGCATTCCCCCTAGAGTTGACCAGTAGATATTTGCTTTCTCCGCTTCCCCTAAGGGATGAACATATCGCACTCATATTTTCCTCCCTTCAACAATTATATCAGCTGCACCCTCAGCTGAGTTGAAGATCCTTCAGCGCATCACTCGTTCTTGGGTAGCAATGAAGTGAGATAGCACTAAACACACATGGTCCTTTTTTGATCTTCCTCACAAAACAGAGATATGAGAAACACACTCAACTAGGACATTATCCAAGAGGGATAGCAAATTTTGCTCTTGAATTTCCTCACTGTCATGGTAGTGGAACCATCCTGGTGAGGGCAAGGAATGATAGCTGGCTCCTAATTGGGAAGAAGAGTGGGAAGTGGGCTCTCAAGTGCTCCTCTGGATATGAGCAAAAAGTCATCCCAAGGGGATTGCTACTGAGAAAGATTCCTCTAGAAAAAGATGAGGGGGATCTATAAGCAGCAGTTCGGTCTAGAGACCTGAGTGGAACACTGATGCAAATAATACACCCAAAGGCAAAGAGTGCTGACGAAAGGCACCTAAAGGCACTTAGAGGGCGAAAGTGCGGAAAAGTGTGCTTCAATGTCAAAGTGCACTTCGTGCGATCACAACTGGAGTGCTTCAAGTAGCAGTGGCAATCAATGGGAGAATCAGAACAGTGATAGGTGTGATTATAGGCACTTAAGGGTGTCAAGGCGCCAACTGGAGGGAAACTTGTGCTATACACTTGGATGGTAGTGGAACGGAAGTAAGTGACAGAAAAACAAACATGGTGACATGTAAGTATGCTAAGCAAGTTCCCAGGGCTCGGAACTGAGTAGGGAGAACTAAGGTAAGTGATGAGGTAAGTCAGGGTCCATAACGAAATATAATGTAAGTATAAGTGCCTATGTGATGTAGTATGAGTCCTGATGAAAGGAATGGACCTTGGAGGACTAGGACAGGACATGCAGAGGACAGGCAACAGATCCTATGGAAGTGTGACAAAGTGCACTGTAACACGCCCAAATACGCTGGTATGCGCCAAAGGCGCGTGTTGTGTGCACATATGTGCAAAAGTCGTACTTGGAGCACATTGCAAGGATTGTGAGTGCCTTGTGAAAAGATGTGAATTATGCCCATATGCACCTGCAGAAACTCCAGTCTCTACACCAGGTAGACATCTAGTCTCAAAGGCAAGCATTTCTCAATGGAGAGATTCATGAGAGGAAAGCTTGCACAAGCTTACAATACATATCATATGCTGAGCACGAACTGGTGCACATGAGTAAATTTCTGTCTTGACTCAACCTTTTGTTCCGAGTCTTGGACATGTCCAGAGCATTTGGGAAGGAAAAATAAATAAAGATTCAGATTCCAGAATGACTCAGACTAGTATACCAGACAATACACAACACTCAATCAAATAAATCTTTTCCCGCCAGCTCAGCTTTTCCCATGGGTGCATTTGCAGAGGATTGACTATTTGCTTGTGACATAACCCTCTTCCACTAAAGTGGAGTTGGGATAGTTAACCTGAATGCTGTGTGAATTTCAAAAAAAAAAAAAAAAAAAAAAAAGTAGCAAGGTCATAAATCATAACTGAAGAACTGTACATATGTCTTTGCTAGACCTAATCAATAGTTGAACTAGTACTGCCCAAGGTGCTAGCTCAGCCACCTAGAAACTGCTGAAGAACTGTACATACATCTACGTGAACCTAAAATAGTGCACAGACTAAATAAATACTAGATAAAATGCATGAACCTAAAATAGTTGAACTGCTCAAGGTACTAGCTCAGCCACCCACAAACCGCTGAAGAACTGTACATACATCTACGTGAACCTAAAATAGTGCACAGACTAAATAAATACTAGATAAAAATAGATTGGCTAAATTCAGTTGCCTGATACAGAAACAACCAAGGAACAACCTGGAACAACCAACTGCTGTCAGCTGACAATATAAAGAAACCAAAAGAATGGAGGAACAATCAAAAGAAGCCAGAGAACCAGGAACAGGCTGGATTAAGGCATCATTTTCAGATTCACCACTGATACATCAATGATACATCAGCCACTACTGCCCATAAGTACACTGTGCAATGGAGCAAGTATTGTATCATATTTTCACTACTAATGTAAGCTAAGTAATGTATTAATATCACAGTATAGCCTGTGTGGGCTACTGCATGTTCATGACTCAGCATGAGACCATGCTAGCTAGATACATGCAGACTTGTACTATACTAGTTACAGCCTTTTTGTGTAATACATGCTTTTAAAATGTAGTGCCTACTTTTTTTGTACAGTACCGACTTTTCTGCACAGCGCCAACTTTTTTTGTTATGCCAACTTTTTCAGCACTCTTTTCGAGTCTGAAAAATAAGTGTGAAAAAGTGACAATAAGTAATTGATCACTTATTTGAGTGCTAAAAAGCTAGAAAAGCAAACTTATGATTTCTTGATGGCCAGTTCAGGGTTCAAAATGGTTGGGGACCCATCCAAACCAAAGTCAAACTGTTCACCCAATGCCAGAACCAAGAACTGTATATGGTCCAGTTCTGGCTGACACCTGGACTGTGGACTGAACCACAGGGGAACTGGACCAAAAGTCCGGTTCAAACCATGGTTCAGGCCCAGTGAAAACTCCTTCAAAGCAGAATGAAGGAAATCGTGAGAGATAGAGCTTGATGACCATGTCAGACCTCACTCGACTCACTGTACTGGTATCACTATCACATGCAATGTCAGTCGAGTAATATCTATGTTCACCAGAGGATATTAGTCAACACAAAGATTGCGCTCGATTTTGTTCGAACATAGAATGGTATAGAATCAAGTTCAGTCGAGGTGAGTCGTTGAAGAAAAGTATTGTGTTGCAATACATAAAATGGCATTGGCACAGTACAAAAACACAATGCAGGGTACAAAATACAATAGGAACAGGGCAGTTGCAATAATATGCCAAGTGCACATGTCACAGAATTGAAGGAAAGTTGTAAATGTCGCTCACTAGCCCTTTCCACTCATCAACGCAGCAGATTTCTCGTTCCATATCTAGTGACCACAGATAATTACAATCAATAGCATAATAAAGCAACGACACGCACCTTCAATTGATCTGGACACTCCTTGAGCTTATTCCAATAAGCCTCGAATTTCTTTGTGAGCAGTTTGAGCTTCTTTTGTTTCATCTCCGCACACCAGTCGAGAGCGCATAGGTTTCTGGAAGAGCAACATGCTCAGTTACTACTTGACAGAAAGAAACTGCCACCCTGTTGTACCTAGCAGTTTTGCTGGCTTTGTTCGGATGCATGACACTCGTGGATTCAGCAGTGCCAGGAGCTTCTTCGGTCGAGCGGACAGTCACAGCAGCTAGAACAGTTGCAGAGACATCAACAGGGCACTTGAAATCATGTTCAGGAATATGGGTAGGCTGAAGAGTATCTTGAAGAACAGCTTGACTTGGAGCAGGGAGGCTGTATTCGAGTTGTTCGGATATGTTGTCCTGGGGTGTGAGGAGGGTGGACAGTGCTGGCAGTAATGACTCTGTGGCAACTTCGTTTGGTTTGAGTATATCTGTGTCGACTTGTAGACTCAGCATCAAGCCATTAAGAGGGTCGTCAAGGGCCTGTGGTACTATATGAGAGTGATAATCATACCAAATAGGGAAAATGTGTACCTTTAACTTTTGGGTATCTGTCACAGAACTTACTTTATGGCCAGGGTGATGTTTCTTAAGTTTTTTTGCTGGCTGTAAGGAAGTGGTGTTGGCTGCCGAGGGACGTTTTGTCACAAGAGACATTGCTGGCTGCTCAAATTTCACAGGTGGGTCAGTAGTCTCCTTTTTGACGACACCTGAGTCATCAATTTTGCGTGGTCGTACTGACCATTGGGAATATGAATCAATAGCAAGCTGGTCAGACTTCCAGTTGGCAGAACAATATCATAGTGCAGAAAATTTGATCTGCATCTCTCGGTAGTAATAATGTTGAGATATGTTGTCGAGCTTAGTCCAGGTAGTGGGAGCAACACCAATGAGAACAAACTGAGACCAGATAGATCTAGCAAAAGAACACATTTCTTCAAGTTCATGGGGAATCGCATAAGATCCATCGGCATGCTGGATATACAGGACGGTCAACTTCTTGACCTTTGTTCCAGGTCCAAGGATACTTCCTTGTCTGTTTTTTTGCCGCCAACCATTTGGGCTTGTCCAAGTAAAGTGATGTCTGTAAAGTCTCGTCATTTCAAAGGAACATCCAAAGTGATCTCAGTCAATGATGCTGTCGACATAAGTTGTGCAGTCCCATGTATGCTGCCTGTGGCAGGGGCTGCTTGTGAGGCCTGCATTTTCTCAATTCATTCAAGAAGACGGTGATTATATGCACTAAAAATGTCAGAAAATCAGTAGCAACCTCACAAACAACTCGTAATACTTACTCTGCTGTCCTCACTTCTCCTTCAAGCTCACAAATACGCTTAATGAGTCTGGTCCTCTCCTCCTTCAGTTGATATAGTTCAACTTCAGTAGTATCAAGTGGACGATGATCAGATAGCAATGGAGACTCCGATGAATGGTTGGTAAGGAACAGCCTGCTTGAGCTACCAGCAGAGCCAGAGTATCTTGAATCAGGGCACTCTAGTCCAAAGCCCGAGCTTTCATGCAGTAGAGAACGGGGATCAATGACATTGAGTGGGTACTCAGGCTGATTCGGAATATAATCAAATCAGCAGTGGTAGTGTCAAATAATAATACAATATCACCTTGTTGAATCTCTCATCCCATGAATCATAAGTAGACCTAGGACATGAATTATCCACATGATTACAATGTTGTCGATGTAGCTCAGTTGAATGAAAATCTAGTAGCTTTTGGTCATCATGATATGAGCTAGAATAGGACCCTCGACGTCCATGAAGTTCAGAATAATGACCATGCATGACTGCAGTAGTATGGGACTTTGTGATGGTGGCTTCAGATGAAGACAGAAGCCCAATTGGGTATGTTGTGAAGTTTATTGATACAAGTCCAAGTTTGAGAGTACATCACACAAAAGGTCTCAATGCCTAAATCATAAAAAGTATGAATCTACTACTGTCTTGGCTTGGTCATCTCCCTCCGAAAGTTGCTCTACATAACCTCCCATGTCAGACACATCAAGACCAGTCTACCACAAAGAAGTGCTCCTCGTCTGTACATTCTGAATATGGTATGTGTGGGATCATTGCGACCACTAAGAGTATCAATTTTGCGGGGATTACTTGCAATGCTGCACTGCCGAGATACTGTACAGACCAGAGTGTGCATTGTGAGGCTTCAAGAAGATGTTGATCTGGTGGAGAATAAAGAGACACAATAGCAAGGGTCTCAACACCACCTGTGCCATCTGACATCTGAAGTTGAAAGAAGTAGTGCACCTCTCCGAAAGATATGTTGTTATCGATGAGAAACTAGGTTAAAAACAACAGTCCAAACAAAGATAATAGCAACAATGAACTAAAAAAAGTGCACCTTAATGTTGCAAGAACGCCAAGCATTGGGTCTGGAACCCTTCTTACAAAGTGTTCAAGCAGCCTGTCCATTAGGGATCCGAAGTCCAGCCCACCTGCAGACAGCTGCTTCCCAGTTGGACGGAAATGTAAAATCGCTCCAGGCTGCAGGCTGATTATCTTCAAGGTAGGCTTGGATGGCTGCTGACTCCGAGGGCTCAGCAATAGCCAGGTTTTGATCACAAGGTTGTAGGAGCACATATCCACCACCAATGTCCTTCACACCTCTTGGGATATGATATCCTGGACAGCCCTGAAGTTTGAGATGTGGATAGAGAATGCACATCACATTCAGCTGAGCATTTCTTGTCATGTGCTGAGTCAGGTTAGCGTACGGATTAGATGGCTGGTTGATCTGAGCCACATAATATCCAATAGCTCGTTCCATTGTCCACTGGGAACAACAAATGGGGGGGCCAACACGAAGTATCTCACAGGCATAATGGATGAGGGCATGGATGCTTTGTCGAATGAAGTGGAGGTGTTCCATACGGCATTGATAGTAGAGAAGTTCAAATTCTCGTTCGAACTCAATCAGGAGGATGTAGATCATTTGCACGTCCTTGCGGGAAATGTCCAGGTCTTGCCCTTCAGAACAGCCCAATCCCAATCAGCTCTGTCATCCTTCTTATCACATTTGAACGTGCCTCGCCAAAGAGGGATCAAAAGATCGGGAATGTTGAGGGATACTAAGTGCATAATATCTGACCCAAAACACAAGGGAACACCCAGGGTATGGCACAATGAAAAACCAAGGAACAGGCTTGGCTTCGATATCCCTGTTGCTAAGTGATTTTTGCGATATTGTGTCTCATTAGCTGAGGAAAGGATGATGCTCAGCCTACGGATATACTCGGAGTGGGAACATGGTTTGAGGGTCTCTGCGAGCTGATGTGGATGGTCGCAGCCAGGTACAATGTAGTCATTTGATTTGAGGAGTGCCAGGTAATAATGAGTCCCACCAGGTTTATGGCGTCCAATGCAAGAGCAAAACAGACAACAACCATTTTTGCCATGGTGACCAACTAACCCATTGAGATAGGCTAGCCCAGAGCCGTCCGCAGTACCAAGGGCAAGGAAGGGGTGAGATTGGTACACTCTACGGTGCAATGCATTCCAGATAACAAGGCCTTCTTTTTGAATAGCGGCAAGATGATGAAAAGTGGGGAAAAGGAAGGAGACGACATTTTTTGGCTTGTTAGGGTCCTGGAATGATACCCCCAGGTAGAACACAGCATTGCTTGTAACGACAATCTGGGGAGTGCTCGTACACGACCCAAATATAGAGCCAACAGTCTGATGACTTGCTCTCATAGAGCTGAGCACCATCAATAGACATCATGACGATGATGTCATCATCACCAATCCGACCGTCCCGAACAGCATCGCGGTAAGCAGTTCCATCGAGAAAGTCTTCAAACTGCATCTTGACATTGCCATTTTGACGAAGTTCATCAAACATTTTCTCTGTTTTCTGCCGACGATACTCCATCTCTTCAGCACTCTTTGGATCATGATAAAGCGCCTGAAGTTGTGGACCGAGGGGAAATGTGGTTGTGACTGCACGAGGGACTTTCTCCTTGCCTCCACTTTGCTCGAAACCTGATGGGATCATAGCGAGCCTCACTACAGATGCTACACATCAGTAGATGTGAATTGGGACCTGTGAATGCCATGCAACTGTTGATACACATGTGGTGTTCGATAGGATCAATACTGCTGAGTTCTGTGACAAGTTTCTTGACCTTGTAGAGTGATGGAAAGCCTTCATCGTTGTCAGGAGATAGATGTCGTGCACATGAGTTTATTGTAGTTACATAGTCACGATCTGCATGAGTGAGGTTCAGATAGAGTTCGATTGCTGTTGCAGTAACATCATCATTGATGGTGGTAGGTTCGCAGGGAGGATTTTGCAAGCGCTTGAGTGCATTTGCAGTCATTCCTGTTCCTGGGTCATTGAAGGAGGCTACTCTGAGTGCACCAATGTACATTACAGAGTGGCAAAGATCGTCAAGTTTGATGTGACTATTTAACTCCTGTAGTATTTGTTTGTCCACTGTCATATCCCGTATTCTGGACCTACGTCTGATGATGTTCCCCTCTTTTCCGCACATCCTCTATCCTCTGTCCGCTATCCGCTGTCCTCCGTGCATTAGCAGATCCTTACTTCCGATTTCTGTTCCGGAACTCAACACTCCGGATATCCGAAAGCCTCCTTGATGGATGCTTCCACTTATACCTCCAACCCATTCCTTATCATCTCAGGACTTTTCCAGATTAGAATGGACATGCATCGTGATTGCTCTATGAAACGCTGATACTACTTCTGATCCATTTCCGGTTTCTGGTCTAGTAATCCCTCACCAGTCAACGATATGTTTTCCGGATCCGTTCCATGTCCAGGATGCCCACTGGTGATACTTCCGAACGTCCGGAGTTTTCAGCACCAAGTCCCTACTTCGCGTTGCAGCTCATCCATCCATTTCTGCTCAAATCCACGTCAAACCTCTGGTCCTCCAATCCATTGATGATCTGTTCACTTCACACCTCCGCTCCGAACCTCCACTTCACACATCCGTCCTCATCCTCTGTCACATTTCCACTCTGCAACATTTTCCGTCCGTTATCCGTCCTGTTCCTCTGCACTCCGTTTCCGTTATCCGCTCCGGAACTCAAAACTCCGGATATCCGATGACTTTCTTGATGAAAGCTCATACTTCTACCTATGACCCCTTCCTTGTCTCTGGACATTTTCGGATGTTAGTGGATATGCTTTGCAATAGCTCCTTCCAGCCTTGGTAACCATTTCCGCTCCTATCCTGGAAATGCACTAGCAATACTTTTGGACCTACGAAGTTTTCAGTACCAATCGCATTGCAACTCATTCCGTGCATGCTACATCCATCCGTCCTTCCGCTATCCATCCGTTATCCATCCGCTATCTGTCCGCTATCCATACGTCCATTATCCATCCATTATCCGTCCGTCCGTTATCCGTCCGTCCTCTGTCTTGTGTCCTCCGGATTGCAATTTCCGACCTCTACCCCCTATATCCAGATCTCAACCTTCCGGATTTCAAGTGGCTTTCTTGAGGAACACTGTCACTCCTACCTCCGACCCATCCTTCATCTCGGACCATCTTTGAATAGTATGGATATGCTTCGCAATAGCTCTTGGTTGCTTCAGTTGCCACTTCCGCTCCAGTCACAGTTCCTGACTTATACTCCATCACCATTCCATAGCTGTCTTCTCCAGAGTCTACTCCAGCTCCGGAAAAGCACCGGTGATACCTCCGGAAATCTTAGCACCAAAGGCCTGCTCCGCGTTTTTCACTTTCTGGTCCATCTGTTCAAATCCGTGATGCACTTCCAGTTCCGTGCATTATCCGTGCATGATTTGCGCAACCATCCGGTCCACTGACCATCCGAAACTCCTGCCGGAACCCTCTTCCTATTTTCCTTCTCCAAAAGTTTTGGGAACTTCTCCCAAAAGGGGGGATAGGGACTCCGCTTGAGTATTCACAACACCCTTGTCAATGTATTTCCACCCAGAACCACTCGCTCCGTCCCATGCCCATCCAAACTATCCAGATGCATTCCCCAGTCGGATCCGCTTCGGACGACTATGGGAAACACGCATATTGCATTGCGCATCATTTGAACACATCCAGATCCGTCCATCCAATATCCATTGAGCCTGTCGAGAGTCGTCCGATGTTTTTTGCATCACATCCACTAATGTCCTATTGCACTTGGTTGCATATCCGGACCCTCTCACCTGGAATACACTCTGACCCGTCCGCATCTACCATATCTGGTGGATGAACACACTTCTGATAGCACCGAGTCACCTCCGCTGATTAAACCGTCCATATATCCCTAGTTAACGCAGTTACCTGTTGCAGGACTAGCGAGCTAGAAGGATCCGGTCTGATTCAGTACTCACCTCCACCTGACCAGTGTTAACCTTCGGACCATTGATATCCGGTCCGTTGTACCCCTTCCGGAACCTCCAAACATTTCCGGAGCTCCATCCGAAAATCACGTCTTTGCAGATGTTGTCAATCCATACAATCCGACCCATAGAACAGCTTGCTCCGTCCTTACGAGCCTATACACTAGCTATCCTATTGCTCCAGCAGCTGTACTAATGGATATTGAACATTCCGGAAAGACATCCTCTCTGCACTCCCGTCCTTCCTCCGCATTTCCGATACTCCATGTTTCTGACCATCCGCATTTCCGACCCTCTGTATTTCCGGATCTCCTGTGTACCTCTGTCCAGCTCCTACCTCGGACAATTCAGACCCATCCATCTTATCACATAGATTTCTGTCCACCATATCCATTTGTCTGAACCACGCATCCGATGCAAATCCGCTATCGACAATATGACCTCTAGTGCACTTGGAAACTCTAGCCATCATCCAATCCGTGTTCCGCATCCTTTCCGGTCTTAGGGGCTATTTTCCGGACGCCCATATCCGGCAGATTTCCATGCACCTTTGCCTCTCATAATAGCATTCATCACAGTTTGCATCCTGTTTATTGCCAGACCTTCGGAAATCCCGTCCGAACATAAGGAATCATGTCTTAGGACTTTCCTATGCTTCCTGCATCTGTCCGTGGTTCCTGCGCTCCGGACCTTCACTTCGGAAACCTATGCATCCTCACATTTTGTCCCTTCAACATTCTTCACCACCATCTCCGCGTTTTCCACTTCACGGAACCATTTGGCAGCCATCCTGCCTTCGGATGAAGGATTAGACTTAATGATGAAACTATACACCTACCAGGAACATATCCGAGACCTCCGTAGCTTTTCAGCTCATAGGAACCAACTCTCCGAAATCCGTCCATCATTGTCCTTTGCGATCTATCTGCAATCTCCGTTCTGGACTTCCTGAGTCTTCAGCCTCGAGGGCTCGGCCTAAAGGGGGGATACTGTCATATCCCGTATTCTGGACCTACGTCCGATGATGTTCCCACGCCTTCCGGACGCCTTCCGGATGCACATCCGGACCTCCATACCCTTATCCATGACTCCATACCCTTATCCATGCCTGCAGTCCTCCAGTCCACTATCGGTTTGGATCCGTACACCTTCGTACATCCATATATCCATACCTTCGGACCTCCGCAGCTAAGCCTGCTTCATCCACCCTTGATCCCATCGGATCCGAGCTCATCCTACCTGAGACTTTACCTTCCCTAGACTACCGGATGATATCCATGATCTATATCCTAGTCTCGTCTTCACCTAGATCTCCGGATCCGCTCATCCGATATCCAGACGCCTCATCCGATATCTCTAGACCTCCGGATCCGACCTATACTCATATCCGAAGCTCAAACCTTAAATCAGCGTCTATCTCCTTATGGTAATCCTCTTGACTCCGGACTTCGGTTATCTGTGTTTCCGTCTTGCTTATTGATCCTTGTACTTTGTTCATCTCCGAGTTCATTTGTTTATGTTCCGTTCATACTTACCAATATGTTTCCACATGCTCGTACATAGCATTTGTCTTCAGCTTACTGATCCTCTCGGATCCCGTCCAGTATATAAACCTCTGTACAACTCCTGTAAAGTTTCCTCAGTTCGAATATCATCTTAGATTGCACTCATTCCGTCTGGACTCTGAGTCCCTCCGTTATCCATCCGGACTTGAGTACGCTACTCTTGTCAACTCCGAGACTTAGGATAGATTCCTATAGTCTACATATCCGCCTCTGTCTTCGGACAGTCCTCACCCGTTAGTTTCTAGTCCGGATCCGATCCGGATTGGCCGTTACTCTATACACGCGATACTTTAGCTCTCTGAAATAAGGGGCAAGACTCGGGAAAGGGGCACAGCGCACGAGCTGAGGCCGAAGCCCTTCGGATCCGATACTACTTGAGTACGGTCTTAACATCCACATTGAGAGGCTCCAGATAATCTCAGGTGCATCTCGGAGTGATGTATACCCCACAGGAGGGGATGGGCTTCACTGAATAGGCTGCTGATGGTCAGAAAAATTGTCGTGAGCGACATATTCATCCATATTTTCCTGACAGAAGTTTTAATTAGTCTGACTACGAAATTGAGATGAATAGTGTAAGTTTACAATGTTGTTGTCCACTGTGAGTTCAGCAGAGCTGTCCGTACTATTGGACTCATGGTGTCGATTGGTTTTGTGCTGCAAAAACTGTGCGTGAAGGCCACCATCACTGTCATGATTTTGTTTTCACAGGTTCTCAATGAATCCACGGAAACTTTGGCTGAACTGTGATTGTTGTGGAGGTGTACAAAATGGTGCATGTTTGTCATAGGTTTTCTTATTGTCTTTGGTGAGAATGCCATAGCAGTAGCGGAGACAGTCGCAATAGGATTCCTGTGTGGGTTTGGGTGCTCTAGGCATAGTAATTGATAGTTTTCGAGGGGAGTCGTGGAGGAGACACACGGCGCTGAGCTGGAGAAAGATGCAGATATACTTTGTGTAAATTCCCAGCTCTGCATTGAGTGCATATTGCAGTGTTGCTTGCTGTCTACCATGCAGATTTGCAAGATCATTTGCAAGACAATTGTGCAAAAGATGAGATTGACATTGTTAAGCTTGTGAATTATTCCCATTTTCACGGTTCCTCACTACTACGCTTGATTTACAAATTGCTACTTCAATTATTCTAGATTCCCCTCGTTCTAGCTCGAAGGACTTTCACTGGGGTTCAGGACTGGACCACAGCAGCATTACCACTCACATCATGTTGGCCCCACCACTGTACTCTCAACAACTGCTCCTGTTGTATCTACATCATCACAGCCATTATTGCTGTCTGGGCATCCTAATAGTCACAGTTTATATTACTCCGGAAACCCACAATACATATTCAATTAAATTACTATATATTAGCCACTGGTACACTTGTATATATATTCCTAATGTCTATCCTAAGCGTGTCGGACTGCGAAATCGGCCAGTGTGACTACACCATGACTTTCCGTGACATCTATGTGACTGCGCGAAATGTGATGTGCACGAGCGAGTAGTAACCAATGACCCTTTCACATAATTAAGTGACAAGATAACCAAACCAGTGCTTTTCCTGATGCACCACAACAAGGTTTCAGCTCTTGAAATCCTGGGTAGATACATTGGAGGGATGCCATCTAACGGTAATTGGGATAACTTATCAATAGAGTACGTTCAAGTTGGTGTCCAATGAGATACAGTAATGCGGGAGAAGTTGCGTATCTAACCAGTAGAAGCGTCAGGATAGCAGAGTAACTCTGGAGAGGCTCAAAAGAAAACCACTTTCATGTAGCATCCTTGCAAGTTTCTCTTCTTCCTTTTCACGCGGCTCCCTTTCTAAGCTCAGCTGCCAGAAGACATCGCTGACATCTTTGTCGCCAAACTGTCCAAGTACATCATCCAAGTAGACAAGAACAGATGGGAGGGGATGGAAGTTGTGCGGCTGAGTTTGCCAGCGTTGAAGGTCTTGGATTACCTCTGAAACCTTCTGGCGTTTTCGGAAGTTCACCAGGTTGTTCGGAAGGGAATCCTTACTGCCGTCTTGAATGTGTGTCAAGGCAGTAAGAAACACCCCTGTTTGGGGATCAATTCTCTCATTTTCATAGATGTAGCGTCGACTACGTACCAACGAATGGAACACACGGCGGGGAAACTTTCGCAAGGGCATGTCGATAGATGTTAAACGTCTTGTAAGAATTGATTGTTGTCTCGCATGTTTCCAACTGTGACATGTATCTGGTGCCCACTTGCTCCCAAGAGCGTTTAAGCCGACGGATAGGTGACGAGTTTAGGCCAGATACGATAGCTAACATAGTCGAAAAATTCTGAATGTGCCTGCAGCGCTATAGGAAAGACGTTAGTAGAGCACTGAAATTTAACGAAATAAACAAACATCAGCGACACTGATGAAATGTTTCATGATGGAAGCGCGTCTGCGAGGTTCGTCTTTGCAAAGGATGGCATATGCGACCCAGTTGGCTACCTAAATAGGTGCGTCTGTGAACCGCGAACCACGTGCAGCCAGGGAACTTACTCTGTTACTACGGCGAATGAAGTTTGCGATGTTGTCATGGTGGTCAGTTTTCGATTCCTTGGACCGCAAAAGGCATTCAGAAGGTCGAATCTTCTGGTATAACTGGCTTTCTGTGATGGTCAATTGCCTTGCTAGCTCCAAGGAGTCAATGTCGAGTAGCTCCATCCGTTTAGGGACTATTGGCGGAGGTGGCGGATCCAGAGCCGTGCTAATCGTCACTTTGTTCGGATCACGTCCTCGCTGCTATTCCATAATTCAGATGGTACAACCCCGACGCTGATACAGCACGCACAGCACGTTTAATGATCACCATAAGCTGCTTTGCCGCAGGTAGAGTGATGACTTCATCATGCGAAATAAATTCTATCATGCGATCAAGGATGTACGCGTCGTCTCTCTCCAACACATCGTCATCTTGAACCATTGACTTAATCGTGTTAATAACCCTAAAATAGTTCAGCTACAAGGTCTGAGACAATAGCCTGGCTCACCTGATACGAATAATCTGTTGCTTAAGCTTCCGCCACTCCACCAGCTCCGGGGAGTTTAGACCTTCTGGAGGCTGTATCCAGAAGCGCTCCACCAACAACCTGAACAATTCATCAAGGGTTGTGAAGGTTTTGTAAGTCATCAGAAAAGCTTTGCTGAACTTGGGATCTATAATCAGGAGTTAAGAGAGACGGAGATATACTAGCAGAATCTTACTTACCAGCATACTCGTGAGCGGTTAGCCGCTCAACTAGGCCTGCAACCGTTCCACCTCGCGTAGTTCCATCAGGGTCGACTAGTACATCATTGGGATCGTACGTCGGTCTCAGATACCATGGTTTGGTTTCGGCATTGAGGGTAATGAGATAGTGAGAGGGTGCGTCGTCACCAAAGAACGCCTTTATCTTGTCCTGCCGAGGGGGGGTTCTAATTATGCGAAGATCTGTGGTCTACGTCAGATTATACCAATGGGTACGAAAAAGAAGAATACCCACCTTCATAGTCAGCCCATGGTATTGTATCGGATATCAGAGGTAGTTGTCCGTTTATTACAGGCGAAGCCGATATTTCTGATATAGGCGTAGTACTATCGATACTTGCAACATTCCTGAGGATATCATCTGTATCATCTGCTTCGTCATTGTTCGTATCGTAGAGGCCGTTATTCGTGCCGTTAAGTGCCTCTTCGGCCAATATTGCTGTAATGAGGCTACGTTGTGACATACGCCACTCAGTGGGGCTCTTGTTACTCCGTTCAAGAATATCCGTCTGTTCCTGCACGATGCCGAGAAGACTTTCGAGAGTCTGTCGCAGAACCTGAAGATTAAAGTCCAGTGAGGAGTTGAGCGCTTCGAGGGTATCATAATGTTCATCCCGACCGCGCCATGTTTCGCATTCTTCTACATGACGGATCCGCTGTGTATTGGTGAGTAGTGCAGCGCCGTCGTCGTATACAGCCTGAGTAGCGGCTTCGAACGACCGTACGAGGACTCTGGCTTTCTCAACAGTCCGGAGATATCGAGCACCATCATTGAGTTCCTCCTGATCCACCGGTTCGATGTCGACATGCCGAGCGACGTGCAGGTCGCCAAGGTGGTGGAGAAGGGATGACAACTGATTCATCATTCGTAAGCCGGTTGACGTTACCACGTTGGCTACGAAAGCAAATATTCAGCCGAGATGTGCGGACTTGTAGGACTTATACTCACCAGGTGCAGAAGCACGTAAGCCTTCAACGAAGTCATTTGACCTGTCTTGTACCTGCAGTACCAGTCCCACGATGTCGTTTAAGACTGCGCTGTCTAAGCTTCGCCGGGGAGCTTCCTCATTGCCATCGATAGTGACCCAACCAAATCCTTTCCAAGCCCCAGCAGCCCCGGCGCCAGCCTTCCCAAGTCCTGCATGTGGTGCTGAGAAGTAACCCTGCAAGTGTCTTGGACCCTTGTCGCAGTCCAACTCGTCACAACGACAACTTTGCGTGATCGACACGAAATCGACAACGGAGCGCTCAAGTTCTGTGGCATCAGTTGCAAGGTTGCCGATGCTGTCACTTGCGCTCCAAGGACCGTCATTCAAGATCGCTCTCGCAGAGAGTAGAAACTTTGAAAGTGTCGCAATAGCTCGACGCTGTGCAGGAACGAGTAACGTGTGCGACGCTGTGCTCGTGCTCTGTTCATCTTGTGATCCTTTCGGAACAAGATGACTTGGTATTTGACCGAAAGAAGGACCGGAGACGTAGAGTAAATCACGAACTGAAGCAACAGCGGTACTGATGAGGCTATCAACGATTACTTCATCATCTGCAACGCGAGGGATTCCAAAACTGCTGCAGATGTGTGATGGACAGAGCGAATAGCTTGTTGTGACCGATCTAGCAATTCAGAAATAAGCTCTGGTGGTCGAGGAGAAAGAACTTCCTCCAGAGATGGTACTGCAGTCAGGAGGTGAGAAGGATCTTCGTCTGGCAGAAGTTCCTGGACTTGGGGAGGCATGGGTAATGTGGCAGCTTCCTTTAATCGAGAGCCCTGTCTGGCCACAAGCGGACGGTGAGAGTACGAGAAGAGACGAGGATCTTCAAGTTGATCCATAGACAAAGACATCTTACGGCTAGTAGATGAGCTCTCCCGCGTAGTAAGACTCCTCTTTAGTACTTGGTCGGTCGGTGAACCGGAGAGACCACCGGGAATGCGGTACGTATGACGATTGGAGGGAAGAGCAGAAGAGTCTGTCTGGGCACGAGTGCGCCCTGGTGGAAGGTCTGCGAGAAGTAATGGCGAGGACGGTCTTGCGGGAGCCGTCAAAACACCATTTAGGTTATGTGGGTAATGAGAAGATGACATGCTAGGTGGTCGGGCAGGCTCTACTGGATTCGACTGGGATTGAGAAGAATGGTTCACGACGGGTAGTGTGTCGACATCCCCCATAAGAAGCAAAACCGAGACCAGCGCCGGTGCCAGCACGAGAGCTCCATTGTGATGAAGTTAAGCCTGCAAGATCACAATCAAACGTTTCATCCTCCGTGTCGAACGGTAGATCACGAGATAGTTGCCCAGTGACTGTGTTGACATAGTAGATCTACATGTAAAAAGAGCTGTCACCTGAAACTGAGCGCTGAAGTTAGGAAAAATCATACCTGACCATCTCCGGAGACTTGGGGAATCCAGAAGTCTCTTGCAATTGAAGAAGGGGGGGGTGTCCGGCCTGAGGTGGGATTGCGGGAAGCCCCCTTATGCTCATCCGTGCTGCCTTGGAGACTTCGGGGGAGGCGCCAAATTGATGAACTCTCCATGATAAAAGCGTGCAATGACGGATAGAAATATCAAAGGTGAATTGTGTTGGCTGGTGAGGCATTCACATCTATTTTAAAATGTTTGCATTGCCCCTTGCATCCATGAGCAGGATCATCCATGGTGCGACGCGTGAATTATTGACCCGCATCAGCACTCAGCAGTGCCTTCATCAGGAAGGCAGTTACAGCACATGCGCACGCTGCATCGCAACGACCAGCCTTTTAAGCTCAGTGCGAATCAAATATCCCTGCTTACAGGTCGAGTCTATGTGCATGACATCTAGTAGCCGCATCGAGGTCCATCAACATCCATCAACAGTTAACAGCTATTCAGAAAACAAAAAACCTTGACCCTGGGTATTAGTAAAAACGAATCGTAAACAGCATGTCCAGACAGTACACAAAGATCGTATACTATATACTGCCATCAGAAGGTGCAGGCCAGCCTGTGACAAGCAGTAATTACTCATGAAAAGAATCGTGGCTCTAAGAAATGACGGGCCCCGCGATCACGAACTCACCGCAGCCAAAATTATACAAACAATTTTAAACCGAACAGGTGTCCAAAATTGCGTATTTCGGTGACCACAACATCTTGAGTAGTTGGGAGAACGCTTCCTCTTCACCAGTTCATGCTGCTCTCTTGCAGAACAGGAGCGGAAATAACTCCAGGGTTGAGGTGACGGCGCTCCCGCATGACAGGAGGAGAGATACGGCGCTCGTAGCCATCATCATCACCCTGGACACCTTGGTATCCACGTAAAACTGTCTTCCGCGTAGTAAAAGCTCCGCCTTCGCTGGCCGCCGATACTGTCCCGATCAAAATCCTGACCATCGGGACGTACGCCTGCGGGATCACCGACGGTTTCAGAGAGACGGCGATGCGCGACCTCTTTTCGGCGCTTGTAGTACCGATAAGCGACGATAGCAAGGATGATGAGCGCGATGGCACCGAGCGACGTTACGACACCGATGATCGCGTCCTGGCGGACTTTAGAAGAACTTGAACTACTGCTAGTGCTACTGCCGCCTGGAGTGGGACCTGAGATGGACGATAGTGCAAGAGTGGGGTCAACGCATTGGGCGAGCGATGCGGGTATACTGCCTTCTTGTCCAGTATAGAACAAGGACTTTTTATTGGAGATAAGCGAAGCGAGTGTGGAGACCTGGTCACTAGGGAGATAACCCTGCCAGATGGTACCAAGCAGTTCAACGTCTTGAATGCCGGTGTACGACGAGGGCTCGTAGACCAGCAGCTCGTAGCTTTGTACCTGAGAAGCTGGGATACATTTTCGGTACGTATACACGTATGCGATGTTGGGAGCACGTACCATCAATTCCAAGTGCTGTCGCAATTATCGAGGGGAAGTACTCAAATATCTGTCCTTGGGTATCCGAATTCGTTGCAACCCAATCCCAGTTAAGGGACTGATTGAACAGCACGCTGATCAGGGTGTCAGTAGTTGGCACATTGTTGACATTGAGCGTAGGCTGTGGCATAATGGCCGTTGGGAGATACGTCGGGATCGGTGCTGCAGAAGGCTGACTGGCCGGCGGAGCGGATGCAAGCGAGAACGTCGTCGTTGGGAGGTCAGGATTTGAATTAGTTGAGGAGGCTATGGGTGTGGACGTGGCAGTATTGACCAGCAGAGATGAGACCGTGGACAGGTACTGGTAATTGGTATTCGTGGTCGTAGAAATATAGGTACTTGACAACGACATCGTGGATGTCTCATTAAGGATGCCAGTACTGCTCATGGTCGTGCTATTTGGGAAGCTGATGACGGTCGATGAAGCAGATGCTGTGGATAGGCCATTGCCCGAACTCGTGCCAGTTGTGATAGCAGTAGTAGTAGTAGTCCTGCGACGGAGCATGATCAAACGGTCTCAAGCACGATAGGATTTAAACTTACACAGTACCAGATGTAGAGGAATCCGTCATCGACGTAGAGGATGGAGTGCAACCAATGCCATCACAAGATGACGTTGAGGAAGAAGCAGCCGAAGTGGTGGTAGGAGAACCAGAAGTTACAGGCGGAGAAGAAGCTGGTTGGCTTGAAGTGGGAGACGTTGAGGTAGGAGGTGGACAACCAATGCCAATGCCAAGTAACCCATCGCACGACGACGCGGTGGTGGAAGTAACCGGACTGGTGGTAGGAGAACCAGAAGTTACTGGCGGAGAATAAGCTGGTTGGCTTGAAGTGGTAGATGTCGAAGTGGGAAGTGGACAACCAATGCCAATACCAAGTAGCCCATCACACGACGATGACGACGACGACGACGACGACGACGACGACGACGGCGACGCGGCGGAAGCAACCGAACTGGTGGCAGGAGAACCAGAAGTTACAGGCGGAGAAGAAGCTGGTTGGCTTGAAGTGGTAGATGTCGAAGTGGGAAGTGGACAACCAATGCCAATACCAAGTAGCCCATCACACGACGACGACGACGACGACGCGGCGGAAGCAACCGAACTGGTGGCAGGAGAACCAGAAGTTACAGGCGGAGAAGAAGCTGGTTGGCTTGAAGTGGTAGATGTCGAAGTGGGAAGTGGACAACCAATGCCAATACCAAGTAGCCCATCACACGACGACGACGACGACGCGGCGGAAGCAACCGAACTGGTGGCAGGAGAACCAGAAGTTACAGGCGGAGAAGAAGCTGGTTGGCTTGAAGTGGTAGATGTCGAAGTGGGAAGTGGACACCCAATGCCAATGCCAAGTAGCCCATCACACGACGACGACGATGACGCGGCGGAAGCAACCGAACTGGTGGCAGGAGAACCAGAACTTACAGGCGGAGAAGAAGCTGGTTGGCTTGAAGTGGTAGATGTCGAAGTGGGAAGTGGACAACCAATGCCAATGCCAAGTAGCCCATCGCACGACGACGACGACGCGGCGGAAGCAACCGAACTGGTGGCAGGAGAACCAGAACTTACAGGCGGAGAAGAAGCTGGTTGGCTTGAAGTGGTAGATGTCGAAGTGGGAAGTGGACACCCAATGCCAATGCCAAGTAACCCATCGCACGACGACGACGACGACGCGGCGGAAGCAACCGAACTGGTGGCAGGAGAACCAGAACTTACAGGCGCGCTTGAGACTGATTGGCTCGAAGTGGTAGATGTCGAAGTGGGAAGTGGACACCCAATGCCAATGCCAAGTAACCCATCACACGACGACGACGACGACGCGGCGGAAGCAACCGAACTGGTGGCAGGAGAACCAGAACTTACAGGTACGCTCGAAGTTGGTTGGCTCGAAGTGGGAGATGATGAGGGAGCTGGACAACCAATCCCAAAACCGAGCAGTCCATTGCAGGATGATGTTGTGGCGGGAGCCGCCGAACTGGTGGCAACAGAACCAGAACTTGCAGGCGTGCTCGAAGCAGGTTGGCTTGAAGTGGGAGATGGCGAGGGAGGTGAGCAACCAACCCCTAAACCAAGCAGTCCGTTGCAAGATGACGTTGTGGTAGATGATGGATTGGAGTTGGATGATGCAACAGCAGTGGTGGTAGAAATTGATGCTGGCGAGCTAGACGGGGTGGTCGTGGGCGGAGTACAACCTATATCTAACCCTAAGAGCCCAGTGCATGACGAGCCGGTCGATGACACAGAGGTTGAGGGGCTAGAGCTTGTAGTAGGCGTACCAGTGCCTGTGGACGAGACCGTCCCGCTGCTGGACACAGAGGACGATGGGGCACTGGTACCAAGTCCGCTTCCAACCCCACTCAATATGCCATCTGAGAACCAGTCCATTAGAACATCACCCAAACTAAATAATGAACGAAATACACACCGAGACCACTTAAAATGCCATCAGGAGCTCTTTTCTTGAATGTAAAAGATCGCCTTGCATGAGAGTTGGAGGCCGACGAGTGTCGTGCATCGACTGGGAGAACGACAAGGGAGGAGAACGCAGTTGCAAGAATGAAATAGATAATAGAATACATAGAGATGATAGAATATTGCTGGATAGCAAGGACAGCGCGACTTTGGGTCCGCTAGGGATAGAACGAGTGTGCGTTTCTGGTCTCTCAAAGAGAGCGAAAAGTAGGTTCTAGGATATTTTAAAACACGAAGATTCTTAATTCCTGGAAGCTAGTTGGCCGATAATTGACAAGACGTCGCCGGCAGCGTCGCAGGAGCAGCAAAATTTGAGACCAGAAATCTGAAAACGAGGGAAAGAACAAGACAGAGTTCGAAACGATCTATGTAGTTAGTGCGTAGGTAGGTTTCGCGATCACACGGTAACACAACGAATGATCTCGGTTACAAAATCTGTTTTTAGCTTTCATGTCGTCTACGATCACAACTACGTAGCACTGGAAACTTGTTGACTTCACAGGTTTTGTAATTATGCCACTCCAAATATTCGAAACGACATCAGCAGGAACATGGATTCATCAAGGTGCATATGATTGGATAGTATGACAATACACGACGAAATGGTAGAAAATGCAACAACAGACTTAGATGAATCCGATCTAGAGTATAATTAATAACAACATCAACAGCACGTTGGCGGTGAATCACCTTGTTTGCAACATCCAAAGCGTCGTGGTCGGGTGTGAGCCGAACATATGCCTTCTTCTTACCATCAGGTCTAAGGGCAATCAGATTGTAATCTTAAAGCTCATTGCACGGATACGAACCGAATCAGGGTGTTGATTTTAGCAGCCTGAACGTCGTAAAGTTTTTTTACGGCGTCCTTGATTTGTCGCTTATTCGACTTTATGTCAACAATAAAGACGAGAGTATTGTGCTCTTCGATCTTCTTCATCGCCGACTCCGTGTTCAGTGGACTGTCATTGAACGGTAAAAAATTAATTTGTGTTATATAGCATAAAACGCACGAGACAATGGTTCGGAACTGGTCCATTCGTGGTGCATGGGGAATAGATTTGCGAGGGTACTTGGGGCTCCTGGGTAGGCGGAGTGTCTTGGGACGGTGGAATGTTACAGAGTATCGCTGCTTCCGTGTTGAATGCGAGTGCACGCCCTGCAAAGCGGCCTTTTTGGCGGCCTTGGCCTTGACATTAGTAGGGGCCATATTGATTTGAAGTTATTCTGCCCGTCGCCTGTATTACTAGCAGACCGATGATCAGGTAAATCGCCAATCCCCGAACTACTATACAGTTATAATCGGAATGTCCCGTAATATTACATAATATTAGTCATAAAGTCAGGTGATATGTGACATGGCACGTGTCACACGCGCACCATCGGTGTCTGCACGCGTTTGTCAGATATTACTTTATAGTACGCGTTGAGCACGCCTCGGCCTTAATGTATATCAAGACCCTGACAATTCAGGGATTCAAGTCTTGTAAGTTTGACCATTCTTTTCCGGTGATATCCCAATTTATGCGCTGCTTCTACCAGACCGTGATCAGACACAGATAGAGCCCTTCTCTCCTCGTCATAATGTCGTCGTAGGTAGAAATGGCTCAGGCAAGAGTAACTTTTTTGCAGGTGCCCATTATACCCCTGAACTATGTCTCTCGGTCTTACCCATGCACCCCCAGCCATTCGCTTTGTATTGTCTGATGCATACACCTCCATGTCCAGAGAGGAACGACAGGCTCTCCTGCACGAAGGTGTTTCCGTCACGACCACGCTATCTGCATATGGTGCGAAATTTCCAGTTATGATCCTCTAGCATCCTTTCTCATACTTGCAACCAGTCGAGATTGTGTTTGACAACTCTGACAATCGATTTCCAACCGGTCGCGAAGAGGTCATACTAAGACGTACCATCGGTCTCAAGAAGGATGAATATAGTCTCGACAAGAAAAGCGCTAGCAAAGCTGACGTCATGAATCTCCTCGAAAGTGCGGGATTCTCAAAGTCCAATCCCTATTACATCGTTCCGCAAGGACGAGTACGTGCCACCTGACCCTCCTATACTCTCCTAACAGAATATCTCAGATCACCGCCCTCACAAATGCAAAGGACCACGAGCGCCTTGCCCTGTTGAAAGAAGTTGCTGGCACTAAAGTCTACGAACAACGTCGTACCGAATCTCTTCGTATCATGGCAGAGACCGATGCCAAACGCACGAAGATTAATGAACTTATCGACTACATCGACTCTCGTCTGACAGAGCTAGAGGAGGAGAAGGAAGAGTTGCGTGAGTTTCAGGACAAGGACAAGGAGCGCCGGTGCCTTGAGTATGCACTGTATCAGAGAGAGTTGGAGGAGGTTGGAGAAGCTTTGGAGGAGATTGACGAAGAGAGGCGAGGAGAAGTACACGGTGCCAACATGAGAAGAGAGCAGTTTGATACCAGAGAGAAGGAGATACAGGTCCGTCCAACCCTCTCTCTCATTGAATCTACCATTGACACAGTCATAGCGCCTAGAGCAACAAATCTCGCAAGCGAAACATTCCCTTCAAGCTCTCAAAATATCACGGAAAGATGCACACTCCGAGCTTAATGAATTCATCCGCGCTCGTACAGAACTCGAGTGCATTGTTGTCGATCTCCGTGCAACAAGCGAGCGTGATGATAGCGCACTCAAACAAGAGCTTGCGTCCGTTCAGCACGCCACGCGGGACAAGGAGCGTGAACTACGTGATTTGATTCCACAGTGGGAAAAAGCCCGCACAAAAGAAAGTGCAGAAAAACGCAAGATGGAGGAAGCCCGTACTCAGCTTAACGCGCTCTTTGCAAAACAAGGCCGTGTCAACCGCTTCCGGACAAAGGCAGAACGCGATGCATACCTCAAGCAGGAAATCGCGAGTATGGAGGCATATCAACGGGCTCGTTCTGCAGCACTCGATTCCACTCGGAAGGATGTTACACAGAAAAGGCAGAACGTTGCTGAGATGGAGCGGAGAGTCGATAACATCCAGGGGAGCTTGGAAGATGGTAGAACGCGTGTGAAAGACATTGGAGAACAGGTTACAGCACTCAAAGAGCATCAGACCGAACTTATTGAGCGCAGGAAGGAGTTGTGGCGCGAGGACACCAAGTTGGATGGGCTGCTTGCGCATGCTAGTGACGAGTTGAGGGCTGCTGAGCGCAACCTTGCTGGTATGATGGACAAAGTGAGTGTATGCGCGCCCTCAATTTGTGAACCATTGTTTATTGTTTTAGGACACTGGCTCTGGTCTCCGCGCCGTCGACAGGATTGCAGAGCGACACAACCTGGAGGGTGTATATGGCCCGTTGTACCGTCTCTTCGAGATACCAGACTCGACGTTTAGCACTGCTATCGAGCTTACCGCTGGAAACAGGTACATCCAATCCATTTACATCAATCTCAACTTATGCTCACACCTCACAGTCTCTTCCACGTCGTCGTCGATACTGATGCAACTGCACAGAAGGTCCTTGACATCATGCTACGAGAAAAGAACGGCCGTGTGACCTTCATGCCTCTCAATCGCCTCAAACCCAAACAGCCCACTATTCCTCCAAATCAGGATGCCCTTCCTCTCCTCGAGAAGCTATCGTATGATTCTGCGCATGCCAAGGCATTCCAGCAAGTATTTGGCAAGACTTGGGTATGCCGCGACCTCACAGTTGCTGCTGCGTATGTCAAGAGCCATGGTGTTAACACCATCACGCTGGACGGTGACAAGGTTGATCGTAAAGGTGCCCTTACAGGTGGTTACCACGACGTGCGCCGCTCGCGCATTGAGGCCGTTAAGAATGTAGCGACATGGCGCTCCAAGTTTGATATGGAAGATAAACGTGCCAAAGAAGTTAAAGCTGCCATCACCACGCTCGAGCAGGAGATCACGAAGGTGACAGGGAAGATCCAAGTCCTTAGCGTTCAGCAGGCGCAGGCAAAGGAAGCACGCGAGGTCCTCCTTTCAGACTCGGCATCGCTCTCAAGGGAGCGCGAGAGATTGAGCGAGGGCATTGTAGCTCTAGAAAATGAAGCGGATGAATTGGAGACGGAGCTGAGCGGGATTGTACAGAGGCTACAGGGGTACCGCACTGAGCTTGCGAGCCCCCTTACACGGGCACTGACAGATGACGAAGCCAATCTGATTGATACTCTTGGTCAACAAGTGGATGAAAGGCGCAAGCGAGTGCTCGAGCTGAGCAAAACGAGAACAGAGGTAGGTGCACTAGCAATACTCATCCTGGAACACACAGCTAATATCACTCATAGCTTGATAGCCGCAAAAACCTTTTGGAAATCGAGCTCAGTGAAAGCCTCCGGCGGAAAGAGAAAGAGCTGCAGGTAACATTGGAGTCATTGGGTGACTCGGCGAATGGAGAAGTGTCATCCGCCGACAATCTGGATGCACGATTGCGTGAACTCAAGTCCCTCGATACTTCTATATCCACTTCGACAAAGCGTGCACAAGGTTCGCTCCTGACTAGTTCTTTGTGTCCGCGTGTACCAAATGTATTCCCACAGAGGCAGAAAAGGATTTCGATAAATTGACAGCTGACCTACAGGAACTTCGATTCAACTTAGAGAAGGCCCAGAATCAACAATCGGAGGACAGTCGCAGTGTCACAAAGCTGCAGAAGAACACCGAGCGATATCTAGCTAAGAAACAGATGCTTGTCGGTCGTAAGGAGGAGTGCAACCGCAATATCCGAGATCTAGGTGTACTTCCAGAGGAAGCTTTTGAGAAGTATACGAACGAAAAACTTGATCGAGTGCGGGTTTATCAGCTGTTCATCTCCGAACTTTGTGTGCTAATGATCTAACGACTTAGCTGGTGAAGAAACTGCACACTGTCAACGAAGGGCTGAAGAAGTTCGCGCATGTGAACAAAAAAGCTTTCGAGCAGTATAATTCTTTCACAAAACAACGAGATCAACTCTTGCAGCGCAGAGAAGATCTAGACAAGTCAGCCACGTCAATCGAGGAGCTAGTGCAAGTACTGGACCAGCGAAAGGATGAAGCTATCGAGCGAACATTCAAACAAGTCGCCAGCAATTTTGAAGAGGTCTTCGACAAACTCGTTCCTGCTGGCCGTGGGCGGTTGATCATTCAACGTCGGATAGACCAGGTAAATAGGACAATGATGCGTGAAATAACTTTACTTAATCTGCTACAGGATGAAGATGAAGTTATGGATGAAGGAGATGATACACAGCAAAGTAGCATTGACAATTACACTGGCATATCGATAAAGGTAATTTTTTTGGGACCGCTTTGCTGTTCAACTTATTGTATGGATAGGTATCCTTCAACTCCAAGGTTGATGAAGGACTTCGGATACAGCAGCTATCAGGGGGTCAAAAATCCCTTGTCGCACTCGCGACAGGTAACTGCATTTCTGTAGAGACAACCACGTTTCTGAGCTTTTCTCTCTAGTTTTCGCCATCCAGAAATGTGACCCAGCTCCTTTCTACTTATTTGACGAGGTGCGTTCAAATGATTACACGGAATATGCTGTTAGGTTATGTTGTTTCGTGTAGATCGATGCAAACCTGGACGCGCAGTATCGAACTGCTGTCGCAAGTAGGTGCCCTGTAGCACATCACAAATTGATGCTGATCTCTGTCTAGACATGATCAAATCTCTTTCGCATTCGGCTCAGTTCATTACGACTACTTTCAGGCCGGAAATGTTGGTCACCGCGGACAAGTTCTATGGTGTGCTCTTCAACAACCAGAAGGTCAGTTCCATCAGGAGCATCAAGCGAGAGGAGGCCATGGAGTTCGTGGACCAGGTTCGTCCCTTATTTTTTTTACCTGTCGAGCCTGTATCGCAACTAGCGTTTTTAGGAGGCCCAAGCTCAGTAATGATTCACATGACTTTGCGTCGTCCAAACGTCAAAGTGTCCTTTTATCATACGCTGTACGATATTTCTTCGCTTGTCGTGTTCATTGTTATCGCTATTATCCTGTATGTAACTTATTTCATGAGTAGAGAAAGACCCATTTTGATCTCCAATGCTCAATGGGACACCCATATCTTGCGCAATCAGTAAGGCAGCGCCAGACAGCTTTTGGCTTGTACATGCTACTTGAATGGATCGAACAATACCTTCCCGCATTTCCCTTTGTCAAAATCGTCATATACCTGCACTGCATCATCAAAACTCGCTATTTTCTCCACCAAGCTCGTTTCCCCACCCACAGATCCCAGTACATCCTGCCTTTTCAGGAGTAGCTCCAGTGCCATTGGGAACATAGCACGCACTGGACACCGACCAAAGTCAAGTGATACATTCTTGTCATAAAGCTCGACGCCTTTATATGGCACCGCCTGATCGCTGTGAACCCCGACAGAATTGATACAGCCAAACGGCCGTACAAGCTCGTAAGCTAGCCGAAGCGCACTGGTGTTACCAACGACCTTCAAGTGATGAATTAAGTCAAGGTCTACAGGCAGGTTGCAAGGAGCTCACTTCAAGAACTGCATTGCAACCAACTCCCTTGGTCAAGTTTGCAACAAGCTCTTTGACATTGCTAGTGTCTGCTACCTGAAATTCACCAAATTGTTCGTTGCCGCCGATAATAGAGTATATTGATGCCATTTTTGCCCTCCTAGCTTCATTCGGGTCAATGGCTATCACATTGAACTTCAGCTTTCGCGTGACGAGCATGTCAAGGAGAGCGATACAGGTGCACTAGTGAGAGCATGGTGACCATATCAAAACATGGCAAGATGTTGGGCAAGCATGGTAGTGAACTCACCACCCCCACGGGGCCAAGCCCTATCACCGCCATAGTCAATGATTTATCTTCTTCCAAGAAGGGTAAAAATGAAACATCTCCAATTTGCGGCGGACTCGCACTATGCGGATAAGGTTGTCTGGTTGTAAATGGTAGGGTTTTGGCATGACTGAGTGCCTGAAACGCGGCAAATACTCCGGTCGGAAGGATATCACACAGCAACAGCAAAGAGGAGTCAGCGAGCAAAGACGCATCAGGAATGTCCTGCAGACTGTACAGGGTGCCTCCAGCCCTGCGAACGCGAACATATTGGGCTTGTCCCCCCGGAGTCAGAGGAGTGCCAAATAGGCAGGACTCGATGCAACGGCACGTAAATCCTACTCTGCAAAAACTGCAGCATATGAGAATACTAGTTGGGGGCTGGTGAAACGAAACTGACATACTGGCACTCCCCACAAGAGACAGTAAACGGCGAGACAACCTTATCGCCGACATGAAGCGTGGAATACAAGTGCGGTCGACCGGTAGAGGTGGAATGAAAACTCGCACCAAGGGCAACAACTTCACCGATGAACTCGTGGCCCATGATGCAACTGCCAGTAAAACGTGTCCCTTGAGTTCAGAAGGCACTCTGTAGTAATGATTGGATTTATTTACGGTTCTGTGAGCCCCGCTGTTCCACGGTACATGTGTAAATCGCTACCGCACAGCCCAGCAAGCTTCGGGTGCGTAGTAAGAATCAAGAGTAGATGGAGTTTGCCGCACATCTGCGAACCTGAATCTTTACTATCGCATCGTCTGGGTGTTCAATCCTTGGAACAAAATACAAATCAGTGCGATCCTATGATGAGACAAGCGAGAAATCAACATACTCGGGAATGGGAAGGGTTTCGATACGAATGTCATAAGAGGGTGGGTGCCACCGCACAGCGCGTTGTGAGGTCAAAGCCTCTATCACAGAAGTCATGGGAGGGGGCCTGGTATGAATTTACCTGCAACCTAAGGTTGCCAATGAAGTTAGTACTAGTACTTAGCACTGGCAGGGGCGACTAGTAGTGAACACAACATGAGATCTCTACTAATACTATATGAGTCAGATCCGTCTTCTTCAAGTTGGATTTGCCACGGTACAGTCGGACTTCCGCAAGCAATACGCCGTAAATAACGTCGATCCTAGAACCTTAGGTTCTAGGGCACTTGACTGTACATGTGGTGGTTCATGAGAAATAAAATCAGATTCGAAACCTCCTACTATCCTTGACATTCACTTATTAGGTGTTCTTTCGGATGCTCCGAGACTCCGAGTCATCTGGGCTGACCAAGTTGAAAGTGGTTACCTAGACTTCGCAGGTTCAAAACCTGTCGACGACAATTTTTTTTCTATCGAAACACACGAGCTTCTCATCCTCGGGGGTTAATCTCAACCTCGTCCTGACCAAAATGGTTACCGCAAATGTAAGTTTGCTACATGTTGTAGGGACAAGGCTGCGAGTTCGCCGTGTGAGAGAGGGTGACAATTCTCTGTAGAACTACCACATAAAATTGTACTTTTATATGTAGCGTGAACTATGGAAACGTAAGAAGGGAAGTGGCACCGTGATCAAGGGATCAAGGTACGGTTCCATCGCCAAGGGAATACAATTCCTTACACAATCTCTGGGACTCAGTGGCATGCCTGTTCAAAACCTGCCGATGACGAGGTTTTTTTCTATCGGAACATGCCTTGATTCATTGACTTCAAGGTTCAAACGTTCACTCATGGTTGCTTTCCTTGGGTCCGAGGTTCATCTTAACTGGTTACTACAACCGACTCAAAATCTAGGGTTTTTTTCCCTATCGGCACAACCACACCTTGACATTCACCCATAGTGGTTTTGTTGGAAACTGGTCTTAGCCAAGTAGCTACCACAACAGTTAAAATCAGTTTATCTTGTACTGCGCAGGTTCGAAACCTGCCGAATGACACCTATCGGAACACAACTTGACATTGACTCCTGGATAATTTCCTCAGAGGTCCATCTAAATCTAACTGGTCTTAGCTTGGCAAGTGGTTAATACAACAGAGTCAAAATCTGTTTTTCTTTAAGTTGGTTCCAAACCTTGCTCATAACGTTTTTATAGTGTATAGAGGTCCATCTTAATTAGACCCGGTCATTGTGGCCAAACCTCCTTTTTATGTGTTAGCATGTCCATGAAAAGGAATTCACCTTCACGCCGCGCGAGGGTCATCTCAGAGACAAAATATATCCCCGCTCGGAGGTGTCTACGTGCCAACCTAGATTCTCGATAGACTGACCAAAACTGTCGGGATTCGCCATCAAACGAAATGTTAACGGGGCCGGTGGCCAGAAAAATGCACGCAAGCTAAGGACAGAGTGAGTCTGACAGTCAGGAAAATGATGTAACCTCCTAGCCTCACTGAAGCCACATCGATGGACACTCCTTCGGTCGTTGGCTTTTCTAATACGAGGATGACTTGAAAGCTCAAAGTGGAAAAAGGGGCTCAGCGAGATTGACAAGCCTCTAACAAATAAGGTGTCAAGTGATTGTAACCCGAACACGGGTGTAGTTGGCAAAGGTTTTGGGAGATGGGAAACTGATCGTGTACATCAGGAAAACGTAATTCGTTACAGAGTGCTACAGAGCGCTCTGTAGCACAATAGAACCCGCTGATGTACTCCTGAGGCTCATCCACTGTAACATTGGGAGTCGGGGATGCCCTTTCGGTCCATGGTCAGCAGGTACATGGATGCTGATCGGATGTTGTAACTGATGACGTGAACGTGATATTTGTGGCCCCGAAAACTACATATTGAATCAGCTGCCTCGATGAAGAATATTAATTGGCCAGAACATCATGCCCCCGGCAGTCACCGGGTCACCCGAATGTTGCTATAGACTCGTGACCAGTCCGACCGAGACTCTGACGTATAGCTACGCCACTCGACGATAGTAAGCCAGGCTAGTCTCGAGCCTAGCTGGAACAAAGCTGGAACCTACGAATATCAAGATGAACGTCATACGTACGCGCACTAAAGAAGCTGGAGAACGACGCTGTATCGAGTGTCTACGACATGGCGGGAGACGACGAGAAGAGGACAGTCTACGACGTAGGTATATATACGTAGTCGGGACTATCCGAACAACGAACGATGACGAGGGGTGAAATACCAAACTCTAACACGCACAACTCAGTTGAATAACTAGTGGTCAAGTGAATGACCGATATGAATGTATGCGAGTTGTTCTTACGAGGTTCAGCAAGTTGTACACTAACTCTTATTTCGGTATGTGGTTGCAAGCAGAGCGGTAATTACCTGTCTACGATATCCTCATGTAGCATTTCAAAAAGAAATTATAATAGGGGGCGCAAGACGTACGTGCATATCAAGACCAAGTATCTGTCACTCAGTCGGGGAATGAAGATTTGTAGCTATTGATAGGAAACGCTTTATGACCGACTTTCCCTTCGATAAATTATTCAGGGAAATGCGCTCATTAGGCAAATGAGCTTGGTCCTTGATTGCTGATCATCAGCTTCAAGGAATAAAAAGTCAAGACTGAACGCACGGTGCTTTGTCCTAGCGGGAGGTGAAGTGCTGGGCAGCCGAATTCCTTCTCTAGATAAGGAATCGATGGGACGGACTTCATAAACAGTGAGCAAGAGGAAACCTGATCCACACAGATCACTCACGCCACCCTCTCGGATGAGTAATGGTTCTACATTCCACTCATCGTGCACAGCAGCCTTGAGTGCTTTGAACCAGGGGCCATCCAAATTGCCGAGCCACCAATCAGCCGTGCGGTCAATGCTCACCTACGAGATATCGTGAGCTGCAGAATCATGGTCAACATGAATCACGCACAGAAAGCTGGTTAGGTGACCCGAACTTGTCGAAGGACCCTCTGAGGTGATTAACCAAAGACTGAGCGATGGTTTGCAAATCCTGATCTGGAACAATGCGAAGGGACACCTTTGCAGTGACCTTTCCCGGGATTACAGTCGAGTCTTGACATGATGAGCGACATCCAGGTGCGAGCGGAATGCGTGACTTACTCCTAGGTCCAGACACGTCTATATTATGTACAGTCAAAGATGGCTCACTCCACCGCGAAGATAGCACAGAGGCAGGCTTTTGAGTTACATTGGACAAAACATCGTACAATTGCTTTTCGGCCTCTGTCTGATGACGAACACAGTCGTCTGTAAACGTCGCATTAGCCTGGCCAAACAAAATCGATGCGCAGCGGATGTGAACGAACAAAAATCCGGTATAGCTACCTTTCCTTCACCACACATTAAAGTTGCAAGAAGGCGAATCCTGAGATGAACGTGAGTCCGGATCTGACCATTGGGATTCATTGACATACATATCAAACATTGGCTCCGGGGCAACACCTCCTTCGACACCAGAGTGCAAGTCCGGTACACCACTCGCTATCTGCATCACATGTCAGTCCGAGTCACCACAATAACGAAAATCAGTACCTCTACTGTTGAGTGTACGACACCGCGGAGACCATACGTGATACAAGGATGATGTTCAGAAATCCAGGTCGAGTTGCTACCGCAGATGAACAAAAGGAAAGGAGATGATCAACACCAACTTACCTGAGTAAAATAGCATCTATGTTGCCGATCAGGTGCTGAAAAATAACGGAAATGAGCGTGGTCATATAAGCACAACATGACGTGATCCCACTTTGTGTTCTTTTATTGCATCAACAAATCCGGTACTCCCAGTCTCTTCCTCACCCTCGATAAGGAAAACAAGATCAACGCCAAGAGCGCGGTTTTGGAGAAGTTCTGCAGCGGCGCAAGCTACAGCCATGATAGGGCCCTTATTATCCGTCACCCCTCGTCCATACAGATAACCGTTACGGCCTGACACAATGAAGGGATCAGTATCCCACCCTTTTGGAGGAGCAGAAATAACATCGTAGTGCCTGTTGTTTAAATCATGAGGGGAGATAAGTCCTATGAAACAGTTGTAGTACCCATAAAATAGTATTCTTGGCTTTGGATGTTTCCCTTGAGTCCCATGAAAAGTCCCTAGAACAAGGGGACTTCCGGCTTCATGTGTAGGTAACTAAGATGCTATACGTAAGCAAAATGGATGGAACAAATTGAATAAATTTACCAGCGCCGACTGAGCACCTAGCTGGTTCAAGCCCTTCTTCAGCCAAATTGCAGCTTGACGACAGTCTTCCCTGTGGCTCGGATCGCTGCTTACACTCGGTATTGACACGAACTTGGAGAGTGCATACGTCATTGTATCTCCTACAAAATTGAGTGATTGAGGGGCGTAGATCGCAACACAACATGCCTTGGGTAACATCCGAATCAGATATCAAGGCGCTAACCTCGCGCAACTGGGAAAGATTGTCCTCGGCTTTTGGAACGATTGCCCAAACCTGTAGGTTTTCAGGTAAGTATCAACAAGCTATTGACAAACACTACCTTAACGAAACCATCATTCGCCCCAGTAATGAGACAGAACGACTTGCGATCAGAAGAACAGGAGACAACAGAGGAGAGCACAATACCGTCGTGAGCTTGCCACGACGCTGTGCAATCAAACGAAGACGACCATCTCTGAGAGGTACAAAGAAGATTCAGGTGGCGACGAAAGAAAGTAATCTTCCACGCCTACGTGAATGTGACCATTGGCAGAGCATGTGTAAAGATCAGACTGCATGATCGATAGCGAAAGGACGTCGACATTCTTGTATACAAATATGAGGTTTCGCACTAAAATATATGTGGATGCGCCTACTTCTTGGACGATGATTGATCTAACAATAGTCAGTGTTTCGAAGTCAAGTACCTTCACGTGCCCATCTTGGCATCCAGCGTATATCGTCTCCCCAGAAGCGACAACCGAAAGTACGGCACCATGCTGACAATCGAAAGAGTGCATCATATTGAGACCAGATGGATTGCAGCACCAAATCTGTCAATGGTATAAAGTCGGCTGACCCATCCCTTGACTTGAGATGAAACGAACCTTGACGGTTTCGTCCCCGCTTCCAGTGACGAGATAATAGTTCTGCCCCGGCTTTTGTGCAAGGTGTCCTGTGCCTTCCCTTGTCGAAGGCAAAAGAGCCATGCAATATATGTAGCCAAAATGAGCAGAGTCGATGACATTTGTTGCTGAGATGTTTATCAAAGAGTTAGTCCCAACTAATGCACCCTGACTGGCTGATGGAGACATGCTGAAGTTGTTGGCTTGAAGATCTGCAGGGCGATGGGTGTATTGTGGATAACTATCGAAGAATTTGTGAACTTTACGAGTTGGAGTTGATGTGCCTGAGCCGCATTGTTCTTCCGCGCGTCGGTCAAGCTGAAACTTACAGAACCCTTGCCATTGAAGTGAAGTGTTCTGACAACCAATGTAGATGATCTGCATTGCGGGGTTCCAGGCGAGAGAAAATAGATCGCCTGCTCCCGTTTCAAGGTATGGATTCAGGATGTAGACTGGTAGAAATGTCACTGTGGACCATACCTGACTTCCGTCAGTGGAAGCCGATGTATCAAAGGAGATAGACATACTCTGACAGTGCTATCACCTAGTTATGGTGCTAAGAAGACGGCAAATGATAGTACGAGAAGACCTACCTGAAGCGCTGAAAAGCCAGCCTTTCTCCTCCGCAAGCTCAAGGGCCAGTATGCTTCCGGTATGACCGCGAAGGGAGGTCTTGAGTGTAAATGTGTGTCTGTCCCAGACCTTGGATAGCATAGCCGCATCAGAATAAGAATTTAATCGGTGAATCCTAGCACACACCGCAATATCTTGCCCTTGGCCACCAGTAAAGATATGGTGGGCATTTGCCATTAAACTGAGGACAGATTTGTTGGCATCTCCAAGCGAGTGTAACAAGCGAGGAGGCGGTGCAGCTGAGCGGATGGGACGGCTAACGGACGCTTGTCCATCACGTGGAATGTCAAGATGAGTCGAGAGAGACATGATGGGGTAAACGCACGATGGGGAACAACCGTTGTGCTGGGTAGTGATGCATTTGCCATTATAAGACAGGTACCGCAACTTAAGCGGTAGTGCCGACGCTGAGGCAATGGGCCAAGAAGCGAATTGGGCACAATGGAAGCTGTTGGGCACATGCTCAGACCGAATAATGAAAGCCATCTTACGAAAATAACTAACTGTATACATACCTTGGCTCGCCTTCAATATCGCGTGCAGGGACTATGAGGCCTAGGGATATCGCTGTCGTGCACTTTGCGGCAAGACTTGCCAACTCGATGATTTACCACTTTTGTACTATATATATCACGACATCTTGGCTTTACGTTATCTGGCTTACCACCGCTTTAGTTCAACCAATGAATTTTCACTGCCAGCAGCATCTTTGACGCCAAATCCTATGATGGCATCAGATAGAGCGAAAATAGCGAAAGATCAGGTGAGTTTGTCGTCAACATTGCTCGCTTCAGGCGAGCTCAGGTGTCATCTTACGGCTTCCGCTTTACAGGGCAACGCAGCCTTCAAGTCGGGTGATTACCCAGCCGCGATCGGCCATTATACGTCCGCAATTCTTGCGAATGCCGATGACTCGACATTTCCTCTCAACCGCGCAGCAGCGTACTTAAAACTAGGCAAGTACGTTTATTCTGTTATATATCGCTGATGAGTCTGTCACCGGTTAACCAACTTCTGGGTTTGTAGGAACGAGGATGCAGAACGAGATTGTACGACCGTTTTGAAGCTGAGCCCCAACAATGTAAAAGCTTTATTTCGGAGAGGTCAGGCTCGAATGGGTCTCGGTTGTTTGGATAAAGCCCGTGCAGGTGAGTACAATATTTTCCGCGGAGAAAGATGAAGAATCTCAATATTTACCTCATAGATTTCATCAGGGCATCCGAATTGGAACCTTCCAATCAATCTGTGAAGCAGGAGATTTTAGAAGTCGATAAACTAATTCAACAGCAGAAACAGAAGCATGACAGTGCAGTGGGTACTGCAAACATCACAAGCTGTGATTGTTGAAGCAATCCTTGACATACAGAACACTTCTCGTCCAATAACTATACCATCAGGGGTTTCCCCAACCATAAAGCGGAGGCGCGTTCCAATAGAGATAGTTGAGGACCTGTCTAGAACGTCGCATCATCATAGTGCAGAGCTAGCAGTGGAAGATGTTGAAAAGCAGCCTAAAGGCCTCGAAGACAATGGGTTGCTGCAACCAATTTCTTCCAGGGTGATACCTCGGAGTAACGAACCCAGTTCATCAAGCGTCAAACCAGTTCAGAGCACTACCCCGCCTCTACCGAGGCAAACTACTTCAGCAAGAACAGAAAGTTTCAAAGACGCAAAGCAGTTACGGGACACTGCAAAGCCATCACGCATTGGTGGGGGGATATTCCGACCATCTGGCAACCATACACTGTTCGCTAGGAACGATGGAAAATCTGGCGCAGCTCCAGTGACAACTTCGCCTCCAGCCATGGTTGACGCCACTGTCCCACAAGCTCCTATGACTCTCTTTAACTTCACAAAGATGTGGGAGTCACACATGAAAGACGAAGATCGATGGAACATCCTCTCTGTATGTGATTCGACCTCTCCTCATCACGTTTCTAACCGGCATTGTTCAGGGAATACCATCATTGTCCCTTCCTAATATGTTCCAGGCGTCGCTGGAGCCAGTTTTGCTCTCATCGATACTGCAGCATTTTGAACGAGTTATAGATCTACAAATCGCGACTCCTGATAATGTGCGTGAATATTTGGTATCGTTATCAAAAGTCCAGCGGTTCGGCACGATTATGCTATTCATGGACAAAGACGAGAAAATGCTTCTAAAGAGGCTTTGGGAAACATGTGGAAAGCTTTGACAAGCTGACTGTTGCGTACATCGTATATGCGTGTAAGTAGGTACTATTACACAATTCGGACGTGGCTTCGTGCAGATAGCGCTAGTATTTGACCAAGCTCGAGTATGTATATGGGCGCTGGGTTTGATCGATGATCGATGATCCTCTATGGACTGTTCGAGTTTGGTATTTCACCCTTCGTCATCGATTCATCGTTCGTTGTTCGGATAGTCCCGACTACGTATACCCAGATATCCCGACTTATATACCTACGTCGTAGACTGTCCTCTCCTTGTCGTCTCCCGCCATGTCGTAGACACTTCATACAGCGCCGTTCTCCAGCTCTAACATGGACTAGTGACAATCCTCAGGGCATATGAACCATGAACGATCTTCATTCAATATTTTCCATGGCTGACTATAGTCTACGCTACTGGACTTTCTCCAGTTACATAAACGGACTTACATAATGGTATCCGCTTTCAGCAACTCTGCATTCGATCGAAATTCACCTTGAATTCATACAGTAGTACCACAACGCTTCATGTTAGCCCTTCAACGTTGCAACTTCAATTAGCCCTTCTTCATCTTCGACTGTCGATTCAACACTGATAGGGCATAATATGTCAGATACACTGCCCCATAGTACCCCCGAAGAATCTGTGGCAGCTATATCAATACCTGTGAGCGACGATCGAGTACAATCACTTGAGACGTTCAAGGCAAAGCTCCGAAACGCAGGATTATACCGGCCTGCCTCCAACGACACAGCTGCATCTCACGATGACGTAACTTTGCTGTACGTTCCAGTCTTTGAATACGCTGTTTCATCGAGTTCGATTCAAGCTTACGTTGTCTCAGGCGTTTCCTACGAGCTCGGCAGTATGACGTAGACAAAGATCAAAAGCAGTTTTCTGACACGGAAGCCTGGCGCAAACAACATAACGTTGACGAGCTGTTTCGTACCTTTGAGGCTAATGAGATGGAATCAGCCAGGAGGTTCTACCCTCGATGGACAGGTCGTCGCGACAAGGTTGGCAGATAGAATTTACTTCGGTCATCGGCAATCCGATGGTAATATTCTGGTCCACAGACTGGCCTGCCGGTCTATGTATACCGTCTTGCTTCCTTAGATGCGCCGCTTCGGAAGGAACTCGAGTCTGTGCCTTCAGAGCGCCGATACCAGCGAATGTCAGTACGCATTTAAATCACGGCACATCGTTAGCTGAAGCTATATAGCGTTGCGCTTTACGAGGCGATGACGCGCTTTGTGCTGCCATTGTGCTCTCATCTTGCTGCACCAACTCCAGTATCATCAGTGACCACTATAATTGATTTGGAGCAGGTATCCATTTCTGCCATGTGGTCTTTACGAAGCCATCTTCAGGTGGCCTCTACGATGGCTACAGCGAATTATCCAGAGACCCTCAGTACAATCGCTATCGTGAACTCACCATCTTTCTTTCCTACGATATGGAATTGGATCAAGGTTTTTCACATGTATGTATACTTGTGTTCTTTTAATGCTGACTTTCCTCCACAGACCTGGTTCGACGAAGGCACTCGCAACAAAATTCACATCTTGGGCAAAGATCCGGGTCCTACGTTGAGATCGCTGATCGATGAGAAGGATATCCCACAGTCGTATGGTGGTCGACTGCCATGGAAGTTTGAAGATGACCCAGATCTGGATGACACGATTAAAAAAGTTATTGGTGAGATGCCCAAGGGTCCTGTACTGTTTGTAGACGGTTCCACGGTAAAGCTCTTGGGTTAGTTCTTCAGAATATATCGATTAATTAAAGGTCACCTTGTGACATTGCTATGTTACATTACAAGTGGGGGTGTGTACGATGATATTTAAAATAAGTCCATAGCGAATAGGAAAAAATATCTGCGAGCAGTAAAAACACATCTATGCATCGTCATCTTCAGGTTCCGCAGTGACACCATCCTCATTCCAAACTTCAATGAACTACACAACTATCAGCCTTACGAGGGGGAAAAATGGAAGATGACACACCGTCAGCCTGTGAGCCGTCAGGTCGTGCTCCTGAGCGAGAGAAGTAGTGGCATAAGGGAGGCGGGTCCACGTAATTGGAAGTTGATGACGTCTGATAGCAGGTTTGTCACCGATAGCACTCTTCTTGCCAAGCACAAATTTAGAACATTTCCTGAGGGGAAAAGAAAGGTTACTAATAAGGTTAGACCTCTATGCAAAAGACCCACTCTTCTGAAAGCGCGTAAAGAGATTTAAGATGGGCTTTAAGAAGCATGACAATCCCAATGGTTATTGAGCTTCTCATGACACCAACATCGATGTGGGACACTTCAGGTGGGGCAGAGGAAGATGGAGCATCTGGAGTTTCCTGAACAATTGAATGCGTAGGGGAGTCAGACAGCGGTGGCTGGTGAGGTGCACTATAGAGGGGTCGAGTATCGTGCAGCTGTGCTAGGAGGTGAGAAGGCGAGAGAAGGTCGATCACTTGCATGCCAGCGGTTGATAATACGGAAGTCAAGTGTTTAATAACAGTAATGACTTCCTCTTGTGTTCTGTATTCGAGTGAGGCAAAATTCTCTGCCATGTATCTTGCGAAGTCAACATCATCCTAGTTTCCCGTGAGCATTATGAAACAATATAAGGCAGTACATTACCTGTGATGATTTCAAAGAAGGGTTGATATCAAAAGATTTTAGGAGAGCCCTTAGGAAGTCTTGACGAGAGGTTCTTTTCTCCCGCACGAGAGAATACCACCTCTGAAGCAGTGCCGTTGGTTCTGCTTGCGTTCGGTAACCTACACCAACGTTCAAGACATGTCACAGTAAACAGTAAAGTAAGATGTCAAACCTTTGACGGCATCTGTGGAGATATTTTTCTGGTAGTCGAATGACTGTCTTGCACTAATGATATATCGAGCATTCAACAAAGACGCGTGTTTACTCCAGAGTATTGCGTGGAGGGCATTGGCCCGTGAGCTGATGGCAGCATTTGGGCTAGTTTCCAATGCAACAATGACAGGGAAGGACTGCCGAAACTGTGGTCAATGAACAATCATAAGAAGACCAAAACACGCACTTGCAACGGATGGGCGAGACCCTGTTTGATGGTGAAGCTGAGAATGTCAACGGCAACATTCTGGATCTGAGAATTTTGAGACAGGGCCGCATCCAAGATTGAAGATATGTATCGTTGAACAACGGCTGAGCTGACACTGTATCTTCATTAGTAGATCCTTGCGAGAACGATTGTTTGCCCTACCCGGAGTCAGCAAAACCATCTGTGTTCCCTACCAATTCTGCCATATCCACTACCCCGCCTTGCTTGCCTTTGGTGCCTCCTGCGGACAATAAGTATAGTGCAAGGACACAAAATACGGCCCTAACCTTTCTGCTCCTCGTGGTGCTTCATAGATTCGGACACTAAGAAGTCGTGCATGATGCGTAAAAGTCGCCCGCGGCTTTCAAGATCAGAGGAATGAAAAATGTCATCCATGATGGAAGCGGACCGCCCCAGCGTCATTAATGTCGGTTGTGCACGGAACAAGAAGCCTTCATGAAGGTGAGAAGCCCACGAACTAGAAACAGCGATGAGGCTTACCGAGACACTGAAGGATACGTCCCTTTAGACCAACGTCGTTGTACTTCTCGTATAACTCCAGTAAACTCCTGTAGATGTGCTCCACGATGGGTCCCTGAAAGAAATATCGATGAGTTCGATAAGTCAGATAACAAAACTAAAAGACGGTACGGGAGACAGAGAGTTCAAATCTGAAACGAAATCTTGAATTAATGTTAAACTACTGAAAGTGTGGACATTTGCGGCAGCTTTACCTGGATGGTCATCGCGGAGGCGGTCAAAGTCGCAATGTTCACCGAGTAAAGCGACAATAAATATGAGAATGGATAATGTCCTATTTTCAACCGCTGTCATTTGGTAAGAGGATGGGCGAGCGATGGCCTGTTGCAATCGAGCTAGAGCATGACGTGAGCACGAATCTATCCAAAAACAAAGTCCCCGTACCATTGCAAGACTTGACTAGAGCAACCAGACGGTTAAAATCGTGCGTAAGATGTTGCACTGCTCCGCACATGCAAGCTACACTTTCTTGCAGGCTCTATAGTATGACTAGGTAAATAATCAACACCAATGACCAGACAACTTACCACGACTCCGCCGATGTGGGATGGTTTAACAATCATCGGCTGCAACACAAGCTGTAGTTCCTGACCAAACTTTACTGCAGTCTTAGGCATGTGGGGTATTGATATACGGAAAATCTTGAGCAAATAGTCGGAAACAGCAAGCTCTTCGGACTGATGCGTGTTTAGATTTTTTGTATACTTATGATGGTGGATTCTTACCGAGGAAGGGTTCTTAAGATACGGGAGCAAAGTAGACGCATTTGCTCCTGAGAGGACAGAGGGGTATGCTGTAGTGAATAGATATATAGTCCTGACACAGTTGTGCACGGTCTGCCAAAAGAATATGTCAAACAATATCGGTACGATGAGCTACCCGCACTTACGAATCCCGGCAAGTCCGAGGCATCTACCAGTCCATCAATGAGGACTTCACAAATTTCAGAGTAATTTCCTCGCAAATACGATGCGCTAGCAACTTCTTGGCTGGATATTACTTTATGTAGCATATCTTCCAGTGGTGATTGCCGATCTTTAAAGTTGGCTGATACGCCCATGATGACCGAAACCTTGGAGAGAAGTGGCCCCTTGTCCTGGCCGGGACCAGATGACGGCACTGACCGGGTTTTAGGGACTCCACTCTGTGATGCAGCCTGGAACCATAATTCCTCAACCGTCTTGATCGCCAAATCCTTCACTGTATCATCCTCATCCAGCATGCGGAGGACTAACTTCGTCGCGATATCTATGCGTCGATAAAGATCCTCTGTGCTGGCGTAACATTGTTTGAGGAGTTTGATCACACGTTTCCGAACTCCAAGTCCCGTATCCTGAAAGAGTCAGCTAAATGAGCCTCCGACCGATAGAATACTCTTACTGCGATACGGTCGGCAATTTTCGTGTAGTAGTCCCCAACAACCTCCGGCGACTCTATCATATACTTCCCAATTAGTTCTACAGCGGCGTCACGCACAGCTGGGGAACTATCAAGCAAATGACTTTCGATCGCCCGACGGACATTTGGCTTGTAGCTTGTCAGTAAGTGCCGACTCGACGAACTTGTCACGCACTGCTGTTAATATGCTGGAGTCACTGTTTACAATTTGCCCGAGTGCTCGTAATGCTTTTGTACGCATGAAAACAGCGGGCGCATCAAGTGCAAGCAGGACGACATTAAGAATTGGCCCGAAGGAATTTCTTAGTGTCTGAATAGTCCCAATCTCTTCAGCGTAACGATCAACCTTATTCGCTTCCTCCTGCGAGCTGCCAGGGTGTATTAACTCGAGCGATTCAGAGGCTAGGTAGGATAGAAGCTTACCCGACATCAAAAACATCATTTGACATATCCTTCCAAACCTCCCTGAGGGCGGACTTCAGTTTGGCGTAAAGCTTGGACTGTAGACTCTCGCCCTCCTCCTGTGCTAAACTGCTAAGTTGTTTGAGAGCAACTGCTATTTCTTGACCCCAAGTAGCCGCCGTCAGATCATTGGCACTCTTTTGCGTATCAGTAGGAATGTAACTGTGGAATTGAAATCACTCACATCATACGCCTGATCTTCAGAAGCTCTTTTATAAAGATGCGAAAATATTGACTGGTGTCGAGATATGAGCATGTCCAAGTGTTTGACATTGCCGGAAGAAATGACCTGCAAAATATGAGGCGATGGTTGCTGATAAGACTTGGATCAAATACAGACCTCATCGAGAGAGTGGAGACCGTGCTTGTCATGGTCGTGTACTTTTACCTTCAAAGAGCTTGAGCGTATCCGTGCGGCAATGACACCGAGGTGATCGAGCGCAATGCTTTTTGCGGCATTTGTGTCCGTTTGAGTGCTCGTTTTCACGTCGTCTAGAGAAGAAACCTGTAACAAAATTTAAGAGGATTTTACAGTCAAGGGTGCAAAACTCACCATGAATTTACAAATAATGCTGAGTAAGAAACTTGCAGCTGGCCATTCTGGCCAATACAGGACAACAAGAAGGTCGGAAATAAGGTTGTCAAAAATGGTTCGGTATTCGGCTTCGTTGGAATTCTTGGTCAACTTCCCCTTTCCAGATCTAGCGACATGGTTTTATCAACACTGAAATCGACAACACTTTACTTACCTCTGTGTCAAATACACGACTATTGTCTTTGCAGCATTCATTGCGGACTCTAACCCCGTGATATAAAGCTGTATCTCCTACACAGGCGGTTAGGTATGACATACTGCTAACATTAGCACTGACCTCCGCGTCTAATTCGTCCATCAAAGGTTCAGCCGACCTCTCATTGGTCACGCTGTCCTGTCGACGAAGAGCTTGGCGACTCTGGCGACGTTTGGCAATCTTGCGCGCTGCAACACGGACATCATGGGCAGACGTTTGTACGAGCTGGAACAGAAGTGCAGAGACTGTTCGTATGGAACGACCATCGCGTAAGCTGAACATGTCATGTCAATGTTACTCGCAGGCAACATCTATAAGTCTTCACTGACCGGAACTGCCCAGCCTTCTTATGACTGTTAGAGAGCTTGATGAGTGACGACAGAATTTCTTCTATGATCCATGATCGCTGTTCCTCGTGATTGGCAAAGATCTAGGCAAATAATGAGTGGTGGTTTAAAACACGAAAGACCAGCGTACACTTCGAATGACTGAGAGTGCGTCCAACCGAAGACCTCTCATAGCGCTATTGCCGAGTGTATTCAACACAACATTATCTTTCTTGCTCTTGACATCCCCTTCCCCCGATTCCACTACAAAGAACGGCCCGATTGCGATATACACAGTCTGAATGATGATTGCGTCTGACATCACAATGTTTTCACCAGAGAACAACACGTTGATGCGCGGAAGTACAGCCGAGACCGCCTGGAAAAGTTCGCTAAGCAGCCTTCGAAGATCACCAGAGTGTATGTGAGTGTTGCTGTGAATGCATTGGAGTTGTGGTGATGAGGATCCACCGACGCCTGCAGCCTCGACAAATGGGAATAGAATCATCGTTAGCTGGTTCTTGACTGTACTCAGACAAGCAGTTATGAGCTCCTCGGAGTAAAGCTGTATGGTAAAGTTGACAGCGAGGAGAAATTGTCAAGAAGTCAGATCAACCTTGAAAATTGACCAGAAAGGCAAACCTGTTTAGTCAGGCCTTCTCCGCTTAATAACGCAACACAACATTCCACGGCGAAGATACTATCCCGCGCAACTTCTAGCTGTTTTGACAAATCGTGGAGATGCGCTTCTGTCAGCTCTCGAAGCATGTCAGCACTGTCTACCTCTAACTCATGGGTATCTTCCTCTGGAACGTTCAGTGATGCAGAACTTGTGGCATCCCGATCTTGGTGGACCACTCTTTGCGCTCTTGGACTTTTCTTCGGTTTTCGTGGCGATACGTTTTTATCTGCATGAGGGACATGTGCAGAGGCACGCAAGGGATCAAGAGCTTCCCCAGCTTTGATGCTGCGTTCCAGAATTTTTAGCAGTCTTGCAAGGATAGTGTTGTCAATGTCGCCTAGCGCCTTCCTCGCTCTCGGGGTGTCTATGCTATCGCGGGCAGACCGTCTAGATCGTTTTGTAGGTCGAGCGAGCTGACTGAGATGTTTCGTCAGTTTCTTGATCACATTAGCTTGCAAGTGAGGTTGGGAGCAATCTATGGTGAGTGCAGAAAAAAAGTCTTTCGGAAGGTCCGACACATCGATGTCAACGGCGAGCGAGTCTTCAGCTTCGAATATGTCCTCAATAAGCGCGGAGAGTTTTTCGAGAGGTGCTGAAGGGAAGATTAATAATTAATAAAACATCAATGAAAGATTTCCTACCTCGTTCATCTCTATCACCTGTACGGCGCGCAGACAACTTCGCACTAGCGTGGATACCAAACTTGTATCGGGCATCATCCTCTTCAGATCCCGATGCATCAGAATTATCTGCAGGGGTTGATATGGACGTTGGCAGAGGCCGCTTCTTGGAAGGGGTCCTCCATGCGCTTGGTAAAGGAGGTACTTCTACATACGCCATTACCCGACGCGGTGTAGTTCTCGATGAGGGTGTACTAGTTTGTAAAGAGTGAAACTGAATGTTCAACTCTTCCTGACGTTCCGACGGTACAGTGTGTACGCGCTTCAGCGGAGAACCTTTATCTTCACCAGCATATTTTCGCTTCTGGGGAGTCACGCTGTTTTCTGCGGGTGCCAGCGGAATGGGAAGGCGAGGAAGGTGAGCAGTAGAGCGCGGGGTTAGCTGTGTGGATGCAGGGGTGGTCGGGGGAACGTGAATTGGCGGGAATCGAAGGGCTGACTGTGCGATTAAATGGGAGTTGGATTGCACAGACTGAGGGGCCACAGGCTGAGATGGAGGTTGGATGGAGTTTTGTGGTTCGTCTCCTTTGATGTCACGTTCAGCTGGTTTCGTCTCGATGTCTCGATTCTTCTGAGCAATGAAATTGTTAAATGCTGCAACAGGCTCTTTACGCCGATGAACGGGTTCATTGGGTGGTTTAGGTTGGTTAGGATACGTTAGTGGATGTCCTAATGCGAATGCAAGAGAAGATGACGTGCTTCGAATGCCAGGCGGAGGTGGGGTAGGGTATGCGGCAGGAGGGTTCATGCGTTGAATCAACGACTGAGCAAACGGAAGAGGATGATACGTTGACTGAGGCTGAGATTGTAGCCATGGGGATGCAAACTGAGAAGAAGCGAATCTGTGTCTAGAGATGTTACTATTGAGGTATCACGCCGATTGCAACATTTTAACGTACGAGCCGCCTTGTGACAGTAGCCTCACGGAGTCATCCCTTGTATTGTGCCAGTAACGCGAATCACCTGTGGGCATTGAAGTAGTTGAAAGGTAGGAGAGCTCATGAGAGTATTCTGAGAGCGGGGAAGGCGCTGGAGCTGACTGGTATTGAGACCCAGTGTTATATTCGAGATAGGTCCGTTGCAAGTAGGTGGGGTTGGATGCGGACACAGATAAATGATTCATGTGTCTTGCCACTAGATGAACTGTTAAACGCGCTTGACGTGTCAAAACGTATAAAAATCTAACCGTGTGTCGAAGGCGTCGCAGAAGCCGTTGGGTACGCGGCAAAGAGCCTGTGAGCTTCGTAGGTCGAGTTGGGAGCATGGCCATGTGCCACAGGATCAGGCGAGAGCTGGCTGCGGGCGTCGTGACCAGCTTGCTGCTGCCAATGATGGCCGTTCATGATGAACGAGCTGATTAAAAGACGGCCGCGAACAGGAGTAGAGCCTCGTGCACCAGTGGCCTTCCGGAAGACTGACCAAGTTCGTGTGTGACGGGTTTTCGGTCACGTCACAGCTCAAATAATGGAATACCAGCAATAACTACTAATACTGTGCACTGCATGTTACTCAGACTCAAGTTTTCCTCCGTTTCCTCGATTTCCCTTCCTCGATATCGGCTTCCCTCTTGCTTTTCATCCCTGCAGCTCTCATATACACCTTCTTCTTCTCCCTCTCCTTTTCTGCGTCCTTAGCCTCGTCCTTTTGAACCTTCTTGCGATGTGTCTCCTTGCGCTCTTGTTGCTTTTCACGACGCCGTGTTACTTGATCCTTGCGCAGCGCACGAATCTGCTGAAGTAGTGCAATTGCTTTCTTCTCCTCAGGCTCTAGTACGACAGCACGCTTTTGCATGTAGGTCTGCTTGCTCTGAGGCTTCATAAGTTTGGGTTTTGAGGCATACGGAAGAGCAGCTTGTAGCTTCTTCGGGACTTTGAGCGTGTTGAATCGTCGGGCGGGGCGTTCTATCGGCTTATAGGTGGAGTTGACGGCCAGTGGAGTTTTCAGCCCTTCATCTCTTCTAATCTGACCTGTTAAGCGCATGCCAGACCAGCGTGACTTGTCGGACAGAAGGAGAGATGTGACTGGGTTGTAAAATCTGCGAGGCTGGATCGAATACCACGCTCTTAGAAATATGATATCTAGGCTCGCAATTCAGAGTGAATTCAATCCAAGCGGAGTCCACTTACCGCTCATCAGCACTTTGTCTTCAAATGTCGCACGGAAGGCACCCTCCGGCTTGTTCAGCGCTTTCTTTACCTGACCCCTGATGCCAGACACCGTTCGGATGCTCGCGCCTTCAAACTTCGCCACTTCCAGAGCGCTAGTGAACATATCCCTGATGAATGCTGTATTCTTGAAAATCTTGAATGGCACACCCGTAAGCTTCAACTTCTTCACGATTTTTGTCGACCGGTCAATGTCCAGGACCACGCCAGTCGCGCTCACTCTGAATGCAACCGTCTCCCCTGAGAGCGCATTGAATGCACAAAAACCTGTGTTCGGGAGCGCAACTGGGCCATAGAACGACGCGTAGCAATGCATGTGCTCTGGCGTATATTTCAACATGCGCATCCTGATAGAATGGTCGTCGAGTGAATATATGGGGACACTCTGGAAGCGCCTCCAGCCGAGGGAAAAGATAAGCGGGTCATTCGTCTTCAATGTGCGAGCAAACCAGCGGTGACGCTTAATGCGAACTTGGAGGTATCCCATGCGCTCCTCTGCAGCTAGCAGTCCACCGACAATGATAGGGTAGCGTGAGTCGAAGTGTTGAATGAATTCGCAAGGGACTGAAGCCAGTTCTATGCGCACATATGTTCCAGGCCGATAACCCTCGACAAGGGCACGAGTCCCGGTGTCAATGCCCTCGAATTCAGTGGGAGCAGACTGGGCTTTCCTAGCTTCCAGGTCGACGAAGTCACCACCTTCCGGATTTTCGTGAGTATTCGTTTCCTGGTCTGCCTCACCGCCGTCACGATCCCCTGTGATGAATAGCGCCCTTAGAGAATCCAAAACTTCCTCATCTTCCCACTCCCTCAGCGCACCAGGAGACAGCGCTTCTTTTGTCATGTCCAAATCATCTTGGTTCACAGCACCGGAGCTATCCACCCGGAAGAAGTCATCATCTATTTCGTCCTGTTTGACCCCAGTCGTGTCTGCGCCATTGGCAATCTGCTCCGGACCGAGCGAACTGGAATAAATCATTGCAACCCAGTCTTTACGCCGCCTCCGACGGTTGAGCTCCCCGAATGCGGCGCTTGCTTTCGCAGCCAGTCCAGATTTCCACGCTGGTACGTCATCCTCGTTGTCTTCATCAAACTCTTCCTCGTCATCGCTCAGAATGTCCTTTCCACCGTCAGCATACATGACTTCACCTGCTCTGCCACGGCCTTCATCGTCGGACAACCCAAGTTCGGAGTCAGAGTCAGCAAAAACGACATCTCCTCCCTCTTTCTCCTTGCTGGAGAAACCATGCGTGGAACGCACGATCGTGCGTGCTGCGTGACGACCGGTATTTGAAGGGCCGGTGCAAGGCTGCTCGTCCTCTTCACTACTCCCTTCATCGCCCTGCTCATCTTCCGAGAACACCTCTTCTCCCTCCTCAAACTCACTGTCGCCCTCTGACGCATCTTCCTTCTTCCTCCTCTTCCTCTTCTTCCTCCTCTTCCTCCTCCTCGTCATCATCATCATCATCATCATCATCGGAATAGTTATTTTCTCTATCACGATGTCGGGCATCAATAGTCAGTGGGTTTGATGAAGAACCAAACAGGCGGATGTTGCTCCGGGCCACCGTCTCTTCAAGGGTCTCATCCACATCTTGTAGGTCAATGACCATTCGCTCACCCTCGCCATGAGGAACTGCTCGCAAGAGTCAACAACATGCAATCAAGCAACGACAGTTCTGCTCACCATCGGTGGCTCCTCTTGTAAAGTTACCGGGGATATTAATCCACACAGCATCCTTGTCGTACATGACACCACCAACGTCGCTCATGGGTGCGTGCACAAGAAGTTTCTTCTTTTCGCTCAACTTTCTTCGTTTCTCAGAATCCGCATCTGGCAAGGGACATGGGTCGCCGAGCTTCGTCACTGTTTTGATATCCATGTCTCCTACACCAGGAATATGTACCTTGGTGCTCTGCCGCAAATTCGTCCCTCGCAAGTAACCATATAGGGTCACAGTGCGATCACACCGACCTTTTGAGGTTCTTATTTCCTCGCGCGGCGTCAAGTCTTCTATTCTGTCCGCAAGGAGGTATGGGTGAGTATTCCTGAAGATCAGGGGACGGAACTTCATGACGCTGATGAAACGGGAAAGATTGAGGATCTCGGTATCAGGATAACGACCGTTGAGAACACCAGAGAGATAGAAAAGCTTTGCGCCTTGGTATATCTCATTCCAGAAGCGTCTTTTGAGTAGCTTTTTGGTAGCCCTGAGGGTAGCTTGCTTTTTAATGAGGTCGAGATGAGTAAGGATGCCGATGACTTTTGGAAAACCATGGGCCTGGAGGATGTTAAGAAATTCAAACGTCTCCTGCAATAGATCCAAGATAGTTATGGGATAAATTTTTCAGCGGGAACAAGCGCACCATTTCAAAGCCGTAAGAGCCGTCAATCATCAGGAGAACAAGATCTGCGACCTTGCCGATGTCGATCATAGAATTGAGGTCGCTATTACACTCGATAAATGTTAGTCTCCTCTTCTTTCCAGCGACCACAGTGATTGGACCCTTGGCTTCGGACAATGTCTGCTTCGCGTATCTCCTGACGAGGCTTTTGAGCAGAGTGGTCTTGCCTACGCCTGGAGGCCCGACGATTGCGATGATGACTGGTGGGGGTTCATCATCAGGTGTTCGGTTTACAAGAGGAACATGAAGACGAGCTTCATCACGCTCGACGTTCCTCCGGGCCTGACGATCGGCACGTCGCCCAGATTTTGGTGCAAATGCCTGAGAGAGTGTTAACAAGGAAATGTTAAAGAGCGGTTCGCAGATAACACCTTTTCATTGAAACCCGTATTTTGTTTTCCCTCTCCTTTCTTTCCAGCCTTCGAACCAGACTGGGCTGGACGATGAGGTTTATGGGTTTGTGTTTCCATCGGGTACCACTAAAAACTGTGGCAGACCATGACATGCGAAATTATGCTCGCTCACGTGACTGGCGCGTCGTGTTGTTTTTTGTGTAGATTTGGTGTGGACGGTGGACCGTGTCTTGTCGCATTGAGTTCGACCGTGACTTTCTTCAATCTCATCCTTCATATAGCTTTTCATCTTTAATCTCATTTTTGTTTCTTATTTCTATACAAACTGCGCCGCGAAATCGATGGCGCGACATCCATCAACAACCTTCGAATTTTCTATTCCTGGTGACGAGCTTGAACAGCATCGCATTCAGCTCGAACAGCAGATACAAAACACCGATTTATCACTGCATCTCTCATCTTCACAAGGAGACGACGACAGCGTCGAATATCCCAGGCACAATTCTAACCATTCCCTAGGCTTTGCATCATTTGAACAACCCAGTCAGCACTTTGACTATGATGCTCCTAGTGGCTTGCATGCGTGGTCCACTCATGAAGATGAGGGAATCAATCCTTATGCCGGTGAGACTGTTTCCACAATTGGCCACCATGCCAGCGCTGTCACAATCGGTGCGGGGCTTGGTGGGCGTGGTCAACGGAGGGAAATCAGTCTCAGTGGTGCTGAGTACGACCCAGATCGCCCGCTACAAGATATGATTGCTGGTATGGACAGCCGCATCAGCATCTTGGAGCCTCACTCTAAGTCCAGACAGACGGTGCGATCCATCAGGCTTGTTTCTCCTACATCCACTAACGTGTCCTCCAGCCGTGCTCTCGTGAGGCCCTCGATGCATCAGGCGAGTACGATCTGTCTCAGTTCTCACACCCTGCGGCACTTGCCGCAAGACTCCGTTCTCCGCCTCTCGAACCTGAGTCGGCTGAGTCAGAAGCAGACCGCTCGCTCAACATCTCCCGCCGCAAGCTCTCCGACAATTTGCAGCGTGTCGGCTTCTCTCCGCGACGGCCGCGCAATTTACATAGAAGTACTGCAGCGCAACAGTCTCCCTCTCGCACCCATTCGTATGTACATGATACACCGGATTTCCAACATATTCCATCCTATTCTCGAAAAGCAACAACTCCCAAAGCACGCAAGGCCTCTCACTCTGTATCTTTCGACGTAGATGCGACACCGGTGCGGCGGCATGTATCCCAGCCGCAGGTAAATGTTCAGCCGCCCACACCATCTGCATCTAGCTCCAAATTTACTCGTATGGCGAGGGGCCTTGCGAAGGATGTGCATGAGGCTCAGGCCGAGGACGCTGCATTATTCCAGAACCAATCACATACTACTACTACCCCTCGTGCGGCGCCTGCGGGTTCTCGTCGTGCCTCTATGAAGCACCACGACGCATTGAAACAACCCCTTCACGACGTTGTCGATCACAGTGCCATTGATGTTAATGTAGAGATTGCCCAAACAAGTCGGTCATTCAGGAAAGCCAGCAGAGGACGAGTAAATCTCCCAGACTTGACTGGCCTTACGAGTGCAGTTGTTTCTCCTGCGAAAGCCAACCTTGAACGCTATGGTATCAAGACCGCTGGTTCGTCGAAAGAGGTTGAATGTCAGTAATTCTTTTCAATTTATTTCAAGAATCTCAACTCCTGTACAGCCCGTCTCATAGCGTCGCTGAACGCCCTTCATGCAAAGCTCGCTCATCTCGAAACGGAAAACGGCATCGCACGCCGCCGTGTCCGGGAACTCGAGTATGAGCTCCAACAGTGCAAACGTGATGTCGCTCGAGAACGTTCGAGAATCATAGAACAAGACGCCGGCGAGCCATCATGGAAAAGGGGCAAAGAAGAGCGACGAGAGAGAGAGGAAGAGCAGTCAAAGTATTTTGAGGTCGTGGAGGAAAAGAAAGGTTGGTTATCACCCGTCTTTCCGATGAATCTCATTTGACCCGCTCGTACAGCGCTCGAATCCTTGATATCTACCCTCCGTTCACATCTCACCCGTGTCACGACGGACTTGACAGCACAGCAGCAGCTCCTGGAGGACCTTAAGAGGTTCAGGGAGGACGACGCCAAGATGCTTGCCGAGAAAACAGATGAAATCGGCGCCCTTCGGCTCGAGGTTGAAAGGCTTGCGGGTGAGATTGAGGTACTCAGGAATGTGGTAGAAGAAGGCCTTAATGAGAGAAGAATGGCGAGGGAGCAGCAGTCACAACTCGTGGAAGAGGAAGACGAGGTCTCTGTGCCGGACCAGTCACATCAGGAGCTGGACCCAGTGACAACTCGTGCTGATTTTCAATCAACAAGAAGGTTTGTTGACGTGGACGAACTTACGCGGATATCGGAAGACCTGGAGGAACGACGATCTGAGCGATCTTCTTGTGGAAGCCCATCCCTGTCGTCACGACATAGCTCGCGCTCGCACCCAGGTGACATGACTCGGCTCACTGACTCCGAAGACAGCAGGCGTCACGCTACTCGAAGGGAGCCTTCCGGGGATGATGATGTTGCCCCATTAACTCGGATATCAGAAGACCTTGAGGAACAACGGTCTGAGGGATCCTCTTGTGGAAGTGCTTCCCTGTCGTTGCGCCATGGCTCGCGTCCAGGTGACATGATACAAGCTCGGGTCACTGAATCCGAAGACGGGAAGCGGCCTGCGACTAGGAGGGAGACCTTGAAGGATGATGAAGCTGCCCCCTTCCCTCGCATTCGTTCAGGTCGCCTCGAGAACCTATTCTTCTCTGCACCGAAACACAACTCTGGGACGTGCACACGGTGTAATCATCGTTCGGCGCGCACCAGTAGTCATGCGAACACGAAGGCCACACGCCCAAGTCAGGGACGGGCCCCATCCTTGAATGATCAGGGACCTAGTGCACAAGTCAAAAACGATCCTCTCGAACCCCGAGCCAATGCGTTTGAACCCGATGGTGTCGATTCGTACGAAGCCATCTTCCAGGGCGACAAATTACCATCACAGACTGTGCTTGCCAGGGTATTACGAGAACTCGAGGAGGAATTTACACATCACAAAGGGTTTGGAATTCACCGTTCTATATGTCCACGCGCTCATATAATCTATATAGGATTTATAGCGAGCTGGCAGACGAATACAAGAGTATGGACTCGATGGTGCAAGCAGCGAGGCGGCGTATTGTGGCTGATCATCTTCGAGATATTATTGATTTGATTGAGCGCAAGGTTGTAAATCAAGCTCAATTTAATACCAGCTTTGCTAACTGCTCAATAGGTTGATCAAATTCAGTCTCTGTATGATCTTTTGAAATTTGAAGATAAACCATCTTCTCGGCAACGAATATCTTGACAATCACGTCGGTAGCTTCTGGGTTGAATTTAGATATCGTCTGTTTCATTTTACACCACAGTTGTAGCTTTCCAATTGAATTGCATTAATAGCGGTTGTCTCCTGCACGATGTTATCTCGGTGAGCTGCCGACAATCCACTTACGGTCGTTGACGATGTTTTGAGCTTGAAGGTTCATATAGCCTCATAACATCAGAAATTAAGTGGAAACTTGCGTGAACCTAAGAGCTGAGACCTCAGACTATACGAAATGAGTGGTCCCTTTTTTTCGAGCATTCACCTTGCGGCCTTTTGAGGAGGGTCGACCGTGCGAAGGAAAAAGCTCCTACGATATTAACACAGGGACTTCATCTTCTGGATTTTTTTTCAGATACCATCACTGAGAACGCAACGCGGGGGGAGATTGGCTAGGACTTGAGGGATCCGAATGTCGACTTGGTAAATGTGAGTGTCGTCGATGGAGAGAATGTTGCGGCATATTCCAAACGGCGTGGTTAGCGATTTGATAGGCGTAAGACCGATAAGCCTGAGAATATACCGCATCTCCACTCGCTTGGTTGAGCTTGGCAGGGAGGTTGATCAGGTGTCTTGTCTGATTAACTCTATTTTTCTCATAGTATCAGTACATGTTGCTTAGGAGAAGGTAAGGTGGATTGCACTCCGGTGCCCACACAGACGTCAGTACTATGTATCTGCATTGCGCAATCATCAAGTAGTAAGGAGGGCTTACCTTTTTCTAATGTCATTACTTGGCACGAACAGAGACTGAAGTCATTTTTCAGGTCGGTGAAGCTGTACGAGGGGACAGTGCGATAGGTATGATTCAGCTATATGTTTCCATGCATGGCCTCTCTCGGTTCACATGCTGCCTGAACTGTCGGAGGCATGATGACGAGAACACTAGTTGGTGTCTTCAATTCACGTTATTGCCCTTCAGACAGCTTCGACAATGTTTGATCATCCAAGAGATTGGTGCAATGCAGCATGAAAGTACTCCTATGATTGATACAATGGATGAATAACGACATCTTACAGTGATAGAACAAGACATGGATCTAAAGGGGTTGGTCATGCCACGATCACCGTCCGTATCTGTTATTCATAAATGAGCAAAACTGAACCAGAAAGAAAAAGAAACGTACTTCTGAAGCTCCCATTCACGATTATCGAGCGGACATACATTGCGCGTCTTGAGCCAGCGTGAGATACAGTGGAAATGGAAAGCGTGCTATGAAGGGAGTGACGGTGTTTAGATCTAAAGGAGTCATTGAGTAGCGATAAACTCACGTTGCAAATCCCCCATGCAGCATTACATTCGTCTGTAGATGCTGATACCTGATTTGCTTGACAGTCAATGCCTAAAGGACAGCGTACTTTGAGTGATGTTGGGATGAGATGCAAACAAGTAGACGCACAAAGATCCATGATATGATTTCTGCATATAGCGCAGTTGTCGACGACGATGTCTGTGGAAAATTTTTGAGTGCTTCAATCAATTAATTCGTGATAGGCAGCGTACCCCATGCCCAAAGAGATACAGCATTCCACTAAGCGACTTATCAATGGAGGGAACGAGAGTATGAGACAGACAAGACTATACCTTCTTTACTTCGAATCGTTGCTTCCCGTCATCCTTAGCTTCCTTCTTGGAGGGCGCAGGTGTATCAATGTCCATGTCTGTCATAATAACCTTGCGGATGGTCAAAAGCGAGCGTTTCCGGTGTGCTCAGGCGTGGTATGATGGGGAATTCATCGCCAAATATAGTATTACATTCACACGCCGTAGACCGATGATGTCAACAGCATCTAATCAGCTGGCACTTGGCTACTGCTGCGACTCATCCAAGTCTATCTACAACCACATCAACCATGCCTGCAGTCACAGTAAATTCAACTAGTAGTGTGTGTGGCCTCTTTCCCTGACTCCAACTTTTTTCAGGTCTCAAACATTTCCTCAAGCACTACTCAGGAGAAGCTTCATGAATTTTTCAGGTAATATAATACTTCGCTCCACTGTTGCTCGTTCCTAATCTAACTGTGCTCTCAGTTTCTGCGGCGAGTGAGTTTCGTATGCCATCATCATCCTATTTTCGTGATTGACATTGATCCAGCATCAAGTCAATTGATCTCAGACCCGAGGGGGATTCGAAACAATCCGCAGTTGTCACCTTTGAGAAACCTTCGTCTGCCGGTACAGCGCTCATGGTAGGACAACTCACTAGAAATTTAAATCTGATTAACTCAACGCCCCATCTCTAGCTCAATGGCGGTACTCTAGACGGTGAACAACTCCACATCACCTCCGACGTGGAACACCACAATCATCATGAGCAATCGCAACACTCAAGCTCACCTTTCGAACAGTCAGACAAGCCTAGAGCTGGAAGTATGTATGCCCCATTTGTTGTGGACTAGCATCCTGATATCTGAGTATAGTTGCCGCCGAATATCTGGCAAAGGGCTACAAACTTTCCGACCACATCTTGCAGCGAGCCATCGAAATTGACAGTTAGCTAACTCATGTACCATGTCGAATTTCAGCTCACGCATCTTCCTTGTTAGACAAGCAGGGGATTTCCAAACGGTTTTTAGATTATATGCGCGGTCTTGATACAACAGTTGGACAGAAAGCTCTCGGTTCCGACCAAACGGTGTCCGGCAAAGTACAATCAACGCTGAAGGTTGCCCATACCAGAGCGAAGACCATCGACGAACAGAAAGGTTATTCTAAGGTTGCCCACGAGGTTGGTAGAATGATCTTTGTTCGAATGATTTTAACCCGCCCTATTACAGTACTACTCAAAGGCGGTCTCATCTCCCTTTGGAAAGTCTGTCCTCGACTTTTACACTAATACTTCAAAGCAAGTTCGCGACATTCATGAGGAGGCTCGTCGTATGGCCGACCAACAGCCAGCTACCAGTTCATCTGCGGGCAATGCCACACATGCCAGCGGTACTGGCGCTGCCGGACCTGACGCACAACCTAGTCTCGCCACCGAAGCCTCTCCCACCGTTGTTTGAAGGCTATCGCAATGGGCAGGGGGCAGGTTGGTAATTCCCTGTCCGACCGTAGAACAACGCATTACCGGATACTACGTATTTTCAATGACTGAAACCTTGTAATTAATAGTTTCGTTGTACCATATATGATCTGGCTGACTGTACTTACAAGTAGGAGTTGTAAGAGATCCTGCCACAAGCATCGGCAATCCCGACACTTGTAGCTGCGATATAAGGTAGAAAGTTCGTTATGCGTGGCTTTTTCAACTGTGATGTCCTCCGAGGAAATGTATCTTCGAGTGCCAATAGGACAGTGATGACTAGATTATTATCTGATGAATAATAAACGGCACCACCACAGTTTAGGATCGTGTATAGCGACTGTGATGCATCTTAACGCAAATAAAAGAGTTGAAGGTGTATCACGCTGGTAGCGATGGAAAACCATAGTGAATCTGCTTATCCTTGATCATCGGGGCAGAGTGTGCTTCTGACCCAAAAAAATTCCTGCGTACCCACTTAAGTCGGTAGTGGAGTCTGGATACAACAGGACAGGCGGTTCGCTGTAACTATAAGTCGGAAGTGAACATCGGTGAGAGAGCTTCAATCAACACATTCTCAGCAACCTGCAACACATCCATCGGCGATCAGCCTTGTTTTCCTGCAGAACCGGTGAGTAATAAATAGAGTGGATTGACATACAAGACTCTATCCGTATAGTTGCCACAACTACGTAGAGAGAAATTAGAATTACTTCAACTTGAAGTCACTGAACATGAAATTTCCGCGTGCTCAGGATGGCCAATGGGCTCTCGGGCCCGATATCATGATATTGTCCGCCGGGAACCTACGTTAGCTCGGTATCTGAAAACGTCACGCAGAAGATCAACAACTGGAACATTTGTACCGGAAAAGGTTTACATGGGTGCAAGAATTCGTATAGCCAACTTATATTTTGACTTATCTTCCAGCCAATTTCAGTCACGGTGACACACTATCATAAGATGTTTCGTTCGATCCGCGGCAAGGACCACCGTGACATTAACTGCTCATGCTTCTTGTTGAGATGACTTCGATGGTGCAAATTTCGTGTCGCGACCGCATGGTATGAATGAATGGTAAATGAATCATGAAGCCAAAGCCGAAGTATCATGGTATAGTATTGTAAGCTGAAAGGCAAACTCAGCCACTCCAATTTCTTTATCACATTTACGTACCGCGGAACTTCTAGTGACGCCGAAACTCAAGTTGCACAACTCGGTCACCGGTGTACAAAAAATCATCGATATCATCAACTGCAGGCTCCAGGATCCGCCACAATATTGCTATGCTTGGTTCTACCCGACGAAGATGCCATCCGATGCGCCGTAGCTCGTTTTCATTCTGTCGCGAAGACTTGTTGACGACGTTGACGTGTCAAATCTCCACATGGCGAATACTCTGGCGAAGCACAAGCATAGGCTTGCTTGAAGCCTCATCGATTCTTGAGCGAAGGCCGATACGTGAATGGTTCAATATTTATGCACTTCAGCTAGGTACCAGACCGAGCCCGAGCTGCATATCTATCCCAAACAATCCAGGGTGTGTTCATCACTCGCATGGACCACAAACTATGTCTCAAGTCCCCGACCCCGCGGTGCCGTATTGCGAAAACGTACGGTTCGTATGATTGCCTACCAAATCATAATTCATTTCGCTGGTTTAGACAATCATGATCTTAATATGATGATGGAAGATCATCTACTCAATGTGGAATACATCAATCGGAAGCAACTCAAAGGAAAAATCTCGAACAAACTCATCGCCGATTTACTGTGTACCGTTAAATCCGCTTTTCTCGATCGGTGTTTCAGGTTGACTTCAGGACTATGCCATGTACTGTAGAAAAACCTGTAGACTTCCCTTCGACCAGGGTGCGGCTCACTGATTTCAGGTCGACCATCTTTCCCTGTTCGGCCGAGTTCACTTGTACTGACTAGCATGCAATTTGCACACGCTACCAGTAGCTAGGCCAGCTGACTAGCTTGAGATAGTGGTCCAACGTCTGAGGTATCACCGATAATCACGTATCTATTGTACATACAATCCCTGGAACTTCGGCCGATCAGTGTGATGCCGAAACTACCCGACGCGATACCTAGTACATACATAACACGGACACGAGTTGTTAAAGGTCTGTACAGCAGAAAATCACCATAGTTCTGCGGCCGCTCGAAGGCATGGCTTCTCGGGACCATTCGTCAACATCAGACTACTCCGCATCGAACTACAACCAGACAGCAGCATTTGTGTATTCTGCCGAGTACACTGCACCCATTTTATCCCTTCTGAAACCTTCTATTGGCGAACGAATTGTTGACTTTGGATGTGGGACCGGGGAACTGACCTTGCAGATCCAAGAAGCTGTTGGTGCGAATGGATTCACTGTTGGAATTGACTATAACAATGACATGGTAAAATCACATGTGTTTGTATGTTTGCACCTAACCGATGTCTTTGTCAGATTTCCAAAGCTTTGGTGAACGGGGTTAGGCATGCCTACACGTCTGACCTTCAAAACCTTCAAATACCTGCTCCTGTGTTGGAGAATTCTTTCGATGCCGTCTTCAGCAATGCCGCACTACATTGGTGTAAACAGAATCCACGAGGAGTTCTGGATGGAGCAAAACGGCTGCTTAAGGTCGGTGGGCGTTTTGTATGTGAGATGGGTGGGTTCATGAATTGCATCGGTAAATCTGCGCTATTGAGTGGGTACATCTCTAATGACGACAAATGCAGGAGTTCGGATTGGTCTTCACCGTGCTGTCAAAAGACGCGGTTACGAGCCCGATCAAATAGATCCCTGGTACTTTCCGACAATCGAAGAATATCAAGGGGTCTGTCATATGTTAGAAATGGCTGTCAGCTGCTGACATTTTTTTCTGGCTGCGTAGTTATTGCAAAGCGCAGGCTTCCGTGTCAATACCATTAGTTTGGTTCCAAGGATGACACCACTGCTGGACGGCGGACTCCGCGGATGGCTACAGCTGTTCGCGCGTCAAACGTTCCTGAAGGAATTCAGCGACCAGGAGGCCGCCGCTATCATAGACGAGGTTGTTGATATGTGTGAAGTTGATATGAAGGACAAAGAGGGGAATTGGGTTCTCATGTACGTTCGATTGAGATTCTTAGCAACCCTTGATAGCCCTTGATGGAATTGTAACTGAAGAACGTCGATGTGCAAAGTTGACCGTAAAGATGTATGTAATTATGGCGAATATAATTCCTCAGTTCCATGAACTCTGTGCTAAGGCGTCACTTACGATCCCAGACTATCCCCTATAGGCAGGAGAGAATGATTGCCAAATAAGGGTCCACTCGGACCAACAAGAAAGAGAACGATCACGTGGTAAAAACACGCCGCGTGTCAGAACTGAGAACTCGGCTAGACTCCTGCAAGTTTCAACGCTGCAACGTTTAACGCTCTCGCTGATGCCATGGCAGAAGCTCGTCCAGCATGGATGACAGACGATTTAGACGAAGAGTGGATAGACGAAGACGAAGCGTCGTCCATGGGCACTCAGTCCATCTCTCTCACAACTCCATTACCCGGCTACCTGCGAACCCCAAGTCAAGCTCAGGAGGACACTGAGCCACTTCCAGCAGCACCTGAACCCGTCGGTACGTTCTTGATCCGCGAGGATATACCCGCTCCAGCTCTCTTACAAAAGACACCGGGCCGACAACCTAAGAGGGGCATCATTAAAGACTTCTTCAGTCCTTTAGCACTCGAGAAAATGTTCGAGCCACCTTCACCACCACCTCCGAAGCCAACTGCACTTACGCTTCAGTGTGCTCCGACGGTTCCCTCTCGCCTATCTCAGGCGTACACGCCAAACGACTCACAGACAGACCTCGAGCTGCCAGGCCAGCCCACGGCGATGCCCTCCCTCAATTCACTTGCGCCGCCTGGATCTAGTATAGAATGCAAATTTACTTTTACCGTTCCTCGCACCAATGGCAATGTGCCTCAGGCAGAAAGCACCCCAGGTGTTTACAGCATCGCACGACCTCCCATGACAGATCCACGCCTACGCCTTTTTCAGCTTCAGTACGACACATTCACGCGTGATCACTTGTCGGCAATGGTCGATTCAATTGCAATAAATACGCCCTCTGGTGGAAGCGCAGAAGGCAATGGTTCTTCCAGGAGTATCCCACGCCTAGCATTGGTCAACGTGCAAGAGGCCACCGTCTCAGATGACACACCTATTCGCAGCATTAAACGGGTCAAACTCAGCCCTCCAAGCCACTATTATGGTGAAGGCGATGGTGCGGGTGCTACCATCGCGAGGCCAATGTTCTCAAGGGTAGACTATGTTGGCGAGTCTCGTTCCCTCATGCAACAGATCAAGGCCGCACGCGATTACTCTACGATATCTACTACGGCAGGTCCGCAGTCCCCCGAATGTCAAGTAGACAATAGAGCTGAGGCTCTTAACGCGCAGCCCAAGCCTTCACCAGGTATGTAAATCATTGGCGTATGTACATATTAATCGTGAATACTTGCATAGGGACTGGTACCTCTGTCCTTCGTGTCCCTGATGATCGCAGCAGCGGTGACTACGAGTTCATCGACAGCTGTAACTGCTCCCAGTAACCATTCGTCTTTGGCATATCGCCATCAAGCAGCGACCCTGATGCAGCAGATCAAAAACGATATTCGAGGTTCTAAACGTCTTTTCTCGGTTGCCACTGACATATCCCATCTCACCCATGCGGACGACGTTTCGCATATCGAACGCTCGTGCGACAGTGCGTGGTCGGTATCTCAAGTCAATGTTGGCAAGAAGAGAGCCAATAAGTTTGGGTCACCCCGCAGGCCGTCATCTTCTTCCAGGAACTACCGCAGTCCCCGGAAAGCGTCACGCAACACCATCACTGAGGATGCTGACCGAACGTTGGAGCACGAAATGTCCAATATGTCCATTGAAGCACCCTGGCAGCAGCCAGTTACGTCCGTGTCTGTCACACCCAACGCTGGCCTCAATAACGTCCCATACATTCGGGTAACTCCTTCTACAAGTCAGCAATCTATGGCACATCCTCCTGCACAGATCCCTCCTTCGTATCCCTCGTCCTCGACCTGCTCTGGCTCCAATGAGGATCTTAACAGGATGGTGTCCTCTAGCACAGCTTCTGGTAGCACAGCTTCTGGAACCATAACCACAACGAGCAGTGCACCCTCGTTCGTAAAACACGCCGGTCCAGTTCAGATCACCCGCATCGCGCCATCAGACGTACCAGCTCTCCCACAGAGGGTCGGCCGTATGGTCTACGACAAGGATCTCATGAAGTGGGTGAGGGTCGCTACTCGTGCGGCCTCAGATGCCGAGGACCAGCGCGATCAGACAACTTGTACTGGCACAGATGGAGATAGTGAGGATCCATTCAAAGACATCGAAAGCCTGAAGGAAGATGACTCCAGGGATACGCATGGGAGTGCACACATGGATGTTGGGGGTGATACCCCTGAAGCTGGAGGAGAGCAGGATGAATTGGAGATGAGTCGCATCGAGGAGGTCGAGGAGGACGTGGAACTAAATGATCAGGAAGAAGTTGACCTGACATCCTTTTCCTTCGACGGGCCATTGGTCGCAGCTATTCGGGTTGTGCCATCGGACGATTCGGAAGGAGTTGAGGAAGTACAAACAAGCGATTCCGAATCAGACGATCGCCATGGAGCTGCGCTTGGGGATGAAGGCGAGGACGCTGCTGCAATCTTTGAATCGGAAGATGAATTCTCGCCTGAACTGCGAGCTCCTTCGCCCATCCGGCCTGCTTCGAACTCTACTGCGGTGGCTGTTACCCCAAATGCGCCACAATGTCGGTCATTATCGCTTATCACTCCAATGCCCCGCTCGGCCCTGAAGAGCACGAGTGTCACTCCCGTGTCAGCTATGAAGGATCCGAGTCGTGATCGGCACCGTACTCCAGCCCAGAGACTCGGCCGTCGTCGTTCCGTAAGTTTTTCTGATGGAAAGAGGGACGGGCCTATACGGGGCCTGAACCCAAAAGGCCACGGGAGCGATGACGACGTTGGTAGCCATGCTACGAGTGTTTCAGAGGATGACCCTGCACAGGGGTTATTTATTCCCTCGGCAAGGTCCAGACGCATAGCGGAGATGATGCAGAACCTAGAAAGCCCTGGTGAGCTGACATGATGCCGCAAGTGTGTGGCCTAATGTTGATGGTATGACAGGGTTCAATAACGTTTCCCCCACGAAATCATCAAGTTCGGGCCGTCCACCGACAGAAGAACTTCAGCCCTTCGCTTCAAGGCGGCCGAGTAGTCAAATGGCTGTTGCCGATAGTAGTGGATCGACTCGTCGTGTCTTTTCGACGTCGCAAAAGGGTTGCTTGAGTGGGAAGGATCAGAAGGCAAACGCTACTTTCTTGACTGAGTGCTCCTTTGGCTTGGCGCATGACCGACTCGTGCAGGTGATCACTGATGTCCAGCCATTTGAGCCACACTGGGATGAGCTGCACGCTATTGACCTTTCTCGCAAGTCGTTGGATGGTGTGACTCGACTGAAGGAGTTTCTACCGACGCTGGATTCTCTAGTATTGTGAGTTGATACCTGCGGAGGCAAATGCCGACGGCTGTTGACGCTTTCCGATTAGAAATCACAATCAGCTGTCATGGCTGAGCGGCATTCCCAATTCCGTGCGGACGCTTTCTGTCGCTCACAACTTGTAGGCTTTTTTGTTATTCAAGTTACTTCCACTGACATCGCGCGCTCTGAAGGCTGACAGGTGTCACTTCATTTAGTCACTTGCAGAATATTGAAAGCCTCGATATAAGTCACAATGACATCGACTCTTGACACGTGGGTACCGAGGACCGTGTCAAAAAAGTGAGCTGACAATCCTCTAGAACTGCAGTGTCTTCGACACTTGAGGGAGCTTCGAGCTGATGGTAATCGTATTACCAGCATCGACGGCCTTCAGAAATTGGACGGGCTGACCAAGCTTAGTCTACAAGGTAACCAAATTCAGGCAGCCGACTTTGCCAAATTTCGATGGTACGATCAATCTTTCCAAGCCCCCTATTTTTTGCCCCCTAGTGACCAACAATGCATACAGGCCGCGTTTGGAGATGTTAAACCTGAGCGGGAACTGTGTTCGCAGTATCTTGAACTTGGCATCAAGCCTACCTGCACTAATTGCGCTCAATGTCGGTGTGTAACCTTAACTCCATATTGTGTGGGGCCCTGGATAACGAGCACAGGTTCCTGAAGACAATAATATAATGGGCAATATTGAGCCTGGTGGCATAATGCCAAGATTACGCATCCTTCGAGCTAGCGGCAATCGACTCAAGCATCTGAATGTTGCCCCCATTTCCAAACCTCCGCACGCTGTACCTGGACAACAATTCTCTCGACACTCTCGTAAAAGCGGAACGCCTTAGTAAGCTAGAGAATCTTAGCATGCGAAATCAGACTTCTTGCGGGTTGTGAGTGCATAGCCTCTCGGTATATGGGTTAACGTCATTAACGGAACCTTCATTATACCGTTCCTGTTTCCTTGATGATGGGCGATGATGCGATCTGCAGTTATCTTTCGACCCGCCAATTCCGCGATGTAAAGCGACTATACCTATCTGGTCTGTATAGCAAAACTTGGGTTACTTGAGGCAGGGCTCATCTGTTTTCTAGGCAACAAACTCAAGAGCGACTTTATTGAAGAGCCTTGTTACAATTTGCTGTACCTTGAGGTGGCCGCCTGCCGGCTGACCTCTCTCCCGCATGACCTCGCGCGTCTAACGCCAAATCTGAGAGTCCTGAACCTCAACTATAACTTTTTGAATGATGCTCTCTCTCTGGAGGGGCTTACCAGACTTAGGAAGCTCACTATGATTGGTTCTCGCTTGAAGGGGACTAAACAGCTGATCCGCATATTACAGCGTATGCCCGATGTGGAAATGCTCGATTTTAGGTGAGAACTTTGACCCTGCGCTATGCCTTTAGGTGTCCCGGACGTTGACGATTACGCAGGATGAACCCCTGTACACTTGGGTGGTACCTCCCACTTCTGGTGAAAGACCTACCAGGGGCATTACAACCATCCGAGAGAAATGACAGTAGCGAGGGAGAGGTTCACCCCAGGGGTGAGAAGGGAAGCACGGAATATGGATGGCAAGAACTGGACTCAAAGTTCCGCCGGGACCTCCCGGATGACGCATATGTCGGCCGCCTCGCATATCGAGGGCTAGTCATGAGAGCATGTCCCCGGATAGGGATGTTAGACGGTGTTGAGGTTTCGGAGAAGGAACGGGCGAAGGCTGATCAACTGCTGCAGGGTATGATGGCAAAGAGTAAAATTAAGGGGACCAAGGGGAAGTCAGGGACGATAGTGATAGTCGGCGCTGGTGGTTCAAAGTGATTCCTGGTGACTGGACTCCACTGCATAATCAATTGATCATTTTGGGATGTTTGCTTTGTGTAGTATTTTTGCGGTGTTTGTAGATTATAATCTATCATACTCGTGGTATCTTGGATCAAGTAAGTAGAACTTTGTTACGTGAGGGGAACGGGTCTGATCTTAGAAGCGATGATGGGATTGCGTCAGTGTAAATTTGAGGCAACTTCGAAACGCTTTCGTATTGATCTGAGACACAAACTGAATTGTCGATCCCGAAGCTTAGTGGGGGTACTAACTATGTATCATGAGGGTGACGATGATTTTAGGTTTGGTGATGGTCTTGGGGCAAGGAGGTTGCCAACGGGTCTAGTCAACGATCGATACGGAAGGCCGCCATCGGAAATATGGACACGAGATGCATACTAATTGTGGAAGGCCGCCGCCCGTTGGCGGTGCAGAAAGACGTAAGTGAACCCTATTAGAACGGCTTAAGGGGAGAAATGAAGTCCGCGCACGAGAGCGTGCCTGAAAGAGGCGTAGCACTGGAAAGAGGAAACAGGATCTGAAACTTGGGCCCTCGAGGCGCGAATGAGCGATATATAGAGATTGAACAATATGACTATATGTGGGAGGGGGGGGGGGGAATCTCGTTATGCAGGATTTAGTATCTATGATACATATTTGATAGGATAGGGTGATGCCTTGTATGATACGGGTTGCGAAGCAGAGAGGAGGCGTGGATTACGAGGTCGGTGAGTGGGACTACGTGAGTACAGCATTGTTGAATTCATATATGTTTACGGTACCGTTTAGTGATGTCGAGAACAAGGTTAAAGACAGGATGACAGGTTGAGGACACGGACAACAGCAACGTGAGATCTAAGAGTTTGAATCTGGACAACGTTTGTTAGATAACTTAGATCTGAAAGAGGACGGGACCGAGGAGGAGTTCGTGTGCGCTCTCGCTAACGAGCGAGCCTAGACGCGACTGTGGGCAAAAATCAATTTCATGAAGGCAATGAAAAAGAAGTATATTCCGATTTGGTAACTTATTGGGTTGATTAATTGAGGGTTGCACAGCCTATCTTTTTTTACCCCGACGATAGAAACGATTTTGGGACTGAATTTACAATAACATTAAAATCAAATAAGTAGAACTCGGGGGTACCCATACTGTGCATTCGAATCGCCGATACTTATATAGACGCTCGGGCAAAGGGCCGCTGATGTGATTTGCCGAAGTAGATGCTATTCGCTACCGATAAGCGTTCGTTCGCCGCGCTGGAGAGGATGACGCGCTGATGTCGGGATTGAGTGAGAAATGACCGGTTAACGGCTTCTGTGGAGGAAAGGGTTCTTTCCCATGAGGGGGTGCCTCGATCTACTTGAAAGGCGTATCGGATTTTTTTCATAGCTTATTCCAGCTTAATATAATTTCATTTTTCTTTCTTTCCTTATTTTTTTCCCGACTCGGATTTCCTTTCCCTCTTAAAATCCCGTCCATCAAACCAGATTCCTCCCATTACAATCTCGTCCTCCTTTCAAATGATTGAGCAAATCTCAAACTCTCCCCTCGCTATCAGCTCTTACAACGTTGCTCAGTTACAATTATCTTTACAGTGAGTAAACCAGTTTGTTTTAAATTTTCAATTACAATCAGATTTCATAATCCGACTGTCATATGTCAAGATCATGTCTGTCAATTATTGTTTTACAATCTTTCTTTCCTTCCTCATCATCCCATCACATCAAAGAACTGCACAGTTGACCCCCACCTACAGACTTGGTCAAAAAATCGACCCTGTTCCCTTCTCGGACGATTTATCAAACTGTGCCTCTCCGGCTATCCTGTGGGTCTTCGTGCCTTGACCCGATCCCCATATCTGACTTGTTTCGTTTATTATATTTACTTTAGTCCCACAGACTCGGACTTTGATTATCCTACTCGTCGAATGTCAAGCTCTACCGTCTCGGCAGAGACAGAGAGCAGTGTAGCCTCTCGCCCTGAAAAGCGTCCATTGTCTCCCTCTAGCTCCCCACAACCCCTCAGACCCCGTCCTTCTTTCTCCTCAGAACAGCCTTCTTGGCATTTTGATTCTACTCATCATAGCCCTCAACAAGACGACAAGCCACTAGAGACTGGTCTCGACAATACAAAGGTACAATTACCTTCCATATTTACTACCTTTGAGGATCCCTTTCGTCGAGCCTCCTTACCTGCTCTTTCACAAGAATCAAACCCTCGCTATCGATCCGCTCCATACCCCCCTACTCATCTCCGTCGCGCATCGCACGCGTCCTCTAACCAGTCTAATCTCGGTTCATACCATTTCCCACCTCCTTCCGATACCTCTGAGTTTCAAGATAAATCTTCTAGCCGTCCTCGCTTGACTGCTGACACACATCTCAACTACTCCTACGGAGACTCCCCCTCATACCTAAATACAGCCCTTTCCAGTACAGCTACCTCAAGTTCCCATTTCTCCTCTTCCACTTCCACTTTCACATCACCTCTCACCCCTGATATCAAATCTCAGGGCGTCCCTGCTCCAGGATACATAGAATCCGACAGTTGGAACGACTCCCCCTCTGGTATTGTTCGTCCGAGCTCGACCGGCCAGTTACCAAGTACCCTCAATAAGTACGACGACAGCGTCAGACACTCCTCCTTCAGCACCAACCTTCCTCAGTCCCAGATGTTTTCCGCTCCTCAACGTCTTCCTCCTCAACAGGATCGTAGACTTTACCCCTCCTCAGCTCAACCTAAGGATGACTGGAATTTTGCCAATCAGGAGTATGCCTTTTCCTCGAGCAGTCCGTCATTAAATTCGGCGAACAGCCCAGTACCCTCCGCCGCACCAGCCCCGACAACGACTTCCTCTCCTACATCTCGCTCCCCTCCGTCTGCTCCATCATCTACGTTAACTGATCGCCCCATGCGTAAGAGGGGCAAGTTACCCAAGGAAACGACCGATTATCTAAAGGCCTGGTTGCATCGTCACTCAGATCATCCATACCCAAGCGAGGAGGAGAAAAAGCAGCTTTGCCATGCCACTGGATTGAGCATGAGCCAAGTATCCAATTGGATGATTAATGTCCGCATTCTTTACTCAACTTCCACGTCGTTCAATTAATTAACATAATTTGCAGGCTCGCCGCAGGATTTTAGCTCCTGCCCACCGAGCAGCACAGGGACCCACCACCTCTGCGCCATATCCATCTTCCACTCGCACTGTGCCCGCTTCTTCTCTCTTAGATCCAGTCGCGCGTCGTGCTTCACTGCCTGCAGAAAGTCTGCAGTTGTATCACCCCATGTCTCTTCAGTCGCTGCAAGGAGGACACGGTCACCAGAACTCAGCGTCTGCAGAGTTCGGCGGAAGTGGCCGACAACTTCTCGCACGCCCGGCTCACTACAGTGGTGGTGGTGGTGGTGGTGGTGGTGGCGGCGGCGGCGGTCTAGAATACTCCCAGAATAGACTTGGGCTGTCCACATACAATCTTGGACACAACCATCATTCTGGGAGTGAAGGGCAGTCCGGCTATCTTTCATCGGGCGTTCCGATGTCCGCACCTCCCTCCCTTCCACCCAACCCTTTTGGATCTCACAATATGCACAATCAATCCTCGTTGTATTCTGCACAGCATCACCACTCGTCATTGTCTCCTGGCTTCATTTCAAGCCCATCCCAGAGCTCGCCGAGGTTGCCCGCCCACTCGGCGGATTCGCAGTCGCATTCCTATTATAGCGAAGGCCCATTGCATCCGTCTGTAAATGCTGGGCCTGCCTATTCAGCTCCGCAGTGACCACGACGTTGTAACAACATCGAATCCTATATCTGGATGCCTTTGTTTTCGAAAAACACCGTTCGTGTAACAATATTATTATACTGACTACCTAAAGCACCTAATCATTGTACTACTCGTATCAACTTCTTGAGACCACACACTCCAACCTTTGCCAAGTGTTCCTCGTTGGCAACTAAAAATTGCGCATCCCAATAAAACAGAGATTTATGGTCACCGGGTTCGGGCACAGTCTGTTGCAATATTTCTCCCACTGCAGTGCTGCACATGATCCTGCGGAACGTCTACACCTCGTGTCTGCCGCTTGCAGCCGATCCTATTCCTGTGTTTCTGGGGTTCTATCTCTCAGCGGACTGCTTCTTATCCTGGGTCCGGATCTCCCTTTTCATAATGAAATCTGGGTACTGCGAAGTTCTATAGTAATCGAACCGCTACCTGCATTATTTGATTTTAACGCCTTCGGGATGTGAGATTTCCCCTTTCCGGGAAGCATCCGGGCCGTTTGATGGCAGTGTGCGATTTGAGTTGGAACGGGATCATCGTTCGGCGCTTAGACTAGCGATTTGCTAACTCAGGAGACGAGCTTCATTTTACCTCCTCAGGAAAATAAGTTCCGATGACTTGCAGAGGGTGCCGTGGATCAATCCGCAAGCTACACCCGCTGAAGTCGACTCATCGCCGCGATCATTGTGACCTAACCGAAGCTAACCGCAAAAGGACCGCTCCTCATATGTACGACACGGTCGCGGTACACTGGTGAGAATGGGGCGACAGTGCGGAAGGTCCAGATCATCATTTGTGCACCTCCTTCCATCCATTGACCCCTTCGATACGACGCGAGGCGCTTTAACTTTATCACTTTAGGCGGGTGGGCGTGTAGATGTGCACGTGAGGGTAAAAAGCTGCTGAAAGCGGCCAGCCGCCACCGCCTTGTTGCTTGTTGAGATGGCTACGCATTGCCCCCGTTATCCTATTTGAGACCCTTCAGGAACTCCACTCCGCACTCAATTCCAACAGTGATGTAAGTGCAGGAACGGTGGTGGCGTCACTTTAACCTTCACTTTGGTCCACCCGTACGTACGGCCCTTATTGGTATATTAGTTGCACAGCTATCGAGAATGGTAAGGGGGAAGATCAATGACATTGCCAAAAACAATGAAGTGGAATAACCAATCGCATTGCAGAATCACACTCAAAGATTGCACAAAGAATATACAGATAAGTAGCAAGGCACCTCTCCCATCCTTCGCTTAGACGTCAATCAGGCGAAGCGCATACGACGTGATTTGCCGTAGGTCTCTCATGGGTGAACTGGGCGCCGGGAATCAGTGCCAAGAACCCTCGAGAGGGCACGAACCTGGCGAAATAGATGGTGGGTACTTCCAGCAACCCTGACGTGAATTTATGAAATGCCGTACTTGATACGCGTGCACTGACATGATCAATGTCATCCTTCGATGCAGGCCGAATGATAGCGGCATGTGGTTTTCTAGACATGATTTTACCACAGGTCAAGCAACGACACTCCACGAGGGAGATAGCTACAGCGTTAGTCATACCGCAGCAATCAGAACAAAGAAGCGAAGGGAAAAACCAACAGAATCAACAGAATAGGATGGTGAGGAATGTCTTCGATCATTTTACCCGAGGGAATTAAAAGAAACAGACGGAAACTGCCAGAGCGCGGCATAAATGACGGGAAATGTCCAGCATTGGCACCCAAATGACAATAATCTGCTGCCACAAAAAATAAAATAAAATGCAAGAGCGGACACTTACTTGAACGCCTTCTCAATAGCCATTGAGGGGTCTAAAGAAATTCCAGGCTCACAGACTAGCGAGAACAGGAATACTTACCCTGATCCTAGGGAGCCAAAAATATCAGATCAATGTGCAACTCGACAAACAAAATGACACGGCGGAGTAATTCGATCAGAGCTCCAGGAAAAGCTCCATCTATCTTATGACTGTGCCTGACGGGACAAGTTCGCGTGCTTAACAACACATAGGAGAACTAGTATGTGACCGCGTGCTCATGGGAAAGCAAAGTGCAAAGCCCGCAGTGAGTAGCGGTCCGCCTCAAACGAAGAACCTCCAAATCAAAAGGCACCGGGGCACACCTACTCTGCCAGGGCAAAGCTGAATGAAACCAATGCATCACATGGTTCCCACTTGAGGAACGTAAGCACATCGGCATAAAGTCCTTGGATTTCTTTAACTTGCTTGGGAGAGTTCTGCCATCGTTCGACAATCAGGCCTGTCTCGATGCGCCATCAGGGAAAACAAAATAGAGGGAACGTGCCTGAGGGAGTAAGCGTGTTTGTTCCCCCATGTCCTTGTTGATAGCCTGAATGGGTATGGTGATCATGATGCTTTCTAATCTTGATAACATCCCTGGACTCCCCACTCCTGCTGAGAAAGGGTTTCGTCACTGATATTTGGTCATCCTTGGTCGCAACTATCATTGTCCAGGTTACTGGGGCATGCAGTTTAAGCGTCTCGCTAACAACCCAGTCGAGATATTCTAGTTTCCCACCATTATCGTCTAGAGTCAGCGAATTGATAGGAATTATTCGAAGAGCCTTGTGAAGCGCTCTCTGGCTATCTAGATATTAGCCAGAGTGCACAGACACCACGTCGGTGCAGAGGACGTTGTCTCATAGCCTGCGATCAGACAAGTCAAAATCTGACAGAGGATTTTGACTGTGCTTATGTGCTGAGAATCGGAGGCTTCGAGATTGGAGGCCACTACATTGACGGTAAATTCCGGCTTCTATGTTTGTAGTCGCTGAAACATACCAAGAACGGTCAGGAGGTGCCTTTGTCTTAGAACGTTCCTTTTTGCAATAGCGCTCTGAAGGCTATCCTCGATAAGCTGTAGCCCAATGCAATTGAGGTGCACATGCGCATGCGCCATAATTGTACTATGACGCCGTTAATGGAACATGGTTAACAACCTCGCCACAGGGCAAGATTCGTTAGCGGCGGGAGAGATAGCCCGCTCACAAATAGTCTTAGCAGGGGTATCCAAGTTTCGAATATGGTGCTGAGCGCTAGCTGTGAAGATGACATAGTAGGTATTGGCTAATTCATTGTTTTCCCCTGTAAGGCCCGTAATGTTCAATACTTCATAAATATGACAGGCACACAAAAAGCTACCAGCAAGTCCAATGATGTTCAAGTTGCTTTTGATAACCAGACAATGTCATCAATGGGTTGCGGACAATGCTCGTGAACGGCCTGAATCCAAACACCTCGCAGCTCGAAAGATGTGCTTAGATTTCTCCGGCAGTGAGCCATAATCTTACCTGATCGGCTTTATCCCAAAACACTGGATAGAGTATTTTAATGTGCAGCCGTGAATGCCGGAGCCTAAAGTACGGAAAGCAGTGTGAACATAATCAGTAATTTTTTGCGGTGCACGTTCAGGCCTGCAGGCCTCAGGTTTCATCGAATGGGGGTAAACTTTTCCCCCATATACTGGCAGTTGCGCCCCGGGCGGACCATAACCACGCTGCAGCCAACTTTGACGTAGTATCGGATAATATCATGACTGACCAGTATTCTCCGCTGCAATTTCAATCCTGTAAGTGACTACAATTTTACCAAGCGTGGTGAACAAGCCTGACCTGGCTTTTGTATGTGACCGCACTGTCACCCCTTCCACTGCCAATGCTCCGAGTTCGCCGGCACCCGTAGTACGTACTGGCCAGGTTGTCGCAAACGAAGTCAGGTTTGTGGTAAATGTCAGACTTATCCAGTATGCGAGCGATAATAGTTAGGTCGGTCGCCACCAGCCGAGATCTCCAAAGAACATTCTGTATACATAAATCACCATATCGAGCCTCCCAGTCAGCAAGGAGATCGTGGTTTGAAGTTCCTTAATGGTACATCTCCGCGACAAAAAGTAGCGACGGAGTAAGGTAGGTTGCGAAGCTTGTGCAAGGAGATATTGCCCGATGAGCAAGTGTATTGTGTCCTTTAATATATAACCTGACAGGAGGATAGAACTCAGATACTTAATGGTCACATTCGAAAAAAACGAATTGGGATCGTGGGAGACGATTTCTAAATGTGTGAACATACACTATGAGACTTATTTGAATCCACTTAATACTGCAGTCTTCTTCGCCAATCCACTGAATTAATGTCGAAACTCGAACTGATATATCAGCAGCTGTGTTCTCTCCCGGCTTCCGAGCTTCTCTCGATCCATCCGAACGACCTGGCAGCTTCTGGCTTTCAGCTTCCGGGAAGTTGGAAGGGTTGGTGGGAATGGGCCACATCAATAGACGATGAACATACACCGTGCTTCCCAAGGTGGATATCGGTTCTCCATTACTATTCTGCGACACCCGATGACCAGCAGACGGGGAACCAGATCCCGAGTAATAAATCTTTGGTGGGCCTGTTGTATGACGATCAGCGCGTGCAGACAGCATGCTCATCTTGCGATAGATCCCGCCCGATTTGAAAATGCTCATCGATGACATTGTCCGCATCCAGTTGAGTAGAGATCTTGTTGCCATCGGGAACACCTCCGAGTCGGGTTAGTCACACTTCAGAGACCTACCAGGCGCCTTGAACAGCTTCCTCACTTGTTGGCTCATCGTAATGCTTTGTATGTCCAGGGAAGGCTCATCGATCGTATGGCATGTCACCAAAGAAAGAGCACGAGGTCTCCAAGATGTCAGAATATATCGACCGACTTTTATGCCCAGGTTTTTCGGATACACTACATCATGTTGTTGATGTGGGTTCAGGACAAGTTAGTATTTTTGTATATCCTTTTCACCTTAAAAGTTACAGGAATGTTTTGCCCAATAATCAATGATTTTCTTTTCAGGGATATTTGTCTCGTGCGCTTCAAAATTTGGGTCTCCATGTGTTAGCTCTTGATTCCAATGAGATCCAGACCTCTGGGGCTGAACGCTGGAAAGCAAAAGAAGCGGCAAGAAGGCAGAAGCAGCTTAAAAGGGGAAAGGACGCCCAGAGCGTGTCCGACTCACACCATCACTTCGACGATCCCCTTTTCCAACCACACGTGGCAACCTCTGTGCCTTCGGCTTCCATTGCCAGCAAAAACATAATACACAACCATGTGGGTTCTCTTACCCACCAGACTATCTGCATCGATCCCCGTACACTTGAATCGTCAATTCATGATTGGCTTTTCTCCGGTGAAGACAACCAAATCACTGGTTGCACTAGTATGATCGGAGATTTACTTGTCGATAGGATTGAGCGATGTGCACCTGAGGAGAAGCCGGTCCCTGTGATGATGGTTGCCCTTCACGCCTGCGGATCGCTCACGCCTGATGTCTTTCGCGCGTTTTTGTCTAATCACCGTAGACCCTCAGCCCCCGGTGTTCGCACTTGGACGGCGCAGGCACTCGTCGTAGTAGGATGCTGTTACAACTTGATGACGCCTGAGGGTGAGCATCGGTTTTTATAGTTGGTTTAGGCGAGGTTTGCTACAACTGCACTGGTAGATTTTCCGTTGTCACGGTCGCTCCGTGAGCGAACCCCAGTAGTAACACTTTCCCTTGCCTCTCGCCACCTGGCTGCGCAGATACCATCCCAATGGCTCCGCAATGAAACATCTGCCCGGGAAACATCTCTGGCAATACGCAAGGTCGTTTTTCGAGCCCTCCTTCAACCCGTCCTTGAAGTAATAGGTGCACGAGAAGCCTCCGCGAATCACACTGCAACCTCTTCATATCATGTCGAAGATCTCCGCGGCGCAGGTCAGACACCAGAAAATAGGCGGTTGGGAAAGCTCCCTGATGCTGCGTACAAAGACTGGGAAACATTCCTGGATCGTGCGATTTCGAAAACTGGCGTCCGACTCGATCAGATCGCAACACAGCTTCCCGTTTATATTCATAACAAGCATAGACGAAGGCAGCTGGAAAGTGCTTTATCAGTATTGCACGTGTTAAGGTGTATCATGGGACCTCTGATAGAATCCCTCATCCTCCTTGATAGGCATGAATGGATTCGGGAAGAGTTGGGTCAAAATAGTAAAGCACAGGCAATGGACGTTGGCCTGGTAAACCTGTTTGACCAGGCAACGGGAAGTGGAAGGAACGTAGCTATTGTTATCAAGCCTCGTGAATGGCCCAATATGATTTAACATTGCTTGAGCCAGTCAGGAGACATCCTCAGTCTTTTCTGTACATCACAGTTGAACGTATGTTATGGATTGACTCAATTGACAAGGGGGCCCTGAAATGGCCATGAAAAGATGTCCTTTCCGATCTTCACTACAATAGTATCCACTTCGAACCCTCCGATGTGGGCGCACGAGACTCTAGCACCAAATCGCCGGTTTAGCGTCGGGATTAGCTCAGACGGAAAGTGCGGAACACACGGAAAACACTCGGCCTGAAAATGTTTATTAGATTCCCCGATGTCCCCGTTACTAGTCAAGTTGTCGTCCGATGTGCCTTCCACTGCTATGACCCCTTCATAAGCGCGAGGATGTCTTCTGGTGTCGGCGTCTCCGTTCACCGATGTGTCAGGATCTAGAAGAGCCCATGCTATTGAAACGTGGAAACGTGGTTGGCTGTAAAAATCTCGTTGACGCAGGGACTGAAGGGTCGGCGACAGTGCAGATAGCAGATCCCTCAGCTACAATAAGTCAGTTTGGAATCAGATTGGTGTCGCTAGGACGAACTTCATTGTGACCGGCTCCCACCTCGAGGGAAAGGAACACCCTCGTTCGCTCATCGTTTGTAAGTTCCGAAAACGTTGCAAATGAAGCCTGAAAACTTCATACGATGGTAAGAGACCACAAGTATGCAATGGATTGTACATATGGCGTACGGGATTCGGCGTGAAGCGATCAGCTTTATGGCTTGTTTGAACTCTTCTCTTTGGTGGGCGCGAAGAAATATTGGTCGAGTCAATGACAAGTGCAGCTCCCGCACCCTGCGAGAGTTATTGACTGTCAAGCCACCACTATTTCTACTACATGAGACAATTTCCCCTATGACGTGAGCGGCTGGGACCATTTCCTTGATGACATTAAGTACTTCATCGACCAATGAGTACAATGCAGTCCCAGGGTGCAGGACGAGGGGAATGTAAACATATGTGGCATATTGGCCCTCTACGTGTGGGGTTGCACGAACTCGTCCTTGATGAAGAGCAGGGTCATCGACGGGTACTGGTACGATGAAGGATGATGCAAGAGACGGCAGTTTCCTGTGCGTACATTGAGCAGCATGCAGAGAGATGATGAAATGGTCAACTTCTTCTTTTTCTCTGGAGCGTCGACTACAGCTTCGTCTTCTGAGCTAGAGTAAGCTACCAGGGCCCGTGATGTGCGCTTCATGTGACACGACTCGGTGATGTTTTTGATAATATTATACAGAACCGCTTTCGGAAGCGCAACTCGGATGCTAATCTACTAGGCTCTACAGCACCCGCCGGCAGACTCCGGTACTAATAATTAATCACTGTACTGAGCGCTGATCCGATTACTAGTTTAACATTGATCATGAGTGTTCAATTCATCAACAATCTAGGCCAGCCAAGTCAAGCTCACTCGCACGAGCCTGGTGGTGTGCCTCATACTCATGATCATGGCGACCACGGACATACGCACGAGCACCTAGATCACCCAGGTTGGTTTCGTCACTGAGCGTATGATCAATGCCAGCAATCCTATTGCATTCACTTTCCTGCAGGTAAATTCTCGGAACGGGACCTTCCCGACTACTCTTTACGAAACTTCCAAGAAAGAGGCTTTACTGTCGGAATTGGTGGGTAAGTCGACAAGCTTACGATACCTATGCACCACCGTGACGGCGATCACCTCATACAGACCTGTTGGTTCCGGTAAAACAGCCTTGACACTTGCGTTATGCAAGAAGCTTCGTAGCAAATATAACATCGGTGAGCAAATCTCACATGATCTTCTGCATTCTGTGAAACTTCGATATACTTAGCTACTGTGACGAACGACATCTTCACTCGCGAAGACCAAGAATTCCTTATCAAGAATAAGGCACTCCCTACACCTCGTATTCTAGCCATTGAGACCGGTGGTTGTCCTCATGCGGCGATCCGCGAGGATATTAGTGCGAACATGGGTGCTTTGGAGACACTTCAAGCCAAGTTTGGTTGCCAACTCCTTTTTGTGGAAAGTGGAGGAGATAACTTAGCTGCCAACTATTCCCGGGAACTAGCTGACTACATCATATATGTCATAGACGTGGCGGTATGTCTGTCAGATCCTCGATGCAGTTCTGTCTCATGTGCATTTCCAGGGAGGAGATAAGATTCCTCGTAAAGGTGGACCAGGAATTTCTCAGTCTGACCTTCTGGTAATCAACAAGGTTGGTCAAAATTTTATTCAAACGTCATACCTCCTCACTGCAGAGGTTCAAGATCGACATCGCGCAATATGTTGGCGCATCTCTTGATGTGATGAGACGTGATTCGAAATTCATGCGTGGAGACGGCCCAACTATTTTCACGAGCATAAAGAACGACCAAGGCGTCGACGACATTGTGGAGCTTATCTTAGGTGCTTGGCGAACAGCCGGCGAACCCGGCACACAAGGTGCAGTGGGCGATGATGAGTGAGGGGCAATAAATGAATGCCTGCAAGAATTGCAATATGATGGGTGAGGATAAACAAATGCTATAAAGAACTGTAAGCAGCCGTCTTGTAACGTATCGCGGTGTCAAGTATGACACCTTTGAAATTATTTTGAAGTGCCGGGTAGGCACTATCCAGACTGCGCGGAATTTCAAGCTAGCTGGAACATACCACGTGCCTTAACGTCCAATGTTACTACATAGTATTACTTGTCTCCGGCTGCATAGGGCTGCGGTTGTATTGCGAAGTACTACTGCACCAGCCTTCTGCAAACATTGTAGTAGCAGTACTTAAGCTTCAGTAAGTGATAATGCAGGGTACCCGGCCAATTTTATCCCTCTCTATGGGGACCGAAATCCACACTTGCCTATTTTGATGACGTAATTAGTGAATGGAGGACTGTTCCTTCAACTTCCTTCGAATTCAAAACTTTCATTAAGCACCTTGTGTCACCGGTACCCTTCAGCGTACAGTACTAGTACTAAGCCCCCATTCATTAGAACGATATGGACGCTCAGTCAAACAACTACCCGTACACAATTGTGCGCATCAAGCGCAAACGCACGGATGAACCACTTGACGCGCTTGGTGTGTCTCTCGTGCCACCCGTTTGCGAAGTCAAGTTCTTATTGTGACATCAGTTGTCGAGTCTCGGGTTCGCAGAAAGAAGTCGAAAGGTGGTCGCGATGTTTTTCAGTTTATTCAAACCGTCGAAGAGACCGTCTGGGAGGATAAGCAACTGCAGGAGACGCTACAGGTGAATTACCTTTAACACTCGTCGCTGTTTGCGTTACATAGGAGTTCTATCATCCCCACAGAACCAAATTTCGAAATTATCGCAAAACCACACTGAAAATAACGCCCAACCCTCGGTACCTGCGGATGTCACGAATCTGTCTGAGGCCCAACGCCGTCGGCAATTAGCTGATGAAGGAAGACGCTACACAATCGTTCCTACACGCGAATCTGTTGAAAATACCAAGTATGCTACCAGTCCGTGAGTCTTCTCATGATGTTGCCAGATACTTGTCTAACCCGGGGCAGTCCAAAGGTCATATCTGCAAAAGATGCTCGATCTCAAAACGACTTCAGGATGTACGATGCCGTTCCAGCTGATAAGAAGCCTACGTCTTCTGTCTTTGATTCCGACATGGAGAAATTCTTACCCATGCTTCAGAATTACTTGCGCAGTAAGCTTCCCTTCTCTTGAGGTCTTACATGCTCATGCCCATGCCTTCCAGTGAATGACGAGCCCTCGCAAGTTCTCTCCGCTGCTCCCCCAGCGGAGGACTATGTTTGGGACGTGTTCTACAGGCGCCCTTGCACACTCAGCGAATGGAATTCAGTTGCTAATATCGGAATGCTGTAAGTTACCTGGCTTAATGTGCGATGAAATTATTGGCTGGAATGTTGTTGCACTTGTAGTGAAGGCCTTCCTCCCTCACTGGATGATCCCTACTCTAGTGACTCAGAGTCCGAGGAGGAAGATAATGCTGACGAAGACTCAAATGGTATATTTGTGGTTTGGCGTTAAATCCTTTATCTGACGCGACATTCCCCAGCCGAGGAATATTACAAAAATGACTATCCAGATGAGGATGATTCGGATGATAGTGAGGGGGGCGGTACGTTTTCCGTAGCCTCATTCGATAGTTGGGCTGAGATCTGCCTATAGATATATTTCATGACAGCTCCGAAGCGGAAGACGATCTTCGGTACGACGATTTGAATGATGACGACAGCTATTGGAGGTAAGGGGTCAAAGAGTTTACATTTGTGGCATAAGTATGGACACAACACACATTGTACTACAATTTCACAATTATACGACATCTTCACAACCTACAGCTGCATTCGTTCTTAGCTCCTTAGATTCCTCGGCGTCTTCATCTTCGCATCGTCGAATCATATGCTTTCGCCGTCTTTTTTGAGTTCGAACTAACATTTACATTAAAATCCAATCGGAGCAAATGTGCAAAGAGATCACATACTGCGCCAGGATGCCTTGACCGCCGCCTCCCAAACCTACTAATCGTCAATACTCCGAGGAAAGCCAGGGTGAAGCCCATCAATGCAACAACTATAAGAGTCAAACCCGCGCCAAGGACGCCAGCTCCAGCTGGACTGATTTTGGGTCGAGCAGCGGCTTCTCCTTGTTCTGTCGCAAGAGCAAGAGCAGCGCAACCACTGTCTTGGTCGTTGGCACAAACACTGCACCAAGTTGCCGTGGTGTTTACTGCGACAGGCTGGCGGAGATATATCAATATGAGGCAAGTTTAGAGTAGCCACCTTGACTCACAGCCATAGCATCGATGAAAGCAGATAACGGGACATCTCCTGTTAGGTTGAGGAAGTTGTATGTCACGAAGTCTGCGTCAGTTCCGTTTTTGAAGTTGAAACGGATCACAGGTTCACCACCCCCAGAAGGTTGACGCAATTCCAAAGCAACGGCGGCAGCGTAGTTGACTGGCTGCGTGTCAGTCAAGCTCGCGACGAACATGGAACTGGTATACTGACCAATGCCTGCAAGACTCGGGTTTGCACTAGCAACACCTGTCATATTAAAGAGGGAGAGGAAAGGTTTATATGAAATAGCGGTAATCGATAGCTGCACGGGACTTGTAGAATTCGTGATGTCTGCAAATCCATTGAGAATCGATGGCAGAATAGCCAAACCGGCAACTAGGACGAACGTCACAAATTAGCGAATATTTTCTCAAAAACTAGGCGTACTGTTCCCGACGCCTGAGATGGACTGGTCGCTAAAGACGTTGTACTCGTGCCAATTAGCCAAAGTTTGTACTTGAGCTAGGTATGTGGCTGGGAGAGCGTTGGCAAAGGTGGCATTGTGGATATCATTCACATTCATAAAGTCGTATATCTGCTGGCGAGTTCAGCCTGTCGCTGATCAAGAGCAGGTAAGCATACATTCCACTACAACAATTGGAGTCAGAACATAGATGAAATGTAACTAGCTCACAACATACCATATTCTCCAGCTGGACCGATCTTCCATTCAGATAAGGAGGCAGCAAGTCCAAGAAAGCTGCGCTTTGTGTAGCCATCTCTTGAAAGATAGATGAATTGTAAAACTCTGTCGTATGCGTGTTGAAGGTCTGAAAGATATCATCTTCATGAGAAAATTTAAAGGAATTTTTTGACAAACATTGCAATTAGCGAAACCTTCCAATGCTATACTCAGGTTGGGATCCACAGTCTCAACTACCCTGTGTGAGCACCGGGTGCTTGCTGAGGTATCTACAAGAACTCACTAGGTATATACTTTGCAACATGCCAGTCAGGGGACGCGAGACTCACATCACAAGCAACACATACCTGATACCCTCCAAGGGGAGCCATGATCGTTGTCCCATTAGCAAGGGTGATATTGTTTGAGAGTGTGGCAGGCCAAAGTCCCTGCGTTAATGATACGCAAGAATCATAAATGACACCATTTTCGTCTCCAAAGTCTGCTTGAATGTACACCTGGGCCGGATTGAATAGCCCTGTGCTCATGCCAGGGATGTACGAAGGCGATGACTCATTCAAGTATAATGAACGTAGGTAGCTGCCGAGCAAAAACTCTTGTTGCTACAAGAAATCGATGAGAATATACATGGCCTAGCATTACTGACGTACATTGCCCAGAGGAGTGATCTGCGTAGCAGTTGCAGTATAGGTGTCAGGGTCTTGATAAAATCCTTGACGATCCCCGTGACGGACGAGTAACACGACTCCCAACAGTTGGTTGTCAGTATCTTGTGACATGATGACGGTATACTGATGATTGCGTTGCACACGGAGGACTAGGAAGGGCAACTGCCAGTGGATCTAGGAAGAGTAATTGCCCAGGAGCAGATTCGTAGTGGGGCTGGTCTGTCATTTAAGCCATCGCGATGACAATTATAAACTCGAATTCTTATCGTATTAAGCCTACGTTCGGGTATGATATTACTATTTGCGCCCAGGTCCCTCCAGGACGCAGATCCATGAGTCAAAATCTCACAATCGTGTAGTCTCGACGGCGAACCGGATGCAATACAGGTGGCACCACCATGGACAGGTCCCTAACTTGCAGTAGTTAAGAATTGGTGATGGAGTGCGCGATCGCAGCGGCACGAAGGCTAGTTCCTGACTCCAAATTGTTAGTGCGGGGGTACTAACTGAGTTGTGCGAGCTGAACTTACGTCTTGTTACAACCCATAAGTATACTCATGTGACCCATTGGCAGTAGGATACAAACATTCACAATTTCACACGTATATATGCTTCTTGATACTTCGTTTACTTCCGCCGACTTGACGAAGACGTTATCGCGAGAGGACCATGCATTTGTGTCAGATGAAAAGAGCGCGGGACTAGCGGACCGAAGTTCGACATATGATTACGACCCTGGTTTTGTTCCCTGCTTTCGTTCTTATCTGTTCAATTTACTATAATCTATTTGGTTCTTTCCTTCTGGAACTTCGCCAGAACTGTCAGATCTAGCTTGGGGTGTTGCTGACATTATACCTCCCAGTGCATATTTGTGGGCGTTTCGTTGCTCAGGCCTCAGGCCAGGAACCTCCCCTAATGAGGCTTACCAGGCTTTAGCCTGTCACTAAGTGCCTGATTACTTTCGAACAGTATCAGCGAGGTACACTCCCCTAGCCAGACAACATACATAGAAGGAAGACAGTCGTTCCTTGAATATAAGGCAGGGACATCTAGGAACCTCCTGCGACGATAGCCAATTGCCAACGTTCGTGAGTTTTCCAAGTACCACGAGTCTCTGTCTAAACACGTTCTATGGTAGTGGTGGCACCGCACAAACTTGTCTTCAATCTCCCTAGTATTCACTATATAAGTAGACTGAGACTTAGATCTGACCAGGCAAGCAACTGCAAGGTAGATCTCACTGTAATTAGGCAGCGCCCCGACGACCGAAATCAGCGGCAAGACAAACGAGGCACATTATCTAACGATTTTCATCAACTCGGGTCTCAATGATTGGTGGCGCCCAATCCTACACGGTGCAGATAACAGAGTTACACTGATATTTAAACTCGCCACGATCTCCCCGAGGGTCATGTTGAAGCTCGTTCTTGGCGATAGAGGAAACCGACTGACCCTCAGCCCCTCGGTCCTCGGGCGCCTTTTCACGCATTTCTCTAGCCCTTTGCGATTGCATGTAATTGTTTTAATGCTTGAACATGTATTGCACGGTAGGAATTGGATTCCACGCAAGATAATCCACTAATTAGTCTCTGTAGTCAAACTTTGATACTGGTGTATGGAAGCCGGTCGTTCTTGATCTACCGATACTCGCGCACCACATTTATCTGCAGGTCGTTCGTATTTGGGTCGACGACGCTGCGGCTTGGTCACCATGGTGGTAAGATATTCAACCTACAATTGGCCGAGCCCAGTGCTTCAAGATTTGTACTTTCTGTCCATCATGAGCATCCCAGACATCGCCTTCGATTTCCCAAAGCGATCTAAACGATTGTCCCACTTCTTACCTGAAACTGTTTAGAGTTGTTGTTCTCGCGCTTCGGTGTATGCGAGACATTGGAATTCAAATTGAATTCGATAGGTCAGTCTTATCATATATCCATACTTGTACCTGGGAACCGAGTCTCGACAGGAAGCACTTACTTCCTGCAGTTAAGTATAGCCACAGTGTTCTGACGACTTCGAGTCACATGTCCCAAGAAGAAGGATCGTGGGTTTTGCCTTCGAGGTCAAGTCTCCCTAAGCCCATCGGTAATTCGGAACAGATCGGATCGCATGGTACTCGAAGCAATTGTGTATAGCAACCATATCGATCTGGGGTATGTTTAGCATGCATCGAGAACCGAGCACGCCAGCATGAACTTACTGATAAGGAAAAGGAGCACCCTGGGGCACCTTCGTCAGTCCGTTTATGGTGACAAACATGAAGATCTCAGATCTGCAGGGTGATGAAAGGTCGGCTCGCTCCTTTGGCCATGGAGACAGGTGGAGACGTATATAGATAATATATAGACAACAGAAGCATTGAGCACAGTACGGTATAATCAGTCTCACTATGGCACGAACTCGCAGCTTTGAGAAATTATGTGGACTTCTCGACTATGCACGCCCACTCTCCTAGATGCTTTCACAGGTACTGCTGTACTATCTGCTGACCCCCCGTCGGTTGGTGCCTTCACTACTGCAACCTTAACCGGTACGAAACGAGGATGCATCTTATACGTACATCTAAATGATACAACGAACCGCACACTGTACGTACTGTCTAAACATGTCACGGTAGGGCGATGTCACCATGATTACAATAAACGGGAATTCGTTGGAAAATAATATAGTACTTCAGCATCAAGCACGAGAGCAACGGACAGCTAGAGGATGAGCAGTTTGAGAATGGTCAAGCGGTGTGTAGAGATCCGCCAACAGATTCCATCGTCTGCGTCGAGCACATGAGCTTTCGAGCGGGCGTAAGAGCGACGAACTCACAAATGGAGAAGCTGTGGGGCCATCGAGGATAGAAAGTTCTTCCTGCGTGAAGGGGAGCCGCGGAATTACGTAGGTTCGAAGTGGAACAAGAAGTAAAATTATGACCGGGAAGCCGATAGCAGCTGCTCCGAAATTAATACAAAATCGCAACCTATAGATGACAAACGATTTACCAATGGACTGAGTAACTACGAATGTCGCTCCGAAGGCCACAAGTTGGACAGCCACAAACATCAATAGTCGGGATTTTCTGACTTTGTGCAGTGGGTCATCAGGTGAGGTGAGGGTCTTGTCGCGTATGAGATACAGGAGTTTGATGGTGATTCCGTTACCCTTGAGCGCAGCCGCGCCCATGAACCAGCTACGCCATGATCAGCGAAATCAAATGACAATGGATGATCTTACAATAGGCCAGCCAGCACGCCTCTTGGGACGAGACCCAGTATATGCAGAAACGGGCCGGTAAGTAACACAAGGCACAGCGAACCTTGAGCGAGATTGGAAACTCGTTGCTCAACGACGGCGATAGGGGCTTCTCGCCGACTGACGGGATGATCAAATGACTTTTCCATTTTTATAACTGCACCGTTGGAATTATTGCCAGAATGCGAGGATGGCTGCTCTTCTTCATCTATATCTTTCTGGGAAGGGTTTCCCATAACGAGCAACGAGGCGGTGTGAATAGGTGCTTGAGGTATAAGCCCGTTGGGTGCAGGCACCCCGATGAGTCCCGCTATGAATGTCGTGATACCGAGAAGGAAGAAGTCGTAATGGAAACCGGGTGGCTTCCGCAAAGGAAACTGCGAACCCTGCGCTATCAGGGACTATCAAGCAATGAGCCTGGATGTCGGTATGCAAGCAGTGGGACATACCGAGACATTGTGATCAAAGAAAAACAGAATCCAAAGGATTATTCCGAAGGGAAGCGCGACGCCGACCCATTTCCCATCTAGCTCCCAGAATTTGACAAGCCACGTTCTTCCATTGGCAGCCTGGAACGCACCACCTACTGGTAACATAGTAGGATTAGAAGCATTAAAACGGCCCCAGTATGCCATGCCTGAAGCTGCAATAAGGGAGATGGGCATTCCATAATCCGAGAAGAAACGACGGATATGACGATGGAACAACGTGGTCTCCGAAAGGCATTGGAACAAAAATGACGTTACGAGCATCAGGAGGGCAAGGGTAATGCCCACCAAAGCACCTTCGAAATCCCCACTGAATTGTCGAGTGATCACTTGTACTCCGTATTGGAGGTACACCCAGGAAACATAGAAGCCAAAAGTGTCGCAAGAGAACAGAGTGACATATTTCAGAAAATCACACCCTTGAGAGCCAAAATCAACTTTGAATGGGAAGTCGTTGAAGAGGAAAGGTTACCCACAATTCAAAATGGCCGTTACCCAATGGATGATTGCGGCCCACAGGTAAACCCAACCCACAAAATGCAGATAATTTGGTGCATCTGGCTGCTTGTTGATGATGTCATATATCGTCTTGTTAAAAACTGTGATTGGTCCTAAATAGTCAACTATGAATAGCCCGCCTACGACGAGACATTTTCACATCGTGACAGACGCTGATATTTGCATACCAGTGACGCCCGCGATTGTAAGCGGCTGCGCGCCGAATACGGAAAACACAAACGCAGCCATGAAGGAGGATATAAGGACCTCAGCAACTGTGTATTGCTGGGTCGTCTCTATTAGGTCTAGCGAAAATGCTATGCCAGGTAGAACACTATACGCCGCATCTGTGAGAGCAGATCATGCGTAGAGCTCACTGACATACTTTGCAAAGAAAATGAGGGCGGTTGCGGGAACGACTCGATAATTCCATGCATCTGTCCAGTCACTAAAATACCAAGGAGTGCGAGCGCGGACGTCTGATATGATGCCAGCCCCAAGTCTACGAAAAAAGGAAGGAGTTTGACGAGTTGTAGCAGCATCTTGTAAGAGGGTACTCGATCCAGGTGACCCTCTTGCTTGTTCTTCCATAGGCCGAACTTTGACGGGCATTTGGTTTCTTTGCAAAGTCATGGGCATAAAAGGCAGAAACAGGAAGGGTTGGACGCTGAAGTCAGGGAAATTATGAATTACATGTAATCAGACACAAGTACTAAGTACTAAGTCGAAGTACTAAATGGAACAAAATTTTCAAATCAGGGTGAAGATCACATTCCACTACGTACGTGGCACAGCAATCAGATCTGCGGCTAACTAAATGGGACGCGGACATTATAGTGTAGGAAGGTCTTGGCTGTAGTCGACTCTCACCCTATCCAGTCCCCTACTAGTAGTACTTCTCCAACCCTAGCATGTATGCACGGTCATTACAACAGGAATTCGCCATCGAGATCAAAGATCTCAGATGCTCGGAACGTGCTTAGATGCCCTACTTCTTAATCCACTCCTGGTCGGAGCATCTGCACGAAAAGAACCGCTCGCCGATCCAAACTCGCGTTTTTTTGCTAGAGGATGAGTTCAACAGCTCATGAGGCCGCGCGTCATGGTTCCGACACAGTATTCCGGAATCGACCGGGCTATGAACAGTCTGATTTCGAAGCCTTCTGGGATATCTATGACCGCCAAGTGGAGAACACTATCACGACAAGCCAAAGTTACTGCGGTGCGGGAGAAATCAGACGTGAACATTGCAGCAAGCGGAACAATGGCAAGACGTCTTCTCGAAGATAGTGATATTGTCAGCGCTATACGGCACAAGGAGATGCGTTGCATTCTACATTCCAGGCTAAAGTGTCAACATGAAGACCACGTACTTGATTGTCAAGCACGATTCGTTCTACGAGCTATCCATAGTATCTGTTGAGCGAGTATAAGCGGCTCTCTCTGCTGGGTATCTATCAATCCCCGCAGGCTCTGCAGCACTCTCGAGCTCTTCATAACTTTTAATCAAGCAACATCATTCCAAGCATACTCGTTTGGATTGCTGTCGTGAAGGTGTTGCGATTCCCGTTTGACCATTCGTACACTTCCGAGTCCATGCCCGATAATTACCACTGTCTATATGTAAATCAGGCATTTTGTCTAGGAGCACAAATTCGAAGAATTACTTCTTTGCATTTCCCTGCATTCGACAATCTCTCAGCCGAGCATTTGTCTTCGATAAAAATGCCGGGATGAATTCATCCTCGTGAGCCAACGGATTAGTATGAGATGCAGCGTGTGTTGCGCGTGCAACAGATTTACAGACGTAATCCGGTAATGTACCGAGACCTAGACCAGCTGCGCCTCTGTTGACCCTCTTTGGCCCCCCCGAGAAGATGAAGTGGATCGTAGGAATGCCTGCAGTTGCATCAAACCGCTGATCCAAAGAAGAAGTGGATGATCAGTGAGACCGACATCTGGAGCACCAAAATTAATCCCATGAGTACGATGCTACTTGTTTCACGGCATTCGCTTGCCCGACTTAGTAGAGAGTCTGAGACTGGCGCAGATCACTTGAAAGAGCTATTTAACGGGTCCAGAAGGGGTAATTGTGAAAGAAACCAATGGTGTGACTAGTGTGACCATGGAAAAGAACATGAGAACTGACCCGTAACCGGAGTACATAGATACCATGAGGGGACGGAGAAGCTTGCACAGAAGAATAATGGCCGCAGTCCGCGTACACGCAGTCACAGGCTATAACGACGTATTACAAGTAGTCATCATGCCAAAGGGGACCAAGTCGGGTTGTAAGAGTTTGTAATCTGCGCCAGGGTTTGTTGATGTCCCTGGATGTTTCCACGATTGAATATGAGTGTGTGCAAATTCCGGGGTGAGGACAGTTTTGCAACATCTTGGATATCCACTTCTGTGGTTGTGACGCTGCATTAATATTGTGCTCCATGCCTTCTCACTGAAGGATATTTTAGATACTGTGTAACTCCCCCTGCAACCTGCAATTTGTTTCCAATGACGGAGAGACCGATTAAAAAATTTCGCGGAGCAGAAAGAAAATGTACTGTTCAAGGTTTTGAGGGCATTAATATTGGGCTGTGAGTGTGCACAGGCACAAATTCCCAGTCCAACCGCCCCCAAAAATCCATTGAGGAGTGCATGAGCGGAGGGGTGTGATTGTCCCGGCGAGTCGATGTTTTTGCACAGAAGATAGTGAGAGAAGTGGCGCACAAGGGTAGAAGTAGATACACAGAGAATACTTCTGAGTCGACAGATAAGTAGGTCACGGACGAATGTACAGTACACTTTTTCATAATGTATAGCGACGGGAGCTGCCTTTTCGCTATACAATATGAGAGATATACACTACCAATAATTCCACGGAGAGGGTAACAAGATGGGGGTGTCGAGTGGCGGTGGTCAACCATGTCCAGAATCAATAATTCAGTGATACACCGAAGGTATGTTGGTTATTCAGAATATCTAAGTAGCCTGCTTGGATTCTGCATTCCTCACACCGTGTGTTGCAAATGTACGGGTTGGATAATCAAGTGAAATTCACGCAGCTGCGCAATAATGCACCTCGATCACTTCAGTGATACACGAAACGTGTTGCTGTGGTTAGTCCAGAATTTATCAAATTTCATCTTAGCAGACCCATCAGCCAGTCAATCAAGGTAAGATTCTTGCACCCACTAGTATCAGAAAAGCTTCGTGGATATTGCCACAGGACCATCTTTCTGGTGAAGTGTATTTGGTTTCTGCTTGTATGGGTGGGTTTTAGACGTGGCTGGCATTTCTTAGGGCTGCGCACCATTGGAACTACAGTACACTATCTCATAATGCATAACGTCGGGACCCCCTTCGACCCTATGCATTATGAGATTTATGCATTAGTACATATGTCACACTTGTGACAAATTGTGACACCGTGCGGTAGAGCATCACCGGCACAAGTACATACTACATATCTAACGAAAGTAAGCATCTATTGTAGTCTGTGTCGAGTGTAGAAGCTCCTCGCGTCGCAGCTCAGCACGGAAAAGACGGATCTGTTTCAACAACTCAAGTCGAAGTGTTGCATCAGCATTTCCAAACTGGAGGCAAGCCCTTCCGAGCCGCTGACACAGCGCAAGTGTTTCTGCGCGGGAAACCTCTGGTTCAATCACTGAGAGTGAGGTTTTGACGTGCTGTGTGCACTGTAGCTGGTTGTGCTGAAGTTACCGGAGCATTTTTGACCTTGAGTTTTTTTTGCTGTATCTGGTATGGTGGGGGTGTATCTCGAGGTTTGCGTTTCCGAACAGACTCGGACATGGTGGATGGTAATTGAATCAAGGTTGGTTACTTTGACAATATTGTAACATGAATAAAATGACCCGAACAAGCATCGCCGATATGACTCAACCGGCCAAAAATGCTATCTCATAATGCATAATGGTCCCACAGGCTTATGCATTATGGTTCAATTTCTCACTGGCCCACGGTGGGACCTTCCGAAGTCAATGCATTATGAGATAGTGTACTGTAGAATGTCTATAAAATTGTTCATCTTACAACTTTGTTATGAATCAGCTTCCGGCAACTCAGTAGTAGTCCTACTCGGTACAAACCATATCTCATAGTGTATATCGGACCTCCAAAGGCTATGCATTATACATTATACAATTTTTTGGGCGTCTACCCGCATACCACGATGGGAGCTGCCAAAACTCGATACAAGATGAGATTTATACATTACTAACGTATGCATTATGAAAAAGTGTACTGTACATGAACTTAAGCTTATGGTTATCTAAGCTCCGCACGAATGAATTTGGTTTATGGGATGCTATTAGGTAATAGACAAGTTCTTAACGCGGTACCAGCAGTACTTCTTTATGTCCATCCAACCAGACAACAATGGTTTATTTGCAAAGCTTAGAAGGGGTTTTGCGGTCCTCGGATTTCTCTACCTTGGGGCAGTTATCCTTCTAGCAGTACCCTGGTTCCAGTCCCAGTAAGTCCAAACATTCATCCTTCACGACTGCGCATGTAGAACTTGAGGCATAATCAAGCATTTTGTACATGAACGCCTTGAAGCTACCTTGGAACGCGCATTTTGATGCACCGGAAAGGCATGGTCTTGCACGTACGTTTTGCTCCATCGCGTCCATTTCTTTCGAACTCATTAGATTGATCGTGGATACGTTAGCTGGGAAAACGGCAAACATCAAGATTCAGACTGCAGACAATCACACTCTCGGCGCATGGTTCATTCTCTCAGATACCATATATCACAACTTGTCCTTTCCCCCGCCTCCATCTGCCGCAGAATCGCACATTTCAGAGGCCGTGGCACAGCGTCCAACTGTGCTCTTTTTCCACGGCAATGCTGCCACGCGGGCTCTAGGCATGCGTGTTCGCCTATATTCTGGGTTTACCTCGCGCCTGAACGCAAATGTCCTAGCAATAGATTATCGTGGATTTGGGGATAGTCCAGGTACACCTACAGAAGACGGCTTGTCACTAGATGCAAGAGCTGCATGGGATTGGTTGATCGCACAAGGTGCTTCGCCACAGGATGTCCTTATAGTCGGTCACAGTTTGGGAACTGCAGTGGCGTCCAGGCTCTCTGTTGATCTCTCCGAAGACGGCGTCAAGTTTAAAGGGACCGTCCTTATGTCTCCTTTCTCCTCGCTCTATACCCTGGTAGATACCTATAACATTTTCGGTGTATTTCCTGTCATGTTACCCATTAACATGATACCTCGAGCGGCCGGTAAGCCTGGCAAACATCACCAAATGCCGACATGCTCTGACTTTGTGCGTCTCAAGATATTTATAAGAGTTTTCTCGTCCACAAGTTTGACACTTTGTCGGTGATATCGGTATGTAAATGTCATGTTCCTAGGTTATCTAGCACCTCACCAATTTGCGTCCAGAAACTCAAGGTACCAATATTGATACTGCATGCGGAGGATGATTGGGATATCTCACACACCCACTCCGACGCTCTATTTGATGCTCTCCTTGAACCATATCTCCCTTCCGTCTACTCTCCGTCAGCAAGCCAAGAGTCGTGGTCAACACAACAGTGGAACGAGTACCATGCTCAACTGGTCACGCGAAGGGAAACCCGAGAGTCCTTATTGACCCGTACCGTCATCCCCAACTTTGGGTTAATGGATCAGTTCGATGGTTTTGGGGAACGAATTACCCTGCTCAAAACTTCCACTGGTTCTCACAACGAGGTTGGTACTCTTGAAGGTGTTCAAGAAGTGATACGCGTTACATTCTTCACGCCTGAAGACTTGCATTGATAACGATAGGAGTTCGGGGGTAGCGTGTTTGTATTATACGAGATGAATAATTAAAATCGATGACACCATTCGACTAGACTTGCTGTTCCATTAGCTCCAGCCACACCAGCTTGTGGATCATACAACCAACTTGGAGTTACCACATGCAAACCTGAACTACATCTTTTCCCGGCTCGTTGCGCGCTCAGCATCCGGTGCTAGATGTAGGTCGGGCTCTAACTCCTCCTGATTATGCATGGTCAAAACTGAGGAAATTGAGTGTGTACAAGTCACACTTGCCTGTATATACGATGACCGCCTGGACAACTGATGTGTGACTGGCTCCACCATCCCAGTAGGCAGGTCGTCTCTTACAGACCGATCACTACTTCCGTGACTCTGGGTACTTGTACGTCTGCTTTCGTCTGATATCCTCTGCCCAAGCTGTTAGATCATTCAGAGACAGAGCCATCCTAAATTGCCTACCTGTAGACACAGATCTCCAGCCGCCAAATCTACGCTACGAGATCTCTCCAGCTCCAGTGCTTCCGCATGTCGTCGAGGAGTCGAACGAGGTAACTCGGTGAGCGCGACATCCTTTGTTCGTTTGGAGAGCGGAGGAACAATTGGGGTATTTAGAAGAAGAGTGACGGTATCAGAAATCGAGGAAAGAACTGATTTTGGCATTGGTAGAATGATGGGATACAGATCTAGGGTTGTGTTTATAAAATCTAACACTGCGGCTCGGAACCAAGTGTTTCATATTGAGGCGGACACACTTGTAGAACTCAACAATGGAGTCAAATTGGAGTTCAGTCTGGAGCTACAGCTTATGGCAAGACTCGGATCCAGATGACATCAGCATGTAAGATTGATACTATTAATATTGCCTACATCCCTACATCTCGTACATCCTCAAAAACCTTGTCTGGCACAAATCTTAAAACTCCTTGAGCAAAACTAAATCACAATCAATGTCCCTATGAGCTTGAACGAATGCCATCTAACAAAATGAGAGGCTGTGACAAAGGCATTTTGGTCACGCGCGCAGCATGATGCGGCCCGCGAAATCGGCCGATATGGTGGTAACTAATAGTAATCGAATCTCTCGCTAAGTGCGCGGTAGACCCAGTTCCAGATATATTATCAGATCTTACTTACTACGGGACGTAAAAGATCAATTAATCTACAACGAGAAGATTGTTGTATTTTTTTCAACCAGCCAGGCCCAAATTTCATGGCAGAAACTGGGTGCAGCGATCAAGTTCTGCCGACTGTACTATCCTTTGGGGTGGTGCGCGACAGACCAGGTGTGAATAAGAGATAGGAAGGCTCTAGTCTCAAGTTCCAGCAACCAACACCCCAAAAACGATGCCAACGATGGCCCCAAGGGCAAATGCCACGGCAGCAATAGAATTGCGTGCTACAGGGAAGAAACCCCGTAGGAGGGCTGCCTGGGTCATAAAGTAGCGCACAAGGCCTACAACTTATGAGAATGTATGAGGCACCAATACAACTATAGGACTCGCCATAAACTAGGATGAACAAGCCCAAAAGCACCATCGTGGCACCGAGTGGTCGAGCAAAACGCTGTGGGTCAATCCTTCCTTGATCGTAGGTGTTTGTGGAACTGGAAAGTGTGAACAGCTGTACAAGGGCTGTCTCGCCTCTACTTGTAAGTGATTGTGATGGGCAGAGATACGCAAGTCACAGTCTCACCTACTCCAGCACTTGCGCATGCGAGACTGGTACGAACGTAGGCAAGATAGGTTCGCTCTGATGCAAGATGATCACGAGCAACATTACCCTTATTCTCGAGCACTAGACTCAGCGTCAGAGGAGCAGTGACCTCATTGATAACTTTCCGGAATTTGCGAGGTGAAGATTGTTTGCAGGTTATCTGGCTTGGGACGTGCGCCTGAGAGCCGGTTGACGGAGCCGGCTCGCTCGCGTTAACAGAGTTGGGCATAGATTTCAGGATAGAGCCAGACCGTTGAATAGGCGTATCCGGCCGCGAGTCTGCTAACAAAGTTCGCGTACGAGCACTATCATCCGATGAAATTTCCTGTCCCATCTTATGGCCAATGAAGTATCTATCGATTTGGCACCTTCCTCGTAACCGCAATCACAAGATCTTTTGATGAGGTAAAACAGAAGCGAGTACTTCGTATCACAAGACAGTAAGCGTTGAGCGCACGTGAGAAGGCATATGCTGTAATGTGTGGACTAATGAGCCTCGCAGGATTTTAGAAGGCGTTCGAACACCGGTGTAGCCAAAAACGGCTCCTCAACATGCCGAGGAGCTGGCTGTTATTGATGACTAACAGTATGATGTCGCAGATAAGTATCTGAGCCCCGGACAAAACGAAAAAACTTGAAGGAACGACCGCTAAGTACTAAGTGATACCAAGACGGTGGGAGTGGTGGGTGCTCAAAAAATTAGCTAGCGAAGCGACGTGAAAGGTTAGAAAGAGGTGTGCCAGCACAATTCAACGAATAGCTTATCTAGCGAAGCGACGGGAAAGGTTAGAAAGAGGGCAAACCAAAAACTAACCAAAACCGCTTGCCAATCGCTTGCCAAGTAAACCTTACTCCACCCTAGGAGTAACGGAGCCTGAAAAAGGGATCAACAATCCCTATCACGTGAAAAGCATACTGGTCACGGCTGCCAACGACCAGCACATGTCACGCCCACTCAGAGTGGATATATTTGAGTCAGACTCAAACTAGTTCACGTCGTTCGCAACGACGCGACCCATTAGCTTAGTATAAATAAAATTAAACCCAATAAAATTTATCAGGTTATGTTTCACCGGCACGTATATAGCTATGATAGGCTCTTGTCTCCTTCGGTTTACATGCAAGTACTGCAGACTACTAGTATACTAGACTACCCTAACAAATTAATAGTACTTGGTACAGATTTACCGTTATGATCCGATGAGTCCGACAATTTGAATTTGAGAAGTGGCACTGTGGCAACCCCAAACCCTGAAGCTAGACCTTTAAAGTAGATTCGGAAGAATATTAATGCCTGTGATGTTGACCAGCATCCGAACCCCAGTGCACTGCTGGTGAACTCGACTATCAGCATCACAGGAATCCCAAGATACATCAGATATATGCATCAGATACTTCGGGACGTAAAGAATCAATTAACCAACGAGAAGTCTATTGTATTTTTATCCACCAGCCAGGCCCAAATTTTATGGCAGAATTTGGGCGCAGTGACGAATTCTTCAAGTTCTGCCGACTGTACTATCCTTCGGGCTGTAGAACTCGTGTGCGCGACAGACCAGGTGTGAACAAGAGATAGGAGGGCTCTAGTCTCAAGTTCCAGCGAACTAACACCCCAAAAACGATGCCAACGACGGCCCCAAGGGCAAATGCTACGGCAGCAATAGATTTGCGTGCTACCGGGAAGAAACCCCGTAGGAGGGCTGCCTGGGTCATGAAGTAGCGTACAAGGCCTACAACTTATGAGAATGTATGAGGCACCAATACAACTATAGGACTCGCCATAGACTAGGATGAACAAGCCCTAAAAGCACCACCGTGGCACCGAGTGGTCGAGCAAAACTCTGTGGGTCAATCCTTCCTTGCTCGTAGGTGTTTGTGGAACTGGAAAGTGTGAACAGCTGTACAAGAGCTAGTCTCGCCTCTACTTGTAAGTGATTGTGATGGGCAGAGATACGCAAGTCAGACTCTCACCTACTCCAGCACTTGCGCATGCGAGACTGGTGCGAACGTAGGCAAGATAGGTTCGCTCTGATGCAAGATGATCACGAGCAACATTACCCTTATTCTCGAGCACTAGACTCAGCGTCAGAGGAGCAGTGACCTCGCTGATAACTTCCCGGAATTTGCGAGGTGAAGATTGTTTCCCGGTATTCTGGCTCGAGATGTACGCTTGAGAGTCGGCTGACGAAGCAGGCTCACTCGCGTTAACAGAGTTGGACATAGATTCCAGAGCCAGACCAGACCGTTGACTGGGCGTTTCTTCGGACAAAATTCGCGTACGAGCACTATCATCTGATGAAATTTGCTGTCCCATTTTATGGCAAATGAAGTATCGATTTGGCACCTTCCCCGTAACCGCAATCAGAAGATCTTTTTGATGAGGTAAGAATGTACGCAGGCGAGTACTTCGTATCACAAGACAGAGAATTGAGTGGGGGTTGAGCGCACAGAAGGCATGCTGTAATTCGTGGATTGTTTTATTAGGTCAACTGAGATCATTTACAAGTCAGGTTCATGTTTCACCGGCACGTACTAGGCTCTTATCTCCTTCGTTTATGTACCAGGTAGTGACCACCAAGTACTTATTTTATACTGCTACCCTTAAGTTCTAAAGAATTAATAGTCGTGGTCCGGATTTACCGTTGTGATCCGATGTCCGACAATTTGAATTTGACAGGTGGCAACCCCGCCCAGGCCCTACTGAAGCTAGACCCTAATTATGTATAGACGTTCTATCTTGCGGTCCGAACTTTGTCTGGGCCACTATTAGGAGTGACGGAAATGAAACCAGTTTGTTTGTAGGACTTGGAAACTTGAGCAAACTTGACTCCTATGGCCTTAGAAGCTTCAGCGCTCAGCATGTGACAATATTGTAAGTGGTTTGATTATCTGATTATCAGGGTGGTTCAGACATCGATGCATCAAGTTGCACAGGTTCATGATCATTCCTGTATTGATATTATTCACCATAAGCACACGTACTACTAGTGCCAAGCTACATCAGCTGATGACTATTTTCTTGGCACTAACGAGTCTTGACGCGGCCACTGATGCCCTTTGTATTCCCGCGAGGTCTACTAGATGGAGAGAGATGTAATATTCGTCGAGATTGTTCTAATGTGAAAGCGGAGACGCTGGAGTGAGAATGAAACGCTTTGCGGACTAGGAGGTTGTAGCCAGCGTTTGGGAATCTCGTGTGTGACGAATATTACGATCAACGAGGAGAGATAAGATGAGATACGTTCTGAAGAGACAAGACGAAATCAGAAATGTTCTCTAGTCTTAGATAAACGAATCAAAGTGAAGGCTGTATAGTTTAAATTCGTTTTGTGTGTGGGAAGGTCTGGACCAGTGCAGGAAGGCAGGGGTCTGGGCAATCATGATGGCGCGTGGATCCCGCAAAGTTCGAAAGAAGTAGCTTGTGCTCGGAGAGATTTTGGATCGACAAAGACCAACCTTCGGAGCGTGTCGAGTCCGAGAAGTGCGCAGAGCTAAAGGGTCCAAAAGGAAACACTAATCCAGACCAAAACACACTAGAAGCTACAGAAGGTAGGTAGGTGGGTGCGAAAAATGGGAGAGCGACAGGCAAAAGGAGATGGGCGCAGAGAAGAAGAAGGGAGTGAGGCGCTGGTTCTCCGGTCGAGTCCTTTTGACTGGGGTAGAGATAGATGTGTGCTTCAATAACATAGAAGCACAAATGTGGAGGATCTACATGCGACCGCTTACAAAGGCCCAGTTTCACGTGTCAACGTTTCAACGCTCGCAAGCTCGCGATCCACTCGAAACGCACACCTCCCTGGTGTTCTACATTAGGGACACATAGTACCACTAGCCACATCAGCCAGTGACTATTTTCTTTTCCTCCCTCTCTGGACCCTCTTCGAAGCACGTCGACGTTTAGCTGGCGAACATTCTACAGCTGGCAGCAAAGGAGCTACAACTCCTCTGCAGACATGGCATCGGAGTTATTGGGGGCCACGCCATCAATCACACCAGTTAGTGACCTATTGAACAGAGCAGGTAATAGTTTCCTTGCTTCAAGTTCACTCTCGTTGTAATCTCTACCCAGAACCCACTCATTAGGAATGTTGAGATACACATTCCACTGCCTGTGATGTTGACCAGCATCCAAACCCCACTGCTGGTGAACTCGACCATCAGCATCACAGGAATCCCAAGATACAAAGTGACGAGGTTGGGGAATCCGTCACATAAAACTTGCCCATCCAAAGTTCGCCAGCAATAGACCTTAGAAGTGGCCTCCATGTTCACGCGAAGAAGATCGTGGAACCAAGCGGCTGGATCACCCTTGTATTGAGCAGAGAGTTTGACGTCAAGCTAAAAATGACACTTTGGATGGGGTTGACGTGGTATATATTTGCCAGTGCATTTATCCACCTGGGTTGACACGGCACTAAGGTTTGACACAGCAGTGACGAGGCAGTGACGCGGTATGGATGAGGTTTGACCTGATCGTGACGCGGCATAAGTAAGTGTGAAGGTTTACATTAGTACGGAGGCTGCGAAGATGTTGGGGAGAACTTATTGTGGTATGGGTAGTGCTTGACACAGCCTGACCGAAGCTTGACACGGCGTGGTTGGGGCTTGACGTGGTAGTACAGAGCCTTGGACTCTGCATCAGAGTTGACAAAGTGGGGTCAAGGCTTGACACAGTGAGAAAATACTTCATACTGCTGTCTGAAAACAAACATTAGATCAATGATTAGAGGCAATACAATACAAACACAAGATGCACACAACCTTTCCAAGTAGTACCAATACGGAGGACAAACACTGTAAAATTGGTGAGAGGTGAATGCAGCACTCCAGCTGCAGGTCCTGTACGCAGATGGACATTCAAGTATTCATATATTCATATGTTGATCATTAGCGAGGATTCAAATTGTTTGGAAGGGACGTAAGATGGTGTTTGGACTTTGCGTTTGCTGTCGTTGAGCGGTCTTAGTAGCGGTAGCGAGAACGAAAGAAAATGTTTGCTTTATTGAAGCAGATAGTTTTTCGGGTGGAAGCCCCGAAGGGGCGACCCGGCCCCGATGGCGGCCCCAACCTGTGCGAGAGAGAGCCGAGGTGAGCTGCGAGGGCGGGTGGGCATCCTCGCAGCCTCAAACTCAGCAGGTCTAGGTACCAGCCACCCGGGCCCCAGGAAGAGGGATGTCGTACTAGTATGTAGTTTTAAAGTTGACTACTTTAAAGTACCGGTATCAATGTAGGCTGCGAGGATAAGGGAGTGGTGGGTGGGGAAAAGAAAAGCAGAAGGCAGCAGGCAGGTTTGAGCCTGCTGGAGCGTGGCGCGAGCACTGCGTGGTGCAGAGCACTGCAGAAAACCGCAGATTACGTCTGGGACGCATCTGGCACAAATCTAGACATTCGTACCACATTCGTCCCACATTTCACTCACATCATGGCGGCACTAGAACTTCATTCTAATCCTCTCATTATGACCAAATCCTGGCAACATTCTATGCGCTGTCCTCGAGCCTAGGATAAGCTCAAGCTTAATTAAGGTATCATGCATGTATATTTTGACATAGCATTTATATAAAACATATTTGTTTTTGATATCTTCGAGCGCGTGACGTTTACAAGGCCGTCATGTCGCGTCGACGTCGTAGTTCTCAAGTCCATAACTTGCTTGTGCAGCTGTCTCAACCATTGCGTGTAATCTTCGAACCATGGGTAGAAAGGTAAGGACCATGAAGATATCTCCTTCGCTGACCGAGGAAATCCTTCAATCAGGAGGAACTTGTACCCTGCCGATGCACGAAATGCGGGAAGACTGTCCTTCAGTTTACTATGGTCACTCCACGAACTCGGAGAAGACACGAAGAACAAGACGCGGACGTGTTGAATGCACGACGGGCCCAGGAATATAGTAAGAAGCATCAGAACAACCCGATCACCGCTATTAGTACCAATGGACACAGTCTCCGAAACTCGAACAATGTCCCTGAGCAGGATCCCAGTTACGATAACCTTCTGGACTCTACGGATACAAGTCCGACTGTCTTTTCCTCGAGTTTACCTCCATCACCGAACCTCATTGCGGAAGACTCACATGACGTTATAACCGACATTCAAGATCTGGATTTCGACTACTACCAAGATGACATGACTCTATTGGACGAAGGCAACAACAATGACCTTTTTTATGATGACGATCTTGATCACCCTCGCTCTCCGTCTCCACCATCTCGCCCACGATCCGCCAGTCCCGAGTTCATCGAAAACATAGATAATGCACCGACAAATCCCAGCGCTGACAATCCAGTCCCTTCCACGATGAACCATGCTGGCCCTGGTGCTGATGACGAGGATCTGCTTCAAGAGCTCGTTCCTGCTTTTCAACAGACACCTCCTGTTCGACTACTTTACCTACAGGCAGCGATTGCCCACATTGTTGGATCCTCGACAGTCGCCGAGGCCACCAATCAGATTCAAGACGGCCTGGATCTTATTGAGCTTTGTGGTGCATTACCGACATTCCCCATTCCTCGACGCTCGATCATCACCGTGAAGAAACACTTAGGACTCCAAACGGATGACTATGTTTTAAGGATCCCTATATGTGATGTATGCTACAAACGCTACTCTCTCGACGACATTCAGAAACTCGACACCCCTATATGCACGGTCTCTCGTTGCAAAGGGAACGTGTATCGTACCAAACGTGAACATACAGACCCCGCAACAGGCGAAGATCGGTTCAAGCGTATCCCTGTAAAGGTCCTCGTTTATTGCCCTATAATCAAAGCAGTACAGCGCTTCCTCCTGAGGTCAACATTTGTCAGCAATCTACGAGACACCTCTCAAGATATCGATCGTACGGAGCTCTCAGATGACAACTTGATGCATGATATACACGACGGCACTGAGTGGACGAAGCTCGAAGTTGGTCTCAAGCGGGTGTGTTTACCTGATGGCAGCATCACAGATATCGAGGAGTCCCCAGGCTCGTGGCGTCCGCTTGTTTGCTGTGACGTTGGACTCAGTATGACACTCAACATTGACTGGTAAGCTTATTCCCCTCAATGTCACGATGGCAGTAATAGATCTGAATCTTTGTAAAGGTTCGGAATCACCGAGGGTAGACCTCATTCCTCGGGTGCGGTGTATATTTCCTTCAATAACTTACACCGATCAGTAAGATACCTCACGCACAATGTCCACCTGGCACTTGTCATCCCAGGACCCAAGGAACCAAGTCTCGAGAACCTCAATTACTGTCTCGAGCCCCTTATGGATGATATTCATTGTCTATACAAAGGTACCTTCATTTCTCCACCTGACATGATTCTCTAATTGCGAGTCAGGACTTTATATGCGTATGTATGGATTTCAGCGCCCCCGTGAGGTTCATGCTGCTGTTCTATGCGAAAATTCAGATATTCCTGCGACCCGCAAGTTGACCGGAACGGCGGGACATAGCCACAAGACTCACCCCTGCAATTTTTGCTTCATTTCTCTCATCGACATCGATTCTTCGGTGGCATATGACATTACAAGTACGTCTAGTTTCTAATTCTCAAAGCTGCCTATGGTTATTGATCAATCTCATCAAGATTTTCATATGCGGGATGACTGGAAACTACTTGAGCATGCACATCGTTCAAAGTTATCTACGACGAAAGCTGCTCGCAAGAGTATTCTTGACGAGCATGGAGTCCGATACTCAGTTCTCAATGAGCTGCCAGGTTGGCTACCGATGCGCCGTTCACCGATCGACTTTATGCACAACTTTTACAGTATTTCGTTCTGCTTTGAATTGTAAGCTGATAAGTCTTTTCTTCCATACATAGCGCTTGTCAAGCGTTTTCTATTCGACATTGTTACAACAGGACATCTCCTCGATAGCACGGGTTGGGACCTGTTTCAAGACTCCATCAATTCAGTTATCTGGCCATCGGGAATTGGACGCCTTCCCAAAAATGTGATCTCTCGGCTGATGTATAACTGACCGTTTTTGCTGATGTTGCACTCTTAGCTTGCCGATGATCATGGGCTCCCCAAGGCTGATCAATGGCGACGTCTCTCGAGCATATATCCATTCATACTGTGGCTATGTTGGCGAGATCACCGTGACGAAATTAAGGCCTCCGCACCACCAGTACCTGCATCTGCGAAGCCCCAACCAACTTTCAAACGTGATTTACGAACGATATACAAACTCGTTCTCTATCTCTCGGTGTCTGAGCGGATCCTCGCTAGCAAAGCAATATCAATCAATGATATAGATCGAGGTCAAGCATACTTACAACTCTATTGTCAAGGTCTCGAGTCGCTCGGTGTCCATCAAACAATCAACAGTCATCTCGCCATGCATTACTCCCTCGTCTTCCGCCAATATGGACCAGCATATGCAACGTGGCTCTTTGGCTTCGAACGCTTCAATGGTGTCTTAGAGGACGTGAACCTCAATGGACATGGAGGTGGTGAAATGGAATACTCATTAGCGCGTGATTGGGTTGAAAAACATCGACTTTATGAACTCGTAAGTTTGTTCTTGCCTTGCAACAATACTTATAGTTTTAAATAATAGGCTATTTCTTTACCCAAAGGGGCATCCGACAAGGAACATAAACTCGTCCAACAGGCCATTGACCAAAAGGGTCTCGATCGCGGCACATTACGCACTCAAATTGCTCAATTTACATCAGGTGAGTTTCGACAAAACAGTCAACTTGAACATCCTATTAACGTCGATAACAGCCAGTTCTATCTTGCCTCCACGGCTCACGTCGAAGACGAAACTCACCAGCTTACGGGGCCTTCAGCATCCGCAGGTATATCAACTGCTTGTTGGATTCTTGCAGCACAAGTTTCCCGACCTCAATGTCGTTGACGATATGACAGCGGAGCTAGGCACTACTGTTCTCTTCGCTAGTCGGTCGGCAAAGGTTCTCCCCTTCATTGTCAAGGATGGCATCCGATTCGGGTCTGCAACTGCAACTCAAACAAATGCTGACCAGTTTGCAGGTGTCTTGATGCACGACACACGTGTCCCTTGCAAAATCATATATCATTTTGAAATACACCTTCCCGACCAAGTGTTCTACTGCTCCGCTGTTCAAAAGATGGTATCTGATGATAGAATTCCCGTAATGCCATGGGATCATTTGTGAGCATTTTTTCATTTGCTCATATATTCTATTAACTCCTTGAACTGTACTCTAGCGCAACTGATCTTGGTGTGAACATCGTTTACGAGAATATCTTTGGACCACTCGAGATAATCGCATCAAGTCAACTCTCATGTGCAGTAGCAATCATTCCCATCACGACTGATGTTCTTGCGGAAGAGAAGTCCTTGTGGGTAGTTCAGTCCTTTGACCGGGTGAGTCCTAAGAAAGATCTATTCTTATTCCGAAACTCATTTACCTCTAGACTGGGCTTGAAGCTGATGACAACTGGTTGCGCGGTGATTCAGACGAAGATGGTGACATTGCAAGCTAGGTAGGACTCTATTTTTTAATGCTTAGTTGAATAAAATATCAGCATCATCAATACCTTCAAGAATTTCGCCAAGCTTTTGCTGCGCAGTCTCAAGCACGCTCATACTAGCCTCATCGACAGTGTTTCGTTGGCGCACAATCACCTTCTTGGCAGTTCCGGAGTCCCAAGCCTTCCCCTTTCCTTTCCTATCCTTCACCAGCTCCCTCGGCTCCTCATCACCCCATGCTTCACCACTGTGAGCAATGCGCCCGGAGTCAAACCAGTCCGCATTTTCCTCGAGGATGTCAGTCTTGACCATCCATGAACGTATACGTGTGGCCAAGGTTCGTGCAAGAGGTGGTGGGCCTGTCTTTTGTTCATCTGTTCTTCTCCGCAGCTTCGCTAACTTGGTTTGGTCAGGTCGCGGGTCTTTTACCTCATCTATGGCTGCGAAGAGCGCGGACAACTAACAAAATACAGTAAGTACTTATGGCGTTGACAGCATCGGTGACAGCACTTACCTCAAGGCTTCGCCATTCTGGCTCCATTGTCAAGAAGGTGCGTGCTTCACCTGGACGCTGTTCTGGGTCATCTTCATCATCTGACATCGCATTTAAAATGAATGCTGAGTCGTATTTAGGGTCTTGCCACTTCCCATCACATTCATTTGATCTGCGTTTCCTCTTGCGCGCATCAAGTTTCTGATAGAACGACCAGTTAGTAAGTACAATCTTATTACTGCAGAAAACACGTACTGATTGAACACGTGAATTCATGTGCGCACGATCCAAACCTCCATCAACAATCTCTACATCATCCCCCAGGTCATCATCTTCATCTACTCGCTTCCATTTCTTGTCCGCTTTTCTGTATTCGCCCGCCATTCGCATATATTTTGTCCGCACATTTTTTTCAATTTGGCCAGGAAGGATCGCACTGAGAATCCCCTTTGCTGCATCGCCCATCTGCGGTCCCACGAGACGGATCCTATCGACTATCCTCTGCAGACCTGTTGTGTTGATACTGTCGTCATGCTTTCCTACCCGCCAGTCAAAGCGAATCAAGTCTTTCCCTGTAGCAGGATCTTTCGGCCATTTATCTGTCCCTTCTCCGATACCCATTGGGTAGCCTGGTAAGTGCTGTGCATCGATTTTCTGGATGCCTAGCAGAATTTTGAAGCTTTCGCCTACTAGGTCCTTTGTTCCAGTGTTCAGTTCAGTTTTTTTTTGCCGCATGACATATTAAAAGGTGCGCACTCTGTATATTTTGCTCTTCAGTGCATCATCACTTGCACGCTGCTGATCATCCTTCTCCGCCTTCACATTTGCACTAGATTGCTGCCCACCATCATCTACCTGCTCACCCTCATCATTCTCGATATCTGCATCATCACCGGCTTCAATATATTCAATGCCGACCTGTGCTTCGATGCGTCGCAAACGCTCGTCCGCATCTTTTTGTTGCAACTTCAGGTGCGAGTTTTCGGCTTTCAGAAGCTTGTTCTCGTTGTATAGGAACTGAAACTTCTTTTCTGCTTGGTCTTTAAAGGTCGAAAATTTCGTTTCGAGCTGTTCATGGGCGACAATTGTGGCATTGAGTCTCGCAAGGTTCGCGGACATCGTGAGGGGGAGAATTCAACTGTATCATTACTCGGACATCTTACAGTGCTTGTAACTACATGTGGGATTCACCAGTAGTACTGCTATATGATCTGCTTGTTGCTATATGGCCAATGATTCGCAGCGCAAGCAGTAATTGATGAGCTACAGTGGGCTGCAGCTGGCAGTGGGGGTACTGGTAAGTAGGACAAGATTTATTATATAATAAATAATACCAATATTTAGCGTACATGCTCGAGGATTATAGACCGAACGAGTTGCAAAAGAACCTACGTGAAATAAGAGACGGATACGTGAAAATTGCGACCATTCGTTTGATATTACAGTGGCGACGAACCTAGCAAACATCTCGCACGGGTCTGCTACGGATCTAGAGGTTTGTGCCACATCCGTCCCAGACATAATCTGTGGTTTTCTGCAGTGGAGACAAGAGAGGCCACGTGCTGCACTGCCGCTGCCGCAAAGTCCTAATTCTAACCCTACGCTCGTACCTCGCTTCGGGGTAGAATATCAAACCATACCCTAGGATTTGTGACGGTGCCGCGTCACAGGCGCGTCACGGTAGGACCGCGTCAATTTCACCTGGCCCTCCCTTGGCGTCATCCCGGCTGCTTAAATGAAATGCCCTGAATAAACGTTTCGTTATAGCTAGTTCCTGGTAGCGACATGTCTGCTGTCTCTGACGCGGTTCTGTCGTGTATACTTACCTTTAGGCAGAACTAGATCTGCCGCACAGTTGATATAAATTGAATGTAGCAAGTCCTAAACTCTCAAAGATATTCGCCTCGTCTAAGTGAGTAATCCTTTGATTTGAGCACCTTGGTCATAATATCTATTCACATTTAGCTCTGGACTTGCCACTATTAGCGCCTTTGCGTACACCACACAACCAAACCATACGGTGGGTGGTTTCTCGGCACCGATGGTCATCACTGACACGCATAGGGTACTAGACGCCATGAAGATTCAGTCCACCTACTACCTCACCATCCTCGCCGCCTTCGCTGGGGTGAATGCAGCTCTTGCTGATATGTGCCGACATGTTTGCGCTAATCAGGTTTCTGAGTGCCCGGCGGCAGGCGGCTGGGGACTCGTCCGGGACAACAGCCTAGGCTGCTACACCTGCGGCACTGCTGATATTTCCGCTAACTGCGCATCAGACGAGGTACTCGTCTGGGACAGCAGCATAAGAGCCTACACCTGCTGCCCTGACAAATAGTTGGACTCGGAGTAGCCATCGAGTTTGTACAGATGTCGTGTTTATCTTCATCTAGTTACCTATCAAAGCACTCGATTGCTTGCGTCCTGCTCCATGCCCACGCTTCAGATGTTCACCTACTTGTGTTTGGGTGATTATCACGCAGGTCCCCTTTAGCGCGGGATACGTCACTCACAATGAAAGTATGCAAAAATTAGTCACTGTGTAAACAGCGAGCTTGGAAAGAGGGCCGCGAAGGTTAAGCGTTACCTATCTCCTATGAAAAATCTTGCTCCACCAAATCAAGAGATCCGGTGGATAAGAATTGCAGCTTGAGCAAGTACTTGCAAGACACGACAGTGACACTCAATGAGGATGCACACCATCAATTGAAAGGCCACCGATCGATTACATGTAGACCGATAACGAAACTAGGATCCTGTGAGAATTCCAACGCTATGAAACTACTTGACCTCCTTCTCAGGCACTCGTGGACGGAACATGCCATGGTCCTCCTGGTGACGTCGTGGACTGCGCTGTGTAAGCTTCTTCTCAAGATCAAGGTGGAATATCTCCGTACATCACCCGGTGATTCGCAAGTTGATCAAATCAACGACGTATCGTAAATGATGATGGTGACCCAGCCCGTTCGCTATGATGTACGTACTAACAGGATAGTAAGATACATTTTCACAACGTACCAACAAGGACGACAGGAAACAGCTGTGACTTGGGATTGGAGCGCTACTGGTCAAAACTAGTTCTGCGGGTTTCGGGCGATGTACGTGATCCAGAAGCCATTAGCCAATTGGATATTATCTGAACATTAGTAGGATACGTCATGCCCATACTCGCACTTTGTCACGGGGGAGAGAGCCGAGGGTTGATGCATTAGGGAAACATTAATGGCTGTACATGATGGTGGTGAAAGTTTGAAAAGCAGATGAACCGTGGTAGCGTGGGGTTGTTTATTTGTAAACATGCTTTGATGTTTACTCGATTAATGGGATTGGGGGCCGCTTTTGTTGGGTTTAGAACTGAGAATCATGGTGGTGGAATCGAAAGAGAAGTCGGTATTGGCACAATAAATTGTACCAGTCGGCCAGGTGTGTTAAAGCTCAACAAAAAGCTCGGAGAAATAGTATGTGGTTGTATTTGGTCTGTGGCTATTAGGATTATGGCTCTACACACCGACTGGTTTGTTTGGAGTCTGATTAAAACCGAGTTGCGAAGATTAATTAAAGCCAGTCAATCCGACTCAATGTCCCGACAATACCAAAAGTTCTTGTTCGTACAGGGCAGACTCAGAGACAGCAGAACATACGTGACAATATGTATTATACTTCATACTCGTAGCAACTCACTGTTTGCGCTGTCAAGGGTTGACCCTCCAAGTTCAATTCAATATCCAACTTGAATGCGAAAACGCTCGTGTAGGCGCAAATTCTGTATATTTGGACTGGAACTTCGTATCGGCTCTAATGTATAGAAGGTTCTATAAGAAAATTGATGACGATCACTCTCCCCTAAGGTCAGACTCTGCGGCAACAAATCTACGCTCACTTGCACCGTCCAACTTCTTGAAACTATCTCCTGCCGTCCCCTGACCAAATTGATCCGTCCCCTGCCCATGCCGCTTCCGCCCTGGCTGACCATCATGTCTCAACTCCTTACTCGACATCCCCTGACCGGGATGGCCAAGACCGTCGTGGACGTCAGCTGAGGTAGCTCCAACCAGCGTATCTGAAGCCCGAGTCACAGGAGGTGTATTAGCCGACGCGTCCTCGTCAACATAAGTATCAAGGGTAACAGGCGCTGCGCGTGGCTGCTGACCTGAAACATTTATGCGTTCGTCAGCAGTTTGGATAGTGTAACAATATTATTATTACAAACCTTCAGGTCTGCCGTCGATGATGCCTTGGTTCACCTGCGCCGCAGGATCAGTATAGTCTGTGTTGCGCAAGTTACTATTTCCCGAGAGAGTGTGTCTTTGCGATGTTTGTGTGTTTGACATGGTTGAGTAACGATGGTGGCAGAAGATATTCTTGACAGAAACGTTTTGTGACTATTCCTCATATGATAGGAGCCTCTTGACCTTTTATTTGTTTTCGTGATTGGTTCCGAGTCCGGTGTGGTTTCGGAAGTTTGAGCTCGATGAAGTCATGATGCAACAATGAGATCATATAGGGGTCACTCGTGAAATTGTTTCGCAGGGATTATAAGAGATAGCACGGTGGAGCGGTGTATCGCGACTGTAGGCCTGCGAGAGCACTGCGCTACGACAAAGCCCGAAGGACACTGAATGGCTCGCTAAACTACGGTGCTACTCGGTTGCCACTCGGTTCCTACCCCCGGGATCCCCTACTCCAACGGTACCACACAGGTCGAGTCAATCGACATGCACTCGTGTCCACATTACAAGTAAAGCACTGTTATAATAGCTGAGCATGCCAACTCGATGCCTCCACCATGAAAGTTGAGTAGTTCCCTCAAATATATAGAGTCACGTGGCAGTCGTCTTGTACAAGAAAAGAAAAAACTCGAAACTCGTAACACAATCCGCTGGTATGTCATTGTCCTACACGAGGACTCGTGAGAGCACGATTGCGTGAGTGTGAAGCGCACTCACCATTGTTCTGCTCTAGTTGCTCCATTCTCTTCCGAGCGATAAAACTCTCGACCTCATTCCATCTATCTGTCTCTTCGAACCATTCATTCTGATCGGAAAGATAATCGTAATCAATATCTATGGGATGCGCACGATCGATGTGGGTCAAGCTGGGACACATCCCAGCTAGCAGGTTGCCAATGACCTCGACATTGTCGCATTCCGCATACCCAACATCTAGGTCGGTGACTTTCTCCCTGGTGATGCCATTGTATTGGTTATCGATGTGGACAAGTGCGTCGTGGGGGATCAATGTGTCTAGGTTGACCCCTAGGGTGTGCAAATTTGGACAGCGCTCGAGGATACCCGCAAGCCCACCAAATGTCACCCCCAAGCGGGTAACTCCCCAGTCCCAGCGAGTAGCAAGGTAAAGACATTCCATTTGCGGCCAAGCGGAAACGAGGTCTAGAACTTCGTCGTCGCTGATACAAACATGCATCGAACTGAGATTGAGATCGGTGAGCCCTGCAAAGGCCCGGATCTTTCGGAAGGCGGAAGGAGGCAGTTCGAAAAGGGCGTGATCGTCGAACTCGGTGGGGCGATTCACCCAGACACCCAACGATTTTAAAACATTGGGTTGAAAATGCTCAGTAAGGGAGGAAAGTAGGTGGTTGAGGTCATCTGCTTTGGGGGGTGAGTCGATATCCAGCTTCGCGCTCTTCGCGGAGATTTGTAAGGGAGCTAAAAAAGCAAGAAGCAACTCGATACTGGCAGCAGTTATGCTGAACTCGTCCAACGAAAACATGACGCTGAACGTCGATGTCGGGTCTAGGTCCAGGTTGTGACCTTCTGGCATGAGCATCTTCAGCTCCCTCAGCTTCTTCAGGGATGCAAGATGCTGCAATGCCTGTGCATTCACTGCTCCCGTCTCCAAGATCTCTAAATCATCCCAGCAGGTGACGAAATCAGACAGCATGGCGCATGCACTAGCAGTCGGCATCGAACAACGAAATTCTTTGATCTTAGGACAAGCCTTGCCCAGGCCTGCAACAAGATCGACCATTGCTGATGGCCAAAGCTCCGAATGGATGATTAGTCGAGTGAGGGTGGTGGAAATGCAGCGTTGTAAGCAAGGAAGAAGCACATCGCGCTTGTCGTACCAGTACAGCTCGCGGAGCAGAGGAAACGGCGAGGACGGCGAAGCAGGAGAGTCCAGAAGAGCAAGCGCGGCGCTATCATGCAGCTTACGATATTTCCGGTCATCATATTTTTCGAAAGTTAGCGAGCGCACGCGACACGCATACTTTTGAAAAGTAGCACGATCATCGTCCACCAAGGGTCGGAGAAGCCGCTAAAATCGATATACCATGAACTACATTCAAAAGAGAAGAACACCAAACTGACCGCACTGTATCCGGTATTCAATATGGTGCGACCCCCCCTGGCAAATTTTACGGGTTGAGAACGAGCGTCCTGGGGTAGGCACATGATAAGCATGTCTGGCGTTTGTACGTGCGCCCATAGGGCGTCCAGTGCCAGCTCTCGGAAAGCTCGACACGTCAACGCCAGGTGGTACAGAGTGGTATATGATGGTTGGACATCGCCCTCGGTGACCTGCGTCAGTTCCGCGAATATGGATATCAAAATCTCTGGGAGCCAAAGGCAGGCATGCATTGGTACTAATCACGACTGGACATCAGGTGGTTTCCAATCAGTTTTCCAGTGGGGCAGCGTGTCTGCTACTCACCGGACCCTGCAAAAATTATCGTGATAGAACAAGCGTCAAAAGGCAAGGTGTAGAGTCGTGGTCGTTCGAGGGTAGTTATTGATCGGAGTCTCGGAGAATCTGAATGCATGGCCTACTGTTCATTAGGCAACTTGAGGATCTGTGAGACACCTGCGATCGCGGCGAGAAGCTAGGACTTCCGAAGTCTGCACCAGTGGGAAAGTTCAGACTCACTCGGAGTAATTCAAATAGAAGTTTGTGAATCATATGCATATCTTTGTTGAAGGTAATTGAATGTTTCGGATTGCGTAATTGACTAAAATTGACTGATCGGAGGGATTGGCCTAGGCCTTGCACGGTCCTGGCAAACTCCGAAGGCGAAGAACCGGCGCGCAGACCTCGCGATTTATTTGCAACAAGTGAAACCCGCTGTGGATGTCGCAACTCTCGTCCAAGAATAGACACTTTCAAGATGTCCGGGACAGTATCCATAATGTGTTCTTTTGTCTGCGATCAAGTCAAGGGAAGAAGGGAAGAAAGAGACCGTGATACCAACGTACATTCGTTGGTAGATCCAATGCGGTCGTGGTCATTCTCAAAGTTAACGCTATGCAGCCGGCTCAGACACGCTGAAAACTGCTCAAGAGTCAGGGATCAAGGAGGTTTGCGACGCGAACACGCCCAATTGGTCATGATTCAAGGATGAAAGAGAATGTGAGAGTTTATGTGAAGGTTTGCATCAAAGTCCAATAAGTTCGGTTACATACTAGCAGTCGTCTTGTACAAGAAAAAACAATTCGTTTGCGTGAGCAGCACCAATTCTTTACATCAGACACCGCTGGTGTATAATCCTACACTGGGAGATATGAGAGCACGACTACGTGTCCATAAGGCGCACTCACCATTGTTCTGCTCCAGTTGCTTACTTCTCTTCTGAACGATGAAACCTTCGACCTTTTTCCATCTTTCACCTCCTTCCGACCATTCATCATGAATGGAAGGATTGTCGGAATCAACATTAAAGCTCGCACGAGAGATGCGAATCAAGTTAGGACACATCCCAGCTAGCAGATTGCCAATGGCCTCGACATCGTCGCATTCCGCAGACCCAACATTTAGGTCAGTGACTTTCTCCCTGATGATGCCAGTGTATCGATTATTAACGTAGAAAGGTGAGTCGTGGAGAGCTGAGGTATCTAGGTTGACCCCTACGGAGCGCAGATTTGGACAGCGTTCGAGGATACCCGCAAGCCCGCGAAACGTCACTTTCAAGTGGGCAACTCCCCAGTCCCAGGCCGTGTCAAGGTAAAGATTTTCTATTTTTGGCCAAGCGGAAACAAGGTCTAGAACTTCGTCGTCGGTGATAGAGACATGCATTGAACTGAGATTGAGATTGGTGAGCTGTGTGAAGCCCCGGATATTTCGGAAAGCAGAAGCAGTCAGTTCGAAGAGGGCGTGATTGGTGGGGTCAGTGGGGCGATCCACCTCAACATCCAACGATTCTAAAACGTTGGGATTGAAGTGCTCTGTGAGGGAGGAAAGTAGCTGGTCGAGATAAAACACGTCTGAAGTTGTGTCGATGTTCAAATGCGCACTCTTCGCGGAAATTTGCAAGGGCACTAAAAAAGCGAGAAGCAGCTCCGTACTTGCAGCAGTTATACTGAACTTGTCCATCGAAAACATGACGCTGAACGTCGATGTCGGCTCCAGGTTCAAGCTGTAACCTTCTGGCACGAGCATCTTCAGCTCCCTCAACTTCTCCAGGGACGCAAGATGCTGCAATGCCTGCGCATTCACTGCTCCTGTCTCCAAGATCTCCAAATCATCCCAGCAAGTGACGAGGTCAGAAAGCATGGCGCATGCACTAGCGGTCGGCATCGAACAACGAAATTCCTTGATCTTGGGGCAAGTCTTGCCCAGGCCTGCGACGAGATTGACCATTTCTGATGGCCAAAGCTCCGAATGAATAACTAGTCGAGTGAGGGTTGTGGAAATGCAGCGCTGCAGGCAAGGCAGAAGCACATCGCGCTTGTCATACCAGCACAGCTCGCGGAGCAAAGGAAACGGCGGGGGCGAGGAAGCAGATGGGCCCAGGAGAGCAAGCGTGGTGCTATCGTGCAGCCCATGATCTCTCATCATGTTGTAGGACTCAACAACATACTCTTCGAAAGTGAGCGAGCGCACGCAACGCGCATACATTCGAAAGGTAGCCCAATCATCATCGGTCAAGGGTCTGAGAAGCCTCTGAAATCGAATTCAAAAGAAGAGAATGCCTAACTCACCACCCTGAATGCTGCAGCGATTCCGGAAGGCGTGCATTCGAACTGGTCGAAACTCTCCAGGGTCAATTCTCGTATGGGTTGAGAACGAGCGTCCTGAGGCAGGCATAGGACAAGCACGTCCGACGTTGGTATGTGCGCCCATAGAAGGTCCAGTGCCGGCCCTCGGAAAGCTCGACATGTCATCGCCAGGTGGTACAGAGTGGCATATGATGGCCGTACGACGCTATTCGTGACCTGTGTTACTTCCTCAAAAATCATTCTCAAAATCTCTGGAACCTGCAGGCAGGCGTGCATTACGGGCACTAATCACAGCTAGACATTGGGTGGTTAACTAGGCTTCCAGTGGAGCAGCGTGTCTGATATCACTGGGCTCCGTCGAGAATTGTGTTGAGATAACGAGCGTCAAAAGGCAAGGTTTTGAGGCTGACTTGGTCGCAGTACTTATCGAGAGTCTCGGAGAATCTGAACGCGCAGCCTACTGTGGACTAGGCAACTTGAGGACGCATGCGATCACAAGAAGCTAAGACACAAGCTTAAGTCAACTCACAAACGCACCAGGTACAGCGACCTTTTTATCACAAGTAGAACCATAGAGGCTTGAAGCCAATTAGCAATGCTTTCTTGTGAATCATACGTTGAAGGGGATCGAATGTTTCAGATTGCGTGATCGAAGAGATTGGCCTGAAGGCTGACCGCCTGTGCTTTGGATTCTGGACTGTCCGAAAACCCGATAGTGGCTTTGCCTTCAAAGTGCGCTAGGACCGTCCCAACAAAATTGGAAAGCAAAGCCACTGCAGACAGGACCATAGTATTTACTGGCTAAGTAACGTATCCTGCACACATACAATAGAAGGAAGAGGAAGGAAAACACTCCGATTTCTCCCGCTTGGCAAAATCCGGAGTTTTCCTACATAACTCACTGGGTACGCTGAAAGAGGATCACAACGCGGACACACCTATTAAATGATTTCAACAAATGTTAAATCCCGCCAGTCCTTATCGCACATAGGAGAACTTGAAGGTTTATGTGAAAGAGTGACATTTGCATCAAAGTCCAATAAATAGCGCCTACAACTTCCCAAGCCTAGTATTGTACGGTTCTTCTCCTAATCGCGCGCACTTTGTCCTGATGCGTGAAGCCCCTCCTCCCATTATGCTTCCCCGGGTGATACTTGCCGTCGTCGAACTTGGGATCGGGATGGTACTGACCGTCGTTCATCTTCGAATCGGGGTGGTACATGCCGTCGTCCGAACGTTTGCCTCCGGTGGTACTGACGTGATACTTGCCGTTGTCGAACTTGGGATTAGGATGGTAGCTACCGTCATCAAACCTCGAATCAGGGTGGTAATGGCCATCGTCTGAACGTTTGCCTCCGGTGGTACCAACGTGATACTTGCCGTCGTCGAACTTGGGATCGGGATGGTACTGACCGTCATTCATCTTCGAATCGGGGTGGTACATGCCGTCGTCCGAGCGTTTGCCTCCGGTGGTACCGACGTGATACTTGCCGTCGTTGAACTTGGGATTAGGGTGGTAGCTCCCATCGTCAAACTCCGAGTCGCGGTGGTATTGGCCGTCGTCCGAGCGTTTGCCTCCGGTGGTACTGACGTGATACTTGCCGTTGTCGAACTTGGGATTAGGATGGTAGCTACCGTCGTCAAACCTCGAATCAGGGTGGTAATGGCCATCATCTGAACGTTTGCCTCCGGTGGTACCAACGTGATACTTGCCGTCGTCGAACTTGGGATTGGGGTGGTATTGACCGTCGTCCGAGCGTTTGCCTCCGGTGGTACCAACGTGATACTTGCCGTCGTCGAACTTGGGATTAGGATGGTAGCTACCGTCATCAAACCTCGAATCAGGGTGGTAATGGCCATCGTCCGAACGTTTGCCAGCGCCGGCTACGGTGCGCATTGCAGTCTCAGTGGGGTCGGCTGCTGCCGTGGTAGTGGTTCCAGACGTGGCAGTGGCAGTCTCCGTTGCAGAGGTGGAGGAGGCTATTGTCGTTGGAGAATTCGTCGTCGCGGGGGCAGTGGAGCCCGTTTGGGATGTCGGGGTCGTTGTTGCGGTGCCGGGTACTATATTGAGTACAACACCCAACACAGACGTGACGGCGTCGGGAACCGTAAGGGGGACGGCAGCGGCGTTATGGTACTGGCCATCGTCATAGGCTGTATTGGGATGGTACTGGCCATCGTCATAGGAAGTATTGGGATGGTACAGTCCGTCGTCATATGTCTGGGTGGGGCTGGGAGTAGGGGTGGGAGAAGACGTATCCGTCCCGGCGGGGGTGGGAGTGTACTGACCATTGTTATACGTGGGGTTGGGGTGGTACTGGCCGTCATCGTACGAAGGGTTCGGGTGGTACTGACCATCGTCATACCTCTTGCCCTTGCCTTGAGAGGGACTTGCTTTAGCAGCAGCGCTATTGGACTGTGTCTGTGAAGTCAAGTCAGCGAAAAGATGAGTGCTTGTCAGGCGCGGCGACGTACTGGCTTAGCTTGACTAGGCTGGACTTGGGCATTCTTATCCACGATAACGTCGTGTTGCACGCTGGGTGTAATCTGCACCATTGAGTTAGAAACATGACAGTCTCAGTATAGTTTGGACGACATACTGGGTCTTGTCCCTGAGCCTGTTCATGGGACTGCGAACCTGGGTGTTGTTCGATGACGTATACGGGGTGTTTGTTGGTGGCAGCGACAGCCCTAGAAGTGTGGTTGGCGTGAGTCCCATGGGAGCTTGGAGTAGGCCCGACGATGATTGCGGTGTGGTTGGCGTGAGTGCCATTAGGGCCCGGAGTAGGGTCGACCACGCCTACGCTAAGAGACACGTATGGACTAACAACAGGAGTAGCGGACGCGAGGAAACAAAAGGCGAGGAGGACGGCGAAGCGAGGAGCTAGTTGAACCATGATGCTAGATAATATGTGAATAAAGAAAATAAAGAACGTATTGTAATTTCTGATAGCGATGTGAGAGAAAGAGGGAAGAGGGAACACTGGTGTTCGTCCTGGCTGACGAGCCCTATTTATCATATTTCGACGACGCGGCGGGGGGACCAATCACAGATCAGGAAAAAGAACATGGTACGTGGTCGACGTCATCGGTGACTTCCAGAGGCTGCCATGCCGAAGGAACCAGCCTGGCATCCTGGTTGGCGCACTACAAATATATTCTGGCTTTTAGCGTGAACTGAGACGCACCAAACAGACTGTCGACTCTGCCTGTTAAGTCTATGCACGCGTGAAGTCAACATCCTAGTTTAAACAGAGTTGAGCGCTGAGCTCGAGATGCGCCTATCATGACCACAGACCTATTCAGAGAATTTGAATAAATTTGAACATACGCCAAAAGGAATATTGTGGTTCGGGGTACTATTTGCCTCCGAGTCGGTGCCAAGTTCGCCGGACGTGCGACGCGACTGACAGCCTGCAGTAGCTTAGGCCTGAATCAATCAAGATGATATAAATTACTCGTTCGTGCTGCTTTTGACTTGGTAAGCGTATACGTCAGATCCTCAGTGAAATGATCGATTACACGAACACTCCGACATCCTCACTAGTCCACCATCTTTCTCCCTCAAACCATGACGATGTCTAGTCCAGGAGCCTCTCCCATTTCCTTACTTTCGGAAGCACACTGGGGCCTGGCATATTCTCGTTTACATCAGTCGTTGGACCAGACAGGCCTCAAATTGATGATGTTTTCGGATGAACAGTGGTCAAGCTCCCCGTGTGTATCTTCTACGACTTTGATATTTCTGATAACCTAATTCGAGATGTTTCTAGGACACTATCTATGCGGCCTGTTTCTCTGCCTCGCAAATCAGTAAGTGACTCGGATACGCCTAACTCGTTTCGAATGTTCGCTGAAACATCTATCATAGCGCATAGAGCATGAATCTCTTATTCAAGTGCAAGATAGTGCTGACTTAGTACGCGCAGCACAAAGCTTTCCGAATGAACATGCATCACTGAGTCTGACCCGAAGCCCCCAGTGCCCACTGTCCCTGGTCTACCATGTCACCTTCAACACTGGGTCCTCATTGTCCGTGCCTGTGCATCACCTGGATCTAGTATTTCGAACAATAGGAGGTACGTCAATCTATAAGACTAGAACTTCCAGCAACATCTGACTTTAGGCTTATATGAACTTGCGACACGATCAATGTCATCAGCAAATTCTCAGCCGACGCCTTATATATTAGTTGACATCTAGCCCAGTTGTAGCGGAGCATGTGGGCAGCAGGTAGTTATTCTTTCACGGCATTGATTTATGTTTGCGGGCATATGAATCTGACACACCGAAGCTGGCAATGGACTTGACTAAATGCGCGCTCATCCTGATGTGGCTGATTACATTTTCCCCTCAGGTCAAGGACGAATATATGGAACAGCAACACAGTCGACATCCAGCGCAGGTGCAAAGGTTGACATCAGGCAGGCAACAGACGAGGACCACGTGGGCAGCAGGTGCCAGGGGCAGTATTAACCAGCTATTATTTTTGCGCTGTCATTTGCTTGCTCTTGCAATGCATATCAGCGTCGATTTCCATAGTTTTATTGCTTGTTACGACTACAGTTGAGAATCTACCATCATCGACGGAAATATCATATGCGAGAATCAGTGCGAGATCGTGAGTTCTCCGTCCAACAGCGTCAGCGGCTAGAAAATCTACTATAAGTCCCATTCTCTACGGAAATCCACGGAAATCTTGTGTTCCTGGTTCATCAATATTTTGGCCGTTTCCGTCGATACGGTGAGGGCCAGTTCTCACTGGGACTCCGCGCTTACAATGTGTTGCATATGAGATTGCAGTGCGTGTTTTTCAAAAACTCGGCCTCACTGCCTTTCCCGGCACTTTTACATCCTAATTAGGTCAAGGATGCGACATCCATCAAGCGGCAGGCCTAGACTCGTGACCTAATTAGGGTGTAAAAGTGCCGGGAAAGGCAGTGAGGCCGAGTTTTTGAAAAACACGCACTGCAATCTCATATGCAACACTAGGCCAAGCTGGGCTCTCAGATCTCAGGCCTCAGGAGTCCACCGTGAGTGATTGTCGTTGTTCGTGAGCATGAGTTTACGTGCACCATCCGTAATATTGTTCGGATGCAAGGACTTGAGAGTCTAGATCTGTGGTCTTCGAACGGTCTATCAATATGCCAAGTGTTTCAATCCAAGTTTCAAGTCGCTCAGTGCTCAGGACCTTCATCGACTCATCTCGTGATTCTTGTCTGTTGTTGGCTGCTGATGACTCTGCTCGCATTTTGCAAAGTGCTTTTTACCCGCTGCAGGACGGCAATGAATTCGGTCCTCGACTTAGACAACAAGCCTCATGAATGGCCTAGCCTAATTGGTAATTCCGATGCTGGGAGCTTGACTACTCAAGCTGTCGCGCGACTTTCCCAACCAGACCTCTGCCTTTTCATAAACTTGCTCTGGTCCACTACGTTGTGTGACATAGATCTTGACCTTGACGTACTGTGGGTAACCCTGATCCAGTGCTGAAAAACTTTACACTGCGACGTTCATCAAAAGCTCAATGGAGCTCATCACGAGGTAACCAACGTTGCAGGTACGTCCTGGCTCCATTTCTCACCGTCTCTATCCATAATCCATCATATTTTGCACAGCTAACGATGGCATTTGTCTATAAGAATCAATCCACATCATTCCTCCACTTATGGTTATGTCAATTCAAGGCCTGGTTACAAGACACGGTAAGTATAGCCAATTTGCTTATTACGCAAGTTTACAATAGGCAACGCGAACACCTTGCTATTAATATTGTACTGGCCCGTACGTCTCCATAACTAGAGGCCGCCCCCACATGATCCCGCTGTTACCGCCACACTCATGTTTCTCCGAACTCAGATGACGTCTCCATAACTAGAGGCCGCCCTCACATGATCCCACTGTTACCGCCACGCTGTTGTTTCTCCGAACTCATCTGGATAAATAAAGAGACGGTTCTGGGTGACCATTTGCTGCACTTACCTTTTTCAGTTCGGTAATCATTACACTTTGTATGTAAAGCATACGCTGGGACCACCGTGCCTCATTAGTATCATTTTTCAAGCGGGCTATATACCACTTATACTTATGCCCAATTCAGATACGTCTGTCGTAGCGCTGATATGTCGATGCGCTCGTTGTTGCCAAAGCATGTGCTAATGCGGCCGTGCTTGACCATCTCAGTCTTTCCCTAAGGATGCTAGCCGTTTTGAAAGTATAAATACTTGGAATGTGCCACTTCCTCACAATACCAAGCTCTCACTTTCTGTCATATTTTTGACCATGCTGACCTCCGCCAGACTCGCAGTTATAGCACTCTTCGTGCCCATCGTTCTCGCTGGAAAGCGTGGCCTATGCTGGACCTACTGTGAGTTACATCTCAAATTACAAGTGCAAGCACATTTTGCTCACCATAACCGAACAGTCGATGGAACACTGTACATAGGCTCATATTTCATGCTTCATTAGGTTCACTGACTCGTCTCTTCCAGTGATCCTGGTGTTTTCAATAACGGAGATGGAGAAGTTGTTGCAATGTATGCCAGATGAATACTCGCGTTCGCAGTCTCACTAACAGTAAACAGCTACGATTATGAGACATACGCCCCGCCTTCTACCAACGGAAACGGTGGCCTCGGATTCATCGGCACTGCAGCGCTGCACCGACTGCTCATCCAGTCCTATAGCAGATCTGGCATCACGTCAAGCAGCACAAGGCTGGGCTAGTTCGTCACCACTCGTTAGTGAATAGACATTAGATTAACCCGTTTCAATATAGCCGTATTTACGCTGAACGAACCTGATATCAACGGCATCACCCCAAGCGAGGCCGCTTCCTGGTACATTGAATATGTTAACCCATTGGTAAGGTCTTACTGTATCAAAATTTTACTCAAGACTATGACATATTTGTCTGTACTTTTAGGCGATCAAGAAGGCCCTCCCTGCTGTTACCTCCAGCGTAACGTCTGGAGAGGGTCTTAGCTGGGTCTCTGAAATGATCAGCGCTTGTGCAGGACAGTGCTACTTCGACTACATCAACTTGGTGCGTAGTTGTATGCGGCCCCATTCTGTTTGACGTTAAGTTTATATTTTCCAGCACTGGTATGGGTACGTAACAAGAGCTTGTTTGGTGCATCTCCTTAACTCACTCGAATTTCGAAATGCAGATCAACCTTTGCGGAATTCCAGAGCTATGTAGAATCAGCAAATAGTCAATTCCCCGTAAGTCTCCTTTGCGCGTGCGGTATTTATAGTCTCACAACAACAAACACCCAGGACTATCAACTCGTTATCACAGAGTTTGCTCTTGAGAACCCTGCAGGTGGTCAAGCAGATCAGTAAGCTGCGATGTAGTACCTCTTATCACCCCACTCATGCTCTTATGTATCATACAGGGTGACCTTCTTCCAACAGGCGTTCCCTTTCCTTGACGGGGCGTCATACGTTCAACTTTACTTCCCCTTCATAGCAACTTCGCCGGCGCTCTTCACAGAATACAACCCTTCTGGCGCCGATCTTATCGGAACCGGATCGTGCCTCTACAACGACGACGGATCTCCGTCTGCAGTTGGAGACCTCATGTACTAGTTTTCTTCCATTACCCCATCCTGCGCATGCTTTGATGAAAGACACAGACCGCAGGGCTTGAAGTTTTCGCTTGCTTCGGAATAATAGTTATTTGGTTTATTTGTTCCTAAACTTATTTCTTGTCAAATTGGGTTGTTTGTTCCCGAATCTATTGGGGGCCTCTTGCTCTCGCAACGGGGTCCTCGTTTTGCTGGCTAAATCCTCGTCTGCGTTCCAACGAGACTTGAGTGAGGACAATTAGACGCTGTCGTTTCAGCAATACGCAATCCAGCAGCACCACACGAGCAAGGAGTCGCATTCATGATTCGTCATGCAGAAGCATGCTGGGCTGGTGCTTCCTGGGGCTCACCTTATGGGTATATTCAATATGCAATTAACGATCAGGTTAATCTTGGAAGTTAAGATGTCGATCGTTCATGATTCACTTTCATCACTAATTGAGTTCGTGAGCTTTAAGAATAGCCCTGGTGGCTTCTAGGAAGTTTGACATTATTGGACCAAGCTCAACCCGAGGATGAGTACGTTCAATTTCAATACTGTGTGGGTAGTCCGAGCTATAAAACTGACTCGTCAACTTGAACACGGACTCGGATCCGTTGCTGGCAGTTACTGTATTAATGAATTTGATCATAGTCATGACGTCAATTCCGCGACACCCCAGTACTTCCGGATGGAGCCTGTTGTGCATCAATCGCAGTGAAACGATTAATTCTGTTAATACAGTATTATCTATCCTCATCTATGGTACATCGGAACTTCGGAAGTCATGATGATCGTCTACTTGCCATCCAGCTTCTGCTTCTCCCGCTCAACACTGGCTTCTCTCCACTTCCTACCTTTGTACAACACCAGTAAGATAAGACAATCAGCAATGACCAGCAGTCCCGCCCAGAGCGTATACAAACCACCGTCACCAATACTATCCTAAACCAACCTCAGATCCGATGTTCCGCAAGCTATTATGACGTTGACTCACCTGTAGAGGAACAGCAATCTCAACAGCAACAAAAGCAAACAGACCGCGGAAAGAACTGTTGGCCGCTACTGCCGTTGATGAGCGACCAGTGTTTGCATCGACGATGTATGCCAGGGTGCTCGTGTAGATCCATCTATCGCGGATGAGAGAAAAAGACAGTGTGAAACGAAAGAAACGTACATAGATGAAAATCCTGCGAGGAAGAGCATCACACATATCGCAGCGACGTTGACCCGTTCTTGGCACACCCAAGCATATCCAATCACAGAAAGAGGTAACCATACCATGGCGACTTTCGTACTCTCGAGGCGCATCTGCATGAATTCGCGTTAAACGTGGAGACAGATACTGAGCTGAGGATAGTGAGTCACCTCTGGAAAGCTGCTCCCTCCGTTCGCTGCCTTTAGCCGGGCAAGTGTCCGATCGGACCAACGTCCACCCAATATGCTGCCGGCTACACTGCCTGAAATAAATGCGTCAGGCAGGTGCTCGTAGTTTGCTTGTGACTCGCTTACCAATACCAAATGCAAGCAAGACGAGGCCAGTCTTCATAGCATCATAATTATAATACATCGACAATGTCCTTGCGCATGTATACGCAATGCCATTGCTAAATGAAAAAATCAAACCTAAAAGAGGGCATAAAATTTCTTTGCACAGCAAGGATTACAGAGAGCATACCTGATGGTATCAAGATAGCAAAGTTGTTCTTGCGGCTGACAATCGATAGGTATGGAGGGAAAGGGTTGACATCAGAAATGGACAGCTTTACTTCTCTGATGGCTGATGCTGGTATGGCCGTCGGCTGTCCTTCGATGTCCTTCGGACTTGTCTGCGCTCCAACGTCCTTCGAACCCATCCGCTTTTCGTCATTCATTTGTGATTCCTTCTCTGAAATTTTTCGTGGCTCGTCCTTTGCTTCTGACGACTGTTGCTCTCGGAGCCTCCTCTTCAATACACTCTGGTACGTCGTACTCCTTTCCTTCCGGAAGGTGTCCTTGAATAAGAAAAGGAATGCCGAAAATATCATACCTCCCCAGATGACTAGGAACCAGAAAATCGCCCGCCAGCCGAGGCCCTGCGTGAGTGCACCACCGATAATTGGCCCCAATGAAGGACCGAGGAGAGGTGCAGAATAGTAGACACCCATCATTGTTCCTCGTTGATGTGGCTCGTATATGTCGGCCAGAGTGGCGGCTCCGATGGCGATAACCGCGCTTGACCTACTCTATATGAGCAAGGAATTAAGAGATCGAGGGACTGCCCTACCCTGCGCCTTGCAGAATACGCATACCGATCATCAAACCAATGGTGTTGGATACTGCCACGATTGCAGATCCAAGTGTAAATAGTGCTACAGAGCAAAGGTACACCATCTGAGCTCGGCGATATTAACAAATGAAACTCTCAAGACACACGGAAATCCAAACCTTGCGGCCCTTTATCTCGCTAATTGCGCTCCAAATTATAGGGCAATTGCCTTGCATGAGAATGAAAAGCGACAAACTCAGGCTGATGTCCCCGCTGCTGGCGTGTAGTTGCTGCTCAATCTGGGCATTGGCGGCTATCCCCTAGCTGTTCAGCCGATATTGCAATAACATTATGGAAACAATTCACGGTTTTGTATATTCGCGCACAAACCCGCGATCATCGATGCTCCAGATATGATGACCAATACAACGTTCTGCATGACGTATTCTATCAGCCTCTAGTTACAAAATCAAGATGTAAGGACGCGCCTTCTTCGCGTTCGACCATATTCGAGGATCATTTTCAACCACGGCATGTTCTATATCAAGTTTGATAGGTTCATTTGAGGATTTTGAACTGGAAACATGTGTTTGGGTGTCCGTATCCTGTAATTCCACACTCTGGACCTCCGTAGGCGACAAAGTCGTACTCTGGCTTTCTGACATGGGCGTAAGAGGTTGTGCGATACGGGAGCTGAAGCTTGAGACTGTATGAGAGAGTGCATGATTTTATAGCTGGTTCAGCAATGAAGCGGATGACGAAAGCGCACATGGTTTTGCAGGGGCCGATGATCAAAATATCCTCAACCATAGTGACAATGTGTCGGACAACATGGCCGATCGAATGGCATGGCTATAAAGCCTTGTCTTCGTTCCGGCTATCAGACAACAACTGTGAGGAAGACCCCCAAACAACCAACTTAAAACAATGGTTCTAAATTACGTTCAGGATTGCAATCATCCAGAATTTTTGCTTGCCACGGAATATCGGGTGCCCGGCTCATAGGAGGTGAAGTCGAACTAATAATAGGAAGAGCAAATGGGGCTGCAAACCATGAGTGAATATTTCCTGTTATCTGTCCATAGAGTACGGACATTCTGTGATCAACTTACTAAGTGTGCACCAGTCTCACGAACATATTCTGACCTTTGTGATATGCTCCGAGAGCAGAAGGAACTGTATTCCTTCGTCTATAAATGTCTGGCTAGGAAGACGGAAACAACTTCGGCTCTAGTCGGAAGTGTGAGTCAGCAAAGTTGCTGTCATTACAGCTTAGAGTGTTCTAAGAGGTGGATTGACCAGGACACTTGCAATGGTGCATGTGAAAGGCTAATTGCAAGATGCGGCAGCCGCACATGCTAGAAGTTGTAGTGACGCTGAATCTGCGCGGCTGGCTCGAAAACAAGGGCTAACTAGAACTACGTAAAAAATTAGTCGTCTTCATTTCCGAATCTATGGAAAGCCGGACACCGAGTAGCCTTATATAGTAATCGGACCTCGAGCACCGTCCTCTCGTATTTGCAGCAGCAGCAGCAGCACCTGAATCAAACTTTCGCTCAGCTGCAGGGTTCCTTGAACATTTGGGTCAAGAACACCATCCAAGCTGTCGTCGACGGTACTTTGTATTGTTCCTGCCTATATGCTACCATTACTGACATAGACTATAGGGACCTTTGCATCCTTTGTTGGCTCAAGCAGGTCAAGAAAGACGGGACTACAGTGGAGTTCCGTCTCTACTGGGATACACTCGATACCCAACAGCGCAATGTACGTCGTTGCTTTTTTTTCGCTGCTAGTACCACACTGAGCTTACTCTTCTGTTAGTCTTACAAGTCCGAAGCTGTTCAATCGGTGAGTATTGCTTCAAGTTGTATTTGCCATATTCATCCAAATCTTTACCAGGTTTCCTCGAATGTCTAGATCAAGAATACTGTCGGTGTAGTCGTCGACGGTACCTTACATTGAGCGCACGTGAACTGTTCTCGCTCAATATAAACAGCTCGTAGGGAATGCAAGGGAGTGCCGCATTGTGTAGCAATAACTTAAACCATCCTCGCACGACGACGCACGATATTGCATCGTGTATTCGTCCAGATTTCTTGTCCAGATCGTGCGAGGGCGGTTTCAGTTGGCGGTGCATGATGCGGCACTCTCCGGACGTCTCTCGCACTGTCCGGTTTTTGGCTGGGCGTGATGACGAGTCTGAAACCACGCTAGGCATCGACGAAGACACTGTGGGACTGGATCATCATACAGGTTTGGTTGTTTGGGAGTTCTCAGATGGCGATGACTCGGACGTGCCAGATGAATGGTGACTTGCATTGGTTAATTTTTTGTAAGGCTTAATGTAGCAGCATACTATGGACTACAAGCAGTAATTCTGATTTTCCGATTGATTGATATGCATCGCACATAATATTATTGCAGTCGCTTTGTTTCTTATTAGCGATAGCGGTGTTCGTGGTCCCGCAGAAGGCATGACCGTATTTAGTAATTTTTGCTTGAGATTTGAGCACGAGTGTCCGGCTTTCCATAACGAATCCGAACTCCGACAGATCATCAACTTGATTTCTTTGACTTTTCAGTTCAGTGAGCATCGAGTACAGATTGAGGATGAGGCCTTCTGCTGTGCGGCTGCTCAACATATTAGTCCCTATAAAGAGGTGCGCACGAATTATAACTCTATGCTTCCAGCTCTGAAGATGCGCTTGGAAGGGCGGTAGACTATGCCGTGAAGATTCGCGTGAATCCTGAGCAGACAGGTATCGACCTCAATGTTAAACATTCCATGGTATGGGAAGTCCACAATTCATAAACCAGTCTGGCTCACATGAACAATTATAGAATCCCTTTGATGAGATTGGTACGTTTCCCGTCAGCATTCCGTGGGCACAGTTATCTGACCGTGTTATAGCTGTGGAGGAAGCCGTTCGGATACGAGAACGCCTAAAGGATGCAGTGAAATCTATCAAGGTTGTTACCATCGGCCCACCAAAGTCCGCGGAGACGCTCCGCACCGCACTCGCCATGGGTGTCCGACTCTGCCGTGCACGTCGAAATCCCAGAATCTGCTCCGGCCCCAGAACCTCTTGGTGTCGCGAAGACTTTGAAGGCCCTTATCGAACGACAGAAGGAGGGTGTGGACGTAGTAATTTTGGGCAAGCAAGCTATTGACGATGACGCTGGACAAACCGGACAAATGCTCGCTGGCCTCATGGGGTGGTCACAGGCAACATTTGCGAGCAAGGTTGAGGTAGACCCAGAACAGAAGGTTGCGAACATCACTCGTGAGATCGATGGAGGTCTCGAGGAACTTAGGTGCAAGTTTCCTGTCATCATAACAACAGATCTTCGGCAAGTCCATTTGTGTATATCCACAAATGTCTCAGTGACTGATGAACGCTCTCAAATCTAGGCTTAATGGTGCGTTTTATTCTCGATATTTTATCACTCTCAGTTAATCTCGGCCTATTCCAAGAACCCCGGTATGCCTCGTTGCCCAATATCATGAAAGCCAAGAAGAAACCTGTGGAGAAGTTGACGGCTGTCGAGCTTGGAGTTGACCTAACGCCTAGACTAGAGACCATCAAAGTCACAGAACCTCCAAAGCGCGTTGGTGGTGGCAAGGTGATCCTCCATTTCTTCATAGTATGTTCCGGTACTTACAATGACATCCAGGTGGCAAACGTGGACGAGCTTCTCGCCAAACTCAAAGAGGCTGGTGTTACTGGAAAGCGTGCATAGCAGCAGCCTTAGTGTCCCGCACTCGCCTAGCTGTATACTAAGTACTGAGGATAGCACACAGGGCACTATGATATTTTCAATGATAAATGATCTTTTCTATGTGCTGTACAGGTTGGATAAATCGTGTGGACGACGATACTCAGTAGCATTATAATAAGCTGAAGAAAGAACAGCGATGAAGAGATGAAATTGCTACACGAATCGCAAGACAGATCAGATGCGAAGGTTTGTTACAATCGAGATGAGGGAAAAGATGAGGCACAAGGAAAAATACTGCTTAATCAAGGATGCACGCCATCATGCGGCCTGCTGGCTGGGGTGTCAAGGTTGAACTCGAAGCGGATGCTTCAGTGGAGGGGTTGGTCTCATTGTCGACGCCCTGAAATAGCTTGTGAAAAACTGATTGCTTGCTGCTAAATGGACATACCTTCGTACGGCAGGCAGGACAATTATTCCTTCCTGTCTGGAGCCACTTATCCACACAGCCTTGGTGGAATGCGTGTTTACAGCTTAAGACACGTAGGTCATCATCCGGCACATAGTCATCAAGACATATGAGACACTATATGCAAAGTAAGTAAGCTTGAAGAATATGGTAAAGGCGTGATTCTATACCCGGTCGACGCAGTTAGTAGCGACACGTCCGTCCTTTGCATACTCCTCAAGTGAATTTGCCTTGATAACTTCGAGCCCAGACTTGTCAATCTCCTCCTTCGAGGCAGTGGGTGGTTTCACTTGACCGAGTAACTCGGCCAGTTCCCTGCATGAAAATGAGCATGGGACGATATCACACCCCTACCGCGTACGTACCACAATGCTTCGAACGAATCCAAGTTCCCGCCTGTGATGATTTGGTGATCGGGTGGGTAGTAGCCTGAAATAACTGTCCATATTTGAAAACAGGACAAAAAGGGTGAACTCACCACCAATGACATAAATGAGGAACGTTCTGGACCCTGGAGGCTCTGACGCAGTCTGTCTTGCCACAGCGGCCCTGCGACCAGGACGTAAATTCCTGATGGCATCTGCTGCACGAGACTGCCAAGAGCGACCGCGAGACTGTCGTGTATCTTCGAGTGGAAACTCTGATGGAGCAAGAGGGGCAGGGGTTGGTGATGACATCTCAGATTCATTGCCAAAGTCTAAATCCATCATATCTCCTTCGGTGGGGCGCTCGTCTGCGAAATCGGGTGGTTGATGGTGGACGTGAGGATGAAGGTGGTGAGGAGGATGTGGAGGCATAGGTGATTGACGTTCTGCGTGCACTGATTGCAACCCCACGACGATGACAGGAATGACGACATTACGTTGTTCATTACCGTTACTCGGCTGCACTCCAGCGGTCAGGTCGGCGGTTGACGTTGCGTGCGTAGTATCCGACATCTCTGAGGGAGTGAAGGGAAGTGAAGACGGAGCGGCTGGTGGACCACCTGTATTTTGTACCCCATTGCCGTCCACGTGTGGTAGTGGTTGTGGTTGTGGGGCAGATCCTTGCTGTACAATCGTGTGCGCCTGTGTACTGCGACTTGCTGGCGCTGTGATAGCAGGGAAACGGTACAATCGCCACCAGTTGATAGGCGTGTGCTCAGTGCGCGACGTAGAACCACCTGAGATACGTGGAATTCGGAATGGCATGTCTGTCTCAGCAGACTCTTGTGCAACAGTGGAGGACTCAGTCAAAGAACTCACACCTGGGGGACCAGATGAAGAAGGAGATGATAAAGGTCTTGTTGGGGACCCTGACAAACCAGATGAAGCATCCTGTGACCCTATGTCTATACCCGCCTCTCCAGAAAGGGTGTCAGCGTGGGCAATGCGAGGCAAGGTTGCTGTGGCATCATGGACCAGGGCGTTATTAATTTCCAAATCTGGATCATCACTATGTCCTAGATTGTCATCGTTCGTGCCTGGGCTCTCCCGGGCAGTGTGGGCGTCCGAGATAGTAGACGCCTCATCAGAAACGCTCTGAAGTTCAGGCATGTTATCATCGATGTCGGATGCGGCGGTGTCGTAAGACTCGTTGTCACTTGTACCGTCCGGCACGTCTTCAGTCTCACGGCGTTCACCTTCATGGTTATCTTCATCACCCACACCTTCATCATTGGCCTCGCTATCAGCGTCAACAGGGACACTGTCTTGCGCAAGCGCAACCCTTAGATCTGATTGAAGATCGACAAGGAAACGCTCAAAGCTCCCAGGCGGGGGCATTATGGGAACGTCACTGGTCCCACCTCCATTGACGGAGGGTGGTTCAGCGGCGGGCACTGCGGGCCCGCTGGCATTGGTCACATCAGGAACAACAGGCTGGTCTCCCTAGACCAAGACCCAAATTGAAAGCCCGGGCCATCTCCGTAAGTAGAAGCTCACGTGCATCGCGGGGACTGGGTCTACCTGAGCCCTCATCAGCACCAGGCGCTCCCATTCCAGGTGTGCGTAGACCAAGGCGATCACGTAAGCTGCTCCAGACATGACGCATACGTCCCAGCGTCACCTGTGGGTGTAGGCGATAGAGGCCGATCTGACATACTTTGAGGAGGAGGCTGATTTGGTGACTGAGATAAGGGCGCGAGTCCAGAAGAAAAAATAGGCTCGGAAGTCCCCGTGAGGAGAGAAGCAGCCGTTGCCGCTGCTGCGACACTGCGATTAAAAAGAAGTCAACATCGTTGTACGCAGTACCCACGAATAAGTTGAATGGTGTGATGGGGTGCAGGCAAGTTGTGGAGCGAGTAAAATGCATACCTGAGCAACGTTCCCAATACATCAATGCTACTCGGCGAAAGTGAGCCGGTGTTGGCGCTAGACGTTTCAGAGGTTGGCGGACCAGCTCCTGCATTAGGGCCCGTCCCCACAGGTAGAGAGGCCGTACTTGACTGCATGTCAACAGGTAATTGTTGTGGATAATCAGCAGCAGCACCGTCTTCTGACATGAGCGGTATAGATGGCAGCATGCTGGAAGGGCGGGGTAGGATTCCAGACAATCGATTGCGCAAGCGATCACCGGGGGTAGAAGACGATCGTTGGCGTGCAATGGAGGATGACCTGGCAATTCCCGGTGGTTCCAGATTGCCATCATTCGCGGGACTCGTATTGTTCGAGTTATTGTTATTGGCGATATTTACCTCCGAAGCGCGGGACACGTCGGTGGTATGCACGACACCCTGCACAACGACAAGTGTTCCCGCAGGTGGAAATTGGCGACCTGAGGGCTGTGTAGTTGTGCCTACGTGAGACTGAGGTCCAGCGGGTGCAATCGGAGGCATGAATGGCGGGCCTTCGCTCTGGTTTACGGTTGGGACGTGGACTTGAGGAGATGGATCGATCAACTCTGAAGTTGGAGCAATGACGACTTCATCCTCATCGTCCTCCGAACAATGGCGAGAAATTGAGGGAATGGGTTGAAGCGAGATATCAGATGCCGGTTCAACCAATCGTCCACCCGAAGTAGTCGGAACCACCTCTTCTAATGGTGGACTGGGGATATCGATGCTTCTGCCGCTGATGGGAAGTCATTCACAGCTTCATCCTCTTTCGCCTTACCCTTACCGCTCTCTACATCCGCAGGGGGTTCTTGAGATCCGTTCCGTTCGTTTTGAGGTTCTGCAACCTCACCAACAGTAATGTCATTGGCTGTCCGAGATTTAGAAATGCGTCGTGAAAGCCGCCACTTTTTGCGCTGCGAGGATTGAGTAGCTGAACTGCCTGTCCGGCTGCGTGGAGTTGAGGTCCTGGGAGCAAGCGATGAAAGAAGGCGGTGCGGCAAGGATGTACGACGACTACGTTTTGTTTCTGCAATATCTGCAATTTGAGGCTCTGACACAGATGACGATGAGGGAGTGGGAACGGAAGTTGAAGGTTCGGACGATGACTGCGATTCAGAGAATGGTGGGTTAGATCTCGCTTGTGAAATGCCATTGCGACGGATCTGTATCCTGGAAGGAGTTTGGCCCATTGTACTGGTTCGACTTCAGAAAGATTATAAAGGAGTGGGAGTAGGAAATTGGCGATATACAGCTAGGTAGCCTCGGAAGAAATGCGAGAAAGCCAAGTTGGATGGCAACGTTGTTACTGTTATGAGAACAAGAATGAAACAAAGGATAAAGACTAAGTTACAGTAGAAGATTGTTTGGTACAGAGCTCGTTGTCTGCAGTGTCTCGTCGACGGTGAAGACGACGACGACGAAGTGGTGGTACACAGCAGTGATGAGTAAGTTCAACGCACCCCAACTCGTGTTCGATTCGGTTATTGCCGCCACAGTACCCTTTTTTGGACGAGAGTCATGCTCGGCCTTGCTCAGCCTTGGCCCTTGTCTGCAGCTGTGCGCCTTGTGTAAAGCATAGCGTAAATTGATGAGCTATGAGTCACGTCTACAGGAGAGATACCTTATTAAATAAAACAAATGCGACATGCCCTTTAAGAGCCTGGCATGGCCATGCCTTTGTTCCACATCAGCCAATCTTCCGTGCTACAACCATAGCACGGTGGTGCAGGATGCCCATCATTTCATTCCGGGATTAACACGCCGTGTAGAGCTCCCTCCTGCCTTCCTCTTCCCACCAAGATGGTGTTCACGCACGTGCCGGGCATAATTGTCCTTCATTAATACATTGCCGCTGCAAGGGCCTTCGTGACACCTGACCTTTAATCTGCTACCGTCTCGGAATATCTCGTGGTTGGTCCGGGTGACAGCACTGGACCTGAAATGAGCCCTCCCGCTGGGTGTCGACTGGCGAGTCGCAGATCTGCTAGATTGGGCACCTGTGTAGCTCGTCGAAGGTGAACTAACGTTCGAAACAAGATCATCTCTTCCCATCTGGCTGTGCATAGGCTTTGGGTCTGCGATTAGATATAGTGTAAGCGATATTCACACAGGAGAAGTGATAATAGTGACCTAGAGTGTCCCATTGTCCTACCACATATTCGAATCGCTTGGTCTAGAGTCATGTCCGTCCCAAATCTCAGGCGCAACTGGTGGAGATAGTTTGCAACGAGAAGAGCTGTTTCATCTGGTAACGAAGCATGCATAACACCACTGTAATGATGCGAATGGCCCTTCAACAAACTATCATCTCGTTAGCAGAATGTTCCAGGGGATAAAATATAGACTACCAACTTTGAAACAGAGTCACGACATTGATTTCCCTCCAACAAATTTAGAGGGTGATGATTGTTGACATAGCTGAGGCCACGTAGTAAATATTGGTCTTGGAGAGAGAGAGAAAGAAAAGGGCATACCTTGATTGAGATGTGGAATAATTCATGCCGGAGTGGTTTAAGTAGCTTTGGCTCGCGATATTGGAGTCCGTGAACTCAGGGAATGGTTCCCTGTAGGAGTCAATAGGGCGTGCTTGCCTGCATCCAGTCATCAGCAACGCCGCTGCCAACGGAGTATGAGCTTCCATTATTCAAGATGTGAGCGGTTGAATTTTTTTTCGGACGCGCGGTTCTTTATACTTTGAATCTACCACAAGTTTCAAAAGGAGTCGGAAATATATTCCCTCTGAGCCGTATATGATCCGAGATAAAAATCGAATGTCAGTTGGCTAACTCTCTGATGCGTGAGCCATGGCGAGGGCACTGCGCCCTATCGGTGTGAAGATCGTCATGGCAGACCTCGGGATAACGCCAAGAAATGATTGACTTTGCCACGTGCCACAGCTCCGACTTGATTATGATACAGACGCGCGTTAACCGTACCTGCGGAGAGAAGGGCTGCGTCAGCGGCTACAATATAAGTCATACATTGATCGTACATGCTACCTTGCCACTGCCAAACTTAAAATCGGGCGCGGATCTCGGAGTGGACTGTCGTATTGCGGTGAAGAAACAAGCAGGAGTGCCTTGATATGCTTGTATATCCCAATTTACCAGCGCATATGAGGTGTAGATGTTGTAGGGACCCGGTAAAACCACGTGGAGTATTGGGAAGAGATTGTACTACAATTGGAGACTTGACCCTACAAGGTTGCACATCCTGAGAAGTGCATAAGGGTTCGTTAGTTGTGACACAAATCTAGAGCTCTTTCAGTGCCCTGAGTCTATGCATTCTTGTCCCGAGGTTAGCAGGCACTCATCAAATCCCGGGCCGCAGGTTGTGAGTTGCCATTTCAACCATTTCAAACATACCACTGCCTTGCGATTTTGTAGCAATCAGAAAGGCTGTTACATTGGCATTATTTGTATGCCAGTTAGACCATGATTCTGTTCATATGAATCTCTTACTTTCCAGGGAGCCATCACTGGTGAGGAAGTGCAAGTTGCTCTCGAATTTAAAGAATCAAGATTCCATTCCGCTTCTCGTAGGGTCATCGAAACCATTCCTACACCGACAGTCAGGAGTATATCAAGAGTTCCTGTGAGTGATTTTGTGACACTAAATATTCGGTCGAATGAATCACATGACTCACAAGTACTAGCCACAGCAGTGAAGCGCCAGTGAGGTCTTGAGTCGATGCTTCAGTGCTTTTCATGCCTCGCATGAACGGTTGAAACGAACCCATGTGGTTCGTAGAAAGCTGTAGTGATCTCACTGGCAGCGCTCTGATGTCGACCGAGCTCCGAGTCAGGGTTCAGACTCAGTGATCAGCGCTAGCCTCCTTCAAATTACTCAACTTGAACTTTTCCCGGTTCGTCGCCAAATGGGGTTAAAGCGTGGTGGGCCCTGTGGCGCTTGGGTGCGCATTTTAGCAGAACGGATGTAATTGAGTCAAGACTGTTGTCCGCTTAACTGTTGCGCCAGGAGGCAGTGACTGAAAGCTTGTGTTTCAGTACTTATTGCGGATTGTATTTATGTAGTAGATCATGGGAACTCTAATAAGCCAGTGTGCTTACAACGGACAATGTGCTATGTTGTTACTATTACCGGATAGTTTCAAACTTCAATGCAAGCATTGCTTTTATTACTTAGTTTGTTTTTTTCGTAGTTGAGCCTATCGAGGTACTTGTAAATTTAGTTGATACCTGATAGTGCGAGCGTAGATGGCCTGATCATCGTGCATTGAGCCTTTCTTGTAATTTTTAAAGGGACAAAGTCAGCTGTACATCGGTTGCAATACTACTGGTGGGCCCAGCCGACATCAATCACTACAGGACCGAGGCCCAGCGCTCAGCGCTCAATTTAAGTGGGTGTGCATAGTTGCTCTGTGATATCCATCTATTACTGCTAGTTCCGTTGGCTTCTATTCGTGATTTGTCAAGATATATTGACTGCCAGCGTGGAGCGGAAAAATTGATAGTGCAATGGTGCTACGAGTTTGCAGGATGTAGTCGTTTAATAATATGCTCTGATCGAGGAAATTCAGTAGGGAGCATCGGGTTCGTCGTACTGAGATCCGATTTGGCAAATTGTTATGTATAGTCATGCATGAAAGCAGACCGTTCAACCTGGCTGCTTCCATAGCTGTTTCGAATGAATCGTGCGGTCTGAAACACATCCTATATTGTCATGTCTCGAAGCGTTTAACACTTCCCAAAGGATAACTTGAAGATAGGACAGACATGTTCAAGGTTTATTCATGCCCCACAAACTCGTACTTTTAGCACAGGAATGTGGAATTGCGTGTATTTAGCTTGGTGATATTGCACTGGAGCACCTGCTGTACGTTGTCAGAGGAACAAGGGGTTATATATTATTGCACGTGTTGATGTTAGTGCAGATATTTCACCTAAAATAAAGAAACCCATGATGAGATAAGATGCCTCCGAGTCGAGATGGCATGTTCGGACACCGCAATGACTTGTGACTAGAATCCCTCTAAATGATGATTCGTAAGCCACACGGTTAAAAATTGAGGGAAATGAACCGACAGCTCGATAGCTAGAGAACTCGCCATTTTCCAGGCAGCCTATGATGGATGGGGCCATCAGTGTTGCCTAGACTGGCAAGAGCTTGTAAGCGACTTCTCGGGCCCTTGGCGCTACGTGTGATGTCGTCGTGAAATTTCTTGAAGACGGACATCCGTCAAACAGTGATTGTTGATCGTAGAAAGGTTTGAACCGCAAGGCAATAATCTCGTGGACCGGGTGCATTGCCATCCCAGCGGTTTCCCATCTGTAGGCCCAGCTGACTTGTTGTCTTTCTGAGCGGTAAAATAACAATTTGCAGTTCAAAAGTGCGATAATACCTCCCAGTGACATCAAGCATAGATGTTCCTAGATCGTGAAAGGTTCATTGATGCTGGCAAGCATCCACGTGTCGTTGAACGAAAACCAAAATTTGCAACAAAGCAAGATACCTGAATAAAATATGTCATTCTACGATGATGAGTGAAGAAAAATCTTCGATACCTTTATCATTACTATTCTTGTGGTGAAGGCAGACCGCTTGCCTGAGGTAACGGCCTTGAGAGCGTTGCATGATGAAATATGATCTGAGCTCCAGGTTCCAGCGTATTCTTCAATGCATGGCACAGTCATGACAAAATCTTCAGTATTCGCCGTTACTGGCAGTCTGGAAGAAGTTGACGCAGAAACCGAAGTCCTCCGTCGTCATGGGTGGAATTTGTAGCAGTTATCCATCGCATTGTGACTTCTGTTCGACGCGTGAGTAGCTATACATGCGAACGAGGAAGTGCTAACTTATGTCGCTACTGTGACGGGGGTCGCAGGACAGGATGGATGCACCTGGTACCGGTAGCGTTCAATCGAGGTTCTGGAATCTGCACTGAATAAATGGTACGGTTGTCATCAAGTGGTCAGGACTGGACTTGTGACATGCCAGCGGGCTCGTCGAACTCTTCCAGTGGTCTACAGTTGCCCCTTTGGGTGCCCAACCCCGAGGAATACTCCCCCACACTGTTCCTTCGTCAATTCAGCCAACAATCATCCAGCATGTTTTGTCAAGTTATCGACCAGGTTTCGCTGAGGCTCATGGAGATAAAAAAGACTTGCGAGTCTGGTTCAATTTGTAACACAAGCTGGTAACATGAACTCCACCTTCCAGTCGTCCCTTACTACATTATTGGTATGGTCTAAATGGCAGATCACTTCATTGAGCACTGAATGCGTGTTTAGGGCTACACAAACATCGGTCAACGTACGATGGAAGGTATGCATCATGTCCAAGATGAGTTCTCCAACGCCTTCGGGGGTACGTTCCGTGAGCTCCGAGGCGCAACATTTAGGACCAAGGGATGAGTGATTCTGAGGCCACCGGTGGACATGCGATATAAGGGAGCAGCGAGCGTCCTGTGGTTGTACATAAAGACAACATTAATGTTAAATGTAGCAAGGCATGATCATGATGAACAGTAAAGTAACATAAGGGTACTCTGGATGTCAAGCTGGAATATTCGACTTGATCTCCTCTAGCAAATCTTGTGCAATCTTCGCGTTTGAAACCTGCGAGAGGGTCACTACAGATGTTGTGAAAACAACACAAATGAAAACAACTGACTCTGAGGTTGTAATGTGTCGTAACCCCATCTTCGATAACGCTCAATCGGATGTATCGTGGATCCTGTGCAATAAAGCATTTCATTCCCGAGAACAGTGTAGCATTCAGTATAACTGTGTAGACTGCCTCTTTGCGCATCACTGATACCCAATGTTAGCGAGACGAGCTCCGAATATGACGTAACTTGCGTACAAAGACGAGCACCTCCACCGTCCGAACGTCGGACATTAAGCTTGAGGAGGCCAGTGCCCCGCTCCTTCCACTGGTTCTGGGGGCATAGGGCATAGAGCTTGGCGCGCACATGGTGTATTGTCTCTTCATCCTCTTCGCCAGTTACAACTGCCACATATTTAGACACCTGCACTTGAATAAATTGAAAACATCGCACCGTCTTGTTCTTGAAGCCTCTCTCTCTCTTTCTCCTCATCAGGTTCGTCCTCTTCGTCATCCCTACCTGCACGCAGTCTCTCACCAAACGTTGAAGGCGGTCTCTCATTCTCCTCATCATCGTCTTCTTCTCCGCTTCCGCTCTCATCTGCGCTTCCATGCCATACTGAATCCAATACATTCAGTCTAGTGCTGCTTGTCCGTTCAAGAGAACTGCGTGACGACCCCCCGTTAGGCGACTCTGCCCTCGCGCGCTTGGGATGGGGCGCAGCAAACAAAGCCTGCACGCCACCACTGGCATATGACGAGAATGCACTGGTCATGCTGAGAGGAGTACGTCTCGGGGGCGACCTGCTCCTTCCGAGTGCACTTTTTCCGCTGGCACGTAATGGTGACTTGGGTCGTGAAGGGAAAGGAGAAACACCTGCTGTTGCAAAAGGAGAAGCGGTGCCTATGAAGGCTTCGAAGCCCGTACGCTTGGTTGCTGTGTTCGCCGGCGTCTGCTGTACCGACCACTGCGAGGAGGCGAAGCCCGCAAACGGGGAAGACGTAGGGGCATTGTTCGTCGGCAGAGGGGAAGGTGATGGCGATGGCGATGGCGAAACAGACAGCTTTTTGGACGTGCTGGAACTAGCTCCTGAAAAGATATTCTGACCTTTGACAGCAGCAAACGGAGATGCAGCGGCAGCATAGGCCATAAACCCTCCCTGATAAGAAATTCGTCAGCAAAGCCTCTTGACTAATAGATAGTGACAAACGAATTTAGGTGCGGATGTCTCTGCTACCGCAGGTTTCTGTTCGGGAGGAGGCGAAGGTCTCTTTGATTCTCGAGGGTTGTCATCCTTGTTGGCGTCATCTCTAGGACGCTTGGCAGGCTCGGCAGAGGGCAAAGGTACCAGATTCTCCGGCCCCTGACTTGTGCCACGGTCGGCGAGTTTTCGCTTCAAACCCTTTTCCGATTCGCCACTATCAGAATCTGAAGGGCGACGGGCTGGTGGAAGACCAAGAGCTGCATCATGCGTCTCGCCTGCGTCAGGCTCAGCGTCTTGACAAGAAGAGACACTAGAAGAAACAGAAGACTGTGTTATTTCAATCTCGCCTGCAGCATCCCCTTGTTGGATCGACTCCACCGCGTCCTCCTTATCTTCAGGAAATACCTCGAAGTCATCAGCACCTCCCTCGGGATCACTTTCTTGGCCAGTGAAGGACGGGGGATCGTCATTAGTGGTGGCGACGTCGTCGTTGACGCTGCGTGACATTGATGGTGGTGGTCTGTGCGTTGTAAAGAGTTTGTCGGGCTGAGGAAAGTATGAACAACACGGTATACCCGGCCAAAACGGGAATTTAAGTATCACCTCGCTTTGCAAGGCCAAGTGTGGATTCACTGTAGAATCCGGACTTTGCCATTTTCCTTTTTGTTCGTATGTCCATGAGGAATCCGGGAACAACCGTTCTCATGGGTCGCGTAATTGACCTTCCATGCCAACTTGCAACGTGCAGTATTGTCATCAAAGGTGAAGTACCGTAGACAATGACGAGACAAAATAAAAACAGTTTAACAAACAGAAAGTCAATAGGGAGGCTCTGCATATAGGTAAACTAAAAGAAGGGCCCAACATCAGCCGTAGCTTGTTTCATGTCCAACGCAGGCGGGCCTGCCCACCAGGCAACGTACAGGTCCAGCCTTCCTCCTTGGCGCCTCTTCTCAACATAAACCCATTCTCAGACACAGCAACAAAATGTCCATCAATAACCAGGACGTCGTTGTCAAGGACTGAGGATGGAGGCGCATCACCAAAGGAGTCAGGTGTCGCGATGAACGAAATGGACATGTTTCCATCCAAGTTCAGGGTTACTTCATCCCTCCGTGGCAAATAGAGCATCTGTCAAAATGTTAGGCGTACATTCATTCAGATGTCCAAAGACCCACTCTTATGATGGAGTCCTGCGGTGGTGCATTCATTGTCCCGAGGGCAATGGTGCCGCGTGAAGGGTCACCTGAAGTTATACGATGTAATCGTTCTACCTTCGTTCGTAACGATGTGCATGTGATCAATTATAAACGGGGACTTCGTACCTTGCCGTCATTCATGACGCCAACATAGAACTCATCGTCCTTGAGCAGGGCGTCACGACCGTCGAGGCCATGTTTGTTCATTGCAGCAAGGAGGAGACGTGTAGGGTTTCCATTATCAACCGTGAGTATGAGATTCCCCTCAGAGCTCAAACCACTAAGCATACGACGGGGTGCAGGATGAAGGAATGGTACCTTGTTATTTGCAAATCCGGAGTCAGATCGACCAAACCAGGAAGTTCGACTGTTAGTGATGTATGACCCAGAGAAGGCTGAAGGGCAATCCCGATTGCTCCATCTGAGTATATCTCGCCATCGTGGAAAAGCGTCACTGGTCGACCTGTGATGAAAGGAGTCGATGACGCCAAAAAACCTAGCTGAAAGGGTAAATGGTGTAAATATCTTGCTCTATCAGATGGTATGATGTACCCACCTCATGTGAATGCGGAAAATTTGCCTTCAGTGCCTTCGCAATGCCTTCCGGGGCTTTGTCCGAGAAATACAATATAGAAGACACGTCTTCAGGTCTGAATCGGATATATAAAGCCAAGATGTCGTGGAAACAGGGCAACCTCAGGCCCACCTCGCCGTTCTCAGCTCCACGGGAATCATCTCCTGAGCAGACATGGCGCTCCTATCCCATATGTCCTCCCAGTTAATTCGGCCCGAATCTCCGTTAAATTCCCCGAAAACGTTCGACTGTGCTGCGGGTAGTTGTCGTGTACTTGAGTGCCTTGCGGCATGCCATCGGCCAACCTGAGGATCAGCGCGACCGGCAATCGTCGATCGGAATGCAATCCCATCTAGCAGAGCAATAGCACACATGATGTGCGAACGGTACGCCGGTAGCGGGGACGATAGGCATCCGATGTGGCGAGGAAAATGTGATTTTAAATGTGATGTTATGACAGACAGAGTATCTGAGGGAGCAGAAAGGGCAAAGAGGAGCGTACCACCTTTCGCTTTGGACTGCAAATGAAAACGATCAAGAGAAGCAAGAAGCGCACTTGGTGTACGAGCCACGACAGTTTGTGCTCTAATCATTGTGAATACGGTGATGTTCGCAACTGCTACTATCCAGAGTTAAAACGTTCGATTTTCCGAACTCGTACTTGTTGAAAACAGCAAACCCGGCAGCGTTATAAGTGGACAGTGACCGGCACGACGCGTTCAAACATTTCACATTGATCACGTGCCACGCAGAGTTGAGATACTAGATATTTCATTTCAGATGTAAGTACTACATATCCTTGATACTATCGCTCAACTAACTATATAGGCCTGCCTTGCATGCTCCATAATATGAAAACGTGAATATCAATATTCAGTTACTTAGCATTTTACGCTCATTCTCCTCATTCTCCTTGCGCCACGACTCTCCCTTGTACACTACTATTATGATTAGTAACTCGGCAGCAGCCAAGATGCAAGCCCATGCCGTGAACAATATGCCATCTCCCCAAGCGTTCTACGGCGAGAGCGAGCTAGCGTCAGGATTTGTGAAATATAGCAGATAGCACGGAAACCTACTTGAAGTGGTACAGCAATTATAGCTGAAACAAAAGCCAGGGTTCCTCGGAACGAGCTATTCGTGGCCACCGCTACGGCCGAGCGACCAGGGTTGGCATCAACGAGGTACGCTAATGTACTTGCGTACATCCATCTGGAAGATGTCAGGATAACCATGACCGCGAATAATTTTTCCACACACATAGATGTAAATCCAACAAGGACGAGCATGACGCAAACGGCGGCCACATTGAGATGCCTGTCACACATCCAGCCATAACCGATGACAGATGGAGGTAGCCACAGCATCGCCAATTTCGAGCTCTCCAATCGCATCTTTGTAAGAAGTCAATTAAGAAAGTTCCCGTACAAGAGTTTCAGAAAGGTTTACTTCTGCGTACCACTGTCCTCCGTTCTCTTCCTTCATCTTCTTGACTACCCGGTCAGACCATCGTCCACCAATTACACTCCCGGCGATACTCCCTTGATAAAAATTAGTCTCCGCTACAATTAAGATGGTGAGGATCTCACCAACGCCAAGGCAAAGCAAGACCATGCCAACGCTTAGCGCATTATAACCATACGCATTGGCGAGAGTGCGTTCGCACGTGTATGATAGACAATAGTTGAAACCAAAGACAAGTCCTAGTGAAGTCTTAGTGACATGTAAAACGGGAAGCCAGCCTTCACCCACCATTAGGAATAAGAATTAAAACGTTGTTCTTTCGCGACAAAATTTGAAAGTATGGCGGAAAAGGGTTGATGTCCTTTATTGATAGCTTAATATCGTCCGGCTCTATTGTATGGATCGCCGATGGAGTCTCCTCTAGAATAACCGGGAGTTGGACCTGCTTCTCAAGGTCCTTGTCATGTGATTGATTCTCGCTGAACTCGGAATCGACGATGGTAGACTCGCTGGGACGCCGAACGGGTTCTCGGGAGGCAAGACGTCGTTGCAGGGCAGCGCAATATGTGAGACTTCGTTCACATCGGTATGTGTCCTTAAACAGGACGAGGAAGGAGAGGAAGATGATTACTCCACAAATCAGTAGGAAGTAGAAACTTGCACGCCAGTTGAAGCCCTGTGACAATGCCCCGCCGATTATAGGGCCGAGCGCGGGTCCTAAAAGGGGTGCAGCATAGAAGACGCCCATCTTGGTCCCACGTTCGTAAGTCTCATAAATATCAGCCATGGTCGCGGCCGAAATAGCCAAGAAAGCGCTTGATCTACAGGACATCAATCCGCGTTCAAGCTTCTTAGATAAGAGCTCACCCTGCTGCTTGAAGTGCTCGCATGCCGATCATCACCTCGATGGTCTTTGAAAGTGCCAGGACAGCACTTCCTACTACAAATAAAGCCGAAGACAGCAGATAGACAACCTACCATATTGGAGATCTGCATTCTTAAGTAGATCAAGAAAAGCGACCAACCTTGCGGCCTGTAATCTCAGCTACGGCACTCCATATCAGTGGAAAGTTGCCTTGTATGAGCATGAACGCCGCTAATGTCCAGCTGATCTGATTACTTGTCGCGTGTAGATCTTCTTGTATCAGAAGGTTTGAAGCTGTGAGATGATGTCAAATCGAAACCATTCAATAGGCAAAGACATGCAACGAACGATTTTGAACGTTACTTGCTAACGCAGACACCATTGAAGCCAGGGATACAATGCACAAAGTTACGGTCTACAGGTGATACAGCGTCAACTTGGCCAGTTGAGAGCATCATGTCTTGAACGCACTTTTCTGGCACGACTCCATTGACGTGGATCGTCGTTAACTGGAACATGTTCTATATCGATTGTATCTTTGGTGTCAGGGGATGGTTTAACATGAGAGTTATGGGGTAGCGATTTGGGTTCGGATACAGAAGTCACTTTTGCAATGGTCGGAGTAGCCATGAGTTGCACATTAAGCAGTGGAAGTTAGTAGCCTCTGACACAAAACGTATCGCTTCTTATAGAGCCAAGGGAGCCACTCACAAGGTCATCTTACGTTCTCCCAAGTATATCGCAATGCTGGTATAACAAGACGGCTACCGAAAAATGCACCGTGTACACACCTTTGCGTCAAGGTAATCTAGCCTGGCTATCCACGGCCGGAAATTGTTACAACAGAACTCCAAGCAAGTCTGGTCCAAGATTTCCAAAGATATTGCCGACTTAGTCCGTCTGCCGTCAAGCGTCGATGGTCACATTTTCAAGCGGCAAGTCGAGTCCAATAGCATAACAGAATCCCTGTTCGAAGACCTCAGCATGGAGCCCACTCACACGAGAGCAGAAGTGACGTTGTCCAGATCGCACATAGGAGCGACATAGCATATAAACAACACCTGCCAAGATGTGGGGGCACAGATACAACGTAATTCTGATGAATTGTCATCTAAATGTATGAGTTTTGTTACCACTCTTAACCTCGCGCATATCTCGCGGTGGTGCGCGAAAATTGCCATACTCTATGACTCCGGTACCTGTCATCAGTCAGGTAAGCGTGCGCACACAACATTTCGGCCGAAGGACAAAGGGGATAGATGACAAAGCGACATGGAGGTGAAGGGAGATTAAGGTATACTGGATGATTGCAACAAAGGAGATCGAGAAAACAACCAGTCACGTACCCTTGGCTTTTTGCTTCTTTTTCTTCCTCGTGTCGAGCTCCTCAGGAGCCGGTGGGAGATCATCCAGCAGGTTCGGCACTGTGGCATAATCAAATACCTCATCCTCACCCGTGTCGCCCTGATCTCCGGTTGGGGGTTTTCCCAAAACTGCAGTCTTGATCCGTTTGCGCTTCTTCTGCCTGGCCTGACCCACGACTACAATGTTATCATCTGAAACAGGGGCGAGACGGGGCTGTCGCTGATCGGTAGGAATGAACGGGATTTCTACTTGTCCAAGGATACCGTCAGGTGCTTCTACTGAAGAGACAGGCATCGCTGGCTGGGTCGAGACAGAGCCTGAGGAGACGCTGGATTGGGAGATTGTCTGAGAATCGGCTTGGATAATCTAAGTAATGAGATGAAGATAAGAAATGTGCAAATGCAGGGATTTGCTCGCCTGTGGTTGGCTAGGTGCAATGACGAGGGTCTGATGTATCCGTGTCACGAGGTCACTAAATTTCTTCCCACTGGTCGATATAATTGGTACTGAGCTCTGAAAGGATGATCGCATCATAAAAGCGTGCAGGCGAGTGGGCTAACTTACTTGAGGCGTCATGCGAGAAGGTAACGCGGCGCCGAATAATGAACTTCGCGAAGCCGAGTATGAACTTCCTTCGTCAGCTGCTACGGTCCGCAGGCCGAAAAGAGAGGAGGAGGATGCACGCTGAACGACCAGGGAAGAAACTTTCACTGACCCCCACAATCTAGATTTTGCAGTTTCTTCAACTACAACAACTTCAGTCGAGGCAGCTGAGTCGACTTCTTCGACATCCGTGGTCACCGCGATGGCCTCAACAGCAACTCCTGAAGACGTCACTCGCTCCACAGTAGACTTGATGACTTCTGCAAGTTCACCTGCTCTTCGTCGTAGAACGGGCGGAACGCTGGCGTGTGAGAAGAGCCCGAGGAGTTGAGCGGCAGTGGAAGGTGACCGCTCGGCCACAATGAAAAGTTGGTGATTTGGGAGAACATATCTGGGCACCAGGTCAGTCAATATATGAGCAGGAGGCCCGCCAATTCTGTGGACCACTGCACCATGGTCCCCCGGATATGGAGGTAATGTTTACCTCGTACTCTCATCCTCCTCCTTTGCTATATCCTCCCTCCACCGATGCACTGCCCTGTATACCTCTCCAGTTACACCACCTTGTACGCCATTGGTCTCACTAGCACTGTTAGCCAATGCACTCTTGTTCCATTTCCGCGCAAGCGTATCCCAGCCACCTGTACCTACGCCAAACTCGGTGTCGTATGTCTCGCGGTCATATAACCTTAGCGCAGTGCGAGCCGAACGTGCCAACACATCATTCAATAGCACGTGCGCCGGCTCGTCGGATATAGTGCCCTTGATTATAGTAGATATTGCGGTCGAAAAAGATGCTTCTGGAACAGTTATCGTCTGTGCACGCTCGATAAGGGAGAGTCGAAGTCGATCATAGATATATAGCAGGAAGTGAGTATCAGAGCATGCATATGTGAGCATCTCCTCTGGCAATGGACTTCGCAGATTGAAAGTTAGCTGTTATATCGTCAAGAGGAAGTGGATCAAGTTGGCGGTGAAGCAAAGTTAACAACGAATACATAAACAGAATATCACAGAAATCCCATCATGTGGAGCTCACACATAACATGGACGTGATTGGTTCCACAGAACCAACGTTTCATCGGTCATCACAATACCTTCAAGACAAAACAAGTGAAGATAGAAGTGAAGTAATAGTGATAATATGACAGGGATAGAACTGGCCGAAATAGTTTTGATCGATTCCAATAAGAACATAGGCATCAAACCTAAGGGCGTCACCCCAGGTACGATCCGCCCCGTGATTTGGAGGGGGAAGAAGAGAAGAGAAGGCAAAGATAATTTTGACATACCGAATGCGCCAATCGGCTAGCTGATACCGCTTATCGGGTATGAAGTCGCAGAATGCCTCTAGCAAATTCGCAAGGCCATGCTTCTGAAAGTCTAGCGCCCTTGAGGCATGATATGTGTCGAACAGTCCAACGACAAAAATATTGAAGTCTTGCTGGAGCCACACAATATCACTCTCTGCGCCGTGGAAGACCTAAAAGCCATAAGAATTAATCGAGCACAAAACTGTCCTCTGCGAATCATACAAGCGCACCTTGACAATCTCTGGATCGGCAAAAATTTCACCGAGTGTGTTGTTTATCGAATCTCGCACACTTGGTACCAGTAAGTCGATTATGAAATCCTCCTCGCGTGTGCTAATCTGCATCAAGCAAAGAAACCCTCTGTATGTACGGTATGAGTGGTGCTCAAGGTCGACAGCGATTTCTTTCGCTGCTTTGAGCTTTGTAGCCATCGACAAGAGAGCAGACGGAGTCGAGACATATATGTGCTTCGAGACGTCAGTACCTGTGAGAGAAGTAGGAAGAATGGTGGTAGGGGTTGGACGGAAGAGATGAGGAGGGAACGTTGAATGAGTGAGCTCATAATAATAGGGGTGCGCCGATCTGCAAGAATTAAGACAGTAGTCGCTGCAAATTCAAAAAGGACGAACAGCTTTTGCTTTTCTTCCTCGTCCATGCCACCACTCTCGTCTTGGTCATGAAATATGTATCCAAGCGGTACACGGGCACACCACTTGTGCTCAAGAGTACGGGCCGGGATATACGGTGACTCATTCCAGTTGTCCACTTTTGTATTGAACAGCAGTTGAGGCTTCGGTAGATGAGAGGCATGCTGTAGCACAGGGTCAAGGCGTCCTCTCGGAGCTGGGGGTTTCTATGCAACAATAAGTACTTATTAATTACGAATCTCAAACAGTATTGGATGTACCTTTGATGAATTGTTGCTGTGATTCGGTAGAGCGGGAACCGTGATAGCAGGCTCTTTCTTACGCCCCAAATAATCATCCAAACACATGTCTGTTCTCTCAAAAAGTCTGTCCACCGGGTCAATAATCAACGATTTGAAACCGTCCAAGACGTCCTCCTCGCCATCCAGTGTGCCACGCCCCACAGTACTGCTATCGACAGAGCCTGCAAGTCGCACAAGCCTGTTGGTAAGCCGGAGGACTCGAGTGGACAGCGAGTCAAGCTCTGCAGCAAATGATACATGTATGGACCGGTGGAATTCTATGTCTGGTGGTAGTGTAGTAGCAGCGAGACGAGTTGTAGCCAGTGCAGCCGATTGCACAGAGGTCGCATAATCAGAGAATGTGCCGGGCACGATCATAGAGGTAGATGGCCCAGCCACGGTGTTCGCGTTTGCCATGTGTTACAGCACCGAAATATTTTGTCAGTTTCACGTAACTGCTGCGCGTCGGAGAAAGATTTGTGTACAATATGGCGGGCCTCAAGGAAAGCACGACTCGAGACGCAGCAAAAAAATTGTCACGTGAGATCAAAATAGACCTGTCAGTACGTTCCATCACACCGCTTTCTCAGTGACTCGAATCGCATATTCTGACATCCCCGAGTCTTGGCGCATAGGATGAACTCCATCTATTCAAATTCGCTCTGACATCAAATAAAGTGGCCAAATAAAATCGAGGACTATACTGGTACTAGCTAGTAAGTCTTAGCGATTTGAGTCGCATATTCATAGCATTCTGTAACTTAGCTTCAGTCCTGCAAGTCATGAACCAGAATTTTGACACGTTTAGTCATTTGCACATTCAAGCCGATTCTGTTGGAGTTACACTGCAAGCAATCACTCTGGCAACTGCCAGTGTGCGTACTAAGACACGCCTTTGATAGCCTGAGCGGCTAAAAGTAAATTAGGAAGATGCCTTCGACCTCCTTCAATTTTTATCTTGATCAGCTTCATCGTCACCTTGTGGGTCTGAAATTTGGTTTGGGAGCACATAACATTGAATGGTGTGTTCAGGGCTACGCTGGCCAGAATCCACCTTTCAGGCATTTTCACTAATTTTAGATTCCTTCGGTATATTAAATATTAACGCGCCAGTCATTGCATGTTTTCCGCCAGGAATTCCTATGAGGCCTCCGGCTCGGGAGTGCCTAAAATATAGTGTCTAGGCATCAAATTATACGCTGACCACACAAAACGTGTATCAGACCGTGCAGCATGTCGACACTGCTACATAACTCAGCAAAATGTGCCACGTGTTGTATGGATCACTGAGTAATACTTTTGCTTAAGGTATGTTGCTGTGACTCATGATCGGTCTTTGATTCTTGCGTTTGTTGCCGGAGCATCGATTCGAACGACGTACTGTATAAATTACTCTTGTTCGAACATGACTTGATCTTTTCAACAATCACCCGACATGAATTCACAATCTCGTACGTTGGAAAAGCTGACAGCAAACCTTAAAAGCTGCCAGATTGATACAAGCGCGACAAATGATTTCTTTGATCAAGGATTTGTTAGCAATCCCGTTGGCCCATACCAGGATTTTCAGGCAACGTGAGTAGCGCTCAACGTTGACTCAATCGATATATTCTGACGCCCTCACCACGCAATCAACAGCATCGACGATGTTACACTAGGTGTTTCGCCTGTAGAATCGGCTTACCCCATAGGCTTGTCTCCATCCAGTGATTTCACGGAGCATCAGTAAGTCCCATCCACTCCAAGGCTTGAGTTAGTACTTGACTATCTCACAGATCATGGGACAGCGGCTTCGTCTCGAGTCACATTGCTCCTCCAACGGTCAACACACAGATGGCATCATTTGTTGAAGCCTATCTTGTCCGTCTTCAGGCGGTACACAGTCAACAGCTGACCGTTAACGAGGCAATCTTGATTCTGAGGCAGTTAGCTAATCCTTTCTTGCATTACAATGCACACTTCGGACACTTGGTATCTCCTATGCCATTTGTCGCTCCTGTTGAAGTTTCTCCCATGTCTTTTGACGTTATGGACATGGGTCCAGAAACTAGCGCTGGTATTTCCATGGAAGCATCTGCTGTGTCTGACGCCGAAAGCGCTTTCGGGTATTATGATATGGATTCTCTTCGTCGTATCTTTATAGATGAAGACCGCTTCAAGGTGGAGTGCTTGTGGCCTAAGTGCGGGAGGATATTGATGAAAGATAATCACCCCCGTCATGTACGGGAGTGTCATCTGCGTACCAGGAGAGGAGTCGTGCGCAATGGCATTCAGCAGCCTACCGGCTGATGCAAGAAGGTTTTCTGAAGGATGTATGTAGAATGTAGCAGCATAAAAGGATGTCGTACGATATCTATGACATAGAGGATCTGGACCAAAAGACTATACTTACAAAATTTATGTAATTTTCTGTGCAAAGTCGATCACGTGATTGAACGCGTGAGCGGGGCTCGAAAACTTGAACCAAGTTCATAACTGCACGGCCACGCGTTTTGCCGCATCCCTTTAACACCCGTAGCCTCTCGCTCTAAAGTATACTTGTCCCCCGGAACATGGCATCAATAGGTGCGGTCACTAAACAAATCGCTGCCCTCGAAATCTCCTCCAAGAAGCACCAGCAATCTTCTCGTCCCGGCCATTCCAAGCAGCCTTCCCAAACAAATGTCGCTAAATTGCTCACAAAATATGCCGCACCCCATCCTCCTACAGCAAAACCCACTCGACCGTCTGCTCTCCGCAACCAAACGAACACAAATGCTCCAGCTCAAACTAGTAAAGCGGTAACTCCTTCAGAATCCCAGCCCCAACTTGACATCGGCAAGTATGATGGTGGCCTCGAGCTAGACAATGAGAAGAGGGGTGAAAAGGTTTTTGGAGAGGCAGCTGAAGCGCTTGCTCTTGATTCCAGTGTCTTAGGGTGAGTGAAGATAATGTTGGTGGCATCTCATCATCAACATCTCCCTCAGAACACGTCCTACTCGAGAGTGGAGTCTCCCCTCATTCGAGATTGGTCGTCCTCTAGGAAAGGGAAAATTCGGGCGCGTGTACATGGTCCGCACTAAATGCGAGCCGCAATACATCCTCGCCCTCAAATGCCTGTACAAATCCGAAATCATCCAGTCTCGTGTTGAGAAACAAATTCGACGTGAAATTGAAATTCAACAAAACCTTCGCCATCCAAACGTACTCCGCTTGTACGGTTACTTCCATGACGAGAAACGCATCTTCCTCATGCTCGAGTTCGCCGGCAAAGGCGAGCTATACAAGCAGCTCTCCAAGCATGGCAGTTTTTCAGAGAAACGGAGCTCGAGGTATATCGACCAGATGACAGATGCTTTGACCTACTTGCATGGCAAGCATGTCATTCATCGAGATATCAAGCCGGAGAATTTGTTGTTGGGAATCAATGGTGAGCTCAAGATAGGCGACTTTGGATGGAGCGTACACGCACCTGGCAATAGACGCATGACGCTATGCGGGACGCTCGATTACCTGCCACCTGAGATGGTCGAGGGAAGGGAACATAACGAGAAGGTAGATTACTGGGCTCTGGGTGTACTAACATATGAGTTCTTGGTTGGGAATCCCCCCTTTGAAGATCGAAACAGCGTTAACGGTAAGCAGCCTGTTACACTTACCCTTTCATTTAGCTGATGCTTGTAATTTAAGCCACTTACCGTCGAATAGCTAAGGTCGACCTTAGAATTCCATCGCTCGTCTCTCCCGATGCAAGAGACCTGATAACACAGGTATGTCCACGCTGTGACTCAGTAACCTATGGACTCTGATCGCCTTGCAGCTACTCAAATATAATCCTGAAGAGCGTATCCCATTAACTGATGTCTCACGACACCCGTGGATATCGAAACATCGGCCCAAAGGGACATCCAGAGGCGGAAGTGGGGTGTAAATATTGTTGATCTTTAGCGTGTTGGTCTGGGCCTTTCGGTACTTGTTTGCCATTGGATACCCTGTTTTGATTTGAACTAATTTATTTGCATGAATATTCGTAACTACTTCCTACGACAGACTAACGACATCGAACTCTAGATAGCGGTGTATAGTTGACCGTGCGCAAATGGATCCGTGCGAAGGACAAGTACGTGCGAGCGGGCTATTGGGTCGTAAAGGATGTTCTTTGCGATTTACAGGCCAGTAGAATGCAGAGCAAAAGCGAAATGAAAATAAACGCCGATACAGTGTAGCTCCGGTGGGGTCTCGAGTCATTGCTAGTGGCAGGTGTAACCAGACGAGCATTGTGTGATGAAGTTGATTCTGCCATTGGGGGGTGCCATTCTACCAAAAAAAGCGAAACCAATCACAGGAAGGCTTTCAGAAGCGTTGGGGTTATTGCGTTCGGCTACACCATTAGACCCGGATTTGGCGGCGTCGTGATCATGTTTGTGAAAAAGAATACTGTTATTAGTGATCGGGTCTTTTGTGGTTTCCTATGTGCTGAGAGACATAGTAATGCATGTCGTACCAGATGGGTATAGTTCAAGACATCGACGAGATGGCGGGCGCGATCTAGGAGCAGAGTTGGTTGGCTGGAGAGAGGCAGCCTTACACTCTGTTGATTAATTTACATGTCAAGGGGGTGGCACAATTTTTTAGCATATCATATTAACGGAGCGCAGTGAACATAGGGGTCAGGATAGCAGAGTGAAGGAGTGTTGCACAAGGTCATGGTGAGACACATGGATGGTGTGCTGTGCGCGAACGAACATGTGGATCACAACGCATGTAGAACGTAGCAGCTCGAACAAAGCTACTTTCCAGTCACTCAACTCCGAATTGACAAACGATTCTTGTCAATGTCAACACGTCGAGATCTGCTAATAATCATGTCGCCGTGGGGGTTGGTTTTGGTCTTTGTTAGATGAAAGACGTCTCCATCCGTGGTTGGAAGACATAAAACACCAGCAATAACGCCACGCCGCATGGGTCGAGGACGCCATACATCTGCCAGGGGGAGAGCGGATGATAACTTGTTCAAGGGACTGCTCGCTGCGGGTATGGAACTTGAAGAGTGGAAAACAGATAGGAGAAGACTGGCGGGACGGAGAAAGTGAAGTGAGAGCCATAGCGTTGTCTCCGGACGGGAAGAAAGTGATTAGCAGGAGTGAGGACGGTGGAGTGAGCTTGTAGGACATGGACACAGGCAAAGTCATGGCGAAATGGTTGAGGCATACAGGGGGGGTGACATCTGTCTGCTGAAGTCGAGATGGTCGACGAGTTTTGAGCGGATCCTTGGATGGGACTGCAAGACAATGGGACGTGGAGAACGGAGAGACCATCCTCGCACCAATCAAGACAGTGCATGAATGCGTGTGGGCAGTCGTCTACTCACAGGACATGACGATGTTTGCGAGTGGTGGATACAAACTGCCTTAGAATAGCGGAGATAACAAGTCCCTAATCAAAATCTGGGATGCGAAGACAGGCGAGCTTGTCGCTATTCTCAAAGGACACACAGATTGGGTGTTGTGCCTGGCTCGGACGGGTCAATGGATCACTCGATCAGGATATGGGATACAACAACTTGGAAACAGATTGCAGCGCTGGATGGGCACACCAATGATGTCAATTCCATTGCAATATCTCTGAATGACCGCATCCGCGGACAACACAGCGCGATTATGGAACCTCGACAGCAACCAGCCCATCAGTTCGCCCCTCCAACATGCAAATACACAAATGTACACTTCCCCAACCTGATGACAAGTCAGCGAATGCGTCTACTGGGTCGACAGAAACACTTGCCTACAAGCCGCCAATGCTTCTCGATACGTCTCGAAAGCGCGACCTTCTCTCCAACCTCAGAAGTCGGAGCAAGGTCGTGGCGGGACGCATAGAGGGTCAGTCCATTGTAAAGTGAAGATTGTTATTGATTGATGATCTTTGGCATTCCTCGTGATCATTGGGCCGCCCTGGGCGCTTCAGCTGCACAGCCTATGCTAGAAGCTGTGAAGTGAACACGAGGATGACACATGTAAAACGTACTAGCCCAAACTTCCAGTGCACTCTTGACCTAAACACTCGTTGTGTCTCGGTGTCAAGACCTGATGTAAGTGATCATTGTGGACTTTGTGTATGAAAGCTGAAACGAGCTGTACGCGGTAGTTGATTATGACTTCACCCAGCGCTGTTAGTGTGGCACAGGAGACATCAATGATAATGCCCCGCCAGAAATTTGAGGGACACACCGGTTGGGTCTACGATGCAATACATCTACCAGGTGGACAGCGGATAATGACTTGCTCAGTGGACGGCTCGCTGCGGGTATGGAACTTGAAGAGTGGAAAACCAATGGGAGACAATTGGAGGGATGGAGAAGGTCGAGTGTGGAGAATAGCGTTGTCTCCGGACGGGAAGAAAGTGGTCAATGGGAGTGAGGACGGTGTAGTAAGGTTGTGGGACATCGACACAGGCAAAGTCATCGCGAGATGGATGGGACATACAGACGGAGTGAAGACTGCGTGCTGGAGTCGAGATGGTCGGCGAGTCTTGAGCGGATCAAACGATGGGACTGCAAGACAATGGGACGTAGAGAACGGAGAGACAATCCTCACTCCAATCAAGACAGGGCACAATGCCGTGTGGGCAGTCGTCTACTCGCCAGACATGACCATCTTTGCGACTGCTGGAATCCCAGAGTTTTGGAATAAGCACAGTAAGCACCCAGTCAAAATATGGGATGCGAAGACAGGCGAGCTTGTTACTACTCTCGAAGGACACACATTTCCGGTGTGGTGCCTGGCCTGGACCCCAGATGGAGAAAGGCTTATATCCGGGTCATGGGATCACTCGATTAGGATATGGAGTACTACAACTTGGAAACAGATCGCACTGTTGGGCGAGTCTGGGATTGTTACGTCCATTGCAATATCTCCGAATGGCCGCATCCTCGCAAGCGCATCGGATGACGGGTCAAAAGCGCAATTATGGAGCCTCGACAACAACCAACCCATCAATTCGCCCCTCCACCATGCAGGTGGAGTGTGTTCTGTATCGTTTTCAGTAGATGGAAAGCTACTAGCCACCGGCTGCCAGGACAAAAATGCGTACACATGGGACGTTTCTGCGATAGTAAATGAAGCTGGCCTCGACGAACTTCTGTTGGACCAGCGCGACAGGTCGATCCTCGCTGTACGTGACACTTTCATGACAGATCTAATTAATCATTTAAACATATGTAGGCTGATGCTACACAACATCCAGTCCGTCAGCCAATCAAGGTCTCCAATCGGGTACCCCAGGGGTTCTTCGATGGCACACCACATCGTGCTCACGTACGTCGCTCATGCCTCGTCTACATTGTACGGTTTTTTCTGATCTCGATTTTCAGTCTTCTGCGCGACTCGATCCCCACAATACGCCATCCCGACGCAGCATTTTTTACTGGGCTCGAAATATTTTCTCTGCCGGACCCAGTAGAGCAGAGATCGAGTTGCACGAGCGTGGCTCAGCGGTCGCCGACGTTCCGTATGCCAAGGGCAAACGCGTATGTCATTTTCGTCCTTCTCCAACATTCGAACCCCATCTAATATCACATAGAGGAACGCATCGGCACGAGAAAAAAGGATGATAATCATTCCTTTGAAATCCAAGAATACTGCTGCAAGCACCTCATGTCCCTCAAATAGCAATGCCACGCAATCCAGTGGTGCGGCTCAGGCTCAGTCTTCTTCGCAACTACATGCTACCGCCTCCACCTCCGCCGCACATCCCGTTGTTGCTAATACAACTTCGAGCACTAATCCTCATGCAACGATAAAACATGTTGGACGATGGACTCGTTTTTGGCTTTTTATATGTTGTGCCTCTCCTGAGTATACCGATGGTCATCATTAAGACTCTACCCGGTTTGTTTTCTCGTCCTTTACAAAAACCTCCATCATGCTATGATGTTCATCTCATCCCTCGAATACATGTAACGAATTCATAAAGTCGTCTATTACACACTTTGCATACCACGGTTCATTCTATTTTTTGTCGTTGTCAACAAGTAAGGCTTGGCTGGTTAGGAAAGGTGATCATCCCGAATCTTTCCAACGAACATGCGTACTAAGTGAAAGGAGAACACTTGAATTTGTGTGCTGCAGAAATGATACAAATGTAGATTCAATGTAGATTGGCTCCAGTCACAAGGATGTGGGTGGCAAATCAGTCTAACTCCAAGGTCCGTTCTACGTTGTACACTCACCAACCTGATGTGAACCCAGTGAATGAATACACTGAGTGGGCAGAAACACTTGCCTACAAGCCGCCAATGCTTCTCAATACGTCTCGAAAGGGCGACCTTCTCTCCAATTTCAATACACGTGGGTGTAAAATCAACTGAATCTTCGCGAGATACTCGATACTCACCCACCAGTTGAGGATAAGTAGGAGCTCATTCTTGGGACTTTTGTTTTTCTGTTATCCTCTGCCATCAGGAAAACGATCCGCAGAGAAATTTCACTAAATCATGATTTTTTTCAATAAATCTCTAGTATTATCTCTAATTATCGGCATTAGGAAGATTAGAAAGATTATGTAGTCTAGGCAGACTTTTTTACCTCCTTCTCCATCATGTATAATTATCAAAAATTAGATGATATTTCACGCAAAAACGTTGTGAATTCCATTGAACTCTGGTTCGCAAATCTCACAATTCGGACAATGTTACAAGAAAAAAGACTAATGTTTGATTAAACGATGCATATCAAAATCACCACGACCGGGGTATGCGAAAAGGAGAGAATGAGTGAACAACGAATCTGCGATATCTACGGGTATGGAGAGTGAACGAGTGAACAACGAATCTGTGATATTTATGGGTATAGTCAGCACCATATGGCCTACTAATCCTCAGCCATGCCATCAAGGTCGAGTAGCGCGAGTGCATCTTGATGCTCACTAGCCAGATGGTCGTTACCCTTCCGTCTCAAGGCCCTTCCAGTAGTGTCAGTATCCGAGTTGAAACAACACCATGCATACCAGCGAAACTTACTGTACACCTTCATAAATGTCAGCCATCATGCAGTGAAACTTCGCAGGAGCGTCCTTCTTCAACTTCTCGAGGAACTTGACATGAAAAAAATAAGTTTCACTGAATTGATTACCTGTAAAGTTGAACTTCCCCAGCGAACCAAGCGTCTTCCAGAAAAGGGCCGCATAGATCTTGAAAACCAGTCAGTCCAGCATGAAGACCTAGCAAGAAGGACATTACAGCTGTTGCCACGAGTGCCAACAAAGGAATTGGTATTTCAGGGCAATCACCCTTGTTACTCGCTATTTCACCAAAGCGCCCTGCATACTTGAGGCCAATAGACTTCGCTGCCGGTGAAGACTCCGTTGTGTATTAGAAAAAGTAGTAGGTCACCCTGGTAGGGTTTTTTCCCTATGGGCGAAGCATCATCATTGGACTGTGGAAGAGGTATGTCAGTTAGACTGAGGTGAAGGAGGAGCGGAGATATGTAGAAGGGAATATGATAAAGAAACCTGTTGGTTAGACCAAGGCAAAGGAGGAGCGGTGATATGTAGAAGGGAATATGATAAGAAAACCTGTTAGTTAGAGTGAGGCCGAAGGAGGAGTGGAGATATGTAGAAGGGAATATGATAAAGAAACCCGCTCCTCAGTACAAGATGAAGGAGGAGCGGTGATATGTAGAAGGGAATATGATAAGAAAACCTGTTAGTTAGAGCGAGGCGAAGGAGGAGCGAAGATATGTAGAAGGGAATATGATACAGAAACCTGTTGGTTAGACCGAGGCGAAGGAGGAGCGGTGGATATGTAGAAGGGAATATGATAAAGAAATCTGTTAGTTAAACTGAGGCGAAGGAGGAGTGGAGATATGTAGAAGGGAATATGATAAAGAAACCCGCTCCTCAGTACAAGACGAAGGAGGAGTGGGGATATGTAGAAGGGAATATGATAAAGAAACCCGCTCCTCAGTACAAGATGAAGGAGGAGCGGTGATATGTAGAAGGGAATATGATAAAGAAACCTGCTCCTCACTATGAGATGAAGGAGGAACGATGTCTAACAGACAAGAAAGGAACTTACATTGAACCTCAAGGCATAAACATATGCATGCTGCTCCATGAGTTTTTTTGCCTTGACTATGTTCTGGCCAAGACGAAAGTAGCCATCAATATTGGCACATGCAGCCATTTTCAAGTCACGGCGCAATAATGGAATGTGTGGCTCAACCTTGAGTAATGAAAGATAGTTAAAACAAACGAATGAGACATGCAAAGGACTTACTAGGCTACTGAGGTGGGCAGCATACTGCGTGTCTGTCTGAAGACACTGTTTGATGGCTTGTATACCAAGATTCTCAGCCACAGTTAGTAAAGATTGCAGCGAGATCTGGTTTTTGTCAACAAGTTCAGGGTAAGCGTTGACAAAGATAATGTGACACTTGGCGTCCAGAATTGCATTCCGGACAACTCACCAAGTCTCGTGGTTCTGATCAAGTAATTTGATGTTGCCCTTTTCCGTTCGAATGAGAGAAGTGATGGTCTTAGCTGAACGAGTTGCAGAGGTGAGTTTTTTGGGACTTTCTAATTCACTGGAGTAGGGTTCTGAGGACTCGCCACATGCAGTAGTAGTTTCCTTGGATCCTGAAACAGCATTGTCGACATTGCGCCAGGTAGGAATCTAGTAGATTGTGTCAAGTCTAGACAGTAGTACATTTGAAATATGGACAGACTCACCTCCGCGGCATGTTTTTGGATCCCGGGCAGACTGGGATTTCCCATGTGATTGATCAAGCCGCTTGGACTTGACCTTGTGGGTGACTAGCGAAGGGACCTTCAACAACAAAAATGTCTTGAGTCACTGCAGCTTACTAAAGTAAACTAGTATCACTTACCTCATCAGAAAGCATCATGGCAGTGGTCTCTGGTTCCTCACCCTCACTCTCCTCATTGGCAGCATCTGAATCACCACCATTTGCCACTGACAGGACCGTCGTCCACTTGATCACTGTCAGAGTTGAGCTCATCGCTATCAATCAATACAGAGACATCTTGCATGGCATATGTGTGATGGAGTTTGTTAGGTCAATACAAGCCTGTGCACCTATGCCATGAGTAAGACTTCCTTTATGTTCTCTAGTTTATGTCATATACCATATTCCCAGGTACAGATCTGAAGATCCTGGATCTCAGATCCGATCCAGATCCGATGGATATATCCGTCGTCCGGTCCACAGATCCGATCTGATTCTTATTTCATGTCCTGTTCATATAACTCTAACTATCGTTCATCTCCTTTTGGTATTCCTGTACACCGGTATACCGGTTATCCTTTACTTCCGTTATGCTTACTGATCCACTACACTTACTGATCCGCTTTAACTTATACTTCATTCCCAGTTATGATTTGTGATCCATCCGACTTACCAATACACTGTGCACATACTTTGCTTATACTTCGTACATAGCCTCGCGCCTTTGCTTATTGATCATTCCGTTAGTTATCCGTAGTATATAAACCCTTGTACATGCGCTGTAGTAGATCAGTTCGAATATCATCTTAGATTGCACTCATTCTGTCTGGACTCTAAGTCCCTCCGTTATCCGTCCAGACTTGAGTACGATACTCTTGTCTACTCCGAGACTTAGGATTGATTCCTATAGTCTATATATCCACCTCTGTCTTCGGACAGTCCTCACCCGTTAGTTTCTAGTTCAGATCCGATCCGGATTAGCCGTTACTCTATATGTTCGATATCTGGAAGTCTTAATGGATCCGTTATGATACTTATCCGTCTCACTAGACGCGATACTCTAGCACTCTGAAATAAGGGGCAAGACTCAGGAAAGGGGCACAGCGCACGAGCTGAGGCCAAAGCCCTTCAGACCCAATACTACTTGAGTACGGTCTTAACAGTTTATAACTAACCTTGAGGCTTTGGTTGGACAGGTTCCAAGTCTGACTCGCTGCCACTAAGCTCAGAACCACCTCCATCATCAACCGCCTCCTCCTCCGAGTTGGTCGCAAATGAGCACTGACACTCTATCATTAAAGTTAGTCCTAATTTCTATGTTTTGTGCTATAGACAATGTACTCAGTTTTAAAGGTATGATCTTGTCACTGCGAGTGGTCGCATCTTGCAGTGCAACCGCTTTTGTGCGTGGCACGACCTCTGATCCAGTCAAAGGTGAGTATTTGGTGCGTGTAGGAGTTAAAATTTTTCACTCTTGGTGCTGATCTTTTTCGCTTTGTGTTGCAGAGCAGGGGGTGCTTGATGAACTTTCTTTGGCTTAGGCAACCAAACTGAACTCGCTCACAGGTAAAATTTTCTCATTCAAAGTGAAGACGCTTGCTTACTAGCATTTTCCATAGCTTTTTTCTTCGCATTTCGCGGCTCGCGAGAATCAACAGGTGCGGGCATGGTATACTCAATTGAAAGGACAGGAAGCTAATAACGAATGTTGGAAGGAATGTTGACACGAAAGAGTGGGGAGGGAAATGGAAAGTTTGAGGGTGCTACTAGTACTGATTTTTTAGTGCTAGTGCTTTGCATTCCAGGGGGCATCAGAGGCAGTTCAGCTTAACTGGCCCCGACTTTAACTTTGGTAAGTATTCCCAGTGAATTCAATTTGACATTTACCTCAGACTCACCCTAGTTTTCGCTTTTCATCACTCTCCCCAACCAAAACTTGTTCAGGAGGAAGTTTGTGCTCGCCTCCTTTTTCACTAGCCCGATCCACCTGCCCACCACACCATGAGAATTCGGGAGGGAGCTTTCGCCTCTCGCTTCCCTCAGTCTACCCCTACTCTACGAGAATTCCAGAGGGAGCTTTCACTTCTCGCTTCCCTCAGTCTACCCCTACCCTACGAGAATTCTGGAGGGAGCTTTCGCTTTTCACAAGTATTTGGGAGGAAGTTATGTCCACACAATGCCCTGCTTGTTCCCACGATAATTTGACAGTTACTGGTCTCAGTCAGCATCTTGCAAAGAGCCACAACCCACTTTGTCAAGTACTGTACTGTCAGTCACGCTCCAAAATCCATGCCGATGAACCTTCCAATGACCTCGCCAACGACCCTTACTATGAGCCTGATACTGATGGAGGATATGGTGAGGATGAGTCGGAGTTCGTGTAGCCTGGTGACTCGGAGTTAGTTGATGCAGATGATGATGCGTCAGATGATGGGTTGAATGTCGAACCTGAATGGGAGCTTCTGGTGGAAGCAGTTGAAGAAGACGACAACCATAGTAGCATGGATGACCCTGGTCAAGACTTGGCCAAAGAACAATACAATAATCACCAGGATATTCAAGCACAGTGCGCAAGGCCAGCATGGTTGCACGGTCATGCCCTACCCAGATCCACATGCTGGCCAAGAAATAACCGATTGAGCCAACTGTTATGCTGCCAATGTGGAATACGGCGCTCGAATTGCCAATGCGAAGGAGGAGAATTTGTATCATCCTTTCAGTTCTAAGATGGATTGGGAGGTCATGAGGTGGGCGAAACTTCGTGGACTCAGTTCGACAGCTTTTTCAGACTTGCTTGCAATCGAGGGGGTAAGGTTATCATTTGTTTTATCAAGCCTTCATTAACCATCAGTATCATAGGTCAGTGAGCGTTTGTCACTCTCCTTCAAGAATGCGAACGAGCTGAATGCAATTGTCGACCATGAACTTCCAACTAGCTGCCCAAAGTTCAAACGAGAGCAGATCATTGTTGCCAGTGAAGCTTTCGATGTGTATTATTGCGATGTGATCAATTGTGTCAGGTCATTGTACGGTGATCCTGACTTTGCAAGATATCTTGCATTTGTGCCCAAGCGGCATTATGCTGACAAGGATGAGACAGTTCGTCTCTTTCATGATATGCATACAGGAAAATGGTGGTGGGATACACAGGTACGTAGGACTGATTATGTCTACAAGATATGATACTTACAATACTTTAGAAAAAACTCAATCGCCACAGTCCAGGTGGCACCATCATTCCCATCATTATCTCATCCGACAAAACGCAAGTGACCTTGTTCCACAACAAGTCCGTCTATCCGTCTATCTTACCATTGGCAACATCCCTAAAGAAATACGACGCAAGCCATCACGCGGTGCCCATATACTTTTGGCATATTTGCCGTGTACACGACTCAAACACATCACAAACAAAGCTTCGCAGCACCGAACTATGGCAAACCTATACCATGCTTGTCTGAGCCGTGTTCTCACTCCGCTGAAGTCAGTTGGACTTGATAGACTTCGTATGGCTAGTGGGGATGGCACTCTCCGTCGATGTCATCCATTATTCGCTAGTTTTGTCGGTGACTACCCAGAACAGCTCCTTGCTACTGGAATCAAGTTTGGAGAGTGTCCTAAATGCGACATCGATGCTGATGAAACGGGTAGCAATACAGCACCGTTTCATTTACAGAAACTGAATGAAATACTAGATGCCCTTGCTGCTCTCAATGAAGGCAATTTATCCTTCGTTCACGCTTGCTCGTTAGCAGGCATCAAGCCCATCGTCCATCCTTTCTGGGAAGATCTCCCGTTCACCAACATTTTCCATGTGATCACACCAGATGTCTTACACCAGTTGTATCAAGGCTTGATCAAGCATCTCTTAGGATGGTTGTCGGCTGCTTGTGGGGCTGCTGAAATCAATGCTCATTGTCGCCGTCTTCCTCCCAACCATCATATCCATCTGTTCAGGAAGGGCATCACTAGCTTGTCGCGTATAAGTGGGGCTGAACATGCCCAAATCTCTCGCTTTCTCCTCGGTATCGTTATTGGTATCCAATTGCCTAATAATCTAAACGAAAGTCGACTTCTACGAGCAGTACAGGGTCTACTTGATTTCCTCTATCTCGCACAATATCCTTGTCATAGCTCAGAGACCCTGCAGCTGCTGGACGACGCACTCGATCTTTTTCACGACAATAAGGACATTTTAATTGAGCTGGGCATCCAAAACACTTTCAATCTACCAAAACTACACGCGACACGCCACTACTCTCTCATGATTATGATGTTGGGTACCATGGATAATTATAATACAGAGTATACTGAACGACTTCATATTGATTATGCAAAGGACGCTTACCACACTACAAATCACAAAGATGAATTTGTGCAGATGACACGCTGGCTCGAACGAAAGGAGAAGATTCTGCGCTATGATAAGTACATCAACTGGCGACTTGCTGGCAGTCACGAGTCCGAGCCCTACCATTCACGTCCACCCGATATGACTGTCCGTCGGCTTCAAACGATGACAAAGAACCCTAGTGCAAAGGCCGTCAGTATGGACCAGCCGATTGAAGACTACAGCGCTACTTATTTCCGTGAAGCACTTGCATGCTTTATCACACAACTCAACCGCACCAATGATCCCTGCCTCTCTAGCCAAACACTGGATGCGTTGGCACACAACGTCCATTTCCCATTCCGAACTCTCCCAGTTTTCCATAGGATCAAGTGGCTCTCAGTGGATAGTCGTGGTCATGGCGACACAATAGTCACATTGGACTCTGTACATGCCAGACCACGGCAGTCCTCATCGGCTCGTCGTTCAGACACAGCTCTTGTGAGCCTTGGTCCAAGTACTGATATTGTTAGCAGAGGTGTAGAAGGTATGTTTCACCACCACTATTTATTATGTTACGTGTCACTCACCGTCGACTGAGTCTAGGTTTCCGCGTCGGCTAAGTGCGAGTCATCTTTGCGTTACCTTCGAAATCACTTCCACTCCTTTTTTTCGCCAACTGTCCAGGTACCCAAGCACTTAGCTTACATTGAATGGTTTACGCCATTCCCTTCGGCTCCTGATCGACACAGTGGGCTTTACAAGCTCTTGCGGTCGTTCCGTGGTGGTGAAAAACTGGCAAGTATTGTGCCATTGGCAAACATTCTGCGTAGTGTCCATCTTATACCGAATTTTGGTGCCGTCGTCCCACGAGAATGGACGAGTGATACGGTTCTGGATGATTGTAACATTTTTTGGTTGAACTCGTACTTAGATAGATACACTTTTTGTTTATTCAAATAATTCTAGAGATTTTGTGATATTTGCATCGTACATTATCGTCTCCTAGCGTTTTTATTCCTAATTCTTGTAATTAGATGGATTTATCTGAATAACGACTTTTCTTGAAATTTATCACATTTTTTCCTCAGGAGGGTTTTCCTGATGGCACGAAGCAAACGGCGGAGGAGGAACAAACTGATTTCGAGCTTTGAGTACACGCTCTCAGGGATCTTTAGAACAACCCAGGGTGTCGAGAACGAGGGTGCTTACCGGTATAGACCTTTGGAAGATTCCCGACGGCACCCAGCACTTGACCAACAAGACGATCCGCTAGTAGTATAACGCAGGACGACTGAACCTCCTGGAACGGCAAACTGCAAGTGATTTCTCTCAGCATGCAGTGAGATGACCCTGCTGAAGATGGGCATGCATCCGAGCAACGTCAATCACAAAGTTGAATACGCCTGAATCCAAAGGAAAAACATTCATTCTGATGAATATTGGCAACGTCTACATGGCCGGGCACGAGCGCTGACAAGATGTAATCCAAAAAAAGCACCTTCAGCAGCTGGCATCCCATTGTACGGTATTCACTTTCATTTAAATGATCTTCGGATAAGTCGGATCCTTCGCCTTCGAATTGCAATTATTGCGAGGGATTTGGGAGTATCGGGATCAAGGACCTTATGTCGCAGCGTCGTTGAAGTACAACAGGAAGGTTGTTTCCAATTAAGGGCGTACTAGTACGGTGTGTCGTTCTCAAGATCGACGATGCAGTGAAATGAAGACGCGGGGTCCATCATAGACATAAGACGCCAGTGAGGATAGAGCCGCCAGCAATGCCACCTCTGAGGTCATCGAAGTCGGCATCAGGTTTATATGGGGCGGCACTAGCTGAAGTAACAGCCATCCCACGTCCCCTTGTACCACAAGTCATTGCGCCCCTCCCCCTAGTACCACGCGTAGGTTGCACCTGGGTAGCTATTGGTGGATCAGCGAGTCTTTGAAATTGGATATTGAGCCGCTCTGAACGTCGTGCTCGAGGGCGTATAGCAGGCATTCTGCCGACGTTCTGTAGAGTTCTGAGAGAATTTGATAGAATTATCTGTGTTTCAGAACCTTGATGGTTTCTTTGAATACCATTATTAATATATATATATATAATTGCGGGACAGAGAAAGTGAAGTGAGAGCCATAGCGTTGTCTCCGGACGGGAAGAAAGTGGTTAGAGGGAGTGAGGATGGTGGAGTGAGGTTGTGGGACATCGACACAGGCAAAGTCATCGCGAAATGGTTGGGGCATAGAGGAGGAGTGACATCTATCTGCTGGAGTCGAGATGGTAGACGAGTTTTGAGCGGATCCTTGGATGGGACTGCAAGACAATGGGACTTGGAGAACGGAGAGACCATCCTCGCACCAATTAAGACAGTGCATGAATGCGTGTGGGCAGTCGTCTACTCGTAGCATATGACAATGTTTGCGAGTGGTGGATACAAACTGCCTTGGAATAGCGGAGATAACAAGTCCCTAATCAAAATCTGGGATGCTAAGACAGGCGAGCTTGTCGCTACTCTCAAAGGACACACAGATTGGGTGTTGTGCCTGGCTTGGACCCCAGATGGAGAAAGGCTTATCTCCGGGTCATTCGATCACTCGATCAGGATATGGGATACATCAACTTGGAAGCAGATCGCATTGTTGGAATATGAGGACACCGCCGTCAATCGCATTGCAATATCTCCGAATGGTCGCATCCTCGCAAGCGCATCGTGGGACAACACAACGCGATTATGGAACCTCGACAACAACCAGCCCATCAGTTCGTCCCTCCAACATGCATATGTCGTGCGTTCTGTGTCGTTTTCAGCAGATGGAACCCTACTAGCCACTGGCTGTGATGACGACAATGCGTATACATGGGACGTTTCTATGATACTAAAGGAAGCTGGCCTCGACGAACTTCTGTTGGACCAGCACGACAACTCACTACTCGCTGTATGTGACGCTTTTATCACAGATCTCATTCCATTCAAACATTTTCTAGGCTGATGCTACACGACGTCCAGTCCGTCAGCCAATCAAGGTCTCCAATCGGATATCCCAAGGGTTCTTCGATGGCACACCACATCGCGCTCACGTACGTCGTTCATGCCTACATTGTACTGCTTTTCCTGACTTCGTTCTCAGTCTTCTGGGCGTCTCAATCCCAGCGATACGTCATCCCGACCCAGTATTTTTGACTGGGCTCGAAATCTTTTCTCCGCCGGACCCAGTAGTGCAGAGATCGAGTTGCACGAGCGTGGCTCAGCGGTCGCCGACGTTCCGTATGCCAAGGGTAAACGCGTATGTCATTTTCGTCCTTCTCCAACAATAGAACCGCATCTAATATCACATAGAGGAACGCATCGGCACGAGAAAAAAGGATGATAATCATTCCTTTGAAATCCAAGAATACTGCTGCAAGCACCTCACGCGCCCCAAATAGCAATGCCACGCAATCCAGTGGTGCGGCTCAGGCTCAGTCTTCTTCGCAACTACATGCTACCGCCTCCGCCTCCACCGCACATCCCGTTGTTGCTAATACAACTTCGAGCACTAATCCTCATGCAACGATAAAACATGCTGGACGATGGACTCGCTTTTGGCTCTTTTTATGTTGTGCCTCTCCTGAATATACCGATGGTCATCATTAAGATTCTACCCTGTTTGTTTTCTCGTCCTTTACAAAAATCTCCATTATCATCTGATATGCTATGATGTTCATCTCATCCATCGAATACATGCAAAGAATTCATAGTCATCTATCGCACACTTTGTATACCACGGTTCATTCTATCTTTTGTCGTTGCCAACAAGTAAGGCTTCGCTGGTTAGGAAAGGTGGTCTTTCCAATGAACTTGCGTACTGGTGAAATGAGAATACCTGAATTTGTGTGCTGCAGAAATGATACAGATGTAGATTCAACGTAGATTGGCTCCGGTCACAAGGATGTGGATGGCGAATCAGTCTAACTCCAAGATCCGTTCTACGTTTACACTCGACCAATCTGATATGAACCCAGCAAATGAATACATTGAGTGGGCAGAAACACTTGCCTATAAGCCGCCAGTGTTTCTCAATATGCCTTGAAAGCGCGACGCTCTCTCCAACCTCAATAATACACGTGGGTGTGAAATTAACATCTTCGCAAGATTATTTTTCGCACTCGATACTCGCCCACCAGCTGAGGATAAGCAGCAGCTCATTCTTGAGACTGTTGTTTGTTTCTTAGCCTCTGTACGAAGCAAACGGCGGAGGAGGAACAAAATGATTTCGAGCTCTAAGACATGCGCTCTTAGGTGTCTTAAGAACAACCCAAGGTGTCGAGAACGAGGGTGCTTACCGGTATAGACCTTTGGAAGATTCCCGACGGCACCCAGCATTTGACCAACAAGACGATCCGCTCGTAGTGATTTCTCTCAGCATGCAGTGAGATGACCCTGCTGAAGATGAGCATGCAGCAGAGCAACGTCAATCACAAAGTTGAATACACCTGGATCCAAAGGGAAAACATTGAATCTGATGAACATTGGCAACGTCTACATGGCCGGGCACGAGCGCTGACAAGATGTAATCTAAAAATAACACTTTCAGCAGCTGCATCTTCCGACTGGGGGTGTCGTTATCTCCACTAATGATAGACCTATCTGCAAGACATCGGCCCCCTAGCGATCCAGGCCGTTTCAAGAAGCCACGAGGCCTTCATTGCAATCCACGTACAAAGCTATAAAAAGTTCCGGTGGTTTCCCGTGCAGTGTGAACACGGTAACTAATGTATGTCTTACACACCAGATGTGTATCGAGCATCGGCCACCCGGAGATGACGGGCGCGTCCGAGAAGTAGTTGGCTGGAGAGGCAGATGTACGTTCTGAGGCTCAAGTTAGCATATGATATCGTGATTGGCCAGGCATTAAAAATGAGAATCGAGATTGTGACTGATGGAAAGCGATTCATGAGCATAAATGAAGCTTGGGCGCTTCAGTTGCACAGCATATGCTAGAAGCTGTGAAGTGATAACACATGTAAACGTAGCAGCTTAAACTTCCAGTGCACTCTTGATCTATACGCCCATTGTGTCTTAGCGTCAAGACCTGCTAATCGTTGTAAGTGATCATTGTGGATTTTGTACATGGAAGCTGAAACAGAGCTGCATCCTGTAGTTGAGTATGTCGTCCCCGGTGCAGGAGATAACGCCATGTCAGAAATTTGAAGGACACACTGATTCGGTCTACGGCGCCATACATCTACCAGGCGGACAGCGGACAATGACTTGCTCAGTGGACGGCTCGCTGCGAGTATGGAGCTTGAAGAGTGGGAAACAGATAGGAAACGACTGGCGGGACGGAGAAAGTGCAGTGTGGACTATAGCGTTGTCTCCGGACGGGAAGAAAGTGGTTAGCGGAAGTGGCGACGGTGGCGTGAGGTTGTGGGACATGGACACAGGCAAAGTCATCGCAAAATGGTTGGGGCATACTCAGGGAGTGAGGTCCGTCTGCTGGAGTCGAGATGGTCAGCGAGTCCTGAGCAAATCCTTCGATGGGACTGCAAGACAATGGGATGCGCAGAGCGGAAAGACAATCGTCGGTCCAATCGAAACAGGGGACGAACTTGTGGAGGCAGTCGTCTACTCGCCAGACACGACCATGTTTGCAACTGCTGGATCCGACCCTTTGGATTATAACAAGTTCCCAGTCAAAATCTGGAATGCGAAGACCGGGAAGCTTGTCGCTACTCTTGAAGAACACACAGATGGGGTGATGTGCCTGGCTTGGACCCCAGACAGAAAGACGCTTATCTCCGGGTCAGCTGATCACTCGATTAGGACATGGAGTACTACAACTTGGAGGCAGATTTCACTGCTGGATGCGCACACCGGTGTTGAATCCATTGCAATATCTCCGAATGGCCGCATCCTCGCAAGCGCATTATTCGACAACACAGCGCGATTATGGAACCTCCACAACAACCAGCCTATCAGTTTGCCCCTCCAGCATCCATCTTATGTTTATTCTGTGTCGTTCTCGGCGGATGGAAAGCTACTAGCCACTGGCTGCTATGACAACAACGCATATGCTTGGGATGTTTTTGCGATAGTCAAAGAAGCTGGCCTCGACGAACTTTTATTGGAGCAGCGCGACAAGTCGGTCCTCGATGTACGTGACACTTTCATCACAGATCTCATTGCATTTAAATATGTGCATTCTAGGCTGAGGCTATACAACGTCCTGTTCGGCCATTTGACCCCTCTGTAGGTGACACTCTGATAGTCAAATCTCATTGCATTTAAACCTATTTATTTTAGGGTGATGCCACGCGACGTCCAGTCCGTCAGCCAATCATCGTCCCCCAGCGCCAGGTACCCCAAGATTTTTTCGACGACCTACCAGATCGCGCTCACGTACGTCGTTAACGTCTCATCCAGTACTGTTTTTAATTTTCCTGACCTCGATGTTCTCAGGTCTCTGCACGACAGCGCTTCCATCCTCGATCATGGGCATCGCAAGTAAGCACCCTTCGTGACCGGTTGTCATCGTTATTCCGCCCCATACCCTCTGGAGCACACGATACGTCATCCCGACCCCGCCCTTTCCACTGGCTTCGAAGTCGTCTCTCTAGTAGACCAGGCGGTGAAGATATTGAGCAGCACGAGCGTCGCTCCGCAGTCGTTGACGTCCCGTATACCAAGGGCAAACGTGTATGTCATTCTTGTCCTTCTAGACTATTCGAACCCCATCTTATATCATTGTAACATAGAGGAACGCGTCAGCACGAGAAAAACGGATGGTAATAATTCCATTGAAACCCAACAACGCTGCTGCAAGCACCTCAGGCCCTCCCAATAGCAACACCACACAACAATCTACTGGTGCAGCTCAGGCCCAGTCATCTTCGCAACCGCATGCTGCTGTCTCCACCTCCACTGCACCTCCCGTCATCAATAACACAACTTCGAGCACCAATCCTCGTGTTACGATACATCACGCTGGACGCTGGACTCGCTTCTGGCTCGTTATCTGTTGTGCTTCTGCTGAGTATACTGACGGTCATCATTAAGATTCTACCATTATCTCGTCATTTACAAAGACCTCATCTGACATGTCACTATGACATTCACTTCATCCCTCGAGTACATCAAACGGAGGCACAAAATTGTTTCTTATATACCCTTGCATTAAATCATGTTCAACTGATATGTTCTGTTGTACTGCATGAATAACATTCACTTTCATGCGGATGAAGTCCTTTAAATTAGAATAGCATTGCAAGTCCTTGCTGTAGAGGAGCGTGATACCCTGCCAACGATAAGTTCAAAAGGCAAGGCTTGTTCACTATCTAGCTGTGTCTCAGAAGATACAGAATGAGTGCATGACACAAGCATGGATGAAGTATATCCCGTCGTCGGGGTGCTGTTCAGCCACCAAAAGTGAAAACGTAGACGGGAAAGTCTTTCAATTTCAAAACTTTATCCTATCAAAGGCGTACGGAGTGCCAATGGCATTCTCGATATTGACGACACCACAAAATGAATGCAAACGGATGCAAGGTCGTGGCGGGACACATGGAGGGTGTGCGGTTAGTCCGTTGCAGAATGAAGATGGCGACTGATGGCATGGGCACTCCAGGTGCACAGCATATGGCATATGCTAGAAGCTGTGAAGTGAACACGAGGATAACAAATATAAAATGTAACAGTTCAAACTTCCTGTGCACTAGTACCATTGACCGATACGCCCATCGTGTCTCGGCGCCAAGACCTGCTAATTGTCGTAAGTCATGATCGTGGACTTTGTGCATGAAAGCTGAAACGGAGTTGCATCTAATGCTAGTTGATTATGTCGTCACCAGCGCAGGAGACATCAACGATAATGCCCCTCCAGAAATTTGAGGGGCACACCCAAGGGATCGGTGGCGCAATACATCTGCCGGAAGGAGAGCAGATGATAACATCCTCAGTGGACGGCTCATTGCGGGTATGGGACTTGAAGAGTGGGAAACAGATAGGAGACGAGTGGAGGGATGGAGAAAGTCAAGTGTACGCTATAGCGTTGTCTCCGAACGGGAAGAAAGTGGTTAGCGGGAGTGAGGACGGTGGAGTGAGGCTGTGGGACATCGATACAGCCAAAGTCATCGCGAAATGGATGGGACATACAAAGGGAGTGTGGTCTGTCTGCTGGAGTCGAGATGGTAGGCGAGTTTTGAGTGGATCTGACGATGGGACTGCAAGACAATGGGACGTGAAGAACGGAACGATGATCCTCAGCCCAATCAAGACTGGGCACGGCCGGGTGTTAGCAGTCGTCTACTCGCCAGACAAGACCATGAAGTTTGCGACTGGCAGTGGATTCAGTGAGTGCCAGCCCAGGTACACTAATGATTATTTGGATGAGCCCCTGGTCAAGATCTGGGATGCAAAGACAGGCAAGCTTGTCGCTACTCTTGATGGACACGCACATTGGGTGCATAGCCTGGCCTGGACCCCAGACGGAAAAACCCTTATCTCCGGGTCATACGATGACTCGATTAGGACATGGAGTACTGAAACTTGGAGACAGACCGCAGTGCTGGATGGGCACACCGAGGGTGTCTTTGCCATTGCAATATCCCCCAATGGCCGCATCCTTGCAAGCACATCTTTCGATAGCACAGCGCAATTATGGAACCTCGACAACAATCAGCCTATCAGCTTGCCCCTCCACCATGCAAATGCAGTGCTTGCTGTGTCGTTTTCGGCAGATGGAAAGCTACTAGCCACTGGCTGCGACGACGATATCGCATACGCTTGGGATGTCTCTGTGATAGTAAAAGGAGCTGGCCTCGATGAACTTCTGTTGGACCAGCACGACAAGTCGGTACTTGCTGTACGTGACACTTTCATCACAGATCTCATTGCATTCAAGCATTTTCTAGGCTGATGCTACACGACGTCCAGTCCGTCAGCCAATCAAGGTCTCCAATCGGATATCCCAAGGGTTCTTCGATGGCACACCACATCGTGTTCATGTACGTCGCTCATCTCTCATCTACATTGTACCGTTTTTCCTGACTTTGTTCTCAGTCTTTTGCACAACTTGATCTCCACGATGCACCATCCCGACCCAACATTTTCATTGGGCTCGAAATATTTTCTCTGCCAGACTCAGTAGAGCAGACATCCAGCTGTGCGAGCGTGGCTCAGCGGTCGTCGACGTTCCACATTGCCAGGCACAACGTGTATGTCATTTTTTTTTCGTCCATCTCGAATATTCGAATCCCATCTCATATCATATCACGTAGAGGAACGCATCAGCACGAGAAAAACGGGGGCCAACAATCCCGTTGAAATCCAAGAAACCTGCTGCAAGCATCTCCGAGTCACGCCCTCCCAATAGCAATGTTATACAATCCAGCGGCGCGGCTGAACCTCAGTCTTCTTCGCAACCACATATTGTCGCCTCCACCTCCACCGCACATCCCGTTGTTGCTAATACAACTTCAAGCACTAATCTTCATGCAACGATGAAACATGCTGGACGATGGACTCGCTTTTGGCTCTTTGTATGTTGTGCCTCTCCCGAGTATACCGATGGTCATCATTAATCCACCTGGTTTGTTTTCTTGTCCTTTACGAAAATCTCCAATTATCATCTGATATGCTATGACGTTCATCTCATGCTGTATGAATGATACAGATGTAGATTCAAACATAGATTGGTTCCGGTCACATGAAGTGGAAGGCTGTGGGTGGCGCGCAAATCAGTCTAACTCTAACACCATTCTACGTTGCACACTCGAGAGTCCGAGAAACAAATGGAATAAACTGCACACAAATGTCCAAAAATAACACCCCATCGGAGGTTCAACATACGATTACCGCGGCCGTGTCTGGCGTTGATGAATTTATTATTATTCCTATTGGATCATTCCTCGCTCCCCTGTTAGTTACACAGACCTGCTTGTCAATAAAAAATATGCGGAAGATGTGGCCAGCCAGCCTTTAATCGAGAATATGTGGCTGTTGGGTGATTGGGTGGTGTGCGAGCAAGTCCCTCATTTCCTCAGCTGGATCCATGTTGTTTGGAGCCATGATTATATTTTGCGACTCTTCTCCTGTAACGAATTCAGATGCTTATGTTGTTGGAGCAATCCCGTATATATAGACTGCATTGGCACCCCCACTTACACGCAAAGCTGCAGCTGAAATTATAAGCTTCAAGTAATAGTATTTATTGGCTGACAGTGAGAATGGGAAGAGGGGTCACATGCACACCTTGTCAGGATAGAGAATGCACTTTATGATACGCTGGCCATCGAATGAAGTCATGGCTAAGCGGGTGCGTTCAAAGATCGTTCCTGTTGAAAGTTGGGGATTGGTGCTGTCTACCGTCACCATACCATATAACTATCAGTTGTTGAGTACAAATGTTTCACGCCCGAATCCTGTACACAGGACTCTAAATTTGAACAGGCAGCTACAAACCATTCATGGGCTTCGAGTCCATGACAGAAATTTGATCAACAGTCTACATGGGCAGGCCATTGTTGTTTGATTTACTCTCGGGAAATTATGTGGTATTAAAAGTTATTTATTCCGCCGTCTACTCGGAACAAACAACAGCGAACAGCATATCGTCTAGCTAGCGTCCCAATAACAATCACACCTGATCATCCTGCAACTGTGAACTGTGAGTACATTACCTAATGCAAATGATGAGCAAAACTAACCTTTAATATGTCAAGGACGACATGTCTGCGCGAATGCGGTTGTAGTCGAGGAGACCGTCGAGCGGGCCAAGAGCTGCAATAGCGATCTATAAGGGAATGATTAATTGAATGCGCCCAGCTTCAGTTCAGGAAGAAACTCTTACGTCCTTGTCCCACAGATATTTCTGTGCGACGCGCTTGATCTCATCCGTGGTCACAGCATCGACGGCAGACTCGATCTGCTGAGGGGTGAGACGACGACCAGTGGTGACAAGTTGCCTTCCAATGTCCTCGGCAATGGCAGTTGTCCCGTCAAGAGAGAGCAACAAACCGGCCTTGAGCTGACTCTTGGCGCGCTCGACCTCAACATCAGTCGGAGCCATAGACATGCGGCACCATTCCTTCAGAGTGAAATGTGTCATATCATCGAGGTTCATGAGGTTCTCGGACACCAGGTAGATGCCCCAGAGACCGGTGTCGGAGTAAGACGTGGAGAAGGACATGAATGAGTTAGCAAGGTTGTTCGATGAGATAACGTGGGAAAGGCGGGATGAGAGGAGAGGAGAAGCCCCGAGGGAGCGATCCCAGTTGCCCATAATGCTCTGCATTACCTGCATGGGGAAGTAGTCGGGTGAGCTCCAACCAACACCCTCAACGGCAATGGCGACGTGTGCACACGGAATTGCATCATCACGGAGGCGAACGTCCGAACCTACAAAGTCCGAACGAGGGTGAGCAAGACGGCCAAGAGGAATCGGGTTCTGTGAGATGGGAAGCGAAGAGAAATGCTTTTCAGCAAGGTTAACCAGCTCCTGGTGGTCGACACCTCCGGCACCAACGAGAACCATGCGGTCGGCGGTGTAGTTGGTTTTGATGTAGGAATCAAGATCGTCACGCTTGATGGAGAGAATGTTGGCTTTGGGGCCAAGAATGGTACGACCAAGGGGTTGGTCTACAAGAAATGATGAATGAGTGTGAAGCGAGTATGAGATCGAAGCGAAAGACGCACGTTGGAAGGCAACAGCATGAAGGTGATCGAACACGACTTCTTCGAGCTGCTTGTCGACCTCCTGCTGCTCTCGAAGGATGACATCACGTTCCCTCTCAACAGATGTAGACTCCAATTTGGAATTCTGCAGAATATCGGAAATGATATCAACAGCGACCGGAACATCCTTTCGGAAGCTCTTTGCATAGTACACGGTCTGCTCGCGAGAAGTGTACGCATTTAGATGTGCGCCAAGGTTCTCAACCTCGAGTTCCAACGCGTGTTGATTGCGACGTTTGGTGCCCTTGAAGGCCATATGCTCAAGGAAGTGGGCAGTGCCATTAGTTTTGTCAGTCTCGGCACGCGAACCGGCATCAATCCAGACGCCAATTGTTGCAGTCTGCGCATGAGAATGAGACTCTGTTGCGACAGTTAGGCCATTGGAGAGAGTTGTTGTTTGGGTGATGGGAGATGGAATGTTCACAGCTGTCGCAAATGACCGCAAAGGCCGCTAGTTGGGGATGAAAATCAAAGTAAGACGACATAGAAAAGTATAGAAACTTACAGGATTGCGTGCTGAAGTCCTGAGTGAACGAGCTAGCGACGCCGACAGTGTTCTGGAGACCATACCGAAGAAGACAGAGCAAAGGCCCAGTGCAGTTGGCTCACCAAAATATTCACCTCTTCGGGAGTTCTCGGTCTCGCGGCTTATCCCGACACATTTAAACCTCCGCTTTCAGTGACACCACGGATGAATAGGAATACTTAAGTATCTCGATGAGTTGACATGATCTCTGAGATTCTGTTGATAAAGACCTTACTGCAGAGTCACAAAGATCGTGTCCCAGACCTAGCGAGCATTTTGAGCTCACACGTAAGGTTTGTCAACCAACGCGTTGGACATGCACAATTCATGTTTCGTTTTGTGACATTCTTGTAGCCTTGGACGACGGACTCACCCTTTCGGACTCTTGCTATCATACTTCCTGCCAGGTCACTAGTGTGCACTTCCTAGTTCTGATCACACTTCCCATTCAATATTTGCCGCAGAAACATGACCTACACCTCACAATCATGCGATCAGGCCACTTCTCTTTGGCTCGCCAATGATTTGCCTCAAGAGATCCTTTCACACCTCAAACTCGGTGGCTGCCCTGACACTGCAATTAATTCTTCCTTCAAGCTAGGGAGCGCAGCCCAGGTAAGCAAACCTCTCTCAAGTGCCCGGATGTCGATCGATATGAGCAAGCCCCATTTGAGACATCTGTCGGCCTTTCAGGCCTGGCAGCTGCATATATCCTTTCTCTGAGGACCGGAAATATGCAAGACGTCAGTGTCGACGCACGTCATTCTATTCTAGACATCTCTAGGTTACTCTTCCCTCGATCTTTGACCTTATTTTACTTAAACCAAGCAGTGAATCTTGGTACACCGTAGATGGCCAGATGCCCACTGCGTCTGCGCGAGATTACCTGGCAGGAATATACAGAACCAAGGACAACAGTTTTGTTCGTCTGCACACCAACTTCCCGCAGTAAGTTTGCACCAATTTTAAGCAGATGTTTAGTGGCTAACGGTCACTGAAGTCACCGACAGGGCATCCTCAATATTTTGCAGTGTGATCCCACTCGTGAAGCTGTTCAAGCCGCGTTATTGCAATGGAATGCGAAAGATTTGGAAGATGAAGCAGTAAAGCAGAAAATGTGTATTGCTGCCTATAGGTCATTCGAGGAGTGGGACAAACATCCGCAAGCAGCTGCATTAAGAGGAACACCTCCAGTCCAGCTCATCAAGATCGGAGAAGCTCCTAAACGGGACATCATGGAGTCCCCACGGTTCCCTCTTGAGGGAATTAGAGTTTTAGATCTATGCCGGGTGCTTTCAGGACCCGTGTGCGGCCGAACGCTCGCAGGTATGTGACAACACCCCTCTCTCAAAACGATCTGGGCTGCATGATTGATCTACAAATTCGGCAGCGTATGGCGCTGACGTGCTCCTCGTTACCCTCCCCAAAGCTTCCGGATTTACCCGTGCTCGATATCGATACATCTCGCGGCAAGCGCACGACGCAGCTCGATCTCACCCAAGCCCCGCAATATGATTGCCTGAAAGAATTAGTCAAGAATGCTGATGTATTCTTGCAAGCATACCGACCAGGTGGTCTTCAGGAGAAAGGGTTTGGACCCCAGGAGCTTGCCAAAGTTCGGCCTGGCATTGTATGCGCCAATTTGACAGCGTATGGTTGGGAGGGTCCCTGGAAACATAAGCGCGGCGTAATACCTTTGCAACTTTTATTTCTATACTTTCTGACAATGATGTCTCTAGTTCGACTCGCTCGTGCAGACTGCTACAGGCTTCAATTGGGCGGAGGCTGAAGCTTTTGCTAAATTCAATGAACAACCCGTCATGGATAAGCCGGAACCTCGAGCACTCCCTGTGCAAGCCTTGGATCATGTCGCAGGGTTCTTCCTCGCTTTTGGTATTCAAGCTGCAATCGCAAAAACGATCACTGTGAGTCCTCAGGCCCCAACGTTCGTCTTCGTAGTCAAATTCTTAGAATCTCTTATTGGACAGGAAGGTGGTTCCTGGGAAGTCCGTGTCTCTTTAGCAGCAGTTGCACAGTGGCTCCGATCACTCGGGCAACTTCCGCCAGATACCGCTTTCAGAGATGGGAGACCTCTTCCAAAGCGAATGACCCCACCAGACCCAGAGGTAGCTGCATTATCGGTCACACTCCACGAGGCGACAGGTGACAAAAGGGACGTTGAAGGGTGTCTCAGGACGATGACAGCTATTCGTCATGCAGCGCAGCTATCCGTTACGCCTGTCAAAGACGTGGAAGCTCCGATGTGCTTGGATCGGCATCAACCTGTGTGGCTGCCGCGTGTGTGAGATGCTAGATGCGAGGAAAGTTGGATTAACTGCTGATGGATTTCCGTCGCCAGAGTCTTTCAGTACAATATGACAAACATCATGAATACTACTCCTGATAATTAAAATCAATCCATGCTGGTATACCGCCAAATACTTCCTCCAGTGTGAAGGATGACGCCTGCGTGGAAGTTAGGATATGATCTTCCGCTACACGTGCCGACGTGCTCCCTCCAGGACCTGCGAGCAGCGTGAGGATCTGACACTGGCGGCATAAGTGCACGAGGCTTACCAGACGAATTAAACTCCGCGTAATAAGTGGTGTCTGGAATGCTTCCTCTGCCATAAAAAATCAGCGGTCGGTGTCGTCCCCCTACAACGGTACTTACTCTCCAGACCAGGAACTGAAACCTGCAGGTCGAACACTCTCGTCCATGTAGGTGTTCATGTATACAGCAACGGCCAGTGCATTCCATGGGCGTCCTAGAGGCGATCCAAGCTTAGCATTACAATTAAAAGACGCGTTCCATGTCTTAGCTTACCGAGAGAGCAGCCAGAATTAGTCACAGTGGTAGCATTAGCATCCGGGGACTGAATTTAAAACGAAAATAGTCATTGAAAAAAAAACATGAACACCAAACCAGAAAACTGACCCGAATGATTTTAGAATCGGCGATGTATGCCCCATTCTTGGTGCCACTCGTGCCTTGCCAGGCTGTGATACCACCACCACAAGCTCGGTTCGCCAAAATCACATTTTGGAACCAGCTATTCCAAGAGTTACTCGGGGATTTTATATGTTGATTAATACACACTTACGCCATGCCAAATCCGAAAAGATCTGCATGCCACAACATCAGCGGTTGCAACACGGTTGTTCCAAGACAATGGCTTACAATCAGTTTGACCGTATATTATACTGTCAAAGACATATGTGTGTGCATTGCTGCCAGTGTACCACGTATCTTGCCAGCTAGCAAAGGCACAGCCATAGAAGGAAGCATTTGCATAGCTGATGGAGGTGACGAGGGCTTGAGAAATCGAGTAGTTGGCCTAATTGGGTGAGATTGTACAGATGTAGAATTACAAGAAAGAAATCGACGCTTACAGCGCGATTTTCGAAGTCGATATTATACGCTCTGAAGTTAGTGTTACCGAAATTCTCTCCAGAGGAAGGTGCAACAGTGAGAGTCGCGGTTTCCTCGTCGTTCAGCACAGCACTGGCATGTAAATTGTTCCAAATGTGAACAAGGTTACGCTGAGAAGCATTCCCCGCTGAATCATAAGCAGTGGAAGGATCAAGTTGACCCTACACAGGAAATATGTCGGCAATTGAACGTCACGCCTGAGAAAGTGATGATTACCAGAAGAGTGAGCGGTGCGGACCGCGCAACATTGACCATTTCAAAGTATTCTCCTTCTCCGATCAGAATTACAGCGTCGCCTGTTTGTGACCTGGGGGAATATCAAGACAGGAGACAAGGAAAAGTTTCCGGCAGTTACCCACAGAGACTCTATAGCAGCTTGGACACTTGTAAAACCTGCCCTGCTGTCTGTGGGCGACACATACAAGGTTCCTGCTGGGCACCCGGTTAACGGAGAGGTTTCCGCATTCTTTTGCAATTGGCACGCAGAATATTCTGGGGATAGTGCCTGAATTTGCACAACTAAGCTGGCTAGAAATGCAACAAGGCATGTAAGGTGCGTCAAATGTGGTCCCATTGGTGCGTCGCGTTGGAGGGAGGGGAAAGGGGGTAACAGGTTATCTGCCTACCGTTGCCCTTCGCGTTTATATACTGCAAAGTCTCGTCGCGAGAATTCCACATACATATCCAGGCTAGTGACATCGGAATGCGAAAAAACCGGAAAGGTAGCGATCACGACACAAAAAAGTAGATACTACATAGTCCGAGGTGATACCAGTCGTAATCAAGTCGTTGCAACCGTAGTACACCGACTCATCGTGGGAGAGCATCCAAGTCATCGAACGGGTCGGCAAAGATCAGCAATAGACTGATCTTCCTGAGCCCGACCGTGACTTGGGCGTGGTCCAAACGCGCCGTCGTGGCACGTAACGGCCACGGAAAATGTAATGCTGAAGTTGTGACAGACCATGACCCATGGTGTGGATTATCGTCATGTCTACTCAAGTCAGACCACGACAATCTGAAGCAAAGAAGCGGGAAGTGATAGTACCAGGTTACCGACATTGTCACGGTGATCAAACGACTCCGAGGAGGGCTGCAAATATCACGGCCACGTATGATGTGTCTAGTTGTTTGGCAACCCCCTCATTCATGGACGAGTATTGGAAATTTGGAATGAGCTGCTTGGACTAAAATATTATTGCTCAGGCCGGCATCAGGAGAGATAGATTACAAGTAGTAGGAACTTTTCGATAATTAGTGGATGAGTGTAACGGCGCTAGTGACTAATTGAGCGCTAAGCGATCACCCACCAAGACGTTCGAAGCCCCTGACTACACTTATTAGCTTATTCATTCTTCAGTTTACTCGGTGTCATACTATCGATATTCTTACCAACGATCATCGTACCTTACAACCCATTCGTTCTTGCTGCAATTTTCCTGTTGTGCCCGGGTCTCCCCAAATATATACTAGGTATTGTTGGTGGCCTTGAATTATTGAATATTTACAGTACCCATCGGTAGCGTTACAGTTGCTACTGTTACACCGTGACATCACAAACGAGTCGGAGGTGGGTAATATCTTGTGCTTTCAACTGCTTTGTACCATGGACTTACAAGGGGTCACCACTGCTTCAATGAATCAAACTTTCAAGCTTTAAATTTGAAGCTTCAACTCTTGTTCCAATGTGCTATTATGAAACTTGCCTTGTGCGATAATATCAAATTTGACAGCGCTCCTCCTACGCGAAGAGGATACTGTACGTTCCTTTAATGTCTTCTTGCAATGATCAACCCTTTGGCACTTTCGTTTTACATAAATATGTAAGCCAATCGTTCATGATACAATTTAAATTTGAATGTACAGCGCCGTATCCTCAATTGCAACCGGTTGAGCAACTTGACACCACGAAACAAAGGAATCTGGGACGCTCAGCGATGCTCGGTGTTCAGGCCTCAGGCCCTAGGGCCTACATTCAGCACCCTTGTGTGTTATTACTTGCAAGTTGTCACTGCAGTCACTGATTATGTTTTGGACATAGACATGACTTCACCGACACGACGAAAGCTATGACCAAGTGAGACTTCGAACATTTGAAGAAGCTACGACAAGCGTAAATTGCTGTCATCAACAGCACGTTCTTGTCGATTGCTCAGCGCACCAGCCCCAACACAATATCTCAGTTTAGAAGATATCCCATGACTAAGACTTGCAGCTGTCTTCGGTAACATTTCAACATTTCAAAGAGCACCCAAGAACACCAGTCCAAGAGCTTGTAGATTGCGGTAGAAGACGAGAACCACGACGAAATTTCCGTTCCTCCCAACCCATGAAGGTGCTATCACCGTGCGTATGAGTGGGCTGCGCCAGCAGAATTAGGCACATATCGCCGACAACGTCAGGCTCCACCTCTTCAGTCGTCTCTACAAAAACTCGCGAGTCTTGGATCCACAAATGGCGATGCGGGGTTTGACGAAATTGAATCCACGAATCAAACGTGTATTCCATCGCTGTGCATGCCCACGGGTACTCAGATGCAGCTGAAAGCCCCAGGTGCAACGTATCGGCATGTTCCGTTAGAGTCAGGGTCGGACTCATCACGGAACGGTCAACGTTACACTTTTCCTTGTCGTTGCAGTGCCCCTGTATGCATCACCTTCTCATAGCTTTTTCGTTAGCTGATGCGGGTATCGCAGTGGAAATGCTTTACTCAAAACTTTCCTATCATATTTTATGTTTATTTACCGATCTCTGACATCCATGTTTGAAACCCTATTTGCTCTGCCCCAGCTCGGTTCCGAAACTCAAGGGCATATGACATCTTTATCAACCTGTCGGCGGCGAGTGCGGACTTCTCTTCGATCACGTAAAGCGCAAACGCTGGCAGGCACTCATAGCAGCGGATTAATCCAATTTGCTGACACCTGCCATTATAATGTCAGACGTACGACAGTAACCCCACTCAATTCCAATTGAGTGGGGCTAGTAGCTCAGCACAGCGCACTCAGGTCAGAAGGTATCAGTGATCATGGCTTGTAGCTATCTTTTGGTGGCACTTCAAAGAGCACGACAAGTTCAAGAGTGGAGACAGCAGTGGAAGATGTGCACCACGTATCCCTTTCTCCTCATGAAGGTATTACATTCTATGCGCAGGCTACGCCGAGCTTCTAGTGCATCTCCCCGACAACGTCACCAATTTCTCAAGTCACCGCTTTCATGAACTCGCGAACGTGTCAATTTCCAGAGTCTTTGATCCACGAATGAGAAATGGAAATTCAAGAGAATGAATCCGATATACACGGACTGTCAGATATTCCGTGACCTCGAGGCTTGGAACGTTGAACTTGGTGAACCAACAAGGCGACAGGCAAGTTGTACCTTGGCATGTGACACAGCCTACTACTTCCGTCATAATCGCTGGCTCACTGCTTTTTGTGATTTTTTTACTTGCGTTTCTGTTGCAGATATCATTGAATCAAACATGTTTTCCATCGTTCTAGATGGGCCCAAGGGACAGTCGGGAAACTTTTGACTGCATCTGAGTCCCAATGCAAAGCTGGGCGGCATGCAACGTGTCTTACGATCAGTCATTGCAGTTGTGCTTGTGGCTGTACGTCGTCGAAACGTTCGCTGTTCCAATTTGTTGACGCACCCATCATAAGTATCCAGGTTTAGTCTAATATCCTAAGCAAACCTTGAACGAATGAAGATAGTCGCTCTTTCTTTGCCAAGGGTAGATACGGTGCCCATGTCATATCTGTGCTTGTTTTTCGTTGGCTTACGGATTATGGACGTTGAAGTACTCGTAGAAAGGTCTCGTCGAACATGTTTTGTCCCTAACTTATATTTTTGATATCAATGAACCTTGACGCAGACGGGCCGGGCTACTACCGAGTTTCTTAAACTGGTCAGGATGTCAAGAGACCTTACTCTGCCCGAGCCTGTTCCCGAACTTTAGGGCAAACAAAAGCTTTCACTGACAGAATTATCGTGGACTTCCCTGCATTCACGTAAACTCCTTGTAAAGTACAAACGCTTCACAGGCTTGGCTTAACATAGCTCACATTTCGAACACAGCTGTCATTTGATTATCAATGCATCAAGCATCAATGCATCATAGTTCATTGATAGTACTAGTGTAACTGGTCTACGTGGTGGTAATGTCCGATTTCCATCTCTTTTGGACATCACGAGTACATATTTATATATATGAGCGGCGAGTTTTCGCTGATCTGACTCCCCTGTGTACCTTTCTCTTTTCTTTAGGATAAGCGGCACCACTTGCCCTTCTGTTCATAGCACAACTATTCGGTCTAAGAGTCACTCTGACAATGTCAGCCCTACTGAACGCCGAAATCACCAGTGAAGCGCTGGAAGCGTAAGTGCCATGTCCCATGCTGTGTCCCCCGGTTTCCTCACCCGGCCTCCTACCAGTTCTCAAACTATTGTGGGTTATCAAGTATATATCCAATAGTCCAGGCTGAGGAGACATTTGAAGGTTGTTGGCATTCTTGGCTTCACAATTCTGGTGTGGGATCATGTGATCACGTTTGCAGACGAGGTCGGTCCGTCTTTACTATTTTACTGGCCCATCGGCTAACCCACCACAGGTGGAGATCATATGGGATCGTCCGAAGAAACTTCGTAAGCTCGTCCATAGATTGTTTTCTTGATGGTGACATTAACTTTCAGTGTCGTTATTATTCTTGCTCGTATGTTGGCGGCCAGAAAATGACGTTTCCTGCCTGACTTTGGTGTAGAATCGGTACCTCACACCCATTGGTTTCATCGTGAACCTTGTTGGTAAGATCTGAATACCTGTCATGCCGGCCAGTGACACTTCAATTATCATGAAGCATATTGCCTGCCTTCTTGGTTGTTCATAGTCAGTACCTTCTGTTCTTCTATGATGAAGGCAATCTAACGAGAAATATAGAAGTAGGACATCCAATTCTAAACTTCAATGCGTTCTGACAGGTGCATAGGTGCGAGCATTTCGTTCGGTACGAGGGGGCTATGACGGCAGTGGGGATTCAAGTTGTGGGACTGATGATGTTCCTGCGGTAAGCTCTCAATTGAAATGTACCAGTCATTACCGCACATAATTCCTGAATCCTATCCGTCAGCGTTCGAGCTATGTACCGCGATAACAGATATGTTGTGATCTTTGTGGCAACGTTATTGTTTGTTTGGGTGGCAGTCAGCGCTTGGCTGTTGTCTAACGGCGTGGGTGAGTGCCGAAGTCGTTTGACGTGCAGTTTGGGTCCAGCTGATCTGTCGACCAGCTGTCCCTCACTCTTCTTTTGTACATTGTGAGCCCATCCATCTGGTCGCTTCTTATCTCATCTACTCACAGTTTTCACGCAGCTTGTCGCATGGAGTTCTCTGATTATGTGTATGTTATCCATGCTTTCCAGTGAGTGGAATACTGAAAGCAAACTCAGAGGGGTTCTCGCATCTGCGTGGGCATGGGTTCCTCTTTGCTATGACACGGTCGTCTTTGCCTTGACTTTGAACCGAACATTACCCTCGATGCGCAACGAAGAGGCAGGGCATATCATCCACACGCTATTCATAAATGGTGTTTTATTCTACAGGTACGCTCCTGCTTCGGACAATTGCAGAATTTTATATGATTCAATATAATAGTGTAATGTGTGCCATAAACCTTATCTTTACCGTCATGGTTGTGAGGGCTCCAGAAGGCTTGAAGAACATCACTGGACAGTACGTCTTCTACGTGTCATGTGGCATAGTTAACTGACATCCTCTGAAACCGAAATTCTTTTTAGACTTGAACTTATGTGAGTGTGGTCGATTGGTGGATCTAGCAGATGATTTCCCAATATCAATGGATGATTTTTGCAGATTAACGGTGAGTCCGATTTACGCAAATCATGAATTTTCTGCTTCATCTTATCCTCGGCCACGTTCCTTTACAAGGTCGCAATGATGTCACGTATCACCCTCAGCTTAAAGAAGGAGGGCACACGTGGCTCTGTACCACTCGACACACATCTTGGAAGCAAATTCCCGCTCTGCTTCGATTGCCAAAGGCGTGTCCAAGATATCATGAAGCCACAACCACCAGCTCCTGGTTCCCAGACTCCTCCAATGAGAACAGAACTATCCGAAATGCAAGGCCATGCAGGAGCTCTCGACGGTGATGTATCCTCTCAAGGACAACGAGACAGCGAAGTTCGCACCTGCTTCACCTGCCCTGCAGTGACTGGTGCATTCGACCCTGCGGACGATGAACGCAGTCGGTACCAGGAGGCAATGGTTTGAATAAAGATTGTCCTGTATGACGGACCTGCAAAGTATGTTATTCAAGTGGTCGATAATACATTTATTTAACCTCGGATGTTCAAACAAACTCTAGATGTTGTATTACTACGGTACCAATTGTCGTTTCGATCTTCACACTTACGGCTAATCAAAAAATCATACTGTTGAGATTCTTGAATTATCCTTTGTCCGACAGTAGGCTGTTATTTACAATATACCTAGTACTAATACCATTACATCGCTAGTAGCTGTGTAAGTACGTTGAAGGAGAGTAATTGGCATTATATGTGCACAGCCACTGGTGCCGTCCACGTGTCGATGAACTTTTAACTTCAAGTCGTTCACCTTCGCGAGCGTTTACGATGACTAGATGAGTTCAAGTTAATGTCATTTTACCCAGCTCAACGAACTGTTACGCTGCCTTGCAATTGGAGCTGGGATTCCGAATGTACTGCACTTATACGACTCAGCTGCACACTGAGCACACGTCCCGTCTCTGGCGCTTTAGGCCCGGGACTCGCAATACGTGTTTTCTCTTCGGAGAAGCTAATGACCTCCGCAGACGCTTATCCAGGAAGTACATAACCCATTGACGCAAAATATCTATTATGGGATGGGGCATCTATATAAGACTCCAATGGTCTTCTCACCAGAGATCGCAGCTGCAGGATCTCGCGGGCCCGTCTCGCCTTGTCTGTTACATGCACTTTTTGCCCAGAATGGATACTGCGACCATGCAACCTGTGACCTTATATTCACTCCAGGCGTAAGCGCCTATGTTGCTGTTTTGTATCGCATGCCTTCATGAACTATCTCCCGGCATTACCGTGACTACTAGTCAACAGGCTGTCGTATGTCTTATTCCGATTAGTCACCCTCTCGCCATTCGATGTATTGTTCGGTATCTCAAGTTTGTGGCTATCACGAGTTTCACGGTTCTGTGCTGGGATTGATCACCTTTGCAGACGAGGTACGTTTCATGACCATTTTATCTCAACAATGGATATGAAGTATTTCCAGGTAGCTTTGATCTGGTGTAAACACAAGGACCTCGTAAGTGTATATTACCCTCTGATATCATCGTCCGCTCGATTCATTCCAGATTCGTTCTAGTTGGGTACCTCTTTCTGCTGGTACGCGAAACCACGTTTGACTCATTCCTGGAATTATATTTTCTTTTGAACTCAATAATCGATATATCACACCTCTAGGATTTGTTGTCAACATGGTTGGTGAGGTCTATTCTTTCGTTGTAGAATACATTTCGTTGAAATATATAGTTAGCGTTGACCCCCCTCAGTTAGTCCGCATAGGAAGGCAGCTGCTTTGACCATTATCTCAAAATCTAATCATCTGTATCATCTTAGAGGGTTGTGGCTTCCGACCTAAAATGACTGGCATCATACTGCTGTTGAGATGCAGAAATTTCGTCAGATACCAAGGTGTCATGGCGATCATTGGTGTCAGTATAGCAGAACTGATGATGCTGATGCGGTGAGTTACTTCAAATACAACGATGAGGTACCTCTTACAATTTTTTGTAGGGTCCATGCGTTGTATCGAGATCGCAGACTTGTCGCTGTGGTCCCGGGCCTTCTCTTATTAGTCTGGGTTACACTTGAAGCGTGTTTGATAGCTCTTGGTGAAAGCGAGCACATCTTTTACCTGTGTAGATCGCAGTGATATCACGCAATTATAATGGTTCCTCATACTCAACAAATACACTGTGAGTGATGTTGCTCGATTAAGTGACTTTTCACTGACTTCTCTGTTAGCCCGTAGTGAGATCCATGATTTTCCGCCGTATGAAGTCATTGTCCTGTTAGTTTACTAATTTCCTTCACCATACTGCAACGTCAGGGCTCTCTCTGCTACCCGGGCATGGTTGCCTTTGGCATATGACACTGCCATTTTTATCTTGACTCTTTGGCACACCTTGCCCAGTCATCATCGGAATGGAGTAGTTGGACATATCTTGCAAACATTCCAATCAGATGGTACATTGTACTATATGTGGGTACATTTCTCAGTTCAAGCCAACCCCCTATTCTGTTGATCGAGTAGGGAACATCATTTGCTCTGCCAACCTAGTACTGACTGTGATGAACATACGAGCGCTCCCAGGCCTGAAGAGCATTGTTGCTCAGTAAGTCTACCAGCGCTGCGCCCGTGACTACAATGATTCATACCTATTCACTAGATTAGTGTTCTTGTGAGATTCTCAGCTCGTCTGTCTGCTGCCACGCTGGATAACTCCATCATCGCCCTGTCAGGTTAACGGGAAGTTGACGGGCAGGTGAAAATCATTCTCGATTTGTCGTTCACTCTTGCTGTAGGTTGTCATGACGTCGCGGGTCATCACACTTAATCTTAAAAAGCAAGTTGATGCGCCCTGTAACCAACACCAGTCTTGTTTGATTTACCTACGGTATTAAAGCCTGCACGTGGACATCGACAAATGTCAAGGAAGCTCTTCACTGACGATGATCCACAGCTAAAATTCCCATGTTTGACAACCCCTATTCCATCCCTCTCAATAGAATTCGATCTCATGGACGATGCTCAATCTTTCGAGAGTGTTGATGTAGGGTCTTTGTAATTATGCCATGCCTCATGAACCCTAGGGGACCGTCCTAACCGAGGGTAGCACAATTATGTCCTGCGTGCGGTGACAGAATGCTCCTGAAGCCTGTGCCGTCCTCACACCAGTTAGCTGGACAGTCCGCGGTCGCGCTAGCACCAAAACAGTATGTTTGCTGTTGCGCCTGTTATTCTTGTTTGACACTTGGCAGGAACGCGCACTTTGTCGCACCCATTTTAACCTCCATTTTGAATGACTGAACGCCTACGCCTTCTGATTATGGGCGTACGCGCAGCCACATAGCATGTCATCTGATGTTGGACCAAGAATACATAACTTACAAGGGCAGGATACATCACAAAGAGGATGATCATGGGAACTATTATGAAATCCTGTATGCACCGCCCTCCTATTGGCTCTTCTCCCCAGACCTATTGTACGAGTGGGCCACCATCTACATGCCAACATCCCACGCCAGTCCCGCCCCCATGAAACAGCTAAAGCAAACGCTCGGCATTGCGATGCTTTTATCTCAGAAAAAGTACCATTTCTTCACTCCTCACAAGGTTGCCCGTCAACACTGGATGATGATCAACCGATTGCTGAAGACATAATCTTAACCATAACTTATGCGATGCTTTAAGCTGGCATGTGACCGTCTGATGGCTGTCGGTGGCTTTTCATTTGGACGTATTTACCAATAGCCGACTACTAAGCTATGACTCGGACTCTGATCGGACACATATGAAATGTCCATTGGACCAGTGCTAGCGCTCACTGCTGTTGTGTATAAATGCGTTCATCACGTTGTTGACGTTTTCTCCGTTCTCCACAATTCCATTCAGACAACCTTTTGGGATTAATGATCCTAAAATCTTCCCTGAAGCACACACCTTACTGACTTGCTTAGTCTCCCACCGTGGATAAATAAATGTCTCACTCACCTATGACAGAATTAATGAAAGACAACGTAATCCAGGACTTGTATGAAACGTGAGCCGTGCTTGCCTGTTGTACGTCTTTGCATACTTAACACTCACCGTTTCAGGCGCCAAACTATCGTACATTTTTCCGCCTAGTCTGCTGTTGCCAGTGACTGACATAAGTATCCTATGATTTAGTATGTTGGGATCGTTGGTTTCACCATATTGGTTTGGGACCACATTGTCACCAGCGCAGACGAGGTGCGACTCATCAGCAGAATTCGGTGAAACTCAAATTCATCAACATACTCTGAGTCAGATTGAATTAATCTGGCGACGCCCTAAGAAGACTCGTGAGTGGCGTCTTTGATAAGAATATGTGCAAGTATCTGAACCTATTTACTAAGTTGTATACTTGTTTCTACTGGTATGCATATGTATTGGCAGTGTCTGCTAGTAAAAAAGCTCACATGTCCGGGTTAATGTTCCAGAACCGATATCTTACTCCTCTCGTTTTTATCGTTAATCTAGTTGGTGAGTACCTCGCCTTTGACTTACAGTTTCACCCGTAACCTTTACTAGCATATACCCTACCTTCATGGGACGACACAGTAAGTTTTGATGTTTTATTCCCACTATCTACCAGTAATGAATCTTACAATCTTGACTGCAGAGGTCAGCATTGCACTACACCACTGGACTTAGTTGACATTGTCTTTGAAGTTGCCGGCATTTTGTTCGATACGAAGGGGCCACCACAGCTGTAGGCATCGAGATAGTCGGGTTGATGATGCTGTTACGGTGAAATTTGTATCTTCTCCCAGCAAACATCTACTAATATGGAGAACACAGCGTCATTGCAATGTATAAAAATCAATGGGCTGCCATTGCGCCGGCAGTGTTCTTACTGCTAGCTTGGATTGTAGTGACTGCATGGCTATTGAGTCATGGCGAACGTATGGAAACTTTCACCTTTGCTACGTAACGTATAAATTTACGACGTAATTACCAGCCGTTCTTCACTCAGACCATGTTCAATGTGAGATACTCATTTTTCACACACAACCTTATTCACTATTTCACAGCTTGCACCATGGTGTTCGATTCGTGAGTCCTTACTAGAAATATGCAGATGTGAGTTTTGAAACCCTCTCCAGCGGCAGTATTGCTTCGGCTACAGCTTGGTTGCCTCTGCTCTACGACACGTATGTCTTTGGGCTGACGTTGAACCGCACGCTTCCTTCGATCCGCAACAAAGAAGTGGGGCATGTTTTCCGTACTCTTTTCGCGGACGGGCTGCTGTACTACAGGTACGCAAACCAAACTCTCCCGGTAACAGAGCTCACCAAGCATGTGACAGCGTCATCTGTACTGTAAATCTGGTATTGACAATCATGATCGTCAGAGCTCATGAGGGGATAAAAAACATCGCCGCACAGTACGCATATTTCCATTCCAGTGTTTACTCAGATTTTTATTGATTTACTCACTGTGCACAGGCTTGAGCTTCTGTGAGTGTTTCTTAGTAAACTACTAATAACAGAGATTGACTGAGATTATTTTGTCACAGCCTCACTGTGAGCACGGCGTGAAGTTCGTATTCATCATAGGCTGACAGTTTCACGGTCAACAGGTCACAATGATGTCAAGGATTACTCTGAACATTAGGAAGCAATCATTTCATGGACACCACTCGCAAGCGGAAAGTTTTATTATGTCCACACGCAATGATACCATATGCACACCTTCAGGGGGAGTTGTACTCAGCCGATTGCGATCACATTCTGTCTCCTCCGCAGCGCGCGTCGAGTCGAGCAGTCGGGCGCGATCTGGCTCGGTAAGTTCTATTGTATCCCCCGTGCGAACCATCACCCTCCCAGAGAATCCATTAATCTTCGCTGCTCGGCCTCGCTTGAGCACGATATTTTCTGCTACCAATACTCCAACTACCCTAAGTCCTAGTGGTAGTCCAGTTAGCGAATATGTCGACTGGCCTTCAGCGTCGAATTCCGACCAGCGAAATACTACAAACATTGTATGATTTACATTTCATCGATTCTACCTATTCCGTTACGACGTAATTGTATGCACTAGTTCTTCACGGGCAGGACACCTGTTCAGCAGGCCAATAAGTAAATGTTCAAACTTCAATGCAATATACTACTTAGGAATTTATATAAATACTGGACGCGCGGTCACTCAGGGAGTGACAGTGACATGTGAACGAAGGTTTCCAAATCGGACTGAGTTCTGCTCAGTGGCCTTGGCTCATTCCTCTTCGTCTGCGCAGGACGCGACGCTTAAACTTAGAGAATAATTTGTGAGCTCTTTTTTTTTCCTGGTTTAAGTGCTTCATATACCTTCTAAAGTCCTCTGAACTTGGACGCAAGGTCCACCCACCACAGGCCATCCTTCTATACCCGCCTTGGTACCGACCATATCCCATCCAAGGCTATGGCAACTCCTTCGTCGACTTCAACCAGTCCCGGAAAGCGCGCGAACACGTCGAAGCTTCTCAATGACTACGTTTGTTTGCATCGGTCACACATCGTGGCATTGTACTGAATATGTTTGTAGCAACTCGGGGACTCTCTTGGAAAGGGCGCGTTTGGTCAAGTCTACCGTGAGTAATGAGGATTTCTGCGGAAATAAACTTTATGCAAGTGTTCATGTATGTAGGGGCACTTAACTGGGCCACTGGTGAGACCGTGGCCGTGAAGGAAATACAACTCAGCAACATACCAAAGGGAGAGCTCGGACAGATAATGGTGGGTCCGGGACTCCATTATTCAAGGGCTTCGGGCGCATTGTTCAAGACTTCATTCTAGTCCGAAATCGACTTACTCAAGAACTTGAACGTATGTGGCTCTCGAAACTTATAGTCTGATCGTTTACCCGATCCATCCCTTAGCACCCTAATATTGTCAAGTACAAGGGCTTCGTCAAGACCAGGGAGTACTTATACATCATCCTTGAGTTAGTATTCATTCTACCTCAACCAAGGAAAGTAACTGAGCATGCATACCGTGTCAGGTTCTGCGAAAATGGATCATTGCATAATATCTGCAAACGTTTCGGTAAATTTCCAGAGAACCTGGTAGCGGTCTACATCTGTCAAGTCCTGGCGGGGCTGGTATACTTGCACGACCAAGGTGTCATCCATCGCGACATCAAGGGCGCGAATATTTTGACTAACAAGGATGGCTGTGTAAAGCTTGCTGACTTTGGAGTCGCTAGCTCCACTACAACTGGTGCTATTAATGATGATGCCGTCGTGGGCAGTCCCTATTGGAGTGAGTTGTCATGGTATATGTCCTCGCCACGACTTAACAACTTTCTACGCCAGTGGCACCTGAGGTCATCGAGCAATCTGGCGCAACTACCGCGTCAGACATCTGGTAAGTATAGCCGAGCTGCTTGCGAATCAACAAAAATGCTGACATATTATTCAGGAGCGTTGGTTGTGTAGTTATCGAACTTTTGGAAGGCAAGCCTCCATATCACTTCCTCGACCCCATGCCCGCGCTCTTTCGCATCGTTCAGGATGACTGCCCTCCTATTCCTGATGGTGCATCTCCGATTGTCAAGGATTTTCTACTTCACTGTTTTCAGAAGGATTGTAACCTCCGAATCTCGGCCAAGAAATTGCTCCGTCATCCCTGGATGATATCCGCGAAGAAGCAGATGAACATGGCTGCGGGAAAGGGACCAGGGTCTCCAGAAGGCGGGCCGCAATCATTCTCGGATGGCAAGAGACCCACAAGCAAATATAACTACGATGAGGCTGTTCTCAAGGTACAGGAATGGAATGAAGCCCTCAAATGTGATTCATCATTGTTTTAATCAATGCCTCGCTCATGCCCCCTTAGCCCCTACACGACCTACGAAGAAGACTAATCGTAACTCCGTCTCTGAAGGCCAACCACCATCCCCGACTCGTGGTGGTCGAGATAAGCCTGCGGTATCGCTCCTTCAGCATTCGGTCCTCGGTCTCCAGGCTTCGACTTCTGGGAACTCTGTTCTCAAAGGACCCAATACTGCCCCGGGAAAGCCTTCTGCCCCCGTCGTTCTAGTGGAGAAGATTCGGGAGCCGCTAGCTTTTGTCCTTCAGCCTCCAGAAGAGCAAACAGACAACTGGGACGACGACTTTGAGGATGGACCCTCATTCACCAAGTTACAAGGTATGCGCAAGATTGAACGAGAGTCGTGATCTTACTTTCTATTGCTATGTAGCCTCCGCCTTAGAGAAGACGTCCATGGAAGATGAAAAACCAGAGGGTGATGATAATGCGCAGACTATAAGACCAAATCGTAGCCCAGCTGGCCCAGGGACAATACCACTCGCAAGGGCACCGTCTGCCGATATTGTTCCCATCGTCGAAGACTATTCCGACATCGCAACGGAGGAGGATGAGCTCCTGCTTCAAGAGAAAGTGGCAGATTTTAGGGTTAGTACATTCTTTTTTTTACCTTTTTTTCTGACTGAGAACTCTCGCAATGTCGAAGATGAAGAATTCAGTGCGCAGGGGACTCTTTCATCCTGACGATATCAAAGTCCTCGGACTCCTTTCTGGTTCTCCCGGTCCTATGTCTGCACCTCTTCCTAGTCTGTCGCGGAAAGCATCCCGCCCGTCTCTCAGTCCTATTTCTGGCATAGGGTCTACCACCTACAGGTTCGATACGATCACATTCCCGCTCATCTTCCTTTGTTGCATCTGGTTCAAGTACTTCCGGCTCTTTTGGTCGCGTAGAGGCGAAACGTGCGGCTAGTCATGCTGAATTTGGCAAGTATGCTGAGGACGACGACGAGGACTATGATGATATCTTCGGAAAGCCTGGCGGAGCTAGTAAGTAGTCTTAGGCCAATGTATGAATGATTGCGAACTCTAGCTTCGCAGCTCTCGAACAACCGATGCAAACCCTACAACTCAACACAAGGTTGTCGAACAAGTCATGGGTAAGGCCTATGTTGTATTTCAGATATCTTGTGGCGATTGATTTTACTGCAGCTTGGAGATGATTCGGATGAAGACGATCCTTTCGCAGAGGCAAGTTTTTATGTGTCATCCATGATACTGACTGACTAAATTCCTCAGATCGACGAGGGTTTTGCTGAAGATGACCTTGAGACTAATCTCCAACGTGACAAGAATGCCCGGTTGTGCAACATGGTGAACCAACTCATCGATGAACTGACACCCTCGGCGCCTGACTTCCAACTGCGTGATGCTTGCGATCAACTGGTCAGTTCAATTAAACTCGGTGGTTTTTATAGTCTGATGCATTGCTGCATTTCTAGATCAATATCATGATAGAAAACCCAGATATGCTTGTGCAGTTGGTGTCTTCACATGGTATGCTGGCAATTTTGGAGGTACTGGAAGGCAAGTGCTCTAGGGACGTCCTCATGAAGCTTCTTCACATCATCAACTTGGTAAGTTGGCGACTTATTTGCATTCATGAACTTAACGTCATTGGCTAGTTGGTCACGAGCGATCTTGGGTTCTTAGAAAGCTTCTGCCTCATCGGTGGGATTCCGGTCATGATGGGTATGTGTCGCAGCCCCAGGTTGATAATGAAGGATTAACACCCTGCAGGCTTTACTTCAAAGAAATACCCTTCTGAGTGTCGCGTAGAGGCGTCCAACTTCATCAGGCTGCTCTGTCACACATCTGTATTGACGTTGCAGATGTTCATATCGTGCGTGCTTGCCTGACTTCTCTTTATGCACACGTTCATATTCCCTTGCAGATGTCGTGGCCTGAAAGTTCTTGTTGACCTGTTGGACGAGGACTACACCGACCAAACTGAGCTCGTCGTCGACGCTCTCAACGGCATAGGAAGCGTGTTCGAATTGCAAACTCCAACGACTAAGAATGACTTCTGTCGTATGTTTATCCGCGAAGGCCTCCTTGACCCACTCTCCTCCGCTTTGCTCAATGTCATGGGCAATTCCAGTCCCAATGCAGTCCAGATGAAGCACAAGATTATACAAATCCTTCTCGTGTTCTCACAAGTGACACAAAGCGATATCCACGTACGTAACGCCATGGGGACGCGGAAGATCGTCAGACGTGAGATTTTTGTGTCAATCATCAGATTCGATGCACCTGACCACAATTATGATGGCAGGTCTATTACGCGCATGCGAGCTTCTGGAGATGGAATGCCTAGTTCATATGCTGAAAGCTGTGAAACACTTGTCCATGAATGCTAATCTGCTCGAGGTGCTTCAAAACGCCAATGCCATCGAGATACTCATCAAACTGCTGGACGAAGAAAAGACCGGTCCTCACAGCACGGTAAGTCATATGGGATCATGACTTGGGCGTCGCTCAGATCAAATGGTACTTCAGGAAGTGTCAAATCATATTTTCCAGACCTGTTATAACCTCTGTCGGCTGAACAAGTCACGTCAAGAGGAGGCGGCTCAAGCCGGCATTATTCCTTGCTTGAAGCGAGTAATTGAGACCAGCTCACCTCTCAAACAGTTCGCGTTGCCCATCCTGTGCGACTTGGCTAGCGCGGGGAAAAGCTGCAGATATCTCCTTTGGCAACATAATGGTCTCGCGCTTTACTTGAAGCTTCTAGATGACCCATACTTCCAGGTCAGCGCCTTGGAGGCGATTCTGTCATGGTAACGAGAATTTTGAATTTGCATTCTGCACTACGACTAACGTGAACTCAGGTTACAAGATGAAACGGCCAAGATCGAAGATGAACTGGTTGGCTCTGAGTCCCTTGAGGCGTTGCTCAAGTGCTTCGTATCCGCGAAAGCCAACTCCTTTGAAAACCTCCTTGACCCCCTTCTCAAAATCTGTCGTATCTCCACTCCGCTCACCATCGGCCTTGCCAAATCTCAATTCTTCAAGCGCATCATTGACAGGCTCAACCACAGCCGCGCGGTCGTTCGTCTCAACCTCTTGCGTATCCTTCGGACCGTTTGCGACGTGCACCCGAACCGTGCGATGTTGGTGGAGCGCTACGGGTTGCACGAAATGGTCATGAAGCTTAGCAAGGAGGATGGTGCAGTCTTGGTGCGCGAGCTGGCGAGAGAGATTCTACCGGCACTAGCCCCTGCGCTTAAACCGGCGGGCAACAGGTCTCTGCTCAAGGGGTATGATACTCCGAAAAGTAGTGTGATAGCACCCAAGAAAGCCAGGCGAACAGCATCGGAAACGTCTGCGATGATGGGATCAAACTCGTCCATGCTGGGTCTGAGCATGGGTCCCCCTCCGACATCGAGGACGGGGATAGAGAGGGCGCACTCATCATCCAGGCATAGACTTGGTGATATACCTTGGCAATCTCACGGGGGACAAAGATGAACTATTTATTGTCTGGTCAGACAGTGTGCTTTTATTAATTTATTGTCCGCTCTTTATCGTTAGTTTTGCATCGACATCACAGACAGCACTCTCATTTGCACATAGCATATATCCCTCACTAATGATGGCATGCAGAGAACAAATAACTTGATTAACAATGTAATCTGGACATGGATTATGAGCAAATTAAGGGACGGCGGAGTAATATAACGCACGCACTAGTAATCTACTTGCGAGCAAAGGGTATCTGGAAACCGGAGACTAGTGCCCTTGCACGATTTTGTGCACCGAGGCCCACTGCATTGGTGATAAAGTGTATGTGCATACCATAAGACTTGGGGTACGAGTCCAAGTTGACCTCGATTTGAGGGAAGTAGCCCATGGCTTCTGGCGGTAAGCCAAATGAAACGACACCAGCCACGCCACTCGGAGATTTCATTGTTGATGATGCGGGAGGCATGACTATACCCGGGAACTCTCGAATCCTTGGAAGTACAAATTCCACCAAGGTACTCAAGAAGTCGTACATCTTGGGTCCCTTCAACTCGACCTTTGCACCAACCGGAAGACCAGGGCGCATCCATCCACCGACGTTCTTTTTCCCCTTTACGATCTGCACTCCATCGCTCGAAGGACGACCTCCGCCACCCTCAGTTTCTCCCGACATTGCACGGAACGCGGCGATGAGACCAAGTAAATTACTCCGGTTGGTAAGTGCTTCCTTGGTCATGGAATGAATGACTATTTTTTCCAAACGGACGATATTCTCTGAAGTGGTCGGAGGTGCCGGCTTTTTGCCTGCCTGGGAGCCACCGACAGGAGGGTTATAACGGTTTTTAGTGTATGGGTCATTGGGGTCGTAAGTGAGACGGATCTGGCGTGGTGTTGGAGGTGTGCCAGACTCATGATTGTAAGTCATGTACATCAAGTTGTCTTGGAGAGTCGTGTGGTAGTGGTCCATGAGACGACATGGGTGGGTGTCGCGGACAATGAGATTCCTAACGTGCGGCACTGGAAGACCATTCTCGTCACGCTTGAGGAATTTGCGAATTTTTGGAGGCTTCCTGAAAGGACGAACTGCCTGCGCGCTGTGAGAGACGCGAACTGCTGCTGCACTCATCTGAAAATTATATTTGTGAGAAATAGGTTCAGGCGTTAGAAAACTGGAAAACGAACTGAGGGACGCGAGAGTCGAAGTGAGGAAGCAAGCTTGGTGGACAAGTATGGAAATATTTATTTGTGAATTATTTTTGTACTTCTTCCTCGGGTTAACGGTCAGGTCAGCCTTGCTGATTCATTTGCATTAGATTGCAGTTCACAACGTTGCTGACGACGTCGACGGTCGACTTTATTTCTTTTCTTTATTTCTTTTCATTGTTCACTTAATGGCTTTGACTGCAACGGCACATTCAGCTCTCTCAACACGGTGGGACGATACAATCGTGCCAACTCTTCGCAAGAGTACGTATAATACTATAACGTTCTTGTTCAGAAGCTTCTGACCCGTCTGATTCTGACGGACCCGCCTTCTCTTCCTTTTTTTCCAGGACTAGAAAGCGAAAGTCGCATCCTTGCTAAACGCCTGTCAGTGGCATCTTTTTCTTCTACGGACGACACACCAAGGTCGAACGCTCCTTCAATTTCTGGCCATACTCTGCGAGATCTGGCCCCAAGTTCATTTTATTCTCCAGAACACAAGAAATTTAGTGCTATACCCAGACCAAACTTGCAACAGTCAGGAAGTCCTTCAGAAGCATCCCGTGCCAACGGCGCTTCCTCACACAATCCACCATATACGCGCGCTCGCACAGTTTCTCAACCATACTTGTACGATTCTTCTTCCCAACTTAACGGCTACGCGAACGGACACGCTATACCCACTCCAGATCCTTCTCGTCCTACTTCCCCTCGCACTTCTGACGTGAAGCCCACCCGAATACCGATGGTCGCGCGGGGGAGAACCACAAGTACTTCCAGTCACGCTCAGAGTGTCGCGACTCGTACAGAAAGTCGCAATGACGTCCTTTTCCACCAGACGCCTACTCCTGATGCATCTCCTGATCTCTGGATTGTCGACGAGACTGACCCCACTTTGTCAAATGTCACCATTCGACATCAGAGATCAAATATCATGAACGAACCTGCTCCATTTGGGGCGAGTTCTATCAGTTCCTCCACTCTCTCCAAACAATCTCACCACGACACTGGCTTTGCGCCTCCGCGGCCTTCCAATGAATCAGAAGAACGTCCATTTGAACATTGGTACAGAGGAGATGTGCATAGAAACGGTGGCGTCGGGGAACTGCGTGTAGGTAAACGCATGGAGATGTTGCGTATCGCCAACTTCGGACACGACATGAAGTCAAGCACGCACCGTTTTGCACCTCGGGACTTCTCCGCCGCTTTGGAGTACAGCCGTAGACGGAAGAGAGCTGATAGTGCTTCTGGCCTACGGGAAAGAGAGAGTTTGTATTTGGATGAACAGAGAGCAAAGGAGGCGGATATGGTACTGGACGAGAGCCCACCAACGGATATTGACGGTGATCCTGACACTGACCCGGAAGATGACTATAACGCATATGGCAGTGCAGAGGACGTTACTATTCATCCTCCATTCAGTGCGTCTACGCCTGGTCTAGTCAGATTCTCTACAGAGAATACCCGCAGCGAAGCACACCCCACTATCAATACCGAGATGCCACCCACTTCGGATACCCGTTGCACGTACAGCCTCGGAACCCCTCAGAGCCAACACATCCACTGAAACAACACGCAGTTCCGAAACTCTGATTCCATCTCCTGATTCCATCACAAGTTCCCCCCGGCGGTCATTTTCACGATCACAGAATCAATCGCCTGATCGTCCGCCGAGTAACAAACGTCGCGCGAAGAGCCCGGTATCGCCTTCAACACCGAAGAAGTCCAAATCGAAAGCGAAGACGCCACCTTCCGCTGCACGACGGAAGGATGACAATCGCGGCTCGATTGCTTCATATCCAACGCCCGAAGGAGATGGTATGGTTGACGCCATACCCACGTGGACCCAACCAGTTCAGAAGTCGGGCACCTGGGACGAGGTGATTAGATGAAGGTAGTTATATTAATCGTTTCGCTGATCGCTCTTTAGGTGGTATTACCGGTTGTGGCACGCAAGAAAGGTCTAGATAGTCAGTACGAGCAAGCAGATGGCAGCCCTCGTCCGAAACCTCCCAATCCTGTTGTTCCAGTAAGTGTATTTCCAATTCTCTTATCCGACCAATGACTGATGTCTGCATCAGGCGCCTGGCACTTTTGGTTATGATTACTCTAAGTATCGTGCGCCTCAGGGAGAGGAGATACCAATGGATGAATTCGGCGAGCTACCAAGTACGATTCAGGAGATTCCGGCATCGATACCTGAAAGCCCGCCTCCAACACTACCACCACCCCTCACCGAAGAACCAGAGCGACCTATCCGTCCAGCCCGTCGGAAAACGACCCCACGTCCTCCTGATTCTCCAGCACCGTTCTCGCACTACCGACATACAGACATTCCGACCATCAACGTTACGCGACCATCCACTGACGTCGAGCCACCACAGCAAGTACCTCACGACGATGAAGACACAGGCGCTGGGTGCTGCAAGTGCGTTGTTATGTGATTGCGACGATTTCGAAGCATTTGCTCGTTTCTCTTCATTGTCCCATGTTTTCACTTTTCACTTTCACTTTCTCATCCACATCTACATATGTCATCTTCATTCCTCTGGGCCGCGTCATTCAGATTTCTTTGCATATTGGGCGTTCCTCGTTTTTCCGCATACCTTACCACTCAAGACAACTGGAGTGTCATACCTCTCGTTCACTTTCCGCTTCGTATCGTCCTCCACCATACCATTCCCTTGTCGCAAAACAGATCTGTCCCTCTTCTTATGCCGCTCGTTTACCTTGTGTATTATGGATCCATGGCCGGTATTCACTCTCAAACTATTTTAGTGCTCTAGTACTCTGGGTTGACTCACTTACATATACATCATCAGTGATATTCTTGTTGTGCATCGCGAGTTGCCAGTCCAAAAGTTAGAAACATTAATCGTATGACATTGCTGGACGGAGAATCGAGAGCCGCTAGACTGAGACAATTTTCAAGCTCAAGCTCAAGCTGCACATAGTCAATTCACGCTATCGACAGTGGTACTATAATTTATTGCCATGTACAACGACTCAAGGACAAGCCTCAGTAACAGTAAACGATCTGCTAGCTCCAAGTAGTCCATCCTCATCTACACACACTTCCTCAGTCGAGAACCGAACATCTACATGGTATGTCCCAACTTCATCACTCACGTCTACGTGTGTCATGTTCGCAAACTGGAGAAGGACTTTCCCGTCCTTCGACCAGGCGATGCTATAGCTTTCCTCGCTGGAGACAGAGTGTTCTCTAAACTCAGCAAGCGGAACCAGATCAACTTCAACTTCGAACGTTCTGCGGCGATCACGCCCACACATTATCTTGAAGTTGTCGATGAGATCGATACGTTTGAGTAGCGATAGCCAAAGGCCCTCCAAGCACACTTTGCAGAAGTTGGGCTTGGTGACGCTGCGCATGAGACAATCGTCGTTCGTAGGACGATAAGATGTATCATTATCCATGCTGAATCTTCACACCAGTCAATGGCTTGAACTCCTTGACCTGAAAACCACCCACTCACGTCGGGAACATGCTATAGTGACCGAGCGTCGCATTGAATCTGTCATTGGTATTAGATCTCCCGGATCAATGGATAGGCGCGATCACGACATACTCAGCTTCTGTCCCATATTCCAATACCTCTACGCTGCACAGTTGCGCGTTTCCTTCAAGAGCGTTGTTCTTTAAGACAAACGAGATTTCGTGTACGCCAGCGCTCAACGTCGTATCCTCATAAACATCATAGTGCCATCTATCGACGCCGATATCTTTTCTTGGGGTCCAGCGTAAATCGACCCTGTCGAATAGGACAACCAAGTCATCTCGATCTGGGAGGCCGGACAGCGAGAATTTGATCAGATGACGTGCGTAGTTTCCTGATGACAAGAAAGAAATCGTCCATGGTTGAGTTGTATTCAGCAATGTCCATGGATACGCTTGCATCGGCATCACGGACCGTTCTGCGCGGAACATGTTTGCATCATCTTCCTGGTGCTCGAGCCAGTGTGTCCACGTCATGTCTGAGAGATTGTGAACAGCATTAACACCGAAATAAGCATATCCTCCATCATATTCTTCGCCTACGTCGATGATGGAGTGGCCGATCTCGTGTCGAAGGACCAACGCCCCGTTTGCTAGGGAGGCGGTGGTTGTCCTTCACACCTTTTGTCAGTATGTCGAAGACAATAAGTTAATGCGGAATCGCAAACATACGTATACTCTCCGCCAAGTCCTGGGCATAGAAGAGTAGTCAGGGTGATGCAGTATATAAAGATAAGTACTAGACATCTTACCACCATATAATGGATCATTGCCTTTCATAAGTGAGCCTGAGAGAAGCAGCTGAAGGATGTATTCAAAACACGTACCAAGGAGAATCGCATAGTTACATTTATTTCCGAGAGACGCGCAGGTCATTAAAGCAACATCGGAGTTAGTTTGCGTATAGGCCCCTCAACTCCGTGCCATCGCGATATAACCCAAAGGGAGTCCTAGGCCGGAATGTTTATGAAGCAAACTATTTACACATGGATATGATAAGCACCTCTTAGCTTTCCCGTTGACACCCACGCCGCTCTAGAGGATGGATGGATCAGCCTAGAGTTTGATAGTAAATTTGGGGGAGCACTGACTTCTTGACTAGGTGAGAACACCGCCCAGAAGTTCAACAGAGGCCTGACGGTAGCGAACGTCTGATTTGCTGACAAGTCGGTGACCAGACGCATTGCATCATCAAGAAACTTGTCTCTTTCACGCATTGTATCTGTACATTAGGTAAGGACTCAGGCTATGACATGCAGAAAGACAGAAGAAAACGCACACCCGTCGGAGAAGAAAGCAAGATCGATACGGTTGTCTGACGGCCCAGATTGCAAAAGACTGACGACTTCTAGCGGCGGGACGGGGACATCTAATAGAATACCATGCAACACCCCTTGATCTTCAAACGAGACTTGCGTCTCGAATCCATTCAAGTTGAGTCCACTTTGTCCAACAAACGATAAGTCATTCGAACACTCCATCTGCGCACGAAGCCATAATTCGTTGGTATTATATGATAGAAACCGTATTATTTCTTCATCGCCAAGTGATCCAGCAGATGGTACAATATTGTGCTGCCCGATTATCTGCCCTGATGTCGCTGGCAAGCTGAGACTCTTGTGCAACTGTGTCTTGCCGAAAGACACGATGTCACATGAGCTACGGTTTGTTTCCCGTCGAAGAGTTAGTTGGTATGGTCGAAAATTCCAGTGTGCACCAGTACTAGCCACAAGGGCAAATGCAACAGTACTAGTGGTCAGCAACGTCTTCATGTTCAATTATCACGTTGGATTAGGGAAACGCACGGTATAACCGCGTCTATGCCGGGTTGAGGGTCGGGTTTATGGTACCTTGAGCAGACCGTGGCATCACCGCGGGTACGTGTGGCGGGTATAATATACAATCGGAAGACGCATGAAATGATCTCTGTTTTCTTCCTGAGACTTGGGATACAATAATCTATAATGTCTGCAACCCGTGAATATTCTAAGCATATTGAGCTGACACTACCGTTGCGAGAACTCACACCAAAAAGCAAAAACTCGAAACCATAATACTGAGTCTCTCCCATGAAAACTAGCAAGAGGCATTGAGCCGTCTACCCAGTCACATCATCTCAAGTCTCTCGGATCTCGAAGGCCGGTCCAAATAGGCGTGCAAGGGGCTAATTGCCGCCCTGAAAGGTCAAGCATCATTTGGTCTCGTCTTTCATCGCAGAACCGTTATCTTAGCGATCAAGTAGATCCTTGCCACTGACGATACAACAACGCAGTGCTTCGAGCCTATCGATCTTCTGCTATCTGTAGTTTCTTCCATGATTGCAAATGATATCATGAACAGTTGAAGACTTGGCGGTCCCTCTATAGTTCTTGCATCCGAGTTTGTCACCCACACTGGTCATTTTTCCGTGTGGTGGCGTAATCCTTTGGAGGACTCAAAAACGAGCGAATGAAGTCGAAGAGAGGAGAAGAACAGGAAAGTGTACTATTTACATTGGTATACTATACACTCTCTGGAATTACCCCCGTGTTCGAACACCGCGGTGTTTCCATAACCCCGAGCGGTCGGTGTGTACCACCCGTGAAGGGACGGTGTTGCGGGTGGGGGCGGTGTCACTTCCGACCCGGTGTACCCGTGCGATGGTATCGAATAATGATCGATTTACCAAACACTCTACGCATACTGCGGAACTCAAGTACTCACTAAGTCTCCCACCAGAATCCTGGACAAGCGAAGCAATATCTCTACTACTCTACACTTGCTAAACGTGCCACATATGCCCTCCGCAAGTACGATCATCCCTTCCTAAAGAAACCACTCCCCCTACCCCTCCCCCGACCTCCAACTAAAGATGTACTCGATGATCTCATCTAAAGAGCTAAAAGACTGGGCGAAGAGATCACTCGAGACTAGACCGCGCTCGTCTATATCGGAGCAGCGATTAGCTCAGGAACGACTGCAGCAGAAACGCGCCCGCTTTGGGAGAGTTTATCCAATCGGACGCGATGTTATACCAGGGAAGTTACCGAGGCTAGTAAGATTGATGAAGAGGGTGATGAAGAAGAAAAAGGCACCGGCGTGACCTGCTTCTTATACAAGGACGGGTCAGTTCTCCTCCGTTCCTGGCAACTCAGCTATTCATTTGAATAAACCGCCAGAATTCCTCATAGCGACAGAACTTCTGGACATATACAAACTCTAGCAAGTCGATATCCGCACTCAAAGTTCGTGTCAATTGTGGGCAACAAATGCATTGCAGACCTCCCAGATTCTCGAATTCCCATGTTGATTATATATCGCAAAGGGGAAATACGAAATCAACTTATTGCATGGGGCGCTGATCGCGAAAGGCAACTTGAAGGCAGGCTTATTTAATTTCACGATATCACTGCATGTTAAGTTATAAAATTATTGCAGAACTCGAGGCCCTTCTGATTTTATGTGGCGCCCTCGATCTTCCCCACGGCCCACTCGGCGAACGACGAGCGCCCGATGGCGACGACTCAGAGGAAGAAGACGATGATACGTCTTCTCGCATGCGGTCTGCTGCCACAAGTACGAATGCTCGGGCACCCAAAAATATACGGGCGCAAAGCAAGAAAGACGACTCAGACTCGGAATTTGAATTTGACATCTAGTTTGCAGCTGTGTCAGAATTTCAGAAGTACCAAAACGTACCCCCCTTTTGTTTCGTGCTGTGATTTTTCTGGCCGATCTGCCTTCCGTTGGTACGAACCTGCACTTTTTAAGATGTACGAGAGTTTCCTTATGTACCGAGCCCCAGATGTACTCACTCCACTTGGGGCATTGCGAAAAAGGATAATACTTTGAAGGTTAGCGAACAACCCGAGCAGAGGGATGTCTACAAGGTAACATTGAAACTTGCCGTTGGCCTCGGTTGACCTGCATGATTCCTTTTCGATATATGATCTTGAATTCCGCTCGGGAGCACAATCGTAATGTGGAAAATCATCAACATTTCGTGGCACTGCCAAATTGGTTGGCAGAGCGTTTGCAGGGTTTTGCCCACAACATTAGGCCACCTGGCGTGTAAATCGTTGGAAATGGGTAGTTTCTAACCAGACCTTCCGGGACCACCGATCAGGTTCTTCCGTGGTTGGTGACTGTGTTGTGTTTAATTCAGAACTTATCTGGTTCGAAACCAGTAATTATCATGCTTGTTACTCATTCGTCATATATTGATCATGATCAGGGTCAATATGTACGTGTCCTCGAAAGACAGGGCGTGTACCGTCACAACTAAATGCCCTCATCGGTCTAGTACGACACTTATATTTGCCTAACGAATCAAAAGTATAAAATTTGAATGACTGACAGGAGAACCTCGACGTCACTCTCGTACGTACTTATCCGTTTCTTTTACATACGCAATCACTCCTCGTTCCACACCTCATACACGTTCACCTTTGATTCTCCGTCTCAATCAGCGTATTAATTCCTCTCTCCTCGAACAAATTTCTCAGTCTTTTGATCCGAGACCGAGTCAGGGTCCCGTCTAGTTCGAGCCTCTTCATTCTTTCCCCATAGTATCACCCCCCGAAAGATGACGGACTGCAATGAACCGGAGGCTAAGCTTGAAGCTCTTTTGGACATTATCAACTCCTCTGCGCACCAAGCAATTGCGGAGTACAAGAAAACCGGATATGGGGTCCCCAGTACCGATGCAACGACCTTCCACCCCCTCGACCTGACGACGGATACACTTGCCCTCAAAAAGGCGATCAGACTGCTCGAAGGCGCATACCATCAACTGAGCTCAATACTGGCACCCCCCCAGCACACAGTGATGAATGTGAGTGTCGTTTGCAAATGATCTCTGCTCTGTTGTTAATTTCCTTAGTTCGTTTTCAATTACAACTGGGCGTGTACAGACGTTGCCTTCCGAGCGCGTCTTGCAGATGTTCTGGACCAACATCCGGAAGGCCTTACCGTGGATAAGCTGGCTGAAGCAGTCAACCTCGACAAGGTCAAGACTGCACGCGTCTTACGAGCTTTGACCCTCATGGGATGCTTTAAAGAAGGTAACATGCATGTTGTTGGTTGAGGATCGTCTCTGAAACATGTGTTGCGTCAAAAGTCGAGCGAGACGTCTTCGCAAACAACCGACTATCCCTTATACTCAAGTCAACGAACAACACTGGGTATTATGCGCGACTTCATAGCCAGGATGTCGCGAAATCCGCCGGCGTTGTGTATGAAACTATGATCGACGAAGAATTTTCAAGATCGCATGAGATTGACAAAGCACCTCGGATATTTGCCTTCAGAAAGGAGGGTATGAAGGTTAATCAATACGAAATGTTGGAGGATGACGTGAGTTATTGTCATCACATTACCCCTTCACTACCTTGACACATTTTAGGACAAGAAACGTGATGTATGTATGGTGTCATCCTCGAGTGATGGCTCACAATGCTTTGTACAGGCTTTTCACAGAGCCATGCTTGGCCAGAGTGATATGTTGGGCGCTTCTGCAGTGCTACACCGTAAGTCATCACAGTTTTCGAATCATTAACATGTCTGAGAGGCAGGTCGTAAGACTATCCTTGGAGCGATATATCGTCTGTGGTGGATGTCGGATCTGGCATTGGAGCATTTTCTACTCCTCTGGCAAAAATGTATCCTCGCCTTAGAATAACCCAGCATGATCTCCCGAAAGTCATGGTTCTAGCACAAAATGTGAGTTCGGATATTCAGTACACAAGTATTCCAGCGGGCACATTGTTAATATTTGATTAGGCATGGGAGAGGAACGCCCCTGAGGCATTGCTTGACGGCCGCGTGGAGTTCATCCCAATTAATTTTCTCGAGGACACACCTGTTGTTGGGAAGGATGTCTACTATGTAAGAGTCTAATTTCGTTTCCATTCGTGGCCGGTAATTTGATCATCTCACTACATAGTTGAGGCACATTATCCACAATTGGCCGGACACCGAGGCAACGACGATCCTCCGTAACATTCGCAAGGCAATGGGACCAAACAGCCGAGTGCTAATCCGTGAGTGTTATCTTCAATGTGGTGTTCACTCCAAACCATCATCTCGTGCTAGACGATTGCGTGATCTCCCACACATTTCAAAAACCTGGTGTAGGAACTAACGGATTGAGCGTCGTAAGTTTCAGAGTGCAGCCTGGCGTATTTCTGAATTCATGATCCCCAAGGCCCCTGAACCTATGTTGCCGAACTTCGGGGCAGGTAGTCACAACGCATACCAAACAGACCTGACTATGTGGTTCACTTTCAATAGCAAGGAACGAACCTTGGAAGAGCTGCAGATCATTGGGCAAGTTCCTTATAGATCTATTGGATTATTCGACTAATGATGGTGGACAGGGCCGCCGCTGGTCTAGCACTCACCCAGGTTTATGATCTTGTAGATACAATGCTCGTAGAGCTCAGGATCGCTCAGAGTTGATGCCAACAGCAAGATCTCCGAATATATGACCCGTGTCACGGGTATTTAGCGCTATAGCAATCGTGGATCTGCTCATGGAATTACTATGTATAACTTTGCCGTATGCTACCGTATCTACCAGGAACATAAAAATAGTTTCAGAAATCGAAAAGGTTTTGATGTCTGAAACTGCACATCGAGCGGGATTGGACGTACAGTTTCACTATTACGAGCCGACGAATTTTGAACCGCGGGATCAAACACTCTATCCTTTGACACCCCACTTTATCTACCTACTTTTCATGCAGCTGACTTCCTTGTCCCACCGTCTCTTTTGCCGAACGTATTCCAATAACTCGCATGGGCGTTGCCGGGGCTTACACCGGTGTCTCCTCTTCCGAGAAATATGTGTTTCCAGCTTCGTCGCTTTTCCTCGTGGCATCCGAGGCACCTCCGAGTCCTTGCTGTCAGTACTAGCTTTATATAAGCTGCCACAAGGCATACTTAGAACTAGATGGTAGAACATCCCTAGACAGATGATCGCCTGAACTACCTGTGTCCGTTCCTCCGTTGAGCGCTGCAGGATTGTTGCCGCGCGCCCCACATGCATGCGAGGTACCTCTCGCACTGGTTGTTCCGCTGGCACACGGTCAATATTGCCCGTTCAACCACACGACAAGTTCGCATTACTCATCGGGAACACCTCCTTGGTGTAAATCTGCTAGCTCGAATAGAGTGGTCAACATCGCTGCGTCGGTGAAATGGCACATTTATGAGGATTGATTAAAGATCTTGACTCGGAAGAGTTGAGGTCGAAAGTTGGTCAAAGGGAGTTACATAAACTCTAATACATTTTACGTAAAGGAGATGCCAGCAGCACGGAAGCAATAACAGACCAGCTCTGAAGAAGGACACACACCCTGTCGAAATTTGACTCCGTTCAATGTTGGGGTGTAGCGGCCTAGTGTACACGAGCTATACATAGACTGCACACGTATACATCAAAGAGAAGGAGCAGGTCGAAAACGAACTATATGCGTGGCTGCAAACACTAGGACTCGGAAGCGTCGCGCACAAGTCACGTTATGCAAGTTACTTGTCATTTTGCTCGAGTCAAGCCTTTGCCCACATGATTAGTCTGATCAAGGGAAGGGGTCCGAATCTTTGTTTGACTTGACTCGTCTAATTGGTACAAGCCAGGCTGGCCTTGCGCCTGTGGTCTACCCTTATTTGGAATTCGGATGTTGCAACCCAGCACCCGGCAGCGCATCGTTCGTGGTGCTCTACTCGCTAGCAACACCGATGCCGCTACCAGCAATCCAGTGTCGAGCATGACAGCACCTGCTGCATATTCCCACCTATGTGGCCTGTCGAGAAGCAAAGAGTACCAACGAGCCCCAACAGCCTCCTTAAGCCCAGTCGGATTCGACGATAGCGCGCAACCTCTGTAGTTGGCGGAACACAAGATGGTTGCCGAGATATTTGCGTCCTCAAACAACCTTAAGACAAGGAGTCCTAACATGCCTCTCCCTCGAAGCTTGTCAATGCTGTAAGTCTTTGTTTGCCGTCGTGCTAAGTGTTGTGCTCATGTCAAGCCGAACGTTCCCAGAATGTAACTCTTTTGCCTGGTAATCGCTTTTCTGCTTACCTTGTTATTGTTGCTTTCATCCTCTCGCTCTCCTAACTTGGTCCCAGCTGCTTAGGTGTCATGTCACCTGCACTCATGCTGTAGCAGATGAAGATTGTGGTCGTTGGGCATCCGTGATGTTTGCCAACTGTTCTTCTCGTCGATCTGATTCCATGTTGTATGCGAATGCTGCACCGTTCTGCGCGTTCCCGCATTGTTCTGTTTGTCACTGCTGCATCAATCTGTATGCTACACAATTCATTAAGCATGAGCACGCGATCCCCAATGTATGGGTCTACTGAACGGCCTGCCACGTCAAGATTTCTGTGGCTCAAGTGCTCATGGTTGACTTATGGTCATATTTACTCCGGTGGATGCACCGATCTGGTTGACTGGTGGTGATCAAGTGATCACCATTCGTGCTCCCACGGTAAGTATCCTGGAATTGCCCGTGAGTATTGGGCACTTGACTTGGACCGTGACCGCATACCGCCCTGGGCCCCATGCACGTCATGACTGACATGAAGACCTCAATGCCCTCCGAGTCAGCCCCAAGCACATTAACATCCAATGTAGAGCTCGACAAACAGGCTCCGCCTTTATTTGGGCATGCTATGCACAAGCTATTCGAGTTTGACCCATCTTACGTGAACCTTAACCATGGTGAGTTCTATCAGGCAATATCAATATCGTACATTGATTCATGGCCGATGCATCGAAGGTTCGTATGGTTCATTGCCCATACCAGTCAGAGTTGCATGCGATAAGCTCAGCACTCACATCGAAGCTAACCCAGACAAATTCATGCGCATCGAGTGCATTCATCACTGGATCGAGGCTCGTACTCGAGTGGCCAAGCTGATAGGGGCAGATACTGATGAATGCGTTTTGGTGAATAATACATTACATGGCCTGAACACGATTCTCCGCAACTTCGAGTGGCATGAAGGGGATGTCATCATTGAGAGTAGGTCAAGAATCACCATGTTGAAGTTCCCCCACTTATTATTATTCCCTTTTCCCATAAAACAGCGACCACAACTTATAATGCCGTGTCCCGAGCGATTAATTATCTCGGAGATATTCCACCATATCCACAAGTATCCACATTCAATCTTCAGTTCCCTACCACACATGCGGATATACTGGAAAACTGGCGAGAACATATACGTCGAGTGACTTCGGAAACGAGCGGCCTCCAGCAGACTCGCAAGGTCGTCGCCGTAGTAGACGCCATCGCGGCCAACCCTGGTGTGCGTCTTCCTTGGAAAGAAATGGTGGCCATTTGCAGGGATGCAGGTGTTTGGTCAGTGGTGGATGCCGCGCATTCAATTGGCCAGGAAGTGGATATCAATTTGTCGGAGGCGAAGCCTGATTTTTGGGTATCGGTTAGTCTGTCAATTCTGACTCGTGATACCGTAGTCTTGACCGGCTGACCTGAACAGACTTGCCACAAATGGCTCTTTGCAAAGAGAAGTTGCGCGGTCCTTTATGTGCCAAAACGGTATGTTCCAACCTTCCAGAAGTATCATATCGAATGATATTCGATGGGATGGGATAGAAACCAGCATGTTATCAAATCTTGTATACCCACTCCACGCAATTATTGCTCACCTCGAGACAAGGATTACAATGGCCCGCAAAGTTTCGTGAATCTTTTTGAAAGTTAGTTCTTTTGGAGAAACTATGACTTCGAGTGCTCATGTCTTATTGATTGCTAGGGACGGGGACCATAGATTATGCTCCATTCCTAAGCGTGAATGCAGGTTGGTGCGAAATTCTCATCAGCGCCACTGTTCTGACTTGCGACCAGCCTTGGACTTCAGACAGTGGCTCGGCGGCGAACATAAGATTAACGAATACACTCACAATCTCGCAATCGCAGGCGGGAAGTATCTGGCAAGTCTTCTAGGAACCAGTGTAATGGACCCTGACGGTGACTTAACCCTGAACATGGTGCGTTAATGCAGTTTTCTGTTTCTTTGTTCACCTCATGTTCCTTGGTCAGGTTAACGTGGAACTGCCCATTCCTGACGACATTAAATATTCGAATGAAATTAACACCCTGCTGATAAATACGTTATTAACTGAGTGGAACGTGTACGCTGTTCATTACTACCACAATGGAAAATGGTGGACAAGGTGTAGCGTGCAGATATGGAACGAGGTGAGAAGTATCTGTTCGTGAAGACATCTTGATTCTTACCGGTAAAAATCAGATTTCAGACTTCGAAGTTCTTGCCAATGCTTTCAAGGACGCGTGCCAGAAAGTAGTGAAGTTTGCGAAGTAATAGATACTCAATTCATGTACAAATATATTTCTTACAAGAAAGAGATTGAACGGACTAAAATCTACCTGCTGACTAAGCCACTGGACTAAAGGTAGCGGAACAAAAACTGCTAGATGTAACTTCAAGGGTGCACACCATGGCGAAAACCGAATTAATCGACTCCCATATTTCCGTGAAACAGTGCACACGGGCCGTACATGCACTGCATACATATGCCTTAACAAAACAAAAGGAACAGGAGGAAAACGAGCTTTTACCATCCAACGAGCAATATGTATGGCTACAAATTACAGTAAAGCGGATGCACCCCGAACACAAGATCAAACCATTCAAAATGTACGTTTTACTGCTCTTCAATGGGTGTGCAATTGTGACATTTCCAAGCCCACTCAAGCATCCTCTCATCGATCCACGAGTTACGCCTGTCTGTCTCATCACCAAAGATCCTCAGCGAGAGTACAAAGACCTTCTTGAGTCTCATAAAATCAAATTCATACCAAGGGTCGTCGGGATCACAAAACTCAAGGGCAAATTCAAGTCCTATGAAGCCAGGCGAATGCTGCTGAAAGAGAATGGAATGTTCCTAGCAGATGAACGTGTAATTCCTTTGCTACCGGGCTTGTTGGGAAAGAAGTGGTTTGATGCAAAAAAGTAGGATTGCTCGAGACTACCTCTATCGCGAGCATACCTGAATTTATCTTGCAGACAGCCTATTCCGGTCTGCTTGACACGCAAAGATCTTAAGGGTGAATTGGAGCGAGCCATCGAGTCAACCTACATGCATCAGAATAGAGGAACGTGCACGTGCGTTTATTTTTACCTGCCTCCTGATGCAAGCCTGATGCAATGTTGGTTGTCAGGTCTGTTAAGATCGGACTACTATCGCACGCGCCAGAAAAAGTCCTTGACAACATCAAAATATCTCTCCCTGCCATTGTGAACAATATAAAGGGTAACTGGGATAACATTCAAAGTCTTCACATCAAGACAAATTCGAGTATCAGCTTACCGATATGGACATGCGAACTCGGAGATGCGACGGGCGGACGGTGGGATGGTATGGTCCAATCCAAGGACACACCTGAGAAGAGTAAGTCAGATGAGGACTCTGATTCTAACGACACAGACATGGATTTGGAGGAACATGTGCCGGAAATGCCAGTCAGCAAGGGTGAGAGCAAGGGCACGAAGAAACCCCTGAGCGAGATTGTTGAGAAGTCAGTTACGCCGAAGGAGGTGAAACAAAAACGGAGCGCTGAAGGAGCAGAGAAGAAGAAAGTAAAGTTTGTGAAAGGTGGCCCAACAAAGAGCGCGAAGGGAGCCCTCATTGGCAAAAAGCCAGGTCGACCGTGATTACCTGCCGCTGGATAGTATGTTGTTGAGCAGACATGTATTGCTGATATTCCCATATGATTGTTTGCGAGCTTGCTCAGATACCTCAGTATTCCTTCGCCCTAGGCGTATACTGCCAGCGCTGTCCAAACGCCATTTTTTGTATTTCCTTATCATCGCTCATTTGTTACTTACCTGTCAGTTAAGTATGCACGACAGCTTTTGGATGAGTAATGGCAAATATTGTGACTCCGAGTGCCGAACACTACCTTCCTTTTTGGTCATGATCGGAGTCGGTAGCCAGTACTTGCCGATGCCACTGTCATCTTGCTTTTCCTTTCACACCTAGTACTACAATGGCCAGTAGGAAGTCCACAAAACTGCGTATACCGCATGCTCAAGATGATTGCGAGCTGGTTGGTATTTTGGAACAACTGGCACCTGAAGAGTCCACGCAGGGCAGAAAGATCGCCCTGGTATGATGCTGATCATCATCCCGATCTTTACAAAATTACTTGACTCGTCGTATGTTCCAGATTCTCCATGGGACTATGGGGTACGTTCCTACTATTTCTGCTCTTCTCTCTTCTTATCGCACTCCAGGCATAAAGACTACTTGTTCCAAAAGCGTCTTGCACTACGTTTCCCGATGGACTCATTCAGATTTGATTTTCGGTCCGTCAACCGTCCGTCTTGGCGTTAATCTCTATTGAGTCACATAGAGCAGCGGCAATCACGAAAGTGGTGGCCAACGGACACAAGGTGGATTGCGAAAGACGTCGAAGACCTCGTGACGGTCGTTTCTTACCTCCGCAATACGTATGGGTACGAGATTGATGTAGTGGTGGGCCATTCTCGTGGTTCTGTCGTCGGGATGTATTGGCTATGCACATCCGAAGAAGGCAGGCATGCTCGTGCCATGGTCAATGTGTCAGGCCGTTACCGAATGCATGTGAGAGAAATAACCTCCCGTGTGCTGCAAAATAACTGAGTTAGCCGTAATTAGCGAATTTACGGTATGCTCAAGAGTTTCGAAGTCCAGATGATCGGTTACCTGATCCTGATTTTTAGACGTTGCCGAGGCCTACAAAGAGCAGTGGGACGCCAAAGGTTACTACGAGCGGACCATAACAGTCGCTCGCTCGACAACCAATTGTGGAAAGGATCTATCCACACGATCTAGAGGAGTTCTCTCGGTGGAACAGTGCAATCGTTTGGGACAAATTTCCTGGTCAAATCCATGTTCTGACAATGCATGGTCTCGTCGACAAGACAGTTCCTACGTGAGTGTTTGTGAACTGATAGCGGATGACAGGGGAAAAAAATACCCATTACAACAGATATGATGCGATTATTTACTCTCGAGCACTTGGTGCCAGAACGCCTGGAACCCACAACCTGCATTTAATAGAGGAGGCCGATCACAATTTTACAAATGTGAATCTCGATTCTCATCGTCGTGACTACTGCTAACAATATCCTTAGCGTCAAGACGAGGTTGTAGACTGCATCCTGGAGTGGTGGGATGCTCTTAACCAAGGACGCTTGAAAACAGGCATATTGATGACAGGCGTACGTGGCAAGCTGTGACTGCGAGTGCCTGGTCCTTGCGAAAATTAGTCGAATATACGTGGACACTAAGTAGTGGAAATATATTCAGTGAGTCCATCACCCCGCGCTGCCCACGCCATTCTTTGGACAGCTTGCGAATTTTCGCTGTGCCCCAGAATCTCTGGGCGCAGTAGGCTCTCATGTTCAGCGGTCTCACCCGTTATTTCACCCGTAATGCAGTATTTTAATCTCATTTTTCATGGCACGGAAAACCCAGAAAAAAAATCGTCAGCTGTGTAGTTTCATATACTCGCTCAGGGTGATTCCCTGGTGAATGAGTTGAAACACAATAGAAAGTTGAAACAACGACAATAGTGCATCATTGATCATCCAGGATACCTGTCTCCACGGTCAGCACCGCATACTACTTGGATGCGCAGTACAGCACTTTAACCAAACTTGATTCAGGCCGTTGATTTGGCAAAGCACAGGTTGTTGATCGGCAATCACTCTGACATGCCACTATGTCTGCACTGCAAGCGTGCTATGGGAGTCTTAATCACGGCTGGGCGTTCCTCGGACAAGATAGCAAGCCGGGTGTCCTCGTCCTCGTCTTTGATACTACCAAATCCGTGTATCAGAAAAAGTTCGGAGATTCTCGACAAAGTGTGGCGCCAGGCCGAATAGACACGCAGCATTGATGTTTTCGATAACCCACAGGCGCCACCGCAGTGCAATGTCCCGCTGAAGCACAATCAAATTAACTCCAACAATTACTAGTTACTAGCTACTGTAAGATTCAAATAGCGAACCGAATGCCAAATACATAGTAAGATCTGTGGTGAATCAAAGCATGGTCCATATGATACAACCTAGATTTAGCCCGGATTGCAATCTGAATGATCTTCCTCCTCGTGTTCCTTCCCTGCAAATCCTCTTTTGCATATATTAAATGGTGATTATGCGGCAATACATCCCAGCGCATGCGGTGGGGAGTCTGAAGGTCGTGGTGAATTAAGATAGTGGTGACGTATGATTATGGGGTTGTCGGAAAATGGGAGCGTGCTCAGAGAGCGAGTGTTATGGGGGTGATAGACGCCATGTGGCGTTGGATGTGCTTAGGCAAAAAAATGCCTCCACTTCAGAAGAACACTGGTGCGACTGTGCTAGCGCCAGCACGAATAGTGGTGCGCTGTGACGAGTATTGTGACGACTGCGAGTGTGATTGACCATGCGAGTCTGGATGACTCGAAGGTGATTGTGAGCTGGGATTGCTCGAGTACGACTTCGATGAAGCGTAAGCAGCTTGTGAAGTGTTAGAGGTGTTGTATTGGCTGCTCATGACGTGTTCGAGGTAAGGTTATTTGACTCGGAGGAGTTCTGGTACACTGTTGGAGTGGTGGTAGGAGTGTTTTCTGAATGACTGGGCTGGCATTGCAGGCTCTTTATAGGTAGCAGGTTCATCGCCTTTTGCTGTATTGAATTAAGAAAGATTTCGAGATCTGGACTGCCGGGACCGACACCGTGACAGCCTGACAGGCCCGATCGAGAATAAAGGAAGGGGTACTACGTACTCTCACGGATACGCCATGGCTTGGGAAGGCACATCAACTTTGCTTGAGAGCTTATTAATAATATTGGCGCTCAATTCAAGGATAGCGTTTTACCAACGGAAGGAAACAGCACCAGTAGCGTGCTTGATAGCACAGGCTGCCGCTGCCACAGTTCCGCTGTGTACGTAGATCGGCATTTGCCGCCCCGCTCTCACACGCTTCTTACCTCCGATGCTGTACAGATTTGGTCCTGACTCCAGGATGTGAAAACCTATTATGGCGAATAGTCTAAGGCATGCACCCTTTTGTTAGGAACTCTTCTCTTTTTCCAGTACTCGTCGGATTCTTGTTTCATTTGGTTTCCCCGAAGCACTCGGCACATGCTGTAGAGGTATACTTATGATTGCCGACGGGGATTCGTCATGAGGGTCCGAACTTCCGAGTCATCCAGTGTCAAATGATCTTGCTCTAAGTTTGATGACTAACGTACGTACGGTCTTGCAAGGCACGTTCTCGTTAGCACTCTTCTGTGAGATATATGAAAGCAATTGTCTGGCCAAATCCGTGCCTGATACTTCGACTCAGTAGTATCATACGGTGAGTCAGAATGACCACTGAATATACCCTTCTTTGAAACTCGCTCAAATCCTAACCACTTTGGCGGCAAAACACAACTCGATACCGAGGTCCCGAAGAATCCCCATCTTGTAATCAGTCTGACAATAGCGATGAAAAGGCAGCGAACAAGGTTACATGTAACTTAGGGCACACACTGGTGCATTCTGAGTTTGACCCTTGAAGAATGAATAATTTGATTCCGGAGAGCCCCGCTGTTCCTATCATCGGTTTGATTTTTGGGGCTCGTACGGTATCAATCATTCTTGCACTGTTTGTGGTAAGCGGACGCTGACATCCGATGACTCCTCCACAGTCCACAGCACATTCACGTAGTACACGTTCAATGAATAAATCTGTCTGGCGCCAGCTATTGATTCCATCCCGCACTGCCTTGATGCTGTGTAAAAATTTAACTATAAAAATAAGCGCGAAGAGTTGGCAGATTCTTGAAACATGATGTGTTTGGGTTTCTATTGAACTTCGACAACGATCTTCCCGCTAACAATGAAGTCTCGGCCACCGCTAGATCTTCCGATGGAGACAGCGCTCACCTATTCTTATTGTCGGCCATCTCATGATGAGCACTTTGGATCTCTGCCCAAGGATACACCTGTGGAATTGTATGTCCGTGTCCGACGGGACGAGAAGAGCAGAAGAATATACTCACTTTGTGGATGTAAGTCCGCATCGGGCCACCCCCGTTGACGCCAGTTACCTTATCGATCATATCACGGAAACTTAAGCTTATAAGATAAGTCAGTCTGGAAGGGAATCACATCAGACAATATTATGACAATACCTTGCTATGAGCTCGGTCTGGTACTGTATACTACGGGAACGCAACGTAGAACCTTGAATGCGGAGACGCTTGTAAAGGATCGGGCCAAGGTTGACCACGGGGACCTCGCTCCCTAGCCAACCATTTAGTCACGAGTTTTTGGATTTCAAGACATAACAAATGCCTACCACTCAAAGTAGCTAATAGCGTCATCCTACCATCAATGGCGAGGGATTCCACATTCTTGGCCCAATGACTTTGTCCAACGAAATCTATGACAACATCAGCACCTTTACCGTTGGTCGTTTTCTTCACCTCCGCGGCAAAGTCTTCAGTTTGTAATTGACAGTATGTGTCGCCCCGTTAGGAATAGATCGCAACCAATCGAGTTTTTCTGTGGTAGACGCCGTTGCAGTGACGGTTGCCCTGTGAACACGGCGCAATACGTATTCAGCAAAAACGTGCAGAACAAGGAAGAACAGCATCGAAGGCAGTGAGGACCGGGAAACTGAATACCGGAACACTCACGCTCCTAATTCTCTTGCCATTTGGATAGCCGCAATGCCTACACCAGAAGCGCCTGCATGGACGAGTACATGATCGCCCTTCTTGACTTCCCCGTACTTCACAAGAGCTTGATAGGCTAAGAATAGTCCCAGAGTGGTCAGAACCGAAGACGACAGCTTAGTTGGCTGATCTGCCGTACTCACCTGTAATATAGTTTTCTGGTATGCTGGCTGCCTCCACCCAAGATAAGTGACCGGGCTTCTTCAACAAGAGTCCTTCGTCACAGCTTACGAACTCCGCATAAGCTCCCTGAGATACCCGTGACATTTTTAGTCAGTCAAGAACATACACTTTGACTTGGGCAATCGACTAACGCCGCCCACGAGACCAAATACTTCATCTCCAACAGCCCATCTTGTTACTCCTTCCCCGAGTTCAGTCACACGTCCAGAGAATTCCACACCAAGAATGGAGGAAGCGCCTAGGGGAACAGCATATCTACCCTCGCGCTGATAATGGTCCATGCGATTAATGCCGAACGCGACAATCTACCACGAATATTCCATACCGGACTAGATCAATTTACGTAGATCCATGAGATGAAGAAAGTCACGGACCTTTACCAAACCTCTCCCTTCGTTGGGACTGGTTTATCTGTCTCTCCAATGTACAGGTTCTCAATGGGACCCTGCCCGTCCTTAATTAAAACAGCGTGCATTCTGGACATGATCACGGTAGGGTCGGCTGTCATGGATGTCATGGTTCGAACGATCGTTATTGTGTCTATGATGCGTGATGTGCGTGGATGTTTGAACACCCGAATTCTATCTCTAAACATCGGCTTCCTGCCAGATTATACATTTCAAATTGGGTTAACTAATTATAAGAGGCTTTGTATTCCACGAAAAGTCAGCGACTACCCAGCTGTCTCCGTAAAGAATGGCCCGCAGACATCGCAGGGAAGTCTAACTTCAGAAGTTGTTCAAAGGTCACCGCTCTCGAAGCAACGATGTTTAGTCGGCGGTATGATCGAAAGTGAATTCAAACTGAAATGGTGGATATGACTGCCTGATCGATGGTGAGTGCATGGTGAGCACCGTGAAATCGTGAGAGCCGGATTTGAAACCAGATTGCAGTCGCCGTCCTTCCCTATTCTCAAGTTCTTCTCGACCGTGCAGGACTATCAGCTGAACTGTCCTATAAATGCTCACCACTGGGGGGTCAACCGGTCACGAGGGGGACGTGCGATACACAGGAGATAAGAATAGTATTCCGCAAGGCAACTACAAGGCCTGGGTCACCATTCCAATGTGGAAGAAGATACTCATCTGATAGCAACAGAAGGTTCACTATTCTGCCGAAAATCAGTTTTAGACGTTCATTAAAAAGAAGTTCTCATGTCAATGCACCCACCACACGACGCCTGAGTATGCGGAAATGAGTGACTAGCTTTTGGCACGATCATCATTGTCGACTTCAGCTCCTATCATTCATACCAAGAGAGTGCTAAGACCACGCATCAACGCAAGAGTAGAACACCGGAGGACAATAAAGCTAGCGGGATAAGTCAGCATTGCGAATGCATCGCGCATGACTCAAGTTGTCACTGCCTTATGGTTGATGGCAACGCCGGTAAATTCAAATTCCTGACCATGAGTTCGAGTTTCAAACAAGATCATGAGTAAAGCACCAGCGAATAAATGTCCTCCATGTATGATGGATTGCAAATGTTCCTAAGACTAGTATTGAGTTTCGTTGAACCAAAGTTGTGGAACAAAATAATACCGTCCAAACTTGCCAAGACGCCGTCGCCGCATTGGGTACTATAGTACCTACCAAGCTCGCTGTTACATACATCGAAGTCGCCGTCCTCGATAAGGAATGGATGTTGTAAAGCCACTAGAGCGTAGTACTAGTAGCCAGAGTAGCACTGGTATAAATAAGTACTTACTCAGTGGGAAGTCGGGGAGAACCGTCACGGTAGTGCGGGCGGAAGCGGCTGAGTAAGCGGAGTGGCTAGCCAAACATACAGCATCATTGATATTGACAACCGGCGTCGAACTCCCTCACAACTCACTGTTTCGCTTGTGCTCGACATTACAAGCAGTTTGGAGGCGCAAAGACCGTTTATTGCAATGGCGCAGTCTTACTTTTCCGCCCCAGCTCGGTCATCTTCATCGCTGGCGAAGGAGCCTTTGCTCTCAAATTATGGCGGTGAGAAGCATTTAAAGGTGGAGGATGTCCAAGAAGCCTACATTGAACAAAAGGATCGGTTTGTTCGGGATACTTCCTCACTCTTTATGTTGTTCTGATACGTCAGGCAGTTTGATCCAGGCCCTTGATTCTTCCAAGTCTATTCTTGGGGAACTACGTCGGTTCAACAAGGAGGAGTGGGTCGTAAGGTATCCCACTCTACACGAGCAACCCTCCGCAGAACCTTCATCACTATCAAGGACAAAGCCCCGTCGCTCTCTTCGCCGTTCGCTTACGTTTGCAGATGATCCAAACAACCAAACGGAAGTTCTTTATACTCCTGTGCGAGAAGGCCTGACCCGGGCTGTTACACTGGCATCAATTTCTGACGCCTTGGAAGGCACTGATGTCAATCCTGCGGATGAAGGAACGAATGACGGCGAAAGGGATACATGCGAGGGGGAGAGGTTGATGATGTCGTCCAAGGATGGAGATTTTAATATCCTTCGTTTGGACCTTAAGCTCGGTCCCCACGGCTCCACCACATCCCCTGCCGCTCTCGTATCACACCTCGAAAAGGGTTCCATTGCCAGTTTATTGGACGAACGTATCGGTGCTTCCGTCAATCATATGGATAAGCTCCGCCTTCGTGTGGAGGATACTTCATCAAAGGTTCTTGTCACCGGCGACCTTAATTCTGGAAAGTCCACTTTTGTCAATGCCCTTCTTAGGCGTGAGGTGATGCCAATTGACCAGCAGCCTTGCACAACCGCCTTTTGCGAAGTGCACGATGCTGCCGAGAATAATGGCAAGGAGGAAGTTCATATCATCAAGGAGGGTGCGGCGTATAACATCTCTGACGAGTCAACCTTCACTCGCGCTTCACTTGCCGACTTGGAGATGATTGTCTCAGACAATGAGGGTGTTCAGCCAGTCTTGAAAATGTACCTTTCCGACAGCCGAGCACCATCGGAATCATTGCTCAATAATGGGGTCGTTGACATATCCCTGATTGATGCACCCGGTCTTAACCGCGATAGTTTGAAGACAACGGCTCTCTTCACTCGCCAGGAGGAGATTGACGTCGTTGTCTTTGTCGTTTCCGCCGAAAATCACTTCACCCTGTCCTCCAAGGAATTCCTATGGAACGCTAGCAATGAGAAGGCATACCTTTTCATTGTCGTGAACAAGTTCGAGCAGATCAAGAATAAGGAGAAATGCAAGAGGTTGGTGCTGGAGCAAATCAAGCAGCTGAGCCCTAGGACATATGAGGACGCCGAAGACCTTGTCCACTTCGTTGATTCTGCCGCTGCTCTTCGACCATACACAGCCAATCCAGCATTCGACGACTTGGAATCCTCGCTTCGTTCGTTCGTTCTCGTTAAACGATCAAAGTCAAAGCTGCAGCCTGTCATGACCTACCTCTCCAACCTCCTATCCGATGTTGATCTATTGGTTGGCGCAAATGCCATCGTCGCCCAATCCGATCTTGACCGCGCTAAAGATGATTTAACGCGTGTCAAGCCAGTTCTTGAGAAGATGAAGGGCAGCCAGGAACTATTGGAAGAAAATCTAGAGTCTGTAGAGGAATTGGGGGCAGAGAAGACAGGTGCCAGAACAAAGGCCATCCTTTCCTCTGCCATCGAGCGCGTCGGGCAAGGCCTGTCTGGGGTTGACCATACTACCATTTCCCTGCCAGCCTTCCCCGGATTCCTTCGCATTTGGGATTATGCCAGGGATGTAAAGAAGGCTCTGTTAGCGAGCTTGGATGCGGCTGTGAAGTTGGCTGAGGATGAAGCGCGTATCACTACTTCTGCAGGGGTGAAGAAGATTGGTGAGCTTGGCGACGTCAATCTTCCTGAAGGAGTCGAGAAGTCGCGGAGGGTATTCATGCCCGAAGCCATGTTCTCATTGCGCTCAGGCAAGAAGGGACTCCGCCGACGTTCCTCTGTAACAGCCACCGCCGTCGTGGCTGGAGGGGTACACAATCTCGGCATTGGCCTCTCCCAGCGCCCGGACATGCTCGATACGTCTGCCCTCGACATCTTTGACTTCCACCGGCTCTGGCCTCACTTTACTGATGACAAGAAGGAAGCAGATGATGAGGCTAGCCCTACCACTGCGCTTAGCGTCGTCTCCGTTGGCGTCAGTGCGCTCACAATGGTTGGCGGTCAGACGTTCGGTGCCCGAGGCATTGTCGATGGTATCGTACGCATTTCTGAGCTGTTCGGAAACGAGACTGCAAGGAAATGGGCGGCCCCTGTTCTGGGCGCTTTCGTTATCGGTGCAACTGCCTACTTTGTCCTTGAGCTACCCAACACCATTCCACGCACCATCGGTCGCCGCATCCGCACATCCCTGGTTGCCGTTGACGAGAACGCAACCGAGGATCAACTCTTCGTTAATGCCCATGCTGGCCGTGTCAGTAGGGAGACACGCAAGGTTTTGCGCCTGGCGTCTTGGGACCTCAAGGAGCACTTTAGAGCCGCAATGGAGGAAAGAGGCCAAGAAGTCAAGACGCAGAGGAGATGGAGAGGAAGGCCAAGAGAGCACTCGAGTACTTCGTGGAGGTGGAGACAAAGACGGGTTTGATCAGAAATGATGCTGGCTTGACCAATGTCTTGTAAGATTATCACGCTTGTTTATTTTCTTGCACCCTTACCACCTTGCTGTCTTCGTTCGTCCTTCTGCGCACCATGATGTCTTTGTCGTTGCCGCTCACTGTCGTTGATTGATCTTTTTTATTGTTTTGTTTCGTCTTTTATGCACATGCCTTGAACGTAGAGTAGTAATGAAATCTCCGCACGCTAGGTGATCGGAATGTCACTATGTTTCAGCACGGGCGAGAGTTCGTAGTACTACACTAAGTACAACTGCTTAGCTGGTGGTCAGGCCGACTTACGCAGCGAATTTGCGCCAATGACAGAGCTGCATCTTCAATAGAATAAAACGGACTATGTAGCCGAGTCGATTATATGCGAATGTACGAAACTTTAGTGTTGTACGTCGATCGGCGTCATATGATCGAGCACCCCCAAATGCCATCACGGTCGTCTAAATCGATCAAGCGCCGATGGTTTGCGCGCCTCTATCTGACCATTCTCGATGGCCTTTGCCACGCGCTTTTCCTCCCGCTGCTTCTCCGATTTTGCACGAATGGCGACCTATATTTGCAGAGCGCACGGACATGAGCACACGATTAATCAATGGAGCGATCCACTGAGGCTCACCGCAGTAGGATCGATGACATTTTTGCGTTGCTTCCGGAGGTATCTGGGTTTTCAATATGATAAGTGATATGCTGCAGTATCTTATACAGAATGCATACCTTTTGAGACTCTTGCCCTTGCTGCGCATTTTCCGCTTCTCCTTCTCCGCTCGTGACTGTGGTTTATCATTCTTGTCGCCGTCACCTTCAGCAGCATCCTCGTCGTCATCATCAACGAGCTCCGTTTCATCTGCTTTACCCTGGATACGTAGTCGTTCGAGGCGAGGAAGACGAGCGAAGGGAATATCATGTGTGTCATTGACAGCAGTCGTTAATTTTGTTGGCGGTGCAAGGGCTCCAACGAAATCTGGGTCAAGTGAGATCATGTCCTGGTTGAATCTAGGTCGATGGATAGCACATATCAGCGTCATTAGAAATTATCTAGACGTCAAGCGTACCTTGTCCAATAGACCCTTAACTTCCCTTTCCCTTCTTGCCTTCTTGTTCTCGAATGGATCGGCTTCCGTACTGTCGAAGTTTGGTTCGCCAACCCCAGGCACAAGAATGCTCGACAGACCAGCATTGTGTCCGATCGTAAGGATATCTTGGAAGGGGCAAAACCGCACCGAGGTAAGCGGTCGATGTGGTATTGGGTGTGTGAGGTAAAGAGGTGGCGGGGCTTTGGCTGCGTGCGGGGTCTGTATTGACGGTTTTGTGTATACCTGGCACGCAATGTATGAGAACCGCCACAAGTAAGAGAGTAGTAACTCACATTGACACTCCCACCTACTGCCACACCTAACGCACCCCTTGCACTCCATTCCAGCTCAGGGCTGCCACCTCTTGTCGTCCATTCCCGCACAGTACCCTTCCAATTTCGGCAGTCCCAGACCTTTACGACGCCATCCTGGCCTGACGTCGCCATATAGCGCCCACCAGAACTCGGATCGACACTCAGCCCCACAACCGGGACCGAGATGTGCCTAGAATTTGTACAGCAGGATGTGGGATGTTTGGCGTCCAGAGGGTGACAACGCCATTGGAGTGACCAAGGTGTAGCACCGCGTTGTGTTTATTCTGTGCGAGTGTATGGCATGCCCCGAGCTTTGTACGATGCTCAGCGACGATGTGACCTGTAGAGGTGTCTTGATATTTTAGAAATCCGTTGTTTCCCTAATGTTAACTGAGCCGGCACAAGTTGACATTGAGCTGGAATAACTGACCACACTAGCGAGCAACCAGTGATGTGGAAGAAATTCGAGTCGCGTGGGTTCAATGTGAGCCTTCAATCGGTGTAGCTCGACACCATTACGGTCCTATATGAATACATATTTTTTTTGTGCGACCGCGAAGAATGACTGATCCTGCAAAAATCTTTATTGAACGATTGAGACTTATTACATGCAAGTAACAGGCGACGTACGTAATATCGCGACATGTTTCCTGCAGCTGAAGCTCGGCATGCATGGTTCCTGTTTGCCAGTCAAAAGTCGCGACATGACCCATGTTGCCAACAATAGCAAGATGCCTGCCATTCCTCGAGTATCTCGAGCGATATGGACCACCATCCAACTTCAGCTCTCGTCGTCCCTTGGCAGCCTCCTGACCGGCACTTTCCACAATATCATCCTGGCCTATTCTCCAAGTTCGTTCCAGCTCGGTCTCCACCTGCATTTTCCCTGCCTCGCTCGTCAGCAATAGTTCAGCATCTTCGACAAGCGCTTTTGAACGGGCAGCATGTGCTGCCTACCGGTTTAGTTTTGTTCTTAGTTTGAGATCTTTGACGTGCTTGTGCTTTGGCACATTGTCTGGTGGTGGAGCGGTAGGACGAAGAGATTTTGGCAGGGTGGTAGTTTGTGCCTTGACAAACAAGGCATCTACAGGCGCCATTCGTACGCTCTCGCCCGGTTATCACTATCACTGCTGTAAAGTGATCCGATAAGCCTGTAGGAGGCCGAAGTATACATAAAACTCAGCTGACTAAGCTAAACACAAACCCAGGTCTAGTCTCGTGAACCAGCCGCCCTGTTTAATATAAATTTACAACCCCTCATCATACAACTTCCGGGATAATGCAACATAGAATCTCTCCAGATCCAATTTAGAGGCCAGCTCATGCTTGACAGACTTCTTGACCTTCTGCTTCTGTGAAGTGTCTCCAGGGGGTGACTTGTTCGTCGATGGGACCTGATCGATGATCCAATCGAACACGGCGGATAGCTTATCCGTTGACGCTTTCACAACAGGGTCACTTTCACCCTCCTTGCGCATCTCCTCCCTAGCCCCTCGGGAGACTCTCGGGTCCAATGACGATATCGAAGATCCACCAGCACCAGCGAACTCATACCCACCAGAAGACCCCTTCTCTTGCTTCTTCCACGCCCGAATAAACTTTGACCAGTCGCCAAACGCCCACTCATCTGCACCGACGCGACCTGCTATGCTCGTCAAGGGCACAGACGGCAAGTCAACATTGAATTCCAGCCCCCGTGCACCTCTGATCTCCCAGTGATCGCAGCCCTCCATTATCCCGAGAAATTCGCCCCATCTTGCACTCTGCACGGTCACGAGGCCATCATTTCCCCACTGGTTGTCCTGCTCCCATGTCAGAGGCGCATATATATCCCCCGAGTCGGCGTGTTGACGCTTGAGGCTTTCCTTTTCTTCACGTTCCAACTCATCGAGTACCATCTTTGGGAGGCAAAGCGGGTGCCAGATGCTCATGTCGGCGGTACGTCCGGTGACGCTGAAGTACTTGACACGCGGATCATTAGGGGTGGCAGGATTGAACACATTATTGAGGTAGGACGATGTCAAGTTGGCATATGCTGGCGAGTCCAGGATGGACAACAAGAGCGTTGTGAAAGAAGACGGCAACGAAGCCAGTGACAAGGAGAATGAAGTCTCGCGCTTCTCAGTGGTTGTCTCTTTTTCCGGCAAAGACTGCTTCTGAATCTCGGTCGTTTTCTTGAACATTTCTTCTTGGGGTCGTCTTCCTAGGCCGATATTTGTCTTGGAGTCAAGTGAAGTGAATGCACTGCAAAGCGAGAACAGAATTTTGGGAACTTACCGCACACCAGTCCATGAAGGGGCTTCCCCTATGGGGAGTACTGATTGTTGTCAGCGATAATGGGGTATATTCGCTTGGCTGCACGTGTGTAATAAGATGGCGGCAATCAAGACCTCCCATAGAATGAGCCATGAAATTGACACCTCGCCCCCTGGCCTTCTCCTGGAGCAACCGATCAAGGTTTTCTGCCCTCGACGCTATGGAACCCGTTCTAAGTGGAAAAAAAAATCAGAAATGGTCTAATAACAAATTTAATGACCGTACCCAGGTACCGCTGTAACAATGACGTCTGCTCCGACCTTCTTCTTGAGGATGTTGAGAACATTGGCCCAGTAGTGCATTCGGAGACTGGGAAATGCAGCAGGACCTCGTACGTCAAACCCGTATAGCCCTATGGATCAACGTGTGTGGTTCAGTCTAATTAAGCAGATTAAGACAAACTAACCGTGGCAGAGGACAATCGGAAACCTAGGGGCTCTGATAGGGTCATACAGCGTTGGATTTTGCAGTAAGCGATGGATGGTATCAGTGGAATCACCCTCGGATGGTTCTTGAGGTGGTAATTTCCCCTGCGGCAACTGGGAATTGAGAGTGGATGTGTCAAGAGCAGTGGTATGAGGCTCAGACGGCGCTTTGAAATCAGAATGAGATAGATTGAAAGGCCATAATTTGGAATCGTCCTTAAAGAAGCATCGGCCTGTTTGTGGACGACCGCATGAGTCTGGTGAACGCCGGTGAACACCAAACGAAGTGACTTGCCTTCCGAGGTCCAACGAGGGAGCGTTGGAGTCAGCGGTTTGGTTGGTTGCTCCAAAACACTATCCACAAATAACCCTACATGAAGCCAGTCCCACTTATTCGGAGACAGCGGGTTCCACCAAAAGTTGTTGGAAGTGGTGTGAACTTCAGGCGTGTTACTGGAGGCATCTTCGGCTCTGACCTTTGATATGAGGTACTGGCCAGATAGTGAAAAGGTAGCCACGACATTGACGAGGCGCCGAAATAAAGCTACGACTTGAACTGGGAAGTGGACGTTGTTCATGATTTCACTGGAGAAACATGCATGAACGTGAGTCGGAGCAATCAAATGAGTTGCTTGATTAGGGTGGTCTGATCCACTATATTCAGATTTGGGACATTTTCGAGTCACAGCTAAAAAGCGCTGACCTCCTGCCTTGATCACACAAAATGTCAGACGAAGAAACTCTACAGAAACATCACGAAGAATCGGATTCTGAAGAAGAAGAGGAGGAACAGCTGGACGATGTCCCAAAGATTGACATAGATATCTCGAAACTGACGCCACTTTCGCCTGAAGTAATATCAAAACAGGTGCGCAAGCAGCTTTCCTTTATCTGACGCATCTCATCGACCACGATCCTTCCAGGCTACAATTAACTTGGGTACGCAGAGTTCTGTGAGTACATATAAGTTAGCCATTGACTGGTCTCTACAGGAACAATCGGTCATGTCGCACACGGAAAATCAACAGTTGTGAAGGCCATATCAGGCGTCATGACTGTACGATTCAAAAACGAGCTCGTTCGTAACATCACGATTAAGCTGGGTTATGCAAACGCAAAAGTATGTTCCTTCCGATTCGCATCTGATCCATTGTTAATCTCGAGACCCACCATCATAGATCTACAAATGCGAAAAACGAAGCATGCCCCCGCCCAGGCTGCTATCGATCGTACCGCTCAGACAAAGAAGATAATCCTCCTTGCGAACGACCAGGATGTGGTCATCGGATGAAACTCATTCGTCATGTTTCCTTCGTGGACTGTCCCGGTCACGATATTCTGATGGCTACCATGCTTAACGGTGCTGCAGTCATGGACGCTGCCCTTCTTCTAATTGCAGGAAACGAAACATGCCCTCAGCCGCAGACATCGGAGCACTTAGCCGCGGTTGAAATCATGAAGCTGGAAAACATCATTATTTTACAGAACAAGGTCGACTTGATCAAGGAAGCTCAGGCTCTTGAGCACCAAAAATCAATCGCTGCATTCGTCAAGGGTGGGTACTCGGTAGCATGGGCTATTCAGTGTTGTATTAACTCTCGTAACAGGCACGGTGGCCGAGTTGTCCCCCATAGTTCCGATATCTGCGCAGCTGAAATACAACATCGACGCTGTGAATGAATACATTGTAAAACGTATACCCATCCCAATCCGCGACTTTACTTCCGATCCCCGTCTCATCGTCATCCGTTCCTTTGATGTCAACAAACCCGGTGCCGAGGTCGATGACCTCAAAGGTGGTGTTGCCGGTGGTTCTATCCTTACAGGTGTCCTACGGCTAGGGCAAGAAGTCGAGATTCGTCCGGGAATTGTGACGAAAGATACTCAAGGCCGGAACCGCTGCAAACCCATTTTCAGCAAGATCGTCTCTCTGCACGCCGAGAACAATCACTTGCAGTTTGCTGTTCCGGGAGGGTTAATTGGTGTTGGGACCAAAATTGATCCTACGCTATGCAGAGCAGATCGTCTTGTTGGTCAAGTGCTGGGTGTGGTCGGGAAGCTTCCGAAGGTCTACACCGGTAAGTATCCTCGTTTTCGCCATGCTGGTGGGTTTCTAACGAGAATTCAGAGCTTGAAATCAGTATGTTCCTCTTGCGCCGTTTGCTGGGCGTTCGAACAGAGGACAAGAAACAAACCAAAGTCTCGAAACTCGCCAAGAACGAGCTCCTACTTATTAACATTGGTTCAACGTCGACTGGTGGGCGGGTGTTGAGCGTGAAAGGGGATCTTGCAAAGATTCAATTGACTTCACCTGCATGTACTGAGGTTGGAGAGAAGGTCGCGCTTTCGAGACGTATCGAGAAGCATTGGCGGCTTGTAGGCAAGTGTTTCTGTTGACTCAGTAGACTCGTTCACTGACTTGCCATCAGGTTGGGGAAGTGTACAGCGTGGAACGGTGTTGGAGCTTAGACTGATTCGCTACCCACATTCTAGCACTTTGTGTGACCGGAGCCAATCTACATCTGTATCATGTTTACAGCACGCAAATGTATTGTTTCAATTGCACTGTACATCTGTATTGGGAAGAGTCGTGATGGTCACTTTCCCTTATCAGCGATCTCTTATGACTTCTTTGCCGCCGTTTATATGCTTATTGACATTTCAATCCTCAATGTCAACTGCACGGTGCGGTCTTGGCCGATCAGACGACCTTTGACTGTTCTAATATCGCAGCTTTTAAGCCGCAAGTATATACTTACGTTGTCTCGAGCTCCATTCATGCCCACAGGGTTTCTGCCTCCACCGCAAACTTTGCACATTCGAAGAACAGCTTATACTGTTCGATCACTGGAAACTACAGTGCGCGGGTGGTCGACTGGTCAGCAATGAGCATTCTCTTTGCTGAACTATTTCTTTCTGTCTTGAACGTGATGGACTCCGTGTCTTCATTTCACTGCATCATCACGCCGTATTGATTAGAAACAACCTTCGCGTCTCTGTTTTTGCCTTTAGAATCGTATATACTTGTGACATTGTGAAAGCAGGTGATCAAGCACCTCCTGATCTCCCAAGTACCTTGCAATGTGATTCGAAAGTGAAGGACTCGTCTGAAAATCGTTTAAATCTAAAAGTGAATGCCATTTGATAGCATCTCAAAGGGCAAAGGGGATCTTTTTAAAAGACAAGGAGATAAACCGGATAAATTAATGATGACCGTCATTATACTCAGAGGAGGCACAACATATAGCGACCCAAAAACGAGTCCAGCGCCCAGCGTGTTTGATTATGATGTGAGGATTGGTGGTTGGAGTTGTGTTAGTGACAGCGGATTCCGGAGATATGGTGGATGACGTCGAGACGGCAGCCTGTGGTTGGGGAGATGACTGAGGATGAGCCACGCCACTGGATTGTGTGACGTTGCTATTGGGAGGGCGTGAAGTGCTTGCAGCAGGGTTCTTGGGTTTCAATGGAATTATTATCATCCGTCTTTCTCGTGCTGACGCGTTCCTCTAGGTGATATGAGATGGAGTTCGAATATTCGAGAAGAACGAAATGACATACACGTTTGCCCTTGGCATACGGAACATCGACTGCTGAGTGACGCTCGCGCAGCTCGATGTCTGCACCGCTTGAATTGTCAGAGAAAAGGTTTCGAACCCAGAGAAAAATGCTGGGTCGTGATGGCGTATCGCGGGAATCGAGTCGCGCAGAAGACTGAGAAAATCGAGGTCAGGAAAACAGTGCTAATAATGTAGATGAGAGATGAGCGACGTACATGAGCACGATGTGGTGTGCCATCGAAGAACCCTTGGGGAACCCGATTGGAGACCTTTATTGGCTGACGGACTGGACTTCGTGTAGCATCAGCCTTACAACATGTTTGAATGGAATGAGATCTGTGATGAAAGCGTCACCTACAGCGAGTACCGACTTGTCGCACTGGTTCAAGAGAAGTTCATCGAGGCCAGCTTCTGTTACTATCGCAGAAGCATCCCACATGTATGCATTGCTGTCACTGCAGCCAGTGGCTAGTGACTTTCCATCTGCCGAAAACGACACAGAAAACACAGTATTTGCATGATGGAGGGGCAAACTGATGGGCTGGTTGTTGTCGAGATTCCATAATCGCGCTGTTTGGTCCGCTGATGTGCTTGCGAGGATGCGGCCATTCGGAGATATTGCAATGCCATAGACTTTCCAACTGTGCCCACCGAGCACTGCGATCTGTTTCCAAGTTGATGTACTCCATTTTCTAAATGAGCCATCGGCTGACCCGGAGATAAGGGTTTTTCCATCTGGGGTCCAAGCCAAGCACCACACCCAACCCATATGTCCTTCAAGAGTAGCGATAAGCTCGCCGGTCTTCGCATCCCAGATTTTGACTGCCACTGGGTACTTGTCATCGATGTCATCTCTGAGAGCCCGTTCGCTTCCGCCAGTCGCAAAGATGGTCATGTCTGGCGAGTAGACCACTGCGAGCACAAGTTCGTCCCCTGTCTCGATTGGACTGGCAAGGATGGTCTTTCCGCCCTCCACATCCCACTCCCTTGCAGTCCCATCAAAGGATCCGCTCAAGACTCGCTGACCATCTCGACTCCAGCAGACAGAATTCACTCCCTTTGTATGCCCCATCCATTTCGCAATGACTTTGCCTGTGTCGATGTCCCACAGCCTCACTCCACCATCTTCACTCCCGCTCACCACTTTCTTCCCGTCCGGAGACAATGCTATGGTCCACAGTTCACTTTCTCCGTCCGTCCACTCGTCTCCTATCTGTTTCCCACTCTTCATGTTCCATACCCGCAGCGAGCCGTCTGCTGAGCAAGTCATCATCCGTTGTCCACCTGGCAGGTGTATGGCGCCAAGGACTTCACCGGTGTGTCCCTCAAATTTCTGGCGTGGCGTTATCGTTGTTTCTCGTGGCACACTGGCAACGCTGGGTGAAGTCATAATCAACTACCGCGTAGTACAGCTCATTTCAGCTTTCACACACAAAGTCCACAATAATCACTTACGACGATTATTAGGTCTTGACACCGAGACACAACGAGTGTTTAGGTCAAGAGTACTTGCACTGGAAGTTTGAGCTAGTACGTTTACATGTGTTATCCGCGTGTTCACTTCACAGCTTACAGCATAGGCTGTGCAGCTGAAGCGCCCAGGGCGGCCCAATGATCACGAGGAATGCCAAAGTTCATCAATCAGTAACAGTCTTCACTTTACAGTGGACTGACCCTCCATGTGTCCCGCCACGACCTTGCCCCGACTTCACTCTGCTATCTTTGTTAACATGCACACAACCACCCCACTGCGCCTTGACGGTATCCGACATCTCACCAATGATCGATACTCACCTGGCGTAACATGCATAATTCTGGGTCTCAGTACGTGGAAAACCACCTCAAATTTCCCGATCGCTGATAGTTCTTCAGAAATAGACAACTCGGTGCTAAGTCGCCCAGCTTACACCATCTATGCGGCTGTGCAGCTGAAGCGCCCAAGTATCATTTCTGATCACGAGTCACATTTTACTAGTCACAATTCTGCAACGGACTGATCGCACACCCTCTATGTGTCCCGCGACGACCTTGCCCAACACAATTTCACTCCGCTATCCCCGTTAACACCATCTTAAACTGCCTCACCCCATCCAACTTCCACCCGAAGGTGCCATCATCTCATCCCATCTCATCTCATCGATACTTGCGTTGGGTGTGATTGGAAAGCTTCCAAAGGTCTACACCGTAAGCATCCTCAGTTTCGGTATGCTATCACGTTCTTAAGAGTATTTGGGGCTTGAAATCAGTTTGTTCCTCCTCCGTCGTTGACTTGGCGTTCGTACAGAAGATAAGAAACAGACAAAAATCTTGAAACCTGCCAAGAACGAGCTCCTGCTCATTGACATTGGTTCAGCATCGAATATTGAGCGTGAAAGGCGATCTCGCGAAGGTTCAATCGACTTCACCCGCATGTACAGGTCGCTATTTACGGATGTATCGAGAAGCATTGGCGACTTATAGGTGAGCGTTTCTTGTCTGAAGGTTAGGGAAGTGTCCAACTAGACCGATTCGCTACCCACACTCTTGCATTTGACGTGAGCGGAACCAACCTACATCTGTATCATTTTTACAGAATCCAAATACATTTTTCAATTGCACTGTACATCTTATTGGGAAGACTCGTGATGGCCACTTTCCCTTATGACTTGACTTTGACGCATATCGACCTTTCAATGTCAATCGCAGTCTTGGTCAATCAGACGACATTTAACTATTCTAACAGCGAAGTTTTGAAGCCGCAAGTATGTGCGTGCGTTGTTTCAAACTTTATTTATGCCCACAGGGCTTCTGTCTCCACCGCAAACTTTGCAGCCTCAAAAACAGCCTTACGCTGATTGATTGTTGAACTCTACAGTGCGCGGGTGGTTGACCGGTCAGCAATGAGCATTCTCTAGGCTGAATTATTTCTTTCTGTCTCAAACATGATGGACCCCGCATTTTCATTTTACTGCATCGTCGATATTGAGAACGACACTCTGTACTGATTAGAAACGACCTCCCCGTCTCTGATTTTGCTTTTGCTTTCGGAATCGTATATACTTCAATGTCATCATGAAAGGTGATCAAGGACCTCCCAATGCTCCCAAGTATCTCGCAATGCGATTCAAAGGCAAAGGACTCATCTAAAAATCAAAAAGTTAAAGCCATTTGCGCGATACAATAGAACATGTCTTGACGTTTAATGTGCAGGTATCTACTATAAGAAGCAATGATGTATGGATGAGATCAACGACATAGCATTTCATAGGACAAAGGATATCTTTTTACGAGAAAATAAACCAGGTAGATTAATTATGACCGTCGGTATACTCAGAGGAGGCACAACATATAGCGACCCAAAAACGAGTCCAGCGCCCGGGGTGTTTGATTGTGATATGAGGATTGGTGTTTGGAGTTGTGTTAGCGACAGCGGGAGGTGTGGTGGATGACGTGGAGACGGCAGCCTGTGGTTGTGAAAATGACTGAGGCTGAGCCGCACCGCTGGATTGCGTGGCGTTGCTATTGGGAGGGCGTGAGGTGCTTGCAGCAGGCTTCTTGGGTTTCATTGGAATTGGCCTCCGCTGTTCTCTTGCTGACGCGTTCCTCTATTTGACATGAGATGTGGTTTTGAACATTCGAGAAAGAGAAGAAGACATACACGTTGGGCCTGGCAATGTCGAACATCCATGACTCCTAGATGACGCTCATGCAGCTCGATCTCCACACTACTGGGTCGGGCAGAGAAAAGGTTTCGAACCCAGTGAAAAACGCTGGGTGGTGATGGCGTATCGGTGGGATCGAGTCGTGCAGAAGACTGAGAACATCGAGGTCAGAAAAAAAAGTACAATGTAGATGAGAGATGAGAGATGAGCGACGTACATGAGCGTGATGTGGTGTGCCATCGAAGAACCCTTGGGGTACCCGATTGGAGACCTTGATTGGCTGACTGACTGGACGTCGTGTAGCATCAGGCTAGAATGCACATGTTTAAATAGAATGAGATCTGTGATGAAAGTGTCACATACAGCGGGTAGCGACTTGTCGTGTTGGTCCAACAGAAGTTCATCGAGGCCAACTTCCTTTACTATTGCAGAAACGTCCCATGTGTACGCATTTTTGTCCGTGCAGCCAGTGACTAGTAGCTTTCCATCTGCTTAAAACGACACAGAAAACACAGTATCTGCATGTTCAAGGGGCGAGCTGATGGGCTGAGCGTTGTTGTCGAGGTTCCATAATCGTGCTGTGTTGTCGAATGATGCGCTTGCGAGGATGCGACCATTCGGTGATATTGCAATGGAATAGATGGTGTGCCCATCCAACAATATTAATGCGATCTGCTTCCAAGTTGTTGTATCCCATATCCTGATCGACTGGTCCATTGACCCAGAGACAAGCCTTTCTCCATCTGGGGTCCAAGCCAGGCACAACACCCAATTGTCCGTATGCCCTTTGAGAGTAGCGACAAGCTCGCCGGTCTTCGCATCCCAGATTTTGATCGGGGATTTGTCATCTCTGCTTTCCAATGACTCGCCTCGTCCGCCAGTCGCAAACATGGTCATGTCTAGCGAATAGATGACTGCGCCCACGCTTTCGTGCCCTGTGTTGATTGGACCGAGGATCGTCTCTCCGTTCTCTACATCCCACTCCCTTGCAGTCCCATCGTGAGATCCGCTCAAGATTCGTTGGCCATCTTGACTCCAGCAGACAAGCCTCACTCCTTTTGTATGCCCCATCCATTTCGCAATGACTTTGCCTGTGTCGATGTCCCACAACCTCACTCCACCATCGATACTCCCGCTAATCACTTTCTTCCCGTCCGGAGACAACGCTATGGTCCACACTTCACTTTCTCCATTCCTCCACTCGTCTCCTATCTGTTTCCCACTCTTCAAGTTCCATACCCGCAGCGAGCCGTCCCTTGAACAAGTCATCATCCGCTGTCCTGGCAGGTGTATAGCACCATAGACATTATCAGTGTGTCCCTCAAATTTCTGGCGTGGCGTTATCGTTGATGTCTCCCGTGGCACACTGGGAACGCTACTAGTAGGTGAAGTCATAATCAACTATCGCATGCAGCTCGTTTCAGCTTTCATATGCAAAGTCCACAATAATCACTTACGACGATTATCAGGTCTTGACACCGGGACACAATGAGTGTTTAGGTCAAGAGTGCACTGGAAGTTTGAGCTGGTACGTTTTACATATCTTATCCTCGTGTTCACTTCAGGGCTTACAGCATAGGCTGTGTACACTGACGACACAGTATCTGCAGGGTAGAGAGGCGAACTGATGGGCTGGTTGTTGTCGAGGTTCCATAATCGTGCTGTGTTGTCCGCGGATGCGGCCATTCGGAGATATCACAATGAAATAGACCACACTAGTGTTCTATTCTATATCCTGATCGACTGATCCGTTGACCCGGAGACAAACCTTTCTCTATCTGGGGTCCAAGCCAGGCACTCCACCCAATTGTCCGTATGTCCTTTAAGAGTAGCGACAAGCTTGCCGGTCTTCGCATCCCAGATTTTGATTGGCGACTTGTTATCTCCAGCGATATTCCAGGGCTGTTTGAGTCCACCAGTTGCTAACATGGTCATGTCTGGCGAGTAGACAGCTGCTAGCACAAGTTCGTGCCCAGTCTTGATTGGACCGAGGATCGTCTCTTCGTTCTCTACGTCCCACTCCCGTGCAGTCCCATCGTGAGATCCACTCAAGATTCGTTGGCCATCTCGACTTTAGCACACAGTCCTCACTCCTTTTGTATGCCCCATCCATTTCGAAATGACTTTGCCTGTGTCGATGTCTCACAACCTCACCCCACCATCCATACTCCCGGTGTGTCCGTCAAATTTCTGGTTGAGTGTTATTTCTGATGTCTTTTGCATCCTAACAATGGGTAAAGACATAATCAACCCTCCATGTGTCCCACCATGACCATGCCGAACATAATTTCACTCCGATATCCTCGTCAACAACGTCTTAAACCGCCTCACCACAAACCTTGGCACAAAGTCACCACACACCAATCTGGCGCTATAGCTTTGTCGCTAGATTAGAATCACCCATCCAGAGCAGCAAGGCAGCTAAGGAGATGTTCGCCCTCGGAAGGCGCCACAGCTTCTCAACGGTCCACATCACTGAAGGCTGATGTCTAGAGGCCCGGTGACAGCGATACCCTCAGTCGGAAGATGTGATACCCGGGAGTTATCAAGTTCGCTTTTAGTTGGATGGCAACAAGGGTGGGCACTTGATGGTATTTTCTCATTAATGTTAACAAGCATGGTGGTCTAGTCATCACCTATCCTTCCAATATATGTACATCTGAAATACACTATCAACGGCGTCAAGGAATACATTATAAACCAGCACCCAAGCCACCCGAGGCTGCGGCACTTCTCGAGGCTCTTTCTTTGTCCTTTCTAAGTTTCTCGACGTAGATGAACGTCATGATGATGGTATCCATCATATGAGCCACTTCAGGTGATACTTGCAGCATAGCTTTGCGTTTTCTTCCTACAATTCCAAGAGTCGCTCTATGAAAGCGAGCGACCTCCGTTCGAGACGCATCGTCCCGTGAGAGCTGAAATCCGACTCATGAGAAACGAGTATCAGCAATGTTTATGAAGTGAAAGCGTACTCACAACTACCACTTTGAACTTGAGGTCCCAGCGATAAGGACGGCTATCTGGTCCTATGAAGACGCGCTTCCTGCCAGAATTTTATTATGCCTGCCCGGATTTTTTAGAAGGACACTATGTACTCACCGACCCAATAAGCCTTTCCTCGGAATGAACTGCTTCGCCTCTACTTCAGTTCCATCATAACGAAACTTTGAGGAAGTAAATTTGTGCCACTCGATCTCTCCCAAGACATCGAACTGGTCTTGCATATGAGACTGGTCGTCATTTGGCTTGATTTTCTGAATGGTCGTAGTACGGACGCCAACTAGTTTAAACGGAGTCTCTGTCTTGTAAATAATTTGACCTTGCTCGTTGGTAATAACGGTATTGCGAACATTTTCAGTGGAGAAAGTGAGCAAAATCATTGTGGGTATGAGTATCTACTGCGCACTGTCGAGTACTTGGCACTGCATTTAAAGTGGATGTGGCTGTTGTGTGGCTTAGCTCTGGAAGAGGAACATTTTGCTGTATATGTTGTAACATGCCTGCCGGAGCTCAAAGTAGAACGTCCAACGCCCAACCTCTTGACGAAATGGATGACTTTCCGTAGGCAGAAATGCTGAATAGAACATCATATGTATCATATCATAAATATACCCGTATTAGGCAGGTGTGCCGCGATGCCGCTGTTCATTTCCAGTCAATTTGCAAACATGTTCCATTTTGCCTCAATATGATCCCCAGTTGCTCCCGACTAAGACACAAGGCGTTTAGGTCAAAAGAGCACTGGAAGGTTGAACTGGTACGTTTTACATGTGTTATCTTCCCAGCTTACACCATATATGCTGTCCAGCTGAAGCGCCCAAGCCTCCGATCTTCCATTAGTCACAATTCTACAGCAGACTGACCGGTACGTACACCCTCTATGTGTCCCGCTTCGACCTTGCTGAACACAACTTCACTCCGCTAGCCTCGTCAACACCATCTTAAACTTCTTCATAGTAAGGTTAATGTGTGCTCAGTCGGAGGATGCGATACCCGAGAGCTGCTGAAGTTGGATTACAACAAGGGTGGGTCCTTGGCGGTATGGAACGTCCTTAATGTATTACTCATCATTATTGGCAGGCATAGTGGTCCACTCGTCACCCAACATTTCGATTTCTACGTATCTGAAATATAATATCCACGCCGTCAAGGAATATGATATGCTGCAAACAATTCAGATCCCCGTCTTATCGATCATCATTATCCGTTTATCCGACGTCAACAAACCTGGTGTCGAGGTCGATGACCTCAAACGTGAGGTCGCAGGTGGTCTATGCTCACTGGCGTTCCACGGCTAGGACAGGAAGTCGAGATGCATCCGCGAATTGTGGACACCCAAGGCTGGAACCGCTGCAAACCCATTTTCAGCAAGATCGTCTCTCTGCACGCCGAGAGCAATGCAGTTTGCTGTTCCAGGAGGTCTAATCGATGTTGGGACCGAGATTGATCCTACGCTATGCAGAGCGGATCGTCCTGTCAAGTGTTGGGTGTGATTGGACAGCTCCCAAAGGTGCACACTGGTAAGCATCCTCTGTTTCGGTATGGTATCACGTTCTCAAGAGTATTTGGGGCTTGAGATTAGTTTGTTTCTTCTCCGTCGTTTACTTGGCGCTCATACAGAGGACAAGAAACTGACAAAAATCTCCAATTTGCCAAGAACGAACTCCTGCTCATTGAGATTGGTTTAACATCGAGTATTGAGCGTGAAAGGCGATCTCGCGATGTTTCAATTGACTTCACCCGCATGTACAGGTCGCTATTTCCGGATGTATCGAGAAGCATTGGCGACTTTTAGGTGAGTGTTTCTTGTCTGGAGGTTAGGGAAGTGTCCAACTTGACCGACTCGCTACCCACATTCTTGCACTTGATGCAACCGCAGCCAATCTACATCTGTATCATTTTTACAGAATCCAAATACATTTGTTTCAATTGCACTGTATATCTCTATTGGGAAGACTCGTGATGGTCACTTTCCCTTATGACTTGATTTGTAGACTTTGACGCATATCGACCTTTCAATGTCAATTGCAGTCTTGGTCAATCGGACAACATTTAACTATTCTAACAGCGAAGTTTTGAAGCCGCAAGAATGTGCGTGCGTTGACTCGAGCTCCATTCATGCCCACAGGGCTTCTGTCGCCACCACAAACTTTGCAGTTCCAAAGGACAGCCTACACTGTCCGATTACTGAAACCCTACAGTGCGCGGGTGGTCGACCGGTCAGCAGTGAGCATTCTCTAGGCTGAATTCTTTCTTTCTATCTTGAACATGCCGGACCCTGCGCCTTCATTTAACTACATAGTCGATATTAAGAATGACTCCGTACTAATTAGAAATGACCTTCCCATCTCTGTTTTTGCTTTTAGATTGTATATACTTTAATGATGTTGTGAAAGGTGATCGAGCACCTCCCAATGCTCCCAAGTAGCTTGCAATGCGATGCAAAGGCAAAGGACTCATTTGAAAATCTAAAAGGGAATGTCATTTGGGCGGTACAATAGAACCTGTCAATTGACAACGGTTTAATGTGCAGGTATCTACTATAAGAAATAATGTTGTATGGATGAGATGAACGTCATAGCATTTTAAAGGACAAAGGAGATCTTTTTACAAGACGAGAAAATAAACCAGGTAGATTAATGATGACCGTCGGTATACTCAGAGGAGGCACAACATATAGCGACCCAAAAACGAGTCCAGCGCCCGGGGTGTGTGATTGTGATATGAGGATTGGTGTTTGGAGTTGTGTTAGTGACAGCGAGAGGTGTGGTGGATGACGTGGAGACGGCAGCCTGTGGTTGCAAAAATGACTGAGGCTGAGCCGCGCCGCTGGATTGCGTGGCGTTGCTATTGGGAGGGCGTGAGGTGCTTGCAGCAGGGTTCTTGGGTTTCAATGGAATTACTACCATCCGTTTTTCTCGTGCTGATGCATTCCTCTACGTGATATGAGATAGGGTTCATATATTCAAGAAGGATAATAATGACATACACGCTTGCCCTTGGCATAGGGAACATCGACTGCTGAGTGACGCTCGATCTCTGCACCACTTGATTTGTCAGAGAAAATGTTTCGAACCCAGTGAAAAATGCGGGGTCGTGATGGCGTATCGTGGAGATCGAGTCGCGCAGAAGGCTGAGAACATGGAGGTCAGGAAAAACAGTACATGTAGATGAGGCATGAGCGACATACGTGAGCACGATGTGGTGTGTCATCGAAAAACCCTTGGGGTACCCGATTGGCGACCTTGATTGGCTGACGGACTGGACGTCGTGTAGCATCAGCCTAGAATGCTACATGTTTAAATGCAATGAGATGTGATGAAAGTGTCACATACAGCGAGTAGTGAGTTGTCGCGCTGGTCCAACAGAAGTTCGTCGAGGCCAGCTTCCTTTAGTATCATAGAAACGTCCCATGTATACGCATTTTGGTCATAGCAGCCAGTGGCTAGTAGCTTTCCATCTGCCGAAAACGAGACAGAAGTTACAGTACCTGCATGTTGGAGGGGCGAACTGATGAGCTGGTTGTTATCGAGGTTCCATAATCGCGCTGTGTTGTCATCGGATGCGCTTGCGAGGATGCGGCCATTCGGAGATATTGCAATGCCAATGACACCTTCAGTGTGCGCATCCAACAATAATGCGATCTGCTTCCAAGTTGTAGTATCCCATATCCTGATCGAGCGATCTGTCTGTGTCCTTTGAGAGTAGCGACAAGCTCGCCGGTCTTCGTGTCCCGGATTTTGATCGAGGACTTGTTATCTCCAGTGCTATTCCAAGGCCCGTCGTGTCCACCAGTTGCAAGCATGTTCATGTCTAGCGAGTAGACGGCTGCCAGCACAAGTTCGTGCCCTGTTTTGATTGGACCGAGGATCGTCTCTCCATTCTCTACATCCCACTCCCTTGCAGTCCCATCGTGAGATCCGCTCAAGATTCGTTGGCCATCTTCACTCCAGCAGACAGGCCTCACTCCTTTTGTATGCCCCATCCATTTCGCAATGACTTTGCCTGTGTCGATGTCCCACAACCTCACTCCACCATCCGAACTCCCACTCACCACTTTCTTGCCGTCCGGAGACAACGCTATGGTCCACACTGCACTTTCTCCGTCCCTCCACTCGTCTCCTATCTGTTTCCCACTCTTCAAGTTCCATACCCGCAGCGAGCCGTCCATTGAACAAGTCATCATCCGCTGTCCACCTGGCAAGTGTATAGCACCATAGACATGACCAGTGTGTCCCTCAAATTTCTGGCGTGGCGTTATCGTTGATGTCTCCCGTGGCACACTGGCAACAGTAGGTGAAGTCATAATCAACTATCGCATGCAGCTCGTTTCAGCTTCCATATACAAAGCCTACAATGATCACTTACGACGATTATCAGGTCTTGGCACTGAGACGCAACGAGTGTTTAGGTCAAGATTGCACTGGAAGTTTGAGTTAGTACGTTTTACATGTGTTATCCTCGTGTTCACTCCACAGCTTGTAGCATAGGCTGTGCAGCCGAAGCGCCCAGGGCGGCCCAATGACCACGAGGATTAATGCCAAAGGTCATCAATCAGTGATAATCTTCACTTTACAATGGACTGACCCTCTATGTGTCCCGCCACGACCTTACCCCGACTTCACTCCGCTATCCTTGTTGACATGCACACAACCACCCCACTGCGCCCTGACGGTACTCGACATCTCACCAATCATCGATACTCATCTTGCGCGTAACATACACAATTCTGGGTCTTAGTACGTGGCAAATCACCTAAATTTTCTCGATCGCTGATAGTTCCGCAGAAACAGAAAGCTCAGTGCAAAGTCGCCGCGTGCGATTCTGGCTGTTTGGTCGGGCGTATTGCAATAAAAACAGCGAATGAAGGTGTCATAGCTTCCACAGTCCGGATCACTGTGAGCAGTGGCCTGGAGACAACGATACTTTCGGTCGTAGGATGCGATACCCGGGGGCTGATGAAGTTGGTCTTCTAGCTGGATCACAACAAGGGTAGGTTCCCGATGCCGTGAGTTATCCAAATATTCCCACTCATTCTCGTCCTAGGCACGGTGGCCCGGTCGTCTCCTATAGTTCTGGCATTTTTCAATGGGAGTAACATACTAACTACTTGGCAAAGGACCAATTAACGTTCACGGTCAATTATCTTCGGGAGATCAACAGGGATTTAATGGGTGAGCATGACATTTCAAGTTGTCTCTCTACTCTGTTGCATTGAATGATTCTTACAGTGCGCTTCACAATTGCTCTTCGGACCTGTGACCTGGCTTGTAGACTTTGACGCCAAGAAGTACATTCCTAAATTCTTTCTGTCTTCGACATCGTGGTCTCCATATGTTCATTTTTATGATATCTTCTGGCACTCCGTACGCCTTTGACATGACAGGCTAAAGTTTTCAAATCGAAGGATCTTCTGGTCTATATTTTTACTTTTGGTAGCGGAACGGCACCCCCGACGACGGAATCCACTTCATCAATGCTCGTGTTGTGCACTCACTCTGTATATTCTGATATGCAGCCGATAGTAGACAAGCCTTGCTTTCTGTACTTATCGTTGGCAAGGTATCACGCTCTTCCAGAGCAAAGACTTGATTACCTTGCAATACTATTCTAATTTATGTAAAGGACTCCACAAGCGAATGCAATTGCGCAGTACAACAAAACATAGTTAGTGAAAATGGTTTAGTGCATGGGTATATAAGAAACGACTTTATGCCTGCACTCGAGGGATGAAATGAATGGCATAGTGGCCAAATGAAATCTTTGTAAATGATAGGTTAGTGATGGCCGTCGGTATACTCTGTAGAGGTACAACAGATAAAGAGCCAGAAGCGCGTCCAGCGTCCAGCACGTCTTATCATTACATCAGGATTAGTTTTCGAAGCTGTATTAAAGACGGCGAGAGGTGAGGTGGTGGTGGAGACGGCAGCCTGTGGTTGGGGAGATGACTGAGGCTGAGCCACGCCACTGGATTGTGTGACGTTGCTATTGGGAGGGTGTGAGGTGCTTGCAGCAGGGTTCTTGGGTTTCAATGGAATTATCACCATCCGTTTTTCTCGTGCTGACGCGTTCCTCTGTGGTGTAAGATGGGGTTTGAACATTCGAAAAGGAAAGGATGACATACGCGTTTGCCCTTGGCATATGGAGCATCGACGACTGGTGAGGGACGCTCACGCAGCTCGATCTCTGCACCGCTGGGTCTGTCAGAGAAAATGTTTCGAACCCAGTGAAAAATGCTGGGTGGCGATGGCGTATCGTGGGGATCGAGTCGTGCAGAAGACTGAGAACACGAGGTCAGGAAAAGCAGTACAATGTAGACATGAACTACATACGTGAGCATGATGTGGGTGTGCCATGGAAAAACCCTTGGGGTACCCGATTGGAGACCTTGATTAGCTGATGGACTGGTCGTTGTGTAACATCAGCCTAGAATGCATGTTGAAATGCAATGAGATATGTGAGGAAAGTGTCACATACAGCGAGTCGTGAGTTATCGCGCTGGTCCAATAAAAGTTCATCGAGCCCAGCTTCATTTAGTATCATAGAAACGTCCCATGTATACGCATTTTTGTCGTCACAGCCAGTGGCTAGTAGCTTTCCATCTGCTGAAAATGACACAGAATTCACGTCATCTGCATGGTGGAAGGGCGAACTGATTGGCTGGTTGTTGTCGAGGTTCCATAATCGCGCTGTGTTGTCGATAGATGCGCTTGCGAGGACGCGACCATTCGGAGATATTGCAATGGATTCAATGGCGTTGGTGTGTCCATCCAACAATGCGATCTGCTTCCAAGTTGTTGTATCCCATATCCTGATCGAGTCATCATGTGACCCGGAGATAAGTCTTTCTCCATCTGGGGTCCAAGCCAGGCTCATCACCCAATGTGTGTCCTTTGAGAATCGCGACGAGGTTACCTGTCTTTGCATCCCAGATTTTGATCGGGGACTTGTTATCTCCAGTTCTATTCTGAGGCTGTTCGCGTCCACCAGTTGCTAACGTGGTCATGTCTGGCGAGTAGACAAGTGTGAACACGCATATGTGCCCTGTTTTGAATGGACCGAGGATCGTCTCTCCCTTCTCTACATCCCACTCCCTTGCAGTCCCATCCCAAGATCCACTCAAGACTCGCTGACCATCTCGACTCCAGCAGACAGTCCACACTCTCTCTGTATTCCCCGTCCATTTCATGATGACTTTGCCAGTATCGATGTCCCACAACCTCACTCCATCCATACTCCCGCTAACCACTTTCTTCCCGTCCGGAGACAACGCTATGGTACACACTGCACCTTTTCCGTCCCTCCAATTGTCTCCTATCTGTTTCCCACTCTTCAAGTTCCATACACGCAGCGAGCCGTCCGCTGAGCAAGTCATCATCCGTTGTCTGCCTGGCAGATATATGGCGCCAAAGACAGTACCGGTGTGTCCCTCAAATTTCTGGCGTGGCATTATAATTGATGTCTCCTGTGCCACGCTAGCAACCGTGGGTGAAGTCATAATCAACTATCGCATGCAGCTCGTTTCTGCCTCCATATACAAAGTCCACGATGATCACTTACGACGATTATCAGGTCTTAACACCGAGACACAACGAGTGTTTAGGTCAAGAGTGCACTGGAAGTTTGAGCTCTGAGTACGTTTTACATCTGTTAGTATCCTCGTGTTCACTTCACAGCTTCTAGCATAGGCTGTGCAGCTGAAGCGCCCAGGGCGGCTCAATGATAACGAGGAATGCCAAAGATCATTAATCAATAACAGTCTTCACTTTACAATGGACTGACCCATCCATGTGTCCCGCCACGACCTTACCCCGACTTCACTCCGCTATCCTTGTTAACATGCACACAACCACCCACTGGGCCTTGACGGTACTCGACATCTCGCCAATGATCGATACTCATCTTGTGCGTAACATACACAATTCTTCTTCTGAGGTTGGAGAGAAGGTCGCCCTTTCGAGATGTATCGAGAAGCATTGGCGGCTTGTAGGCAAGTGTTTCTGTCGACCCAGTAGACTCATTCGTTGACTTGCCATCAGGTTGGGGAAGTATACAGCGTGGAGCGGTATTGGAGTTGGACTGATTCGCTACCCACATTCTAGCACTTTGTGTGAGCGGAGCCAATCTACCTCTGTATCATGTTTACAGCACGCAAATGCATTGTTTCAATTGCACTGTGCATCTGTATTGGAAAGAGTCGTGATGGTCACTTTCCCTTATTAGCGATCTCTTATGACTTCTTTGATGCCGTTTATATACTTATCGACCTTTCAATCCTCAATGTCAACTGCACGGTGCGGTCTTGGCCGATCAGACGACCTTTGGCTGCTCTAATATCGCAGCTTTTAAGCCGCAAGTATATATGTACGTTGTCTCGAGTTACATTCATGCCCACAGGGTTTCTGTCTCCACCGCAAACTTTGCACATTCGAAGAACAGCTTATACTGTTCGATCACTGAAACTACAGTGCGCGGGTGGTCGACTGGTCAGCAATGAGCATTCTCTAGGCTGAACTATTTCTTTCTATCTTGAACACGACGGACCCTACGTCTTCATTTAACTACATAGTCGATATTAAGAATGACTCCGTACTAATTAGAAATGACCTTCCTATCTCTGTTTTTGCTGTTGAATTGTATATACTTCAATGACGTCGTGAAAGGTGATCAAGCACCTCTCAATACTCCCAAGTATCTCGCAATGCGATTCAAAGGCAAAGGACTCATCTGAAAATCTAAAAGGGAATTGCCATTTGGGCGGTACAATGGAACATGTCGGTTGACAACGGTTTAATGTGTCGGTATCTACTATACTAAGAAATAATGTTGTATGGATGAGATCAACGTCATAGCATTTCAATAGCCAAAGGGGATCTTTTTCAAAGACGAGATAATCCGGATAAATTAATGATGTCCGTCGTTATACTCAGAGGAGACACAACATATAGCGACCCAAAAACGAGTCCAGCACCCAGCGTGTTTGATTATGATGTGAGGATTGGTGGTTGGAGGTGTGTTAGTGACAGCGGATTCCGGAGATACGGTGGATGACGTGGAGACGGCAGCCTGTGGTTGGGGAGATGACTGAGGATGAGCCGCGCCACTGGATTGTGTGACATTGCTATTGGGGGGACGTGAGTTGCTTGTAGCAGGTTTCTTGGATTTCAATGGAATTATGATCATCCGTCTTTCTCGTGCTGACGCGTTCCTCTAGGTAATATGAGATGGAGTTCGTATATTCGAGAAGAACGAAATGACATACACGTTTGCCCTTGGCATACGGAACATCGATGACTGCTGAACCACGCTCGTGCAGCTCGATCTCTGCACCACTTGGTCTGTCAGAGAAAATGTTTCGAACCCAGTGAAAAATGCTGGGTGGTGATGGCGTATCGTGGGGATCGAGTCGTGCAGAAGACTGAGAACATTGAGGTCAGAAAAAACAGTACAATGTAGATGAGGCATAAGCGCCGTACGTACGTGAGCACGATGTGGTGTGCCATCGAAAAACCCTTGGGGTATCTGATTGGAGACCTTGATTGGCTGACGGACTGGACGTCGTGTAGCATCAGCCTAGAATGCACATGTTTAAATGCAATGAGATATGTGATGAAAGTGTCACATACAGCGAGTAGTGAGTTGTCGCGCTGGTCCAACAGAAGTTCGTCGAGGCCAGCTTCCTTTAGTATCATAGAAACGTCCCATGTATACGCGTTTGTGTCCCAGCAGCCAGTGGCCAGGAGCTTTCCATCTGCCGAAAACGACACAGAAAGCACACTATTTGCATGCTGGAGGGATGAACTGATGGGCTGGTTGTTGTCAAGGTTCCATAATCGCACTGTGTTGTCGTACGATGCGCTTGCGAGGATGCGGCTATTCGGAGATGTTGCAATGGAATAGACATAGGAAGTGTGCCCTTTGAGCACTGCGGTCTGCTTCCAAGTTGTTGTATCCCATATCCTGATCGACTGATCCATTGACCCGGAGATAAGTCTTTCTCCATCTGGGGTCCAAGCCAGGCACCACACCAATCTGTGTGTCCTTTGAGAGTAGCGACAAGCTCGCCGGTCTTTGCATCCCAGATTTTGATCGGGGACTCGACATCTCTGCTTTCCTCTCTGCTTTCCAAACTATTCCCAGGTTGTTCGGATCCACCAGTTGCAACAAACATGGTCGTGTCTGGCGAGTAGACGACTGCGTACACCCATTCGTACCCTGTTTTGATTGGGCCGAGGATCGTCTCTCCGTTCTCTACGTTCCACTCCCTTGCAGTCCCATCGTGAGATCCGCTCAAGATTCGTTGGCCATCTTGACTCCAGCACACAGAAATCACTCCGTCTGTATGCCTCATCCATTTCGCAATGACTTGGCCTGTGTCGATGTCCCATAACCTCATACCACCATCTTCACTCCCACTAACCACTTTCTTCCCGTCCGGAGACAACGCTATAGTCCATACTTGACTTTTGCCGTCCCTCCACTCGTCTCCTATCTGTTTCCCGCTCTTCAAGTTCCATACCCGCAGCGAGCCGTCCTTTGAACAAGTCATCATCCGCTGTCCGCCTGGTATATGTATAGCGCCAAAGATCATTTCGGTGTGTCCCTCAAATTTCTGGCGTGGCGTTATCTTTGATGTCTCCCGTGGCACACTGGCAACGCTAGGTGAAGTCATAATCAACTATCGCATGCAGCTCGTTTCAGCTTCCATATACAAAGTCCACAATGATCACTTACGACGATTATCAGGTCTTGACACCGAGACACAACGAGTGTTTAGGTCAAGATTGCACTGGAAGTTTGAGCTCTGAGTACGTTTACATCTGTTAGTATCCTCGTGTTCACTTCACAGCTTACTAGCATAGGCTGTGCAGCTGAAGCGCCCAAGCGTCATTTCGATCACGAGTCGGATTCCATGAGTCATGATCTTCAGTCTACAGCGGAGTTACTGCACGCCCTCCATATGCTCTGTTACGACCTTGCCCAACACAACTTCACTCTGCTATCGTTGTCAACAACGTCTTAAACCACTTCTCCCCACCCCCCGAAGGTGCCCATCATCTCACCGACGCTCGATCCTTATCTGCGCAAGACACATTTCTGTATATCAGTACACGGGAAACCACCAGAACTTTCCCAAATCTCACTGATACAACTCTCTGTTTCGTCATTCTTTACAAACCTCGGCACAGAGTCACCACGCGCGAATCTGGCGTCATAACTTCGTCGCCGGATTACAATCACCCCTGCGGAGCAGCAGAGCAGCTAAGGAGATGTTTGCCCTTAAAAGGCGCTGTAGCTTCTAAACTATCCACATCATTGAAGGCTGATGTCCTGATGCCTGGAAATAACGATACCATCAGTCGGAGGATGCAGTCCCCGGGAGCTGGCTTTTAGTCCGATTGCAACAAGGGCGGGTCCTTGGTGTTATGGAACGTCCAACATTTTTCTCATTATTGTTAACAAGCATAGTGGTCTAGTCGTCACTCATTCCTCTGAAATATGTGCATTTGAAATACATTATCAACGTCGACAAAGAATACGTTGTAAACACTTATGGTCCCCGTCTTATCGTCATCCGTTCCTCCGATGTCATAAACCTGGTGCCAAGGTCGATGACCTCAAAGGTGGCATCGCCGGTGGTTATATCCTTACTGGCGTCCTACAGCTAGGGCAGGAAGTTGAGATCTATCCGCGAATTGTGGACACTCAAGGCTGGAACCGCTGCAAGCCCATTTTCAGCAAGGTCGTCTCTCTGCACGCCGAGAACAATCACTTGCAGTTTGCAGTTCCAGGAGGGTTGATTGGTGTTGGGACCAAGATTGATCCTACGCTATGCAGAGCGGATCGTCTGGTCGGTCAAGTGTTGGGTGCGGGCGGGAAGCTCCCGAAGGTCTACACCAGCAAGCATCCTCATTTTCTTCATGCTAGCGGGTTCTAATGAGAATTCAGAGCTTGAAATCAGTATGTTCCTCCTGCCCGTTTGCTGGGCGTTCATACAGGACAAGGAACAGACAAAAGTCTCGAAATTCGCCAAGAACGATATCCTCCTTATCAACATTGGTTCAACATCGACTGGTGGACGAGTGTTGAGCATGAAAGGGGATCTTATTACGAACATTCAATTGACTTCACTCGCATGTACTGAGGTTGGGAAGAAAGGTCGCACTTTCGAGACGCATCGAGAACCATTGACGGCTTGTAGGCAAGTGTTTCTGTCCATGCAGTCGACTCATTCACTGACTGACTTCCCATCAGGTTGGGGAAGTGTACAGCGTGGAACGGTACTGGAGTTGGACTGATTCGCTGCCCACAATCTTGCACTTGATGTGACCGGAGCTAGTCTACATCTGTATCATTTCTACAGCACTTACATTATATTTTTCATTTCACTAGTACACATGTTTATTGGGACAATTCGCGATTGTCACTTTTCCTAATGAGTGAAGCTGGCAATGGCAAGTATCAGAAACAATCATAGTAAGTAAGGTGTGGAATAAACGTCTCCAATGCAAAGATCTGTGCGAAGAACAAGAAACCGGATGGGATATATTAAAGATGATCATGGGTATACTCGGGAGAGGCACAACAAAAAAACAGCCAGAAACGAGTCCAGCGTCCAACGTCTTTCATTGTTGCGTTAGGATTGGTGTGCAAAGTTGTGTTAGCGACGGGAAGTGCGGTGGAGGACGTGGAGACGGCAGCCTGTGTTTGCGAAGATGTTTGGGCCGCCGCACCAGTAGATTGTTGCGTGGTGTTGCTATTGGGATGGCGTGAGGTACATGCAGCAGGTTTCTTGGATTTCAGTGGAATTATCATCATCCGTTTTTCTCGTGCTGACGCGTTCCTCTAGGTGATATGAGGTGGAGTTCGAATATTCGAGAAGAATGAAATGACATACACGTTTGCCCTTGGCATACGGAACGTCGACGACCGCTGAGCCACGCTCATGCAGCTCGATCTCTGCACTACTGAGTCTGGCAGAGAAAAGATTTCGAACCCAGTGAAAAATGCGGGACCGTGATGGCGTATTGTGGGGATCGAGTCGCGCAGAAGACTGAGAACATCGAGGTCAGGAAAACCAGCACTATGTAGATGAAGCATGAGCGACGTACGCGAGCACGATGTGGTGTGTCATCAAAGAACCCTTGGGGTATGCGATTGGAGACCTTGATTGGCTGACGGACCGGATGTTGTGTAGCATCAGCCTATAATGCACATGTTTAAATGCAATGAGATTTGTGATGAAAGCGTCACATACAGCAAGTAGGGACTTGTCGCGCTGGTCCAATAGAAGTTCGTCGAGGCCAGCTCCTTTTACTATCGCAGAAACATCCCAAGTGTACGCATTTTTGTCGTCGCAGCCAGTGGCTAGTAGCGTTCCATCTGCCGAAAATGACACACAAAACACCATGGTTGTATGTTCGAGGGGCAAACTGATGGGCTGGTTGTTGTCGAGGTTCCATAATCGTGCTGTGTCGTTCCACGACGCGCTTGCAAGGATGCGGCCATTTGGATATACTGCAATTGCAATGGATCGGACAGAAGTAGCGTGCCCTTCCAGCACTGCTAGCTGCTTCCAGGTTGTACTACTCCATGTCCTAATTGAGTCATCAAATGACCCGGAGATAAGCGTTTTTCCATTTGGGGTCCAAGCCAAGCACAACACCGAATCTGTATGTCCTTTGAGAGTAGTGACAAGCTCGCCGGTCTTCGTGTCCCAGATTTTGACCAAGTACTTGTTATCTCCAGTGTTATTCCCAGGTTGTTCGGATCCACCAGTTGCAAAAGTGGTCGTGTCTGGCGAGTAGACGACTGCGTTTACCCATTCATGCCCTGTCTTGATTGGTGCGAGGATTGTCTCCCCGCTCTTCACGTCCCATTGTCTTGTAGTTCCATCGTAAGATCCGCTCAAGACTCGCTGACCATCTCGACTCCAGTAGACAGTCCTCACATGTCATCATCCGTTGTCCGCCTGGCAGATGCTATGGCACCTAGGACCACATCGGTGTGTCCTTCAAATTTCTGGCAGGGTGTGATCGCTAATTCCTTTTGTATTTCTACAATGGGTGAAGACATAATCAACTATTGGGTGCAGTTCCGTCTTAGCTTCCATCCAACAAAGTCCAAAATCATCACTTACAACGATACGTTCTTCAATTGCTCCCGACGTATTGGCACTAAGAGGCAAATGGCGTTTAGGTCAAAAGTGCACTGGAAGTTTGAGCTGGTACGTTTTACACATGTTATCCTCGTGTTCGCTTCACAGCTTCTAGCATAGGCTGTGCAACTGAAGCGCCCAAGCCTCGTTTATGATCACGAGTCGCATTCCATCAGTCACAATCTTCATTCTACAATAAAATCACCGCACATCCTCCATATGCCCTGTTACGACCATCCCCAACACAACTTCATTCTGATATCTTTGTCAACGTCTTAAGCTGTCTCTAACTACTCCCCGAAGGTGCCCATCATCTCACCAACGCTCGATACTTATCTGCGTGAGACACGTATTTCTGTATATCGGTACATGGGAAACCACCACCCAAAATCGCTGATATCATTCACCATTTCATCTTTCTTCACAAACCTTGCTACAAAGTCACCATGCACGAATCTGGTATTATAGCTTTGTCGCCGGACTACGATCACCCCTCCAGAGCAGCGAGGCAGCTAAGGAGATGTTCACGCTCAGGAGACGCTGTAGCTGCTAAACGGTCCACATTGCTGGAGGTTGATGTCTAGAGGCCTGGAGACAATGATACCCTCAATCAGAGGATGCGGTAACTGGGAGCTGGTCTTTGGTCATATTACAACAAGGATGGGTCTTTGGTGGTATGGAACGTCCAATATTTTGCTCATTATTGTTACAGGCGAGGTGGTCCAGTCGTCACCCGTCCTTCCGACATCTGCGCATCTGAAATATAACATCGACACTGTCAAGGATTACATTGTAAACACTTCCGATCCCCATCTTATCTCATCTGTTCTTTTGATGTCAACAAACGGTGCCGAGGTCGATGGCCTCAAAGGTGGCATCAGTGGTTCTATCCTCAGATTCTTCACTGGCGTCCTGCGACTAGAACAGGAAGTTTAGATCCATCCACGAATTGCGACGAAAGACACTCAAGGCTGGAACCGCTGCAAGCCCATTTCAGAAAGATTGTTTCTGCACGCTGAGAGAAATCACTCGCAGTTTGCAATTCCGGGAGGGCTGATTGGTGTTGGGACCAAAATTGATCCTACGCTATGCGGAGCGGATCATTTTGTTGGTCCAGATCGGTCAGCAATGAGCATGCTAAATTACTTCTTTCTGTCTTGAACATGATGGACCCCGCATCTTTATCGTCGATATTGAGAGTCACACTCCGTATCGATTAGAATCGACTTTCCCGTCTCTGTTTTCTGCTTTTGGTCGTATATACTTCAATGACTCCTGATGCTCCAATAAACTCACTCAAAAATGGAGTCAATTTATTATACATTGCTAGCATTTCTACATAATAACGAGGTTTACATAGATAAGGATTAGGTTTACTGAGGGCCAGGAACGACGAGGTTGGGACGTTGGCGCTGCGCGCTGTAAGGTTAGCTAGAACGAGTTGGGTATGAGTCCCGTTTAGGACAAGTTTATCGAGAGTGGCATGAGTAGCTTCCAAACAGTGACGTCGATGTCATTTTCTAAAAGCCTCATCCCTGCAGGAACTTAGAAGTGTCACTTAGATTGACTGCGGTATTACAAAGTCAACCGAACTCACATTACCTCGAACTCACTTCACTTCGACAGCCACAACACACTACTAGTAAGTAAGGAGGAGTAGAATTGTGTCCCTCTCAATGTAGTTCCTACGGTCACAAGATGATCTAGCAGACTAGCACTCATCGATTCACTGATCACGGTGGCCAACGAATCGGGTTCTGTTATGACTCAAGAAAGCGACCGTAGCGGGCTCTGCCGCGAGCGGCCCTGCGCGTTGTGACGCCGCACACATGATATATCAGCCAGTAGCAATTCAGGGCAATACGCGGAGGATTAATCACCATATGGTTTTACTACACACCCAGCAAATAATCAAGGTACGAGCTCAGGTTGCATGATACCCGATCTTCCATATTTTAAACCAATTCTCGTGCTTTGTTAACAGTACCTTCGAGGTTTGTCGTTGGTCTCCCTTCTCCATGCTAGTCTGCTCAAATTCTTAGTAAAGTTGCACCTGCTGCTGTTTGGGTGAGTTAAGTGTATACTCTCCTCGCAATCGAGACGAAATCTTATTCCCATCACAAGGCACTCGATTATTGTTTGACCCTTGAACATGAAGTCCGTCTGTTCAGCAGCACGGGTCGTTGGAACATTGCGACTGTTATGTTCATCGTAGCTAGATATGTTCCGATAGCATGGATTGTCAGCGAGATATACGGTGAGCAATAAATTTTTTCTCAGGCAATATGTTCTTAGTAGTCTGCCAGTCACTCTTGGGCCACAATCACTGCAAATGGTATTAACTCTTTCTTGACCATGCTTAAAACATGTTAATGCCAGGCAACACAGTGCTTGACTACATACCGGACTGCTGGAGGTAGGTCACCTTACGATTACTAGTCCCACATCACCTAATACTTCCCAGCATCCCTTCTTCTCATCATGTTGGCCACTGAAGGCAAGCTTTTTGCATTTATAACGAAAGCTCTAAGATTTATGTGATTCAGGCCTGCTTCTCATGCGAACACTTGCCTTATGGCACAACAATAGGAAGATAAAGCGGTTTTTATTGGCAAGCTACTTGGTAATGTTTCGCCACTTTTGTTGTCCTGAGGTAGTGATTCAATGGGGCTTGAAGGTTACTGCCATCTCCACAGTCACTTGCGGTGCGATGACGGCTCCTCTGCTCGAAAGTGCATGTGTGCCCACATCAAGTCAAAACGATCTAGACACCGTCACGAGACTGGAACGCCTAGTAATGGGAGGGTTTATCAGCACAGCGTTGTTTGAGCTCAGTGAGTAGATTCTGCCTTCCTTTGAATCTCCTGCTGAAATATGTGCAGCGGTGGCCACTATTACAGCGTATCATTCAATGCAATTATGCTCTGACGAGATGAACACCCTCTATAAACTGACATCGACCTTATCGAAGGGGAATTTGATGTATACGCTGTCGCTTTTTGGTATGTCATTGGTATGTTATGAATCCCTTTCCATGTCATCTGACTGCGCTCAAAGCAATCTCTATTGCAAACATTATTTCTTTTTCGTTGCCGGTACGTGGTTTCTATGCACTCTACCATGACTAGGTATGGACTATTTATAGGTGCAGGTCTCAGGCGGGCAGGATGGCATCATCGACGTGTAAGTTGATGCCTCTCATATCCGAGTTAATTGCCCAACTGTCAGAATCAGGTTTCAAGGTGTCCTTCATGGTGTTATAGCTTCACGTATTCTTTTTGATCTGCGCGATGCGGACCAGAGTAAAAATGATAGCTTTTGCCTTTCTGATTTGCAGTTTGTACCGCACACAATACCCACGGCTACCCAAAGCAATGTATGAATCACACATGCGCATCGTGCACGTCTGATTGTCGGATTTGGGCAGGCTTAAAACCTTTCGGCAACGCAGGAGGAGTAGTGCCCCTGGTGGCATTACGCCCAGCGTCATCATGCGTAAACGTCTTGGAGGGGGGAACTGATAGGCTGGTTGTTGTCGAGGTTCCATAATCGCGATGTGTTATCGTTTGATGCGCTTGCGAGGATGCGGCCATTTGGAGATATTGCAATGGCCCAGACACCCCAAGTGTGCCCTTCCAGCACTGCTAGCTGTTTCCAAGTTGTTGTATCCCATATCCTGATCGAGTCATCGACTGACCCGGAGATAAGCCTTTCTCCATCTGGGATCCAAGCCAGGCACAACACCGCATCTATGTGTCCTTTAAGAGTAGCGACAAGCTCGCCGGTCTTCGCATCCCAGATCTTGACCGGGGACTTGTTATCTCTAGTGTTATTCCTATAGGGCTGTTCGGATCCACTAGCTGCAAACATGGTCGTGTCTGGCGAGTAGACGACCGCGTACACCCTTTCGTGTCCTGTCTTGATTGGTGCGAAGACTGTCTCTCCGTTCTCTACATCCCATTGTCTTGCAGTCCCATCGATAGATCCGCTCAAGACTCGCTGACCATCTCGACTCCAGCAGATAGACCTCACTCCCATTGTATGCCCCAACCATTTCGTGATGACCTTGCCTGTGTCCATGTCCCACAACCTCACTCCACCATCCTCACCTCCGCTAACCACTTTCTTCCCGTCCGGAGACAACACTATGGTCCACACTTCACTTTCTCCGTCCTTCCACTCGTCTCCTATCTGTTTCCTGCTCTTCAAGTTCCATACCCGCAGCGAACTGTCCTTGGAACAAGTCATCATGCGTTGTCCGTCTGGCAGATATATGGCGCCAAAGACAAAATCAGTGTGTCCCTTCAATTTCTGGCGAGGCATCATCGCTGATACCTCCTGCTTTCCAACGGTAGGTAAAGACATAATCAACTATTGGACGCAGTTCCGTCTCAGCTTCCATCCAACAAAGTCCAAAATCATCACTTACAACAATGTGGTCCTCGGCTGCTACCGACGAATTGGCACCAAGACACAAAAGGCGTTTAGGTCAAAAGTGCACTGGAAGTTTGAGCTGGTACGTTTTACATAAGTTATCCTCGTGTTTTACAGTTTCTAGCATAGGCTGTGCAACTGAAGCGCCCAAGCCTCGTTTCTGTTCACAAGTCGCATTCCACGAGTCACGATCTACAGCGGAGTTGCCGCACACTCACCACATGCCCTGCTACGACCTTGTCTAACACAACTTCACTCTGCTATCTTCGTCAACAACGTCTTAAACTGCTTCTCCACCCAACTGCTCCCCGAAGGTGCCCATCGTCTCTCTGACGCTCGATGCTTATCTGCATAAGACACATACATCTGTGTATCTGGAAACCACCAGAACTTTCCTAAATCTCACTGATACAACTCACCGTTTTATCTTTCTTCACAAATATCGGCACGAAGTCATCACACGCGAATATGGCGTTATAGCTTTGTTGCCGGATTACAATCACCCCCGCAGAGCAGCTAAGGAGATGTTCACCCTCAGAAGACCGTAGCTTCTGAGAAAGTTGATATATAGAGGCCTGGAGACAATGACACCCCCAGTTGGAGGATATGATACCCGGAAGCTGCCAAAGTTGGTCTTTAGTTAGATTGCAACAAGGGTGGGTCCTTGGCGGTACGGAACGTCCAATGTTTTACTCATTATTGTTAACAGCCATGGTGGCCCAGTTGTCACTCATCCTTCCGATATCTGCGCATCTGAATACACCATCGACATCGTCAAGGAATACATTGTAAACACTTACGATCCCCGTTTTATCGTCATCCGTTCCTCCGATGTTAACAAACCTGGTGCCGAGAGTCCAAATCCATTACTTACGACGATGTGTTTCTTAGCAGGTCACGACGTCTTGACACGAAGACACGATGAGCGTATAGGTCAAGATTGCACTGGCAATTTGAGCTGGTGCGTTTTACATCCCTTATCATCCTCGTTCACTTCTCAGCTTACGACACTTGCTGTACAGCTGAAGCGCTAAACCTCATTGCTGATCACGGGTTGCATTCTATCCATCGGATTTAGTCCCAATCGTCATTTTACGATGAACGGACTGCACATCATCCATGTGTCTTCACTCCGCTGTCCTGACTCCCGTTGTTACTGCCATCCTCAATGATATCATACTTGAAATTGTGCCAACTATTCCCATTAACATGTACCCAACAGAGTATAGATCCGCCTCGCCCTAGCAGACTATTCCTTGAGCGTGCCTGTCCCGCCAATGCCCGATACTCAGTCAAACGGTACGCAATATGTGCCCCACTACACGGGAAACCTTCCAAAAACCCCAATCACAGATATTGCTCACCACTCCATATGTTTTCACAAATCTTAAAGTGACCACGCGTGAATTTGGCGTCGTGGCTTTCAAATAGTCCGAATCGCTGGGGGGCTGGTGTCTTGCAGATGGACCTGCCATTAATGGAGACAACTGCGCCCTCAGTCGGAGGATACGGCTACTGGAGGTGGCATTTTGAATCACAGCTCGTCTGCACCCGCGCCTCGCCATGTAGATGCTGCCGATGAGTTGTGTCAGTAGTGTGACTCAGAAATGCACTTTTCATCTGACTTTATTGGCGCTTCAGCTAACATTGGTTCGTGCATTGCGATACCAATCATGATTGAATCATCCCCAACTCCCGGATCCCTAGGGTGGCGTATACATTATCATACAGTGGTGGGAGGCGGGAATACATGGCTCTAACATTGCAGTATTCTCGTGAGACCCAAAAGTGTATTCCTTGTTATCGACCATATTGAGAATCTACCCATGCGCGAGTGTCCAAAGAGTGTATAGGAAAAGATAGATTTTCTGATTACCTTTTAGTTATAAAAATACTGTTCATGACAGGTTTCGAAACTGTGTACATGTAGTCGTATTTAAACAGATTTCTACTCTGTTGCGGTAACCACTTGGTTGAGACCAGGCCGCGAGGATCTTTCCATAAGCGGAATGGAAATATTGTGCCCACAGAAAAAAGCTCTGGTCGGCAGGTTTAGATTCAGAACCTGCGCCCACTGTACATGTCCAAGAGGAACAGATTTTTAAGCTGTTGTAGTGACCTCTTGGCTACTATGACTACTAGTTAAGACTGACCTCGGATGGTCCATTCATACTAGTGAATGTCCAATGGCCTACCTGATGAAAATACCGTCATATCTACGATCTCTCACCAGCGTGGAAGTCATCACACACTGTCAGGCTATGTTATAAGTACTTGGGCTGTCGTCACGGAGGCTACATCATCACTTTGAACACTCTCTGCGGCCGCCATGGGCAATCATCTGTCTGTACTGGGTCAAGCATTCCCGTCCAAGTCGAATTTTCACATCAACGACATCCCCGACCTGACGGGGAAGGTCATGATCGTTACTGGAGCTAATACTGGGATTGGTAAAGAGACAGCGAAGGTAAGTTGCGAGGGATGGACACTAGATACTTCATGCTGCTGACCATAGAATGAAAGGCCTTGTTGACCCACAATGCCAAGGTATATGTAGCTGCCAGAAGCCAAGAGAAGGCGGAGGTAGCCATCAAGGATCTGAAAGACAGCACTGGGAAAGAGGCCCTCTTTCTAAAACTTGACCTCGCAGACTTGAAGTCTGTGAAAGCTTCTGCGGAAGAATATCTCAGGTTCGTCTCTCCTGTCGACTCGCAACGCCACAGGGGCTTCTTTTGACGCTATTATTAACAGCAAAGAGACTACGTTGGACGTCCTGTTCAATAGCGCGTGAGTGTACTGAATGCCGTGGTTTGTATATGCTCATTTTAGTGCATAAGGGGAGTCATGTTCCCTCCAAAAGACTGGTTAACTACGGACGGATATGATCTTCAATTTGGAACAAATGTCCTTGGTATGACGATCACATTTCTGCTGAAAGACTCTAATTTGTCTGCAGGGCACTTCTACTTCACTAAGCTGCTATTACCCACCCTCATCGCTACCGCAAAATCTGCGCCTGATGGCAAAGCTCGCGTTATTACAACTTCGTCCTCGGCACATGTCCTGAACGGTCTCAACTTTTCCGCGTTCAAAGATAGTCCTTCCCGCAAGAAGATGTCTACAACTGACCTTTATGGGCAGAGCAAAACCGCGAGTTGACTATGTTATTTTGCGTTAGCTTCTACTGACTCACCAACAGGGCAATATTGTACAAGCATTCGAACTCGCAAGGCGCTACAGTTCAGAGGGCATCGTTTCCATATCTCTGAACCCAGGTAACATCCAAACAGACCTGGCACGCCACATGCCGCCCTTTCTGCGTAGTATTTTGGTTCGTCAATGTCCTACATGCGGCTGCTAGCTGAATGCTGATGAGTATCATGCAGAACTTGTTCCTCTATGACGTTGAACATGGAGCACTAACCCAACTCTATGCTGGAACTGTTCCGGAAGCTGTAGAGTTGAATGGCAAGGTAAATTATCTACCGAATGATGTTCGCAAAGAGATACTGACACCCCTCGGTCTCTGCAGTATCTCGTTCCTTGGGCTAGGGTTGGTCCAACTCGCCAGGATGCTCGGGACCCCAAGGTAGGCGAGGCTCTGTGGGAATGGCTTGAAGAGCAGGTCAAGGATATTTGATTTTTTTTCGTTGATGCCAGGAAGTATCATACATGGAAACCTTTCTGTTGTCTTTTTTATTGCGGATATTTATGGATCTGCAGGTGCGAATAGTAGATACCCATAGTTGCATTTCCCGTAGCCAGACCTTGAAGAAGGAAGACGGTCGTTCATTGTTTTTAAGTTAGTTACTTGTGTGGAATAATCACGTTTAAAACTTGGAGGGATTGGTCAGGAAAAGGTAACCGGAGCAACGCCGAAACAGTGCGAGACTTTTCATTTGTTATATCTGATGGACGTGAAGTACAGTAGAAATGCTACCCCATGTTAAAATTTTGTAAAGCTGAGCGACAGGGATGTACTTTGGCTTACGACGGTACTTTTCCTTAGTCTGCGCGACAGTTAGATCTGAGGCTATCTGAGGCGCATCCAAAAGCTGTCAGAGACATCTGGAGGAGCGTCCGTCACTTACACAGCAGCGGCCTGTGGATGACCTATGGGCTGTTGCACTTGGCGCGTACATGCATCCCTTGAATCACAGCATCCTCAATCATCATCAACGTCAAGGTCGCCTTCGACGCCTGCTCCCTCTCCCATATCATCAAACTCCATCGCGTTTGCATCATATTCCCAAGTCTCTTGCTCTGCTTCTTCGTAGACCTCCACTGCATCTTCACCAAGCGTCCCTTTGTCTTCGGGTACAGCCATAGTCGCATTTGGATGTCCAGGAGCGCTTTCGTGTAATGACTTGGATACTGCAACAAGAAGGTCATTCATTCGGTCCCCTAATCGATCTTCGAGTTCCTCGACGATCTGAATGGCGGCATTCAGTCCATTTTGGTATGATGCATACGCAGACCCGCACGTACAACATATAGCTCGACCGGCTCAGCTGGAGCCAGATTGACTATCTGAAGCTTTTCTGATTTGGACAATCCGAACGACTGTAGACCACGCACGAGCTGCGTGACGCCCGCGTCTGATTGGTGGAGGGTTGGCTGGTAATCCGCAGATAGATATTGAATAGCTTCCAGCTCGACTGTGCGAAGGTTCTCGCTTATCTCTTCAGTCTGAGTGTCATGCGAGTTCTTTCCCGTAGCCTCTCCTTCCTTTTTGACGCGGATGGCAGTTTTTGTGCGGGCGATGTGCTCTGCATCTAGCTCGCGAAGGAGGTTCAAGACCTCAAAGTTCGATAAGAGTGCCGATCGGGCATTTACAACCTGTTTGAATACATATTGATTGTATAACAGCCCGCAAAGCATAGAAGACCATCACGATACCTCCATAGACACGTTCGCAGGTTCCGACCCAGGAACAGAAAAATTGTAACAATTGACCTTCGCGAACGTAAGGTTAAGGTTATGTAATTGTGGGGCCGGTAAAACCTTGTTACCCTAGGCTTACATGTACATACAGCAACGTTGCTCCAACGATGCTCAGCGAGTCAGCTGCATCATCAAATCCGCAGTTTTGACCAACTGTTTTAGATTTCCGTCCGCACTTCTCGAGGCTTCAACGCCTGCATCATTCTAAGTTATTTGGACCACGCTGCAAAACAGCCGACAGTCCTGCCTCTCATGTCCGAAAGATGATTGCCGTAGCAGGCACCGCAGGCTATTGTAAGCTGTAGTATTTTTGAATCCACACCCAGCAGAGAAGAACCGCATGATTCTGCGTGCCGGTATGTTGGAAGTGGCGGCGCACTTGCGGTGCTATTTATTATGAACTCCCGTAAATGGGCCCACAAAATTTGCCCTCTTTCCTTGGTGTATCATGGTATCTACTCATTCCATAATGGCGACGGCGCTGGCCTGCTTAGCGTTCTCTGTCGCACCGGTGACTGCCACATCGTACTCTATGGTCACAGAGTACTATGGTTCTAGCTTCTTTGACGCGTGGACTTTCTATAATTATTGTTCGTGCTTCATTTCGAATTTGCCATGTCCCGAGCTCATTTTTTTTTCAGACGATAATTTAACGAACGGAGATGTGAAGTGAGTACAAAAGTGTCCTTTTTGCATTGCGATCTTAACATTTTCATGACAGTTATGTTTCGGCTCAGGACGCATCTGCATATCAATTGGCGTACGTAGATACCACAACGAACCATGCCATCATCAAAGTAGACAACACTTCCACTGTAAGTTGTTCTGCAAGATATCGATATCTCGTCTTCACTAACAGCTCCCATCAGGTGGTTTATAACAACAAACGCAACTCCGTCAGGATTACAAGCAACGACTCCTTCGAAGTGGGAAGCTTGTGGGTAGCTGATATGTATCATGTGCCTTATGGCGTGCGTACACTAATTTTATGCTAAGATGCTCACGCACTGAAGTTTGTCTCTGATTTAGTGCTCCGTGTGGCCGGCGTGGTGGAGGTGAGTCTCTCTCTCGAGCATCGCACTCTTTAGAGCTATTTCAGAGCCTGACGAATCATGATAGTCAAGCAGCTATCTGGCCGCAGGGTGGCGAGATCGATACATTTGAGGGCATCAATACCAATACCCAAAACCAGATGTCCTTGCACACGGAAACTGTTCGTGAACTGGCGCTGTTCTGAATTGCTTATTTTCCAGCACTAACTTATCATTTTTACAGGGGTGCACGGCCATTGGCCAAAATCAAACTTCAACTCTGGTTGCTAGCACAAATTGTTCGTATGCCGCGAACGAGGACCAAGGCTGTATTGTTACAGACCCATCGACTAATTCCTACGGTGCCGGTTTTGCGAGTAGTGGTGGAGGAGCTTTTGTGACCGAAATGGCTTCTACTGGTATAAAGTACAATGATTGCCTTTTGATCTCTGTTGGACTGCATCACTTAACTTTTTGTGTCATTCAGCATTTGGTTCTTCCAAGTGAGTTACTGTACGAATGATGGGCATTTGCCAAGTACTGAACCAGTTTTCAGAGGTCCGAAATACCTAGCTCGCTGTCGAATAACGAAAGCACGATTGATACCTCGACCTTTGGTATTCCTGTTGCCAACTACCCCTCTACGGGTTGCAACATTGCGGAAGTACTTCCAGGCCCAGAACTTGATTTTCGATATCACCCTCTGCGGAGGTACGTCAGTCATATATCGGCTCGATCGTTGAGCTAACATCTGGCTCGTGTTAATTCTTTCTAATGGATAGATTGGGGTAAGCAGACTTTGCGAGCAACGGGCGTTGCAGGATGCTAAGACAGTTTCACAGCCGATGGTGTTACATGGAACAGCACATGCTCAGGGGTTTGTTACAACAACTGGGTCATGGGCAATGGTTCCGACTACAATGATGCCTATTTCGAAGTCAGTTATGTGAGGGTTTTCAGCACGGAAGGTACCAACACTGTCGTATCTCCCACCACTACCGGGTCTGCCACTGCCGGTGCTTCTGGTTCATCCTCAACATCAGGCTCATCCACATCAAGTAGCTCGTCTATGGGCCTCCTGCATGGTGGTTTTGGGATGACTGCGACAGTGCTCGTTGTCATTGGACTTGTCAGCAGCGCCTTCTTTACACTTGCTTGAAGGGACTATGATGGTACTAAGATCATCTCTGACGTTGCTCGGCGATAAGTATGTATTGTCCATATATAGACTTCATTCACCTTATGCTCACGTCCGCAGAATCGTCATGTCCTGGCGGCTTTTAGGGATGAGGTACCCTCAGGACTTGTGTATATATATATAGTATATTGACTTTGTTGACATGATATGATTAATGGTAGATCCGGACTTTGGAAAGCGCACAGCTACAGTGACTGATAAGCTTAAAACTGTTAATTTCGGATGAGTATGTTTCTTGGGCCGGAGGCACTATCTAACGTGTGTAAGGACATCCGCGGATGCAATTCGTCTGACTCTCATGTGGCCAGGTCTGGCCGGTCTGACCATGAGATGCCCGGAACAAAAGGGAATGTGGCAAGGAACGTGCGATATCGAGGGTTGTATACAGCATGCAACAGCATTATAGCGGTAGAGTGTGGAGGTGGTGGTGTACAAAAAACAGCACGATGAGTCAACGAGTGCAGGTACCTTTACAACCGTTCTGTGAGGCAGCAAGACGAGAGCATGTATATGTTACGTGCGAAGGTAGACTGGTGACCAGCCCGTTTCTACGAGGCAAACCGTCGAATCTCGATAGTCTAGTGCGAAGGTGAGAGGGAAAAAGTCCAAATCATCGAGTAAGAGAATGTTCCAGAATGAAACTCCACGGCGAATACTTTGGGCCGCAGTCAGGATTATCATCATGACGAGTCACGACTGTGCGAGAATGAACTAAGAGCACGCCACACTGGCCCGCGGGCATGCTTGGAGAGTTTGATGAATTGTTCCTTCTCTTCAACAGTGATGATGTGGCAAACTCACATTAGTTCTTGCGTTGCGCCAGACGTCTGGCAATCAATTCAAAAAAATCGTTACACGTGTAGCATGATAAGCAAATCGCTAGGAAGGCGAAGAATCAGGGTACAGAATCTGAGGGTCATAATCGAGGAGAATCGAGCTGGGGCAGGCAGGGAATCCCGATACGTATTGAGACTCCGAGTCGATGCAGCCTGCGAACATCGGGAGACAGTTTGCTGCGATGTGAGAGGTATCTTATCTATTGGCGAAGACAACGTCCTTACAGTCATATCATGATGAAAAGGATTGGAAGGTCAGAGAACTCATGACCCCAGGCTGCGTCAGCGGCATGAGCGATAGATAACGGTACGACTCACGAATCATATTGATTTGATCGGGCTCTGTGCTTGATCAGATGAAAAGAGATGAGTAGGGCAACCCGGAGCCCTTCGACTGGCCATGGTTGAAAATGTCTTTGCGCACTTTGCGCGGCTGTGGAGTAAAACTACCAAATTAACAAATATTAAATGTAATACAATTCGAAGAAAAGTCGAGGAAATTTCCACGTTTGACGATTTCCCCTCGCGTTTCACCACGATCCGCCACGCTCACCTGGATGAACCATAGATACGGGCGATCCGTAAAATCTATTGCATTGGAGTTAGGCATACATCGCGTTCGACTCCTTGCAATTGGTTGACGTCGACGCATGCTACCAAAACTGACATGAAATGGTTTATAAATGCCCGGTCGGTTGCAATAAAACTTACTGTTTACTAGCATTTATTTCCGAATTGACCTGATTTTGTGCAGATATTCTGACGTTGCTTCTTACGCTTGCCCTCGAGTGCTATCGCCTCGGCCCTGGCTGAGCGCTGATTGATACTACCAGTGCAACTTGACGTTTGCATAAAGCAAGTTCAAATTGGGACACCAGACTATATAATATCGGCACACCGGTGTTTGTAATGCACATCTCACACCCCTGCCCGATACCATTATGACCAGTACAGGTGCATCCATTCATACGAATCCTGCTGCCTTGTTTGGCGTAGAGGGACAGGTCGCTGTGGTCACAGGTGGTGGCACCGGTACAGTCTTTTCTTGGCCTTGTGGCAAATTCTACTCATCATTGGCATGATATAATGCTTGCTAGGTATCGGACTCATGATTGCTACTGCACTAGAGAACAACGGTGCCACCGTGTACATCATTGGTCGGAGGCTTGAAGTCATAGAAAAGGCTGCCAAGGAGAACAACGTATGGAATATCGCTTTTATAGTCATGGTTTCTGACGCCCAAGCTCCCAGAAATTCGGAAAGCTCATCCCGTTACAGGGTGACATCACGTGTCGTCAGTCTCTCACAAAGCTCGTCGAGACCGTCAGAACACGCCATGGCTATATTGACCTCCTTGTCAATAATGCCGGCATCGCACGCAACTATTCTGCCCTCGCAATTACCATCCCCCCTAGACGGCCCTGCAGATGCCTCCCCATCCATCAAGGCGTTCCAGAGTGTCCTTTGGGATACCGGATCACCAGAAGGCTTTGCCGAGACGTTTGATACGAACGTCACTGCCATTTATTTCACTACCGTCGCCTTCCTCGAGTTGCTTCACCTTGGCAATCTAAGAAGGGGTGATTTGCCACCTGTCATGTCGCTGCGTCCACAGGTATTCAACAAGGAGCCCTGTGATGATGCTTCGAACGATCGAGGCTCCGCATCCTTCAGTCCCTCAGTGGCCTCTCATTCCTTGCCCCCAACATCGCCCTCACCTCTTGCGTCCCTTCCTGCAGGATTGTCCTCCACTGATTCTACCCAGGCCACTCATCTTCCGGAGAATTGCATTCCACAGCCGAGATCTCAGGTTATCACCATCTCCTCATCTGGTTCCTTTCGTATTGATGCGCGAGTCCTATCTATCTCTTACACGATGGCAAAGAGTGCTTGCACACATCTCGGAAGGCTTCTTGCTAACCTTCTGGCTGATTGGGGCATTCGTTCCAACGTACTATGCCCAGGCGTTTTTCCAAGCGGTAAGCGATTAATTCTCTAGACATTGATTGGCTCATTGGTATACTCTTGAGGCAGAAATGACATCAACTCAACACCTCACGCCTGCCCTTTTGGCTCAAGCTGTCCCTCTTGGGCGCGCAGGTGTCCTATCTGATATTTCAGGTCCTATTCTTTTCCTTGCTGGCCCTGCAGGAGCGTACGTTAACGGCGCAGTATGGCTGGTTGATGGGGGACGAGTTGGCTCTGTCGCCAGTTCCTACCACTGATTCGATTGGGTGCCTCGGCCTACAGATCATGCAACGGGTCGGCTCACATGTTTGTTTGCGCCCTCGGATGAGAAGTACTTCGCACTTACTATGAGCGGTCCACCGATTATCTTTGTTAATCTATCGTACAGCCATCGAAACAAACACCCGTATCCACGGCTTTCATGATTCCTCAAAAGTTTTTTTTTTCGTCTGCGCTGACCCGGAAGGGAGCTGTTTGATACTATTATTTCATCATCAATTTCATACTGATTTGGTTTGATATCGCGCCGTCAAATGCTCTCTAAAACGGCGAGACGCGTCGCCAATGTCGCTGATCGACTATGCAATTTTCGCTCAGCGCCTCAATGAATCTTGCACAGTGGTGATAGGTAGGTGACACTCATTCCTGACCATCCCTCCCGCACGAAACTTTATCCAGAGGTTCGGCAAACCATCACGTACCCAATCCAGACTCTAAATTTAGACCGACAATCACGAACCCTCTATGTATTACTTTCACCATTCACACCCACGAACTATGACCTCGGCTATGGATCATGGATCCGATGGGTGCGTGGATTCTCAAACTTGACACCGGGCTCTGTAACGATATATATAATTTGGTTACTCTATCCCCGGTCACGATACCATCGAAGTCGACAAGCGTCGACATCATCTCCATTGACCATTTCATGTGAAGTCACACGAGAGACTAAATAACGTTAGTAGACTCGGATATGTACAGATAAGTCCACTTGTCAAACCTATATGCGCCAAGACCTCTTTTGAACTAAGTAGGCCGCACAAAGAACGACGTAACACTGTGCAGGCCCATTAACATGGCTTAAAATACTCAGAACTTACCATGGAGCCAGTTTGTCGGACTCGCTGGTACGCATAAAGTACTATGAGCTGCTCGCTTCACTCTGCGTGGTCCCATGATGCATCTTTTTCTTGGCCATCATCAAGGGACACTCCGATGCATCATGCATAAAAGAAGCTCGTTCGCCACCTCAGTCAGAAGCTGGCCCTCTTCTTTGATAGTCAGTAAGCTACACCGCCGCACCTCCCCCGGACTTGCCTGAGCTCGCGTCCTATGCCGTCAGTCCATTCCAGTTCTCGTGTATCGGCGTTGACGTTGAATTCTCGTGTTGTGCCGGTATACAGCTGCCAATGTAGGGAAATTTCGGATGCAAACACCAATCACTGAATTGTGAGACTTTATCGGTCATTGTGTTCCACAATAGGAAGGGTCTCTGCTTGTACAGCCGAAATTGCTGCACAGTGTGCACAAGTGTGCTGAAGATCGAATGCAAGGCGATCTTTAAAATTACCAAACCTGCAACAACACCACACGATCTCCACATTCCCTCAGGTCAGCCCCGATCCAAGACTTAACTACGATGCCAGCGTTTAGCCGAATTGCAGACTGTCATCGGACCGTGCAGCAACTCAGAAGTTATCAGATTGAACTTACGCAGACTCATGCGTCACTCATCTTCAATGAAATTCCTTCAGATAAGTACCGGAACTTGCGTTCCTAGTAAATTAAGTGGCGATATGGAAAACATACTGCTTGGTGACAATGATTATGTAGCGATTTCCGTCACCACATACCATATCAATTCGCCAAGGTTCGGACACATGGGCATGGGTACCGAGAACGAACCAGCATTGATATCGGCGAACGTTCTGATGACACATGTAAAATCTTGACATTAACTAAGCAGCTCGATATTTATGTAGGAAATTATATGGCGAAACATCATTCGGCCAGTGAATGGCTGAAGGTGCCTCAGGCACATACTGTGATTGATGTGATCCCTCGGAACCCAGAATCCCTTGTAAGGTGTTCACTCACCTTAGGGGCTGCAGTGGGGGTGGGGGTGGGGAGATCATGTGCACAGCAGTCCCATGCCAAGTTTTAACGTGTAACATTTGTGGCCTCTACGGGGTGGCTGACACGTCGTCCGTTAATTTGTGGACTGATTCACGTATCTACGGAATGCGGAATGAGTTTAACTTGGTCCACCTGGCAAACTGGTCTCCGAGCCTGTGCGATCGCACTACAAACAAGATATGGTCACATATTACTAGATACGTACTTCCGTGATTGGAGCAGCGCTAAACCCATGTGAGTGATATTCTCCATTTGCAAGACTCAATGATACCGTGTCTTGCTACTGAAATTACTGAATGGGCACCGGGGGTCGCAGATCAGATTGATATGAATCCTATGCGGAGTACTTCAATATAAAATCATACCTGATAACTGTAGTAGGCAGTCGTTCAAGCTGATCGATTTACGTGCAGTACTCGCTATGGGCACCGATAATCACGCCTAGGTAATGCAATAGCTGCATGATCCAAGCGGAATTCTTCACCTGTTTAAGTCAGAAGAAAACGACAAAAAAAATCCCAGGCTGAAAAGACTGACCATGTCGTCAAAAAAGGATCTGGCAGTATATGGATGATATCAGGTAGACCCAACGCAAGGGCAAACAGGGGAAATTAAATTATCGATTTCTTTGCCAGTTCGACTGCAGGAAGACTGGGAAAATAGGCATAAATAGTACTCCAATGATGGATTTTTCGCATAGCGTGAAAACCGCGAGACTTGCTAGCCTGAGTATGCGATTTGAGACGCTCTCAGGCAAACTATTGGGCCACACGACATCATCTGTTGCTTGACCTTCAGAGCGACTGTCTTTGATTCCCAGTCGATGTCGAACGTTTCCCCTGAAATAGCGTTCTCTCTTTGCATTGAAATTATAAAACGGTATTCTTGAATATTGCTGTATCAAATATTATCAGTCATTAGTACTGATAGGATCAATGTACACGAACCACTAGTACTGTCAGTGGACAAATTACCCCGCCAGCAACGAGCACTGCAACATTAATCAAGGTAAGTCAGTAGGTGCGATCGGCAAGATTACTAGTGTCCGCTGTGATGTGATTGAACGGTTCGGGATTGTCGGCATCAAGTCGGCAACGGAACTTTTCCAAAAAGGGAAGACAACGTTTGGAAGTGACACAGCAGCAAGCTGTTCAACGCTGTTCAACGTCGTTCTTGTTCGTCCCTCGCAGGTATCTTGAATTTCTGTTATTCTTGTCCTTCGCAATCGTCTAGCAGGCTTTGACTTTCGCTAGACCGGCAGGCTCCGCTGGTCTCGTCTAGACCCAAAGCAGCGCAACGCAGCGGTCGCATTATCGTCAGTTCTGCTCAGCAGACTTTGCAATCGTGCTTTTGATTCTAGCATAGTCCCAAGACTCGACGTCAGGGCTCGTTCTAAAGAGATTTAGCTCTCATCAAAGAGCCATCTCAATCTCATATCTACCCCCCTCCTTCCAAAATCTCACCTTCTCATCGTGTCCTCGAGGATTAGGAACACATATCTACCCCCTTCCTATATCTTGCAAAAACGTGTCTAGCGACATCAATTCTTCATACATTTTACCGCTAGCGGATCTTCACGAGCGTCGCATTTCAAATTTCATCCTCTAGTTCAATTCGTATATCATCGTTCCTTCCAGTCATCAATAGCGCCCATGTCTACTCTTCGTCCTCCTTCCAGTCCTTCACCTTCCCCTCTCGATCACGCACGCTCTACTCGCGCTTCCATGGGTCCTCGCCAAACTCTAGCGCCAGCTTCCCCTCGTCCCGGTGGAGGAAGCAGTGCTCGTCCCACAAGCGAACTACTCGGTAGCGCGACTATGTTCCAAACCCCAGAATCAGAGGCAATCGACCAATGGTTTGAGAACCTCCAAAACTACGAAGAGACTCTTGAGGAGATGGCTGCTGCCTCATTGGATGTCAATTTCAAAGAAGAATTAAGTGCCATCGAGCAATGTAAGCGCCTTGTCCCATTTTAGTCCGTCATCAATTAATATGCTTTTTTGAAGGGTTCAAGGTCCTTTCTGAAGCAGAGCGCACTGCTGCTCTTTACAGTCTTCTTCAACAATCTACCCAAGTTCAAATTCGATTTTTCATTACCGTTTTGCAGCAGATGGCGAGGTCAGATCCGATGACCGCTCTCTTGAGCCCTGCTATTGGCGGTAAGTATTCTTGGTTAATATTTATTGCTTCACGAATCTAATTTTGAGATGCAGGTTCGATGCAGAGTCAGATGGAAGCCAAGTTGGCCCAGATGACGTTAAAGAGCCCCGCGCTCAAGTCGCCTATGCCCGCCTCTCCTCGCGTATTCAGTGGCAGTCAGAACAGGCAATCCCTTGCACTCGATACCACTTCTTCTGGGTTTCTTTCCCCAGACTCAGCTGCAATGGGATCTAGCCATGACGCAGCCGCCACTCTCGCCCACCAACGCGCTAAGCTAAAGGCAAGCAATGCAGCACACAGGATTTCCGCACCCATTCTTGCGTCCGGCAGCAGTGACTCGCGTACTTCATGGGGATCCGCACTCAGTCAAGTCGCAGAGCAGAATATCAACTCTCCTGCACAGGAAATCGTTGTTCCATCTGTTGGCAGCAGCTCAAGGCCCAAAAGCACTGAGTTTAGCGGCTCTCTCGGAACGCCTCGCGCTGGAGTTGAGGCGTTGTCCCCCATGGTCGGCGATAGCTGGGCCAGCAACGTCAATACACCCTTGATTCCTATGTTCTCTAAGGACACACATTCCCATCTCGACGTGGCGGCTGCCAAGCTTACTGACTGGAATCCTGGTGCACGTGTTCCCCTCATGGCTGATCCGAAGTCCTTCCGTCGGCCGTCGAGGGGTAATGGAAGTACAAACCCTCCTGCTCCCGAGACCAACGTACAAGCGAACAACAACATGTATGACAACGAGGGCAATCTTGTTTCTCAACAGCCATCCGGTCAGCGTCGGAACGTTAGTCAGGGTTCCAACGCCAGCAACGCACAGCTTAACCTCAGCCAACAGCCAGCCAACTGGAACAGCAGTAGGAGTCCTGCGTTGCCTCAGTCGAACAGGTTCGGCGGGGAAGATGTGAACGGCCCCTTGAACGGGCTAGGAATGAATGGGTTCAACATTGGTGGACTCGGTAGCCCCGGACTCGGGATGGGTATGCCCAGCGCAGGGTTATTGGCGGGCATGAACCCCATGCAGATGAACATGTTGAACCTACAAGCTCAGATGAGCGCTATGGGGATGAGTTCAATGACGCCGGAGGCGCAGCTTATTGCGGCGCAAATGGCTGCTGGATTCCCGCAGAACTGGCTAGGCATTCAACAAGCTGCTGCTATGCAGCAGAGCAACAACAACAATAACAGCAGGAGCCGTGGAGGAGGACGATCCCCTGGGCTTCCGAAGACCGGTTCTTCTGGTGGAAATAGCGCGGGTAGTGCAGCAAAGAAGGATGAGGAAGACGTTGACCCCGCGTTACTTCACGATATCCCGGCTTGGCTCAGGAGCCTGAGGCTACACAAGTATACGCCTAACTTTGAGAAGATGAAGTGGCAAGACATGGTCGTGCTCGACGAGGCGGGCCTGGAGGCCAAAGGTGTTGCCGCTCTCGGCGCAAGGAGGAAGATGTTGAAGACATTCGAGATTGTCCGGAAGAAGATGGGCATCGAACCTTCTGGTTCTTCCAATAACTCAGGCGGAGAAGAGTCTTAAAATGGATGTCTTGGGAGCATGTATCTGCCGGGGCAGATCGAGGCATGCTACCCCGGTTGGTCAAATCTTTGCTGATGTTGATTATGATTTCATTTGTTTTGTACGTGTTGACTCAAATTCGGTTTACCAATAGCCACCGCTCATATATGGACGAAAATTGGCTGGTCGTTATGCTTTCTCGTTACTGTAGTTATCCTGTACTCGCGCACAATCAATGGTCCGCTTGTTCATGCGATAGATACCTTGTTTTTAGCGGTCTAACTTTGGGCGCAGTATATCTCCGGCCTCTGGCATTATTATCTCATTCAACAAAAGTTATTCTCGAAGGATTAGCATGCGTTTTGCAACTCTTGGCTTGTCTCATAATACTATTTGGAGTTTAGCCAGCGTACCACACATCACATTATGTGCTTTTTGCGTCATATTTACTCCGTTGCCAAAATTTTCAATGTTAACGTTCAAATGATTATGCTAACTTTCAGCTAAGTACCAGATCCAGGGAAGACAGGGCAACAATCTGGACTTTTCTCGGAGCTAGAGTTCCGAGTCTTGGTTTCTGAAACCTCCAGGAGACCTGCCTTAGGACCGTACTAGTAAACTGTCTGCTTGCGCGCTCGAGGTGAAGGTGTGAAGCCGATTTTCTGCTCAGAGTGTGTCGGAAAACCTTCTAACGTTTGCTGAACCGTTCAGCCGCTCAGCGCTCAGCCAGGAACGAGCTTTACAGCATTACATAGTATATATTCCTGGAATTAACATTTGCGGGGTGTTCGTGCGACTTTGAATCCCAGCCTTTATGGGCACGACTGTCTTCCTTTTGGAAGTTCTAGAGGTTTGGTCAGGGAAGAACTAGGGTCGATTCATGGCCGGGGCCCTTAACGTTCACAATTACTCCCCACATCTGACCATCATCTCCTTGTAGGTTTCAACTTACATAAACGAGGTCGCAAAGCTGCCTACAGACCATCTTCCTACCGCACTGGGGCCCCAAATACTACTAGCTTGGATGAAACAGGAGCTACTTGAACCATTCGACGAACAAGGGCCACAACAATAGGATCATCAAGGCCAAAGTAATTCCAAGTTCGAACATCACGTTGGACACCACGTTGCAGCTTGGCGTATGTTCTTCGTACGTTAATCCGAGGGACTAGTTCAGTTATCACTATTTACTTTACATGCATGCGCAGTCTGCAATGATCGATCCCACCTCGAATTTATTTATTTTATTTTGTGTTATTTTAGGCGAGTAATTTCTTGAAAGGTGCACTTTGCCTTCTTCGGAGTCCGGACTATTCGGGTGGATACCTCTTGGATTGTCTGTTAAGCTTCTCATGGTATATAAACATGGTATTTAAACTTGTCCTAAACATCGTATGAGTCCTAGTTATTTCTTTTGACTGCTCGACAAGACAACGCTCGCCAGTCCAGCGAGTCTACCAGAGCCATTTAATTGTATTTTTGTGGGTTATATTTACTCTTACGCTATGCGCGACAGTCACTGACAATGCATGACATGTGCTCGACTGTTTTTCTCTGATAATAACTACCAATCGATCCCCAGTTATTTCTCAGGAATCACACCGACCGCCGCTAGACCTAAAGACATGCCTCTTGATCGTGGCCCTTCACCTTTTACCCCCTCCCTTAGACGTGTCGAAGCCATGTCTCCCCTGGATAACGAAGTTCACCCAGTCTTCCATGCTGGTAGAGTGGCAGTTATCACTGGCGCTGCGAGCGGTATCGGTAAAGCTGCTGCTATCGAATTGGCAAAGTGCGTGGGTGCCATCGCTCTTGACCCCGCGAGCGAGATACTCACGAATGTGATATGTCTGCGCTGACGGTGTTGACTGTTGCATTCGGTGCTTTGGTGATTTGTACTGCACCCAGGCTAGGTCTGAAAATTGCTATGGCGGATCTCATGGAAGATGTCTTGGCCTTTGCTGCCAAGGAGGTCATTTCCATTGTTGGAGAGGCTAATGTACTTGTTATTCCGACCGATGTGTCGAAGATCGACGACGTTGTGCGTTTGCGCGACAGGGTCTATGAGGCGTGGGGCGAGGTGAGCGAATTATGCCATTGTACACGGAACCTGTGGTTCCCACCTCAAATCACGCCATTCAATCTCATTTCATCCCATCTTACATCAAGCGAACGTCCTGATCTGATCATTATCTGCAGGTTGCAGTTCTCCTCAACAATGCTGCCATAGGTCCCGACAGCAAATCTTGGAAGATGCTGGATAACTGGAAGAAGACGTTTGACGTCAATCTTTTCGGGTTCGTCATCTGTTTGATAGGAGTGCGAGCGTAGTCCAACTTATAGCATTTAGTGTGATCAATGTGCAGCAGACCTTTGTGCCAGTTGGTGTTCCCCTCTGCATGTACCGTATATCCTGACGCTGATGGTGATGTCATTCTTCTGCCAGTCCATGCTGCACCAGGAGAACCAAGCTGTCGTCATCAACACTGGATCCAAGCAAGGGATCACCAATCCACCGTAAGTTCGAGCAACGCACCGTATTGGCCGAATTAATCATCATCATAATATTTCATTCGCAATACCGCGTGGTACAGTGGCAACCCAGCATACAACGCCGCAAAGGCCGCGGTGAAGAGTCTGACGGAAGGACTCGCACACGAGCTTCGCGAAAGTCCGGCGTGCAACGTCACCGCGCATCTCTTCATGTGGGTTATCTCGGATTCTTTCGGACGTATGCTCACTTTGGCTTTCACAGCCCTGGGTGGACCTTTACAGGTCTGACCGCTCGCAACGGTGGCGAGAAACCCGCAGGCGCTTGGACGGCTGAGGAGACAGTTCTTTTCATGCTCGACCATGTTCGTGCTGGCGAGTTTTACATCCTCTGCCCTGACAACGAGTCTCGCCACCAACTCGATCAGCTACGCATCATGTGGGGTGCGGCAGATGTTGTCGAGGGCAGGCCTGCGCTGAGTCGTTGGCACAAAGACTGGAAGTCCCTCTTTGAAGAGTACGTGCGTGACGGGCTGGCTAACATGGAGTGAGGAGATGCGCAATAACATATTATACCGATCATGTTGGGAGGAATGCAGCAAAAGACGTGTTCGAAGTGTTGTTGTTCTCATAGTTATCGAGTATCGCTTCACTATGTATAAACGTTGTTCCTATATGTAATGTCAACATTTCGTTCGAGTTTACTTGTTTGGCGGCAGATTGCGGTCGATCCCCTTATATCTTATCCACATGACTTGTGAGTCCTACTTAGAACCACATCTGCGCTTGAACTTATCGATCGCGATCATGTCCTGTGTCGCTGTGCACGCATCTTTGTTGTGAGAAGATCCCCGCCTCCGAGTCCGCCGCGCTCAACACTTCGTGGAACTGACCCATCGGGGATACTGGTGTAAGTTTACTACTAGTAGCTTCATCGTTTGAACTTAACTGGAACGCAGATCGCATCTGCCTGGTAGCGCTTGCCATGTGTTGGATCGCGGGTAAAGTGGCACTCAAAGGCCCTTTCCGATATAAATCTATTCAATTGATTCTGCATTTGAAATTAAGGCTGCAATGCCACCTCAACTTGCTATATATGACGCATTTGTGAACCTTGTTGAATTTGCCACAGTACTGTCGTGGCAGATACGGGCAAGTGACAGTGGATGGCTGCTAGACACGGTCCGTATAAATACGCTGTTTCACCCTCATCATCCACATCGATTCATCTTTGTGGCAACTGTACACGACCTTCCCATAGATCATAGACCTGTAATCACTGCTAGACGACGTGCTCGACGCCCGTCCTGCCTCGTCCCAGTCCAGGCATCCACGGTGACCCCAATATGCCTCTCCTCAATGGACATGACTCCGGTGCAGGCACTGAGGTATCCCTGCAGCGCGTCAGGAACCTGCCTGGCTATACTACGCCCAAATTCAATGGTAAAGATGAACAACGCGCTAAGGTAAAAGTTGATGTCACTGCTAAGGTGCTGCAATCTTCATCTTTTGAGGTCAATCCTCATTGCGCATTGCGTCATATTAACATAATGTTAGGGATTCATCCCTCGCGAGCTGGTCGAGAACGAGGTGGACTGGTTCTACTCTCAACTCGGCATCGACGATACCTATTTTCAAAATGAATCGTCCTCTGTGATATCTGATCACATCATCGGGCTCTTTGGTGCCAAGATTCTTGCATTCACGAAGCATGACTTCAGTAAGCTCGTCATCGACCTCGAGAAGATCGACGAGAATGGAAATGGAGCGACTTTCATTCACACTAGTTTACCGGGCCTGACTTCCACGGAGGGCCCTGGCGCTACTTGTGAATCGAGGTGTGTTTACACTTAATAGCTCCCAATTACTCTACCAATATTGTCTGTGATGCAGAATTGACTCTTTATACTTTGACAAATCAACCCCGTCGGAATGTTACCGCCTTGAAACTTACCGGTCAATTGGATCCGTATCAGCAACAGCAGCTAAACAGTTGCGCTGCTACTTCATTACCAGGTGCAACTTTCCTTCCCCACCCCCGTCCCCAACTCGGGCGGATGGACATACCGACATCCGCACTGTCTCTGACACCGCTTTCCTCGAGAGAGCGAGCCCGCATACTCTTCGGGAGTACCAGAAGATCATGTGGCAAGCCGAGAGCCGCTATGGTCCTGTAATGGAAGTATATGAAGTTGAAGGCACTCGTGAAAGGCGTCTTGTCATTGGATACAAGACGGGCGGCACTTCCCGGTTCTTCAGGTGTGTTGACCAGCATATGTAACAGCACGGTGGCTATACCCGTTTGCAGCGCTCTCTCGCACCTCTATCACTTTTACCAGTTGTACTCGTCCCGCAAGTATGTAGAGCAGTTCTCCAATGGGATCACGATCATCTCTCTACACCTGAATCCGATGCCTAACTCAACCGGCGCGCCGATCGAGCTTTCCATATTCCAGGTGATGAAAGAAGCATCTCTTCTGTACTGCCTCCCCGATAACCCCTTTTTTCGTGGTTCCGTCCACTCTGGACATGCTGTGCAAGAGGCGACATATGCCTGTATGTCCAACATTGTCTAGACGGGAACCGAGTTCATCCTTCATTAGATTGCGGTTGGGTTTTTGCTCAACACTTCTGTAACCGCCTGGGTCCCGCATACCACCACCTCAGGAATATCTTGGACGAATCAAACCCCTCGCACGCTGAAGTACTCAATGATATCAAGAGACGCTTCAGAGAGGAAACTTTCACGCGCGACAGCATCGCTCAAGTTATCCACACACATTCAGAAATAGTGCGTTGTCCGTTTCGCTCGGTTCCCTGGATGAATATTTCTCTACCAGATCCGCCTCCTATACGTCAACTTCGCCATGGTACACTACCCAGCTGCGGACCAGACATCACGGCTGCGGTGAGTATGATAATGTGCGTTGGGCGACCTTGACGAGCAACACCCAGTCCTACTCTCTCCTACCAGCGTCTTCACACGACGCAGCCCTTGTCCGACACTGAGTTGCACGATAAAATCAGACGTGCAGTCTCGAACAAGCAAGATCTACAAGTTCTCGAGAGCTTCCTCATTTTCAACAAGTGAATTCAAAAACAAGTTAATCAACTGGGAGCTGACCCTGCTTCAAGGCACGTCCTGAAGACGAATTTCTATCAACCAACCAAGGTCGCACTATCGTTCCGTCTCGCCCCCAATTTTTTACCCCAGGGTGAATATCCAACACCACTTTTTGGAATGTTTCTCGTCATCGGAAACGAATTTCGTGGCTTTCACATTCGCTTCAGAGATGTTGCTCGTGGCGGTATTCGTATAGTCATGTCGAGAAACGAGGAGTAGGTTCGTTTCTTTTGAAGGGGGTTCTACGACTGAGCACCGGGCGATAGAAACTACATGATCAACAAGAGGATGTTGTTCGATGAGAACTACGGATTAGCTGCAACCCAATCTTTGAAGAACAAGGACATTCCGGAAGGAGGGGCCAAGGGTACTATTTTACCTTCGTGCGTGATTTTCCGTGCTATCTTGGGTGTTCTTTATCTTGGGTGTTCTTTTACTCGTCACCCAGGCTTGGAGCGCCGCCCAGACGTTGCTTCGAGAAGTATATTGATGTAAGCGTGCATTGTACATGAGTTGACAAACGTATTGATCGTCATTCCAGGCTATCATCGACCTCCTTATCCCTAATCATAGCTCGGGAATTAAGGAACGCCATGTTGACTTGTATGGCAAAGAGGAATGGTTGTTTTTTGGGCCTGATGGTAAGATCCGTTTGCGGTGACTCGTTGAGATGACTGACATCTCGTGTAGAGGGTACAGCAGACATGATGGATTGGGCGGCATTGCACGCTCGTGATCGTGGTGCCGAGACATGGTGGAAGACGTTCACCACTGGCAAGAGTGCTGAGCTTCTGGGCGGTGTTCCCCATGATACTTATGGAATGACATCGTTGTCTATTCGCCAATATGTTCTCGGCATTTATAAGCAGTTTGCAATGAGGGAGACGGACATCACAAAAGTGCAAACTGGTGGTCCTGGTATTTGCGTTTTCACTCTTTGGGGTTTCTCGTCCTTGACGCAAGATTTTGCAGATGGTGATCTTGGTTCAAGTAAGTTGTAATATGCGGTGTGCCCATGGAGTGTGTTCATTAACCATCCTGTAGACGAGATACTCTTGAGTTCTGACAAGACCGTTGCTATTATTGATGGCAGCGGCGTTCTTGCCGACCCTGTAGGTATCAACCGCAAGGAGCTCGTCCGCCTCGCAAAACTACGGCTACCCGTGTCTCACTTCGATAAGACCAAATTGAGCAAGGACGGGTACCTCGTCAAGGTCGAGGAACAAGATGTCAAGCTACCATGTTGGTTTAGCTTTCTTAAAGTTCGATATTATCTTACATACTCTGTGCTTAGCCGGAGAAGTCGTTCTCGACGGCAACGATTTCAGGAACGGTGCTCACTTCCGTTTCAAGGCAGATCTTTTTGTGCCTTGCGGTGGACGGTATGTTTGCGTCACTACCTACACCAAACACCAGCTGACGATCATTCAGTCCTGAAGCCGTGAACATCTCTAATGTTGCTGCTTTGACGGATACAGAAGGCAAACCCCACTTCAAGTACATCGTCGAGGGTGCAAATCTATTCTTCACTCAGCAAGCACGGTTGCACTTGGAGAAACGCAGGGTTGTCATGTTTAAGGACTCCAGTGCGAACAAGGGTGAGATTACTTTCCTATCACTTGTTTGATAATGTTGACCCTGCTTCAGGCGGTGTGACCAGCTCCTCGCTTGAAGTGCTCGCAGGCCTCGCCCTCACGACCCAGGAATACCTCGACCTCATGGTCTTCAAGGACGGCAAGCCGTCAGACTTCTACCGAAACTATGTTAAAGACATTCAAGCCAAGATTGCTGAGAATGCCGCCGCAGAATTCCACTGTATTTGGCAAGAGCACTCCCGCCTCCAAGGTGCCAAGCCTCGGACGCAGATTTCGGACGAGCTCTCCATCATGCTTAACGAATTGCACACTAAGCTCGAACATTCTGACTTGTTCGAGGATGCCCCGAGCCGCAAAGGTGTAATGAGACGCGCTATACCCACCACCCTGGTGAAGCAGGTCGGTCTCGATACCTTGCTGGAGAGGCTTCCCGAGTCATACCAGCGCGCTCTGTTCTCGAGCTGGGTTTCTTCGCATTTTGTGAGTTTCAACCACTTTTCATGTTACACGAGCACCATCCTCACCTCTCACAGATCTATAAATACGGCGTCAACAGTTCCACTATAGATTTTTTTCATTTCGCTCGGGATCTCTCACGGGAATGATTGATTTGGATATGGAAAAAAGGGAATTGGTGCGGATATTAATATTGGTACCGCGACTGGTATGTAGTAGCATTTTCATAGTAGAGAATACACTCTCAGCGACGCCTGCTCCAAGGAAAGACTCATAAGTGGCTGCTTGCTGAAATTTAAGAGTAGTATGTAACTAGGAGGTTCCAGCACGTGGGCGCTAGTGACATGCATGCGGCTGTGTCCCGTGGGATAAACATCTTACTAGCATTATAGTTACAACAGGTCAACTACTAAGTACCCTATTTTCTACGACTGTTCAGCAAACTTCTAATATGCACCGATGGTGAACAGTCAGTTTATTGCCGAAAAAGAACGCCTCCTAGATCACCATCATGTGTTACTGATAACAACTGGCAGCGTAGCATCTATCAAAGCTCCTCTCATTATCGCAGAGCTTCTCCAAGTCTGTCTCTCTTGATGAGATCCTACTGCTGTCAGTGCTTACACTGCACGTGCAAATATAGTACCAGAATGTCAAAGTAGAAGTGGTTGCAACGAAACAGTCGCTTGCGTTTTACGACCGTACGGACGTGGTCAAGGCAGGTGGACGCGTGTGGACGGATGAGGACGAGTGGCTAGTGGGTACACGTTTCAAGATGAATTTCTGCATCTCAACGTCCACGACAGGGATCATACAAGATAGGAGATCCAATCCTGCATATCGAGTTGAGGAGATGGGCTGACATAGTCCTTGTCGCTCCCTGCTCGGCAAATACGCTCTCAAAAATCGCACACGGACTCTGCGACAACCTCGCAGTATGTTGTACCGCCTTTTCATGTCTCATTCGGTGATAATCTTTTTAGTAGACCTCTCTGCTTCGTGCGCTGGCACCTACGACGCCAACTTACATATTCCCGGCAATGAATACGCTCATGTACGAACATCCGCTCACAGCAGAGCATGTGCGCATTGTCCGGGATGTTGTGCGGTACCAAGTTGTTGGGCCAATTGGAAAGAATCTCGCATGTGGGGACGTCGGTATGTTACTTCGACTTTTTGTTTCCGCTGTAGATGACTTGGTCCTTTCTTGAAGGACTGGGTGCCATGACAGAATGGTGCGATGTTGTGAAGATAGTGGTGGATCAAATGAAACTCACTCGCAAAGACAATAAATGATAATAATTTCATGACCGAAGGGGTCTGTATGAGACTACTTCAGAGTATTCTAAATTGTCTCATCTTGGTCTATTAATCTAGGACCGTTTCTTTCACCGTCGCATGCTAGCTTGGATGTATCTGCGAAACATCTAGACAAAAGATAAGCAGGACAGGGGAGTGATGCATTTTTGTTTTTAAAGCCTAGGATCTGTTCCAAATTTTGCTAGGCAAGGATGATTAGAGAAAGATTCTCGTCTCAGCGCAGCGACGCTTTCGCGATGGAAGAAACACTTTGATTCAGTATTCGATTGATCTTCTCGTCATCTATTCCCCGCCATGCGACTGATTAAACCCATTCTATCACAGTGCCGTACTCATATTACTCTTCAATCACTTGATTACAGGATTTCCATCGCAAACGAACCAAAATCGCGCATCTTTCATACCGCTCGCCCAATGCGCTCAATCGGATATCATATGCTCATCGAATGATGACAAGTTGCCATTCTATCGTCACAATACACCGACAAAACAGTGCTGTAAGCATTTGACCTTAAGATATGGCACGAGTTTTTTTTCGGTGCAGCCGTCTTCAGGATATAGTTCACAGACCTTCGCAACATAGGTACTCCGCACATCTTAGTCGGATTTTCACAACCCGCCTCTCGGAAGGCGGTTGATCTGGGTGCGGTATCTTACATGTGAGAGAGAATTACCCCGGTTGTTACTAATCAGTTGTGTAGCAACAAGATATTAAGAGCTGTACACGACAGCATGCTCTTCGAATACGTCATGATTTATTGAGGTTGATCTCTCAAAAGGCGATAGATCTTATGTGAGAGTGAATTAATCAAGGAGTGCAGGATCTTCTCCATATTTCAAATCTCGGAGGTCCAATCCGCAGGAAGCTGAGCAGCACACGCGACAACACGCTCGAATCATAGAGACCGGTGACCAGTCCATCTATGAGGCAGGGCTGATCACTCGAATACGTCATCATGATTTAGATTGATTTCTGGAAAGGCGACTATTAGTAGATCTCATATATGAGATTAGATCAAGTATAGCAATGGTCTCCTCGATAGTTCATCTCAGAAAGTCTCGAGACTGCAAGAGTTCAACGGCGCGCACGCGCTTGGGTGAGTTAGGTGACCTTCCATGCGAACAACAACGGCCCGGTTTTCCTGATCCGACGACCACAATCATCGATTTTGAATGCGCGCGAGAGTCAGCGAACACTATATGCTAAGCACCACACCCTCTATTTACTAACAATCGGACCATCTCTTCCATTTTATTGATCTGACCAAGGGAGATTCTTTTGTGGGAAAATCACCATGCTGCCAGCAAGTTTGCCTCCACTGAGCAAAAGTGGTCATGCAACACACTGCAAAAGATGCTTGTCCGGCTTGCCATCTTCCCAAGTGGATATTGATCCGGCTAAGTACTTTATTCAACGCTGATCTCGATGCCAGCTGTTCTAACGCGATTATCACAGGCTTGCCCTGTCCTTTTACTGCCTAGGCTCCCTAGATGTTTCGGGTGAACTCGAAAAAAAAACTAAGGACTGGGAAAGAGAACAATGGAGGGAATGGATATGGAGTCAACAGACTCGTGAGCCGATTCTGAGATCCAAATGTGTTGGAGAATTGAGCACAGTCACCAGACGGACATTATGGGACTGGCTTCCGAGCGAGCTCTTATATGACTGCGAAACACTCGGTGAGAATTGGCCTTGTTTATATAGACATAATTGATTTCCGGTCTGAAGACAGAGGAACATTCGGGCCATGATAACCCTCAGATCATCATGACTTATACTGCCCTTCTCTCACTGTCTATATTGCGCGACGACTTTTCACGTCTTGACAGGAAGGGCCTCCTGAAATTCCTTAGCTCCTGTCAGAACATCGATGGAAGGTAAGTCCCTACATCATGTCAGGCACTTTCAAGGTACAGACCAAGGGCCCTAGTTTTTCTTCTGAACCTTTAGGAGGTGACTCTGATCTACGCACGACGTTCTGTGCTTTCGCCATAAGCACCATGCTTGACGACTGGTCAGGGATGGATGTTGCAAATGCTCTCCGGTTCATCTCTTCGTGCCGGGTAAGCTTGCGACAACTATATCGGAAGCTGTTTTAACAGCCGTTCTCAAGACATATGAAGGAGGCTATGGACAATCACCGTTTGGGGAGGCTCTAGGTAGCGCAAGATGCCTTATGATGTGATAAAGGCTCACCACACCTCCCCTCCTCAGGCGGCACTACGTATTGTGCACTGGCAGCACTCCGATTAGCTACTAAACAACCAGACCCTCTTTCCCTTCAAGATCGACAGAAAACCGTTCGATGGCTTGTACAAAATCAAGCATCTAATGGCGGATTTAGTGGAAGGACTAACAAGGACGCCGACGCATGTTATTGTTTCTGGTGCGGCGCATCGCTGCATGTAAGTCCATAGTGTCCCATAACGTCGATGGAAACTAAATAGTTTTTCCCCGTTCCAACGCAACAGGTGTTAGGTGCAGGCGATTTGGTTGACAAAGCAGCAATGTCGTCCTTTATAGCTTCCTGCCAATTCAAGTATGGCGGAATTGCAAAGATTCCCGGCGAGCACCCTGGTGCGTCATTTTCAAACACTTTGACTTTGCAGCAAACGTTGTCCTAGATCCTTATCACACATACCTCTCACTGGCAGCGGTGGCGTTGCTCCCACCCAATTCGTCAGAAGGGACATCGTGGGCACTTTGTCCTCTAGATCCTCTATTGAACGCGACGGACCAGACGTCCTTGTGGGCCAGAGCACATATTCCAGCACCTAAAGTTGATGATGATGCAGGCATATAAACGCGCGCTAAATTATGTTGAAGAAATAAATAGCTGGTCTGGATAGGCACCCGATTATAACATTTCACTGATTATCTTCGAAGTGTTTGGATGCAACATTGCCTCATGCCATTCTTATTGAGCGAGAAATGTGTACCGTTGACAAAAGCGGAACCTCTCTTCGAGTTACCTCTTTGTCTATCAAGTGGGTCTCTCAAGGTGAACGTCACAGAGCACATTCACGCTGCAACTGTGGCACTAAATCCACCCAGGGTGTATCCTACGCCACCCAAACCCCAGCGCTTGAATCAAAGCACACTATTCTTACAGTCAAACCTGGCATTCTTCATAAAGCATATGTTTTCATCTTCAGACACTCAGCTACGATGCGCATAGACTACATATTAAGGCCAGATAGTCCCCAAATAGATTTCACCGCAGGCGGAGGGCACTCTGACCGCCGCGCTTGCCATCCACTGATCAGCGAGATGATATTATCAGCCTGTGCAGTGAACAATGAGTTTAAATTCTATAAAAGCTATCCAGCAATATCACACACACCTTTATCACCTTACGGATGCTTTCTTCTCGTCCAGTCAGGCTTGCATTATCCGGAAGTAATGTGGTGCGCTCCACGAACTGCGTGGTGAATTCCTGGCGGCGTTCATGACTATCGGCTGATTGCCATAACGTCGGTCCGGCGCGTTTAACCATGGCTTGGACGGCGCGTACGTGTTGCACGCCAACCATCTCGTGTAACAGAATCCCCAGACACTCGTGCATGATTGGTATTTCGATGAGGCCAAACGAGAACATGTCCGCTATGAAACAAGAGAAATCTAACGCGACATTCCAATGTTTGGTTTCGAGTTTGTTCCGTTGGGAAATAGCATCCGGATTATCCTGTGCGATGGTGAGCACCGTCAGAATCAACTACGATACTACGCACGAGAGAACACCATAATGATTTGAAGTGATCTAAGGCGTACTTTTGCAGGTGGGACACGAAGCAGCTAGAGTGCCACTCGGAGTGATGGGTCGTCAATGTATCACGCACGTCTCGCGCAAAGAGCGCCGCCTCCGGTCCAAAATCCACTATATTCGCTTTGGCTAAAATTTCCCAGCAGAAAAGTTGAGCAAGATCGCGTAGTGTATCGATTGACCATGGACCCAACCGTACCAGGAGAGGTGGCAAAGTGGGATTGGATGCCAGCATGCCAATGTCAAGGATATGCAACCATGCCTCCGGTGCGTGAATGGGGGGAGGAAAGTAGCCGTACTCTACAAAGCGGTCAGGAATAAATGTTGTGGCGTTCGGGTTAAGCTCGGATTTTATGGATTGGGCCGCCAGAATGCGACACGAGTGGACGCCTGGCACAGTTTCCTGAACCGATGCCTGACTAAGTTGGTCATACTCGAGCCCGTGAGTTTCGTTGTCGACCAATGTCGTGTTGCTGCTGCAGGGGGAATTATTCAAGGTTCGATCGGGCGTGCCAGCGCTCGACTGCCAGGAGAAAGCTGCGTATGGACTATTGTCGCCTACGAACGATGATGCTGCACGTTCATAGAGATGGTTCCTTTGTGACATGAGTTCAACATCAACAGTTTCCATGGCCAAAAGATCAGGGGATGAGTTGATAGATAGGTTGATGGGATAAGTTGGGTTTCGATGATAGGTATAATTCCAATCCAGTGTTAATTTATACTAGTAAGGTTGGCGAGGGCCACAATTATGTGGAACTTTGTCATGGTGGTGGACCTTCACCCAGGTCCTGAACAATGATCGTCAAAGCTTGGTCAAAGCATAGTCAAAGCATAGTGCAACGCGACTGGCATCCAGTGCTGGTACGAAGGAGATGGGCAACAAAAAGCCTTGTGTACCACTGGTTCACGATGTGAGGACCAAGCCATTTGTTTTGTACAACCAAGGCCATGCCGCGAACACATTGTCACAACATTCAAGTTAATACCTGAGAGGAGTAATTTTACTTACTTCAATACGGCTGATGTCATCCAACATCGTTGATAAAGAAGCATAAAACAGGTTGGGGTATCATAGCGTCCACAGTTATGAACTATCGGTCGACAGGTGACTAGTGAAAATCATAATCTAAGTAGGAGTCTGTAGGACAAAGAGACGTCAGGCCACGTGACCGAGTCAAAGGAGTGGGATCTGTATTCGAATTTCAAGTTCGAGCAGCAAGTAACCTCTCTCCTTTGACTTGAGATATTCAAGCCTGTATGTAAGAGGTACAAAACCATTTACTCAACAGTTCTGCTCTTATGCACCCGAATCCACAAGATTTTTCGCCGGTGGCACAATTCTTGTATAGTGAGGTTCGGATTGTATATTTGAGTATCTCACCATACGAGGATTAGAGGTATAATTACATACGTATTATTTCGTCCCTAACATGTCTCTGGTAGTATATCGGATAGTACACCCGCCTGTCACAGCTGCTGCGCGCGGGAGAGCGGGGTTCGACTCCCCGCCAGAGAGTTTTGCAATGTTCGAGTTTTATATTTGACCCTCGGAAAGCTTCCTGGGGTTTTCGAGCTGCGGTTTCATGCAAACAATGGTTGCAAATGCCTTTTTTATTTGCTGGTGTAAGCGATGTCATCTTCTACAATGTTAGAGGTGAGTCAACGTAGCAGTCCGGGTTTATAACGTCGTGTCACATTTGGTACATTATTATACTCCATCATATTGAAAGCGCTACTATGCAAGCTTATCGGTCCTGGTGTGGCATTATTGGCCTCTCCCTATGTACAATACGTAGTGATCCCAAAGTCAAGTCCCGAAACAAATATTACCGTGCGAGATCCCGAGCGAAATGGAAAAAGTCTACACTAGAGCTGTTAACGCCATATTTGTAGATCTGCAAGACGAAGGTTAAGGATGACTAGGCAACAAGGAGACACGGTTTAAACTCACGTAATGCGAAGCAACCCAGCTCGAGAATAGAGCGCGTTGGTATGTTTCGGGAAGCCTCTCTAACAGGGCGTCGAGACCGACCTGGTCTACTAGGGTGGTGGGTATAGCGCGTCTCATGACACCCCTGCGGCTAGGTACATCATCAAACAAGTCAGAGAGCTCAAGCTCTGCCTGCAAGTTATTGAGCCTCATTGACAACTCGTCTGAAATCTGCGTTCGGGGCTTAGCGCCTTGAAGGCGGGCGTGCTCACGCCAAATACAGTGGAACTCCGCTGCGGCATTCTCCGAAATTTTTTCTTGAATCTCTTTGACGTATTTTTGATAGAAGTCTGAAGGCTTGGCGTCCTTGAAGATCATCAGGTCGAGGTATTCCTGGGTCGTGAGGGCGAGACCGGCAAGCACTTCAAGTGAGGAGCTAGTCACACCACCTGAAGCAAGGTCTAGACCATATAATAGATTATAAAAAAGTAATCTCACCCTTGTTCGCACTAGAGTCCTTGAACAACACAACCTTGCGTTTCTCCAAGTGCAACCTTGCCTGCTGAGTGAAGAACAAATTTGCACCCTCGACGATGTACTTGAAGTGGGGTTTGCCTTCTGTATCCGTCAAAGCAGCAACATTAGAGATGTTCACGGCTTCAGGACTGAATGGTCGTCAGCTGGTGTTTTGTACAGGTAGTGACGCAAACATACCGTCCACCGCAAGGCACAAAAAGGTCTGCCCTGAAACGGAAATGAGCACCATTTCTGAAGTCGGTACCGTCCAGAACGATTTCGCCGGCTAACAACAGCACGTGAGATAACAACGAACTTTGAGAAAGCCGAACATACAGGGTAGCTTAACGTCCTGTTCCTCGACCTTGACAAGGTACCCATCCTTGCTCAACTTGGTCTTGTCAAAATGAGCGACGGTCAGGCGATGTTTGGCAAGGCGGATGAGCTCCTCCCTATTGATACCTGCAGAGTCGGCAAGGACACCACTGCCATCGATAATAGCAACGGTCTTGTCGGAACTCAAGAGTATCTCATTTGAACCAAGGTCTCCGTCTGCAAAATGTCAAGGACGACTTTCAAAAAGTAAAGACGCAAACATACCAGGACCACCTGTCTGAACCTTTGTGATGTCTTTCTCCCTTAGTCCAAGCTGCTTGTAAATGCCAAGCACATATTGACGAATAGACAGCGACGTCATTCCATATGTATCATGGGGAATACCACCCAAAAGCTCGGCACTCTTGCCGGTGGTAAATGACTTCCACCATGTCTCGGCACCACGATCACGAGCGTGCAACGCTGCCCAATCCATCATGTCTGCTGTGCCCTCTATACGAGATGTCAGTCACCTGCGTGGTACATCGGACACGCAACCCTACCATCAGGGCCGAAGAACAGCAACTCCGGCTTTCCATACAAATCAACCAGGCGTTCCTTAATCCCTGGAGTTTGGCCAGGGATAAGCAGGTCGATGACAGCCTAATTGAATAATCAATATCTATCCATTGATGCATAGTTGTGCACTTACATCGACATATTTCTCGAAGCAGCGTCTAGGCGGCGCTCCAAGACTGCATGAAAGGTATATAAATATACAAAGATGGGAAGTGAAATCACGCACGAAGGCAAAATAGTACCCTTGGCGCCTCCTTCCGGAATGTCCTTGTTTTTCAAAGATTGAGTGGCAGCTAATCCGTAGTTCTCATCGAACAACATTCTCTGGTTGATCGAATAGTTCCTGATTGCATAGAACTCAGCTGCAGGATTCCGAAGTCCAGAAAAGGCGCACGTACTCCTTGTTCCGCGACATGACGATTCGAATACCACCGCGGGCAACATCTCTGAAGCGGATGTGGAAGCCACGGAATTCATTACCGATGATGATGAACATCCCAAAAGGTTTGTTTGGATATTCAATCTCAGGCAAAAATTCAGGGGCGAGACGGAACGACAGTGCGACCTTCGTCGGTTGATAGAAGTTCGTCTTCAAGATGTGCCTACGAGAAGGTCAGCTACCAATCAATCATTCGTTTTCAGACTCACTTGTTGAAGATGAGGAAACTCTCGAGAACTTGTAGATCCTGCTTGTTCAGGACTGTACGCCTGATTTTATCGTACAACTCAGAGTCAGACAGGGGTTGCGTGGTTTGAAGACGCTGGTAAGAGAGAGTAGGACTGGGTGCATCTCGTCAGAGTCACCTAAGGCAAATACATGAGCAGACTCACCCGAGCTGCGATGCCTCATCTGCAGCTGGATAATGTACCATGGCGAAGTTAACATAGAGGAGATGAATCTGTTGGGAAAATATTAATGTGACATCCCAAGCGAAACTGGCAACGCACAATTTCCGCATGTGCATGGATAACTTGAGCAATACTCTCCCGCGTGAAAGTCTCCTCCCTGAAGCGTCTCTTGATATCATTGAGAACTTCGGCGTGTAAGGGGTTCGAATCATCCAGGATATTCTTGAGGTGGAGATACGCAGGACCCAAGCGATTGCAGAAGTGTTGAGCGAAAACCCAACCACAATCTAATAAACAGTTAACTCGGTTCCTGTCTCAAAAATGTTGAGCATACAAGCATAGGTCGCCTCTTGCACAGCATGTCCTGAGTTGACAGAATCGAGGAAAAAGGGGTTGTCGGGAAGACAGTAAAGCAGGGACGCTTCTTTCATCACCTGGAATATGGAGTGCTCGATCGGCGCGCCGGTTGAGTTAGGCATCGGATTCAGGTATAGAGAGATGATCGTGATTCCATTGGAGAATTGCTCTACATACTTGCGGGCCGAGTACAGCTGGTAAAAGTGATAGAGGTTCGATAGAGCGCTGCAAATGAGTTTAAGGCTGCTGTGCTATAACATAAATAGGTTAACACACCTAAAGAAACGGGAAGTGCCGCCCATCTTGTATCCGATGACAAGACGCCTCTCACGAGTGCCTTCAACTTCAAATACTTCCATGACAGGACCGTAGCGGCTCTCGACTTGCCACATGATTTTCTGGTACACTTCAAGAGTATGCGGGCTGGCTTTCTCAAGGAAAGCAGTGTCGGAGACCGTACGGATATCGGTGAGTCCATCAGTCCGAGTTGAGGGGGGTGGTGGGGAAGGAAAGTTGCACTTGGTAATGAAGTAACAGCGCAGCTGTTGAGATGCTGTTGCCGATATGGATCCAGTGGATCGGAAAGTCTCAAGGCGGTAACAATTCGACGGAGTTGAGTTATCGAGGTATAAGGAGTCGATTCTGTATCAGGCACAAAATTGGCATAGCAATTGTGAGCCACATCAGATAAACATACCTGGATTCGCAGGTAGCGCCAGGCCCTTCGGTAGAAGTTAGGCCCGGTAAACTGGTGTGAATGAAAGTCGCCCCATTTCCTTTCTCGTCGATCTTCTCGAGGTCGATGACGAGCTTATTGAGATCATGCTTAGTGTAGGCGAGCACCTTAGCACCAAAGAGTGCGATGATGTGATCAGATATTACAGAGGGCGATTCATTTTGAAAGTAGGTGTCATCGATGCCGAGCTGAGAGTAGAACCAGTTGACCTCATTTGCGACCAGCTCGCGAGGAATGAAACCCTATGGATGTGACGCAAATATTAATGATTGCTGTGACTTAGAGAGATGTAAATTGCATTACCTTGGCAGCGACATCTGCTTGCACCTTGGCGCGTTGTTCTTCCTTGCCTTTGAAGACTGGGGTAGTATAACCTGGCAGATTCTTGACGCGCTGCAAGGATGCCTCGCTACTAGCCCTCGAGCTTGCGGTAGAAAGACCGTTGATGAGGTGAGTCATGTTTGGGAGAACTCCCAGACTGGGATGAGGTTGGGACGGCGTCGAGGACATCGTCTAGCAGTGATTATAGACGTCTATAGAAATCTACAGGAAAATCGCGTCTACTTAACCAAGAATCGATTGATGCGGTGAATCGGGGGATAACAATGGTTTTAATAGTGACAAAAATCAACCTGGTATTTATACAGATTTACGGACCATAACTCAAGTTTTGAGCTCTCCATAATTGTACGGATCTTGTGGCTGCCAAGGTATAATCTGGTATGCCGGTCAAAATAGTGACAAATAAAAAGAAAAAAGGGACAATTCGGAAAAGGTCGCTTTACCAGGTACCAAGTCTCCGATACTATGCTCAGTAATTGATGGGATATATTTTGAGGAGGTCAGGCTGAGCTCAGGTGTCGAGTTGACATCGTACATATAGGTTCATCCAATATTTAGTCGTCATGAAACTGCCCCTTGTTGTTTCAATCCGGCTCTTCAAGGTGCCCGATAGCGGACTGGAAGCTCCGTTCCCCAGACGGCGCTGACACGATTAATCGGCGGCCAGGGGTTCAGCCTTTGGCATGATTGCTACCGACAGTCTAATAGTAGTCTGTCTGTCTGGACAGTCGTAACTGATTGATGCATGGCAACCACTTTAAGGATGAGTTCATCGAGATCAATCTGCAAAATTATTTCGAAATCAATGAGCAAAAATCAGAACCCATTGCATGCTTCGCAGCGTCATATTGAATCATCGAATCGCATCATGGGGTTAAATCGCACAGGCGTGAAACCGCTCATATGTCCAAATCCGCTACATTATGAGGCCGGCGGACCTGAACTCGTGCTTTACTGCGTAACGTTACAGCTAGTTTGCGTCTCCGAAGCACCGAAACTGTATATGCCACGACACAAAACACATCGCCCGTTACTATGTATTTCTTTTCAGCCAAGACGTGATCAGGACAGTACTGGTCGTTTATCGCCCAAATTTCTCCCAGCTAGTATTTGTTGTTGCACAATATAGATGTAGGGCTACCATATTCATGGCACTAGTGCTGCACATCATGCATCATGGGGCATGTGTGCATGTTACAAGGCGCTGTTGAAGCTTGAAGGCTTGAAAACCTAAGCTAGCGGCTCGCACGGTCCGGTCCATGTCTTTTAGCGACCTTAGCTTCGTCACTGACTCACAGCGTCGTCCCCCGAACCTAATTTTTGCGATTGAAGTTACGATATCTCGCATTCTATTCAAAAATGCCCCCTGATGCTACCCTTCATAGCACCGACGCGTTGAAGAATGGGCGATGGAGGGAGCTATGCAAAAAATCACTCACTTTCAACTTGAAGGACTAGACTCGAGTCCGAACGTGCTACACACACTGCAAGGTACATGATGCATCGTGACACATTCATGGAGTCTGGACTCGATGTCCTATCCGGAGATATGCTTTCGCACAACTCGCGAGAACGGTTGGTCGAAGGAGATGTAGGATTTCGTGACTGATTCCGTGATTTAGACACATCAGCCATACCCTGAAGGAATTGAATGCCGCCCGGACCGACCAACGCTGGGGCTACGTGATTGGTATGGGCTGGCTTCCGCCTGTCCCTGTTCGACTTCGATTAGAGCTTCCATGGAGTCTTCCGAGAACGAACCTAGCGAGTTTACTCAAGTATCTACTAGTTTCTACTGTGCCAATCCCGAAGGTCATCATGAGTAGATGGTTAATTTGTAAATCCGTGGCCTAATGCCCCCTTATATATTCGAGTGACCTGGCAGCTCCTGAGGCAGCACTTTGGGCCGCGAATGATATCACTCACTTGAACCCTGTTATAATCGGAAAGCGCCGTCTCAGTCGGCAGAAACCCTTCAGAAGCCTTGCATGGTAAACTCCGGGTTGGTACTTCTCGGAATGACCTTTCGACCGGTTCTGCGATGCTCCGGAAGGTCTGAGCAGGAAGCAGAGACTTTCGCCTTGCTTGTAGACTTGCGAAAGTGTGTGTGTGTATTTTCGATTGAATTAAAGGTATTGAGGAGCATGCAACTTGCTTCGAAGATTCGAAATCGAATACTCTGAAGGCTCGGACTACTTTTGCCAATGGCCTAGTGTCGTTGGTAGGATTTTATAGCTTCCGTGACTACCTAGTACTCAGATTGGCACAGGTGTGAAACGTACCGAGGGTTTGGCGTGACACAGTAGTAGTCTGTCCTCGTCTGAATGGGTGTGAGGATCCAAGGATCAGCCTGCACGGTTTAGTCGCAGTTGGGGTTAACCAGTTCTCGCATAAGATAACACAGATGCGGAGCCTAAATCAGTGTGTCGCCCTCACGAATGACTTGTTGAAACATGATTGAATCGTATGGGAGTCCGCGGGAATGCATGCACATGATGCAGTCGTACCACCGCAAATTCCAGGGATTTCCCTGAATTTTCGCATTCAGTCAGTACGATCCTCATCTAGGGAAGCTTTTGAATCTGACAACAAGCTGTTGTCGATTACGATGGCGAAGATGATGTGGGATGATGCAACCTGGGATGTTGTGCCGGCCGGCGAACACCCAGTTTTGTCAACCGGGCTCCGGCACGACCGGTGGAACTGAGCCTAAGCCCTTCAGCCCCAGACTTTGAATTCGATTTCGTATAACTGACTCGCCTGTTACCATGTTCCTCTCGCGCCTCGTAACGACTGCAAAACAATTCTCCACATCTGCCATTACCAGTTTCCCCAAACTCAAGACGCACAGTGGGACAAAGAAACGGTGGAGGGCGCTCAGCAATGGCAAGTTCAAACGCGTACGTGCATCTCCCCGTTCCTCCCGTCAATCTCGTTCAGCTCAACGACGCGCGCAGGCACATGCAGCACACGTGCATTTGAACGTCACTAAGAGACCAGGGCGTAAAAACGCACTTTGTCAGACAGCATATTCCAGCGGAGCGCAGACACCAACCTTGAAAAAACTCATGCCCTACGCCTAGCCTTACTTATTCTATAGGTTGGTTCCTTATTCTGAGCTGGGAAGCATCACACTCATCACCTTCAGATACTCTGTACTTCTCATATAATCAACGTCTGTTTTACCAAGAGTGGATGTCTGCGATACATACATGACACCTCCTGATGACATATGTTGGTCTAACATCACAGTTCCGATTTGCATAACTGTCCCTCAAAGCAGAGGATTGGTCCAGGTGCACTTACCATCACCGTTTCTGATAGGTGGTCCTCAGATACACAAAAAACACATCATATTCGACGAGGAAGGATACTCGGGATTCAGGAAAAACGCGGTGAAGCCACTGAAGTCACTAACGCTTCAATGATTTTATGGTTCGAGCTTGTACAGCTTGAAGAACACGAATGCGTAAGTGCGTGGTCATACGGTCGTTCGTGCGTGTCTAAATTGATGCAAAGCTGACAGCATCAACTGCATGATGGAGAAGTGGCAAGTGATATGGCAGCCACATGTGGTCCCCGGCTGGTTTTTGGGAGCGTTCCATCTCGGTTAGGCCTATGGATTGATCCGATCAATGCTGCGGGGTTTCATGGCTCTCGGAAAACTGATTGCGCCGGGATAGGTTTGGCAGGGCTATATTAAGGTTTCCGAAAACACTTTCAGCTTTTATGGCCTTGCACGTTGCGCGTGATACTGATTGCAGTTCCATAGCCAAATATCGTTTGACTCAATAGTTAGGACATCTCCGTTTTCTACTTGCATCACGATGCTCACTTCCGTCAATCAAGGCAGGAACGAACATCTCCATAATGTTCGGTAATAAAAGTGCCGAGTTGTCCGTATATTTAGCAGGAATGCAATAATTTTCACATTCGATATCTCGCCCTCACACCCGTCCATCGAACATGACACCAATCTCGAATGATCCCACTCAGTGGCGGATAATCGGTTCGAATATTTATTACAGCTATCTTATACGTTCGTGAAGATTCAGTTATGGGTGATGTGTCCACCTAACCATGACTGAGGGATCACAGTTGCCTCTTCTGCTGTATTGATTTACGATTGGGGTGAGCAAGATAATTTTTGAGACTCACTGATGTCCTTATGATGTTTCAAGCACTTACATTCGGACAAGAGGTAGGGGTGACGCCATTACCGAAATTGCCATCTCACTAAGAATGTGCTGAAGGTCGAATTAATTTGGGTGGGCAGAAAACACGAGCACGACGGGATAATACAACTGATTCGTGCAGAAGCAACGTTGGTCCCTCATGACAGTGTTATATATGAGTGTGCGTAGTTTGTGTTATTAATATAAGTCCAGTTGACAAGGTGTATTGACTGAAAATATTTAGGTGCGTTACATGGGAATAATATACGCTATGTATGTTTATAAGGCGAAAAATCTGCCCTGTGCTAATAACCCATCTCTCGTAACCAGCGTCATCATGCTGGGTATGTCTCTCCATATACACCGCGTTTGTTTGTTCTGACTGGTGGTATATAGTAACTCTTCCGTCAAGCTCGGCGACAGATGTAGTGAGTGGTCTACACGGACGCCTGTAATTCACGTCTAATCAAATGCACTCTTGTGTAGGGGTAAGTCAGATTCTTCAGTTGGTTAGTTCATGGCATGATGACCGCGCCAGCTGTGAGTTTGCTTGGAGCTTTGATCCACCCAGACACATCACTACCCGTTTTCTCAGGCAATTTTACGTTCTACATCATAGATTGGATGGGTTTTGTCACAGCTGCCATACTGGGTGGTGAGTTACTCAGTTACAATGCCATCTGTGATATTGACTCGACCGAAATGTGCTGCAAGTGATCACGATCGCTCGATTGCATGCTATGCATCAGCGATCCAGGAAGATGCTGATCTTTCTTGTTGCTGTCTTCCTGGTCGTCCACATTGCCTGCATCGTGATCGGCACAATAGGCATCATGCATTTCGCAGGAGGTAAGCTTTGATTATGGACTGAAGAGAAATGTGCCATCAGGCTCATTGGTGAATAACAGAGGAGCTGGTACTCCCTGGCGTCTATCTGTGCGATTATGGGATAAATGGCCGACTTCTGAGGACCGTGGTTTGGGCACTCTACACTGTATGGGAGGTTCTCGTGTTGTGTCTTGCAGTGCGGATTGCTGTAAAACACTTCCGTGAACTGCAACAATTCGGATCGTCGACAGGACGGACCGTCAGTAATTGTTTCAAGGTGTTACTACAAACTCATGTGGTGTACTTTGCAAGGTGAACTCGATTTCAATGCAGTTGTATTCTCTACTGAAGCTCCGCATATGCTAGTTTTATTGGTGCCTCTTGCTTCAGCATCGGTTCTCTCTCTTCAAACATATCGGTAGGTAGATCTGTCGCTGATATCTGCATGTGACCATTATTCACAATTTCTTTATGTAGACCTCAACTTCCACGGGAACCGTGGTTTATGATGGCATTCTTGAAATCCTCATGGTTGTGCAAATGTTTGTACTGGGACCAAGGCTCATCCTTAGCGTTCGTGAACATCACGCTAAGCTCGTATCTGACTCCGATGCAGGAACCACCTTGGCTTCGATTGTTTTCCAGGAACGCGTCCATGTGTCAACTAGCAGTGGTGTATAGCATGAGAAACGCTCCAGCACATATTAAGTACTCATGTCCGCCTACATGGAATCATCGTGCCTCTCACTGGAATAAATCAGCGAATCCAAAAGGACCCACCGTCAACTCCTCGGTCCTTCCAAACCCATTCACTGTATTCAGACCGATTCCTGTACTAGCCTGCAAAGGCCGAGTACGCGTTACACTTTCCATCTGATAGTTACCTATTATTCATGCACGCTTACTTAAAGTCATCTCGTCTTCGTTGAATCGCGCGTCTAAAACGGCCGGCAGGAACGGCGGACTGGTGGGGTACGCCTTACACCAGGGCATTCGCGGATTCAGAGATGCGAACAGGGCACCGGGGGCCCTTAGACTAGATCGTAATGTCCTACATAGAGCCTGCTCTGAAAGGACACAAATTGGAATTTTTTTAAAAAAAGTACTCATGTCTCCCAGATCATCCAGAATGCAAATAATTATACGAGAACACTTCGCGTTACTCTCATTAACTGGTTGATTGACTATGTCGAACTCGGGGTCATGCCTGACCAGAGGACAAAGTTCGTTAGACAGCAATCGGATGGAAGCTTACCACACACTATCGAAGAAACACTGCCTTCTCCGCACTTAAAGCAACCCAGGCAGCTTCATGAATGACACCCAATCCAACACGTTCCATCAAGCCCTTATTCTGACTAACTGCCATGACATGTAACAAATATCATCGTAAACCACAAGACTCTCCTCGTCGTGCATGCCGCGCAAATCATTAGTACAGGAAAGAACGACGAACTCGAGGGAAGTTGACAGGGCAGGATCCAATGGCAGGACGGCAATGCTAAACCAAGTGTGAGGGGAAGATGTGGTGGAGAGAATATTAAAGAGACCATGGTGGACGGTCGCACATAATTCTCGGTTTTCTTCAGTATCTCGTCGCGCAATGCCAAAGTAGCTGGAAGCCATGTGAAAATGAGCGCACCTACTTCTAGCGGTCGGATGGGTCAACTCCGTTGAGTTCAAGATCCCTCGGTGAGCAAAACTTGTAGAGTTCACTTCCTTCCTGGGCTTCGAAACGACCCCAGGGGCACGGTGAACATCAAGCTGCACTATATCGCCACTGGTCCACGTTGTACCGAAGTTCAATAAGCGATTCTTTCACCGACGGTTTGCCACTACTGGTCCGAGTTCCCGCATACACACCCGCCGACATGTAGATAACGGTGCCACGCCATTCAGCCCATGCCCAAGAAGAGTGGAGTATATCTTTCGGTGGGAGTGTGCGCTCCTGATAGGTCCAACAACGCGTATTCCATGGGGAACAGAGCGACAGCTTGCTTAAGTCTTGAAGGGGCCAAATATAGATAAGCGAGTCCTTGAACAACCTCGATACGGATATGTTGTTGTAGCGTTTTAGTTCGTGGACGGCATCCTAAGAGAGGGTCTCGTGCTGAAACTCTGATACAGATCTCATATTATTCGTGATGCCATTGTATACGTGGCTGCTAAATAGAAACTTGGCAACGACCCAGATCGCTGGTTCTTGGCCAGAGCTGAACGGTAAGTTGATTCTTGAACGAGCAAGTAGTGAATGACATGAGCAGTGGGAGAATATTTAAATTCAAAGTTGATAGAGTCTGCACACAGTACCAGACAGTACCGTGGCCAGGGCCGAATTCTAGGGCCCGCACACGACGAAGGATGATCCAAACTCTGACAAAGCAAGTTATTGTTAGTAAGCTGATTAGTAGGCTGTGGATGACATAAGCAGTCAGAGAAGGTTCTTGAAGTTGCCCTGTGAGGGTGCTTGCGTGTCGGTGGACGCGCGTCTGGCCTTTAAAAGCTCTGAACTCGACCATCACCACCACCAAACATACCATGTCTTCCAACGAACACGAAGCTCAACTTCTCGGCCTCGGAACGCCCTGCTCATACCCTCACTGCTCTCTCCTCGACTTCCTTCCATTCAAATGTCCACACTGTCCAGGCAGCCCTACCTTCTGCTCGGAGCACTTCCATCCACACTGCACTACCGCACACGCTCACCTGGACCGTGTAGCACCAAATTGCCCTCTGTGCAGCGTTCCCGTCGCGATTCCGCCCGGGGAGGACCCGAACGTGCGCATGGAGAGACACATCAGCCGTTTCTGTGAGGTGATGAATGCTAGTGGTAGACAGCAGGGAAAGGGCGGTAGCAAGATATGTGCCAGGGGAAAGTGCGGTAAGGTACTATTTGCGCCCATCGGGTGTGATGTGAGTTGAACGACTGTTAATTTGGTGTTGTAATAATACTAATGAGGGTCACACAGAAATGCCACAAGGAGTTCTGCCCCCAGCACCGTTTCCCAAATGATCATAGCTGTCCGTCGCTTGCTTCACACCGGCCGAACACCAGTTCCACCTCAAAGCCATCTATCAGACAGAATCCTGTTGCAGCCACTCCCAGCTCATCCTCAGCCAAATCTGCGCCTACGGCCTTAACCATACCCGCCCCTTCATCCAAACCGACACCAGCACGATCCCTTTCCAAGTTTTCCATCCCAGTCTCCGTCTCTGTCCCAGATGTATTCTCCAAGTCTGATCGGTGAGTACACGTCCGCTTTCCGCGTCTCAGTATCAACTCATAACGCACCAGCGTTTCTCCTGCGCCTGTTCTATCCACCTCCCCTGCATCCACTTCTGTATCGCCTTTGTCCGCAACCAAACCTTCTTCACCAATCATCTCTCCCAAACCTGCGAACTGCGCCAAATCAAACTTGTCTAATTTCCTTGATCCAATGTCTTTCATCCCCCCATCAATCTTCGCATCTGCTTAATGTCACTCATCACACTATGTATCAACACATCTAATGTCTCGTTGTATCAACATCTATATATCCTTACCTACAGACGCGCAAAGGAGGAGCGTGCGAGCAGACACAAAGCCATGACAGAGCGTGCCAAGAGGGGTCTTCTCACAGAAGAAGAGAAGCTCATCCTCGCGGAAGAAGAGGCAGCACGCGCGCAGCGAGTCAGAAAGGACAAAGAGTGTCATGTCATGTAGCTTTCCCCTCTAAACTCGACTTTTGACGCTAAGAACTTCACATTGTACCCATATACTACACCGTACACAGATCTTCGCCGCATTTGACCGACCTTGTATTTCCTCGAACCGCTCTTAGATTTGAGACTCAATCACACTTCTATCTTCCAGCGTCTACAGCTCCTGAGGGACAGAGCTCACGCATGGTTCAAGCTTAATATCCACCCCCCTTGTGCAAAAATCTCTATACCAGAACAATTCCTTCACGAACTAAAATCAGCAATACGGGTTACTAACGGACGTCTCTGTCTCTGGGACCACAATAATTAGACTCGGTCACGGTCTTCCCCACACTACCAAAGGTCTCGAAAAAGACAATCACGCGTGATTTGTCTCCAAGGTCGTTGCGTTCAGATGCTGACGCACACACCTTCGACGTGTTCATGGACCCAGCGCAAAATCTGATTGCCGTCGCGTATGCTATTACTGCGGATCATCTCCGGTGGGGTAATAAGAGGTTCTATGATGACATTGGAACCTTGGATGGAGGTTGTATCCACCCCCAGGCTGCTGGACAGACACTTTTTCTGTTGGACCTCAGGCTGCCTGGATGCAAGAACGTCTTGATCGAAATAGATGATTGCAAACTCAAAAAGGGTTTAGGCAGGCATGTTGCTTTGTGGCGCTCCCTGCTGATCAGCAATGCAACTTCCATTCAAGTCCGGGACCTCAGGCTGTGGGAGTTGCAAATTTGGGACTGGAAACACTCGACGACATCCAGTGAGTCTCGGTCAGGAATATTAAACAAGATGGTCTTGAATCTTGATAGCTGACATTTGACTTGGAGCGTCCTCACCCTAGAACGAGGCGAAATAGCAGATTTTTGTTTCCTTGGACACGATCGATTGCTGGTTTTCAGCCACAATTTGAAACTCTATTCCATTGAGGATATGTCACAGGCACCGCAACTAGTACTGCTGGCGCGCTTCATGATGGCTGTCCCAGCGACGAAAATATTTTACGCAGAGTGCACCTGTCCCGTGGATGATGGCACGCAACCACTGATGCAAGCCCAACACCTCGGACACTGAGCTATCAACTTTTAATATTAACCAATGTCTCATACTACGCGACTTTCGTCTTCATCATTTCCACTAGGATTTTCTTCGATCCTGACATGGTAAGGGAAATACCGTGGACAGACTGGGGCCCCTTGAATTCTCGTGTGTTCCGGAAATACGAGGGATACCATGTTGGCGTTGGCGGAAATCGATGGAGGAAGATGATTCCTGGTATGAACCAGAGTTCAGATTTCACGCGATGGACTTCAGCCCGCTGGCTGTTGAGCGCCGGCAGGGTCTTGGACGAGTAGTGAAAGAGCCATCTACGATAGACATCACCGACTCACTGCCGCGACTCATTGGAAAAGGTAACCTTGACGACGAACCTGCCTTATGTCGAGGTTGTATTGGACATAAAATTCGATAATTTATTTACCAGGATGTGGATGGATATGGACAGAAAATATCTTTATGAAGTACGCGCTCCCCATTGTTTCAAGCACTGCCCATGTCTGACATATTGGTTTTATCAAGTATGATCAAGATCCTACGTTTGGCCATGTGCATGAACATCCTACGTTCGACGTACGTCGTTGAGATAGCAACAAGGGCGGGAGAAAAGGTAACGCCTACCACATACGTCATCTGACTAGTAGGCGAGTCGCAACTACATAGGAGTTAAACCAGACCAAGTTGGCAGTAGAATACTTCTATGTCAAACCCGTAAAGCAGACCGCGCCAAGAGGCCCACAAAAGTGAATCTTCGCACAAGAAGGGGCACACACGCAGGAGATTGGAGGACCGAATGCAGGACGGGTATCTCGTCATGTGGTTCTCTGACTTTCGCGCTTCTTTGTATACTACAGTGCATACGTATGCTACGCGCATGGGCCTGCCCCATGAGCTTGTGTTTCATTAAACTCCTCTCCGCTTGGATTGCTACGACACTAGTAAAAACACAACACCAACGAACAACACTAATAGCGGTACCTACTCTAGGAATGCGGTCGGGGATAAGTCGACGAATAACACATGAAACGAGTGAAGACAGTAAGTGAAAGGAATGGATACAGTCAATGCATGTTCACAGAACCACAGGACGAGAAAACTGTGATGGAGAGGAAAGTTCGTAGGAGGTTGCAGATTGCATAGAACATGAAGTATGCAGCAAGAAAACGGAACGTCATAAGTGCAATGAGAAACGTAACGTGCCGTTGCGGGTAAGAGTCAGAGTCCTTGGGATGCAAAATATGCGCGTGACTTGTTCATGTGCAGTGCTATCGTCGGACAAAGAAGACCACCAAAATGATGAAGGGGATGTATGTAAACAGCGACACCACGGACATGACGCGACACCGGAACCGCCATGCTTTTGCATCTAGTATCAGCACACTCGTCAGCTCGACCCAAACCCTGCATTATATAATCACCCACCATGCTCGATCTGTGGATCATCCAGTGAAACGCCCTTCTCATCACCAACAACGCGCGTGTGTGGCGTGCGGAGAAAGAGAGCAGCAACCCACCAGACAGGGAACAAGGCGAATCCCACAAAGAAGCACCACGCATGCACAGGCGACCCAGGCTCATCCTCCGTACGAGAATGCAGTGTCCAAGGCGTCTCTGCAAGTTTCTTCGGTGGGCGTCTAGGATCTCGCATGTGAAACTTGCCAGAAGGTGCGATTGAAGGCGCATGCGGGGACACGAGCGCGCTGATAGGGATAGACGCCTGAGACATGCTTTGACGTCTTGCGTGATTCGGATTCTGGGCGATCGAGTTGGTGTGAGAGTTCTTGTTGGGTGTTTGTTGGGGACGGGTTGAACGAGTGGATGTGGCACGAGAGGGTACGCTAGGACTGGAGAGGATACGGGCGCTCGTTAGGCTCGACCAGGAACCGAACTTGCCCGCCTCGGGCGCTTGCTCTAAATTCGTGCCGTGGCTCTGGATGGAGGAGACAGGCCGCGAATGGATGGGGGTGCCGAAAGGAGAGGACGATGATATACGGGGGCGCTTGCGGTGGTACGATGATGGTGCGTGTGATGAAGCAGAGAGCTTTTGACCTGCACAATGAGATTAAGCAATCATTTCGCGCTCGGATCCGTCGGGAAGGGGCAACGTAATAAATGTACGTACTTCGATTGCTCTCTGGGACGGCAAACGTTGCGCGCTGGGCGTCCTTTTTCTGCTCGGGCGGTGTGGTGTCTATGTCCTCGGCTTTGCGTTTGCCTTTGGCCTTGTCGCTATGGTTGCGGGAAATGGGAGTAGGGGTACTTGGATCAATGGTGATTGTGCGGGAAGTACGTGCAGGTGTGGGAGTCATGGTGGAAGGAGGGAGGAGGAATTGAGACGATGGACGACCTTGTATTTTGCTTGGACCCACAGGCACATCTAGTCTCGAAGGAGTATAGTTTGGCGAGGCGGCGCCATCCGGAGCGACGGGAGTACCATTTGGATTCGCAGACATGCGCGGGTCCGCGTAACTTGCTGGGTGGCGATGGTGGAGAGGAGGAGGAAGAGTAGGTAATGGGGATGGAGATGGAGATGGGGACTGGGATGCGCGTTCCCCGCCTAGAACAAATGAGTGAGTAGATGAAAAGAGTGACTGAAGTGAACGCATGAGAAAGTACATGGATGAATAGAAAGAAAGACAAAATGCGGAATCCGGAATGTGTGGCAGAAAGTAATATCTGAGTGCCGTAAGCACTAGACTTACCTTGGGGAGCTGGGGAGCGTGGTCGAAGTGGTGAAGGTGATGGAGAAAATGATTGTTGTATGAGCGTCTGATTAGGAAATTGAGCCACGCTGCTACCGCGTGTTTCGGACCCCGGACCTGGGACACCGCTTCGGGATGCAGATGGCCGATTGACGAGACCAAGCCCTTCACCCAACGAAAGCCGCAGCATTTCGCGCGATACCTCTGCGGGCCATGCAGTGTTTGAATATGAGTTGACACCTTCTGTAGCTTGCTGTGCACTCCAAGAGGCACTGTTGCGTCGACGGGGTCGGGCTTTGTCAGATATTGTTCGGGCGCGGAGACGTTGTGCAGCAGGCTGCTCTTCCGAGGAAGGAGGGAAGGCATATTGCACCTTCGGGAGGCTCGCAGAGTGTCGGATGGATCGGTCGAGTGTCATTGATAGCGATGCAAAGAAATCATCACCAATGCCAGACGGGATCCGTGATGAGCGTTTGGGAAATGAGTCGGATCGGTCTGCGAAACCTGATACTGTGGGAGTAATACCATTAACGTGTTTGTCCTTGAGGCAAGATGACAAAGCCGGGTGGCTCAAGGGGGGCAGAGGGGGTGGAGGCGATGGATATGCAAATGTAAACATGGGCCGGCTCTCGGGTGTCGGATGGCCAAATGTTCCGGGAGAGTCAAATCCCAGTTCACGAAGGATAGGTGTAGTGAAGTATGCAGTTGGGCGAGTTGTCGGAGACGTATTGGATCGTGGTCTATTGGGTGTTCGTGGATGCAGTCTAGAGGACACGGAATCCGTTGGCGATGATTTGGAATGGATGGATGAATTGCTTGTGTGATCATTGTCGGGTATCATCAATGTGCGTCCCCTATTGCTTGTTTGTGCTAATATATCGCGAGGCGCTATAGAGGATCGTGACACACTATGGGAGCTCACGATAGAGCGCGAACTTTCGGCTGAGCTGAGGCCTTTATCATTCTTATTGCTGTTACTTCTTTGCAGCGAAGGAGAATATGACGTTCGTCTGGTAGTGTCTTTGGTGGGACTGAGGTCTGCAAATACTGGTACCATCGGGGAGCTGCGTACTCGTCTGCGACCAAACGTGGACCAGTCCCCAGGCGCAGCCAGGGGATCAATGGATTTGGACTCGCTTAGAGTTGTTTCATGGGCTGGTGAGTCTGATCCAGGTTTATCCACTTCGCAGACACTCTCGGAGATGGGTTTTGCCCGCAGTATATTGCGAAGCCCCCAGCTGCTGACATCCGCAGTGTGTCTCCGAGTTCTGGGACTCAAGCTGCGAGGCAGAGATTCTGAATTATCGATGTCCAAAAATGAACTCGGATTCTCGAGAATCCTCTTGTCTAAGCCATGACGCACTGCTGAGGATGTTTCAATGGTTGAATCCACACCATAACTGAGGGCAGGAGTGGGCGGGACGATGAAGCAGTTTTCTGGTTGTAAAGGTGGAGCGGCGGAATGGTTAGTAACGCCTCGGCCTCGGATATGAGAGAGGAATGAATGCATCTCTCGCCAGATACCCCTGCTACGCGGGTCAGTGCGGCGCATAAACGAGGATCGTCAGACGTACAGTCACTTCACCAGTTATAAGGCCCTCAATCGAACGCGCTGAACCTGCGTTCCTGGGGACGGTATGAACAGGACCTATAACTGTTGCACGTGAATCGTAACTATCGCCTATCGCCAAGCAACCGGGCAACAAAGGCCGACCTAAACCAGCACGAAGGCAACAGTCGTGCGCCTATCCAACGAACGTTGACTAGCTGAACGGAGCTGAGAGAATCACCGTTCCCTGTTCCGGATCAGTTCTCCGAGTAATAGAGCACTAGATCAGCAGCCATAAGATTCAACCCCTTCTCCAGGGGTCGATTCCATTTACGCGTCGAGGTCACATGATCATCGACAACTGATTACATAATCAAATACTTCAAATGAGGCAGTGGCAGTGGCAGCTGCACATTCAGACCGTGACCGCACTTTCCATCAAGTTGCCAGCTGTATCCTTGATTTTGCCCACCATGGATCGCTTCGACTCCCTGGCGAATACCCTGTCAAACATGACTGTTTATGATCTCAAGAGCATGTACAACCAAGTACGTGGCGACGAAGAACAGAGCAATTGCAATTGCACATACTAATAGTTGTCGATGTAGGCCAAAAATGTTGTGCTTAATATCAGCGAGATGGAGTCCAAGGTCAGGGAGGCGACTAATGATGAACCTTGGTAAGCATATCATGACCAAGCTCAATGCAGGGCGTAGTGGTCTCACAAGACAACGCAGGGGCGCCAGTTCCACATTAATGCAAGAAATTGCTCAAGGGTTAGTGACTTTCTATATTATAGTGAACGACAATTGAAATTTTGCATAGGACGTTCAACTTGTAAGCCTATTGCTCCAGGGTTCCGACTGTATGCCCCACTGATGTACCCTAGCCAAAACTTCAATGAGATCATGCCATGTATATATGCCCGGTTTATGGAAAAAGAGGCCCGGCAATGGAGACAGATTTACAAGGTAGGCTGTTCGTGTTTTATTCAGCCCTCTCACCAACCTATGCCCACAGGCACTCCAACTACTCGAATACTTAATCAAACACGGCAGTGAGAGAGTTGTCGACGACTCTCGTTCCCACATCTCTACGCTCAAGATGCTCAGAAATTTCCATTACATAGACGACAAGGGCAAAGATGAGGGCCAGAATGGTATGCAGTCGACAGCGAACCAATGGACACCTCTGACGTGCTGCGCATATAGTCCGTAACCGGGCCCGTGAACTGGTAGACCTATTGTCTGATGTAGATAACATCCGCACGGAGCGACGGAAAGCGAAAGCCAATCGCCATAAATACATTGGCACTGGGAACGATTCTATGAGTTTCACCTCGGGTGGCAGCCGCTTCGGCGGATTTGGCAGCGATAGCTTCTCGAGTGGAAGTGGAGGCTATTATGGCGACAGAATGAGTGGTAGAGATGGTAAGAGTCTCGTATGTCTCATCTCAAGAATCATCATTTGCTCACGTTGTGTTAGATTACGGAGGCAACTCTGGTTTCAGAGATAACAATGGTAGAAAGGACTTTGAGGAGTACACTGCTGGGGACGACGAGACTGTGGTCAGACGATCTGGTTCTGTCAGTAGGAGTCATACTGGATCCCGTCAGGGCACACAGTCAGTTAGTTCTCCTGTTCGTCCAGCGCAACCTGCACCCCCGAAGCCGAAAGAACCCGAGGTCGATCTCCTGGGTAGCTTCAATGACGAGCCGGTGGCCGCTGCCAGCGTCAATCTCGTGTCCAACACGAACAAAGCCCTTCCATCCGTGGGTAATGTCAATCTCGACGGTGAGGCGCCCATCAGAACGTTTCTTTCGGAAAACTGAGGAGTCATGCAGATGATGATTTCGCTGATTTCCAAGCTGCACCGTCTTCACCCGCGCCATCTTCACCTGCCCCGACATCTGCCCCTCTCCCTACCAAGCCTACGTTGATGGAGATGCTACGGAGCACCAGCCCTCCTGCCAATCGGGCACCCATGATGAGCCCATCATTTGGATCACAAGTTCCTAAGCCCGCTGCGTTTGCCAACACTTCTGTGAGGGCGCTTTCTCCTACAAACAGGCAATTTTCCCCTACTACTGCCGGTGGGTCATCCGGCAACTTGTGGTCTACGTCGACACCGCTGTCGCCTACGACATCCGTCCGAACATCCATGTCAGCTGTCCCAATCACCCCCGCGGTTCCACCCCAAAAAGCGTCATCCGCCGCACCTCCGAAGTCGTTATCGAACTTCGAGGACTTGTGGTCGTTGTCCCTAGGTACATCATCGACGACCTCGACTATCAAATCTGGAAACACTGGTAAATCTATTAAAGATCTCGAGAAAGAGAAAGCCCAGGCTGGTATCTGGGCATCGAGTCACAAGCCAGGTGCAACCCAGATGGGAATGGGCAGCGGATTTGGGAATTTTGGTGGTATGGGTACCTCCGGAACTTCTTCTGCTTCTGCGAGTGGTGGAGAAGACCTATTGCTGTGAATTATGATTACAGGCTTGATCGTGCAGTTCAGGGGGTTGGAATGGACGATGGGTGCTTGATGGGTGCGGTTGCTTGTTTAATGTCGCCACGTTGGTTCATAAGTTTATCTGCTATCAAATTTTGCGGACTGATTTATGTTGTGTCCGTGTACAACAACTCTGTCCAAGCTCCTAGACCCATCAAGCTGGGGAACAGTTGGAGATATAGGAGCCATCATTCCACTTCCTCATCTTTTCCTCATCTCCGTTGACACGCAAGTCTAAGGGAGAGGTGTAAAAAAAGCAGAACCAATCATGCAACGATATCGCCACGCTCTGCCATGGTGTCTCCACGTGATTCTTCCGTCTTGGACAGGTGACATGGAACTTCGACACTGTACAATTCAGTGTAGAGAGCTCTCAATGAACTAATGAACACCGAGTGCTCAGCGACGTCATGGATGAATCACAGACACTTCCTCGTCGGTGCTTCTAGATATCTTTTGCAATGTAGATACCGCGAGCACACCTTGACAGCTTACCGGTCCACTGCGGTCGAAGGGCACTGTTAGCCTGCCGGTGTGGGAGGCAGCGAGAAGGAAGTGAAAGTTCAGTCAGGATCAGTGAGTATCCGAGTCAAGCTCGTGCGCTGGTGATTCGATCCGATGTAAAGATTGGCACAGGCAACTAAATATTTCTTTGGTATTACAAATGAAGCACGCAGTTTCCGCCTAAGTATCGCCCACCATGCTGGGCTAGGGCTATGCCTTACTGTATGTGTAACCAACAAGCAGGCCCAATGTGGGTGGAGACTCCTGATGGTGTCTAGATCAGAGTAACTTGAAACACTTGGCAAACTTCCACATAAATTCGATCGACATTGACCCAACGCTGACGACGTATGCGACGAGCCAGACCGCGGTGAGGATGCGACAGACAGTGTCTTGAGAGTAGAAGCCTGCGATCAACATCGCTGCGGACGAAGCAGTGCATGAGGACCGAGAGAGAGCACAGCATCAGTGGAGCAACTCACCAAATATGAAGCAATTCAGGGACAAACCAACAAAGAACATGGGCATGACCATCGATAAGAGATATGACAAGAGGAAAAAACCGCCCGGCTTGATTTGCTGATGATGAGTTAGTCGATGCAGTCAATGAAGCAAAAAATAATCCTCACTTCTTGCGTGCACTGCCGATCGGCGTGTAGCCAACGCATCATGCTCAAGCCAGACGTCAACATTGCAATCATGGCCATCATGAGTGATATGAAGAGTAGAAAATAGGGGGCGGGCGACGTGTAGTCGAAATACGGAGCGGGAGAGACAGTGGTCACGAAAACACCACTTGTCGCGAGAAGTAGACCCGCCTTCTGAAGTTTTAGACTGTGTAAGCGCCAGCAAGGAGTCGAGAGACTTACTGCGGTGATAGTGTTGGTCAGGATAGAACATAGCTTTTCCCTCACGTTCTTGAATGCCTCCTCAGATTGCAATGATCCCCAATGGGCTTCAAGATCGAGGCGTCCTAGTGCAAAAAGGCAAAGTACTCTCGTTAAAAAGGACGTGTCACGAAGGGTTCCGGGGAGCATTCGGTCTTCAGCAAGTATACTTTGATCGGAAGTCCGAGTCTCATAGATGCTGAAAGCCTAGCGCAGTTCAGTCATACAACGAGCAAGTCTTCCTACATTTTGAAAACGCACCTCCGGTAAAGCCATGTCGAGTGGTCAAAGAGAAGAGTGCAGCTGGACTACGTATACCGCATCTTGACATGCTGGCTTATATACGATTGACCCCGTACTGCCAGATAGTATCATCTCAAGTATAAGTCAGCGGACTCATGGAGCATTTCACAACTTTGAAGCTCATCAGCGGACTCATGGAGCATTTCACAACTTTGAAGCTCATCAGCGGACTCATGGAGTATGAAACCGCACTCTGAATCAAACTTTGACAAAATCATGATCAAACTTCTGAACTTCTTACGGATCTGTCCGGATCCGTCTGTACACGACTTGTCAGTTCTCAACGTAACATGTAACATTGTGTCTATGAGGCAACTACGATAGTGATGAATATCCGCAAAATACCGTGACCGGTTGTAAACTTATACTTGTAGATGGATACTATCTGGCAGTACGGGGTCAATCGTATATAAGCCAGCATGTCAAGATGCGGTATACGTAGTCCAGCTGCACTCTTCTCTTTGACCACTCGACATGGCTTTACCGGAGGTGCGTTTTCAAAATGTAGGAAGACTTGCTCGTTGTATGACTGAACTGCGCTAGGCTTTCAGCATCTATGAGACTCGGACTTCCGATCAAAGTATACTTGCTGAAGACCGAATGCTCCCCGGAACCCTTCGTGACACGTCCTTTTTAACGAGAGTACTTTGCCTTTTTGCACTAGGACGCCTCGATCTTGAAGCCCATTGGGGATCATTGCAATCTGAGGAGGCATTCAAGAACGTGAGGGAAAAGCTATGTTCTATCCTGACCAACACTATCACCGCAGTAAGTCTCTCGACTCCTTGCTGGCGCTTACACAGTCTAAAACTTCAGAAGGCGGGTCTACTTCTCGCGACAAGTGGTGTTTTCGTGACCACTGTCTCTCCCGCTCCGTATTTCGACTACACGTCGCCCGCCCCCTATTTTCTACTCTTCATATCACTCATGATGGCCATGATTGCAATGTTGACGTCTGGCTTGAGCATGATGCGTTGGCTACACGCCGATCGGCAGTGCACGCAAGAAGTGAGGATTATTTTTGCTTCATTGACTGCATCGACTAACTCATCATCAGCAAATCAAGCCGGGCGGTTTTTTCCTCTTGTCATATCTCTTATCGATGGTCATGCCCATGTTCTTTGTTGGTTTGTCCCTGAATTGCTTCATATTTGGTGAGTTGCTCCACTGATGCTGTGCTCTCTCTCGGTCCTCATGCACTGCTTCGTCCGCAGCGATGTTGATCGCAGGCTTCTACTCTCAAGACACTGTCTGTCGCATCCTCACCGCGGTCTGGCTCGTCGCATACGTCGTCAGCGTTGGGTCAATGTCGATCGAATTTATGTGGAAGTTTGCCAAGTGTTTCAAGTTACTCTGATTTAGACACTGCCACTGATCTACTAGCTCTTACTTACACCGATCTGTACATTGAGTAAATCAATAGCGCGACTCGAGCTCGATCGCTGTGATTCTTTTCGGAACTAAGGTTTCGGTTTCTGCCTCCCTGTGCTCTAGAAGCGAGACAGCACATTTCAAACACAATGTACCGCTCTGCAATGAGTTGATTTTCTCCCCATCAAAGTTTGTTTGCGGCATCTAGTCATTAGGCGAGTATGTCATCTTGAAAGTGAGATAGGTAGATGGTACCAAGTACTGGCACTGTTAAAGTTTGAAGCGTGTTTGATTAATCCGCAGTTACCTCTACTCACTTAGCGCCCGCACAACGACAAATCAGCCAGCAGTGCCAGCGCCGCATCTGCAACTATTCAGTGTTGCTTGGTAATTCTAAGCGCCGTGGAATTTATTGATTTCATGAAGCCTGTGCAGCTAGAAAGGGTAACTTAGGCACAAACTATATCACCGGTGTCCTGCTTAAGCTTAAGCTTCATCGATCATTCCAATGATTAAATAACGATCCTTGAGATTATGGGACAGTATGCTACGTAGATGCAAGCAGAACTACACGACTTTTTTCCGCGGCCTACCCTTTTTAACGGTCGACGCGTCCGAGTCAGAATTGGCGAGATACGCAAAGTTGCGTTTTATCGGCTCTACATAATTCATGCCAAGCTCGCGCAGGATAGTGACTTCGCTTTCGCCTTCTACAAACGTCCAGTACCCTTCCTCTGCATCCGCTGGGAGTGATGGATCAGAGGTCCATCTCCACAGGCCGAATTCATTGAGGAGGAAGCCCAGTCGCGCAGCTTTGGTACGGATGTCGAGGTTGAATTCCTTGTCCCCGGTCAACGCGAGTAGCGCTGCACCCTTCGACTTCACAGGGGCGAGGCTGCACGTCATTAAATCAGTGCGCCAAAAGATCTTTATCAAAACTTACTTCAAGTCCAATCGAACATAAAGGCCCTGCTGCTCGCGAACGCGCTCGATTCGTTGAGAACGTTCTTCCCAAGTTCCGTCTACAGTCCTTTCAGGTAGACGAATCACACCCTGCCATTTCTTGGATCCCAGGAACAGTGTCTCGGCGACGAGGCCACGGCTTTCGAGTGGGAAGACTACATCACGGAAGAGGAGCGAGTCCTGAGCTTCCCGTAGCTTTCTAGATAACGTGCGAAAAGGTACACTGTTAATTCCCTGTGTAACCGAGCCATTCTTTGACGGAGGCGTAGGCACATGAACATGAGAAGGGTGAGTCAACATAATATCAACGCCTAGGAGGGATTGAGCACCCCGTCGGCTATTGAAGTTAACGCAGAGAAGAGGAAAAGGATGCAGGCCACTTACTAGCTACCCACGAGCTCAACATCAAATTTACAAGAAATGTTCTCCGAAATAAATTTCTAGACATTGATGAGCCAATGGAGCGTTGTTCGAGTAATAAATCAATAACGTACAGCGAGTAGTTCGGCTTGACTTCTCTCGACAGGTCGTTCGAGATGTTCGTGGTATCGCGCGCCGGTTTGCTGCAGGGGACTCAACATGTCAAAGAATTTCGGTTTCTTCAGGTCCCCGATGGACGTACAGCCCGCGTCAACGAGGGCTTTCGCAGTCGTTGGGCTATAGTCATACAATTTGTCAGAACACCGTCAAAGTCGATGCGGGGTGAACGTGTAGTACCCAATGCCGGAAACAGACGTCAATGACCGAACTATCATTTTTTTTCGTGTCTCCTCAGGATCAGAACCTTTTCTTGCCTTGAATTTCGATGCTCCTTTAGAAGGCTCGATAGCAGCTTCTGGGTCCTGGAGACATGCATGAAACCCACGGACACTTGAAAGACGCGCAACACCTACGGACATAATCTTTACCCGACAAAGAACGCGTCTATCCTGTTGCTGATTCCGACGCCTACCCCTTTCAGCTACATAGAGTCCCTAGCATTAAGTACTAAACTCGTAGGGTCGCAGCGAATAGTTCCGACCTTTTTTACCTGAGCTACGTCCCGCACGGGTTCCTCCAGCGCGCCAATAACCTCGATAGCTCGTGCAAACGCACGAACTTTGTATCCGTTTCTGCTCGGGCAGGAGTTTTCACGCTCTAAATCTACGTCGGGGGTTGAGGATTCTCTCTCCAATTTAAACTTGAGGGAACTCACTTTGTGACAGCATTTGGAGGAGATCATGGTTCGGACCGATATTTCTGGTTGAGAATGCCGTCCTCGAACATGAACCATGGGAGAAGATAGTGGTCGCTCGGAATAGTGAGCGGGACAGCATGAAGCGCAGTACGCGATTCTCGAATTTTCTTGAGCCAGCTTGAGTGGCCACAATTCTTCAATCAGGTTGCCAGCTTGCAACTTGGCTTCTGTTCGGAAGTCTTAATTTGATTACATAACCTCTGTGTCAGGTGACCAACTGTTCATTTGCAACAAGTTGCACAAAAGGAAATTAAGACGAAGGAGCGGAAGAATTCACGAGTGCACAGAATCACAGATACAATCGTTCACTTCACAAAAAAAATGGCGATGAAGCAAAACTTAAAATACGTAAGCGCACATGCGAATCGAATGCGATGATAAGGTCATCACTCCAGCCTAGATACCCGCCATCTGCATCCTAGCTTGCCCAGCAGACTGTGCTCCTCCCTGCTGCCCTGCGGCACCTTGCACCTGCTGCTGCCCAGGTATGGTTTGATTGGGTTGTGCCAACACCAGACCCGGTCCCATCACGAATGCTGGGACTGTCTTCTCCTCGAGGTCTGCATAGCGAACGCTCATCTCTTTACGCTCTTTACACCAGTCATCGGGATTCCACCATGTGTATGTTCCTGCTTCACCCCCTGGGATTTTTGATGATGGAGCACTGCCGCTTTCTTTCGTTATCCAAATCCGTAGGTCTTTGTGGTATCGCCAATTACGATTCCACCTGTGAAGCCACAAATCAGTCCGAATCCATAAGTTAAGGCAGCCAAAACAGCACTGTGGGAGTTTTCTAGGATATGAACGGAGACCTACAATTCTTGCGCTGCTATTTCTTGTAGTGCATCCCTCGGACTTGAATAGAACATGAAAAACAGCGTCTCATCACTGAAAGCCCCAGCCTTGGCTGGTCCTAATGCGGGTGGTTGAGCGCTATAACACGGGGGTAGATGAAAATCAGGTTCAACGCCATGGGCTGCAGATTGATCTGCCCACGGCGTAACAAATGTCGAATACAGGTTTCTTTTATGCAACATAAGCAAAAACGGTCGAGCATCTAGCAATACATGACATACCCCTCATAACCCAGGTCGAGTCCCATTGCACCTAAATCCGTACCGACGCTGCTCAGACCTCCATCTGCATCAACACCTGCGTTCTTAATCATTGCGAGCAAGCCAAGTAGGCCCCACCGGTCTGCTGCGGACATAAGCACCTGCTGTGCAGGAGTCTGTGGGTGATGGTGAGCCTGCACAAGCGGGTTATGTGTCGGTTGTGGATTATGCAGCTGTGGGTGCGCGTTATGCTGATGCGGATGTAGATGATGGGTCCCATTCGACACATGCGGGCTTACTCCTGGAGGTGGTACACCGGGTGGTGCGCTGAGATCAGCACCGGGCGGTGGGTTCTGCGATTGAGACGAGTTCTGGCCGCTTAGTGGCTGCTGACCTGCCTGACTTCCCAGCGCTGGGAAATCATCAGGGCCAAAATCTCTGCTCTGCGCCACTGCACCTGCAGCTCCTGACCCACTCTGCCCTGCCTGCGTTGCATAACTTGTGACGTTAGAACCTGGTGCTATGGCAGGCGTTCGGTGCGCATTTTGTTGCTGGAGGGTTGGTGTCGGATAACTCCGTTGTGGTAGAGGATATTGCGACGTTGGGTAGGGAGAGCGAAATTGCGACGACAAGCCGGCTGGGGGAGCAAGACTTGGTGGTCGCTGTAATGGTTGACCTGGGCGGAACTAAGTGCAACAATGGCGCCAGAACAAGCTGGGAACACACCTGGTCGGTTCATTATGAGTTAAGAATATCTGCTATAAACGTTACTGTCATTGTGATAATTAGATACAGCGAATAAGAGAAAACTCACGGCAACTGGTTTGACGGTTTCTGATGTTTTGCGTATTAGCTGGTCGATGAATATCTTATGTTGATACTTGTTTGTTGACCTGTAACGTTCTGTTCACGGAGTGCTTGTCGGTTACGAATGACCGTCCACAAGAAGAACGAATTTGACGTCGTCAGCTTGGCTATGCTCAGGCAGAGAAATTTAGCAGTGCTTCCCAACAAAGAAAGTGGGCGCAAGCTATGATCTGCTGTCTATCCATGTACGTAAGTTTTCCCGCTGAGCTGCTGCCCTGACATTGCAATGTGCATGGCGCATGGCATATCATTGGCCTACTGCATGTGGCGTACCTCTCTGACTGGGCGTTCAGCTGACCGGCTCTACTCTACTTTTGTGTAATGTGTGCAACGGCTGAGTCTACCGCTCTGGGTACCCGGCTGATGCTAATGCCGTTCAAGCTGCGACGTCACATACACACTATTTTTGATCCTCCAGATACGGTGATTCTGCGGTCTTGCCCCAACCAGAAAAGATGTACTAATCTACAAACGACCAGCAACGCAGAGATTTCACACACCATTCACGTACCCAGGCGTATGGACCTCTTCGACCTCTCCTGTTCATGTCGGGCTGAACAGAACGAGTTCCCATCTCATAGCACGCCAACCGATACTTGCCTCGGCGGCTCGGTCCACTTACAATAAACAATCCCGTTAAGGGTTCGCAATCATAACGCGCGGCGCGGTCAAACCACGTTCTCTAGGTTCCCGAATATCGTCACTTTCTTGGCCGTTCGGTGTTGCCAGTTACCGATCACTACTCTTGCGGCATACTTCGAGCTAGCTTAATGGTGCCTGATGTTCCAGTTGGAAACGGGAGAGAAGTTAGAACCAAGCTGGCTCCATCAAAAGTTCAGCATGTCAATTTTGTGAAGCTACTTTCTGTCTCAGCAATTTTTAGCTCCGTATTTCTAGCCTCTGTAAGTGAATGAACGAATGTCATGATCATGTTCCAGGATACGTCTGGTTCCCGTGGTGTCACGATTATTATTTTGCGATGAGCCCTCAGTGTTTTGCTTGTGGTCTCGCCTGATCTCCAGTCTTACGGGAGCGACAACACGATTCGAGTGTCTGATGGAAGGAGATGTGTAGGTGCGAGAACCCTGAGTTCGACTAGTTGCCTTCCGTGGTCATGATCTTTCATTGGCTATGATCCATTCAATCAACGCGTCAAAGTTGCGTCAAAGGGGACTTGTGGTTGAAAGGGACCCTCATCTGGCAACTTGTCCGCTTAAGAAAAGTTTCCTTTCTAAAGCTTCACGGAAGGTGGCAGTCCTCCGTGCTAAATATAACCGAGGGAGAACGTCAGAATGAAATCTGCGTGTCGATGTCAAATTTATGCTCCGACACGCTATAGCCTCGTTTCGGTTGCACTCCGATATGCCATAAGTAAACCCTGCAAGGCCATTGATCGGTTTGCTCAGTGTCAGATACGCATCAGCATCCTCTGATCAGACAAGATGCTCACAGTGACATTGGTACGTCCATTTAATACCTGGGAGATCCTTCTAACATCACTGATGCGTATGCGCAGATTAGACATGGAGAGTCCACGCACAACGTGGTAAGGCTGAACTAGTGGTCGGGCGATGCCCACTAATTGCGAGATCATTGCAGTTAGCTCTGTGGTCGGGCTGCACGGAATGTCCTCTCACGGAAAGAGGTAAGTGGTAGTTCGAACACGTGTTTATCTAACGAGCATCACAACTGATCTTGGCTAATCAGGGACGCAGGTAAGCCCTTTCTCCCCTCTCCATCAGCCCAAGCTAAACCCGAGAACAGCAAGCACGCGCCGTAGGCGCATACTTCGCAAACACGCAATTCACAAAGATCTACGCGTCCCCTTTACCCCGCGCACGGGACACAGCCCAAGCTGTATTAGACGCGCAACCCACACCCAAGCCTCCTCATGATTTCACCATCGCCCAGATCAAAGAACAAAGCTTTGGAGCCGCAGAAGAGCATCAGCCATGCATACGGGAGCCAGGCAAGACGCTCGAAGCTCACTTCGCGGAGGACATATACCCGATTTTATATGAAAGCGAGAAACACGTGGCGTTTCCTGGTGGAGAGTCGGTGGAGGATCTGACAAGGAGGGCTGAGAGGGCAGTGAGGGAGGTTGTGCTTCCTCATGTGGTGAATGTTGCGAGGTCTGGGAGGGACGAGCATATCGCACTTGTGAGTCATGGGTTGTGTATTGCGCAAGTGGTAAGCGCAATTGTGAGATTGGGTGGGGGAACATGGAAGCGAAAAGGACCCATGGTTAATACGGCTTGGGTGAGGGTAGAGGTGCGGATTCAGGTGAGTGTGGCGGGCATTCGTTATGAGGTGTTGCTCATGGATGGCCTAGGATGGGATGTCCGTGGAAGTCACAGACGATGAGGTTCCTCCGGTAGAAGTGACAGTGACGGAGGAGGGCAGAGCGGATCACCTTGAAGGCCTTGTGCGTTGGTTTCGTTTGTGATGTTCGACTGGCTGACTAGAACATGACTGATAGCTCGACGGAGGCCCACTTCTTGGCATAAAAGCGATCATGGGTGGAGGAGTGGTGGATGCAAAGAGCCCAAATGAGGCGGAGGCTATCGCGCAGGCGCCCGCGGTATAGAGCTTTATTTGGACATACATCACGGTAGACTAGAGTTGTCAGTTGATCACGGCTGGGATATTAATGTTGTAATATGCACTTGTCAACATCCTGGACTTTGCTGTGCATGGTTAGCACCACGGGCTCATTATTTCCCGGTACCCAACATTCCGCACTTCCTGATCATGCACATACCGCAAGCGATGTCATAAGCTTGCTCAGCAGCTGGATTCAAACAAAAAAGGAAACCATCCAAATCTTGACATGGACATGCGGTGCCTGGAATTGGTTCACTTCCATCAGGCTAGCTTAGTAGCAAGACAAAGTTCTCTAGTTTCTGTGTTCGGGTCCTTGGTTATCATGCAGAAAGAATGCTCATACATCCGCATATTCGTCTCCTGGCTGAGGCTCACTGTCAAGACAACCGCATTCAAGTCCTACAGAATTATCCTCTCTGTTCTCCTGCGAATGATTCGACACTGCCAATCCGTCGTTAACAGAAAGGAGAGATCGTATCGGGAACACAGTTTAGCATTGAGCTCTCAGCCAGTGACCAACCAAGATGGGAGGACGGCTCCTGTGACTCTCGCAGTGCCACTGTTTCTTGAAGCACCTATAACGAACATTCAATTTCCAACTCCCGAGCTCAACCAAGAATTGGATAACGCGGCGTCGGGACACTCTTTTGATATCGTTCTCACTCCCATTGTACCCGAACCACAGGTCAGTCGATACGAGAGGAATGTACATGTGTATGCAAATCATGTTTGTCGAGCAAATTGCTGATCTAATCCATACTCACAGTCAAGACAAGGATGAGCCATTTGAGGTTAAGAAAGGTCCTTTGGACTGTTCCGAGTAAGCATGTTGGTGTGAGAGCCAGCAACAGTATTCAAATGGATTCGTAGGGAGCTTGCTGTGGTAGTAGGGTGGGAGCCGCTCACGCACCCTGAAGGGGCTTCATTCTTCTACCACCTATCTAAAGTGTGTCTGCCGCCCGCTCCTAATGACTTGACTCATCGCCCCACCAGAGAGTTTTCACTGACGCTAATGTTCGAAACCCTGAAACAGCTGTAAGGATAGGCAAAGCTATTGAGAAAGCATACGAAGAAGCGCGCAACGCAAACATCTTCTTGCACCCATCCATCGAGTTAGTGTTGGAGCTCATGGAGAAGGGCAATGAAGAATGTGGCTACTATTTTGTTGATCACGAAAAACGTGTCATTTTCTGGTTCCAAGACCACAAATCCGATTTGCTCATGTGTAACATTCGCGGTGTAGAGCGCAAAAGTCACATCAGTGAGTTCTTTCGTAGATTATTTTTCATTTAAGCATCTGTGAATATGTCGCTCCCAGGATATGCACTAGAATCACAGTATTGGTTCGTACGACTTTTAGAAGTAGGCATTCCCCTTACAGGGCTGAAATAAATGTGCTCACTTTGTTACAGAGCTCTCTTGTACCTCCCACGATTTACATACCACGAATCCGACAGGAGACACGTCGAGCTATTTCCAAACAAACGCTCCCTTCCGAAAGATGTCGTCATGAAACTCAAAGAAATTGTCATGCATGCTCACGCAGGTGAGTAAGGCCAATGGGTGTTTCATTCCCTACAAGATTGACTCGTCATAGAAAATATCACTTCTGAGACCTGCCTTGCCCCTTTTGCTGCGGATGAGGTTGCAAGTATGCTCAGCCTTGTGGATCTTCTCATGAGTGAGTCATGTTCTGATGCGTGAGGTCGTTGTTGATTATCTTTTCAGACAGTGATACCGATGATAGTGTTCACAAGGAGCGTGAACATTCAGTGTGGATCGTCGGTAAATCTGATCGCGAAATCCTAGCTTATTGCTTCTGATATATTGGCTTATTTCAGCTCGATTGATGAGACTTTTCTGTAAGCTCAGCCCAGTGGTTCACGAATCCCCTTTCCTGATTTATTTGCTAGGTAACGCCAAGTTTGTGAATTTTTGTGGGCAACCAGGTGCTCGACTGAACGTAGACCAATCATTATACCGAGAATCCATCACCCGCCCGAAAAGGATTTTTCTTCGTCTCATGAATGTAATGCTGTTTGGATCCCCTGATGCACAGAGCAAGGCTCTTCACAGGATATGGGTCGACGATACCATCGTTCAGCCGCGGTGGAAGAATTTTATTGATAGGCTCACTACTGAATGGAATGGGTATACAATATTTGTGAGTCATGTTTTCTTTATAATATGTTTGAGCAATGAATGACCATCTCAGTCCACTGTGATGCTTGCTGTTGATATCAGCTTTCTCGGAGTCTCATTTGTCCAGGCTCAACCGTCTGCAATCATTCTAACTTATCTGTCTACCCTCTGCGCTATGGGCTCGCTATTGGTCTCGCTGATCTTGGCTGGACAAGTTAATGACAGCCGGCGAGGCTCCGCCGAAGCTGTGGTAAGTTTTCTTTGATTGTTTTATCTGTATTGTTTACGTGTACAGGCCTCTTTCATGGTAGGAATGTCGCATTCTATGCTTGGCCTTGAGAGCCTTGCCCTCATGCTCAGTCTACCGTTTGCTCTTTTGATTTGGGGGTGCGTTTCCGGTTACATTCAAAGGGTTAGTAGCTCATTCTTTGACAGAATGACGTTCTTTGCTGCAGCATTGTCCACCCTGATCTTCCGCACGTCTGGCGTTGTCGCCATCTCGATTACATCTCCGGTTTGGGCCTCTGTATTCATCCTTGTAACGTGGCCTGTACTGGCTGCCAATGATATTCACATCTCTCATTTGAGATCCTGGATCATAGAACATGTGTCTATTACTGATTCGTCTACAGGTACCACCCCGTCTCTTGTCTAGGGCTTTCGCTTTTTAGTGGGCGCGTGCAGTTGTATCTGATGTTTCAGTTGATGAATGCGACGCCACGTTTCCTCCTGGATATTGATACATAGGACATGGTTTGCACTAGATTAATGTTCATTACTATGAGGTCGCTATCACATATCGTATGTTCTACATAGCGAATGTAAATACACGACCTATAGAATTATGTGTGTGAATCAGTCTCAACATACTGAGCTCAACCAAACCGTGGGAAAATACTGGATGGCAACCGGTCAGAGTCTTAAGCCGAGTGGAAGGAGGTCCGCAGTACTTATGGAAGACAGGACTGCCGCGCCCCCGACGTGGACGGGTGACTTCAAAGACAATGTCATAGTATACGGCGTACGCAGGGCATCTGCGTGCTACAAAAAGTCTGCATCATGTCTGGACGTGGAATCAATCCACCTCTGCTGTCCTCTTTGACGCGGTGCTCGCCATGGCCCTACAGTATTTTCCGGAGGTGTGTTTTGAAAACGAAGATTTGCTGTCATAGAACTGAATTAGGACGTTAGACTTTTACGTTCCACGAAGAGCAAACAATCCCTGCATCCCTTCGTGACACGTCCTCGTTAACGAGAGTACTTTGTTTTCTGGCACTCGGACGCCCCGATCTTGAAGACCACTGGGAGTCACTGCAATCCAAACAAGGATTCGAGGACGTGAGGAAAGGGCTGTGCTCTATCCTGTCCAACACTATCTCCGTAGTAAGCTATTTAACTCTGCGAGTTCAAGCCACCGCTGAAATACTCGAAAATTCACAAGGCGAGCCTGCTTCTCGCGACAAGCTGTGTTTTCGTGTCCACAGGTTCTCCTGTGCCGTTCTTCGACTATTCCTCACCTGCGACTTATTTCCTGCTCTTTATGTCACTCATGCTTGCCATGATTGCAGTGATGACATCTGGTTTGAGCATGATTCGCTGACTACACACTGACCGGCAATGGACTCAAGAAGTAAGGATATTCTTGCTTTACCCACGATATCGGCTGACATCTTATCAGCAACTCAGGTCGGGCGGCTATTTCCTCTTTACCTACCTGCTATCGATCATCATGCCCATATTATTTGTTGGCTTGTCCCTGAATTATTTCATACTCGGTCAGCTCCAGTAATTCAGTGCTCTCTCTGGGTCCTCATGTACTATTTCGTCCTCAGCGATGTTGACAGCAGGCTTTCACTTCGAAAATACTGTCTGCCGCATCCTCACCGCGCTCTGGCTCGTCATATACGTTGTCTGTATTGGGGCAATGTTGACAGAATTCGCGTGGAGGTATGTGAAAGGCCTCAGATCACAATGATCTGGACACCGTCAGGAATTTCTACTATTTCTTTTCGCCTCTTTAATGTGTTGGAATCTTTAGCGCTTGTGTGGATGTACAGTAAATTTCAGCCCAATGACGGGCTGGACGACACTTCGGGTACTGCATGTTTGGTTTGTAACAGTATAGAAGTGTTAAGTTAGTGGCTTTTACTACTTCAAATATATCAATGTTTAATTCGAATGGTCGAATTACTGGCGCAAGAGCCTTTGGTACGTCAGAATTCTTTCTCGTTTCTGTCTGTGCCTCTATGTAAACGTCCTCCGAGATACACTGATGAATCGAGGAGCATTAACAGGAGCCTTGAAAGCTTGATGCTGCAGTCAAAATGCAGGAGAGGGCTCAAGTATTGTTTGTTTTGATGATACATACATAGAACATGGTTTGCACTAGGTCTTGTATGGCGTCGACATAAGTGTAGTGGCAGCAACTCGAGTGGCGCATTCTCGTCTGATTTTGCAAGTTTCCGACAAGTGCGCATATATCCAACTGGGCCTGGTATTACATCTCAACTCACCTGGTCCTCCCATTCTGTTGAATATGACTTGTAGGTTTTCACTGGTAGAGGTGTGGGGTCGGAGACTCCGGAGTTGGGTCGGAAATCATCGGTTCACAATTGGGTCTGCCTCATTCAACAGCCAACCAACAACAACATAACTCAAACTCGGAGTCAGACAGATGTCTCGGCAATTTCAAAACCTCGATGAAGCTGTGCGTAACATACATGTATATCTGGGTATTGTTTCTTGACATCTATCTCAATCACTCTTGCTCAGCTGGATGAAGTCGAAAATGATAGACGGGGTGATTCTGGACATACCAAATGGTCCAGACAGCAGCGTATTAATGTGACCCTTCCACCTCCGAAACGCAACTGTCAGATCTATGGCTACTGCGTATCCAAGAGGTGGTTCTGTGATACGGCTCTTTCCTTCCTTGGCAAGGTGCATCGCAACCGTCCCGCCCAGGAGGCCCGGAGCAGCGCCCAGGTAGACCCCATCTATGGAATTGCAAGACACTTCGGCATTTATTCGATGGGTGTGGGTGAGGCAACTCTACCTCCCGGGCAGATAGTTCCAGTGGAATGCATGGACGGCGAACTCGTTAATGTGCTGTACATCTTCAGCGACCAACCTGGCAATTATCGCCAGCGCCCAACTCAGAAGCAGGTTGATGAACTTACCAAGTTCGTGGGCAGGGAGCCGCAGTGGTGGGTAGACAGCTCGACAGGAAGCTTCTTCGAGCGATGAGTGATTGAATGCGTGGGGGGTCAATCGCAGGGATTAGACTGGGCAACTAGTAGCGGCAGGGGGAAAGTTGATGAGGCTTCTATCAAGATAGTCTCAAATTGAAGGTGTCTCCGTCAAGCGTCAATGTATTCGGAATCATCAAATTCAACATCGCCGATGGACTCGGAGGTACAATTGGAATGAGAGATGATTATATGGGGGAAATGGTTGGGTGAAGATGGTTGGGGAAAGTTAATTATGTAATAGAATGGAGACGTAGCGTTTTCAAATGCACGGGCTCGGCCGTCGACGTCATGTCAAAAGACGTTGACCAATGACCAAATGCCCTGGCAGCGCCCACCAACGACATGGACATTGGAGACGCGCACAACTTGAATAATCAAATCTCACACCTCCGGTGCCACTGCGGCCCGTCTGCTGCCAGTAATAGCTTCAAGTGGCTGTGTATTAGAGCTTAGTAGGGTACCGCACGGGTAACACCGAGGGTCGGAAAGTTGACACCGCACCCGCACCCGCCAACACCGTACCCTTCACGGGTACGGGTACACACCGACCCGTCAATGTCGCGGTTTATGGAAAACACCGCGGTGTCTCTGAACACCGCGGGTACATTACCAAGAAGAGTGTATTAAGTATTAACAACAATGAAATAAAATAGTACTACTTTTCCTTGTCATTCTCCTCTGCTTCGACTTCATTTCGCTTCCGTTTTTGAGTCCTGACAGCGGCTAAAAGGTCCTCCATCACCAGAAGATCACTTCTGCCCCACGCTCCGAGGCAGAGAAAGGCACGAATTGTTGATGGTGCGAGTCGGTTGCGAGTAAAATGAAGGAGCTGCCGGCCCTGCGAGAAGACACGTTCAACCGCAGTTGATGTTGCTGAGCAAGATAATAAGTATTGATTGATTGAAAGAGGATTCGAAGGAGACATACCTGGGACAGAGAGATAGTCGAGTGCCATCCGATGCAGCATTGGATAAGCACGGCAGTTGTTTTGCCACCATGCGAGTGGGTCCTTGGTTTTCACAGTTGGTAATCGAAGAAACTCATCCAACTCGCTACTAGTAGTACGAGACATGGAACCAAGTGAGTAGTCACCAAAGTCATCCTCGTTCTGTATAGTTGTCAGTGTCAGTGCAAAATTAAATGTTGCATACGGACTGTGTCTGCTTCAATGTCATCAGTAATCTCGGCAGATTTCTGGTATTTATCAATAAACTCTTCGCGAATGAGCTTCTCGGCAATGTCAATCCATTCTTTCTCCCAGGAATGCTCACGGAAGTACTCGAGCTTCAAGCCAGGATGTAGGACTTTATGAAGATGATTAATCAATGATGTCAATGAAAGTTTGAAAGGCTGACCCATGGCAATGCGGTATACGTTGGAGAGATCTGTAATCTTCCAGGTAGCGATCCATCTTGTTCTTTGCAAGCTGCATAGCCGACACAACTGCAGGGTGATATGCTTCCTTCGTCTGTTGATTGAGCTTGCTATCAAGTTTGTCCATTGCCGGTATCACGGCTGCGATAGTGGCTGAGTCCTGAGAGAAGAACAAGGTAGCCTTCTTGTATTGCTGGTGGATCAAAATAAGTGAGACAAATAAATACAATGTATGACGAGCGAGACCTACAGAGAGAACCGCAACGAGGTCAGCAACAATTTTCCACTCATCGTCATCCAATTCATATTTTTTAGCCCGCCTGAGGCTTTTATCACTCGTTATGCGATCAATGGGTACCTGATACTGTAACGCGAAGACCAGCATGTCATATGTGGAATTCCAACGTGTCGCAACATCACGTGGCATGAGCTTTTCTTTCAAGTGTGATGCTCCACATGCCCGTCGCCATGCTGGGAGCAAGAGAGTTGTTGAACGAATTACAGCGAAAGACAGACCACGAATCTGCCATATGATATTAGCTAGTATTAGATGCGGATCTAAGACACTGACCTTTGCAATAGTTCCTTTGACAGCGGCAGTGTCATCTAACATCTTCTCACGATTGGCTTGCGAGAGCATTTCCAACTCGTCAATATTGTCATCAGCGTCATCAAGCTCAGAGGTCAAGTCAACTTCCTCTACTTCCGAATCATCATCTAACATAAGTGGCGGCTCATCATCATCCACATCATCATTGGCTTCAGATGTTGATGCTGCTGATGACTCGGAGCTGCATCATTGGCTTCAGATGTTGATGCTGCTGATGACTCGGAGCTGAATGGTTTCAGCAAAGCTTTTGCCGAAAGCTGGAGAGTATGATTAAAACATCGAACACGGTTGACAGACTCAAACGAGTTGTCGAGGCTCGCAAGCTTTGTTGTTTGAGTATCATTGGCAGTCGCGTTATCAGCATTGACTGCAAGAATCTACAATCTTCACGTTAGCATGATTTCTGCAATATTCAAGATCGGCTTACTCTCTTCGTCAGCCCAAAGCGTTCAAGCATTGCTTGAAAGGCTTTCGCCATTGCAGCACCAGTATGTGACTATAAGATAAGATTGTGAAGATTGGTGGAGCATTCGAAATGGCCTGTGACGTACCCTCGGCAACTTCAATGATGTCAAGCAGAAATGAAAACATTTTACCCTCATACTCGAGGTGGACTGTCCACGCTACAAAAGCACGGTGGTTGGGTGAAGTCCAAGCATCCGTGGCAAAGTGTAAGCGTCCAGGGTGATCCTAACCATTGTGTTAGCCAATTTTCTGATGTTAGCGAAAAGCTTACACGGAGAAGCTGTCCAATGCGTTCGCTACACTTCTCGAATGCTACTTTGATATTGCGGGACAATACATCAGGTGATGGAAGTTCAATGTTCGGGCGACCTGCACAAAGAAGCTCGCGGAGTTCACGATCATTGATTATATTAACTGGGCGATTACTTTCAGTGATCCATTTCACGAGACGAGCACTGAAACTAATGTTAGCATGCAAAAATATCCAGATTCAGATCATTTACCGAACTTCTGGGTTCGTGTGTGTCCGATGGGAGTAATGGACGGGCTGTTGGCCTTGGCGTGCAAATGCTGCGTAGACAGAGCCACTATTAGCACCAGCATCCTTGCCCTTCATGGCGTTGTTGACGGCATCCTCGCCAAAGCATCCAATGGCATGGTGCTTCAGATTAGTCGTCGAGGACTTATCCTTTGTATCCTGATAGCGGCGCACACCACCTAAAGCTGTCTTACACTTACGCGCACCACACGGGAAAAAATGACACAAGCGGCCATTGTGGTGTTGGACCACAACTTCGGATGAAAAGAAACTATAGATAGGTGACCGCCAAGTCTTCTTGAGAGCCTCTGTATCATTGGTATAATCAGATATTTGCAAAAATCAATGGAAAGAAACATACCAAGATCTGCAGAAGGATCGGGATCAGGCTCGAATGCACCTGCCCGTTGATTTGTTATCGTCAGTGGCAAGTGAATCAGTACTTGATCGCGTAAGATCAACGGTGTCTGTGGGGCTCGATCGAGAAGACCGAGACACAAATGGACTGCTTGACCTTCTTCAAGGGGCGGGCCAGAGCCTTAGCACCCTTTGCAACAGCCTTTTGAGTGACCTGGCCTTCTCGGAGATGGACGACGAGATAGACTTAGATGATGAGTGTGACTGGGTAGACGAAGCATCAGATGCCTTCTTTGTGAGCTTAGTTTTCATGGGGAGACGACTCAGTGGACTTACTGGTCTCGAGTTTTTGCCTTGGCTTTATGGTAGTGACTCGAGCTTCTCTGCAACGAAAGTGTCAGCACAATAAATTGCTAGAATGATTCACGGGGGTACAAAAGACATGACAGAAATCAGTATAGCATTCACTTGTGATCCTCAAGCTCTCAGAGGAAGGAAAAAACAGAGAATCAAACACGGTGTTCAATGGCTGTCGCGCGCCTGGTTCCCGATTTGGTATATTATACCCGCCCAAACACCGTCAACCCGCGGTGAATGGCCACGGTATGCTCAAGGGTACGACTATCCTACTCCGTACCCGTACCCTCCAAACCCGTCAGCATAGAACCGCGGTGTTACCCGTACCCGTGCGTTTTCCCTAGAGCTTAGAGGGTTATGCTACATTATCATATACCGTGAATTTCTTATTTTGCACACTTCTTCGTGGTGGACTTAGCGATGCTCACCATAGTTCCGCTACACAGCGAATCCCATACAGGTACGAATATCGAGATGAGCATTAACCCACCTGTACTCTCAGGCTCCTCTTTGACGTGATGTTCGTCATGGCCCCACAATATTTTCCGGAGGTGCGCTGCCTCGAACTGAACTAGGATGCTAGGCTTTCACACTCCCGAGTCCCGGTGAATGAATGCTAACAGAGGAGCAAATAATCCCCGCATCCTTCCGTGACACGTCCTCTTTAACGAGAGTACTTTGTTTTTTTGGCAACTCGGACGCCCCGATCGTGAATACTACTAGGAGTCACTGCAATCCAAGGAGGGATTCAAGGACGTGAGGAAAAGGCTGTGCTCTATCTTGTCCAACACTATCTCCGTAGCAAGCTATTCAACTCTGCGAGTTCAAGTCGCCGCTGAAATAGTCAAAATTTCACAAGGCGAGCCTGCTTCTCGCGACAAGTTGTGTTTTCTTGTCCACAGGTTCTCCTATGCCATACTTTAACTATTCCTCACCCGCGACCCTATTTCCTGCTCTTTATGTTACTCACGCTGGCCATGATTGCAGTGATGACGTTTGGTTTGAGCATGATTCGCTGGCTACACACTGATCGGCAGTGGACTCGAGAAGTAAGGGTATTCTTTCTTTACCCACGACGTCGGCTGACATCTTTTCAGCATGTTATCGATCATCATGCTCATATTATTTGTTGGCCTGTCTTGGTAATTGTTTCATATTCGGTAAGCTCTAGTAATTCAGTGTTCTCTCTGGGTCCTCATGTACTATGCATCAGTGAACCGGGGGAAAGATGAGAAGAACATGTATGACAATATACAGTATCGTAACGGCGCTAGACCGCGCTAGTCTCCAGCACGTTTATTCAGTCAGCGCCAATGGGTTCGGTTCACTCAAACTTCGGCTCTGTACTGTATCTACATATTATAAGCAGAGCGTTTGATTCCGCGGAAGAAATTCTCGCCGACGCCATGCGCGCGCTCCACCATGTGCTTTATTTGGCTTACGTGTTCTCGAACAATAAAATCAATCTGGACTAGTCTGGACCGCTTGGCGCTGCGTTTGGACCCTCTTATAATCTCGTTGTATCGCACTGTTTGTGCCTCAGCGGTTCTTCTTTCACAAACGCATGAGGTATGTTCCACGTTTACTTTGCATGCCGGCTCTCTCTTACTGTATTCGCCTCTAGACTCGTTTCTTAGGTACTGTCAATGTCATAGCGGTTCTTTCACAAACGTTGAGACTCATTTCTTAGTTTCTACTTACATACTGCTTTAACCGACATGGCTTCAGAGGACCTTTATGCAATCTCCGCTGACTGGCTCAAAAGCATAGAGGGTTGCGTCGTCCACCGGAGATGCTACGTCATTTGTGAGCCATTTTCTTTCGGATGGGTGGTTTCAGAGGTCGGTGCTTGTCCAAGGAACTGAGGTACACTCACGAGTGTTCTCTCTCTTAGATCTTCTGTGTTTTTCTTGGAATTTTAGGACACTATCAGGTCCGGAAAAAATACGCGGATTCCTCTCAGAGGTGGTTGATGGAAAGCCGCGACTTGAGCATTCTGGTCTTCGTAACTTCAAACCTAGACGATCACACTGCCAATGCGCCTCACCATTGCAAATGCCAGGTCCGCAAGACATTAAAGGAGTACAAGGTGCTTTCACATTATCATTACGAAAACCAGCTGCACTCGGACGAGGTTTTCTTCCGTCTGATGCAAGATGCCGATGGGAAGTGGAAGGCTTTAACTCTTTTCACAAACATGCAGGACCTTGTCGGGCATGAGGAGTCTTCTGCAGATCAACACGGCTTATACGAGGGTCGAAAAATGACCTGGGAGGAGGATGTTGACGCAAGATTCCGTGCTATAGAGGCGGACCCCACTGTTTGATAGGTGCTGTGCAGTTCTCTCATTAATCATGATGACTTGACAAGGATAAAAAGTTGGTGGTGGACAAGCGGGCCTTATGTCTGCAGCACGGCTGCGTAGGTTGGGCATCCGTGCGCTCGTGATCGAGAAAAATGCGCGTGTCGGAGACTCCTGGCGACAACGGTATGTGCCAACATAGCGATGATATGTTCTTTGTTATAGATGCGAACTACAGGTACCCGAACCTTACGCTGCATACCCCCACATATCACAACTCCAGTACGTCTTATCATCTTTCTATAAGAGGCTTGGGGCTAATCTATACAAAGTGCTTTACAGTCCCTATCCGTATGTACTTTCCCGCCGTTCAAAGGTATCATGTTTCTCAGTAATGCTAGGACAACCTTCCCCGAGTACATTCCTAAGGGGAAACTTGCTAATTTCCTAGATTCATATGCTGTGGACCAGGAATTGTGTATCTGGCTCTCGAGTAGCATAGCCTCAACTCCAGTGTACGACTCATCATCCGCAAGATGGACCGTGGAAATCCAGCACGGAGACCAGAAAGTATTCCTTAAACCGAAACACCTGGTACTTGCCACAGGATACGGGAGCCCTCGCATTCATACTTGGAACGGAATGGACGAATTTCAAGGAGCCTTGTATCATTCCGACTTCCATAAAGACGCAGAGCGATTCCGAGGCAAACGTGTTGTTGTTGTGGGTGCGGTAAGTCGTATGTCTCCATTTCATACTTGCGTGCGCACTCACGAGAGCGTCAGGGCAATGCTGGTGCAGATATATGTGAAGATTTCGTAGCGCATGGTGCCACTGAGGTGCGTGTATGTATTGCACTATATCAAAGTCATGATTTCATAAGAAGAAGAAAGGTAACAATGGTCCAAAGAAACGCCACATGTGTTGTATCTTCGACTACCGCAGAGAAAAGCTTTAAGTCGCCTTTCCCTGACGGCACCCCTGTCGAGGAACTGGATTTCCGCATGAATTCAATGCCTATGGCCTTTATCCTGCAACTGAAAATATCAGGTGGGATAGAACACACGAAGATGCTCGACAAGGAACTCCATGATGGTTTGCGCAAGGCTGGATTCAATTAACTTGGGAACTTTCGCCCGGTAGTGGCGAGGTTGGGGTGGACGGATTTGTGTTCAGCCGCCGGGCATCAGGAACCAGTGCGTTCGGATTTGTTCTTGAGGAGAATGACATCTTAAAACACCATACAGTGCTTGACGTTGGCTGTGGTAAGCTAATCATCGAAGGCAGAGTTAAGGTAGGACTTGTATTCATTGTTGAGAGCTGTGTCAGATTGTTGCGATATATGCCCAGATAAAGCAAGGTCAAGATATCAGTCACCTCGACAAAGATGGGATCACGTTTAAAGACGGCTCCAAGCTTTCAGCAGATGCTATCGTCCTAGCGTATGGTCTGACTAGTAGTTTCTGGTTGGTCTTCTCACGTATGTTGCAGTACAGGATATGAACCCATCATGAAGACTATGAGAGCTCTTCTTGGCAATGAAATTACCGATCAACTTCCACCTGAGGTGTGGGG